TTAACTAAATCTTAATAAAATTAAGCTAAAATAGTTTCTTTTAAAAGCTAGAATATAAATAGATAAAGATAAGGCTATATATATAATAAGGATGTTATTTTTTATTATTTTTAGTAGTATACTATTATAGATTATAATAAGAGCAGGATAAGAATATCCTAATTAAGCTTAGCTTAGCTTTAACTAGCTTAGTATAAGGCCTTACTTCTATTATAGCTTATTAAATAGCTTTTAATTAATTTATTATTAACTAACTATATTATATATATTACTTATTAAAGTCTTTATATACTATATTTCCTTATAATATAGGTACTTTATTCTTATTTATACTTCCTTTATAATTTATAGTCTATAATAATAAAAGAGCTAATTAAAGTATTTTATATCTAGTACTTAATAATTTTTATATATTTAGATATATATATTTAAAAACTTAGTAATATTTATTTTATTAAAGTATAATATATTAAATATTCTAAGAACTAATATTTAATTAATTATATATATTATAAGTATTTTTCCTATAAAAGAAAATAGAATTATTATTTAAATAGCTATATTGAAGTTAATATTATTAATAATTATAAAAAGTTAAATAATTAGCTATTTTATTTTATTAGCTTATTATCTTTTATCTATAATATTCCCTAAAAAAGATAAATTATTATTAAGTATAATAAGCTACTAGTAATAACTATTCTAAATAAGGATCTAGTTTAATATAATTAATATAAATATTAATTATAAACTAGAAATAAGCTATATAAATTATATAATAAAAAAAATATAAATATTAAAGAAATTAAGCTATAAAGTATTTAATTAATTAAAAACTTAATTTATAATTTAATTCTTTTTTTTCTTTTATATATATAGTTTATAGCTTTTATAATTATAATTTACTTTCTAATTTTTATATTACTTTACTTATTAAGTTTATTAAATTCCTTAAAATTATTAAAGCTTATATTATTATAATTACTTCTACTTTATTAAATATATAATATATATTATAGCTATTTAACTAGTATAACTTTTATTTTCTAATTAATAAGCTATTAAATCTAAGAAATATTTTTAATATAATTACTTACTTAATTTTATTTATAAAAATAATTTAATTATATATTTAGCTTCTAACTTCTAAGCTTATTATATTTTTATTAACTAATTTAATAATACTTTCCTTAAAAGTAGAGTTAAAATTATAAGCTTCTTTATTTTTACTTTTATTATTTATAACTTAGACTAGTATTCTATATAGCTACTTTTCTTAGTATTTTAGTAGCTTATTAAGATTTCTTAAGATTATACTTTAATATTTTTTTAGAATCTTTATAACCCTTATAATTATTTTTATTTTATATTTTATTATAAATTAAATAATAAGTTAATATAATAAAGTATACTTATTTTATTTTTTTTAAGAAAAAAGAAATAAAATTTAAATAAATAAATAAGCTATTTAAATAATAATAGAGAATATATTAATAATAAATATTAACTATTTACTATACTATACTGTTTTTTAACTTTAACTTATATACTTATATTACTTTTTTTAAATACTTTACTTTTAACTTTATTATAAAGGTATAAAATATATAATATAGCAGTAAAGCTAGCGTAGAGAAAGTAGAAAAGTATATATAATAGTTTATCTAATTAATAATAATATATATATAATAAAAGAATTATAATATACTTAAATATATACTTTTAAAGATATTAATTTTTAAAAAAATAATAAATAATTAATTCTTTACTACTTATATTAAGTTTATTTATATTCTATAAACTAATTAAATCATATACTTAAGGGGCTATATTATAATAATATTATTTTTTATTAATAAATTTAAATATTTATTAGATTTATTTTTTAAATTTAAAATAATTTTTAATTTAATTATAAGTTTCTATATTAATAATTTTATTTATATATTTTCTAAAGTCTAAATTAATTTATAATAATATTTTATCTTTTATATATATTATTATAAAAGTTATTTTATATTTATTTTTAATATTAAATATTAATTTAAAATAGAAATTTTATTTAAATAACTAGTTATTAAGTTTATTCTTTTTTAATAGAAAAAGTTAAACTTTAAAAGTTTAATTTTATCCCTTTTAATAGTAGTTAGTTAATATATTATATACTTTTATTAAAAGTATTACTTACTTATTATAAATCTAGTTATATTTATTTTAAAAGTATTTAATATATTATAATTCTAATATCTAAACTAGTAAATAATATTAATTAATTTAATTATAAATATATAAATTAGTTTTCCTAAAATATAAATAATAATTAAAAGATAAATAAAAATAAGATAATAAAAAAGAATTAAGTTATAATTATTTTAGATTTTATAATAAAAAATAAAATCTATATTAAATATAAAAAAATTTATTTAAAAAAGGAATAAAAAGTTTTATATATATAATTTTATTTAACTTATATAATAATATTTAACTTTTAATTTTTTTAAGTTTATTTAATCTAGAAGTTACTTAATATCTTTAGTACTTAAATATATTTAAGTACTTTAGCTATTTTTTCCTTTTTATAATTATTCTTCCTTATAACCTAGTATAGCTATAGTCTCTATTCTATAATAATTATCTAGTTATATTTATTATATAAGGTTATAATATTATAGTAGTAAAGTAAGGTTAGCTAAGTAAATTAATAAAGTATTAATAATAAATAATTATTTAAAGAAAAAATATTTAAATAATAATTATTAAAGAAGCTAGTATAAGAAATAAATATAATAAATAAAATATCTTTTACTAGTAAGTTAAATTAATTAATTAATAAAAATAATATAATAAGTAAATACTTATAATAAATTAATAATTAATAAAAAGAAACTAATAATAAAGCTATTAACTACTTTAGTAGAGGAAGACTAGTAAATTAATTAAAAGAGTTAATAGTTTTTAATAAAACTAGTTTTAATATAAACTAGGTATTATTACTATTAATATAAAAATAAGTACTAGAGTATAGTTATAAAAGAGATATTTTTTAATTATATAATAATTAATATAATAATAATAAGAAAGTCTTCTTATTTTATATAAAAGCTATTTACTTATATTAAGATATTTTTACTAGCTATATTTATATTAATATTATTTCTTAAAAAGAAAATAATAATTATATTATAATTTATTATATATATAATAATATAAATTAGTAATTTAATTTATTAAAAAATAGAAAAATATTCTAAAAACTAATTATTAAAAGTAAAAAAGTTTATATTAAATAATAAAAATCTTTACTTTCTTATAATAAAAGTTAAGTTTTTTTTTAAAATTTTTTTAAAATTATTATAAATTAAATACTTATTAAAAATTTATTAGAATCTAGTAAAAGTCTTTTTTAAGTATATTTTTAATATTATTTAATATTATATATTTAAGTTTTAATTATAAAAATTAAATATTATTATTAAAATTATAAAGAAATTATAATAAAATATAATAATAATATATAAAAGTTTAGAATTATAAAATATAATCTTTTTTTAATAATTAATTAAATTTAAAGTTAATTATTAAAAAGGAATTTTATTTTTCTATTAATATTATATAATAATTTTAATTTTATTATTATATAACTAAAGTATATTTTTAATTTTTAAATTACTTTTATTTTACTATAAAAAATATTATTATATAATATAAGTTATTAATATTAAATACTATATTAATAAATATATTAATCTTTTTAATTAAAAAAAAACTTTAATTATTTAATATTTTATTTACTTAGTTAAAAATAACTTTAAAACTAATAAATAGTATTTAATAAAAAGTTTTTATAATTTATATAAACTAGTATAAGAATATAAAAAAATTATAGGAAATTACTTAATTATTAATATTATAATTAAAAGACTAATATATAATAGATTATTCTTATTTTATTAGTATATAGCTAAAAGCATTTTTAGACTAAAACCATGTAGGCGTTGTCTCTCTTCTTCTGTTGGGATAGTCTATCGCAGTATAGTCGTTAGCGCGGTGCATATTAATACTGCAAGCTACATAGATTCCTACACAATCAAGACAACATTCACGCATTGCCGTTTTCACTCCTTTATCGCTTTGGTTTGCGACAATGTGTTTGTCTATAGACACCGTGTCCATACTTGCTCTATTGGCTCCGCCGACGGAAGTTTCTGCTATGGATTCTCACCGTGTAGACAAAATGGCCACCTATACGATAGTTGCAATAGACTTGCAGGCAAACTTAATGAGATGGCCTTGGCCAAGGTGCGAGACCTTTTTGAGGTCGATGATGAGAGGCTACTCTTTGTTGCGAGCGATCGTATATCTGCGTTCAACGTTATCATGAAAAATCTAAGCTTTACCCAGTTTTTCTCCTAGCATATGCCTTGACTAAGTGTGACTAGCATAGTGATTGGAGGAAGTCGGCCTAGCTTGACTGTTGATGGCGAGAGTGATGGGCGATTTTGACCTATCGCATGATCTCACTATCAATCTTAGGGAATCCCGGGAAAGGCGCTCTACTTACTAAAATGAGGTAAGAAGACTTCACCATTCAGCAGGCCCGGAAATGGGTCCGCTTTTCACAAGCCAGACATCTGAGATGGTGCAAACACCATAGTCAGCTGCGCAGTGTCGAAGGAGTCACTGGACAACTACCGTTCATGTCTTAACATCCTAGGCTTAGATCTAGAGAACCCTGCGAGATGCTGTATCAGTATTCCTCCTTCGGGCTCACTTCCGGGCATCAAGGCCCTAGACTATCACATCGACAGACAACTGATATATTTTTCCACAGCGTATACTGCTTTGAGTATCTTCAGGATAGAATCGGGAATCTGAAAACTCATCCTTTGAGCCCTAATTTACCATCCAGCCCAGCCTGCTTGCCATTAGATCTTCATGATTCCGTTCGATCATGTAGCATACTAGTCCGGAGCTTGGAAATGTTCCCCATCGAGTCAATTATGCGAGGAAATATTACTGGGATAGCCTGGGTAGAGTACAGTAAATCCAGGACAGTCAATGGCATGCCTCTCCCAGCTGGCCTTGTATATGAACAGAAGTTACCGACTCCACTGTGGAATCCATCCACTAAGGCTGCGATTAGAGATGAGGATGAGAACTCCACAAAAGAACAAGCCTATGAGATTCTAGGCGAGAGAGTCGGGAGGAAAATCGAGAAGCTCAGCCTTGAAATCTACAGCATAGCGGCGAAACAGATAGAGGAAGCTGGTATCATTCTTGCCGATACGAAGCTTGAGTTTGGCACGGAGGAGGAAATGTTGTGCTTGCGGCTAAGGCGCTAACAACCGATAGCAGTCGTTTCCGGGTCAAAGATATTTGGGAGCAGAGCCTTGGACAAGCGCAACCTAGCGTCGATAAGCAATATCTAAGAGACTGGTTGTTGGCGAATGGGTCGCAGGGACAGGAGCCCATCACGATTCCCGAGGTTGTCGTTATAAAGACTGACGCTATGTATCACGAAGCGTGTAAGAAACTCATGGGATAAAGTCATTTACCACAGCCCACCTAAAATCTTCTCAGAAGGAGAAGATTGCCTTTGTTGAGAGATCTCATCAACAGAAGTGCTGGTAAGGAGGAGCACTAACTAGGATTGAACAATAACGATGTGAGCTCCATCCCGAGTGTGACTAATTATCACGACCCGAGCCGGTGAAAGGGCCACTGAGCTATCGTGAGCTTTCTGAATGAGGTGGAGGAGTTGCAATGAGATAGAGTATCACTGCCAGGACACAGACAGTGACGGCTTGGGCAAAACGGTAGGCGAGAAAGCTCGTAGACACACAGCCTGGAGCAAGCATACTAGAGCTATAGGCATTGTTTGGGGCATCCTACAGTCCTTTTTCCGCGCCGAGAAAGAAATAGAAAACCACGCAGTGTACTTTTCAATCTTTTGGCGCAAGAGATCTTGGACTGTAATTGCCCTCGACATAACAAAGATATTGCAGAATGCAGAGGTGACTAGCTTAGAACCCGAGACATGTCCCGGACTCGCGCATCACTAGCGGCATGCACATGAGAGCAAGAGGTTAGCGTAGGAGGTTTGGCTCGGCTGAAGTGGCAAGTCAGCTGTGGGCCGGTGGACTTGGGCTGAAAAGGGGAAAAGCGAAAAGAGACGAGGTGTTGCATGCGGGGGTGAAGCTAAAGGCGAACCGAGGGTCAGTAGTACGGTAATAAGCTTGGTCACTGGTCAGGTAAGGGTAAGGAATTTCCCCCCCCCACCCGGTATTTTCCTCTCCCGCCGCTTCCCCCTTTTCATCCCTTTGGCACCAGTTGGTGCTTGTACTTATCCTCTTTCGTTTCGAATTCTCGATGAGCACATCTTTCCCCAGTTACACCTAACCCAACCCAGTAACTCCCCCCATTCTATCTCTAAAACAGTAACCAGAAGGCATACATCCACCCCTTACCGCTTTGGGTGACTTCTTCACTTTGCCTTCCCTTGTACAACCTTTGTTGACTCCGAAGCAATGGCCGACATCACCGACCCCAACAATCACTCTCCGGACCTTGGCGACGCGACAGGCAACGGCAATGGGGCTGAGGCTCGCGGCGTCAAACGCCCTCGCGTCAGTGCTGCCGCCGATGACGACGACGACGATGATGACAAGCCGGGCCGCGAGAGAAGGAAGATTGACATTAAATTCATACAAGACAAGTCTCGCCGACACATTACCTTTTCAAAGCGCAAGGCCGGGATCATGAAGAAGGTACGTGCAACTTGCTCAGGATAGTTGCGCATGCATGCAAGCGTGCGAAATGCCACCGCCATCCAGGAGACTAATGTTGTTGCCCCGTAGGCCTATGAGCTGTCTGTCCTTACCGGTACCCAAGTTCTCCTGCTGGTCGTCTCCGAGACTGGCTTGGTCTATACTTTCACCACTCCCAAACTGCAACCACTCGTCACGAAAGCTGAGGGCAAAAACCTTATTCAAGTATGTGTCTTATTGAAACCCAGGACCTAGGTGCTTATGCTAACACGATCTTTCAGGCGTGCCTGAATGCGCCCGAGCCAGCTTCAGGAAATGAGAATGGTGTTGACGCCGAACAAGAAGATTCAGCGGAAGACGTGAGCCACGCCCAGATGCAAGCGCCTCAGGCCAACATGCCTCGCGGTGGATCAGGAGGGATGCCTCAATACATCTCGCCAGCCGAGCAACAACAGATGGCCTACCAGCAGTACATGCAGCAGCAATCACAAGGCATCGGCGGACAGTACCCCATGCCCCCCAGGGTACGATGTCCCAATAAATCGCCGCTTCGCATGGATTGCTGAAATGACCCGACCTCAGAGTAATAGACGACTCTATGTTGCGACAAGTATTGTGGCGCACACAGAGAACATGACGAAAAGATTTGAGAAATAACGGCTAGCTTTTTTAATCGGAAATGATTGATCGTGCTAAAACAACCATAATCCCGACCTTGCGTGTGGCTTTTGAAAAGCAGGATATATTTAAACATTGGGGCGGGACGGAGGAATGGTGTTTGGGAGTAGATGCAGGATGTCAGCCTTGACTTTGCTTTCAATTCTTCCAGCATATTCTGCGCAAAGATCAATGAACATCAAGCGGGTGGGTCATTGCGGGGCCGATAGCCACCGACCGGCATCGTGAAGATGACCGCTTGCACTCGCTCGTTGGGCCTATTTGGTGCTGTATGATAGAGGCTTTAGGTAACTTGCGGGTTGAAATCCATATTTGAAGCGTGCGAGATAGCTATCAGCCCCTGTCATTCCTTTCAAGTCTATTGATGGTCCATGCTATCATACAAGGTCTCGCAAGGCGCATAGCTCAGTAACAAATCCCCACATCTCTTGTCATTCGGCCTAGGTCTGATCTTTCAGACACCCAAAAATTCGCTCTCATATCTCGAGTGACCCTGCGCAAGATGCTGACAAGAAATGACGATTTGATCACCTGATCTAGTATCAATCCCTATCTGGATCAGCATCGACGATGACGAGGCTGGCTCGCTCTTGCTTATCCCACACCTTCCAACCCGACCGGTCATTCAAAATGCCCTCAGTCCCGAAATTTTCGGTTTTCATTTTGTCCGAAGAGTGTCCTTCGTACCAATGGTAACGCATCCGTCTCCGACAGCTTCAATCGTTCTTCGAGCGTGTTGTTGATATCAATCTTGCCAGATCCCCCAATAATGAAGACACCCCCGGCACTTTTGAAAACTCGTTAGAACATGTAGGGCTAAGATAGAGATGTTAACAGCTTACGAGCTTTCCGGTAGTGGATTTTTCTCGTCTAAGATGATCTCCACCTTTCCCCCAATATTCTCTGTGTACTCTTGCTTCGCGCTCTCCGCTGCGCTCTTCACCGTCTTAAAATCCTGCTGTCGCGCTCTAAGCGCTACTTTGTTCTCATTTAACGCGTACAGTCCTTCAAGCACTAGGCCCCGGCACATTTCCTCGTACTTGCTTGCATCTTTGCTGGCAGAACTTAATTCATTCCTCACTTTTTCGAATAAGTCGTCCAACAATTCTTGCCCTCGCCCGAGAACCTTTAGGCGAGTCTTGTTGGCTAGTGTACTGCGTGTAACTTGTTGGCTCATGGATGCCTGTTTGTGCTTTTTGGCATAGGCAGAGTCGATTGAGGCTGTCTCCTGGCGAACGAGCTTAGACTTTTCGATGGCGAATTCTTCGTCTGCTTTTATCTGGATCTCGCGCGCTTTCTCTAAGGCTTCTTGACGGATGAAAGCTGTCATCTTCTTGAGCTCTTCCGCGACCTATATTTTGTGGGCCGTCGTTAGACACTCGGTCGCAACATGCGGAAGGCTCTGAAGTACCTGGTCATCCGACATGGCGTGAGACATTCTTGAAGATTTATACGGTAATGTTTAGTGCAATAGACAAGGTGAAAGATCTTTGGAGGAATTGCAGCTAGGATAGCAAGTGTTCTAAGCATCTAGCGAGCAGATAAGGAGAGGAAAAGGTGAAAGGGAAACCCCTGCTTGGCAAACGAGTGACGTGTGAGCTCTTGATACAGTGATACCGTCTTGAAAGGCGGTGGTAGCTCCTGCAACTTTTGGTCCCTCTAGCTGATTGAATGGTTCTGGACTGCGGCTAATATCAGGTATCACCCGGAGAAGCCCTACCGGAGATCCTAGCGTCGAATCTAAGATGCCAAGCATGCGTGTTTTCTACTAGGGTCAGAAACATGGAGAGACCGTTTTCATCGCAAGTTCTGCAACATACGAGCTAGGTCGTGTGTATACCTTTGATGTTAGTTGGTCATAGCTCTTTCCCATCCTGCCTGCTGTCGGACTGACGCGCCTTCCGTCTTTCATCCAGCTGGTCCTCGAATGACTTGTTCACTACCATGAACTCCCTGACGCTCTCCTGTGCTCAAACATGTCCTCACGTCGCATCCCTCTTCTTACACAAATAGCATGTCGCCAATTGGGAGTCTGTCCCCAAAAGGAAGCATTGCAGTAAGTCCCCTCAATCTACATACTGGCAACTCATCTGCTCATCATCCGAATTGCCCAGCTCGGCATCTTCGTTGGCCTCCTCTCGACGTCTGTGCAGTCGCTAGGCCTAACCTTACAACGGAAGTCTCATATGCTAGAAGACGAGAAAGACGTGACTGAATACAGACGGCCGCCGTTCAAGCGGAGAAGATGGCAGGTCAGCAGAGCAAAACTCTGGAGCCTACAGCGAATAACTGGATTGAAAAGCTGAAACGCTCTTTAGCTCGGAATGCTCATGTTCATCATCAGCAATCTCGTCGGAAGTTCAATCCAAATTACAACCCTGCCACTTCCGGTCCTCTCAACCTTACAGGCGGTGAGGATGAGAGCCTTCCACGTGAAAAAGGGTATTTTGGCTAAAGTCCATTGCAGTCGGGCCTCGTGTTCAACTCGGCATGCGCCACGGTCATCTTGGGCGAACCATTCACACGCTGGTCCCTCTTTGGCACGATATTGGTTTGCGCCGGCGCAGTCCTCATTGCTATATTCGGAGCGATTGGTGAACCTGCCCATAATTTGGATCAGCTGCTTGCATTACTACAACGTCAGCAATTCATTCTGTGGATGATTGGAACAGCCATGGTCGTGATAGCTATAGTGGCTAGTGCTAAACTCACCAAATACGTCAGACCCTGGGCGAAAAATAGCCCTAGCATGCGCCTATTCAGGGGAATGTCTTATGGCGGTGTCAGCGGTATACTTTCTGCGCATTCTTTGCTGGTTGCAAAGTCTGCGGTGGAGCTACTGGTACGGACAATCGTGGATCAACATAATGAGTTCAATCGCTGGCAATCCTGGGTGATCTTACTCGGCCTGCTTGGACTTGCACTATCACAACTGTATTACTTGCACAGAGGCTTGAAGCTCTGCTCGACTAGCGTTTTATACCCCTTTGTATTTTGTGTTTACAACATTATTGCTATATTAGATGGTTTGATCTACTTCCACCAGACGGATCGAATTTCTATTCTGCGCGCTCTTTTGGTAGGAGTTCAGATATTGATCTATCGAGGCCTGTGACACGCTAACAATCACTGACAGATCGCTCTAGGGACGGCGATTCTCCTTGCTGGCGTTCTGGGACTGTCCTGGCGTCTCCATGGCGATCCAGTGTCACGTCCCTCTGCTGCTCAGGCACCTCTAACACCGGGTGTTCACTTTACTGCCGAGGACATCTCGGAAACGGAAAGTCTGTCTCCAACGCTTCCGGCGGAAGAAACGGAGCTTCTGGACAAGGAGTCACCTCGTTCAAGCCAGGAAGCTCATACGCCCACCCTTCAACATACTGATGTTCTTCGTGCTCACAGACTTCGACGGAGGGGTATCACAGAACAAGAGGAAATATGGCAAGAGCTTGAAAATGACACGCTGCCACCGCTATCGCCTTCTGCCAACCGACGTGTCAGCTTTCGGACTGTGTCGCATCCGTCGTCTACCCGTCAATCGCAGATGGAACTTCCCGTTATCGACGATGACGCGACGACAGAGGCGACAGCTTTGCTAGCACGGTCAAGTACTGGGAGGACTTATCGTGACCGTAGAAGGCGGAGCTCGGCCCCAGGCTTTGAGGCACCGGGAAGGGAAAGCAGCCGAAGGTCAAGTTCCGCTCAGCACAGCTTCACCGGCTGGCTGAGGGCCAATTTGTGGAAGATATATCCAACATCAAGGGGTGAAGCAATAGACGAAGCGTCAGTCGAAGGGGTGCGGAGGTAAGATTCCGCCTAGGTATCATTTGGTCCCTCTCGAGCCAGTCATTAGATCCTTAGAGCTACAGAACCTTTTCGGAACAAGATGAGCATTACCTCTCACCCATGACATGCCAGGGAAGAGCATCACACTCCTGACAAAAACTCCAAGCTCTGATCTTTCTTTAATGCCATTTAGCTCTAGTGTGTTGATGTGTCTTTGAGGACTTGACCTGAAGTCTAAAGAATCAACCGCCAGCATCCACATGAGATGTCCGAGCGTCGCAAGAAAGAGTGTTCTTGTGTGCCGCGCCAATCCAGCCATTCAAAACCTCCTTCTCGCCCATGTATTCTTCAAAGTCATTGCCAAACACGTTCTTCCTTCGCCGCGGCTTCGTTCGTACGGTGTACAGTAATCTAGACTGCAACCCCTCGAGAACCTCCTTTGCTTCTGTGCGGCGCATGTCGCTTGCTCCGCAATCAATTATTTTCATAAACATACCCTTGACCATAGCGGCAAGTTCATCAACTGCATCGTTGAATGCCTTCTCTTTGTGAGGACTTATCGTGATTGTTGGATGCAGTCGACTGCAACTGTCTAGAGCGAAATCCAAGATCTGAATAGATGAGGTGAAGAGTGCAAAGTCGGTAGTTCTATCGAGGGCAAAGGTGGGCGTTGAGAGTCGTTTACAGACGTCGTGAATCGAGAATTGATTTTGATCACTAGGGCGAATGTATGAATCGTCCTCGAAAAACCAAACGAGTGCCAGTTGGCGCCGAATCATAAGCCAGTCGGGGGAGAGCAGAGGTAGATTGCGGAGAAGTTGGACACGGAGCTTTGGGTGTTTGGTTGTTTTGCGAAGGCTGCACAATACAGTCGAGACTGGCGAGGAATCAGATGATGCATTGGGGCTGTCCAAAGCGTATGCTAGGATCGCTGTGAGTGCTGGCTCTAGAACGCCATGAAAGTGTCTGTTGCTTGCGAGACTTGTGTCCATAAGCAAGCGACAGAGAACGATTATGGCTCGGATCTGTGCTGATAGGCAAAGATTTGGAGCAAGGTGATGCATTATATCTACCAGAGATTCGAGACTTAAGCTTTGTTGCTTGGTACAAAAGCTTTCTGGACCGGACCGAGCTTCTATGCATGAATCAACCTGTAAGGCCTCTTGACTTGCACCTATCCATGTGAACAGAGCTTCAATTCGGTTGGCAGTGATTCTCTGTATCATGTCGGGCGATACTTTGCTAAGAATCCCCTTATAAGCCTGTCTGAGATCGTCTCTTGGTTCTGTACAGGCCGCTTCAATTGTCCACGCTAGGAGCTCTCGAGGAAGGCAGCCTTTCATCGCGTAGTCGTCAACCAAACCACCGAGAAATGCCTGCTGTTGGCTCTTCAAATCTGATAGGAGTGTACATAGACTAGGGTCTTCTGTGAGAGGACACAGGGCTGTTTGTGGGAGCTCAACATCTGGAGCAAACCAGGACCAATGTACATCGTGGAGAAGTGCCTCCGTCCTATTGATTGCAGCCTTAAGTCTAGCTATGTCTTCGTGATCACCACAGTTCTGCATGACGTTCTCCAGGACACCAGCATCATCAACCGTCCGTCGCGCTTCTTCGCTTGAGCGCTCTTCTACTACCTGTTTCGTCCTGACAATATCCTCTTTCGAAGATTCATACGCCTTTCTCTGCTTCGCTAAAGTCTGCAGTGAGAATTTGTGGACTTTTTGAGGTTGAGGTGAAGATGTGTCCCTCTGTGCTACTCGTTTCGGCCTCTTTGGCTCACCGTTTAGATCGAGTGACGTGACCGCTAGGCAATGGTCCCGTGGGGTTGAACTTTGGGGGACATGTCTTTTCATGAGTATTTCGTCAAGATCCTCAAGAGATGAAGTGTCAGATTGTCTCTCGTCGTCAGAGTCCAATATCTTGACTTCGCCATTTTTGACAACCCGTTGGCTGCTAGGTAGGGTAGGTGTTGACCCTGGCTCCTCGCCGAGGAAGTCTTGCCCCTTCATGCTCCCTACTGGTTGATATGTGAGTCGCTGGGGCAAGCCCATTGGAGAAGGACTAGCTTCGCTTCCTTCCCGTGTCGTGGAATTCGGTGCCAGTGACGTTTGTCGGTCTAGAGTCAACACAGAGAGACTCCCTGGAGCTGGAGGGAGAGCTGTACACCCTTCGTGATTGGACACATGTCGCTTGGGTGGGGACCTCGAATACGCCTTGAAGAAATCCGTTATGGTGCGACCTTTGTATTCTACCATAATTCCGAGGTTCGATTGATTAAATCATGTCGAAGCTCAAATATGGGTGATGTCCAGCCTCCTTTCACAAGCAATTCACATCAATTTGAATTCCGCCTGGCTTGGATGGTCCAGGCAAGGTGCAGAGCCATAGGCTCGAGACTAGATGGTAGCAATGGTGGGAAGGTACATGCTCTCAAAAGCAGATTCTCAAAACAGCGTAGAACCATCGAGAGTCGCAACAAACATAGCCGACAGGGGAAAGCGTGTGTTCAGCTTATTACAGCCTGGTGCAGCTGATGGGTAAGCAAAAAAGGTAGAACTAGTCCTGCCCTGCGCCGCTGTAAGCTGTGGCCACTGATCTTACGCCCAATTGATTCACCTCGTAATGCTTTCGCCGATGGGTGACGATGATGACAGGACAGATCGACTCACTATATGTTTGGCAGCCTATCTGTTTTATGAAAGTGACTCCGTCATGAAATTTGAGTTCGTCTAGGTCCTTTATTTTTCTGTCGGCATCTCGCCGGAAAGCCCGAAAATTTGGGCCGCTGAAAATCCGCCCGAGTCCGCCGCCGCTCAAACTGTTTGTCTTCCTTCCTTGTCCCTTTCACGACTATAACTACTTAGCTCTACCGGCGAGGAACCTCCTTTGCGCATTCTCAAAAGCTGCCCAAGCCTCTGCACGATCAGGCCTCTACAATCCTTCCGCTACGGTCCGGGCCTCAATCTTCACCAGCCCCGAATGCAACCTGTCCAGCAACTGTGCTATCATTTGGTATCGCTGCCATATTCCGAAATCATCGACCACATGGTCTTAGTGAATTGTGGCTTTGAAGTACAATAAAGCTTGGGGCTCGAGATCGAAACCAATGTCATATATCAGTCCAGCTGAAAGATCCTCAGCCCAATCGTACTCGGCTTATACAGAGGTATTGGTGCTCAAACGAGGTAGGCCGAGCCGAAAACTGAGTAGGTAGCGAAAGCTTGTAGAGCTTGTGCGCATGGGACCTTGAAGGGAAGACTACACGACTGCCGGCATGGCGATCCAGCCGTATCAGGAAGATTCCAATGTCTCGAATCCAATCAAAAGGATGCGGTGGGCAACGCAGAGAGCCAGTGGAGTTACGGGCCAGCGCAAGCGCCACAGTATCATGAATCGCTTTCATCATAAGCGTTCAGGCTCAGGCGAAAAGCGGTCCCAAGATGCTGGCTCACCCACTCTAGGTGATATACCGGAGGAGGCGGAATTTTCCAGAGATGATAGAGAAGGGCAGGAGACAAGGCGGCGCATTTTCTTCAATATGGCCTTGCCAGACGACGCAAAGGATGCCGAAGGGCACCCAACCCAGAATTTTGGCCGGAATAAGATCAGAACAGCAAAATATACGCCATTGAGTTTCATTCCGAAGAACTTATGGTTTCAATTCCATAATGTTGCGAACATTTATTTCCTGTTCGTCATCATACTAGCGGTGGGTACACATTCAAATTCATTTTAGAGTAGCTTCTGATATCGAGCAGTTCTTTGCTATCTTTGGGGCTTCAAATCCTGGTCTTGGGAGTGTACCTCTCATTGTCATTCTCTTTGTCACAGCGGTCAAGGACGGGATTGAGGATTGGCGAAGGACCGTGTTGGATAACGAATTGAACAACTCACCGGTCCATCTTCTAATTGATTGGAACAACGTCAACAGCTCGGCAGACGATATTTCCTTATGGCGGAGGTCGAAGAAGGCCACAACACGTGGCATCATCTCCAGCTACAAATTTTGGAAAGCCAGGCTTTTTAAAAAGGAGCGCTTGCATAAGTCTTACACGGAACGTGCTCTTGATGAGCCCCGCCTGTCTCAAGAAACCATCAAGACTCGCAATTCAATGATGACGTCTCGTACCTCATTACATGCAGACAATACTACTGCTAGTGACATTCAGATGACGCCAGTGCCCTCACCGCAGCCTCAGCAGACCGGGGCCCCTACTTCTGGAGTCAATAGCGGTGGCGAACGACCTGCAACTGCCTTTTCGTACGAGGAGGAGCGTGCTTCGAATGGTGACCTGCAGAGTTCCAAAAATACCGAAAGCCACGGCGACCCGGCTCCTGCAAAATCTTATGGTAGCTTGATCAACCCTCTGAAGACTATACCTCAGAAAGCAAGGTTTAAGAAAGGCTATTGGAAGAGTGTACAGGTCGGAGACTTCGTGCGTATATATAATGATGATCAGATCCCGGCCGACGTGGTCATATTATCCACGTCCGATCCTGACGGTGCCTGTTACGTGGAAACTAAAAACTTGGACGGTGAGACTAATTTAAAAGTCAGGCAAGCGCTACACAGCGGACGTCGAATCAGACATGCCAAGGATTGTGAACAGACCGAATTTTTCATCGAGAGTGAGCCTCCTCATGCTAACCTTTATCAGTACAGCGGAGTGGCACGTTGGTCTCAACGGAATTTGAAGGAGCCTCAAAGCTCACCGACCTCCATGACAGAACCCATCTCGATCAACAACTTGTTGCTGCGCGGATGCAGTCTGAGGAACACCGAATGGGTTCTCGGCGTAGTCGTCTTTACAGGTCAAGAGACCAAGATCATGCTCAATGCAGGAATCACACCTAGCAAGCGAGCACGCATAGCAAGAGAGCTCAACTGGAACGTCATCTACAATTTCATAATTCTTTTCTTCATGTGTCTGGTATCTGGCATCATCCAAGGTGTTGTATGGTCTCAAGGCAACAATTCCTTGGACTACTTTGAGTTCGGTTCTATAGGAGGATCTCCTGCACTGGACGGCTTTGTTACCTTCTGGGCATCGGTCATTCTTTTCCAGAATTTGGTACCAATTTCGTTATACATTTCTCTTGAAATCATCAGAACTGCTCAAGCCTTCTTCATCTACAGCGACACCTACATGTATTACGATAAGCTCGACTATCCCTGCACGCCCAAATCATGGAATATTTCAGACGATTTGGGGCAAATCGAGTACATATTTTCCGACAAAACTGGCACGCTAACTCAGAATGTCATGGAATTCAAAAAGTGTTCAATCAATGGCGTGCCTTATGGCGAGGCGTATACGGAGGCTCAGGCTGGACTTCAAAGAAGACAGGGCATTGACATCGAAATAGAGGCTGCAAAGGCACATAAGCAGATTGCAGAGGATCGCGTTAAAATGCTCGCAGATCTCCGAAAATTGCACCCAAATCCGTACCTATCTGTTGATGCTCTGACATTCGTAGCGCCGGACTTTGTCAGTGATTTGCAGGGCGCATCTGGAAAAGGGCAGACCGAGGCGAACGAACAATTTATGCTTGCTCTTGCTCTATGTCATACAGTCATCACGGAAAGGACGCCTGGCGACCCTCCCAGAATAGAATTCAAAGCACAGTCGCCCGATGAAGCTGCTCTCGTTGCAACGGCGAGAGATTGCGGCTTTACCGTTATCGGCCGATCAAACGAGGGTATTATACTGAACATTCAAGGCCAGGAGAAGGAGTACACGGTCCTCAACACCTTAGAATTCAATTCATCGAGAAAGCGTATGAGTGCAATCATCCGGATGCCTGACGGCAAAATCTTGCTCTTCTGCAAAGGAGCTGATAGTGTTATATATTCCCGTTTACGGAAAGGCGAGCAACAAGAGCTCAGGAAAAGTACTGCGGAACATCTCGAGATGTTCGCCCGCGAAGGCTTACGTACATTATGCATTGCCCAGAAGGAGATCGACGAGGACACCTATCAGAAATGGAACATCGAGCACGATCTTGCGGCAGCAGCCATCGAGAACCGCGAAGACAAGCTTGAGACGGTATCTGACGCAATCGAGAGGGACCTCATCTTGCTTGGAGGGACTGCAATAGAAGACAGACTGCAGAATGGGGTACCGGATACTATCTCGCTTCTCGGTGACGCTGGTATTAAGCTTTGGGTTCTTACAGGTGACAAGGTTGAGACGGCCATTAATATCGGGTTCTCCTGTAATCTTCTGAGTAATGATATGGATCTTATCGTGCTAAAGGTTGATGACGACAGTATTGAATCAGCAGCAGCAGAGCTCGACAAAAATCTCAAAACCTTCAACATCACTGGTTCTGATGAGGAGTTAGAGGCTGCACGTAAAAACCATGAAGCTCCTGCGCCAACCCATGCAATCATTATTGACGGAGACTCCTTGAAATTAGTGCTAGAAGAAGAGCTTCGCCAAAAGTTCCTTCTGCTCTGCAAGCAATGCAAATCTGTCTTGTGCTGCCGAGTTAGCCCGAGTCAAAAAGCAGCAGTGGTGCAAATGGTCAAGGATGGTCTGGACGTGATGACGCTTTCAATCGGCGATGGGGCTAACGACGTAGCCATGATTCAAGAAGCTGACGTCGGCGTTGGTATTGCTGGAGAAGAGGGAAGGCAAGCAGTAATGTCTTCTGATTATGCTATTGGGCAATTCCGTTTTCTTCAACGCCTCGTTCTGGTCCATGGGCGCTGGTCCTACCGCCGCCTAGCAGAGACTATAGCGAACTTTTTCTACAAGGTCTGTTGGTCAACTTACGTTACTCTTGCACTGGATACTAAAATCTGATAGAACATTGTCTGGACCTTCGCGCTTTTTTGGTACCAAATCTATAACGATTTCGACTGTTCCTATCTCTTCGATTACACCTACATCCTACTAGTCAACTTAGCCTTTACATCGCTACCCGTCATCTTCATGGGCATCCTCGATCAAGATGTCAACGACAAAGTGTCTCTTGCGGTACCTCAGCTTTACAGAAGAGGCATCGAACGCAAAGAATGGTCCCAGCTTAAATTCTGGTCAGTGAATTGGTCACGATTAAAGTAAGAAGGCTAATGTTTACAGGCTCTACATGTTTGATGGCATTTATCAATCTCTAATCTGTTTCTTTATGCCCTATCTCCTCTTCAAAGCAGCTACATTTGTCACAAAGGACGGGCTTGATGTGAACGACAATTATCGGATTGGCGTGTATACCGCCTGCGCCACCATAGTCGTGGTCAACATCTACATCCTGATGAATACCTATCGATGGGATTGGCTAATGCTTCTCCTGGTGGCTATTAGCATCCTCCTGATCTGGTTCTGGACTGGTGTTTACACTGCTTCGTCTTCCTCGGCTCTCTTCTACAAAGCAGCGCCTCAAGTCTATGGACAGCTTTCATTCTGGGCGTTGACACTGTTGACTACAATTATTTGTTTAATGCCGCGCTTCTTCATCAAAGCCTTTCAAAAATTGTATCTACCACTGGATGTGGATATCATAAGGGAGCAAGTTCGTCAGGGAAAGTTCAGCTACTTGAATAAATATGAGGCATACGTCCCTGCTGGAAAGATCGCGTCACTATCGTCATCGGACATGTCCCAGCCCCCGAAGAAACCTCCAGAACGAAAAGCCCACCAAGATGATGAAGAGCGTCCAATCTATCCTCCTTCACTTGCGGCAACGGGTACAACACACAATCCGCGGAGCCAAAATGGCAGCGACGGCACTGACTACACTCGACACTCTCTGGAGAGGCCAGTCAGACCGTCTTTCGACCGGCCCCGGCCTTCCTTCGATCGATTGAGGTCATCAATGGATCAAATTCGGCCAAGTTTCGAGGCAACCAATGATTTCACGTCCGCAGCTCTGCTAACGAGAATGGAGTCTAGTCATTCGGATGTACCTCAGCGCAAGCTGCCCCACGGTTCCTCATCATTGCGATAGCACATATATCCATCAGACTATCCTGATACATGTACATACAAATCTAGCATCCTAGATACGAGGTGTCTTCCGTCTACGTATGGGAACGACTTACTCAACGACTTCTAAGGCGCTGGCGGAGTTGTTGGACCGTCTATGACTATCTAATAGAGCGATGAAAGACGGCGCTGGGTCCTTATTTGCCCCTGTGCCCCAACAAGGTGTTTAGTAGGCTCCATGTGGGCTATGTGGGCAAGCGTACGCCGGGTATATCTTTTATTTAGATTTGCACAGAATTTACCGAGAAATCCAATTTGGCTGGTTCATCGTAGTGCTAAGGGCTGAGCCAGGACCACCGTGCAGCATTGACAGGAGCCTTAAGACAGAATTTTTCTAGCCAGATAGACCTCATTACGCGTATCCATGATCAGAAGTACGCACTGCCCGGCGGGAATTCCAGACTCGTCATTCCATTTGGCATTTCTGAAGAAGTTCTGGAAATCATGTAAGAAGTAAGTCACTTATTGACGTGACTTCACGTGTCAGACATGCCCTCAACACTCAGGACTTGGCATCACATGTTACCTGGCTCGAACAGCATAGGCCCCCTAAGACTTTGCATTCGTTAGATCTTGGTTCTACACAAGACCTTGAGTCGCTCACATACCTTCCAGTTCCTATTTTGACTTCACCATTCTCCCACGCTCGTACTGCGAGATTTTGCCTACGTACTTCTAGGCTCTGCCTTAGCTAACAATAAACATGAACTCGAATGCAATTAGTAAGATTCAGACCAGTCTACCCTTACTCGCCAGTGCAAGATGGCTGAGCTGGTAGCTAAGCTTCAGTAAGTGTTTTAAAACTCTGCAAGGATTCCTCCTTCTGACTCGATATGACTTTTAGGGATCTTCAGGCATTACCTTCCGAGCTTCATTGGTTTTGTGAATCTTGGTCACATGACGATGGGACTACATCACTTGGGTCTCCCATCATCCTTGATAGCGCCCTTGGAAATGATGTGGAGCTTCGCCGTAGCCAGGCAACCGAGTGTTTACTGCTCTATTCGTATGACGACGCACAGCACTTTCAAATTCGGCTAGGGCAAGCGATAGATCTACATTTGGGGAGATGTGACATCTGCATCGAAGAATACTACAAAGCGAAACAAAGACAGCTAGAAAATCTGCGCCACGATTACGAAGAAGATGAAGTACGTTCACTAGAACATGTGTTCAACGATCGAGATTTAGAGAGAATCAGCCGAGGGCTCGACCATGCCACTCGAACATTACAAAGATTAGAGTCTGCTCAACGGCACAAAAACTCGTTAAAGCTGCATTCTCAGCTTGCTCTCTTTGAAGCATTGTGCAATGATGCATTTTTAGCAGACGAAAATGCGCTCAGCTCCTACTTTCAAGAACCTTTCAAATTGGTTCAAACTAATAAGAGATTGAATATTACCCGGTTCACACCTGCAGTCACTGCCTTCTTGTTTGACGCGAATGATGATCGACGCTCCTGGGCGACAGCAACATGGCGCAGGTATCGGCAACCACCTTCGAAAGAGGACTTTGATTATGCTATTAGAGTCCCCTTGTCACGAAACATGCAAAAAGTTCACGGGTCTGTATCTGGAGAAGAGGTCTTTCAAAGGACGTGGTTTGGAATCGGTCTTATCATCGAGAACATGAACAACGAGCTCGTGACACATTCACTTCGAGCTATGGAGATTGACATATTCAAGCTAGCATTGGATCACTTAAAATACGAGTTTTCAAGCTTTCGGTGCCTCGTTGAAACCATCCAGAAAATGCTTGAATTGGCGCCTAAAGACTTCTGGGAAGCTATGGGAGCTATGTCTCCGACCACTTTTGTCGAGCAGATATTCAGCAACAAACAATATGACCGCTTCATAGAGCAGTCGAAGCCCGCTGATGTCGAGAATCCATCTGCCCTCAAGGACATGCTCTCTTGGATCAAACCGTTCATGACGTCTCTCGATCCTGCCCATCAGGCTGGTGTTTCTAGATTCTTGGCTTCTCAGCTCCTGAACCGGTTACAAGCAGACCGCTTTCCGGAGTCTGCGAGGATCGAGTGCTACAGGACCGGACTTGCTACCCTCGCTTGGACCCTTAGTGTCATTCACGGGGAAGGTGAGATCATGAGCTCGACCGGCCGTTTTGCCGCGAAAGACGCATTAGAGGTTGTTGGTGAGCATGTCAGCGAAATTATAAGGATAATCACATTAGCCAACGACAATCGCAAGAAGTCGTCATGCTCCGAGCTCTGTCTACGAATAGTGAAATTTGCACTTGCACTCGAGTGCAAATCTGTCAAATATGATTACGAGTTGCTCACCCAAGCAAAAGCATCAAGTGAAGTGTCTGCTGGCTACGGATCGTATGTTGCTGCACTTTGGGATGCTGTCATTCAGAGCATGGATTTTGGCAACGTGGAACTCGCCAAAGCGGCCTTGGTCGGTATCAATGATCTGAATGGGCTGGAAAGGCTTAGAGCAAGTTCTGAAGAGCCATGTTGGAAGGAAAAGAGCGCCTATAATATCAAATTAACTCGTCTTATCCACTTGGTATGTCAGATACTGGAGCGAATAAACGACTTCAGTCCACGCCATTTAGATGGTCTCTATGGAACGCCAGATTCCGCAAACGCTTTGATCTCTTCTCTCTTATCTACAGATGCCAACCTACATGAAGCTAGTGTCAACCTCGTAAAAACCATCAGTCACGAGACCGCAAGAAGAGAAGCGCTGGGGCACTTGCTCAAGAGTTTCTTTGAGCCGACCGCTAATGCTTTCTCATGGGCTATCTTTCGAATTGCGAAAAGCAGGTCCTATAATTATTGTCCAAGGATGTTGAAAATTGCTTCAGACGTACTCAGTGTACTTTGCGATTCTCAGGATGGGACATTTCGTACGAAAGAGCTGATCGTAGCCACAGAGATCAAAGCAGCCGAAAATCTTTGGCAATCATTCTGGAAAGCGCTCCAAATGATATTCCAGATGACAGAACAGTGGGGGAGAAAAAGGTAGACGACTCTAACGCTCTAAAAGAATTTTGCCGCGACACCATGCAGTTTTGCGAGAATTTATTTGATCAATATGGCATCTTTGCCAACGCCATGAAGTCTCCGCTCTACATCAAGAACGAAGAGCTTTCGGATTTCGTAAGTGGATCTGTCACCGGTGTTGAGCTGTTGAAACCTGCTGCTTCGACTTTACAAGTCATGGTTAAATGGCTTCGACTGCGCGATTCGTTTTTGGTTGAGATTGCGGTCAAATTGACAAAGAAAGTCTTGAATCGCTTGACAGAGCTGAATATGGCCGTAGAAGAAAGCACCTCAAAGGTACTTGAGCACATCATCATTGGCGGCAGTCAAGGTCGGACGCACCTTACGCCTCAGGAGAAAGCCGAACTTGCCCAGTCACTCGAGGCCAACCTGGGGCGTCCAGTAAAACAAATTCTAGACGTAGACTCAGAGACTCTTTCGGATCTTAGTAACGATTCGTATACGGCCCACAAAACTACCAAGAAGACTAAATTAGCATGTCTTGATATCAGTGCTTGGAGAGCAAAGGCAAAATCCTCGACGCTGAGGCCTACAGGTGATGCTGATGAAGTCTTCAAGAACGGAGACTTCGTACACCAAGATGCTATGGATCATGAGCTACTGTCTGTCAGTAGATCGGTGGACACTATGCAAAAAATGATGAAGCAGCAGGCTCATTCATCAACACCGAAAAACGGTTTGCCACAACACGAAAAAAGAAAAGTGGAAGCTGCAAGCCAGTTGAAAGAGCCAGGCAAGCTCGGCAGACCCTTACAAACAGATATTGAGAGAATCCAGTTTCGTGAGAAACGAGAACGAGAGAGAGAAGCAAAAAAGAGGAGAGATGCCGAGAATCTTGCCATGGTCAAGAAGCGAGCCAACGGGCAAGCGCTGGGCGAAGGCTCTGGTCTAAATGGTATTGGAGTCAAGGGCAAGGATCATCGGCCTCAAGGTCCAAGTATGATGTTCTCATCGGGCTCGGAATCTACATCTGAAGATGAATTGGATGCGAAACTTTTTAGCGGAAATGCAAAGCCTTCCAAGACATCTGCTAGAATACTTGATATTCATCCTGGTAAGAGTATAAAAGTATTGAGAGGGCCGGTCAAAAAATCGAGACAAGTTAGATCAGCAAAAGATATGCGAGCCAGACTGGTCCCAGATCTCACAGCCTTGCACAACGAGATTCTGGGCTGGGATTTCTTTCATAATGATGAATACCCCCTGGCCATAATCAGGTACATTATCAGATCGTCGCTAACGAATTTCGAAATCCTCAAGAGTACAGAGAGACATTTGCTCCCTTGTTGCTTCTTGAAGCGTGGCGAAGTTTTTGTCAATCCAGGGAAGAGGGAAATTTTAGGGTTTTTGAAGTAAAGGTCGCGAACAGAATGAATGTTGATGCATTCTTAGAAATCAGCGCTACCATTGCCACTAATGATGCCAGGGAAGCTGGGATCGGCGAAGCAGACATCGTGCTGTTGTCAAAGAGCGAGTCTCCAGCCAGAAACGCCAATCAGCCGCATTGCTTTGCTCGGGTATGGAAGATCAATAGGAAGAAGAACACTGTTGAGATTACCTGTCGTGCCAACGTCAATAACAATCTCGTACCTTTCACCATCCCTAATACGACATTTCACTGCGTGAGGATCTTATCGATTACGCCACTAGAAAGGGAGTTCGGGGCGCTCCATGGCCTTCAATATTTCGATTTATGCGAAGAGATCATCAAAGCAAGACCCTCACCTTTGCTTGATTATTCTGAAAAGCAGCTTATTCTTCTTAAAGAGTTGTATACAATCAACAGTGCCCAGGCCAAGGCTGTCAAGTCTGCAATTGATAATGATGCCTTTACATTGATCCAAGGACCGCCTGGATCTGGTAAAACCAAGACCATTGTGGCCATCGTTGGGTCTTTGTTGACAGGGCAATTTGACAGTCAGGGGCACGCAATCTCTCGTCCTCACGGGGAGACTCACGGACCACGCATTGCAGCGTTCGCCGCGAAGAAGCTCCTCGTTTGTGCTCCTAGCAACGCTGCAGTCGATGAACTAGTGATGAGATTCAAGCAAGGCGTCAAGACTGCCGATGGTCGACACCAGACTCTTTCCGTGGTCAGACTAGGGCGTAGCGAAGCAATAAATTCGAATGTCAAAGATGTGACGCTTGAGGAGTTGGTCAATGCGAAGATCAACGTCGCCAGCAAAACCAATTCGGCAGGAAAAGATGGAATGGGTAGTCTGATAGAGGCACATAAAGCTACTTGTGATGATTTTAACCGTCTTCGAAACCTTGTCGATGAGTGGAAAGCTGTTGGTAAGCCCGTCAATCCAGAGCAAAACCGGGACATGGAGCTTTTGAAAAGGAAGAAGCAGCAAATCAGTAATCAAATCGATCAAGCGCGAGATCAGGGCAACATTGCCGCTAGGGACGCCGAAATCAGCAGACGACAAATTCAGCAAGAAATTCTTAACAACGCTCATGTCATCTGTGCTACACTCAGCGGAAGTGGCCATGAGATGTTCCATGGTCTAAATGTGGAATTCGAGACAGTTGTTATTGATGAAGCTGCCCAGTCCATCGAGCTTAGTGCACTGATTCCGCTCAAATATGGCTGTTCCAAGTGCATCCTCGTTGGTGATCCAAAACAATTGCCACCGACGGTGCTTTCCCGCGAGGCTGCCAAGTTTCAATTTGAACAGAGCCTGTTCGTACGCATGCAGGCAAATCATCCACATTGTGTCCATTTATTGGACACGCAGTATCGGATGCACCCTGAGATAAGTGTGTTCCCAAGCAATGCCTTTTATGATGGACGCTTGGTGGATGGGCCAAGCATGGCGGAAGAGCGCATCCGACCGTGGCACCAGAGCAGCATTCTAAGCCCTTACCGCTTCTTCGACGTCAAGGGTTTCCATCAAACTGCACCTAAAGGTCATTCTTTGATAAATCATGCAGAGATTGATGTCGCTCTCAGACTCTACGACCGTCTCATCAATGACTGCAAGCAGTATGATTTCCATGGTAATGTTGCAATAATCACACCGTACAAGAGCCAGCTGCGAGAATTGCGATCTCGATTTAGTAGACAGTATGGCGATACAATCTTGACCTCCATTGAGTTCAACACTACAGATGCATTTCAAGGTAGAGAAAGTGAGGTTGTGATCTTTTCATGTGTCCGAGCTTCCAACGGAAGTGGAATAGGCTTCTTATCAGATATTCGGAGAATGAACGTCGGTATCACTCGGGCCAAGGCATCGTTATGGGTGCTTGGTAACTCGCATTCCTTGATGCAGGGGGAGTTCTGGCGCCATATGATTGAAGACGCGAAGCGACGCAACCTATACTCTCAGGGTGATTTAGTATCGCAATTGCAAAAACCTTTACTTGTTGCTCCAGCTCAACGCTCTTCTCGAGAAGTCTTGCCACAAGGTGGAGGTCAAGACATAGATACGTCTAATGCTCCACCAACATCGGAGCCTCCAGCCATTAGCATTGATATCCTTGAGAGACCAAACAATAGCCCCGGAGATCACGATCTCAACAATGCCAGTCCAGAAAAGAAAACCCCTCTGGCGGGGGCAATGGCCTCAACGACAATCTGAAGTGTAAAGCTTGTGGTGGCTTCGACCACACAACGCCTCAGTGTGACAACACTGACGCTGTGAAGATTGCACAAGGCTGTTGTCATCGGTGCGGCAACATAGGTCATCTGAAGCGAGATTGCACCGCAGAGCGTTGCATGTCATGCGGTGGGATTGGTCACATTCAAGGACAATGTAAAAGCACAAGAAGATTATCAAAAGCAGATCAACGCAGCCTTGAAAGACAAGAAGTTAATCATAGAACTATCAGAAATACGCTACCTGAAGCGCAGCGTAAGCGGCAACTAGGTGATCATGATATTAAGGTACCAGCGGTAGTAACGACTACTGATAACCGTTCAACGCGTAAGTCACATAAACGGAAAAGGGCAATATCGCCTGCATCACATCTCCAAGTAACTTCTGAGCATGTGAATTTTAACACAATAGACAATCCTCCAACGAGGGTCAGCGATGAAAGAATTTCTTGGAAGGTCTCTAACCAAACCCCGATGGCAGCGTTAGTCCCAACAACAAATTCTGACAGCACAACGATAAGGCACCCTGCTACAACACCGGCTCCCCAAGGTTCTCGCTTGCCCAACAATGATATCAGATCAAAGCCCTCGGATATAAGCAATGGATCCTCCAGTAATATCATCCAATTAGGCGAGAGTAATCCTAGCAAGAAATTCCCACCGCAGCCCTCGTTCGCAACGCCACACATGGTGAGACCTCCAAAGAGAAAGAAGGAAGCTAGCCTGTTCATTAAAGCTAAGAACAAGCGTTGATTATTTCTACTTTCGAAAGTTTAAGATCGTACGACTATGTTTTTCGACTTGCATTTGGAGCGTTGTCGCACCCGCATTTTCCCGGTCGAATAGTTCTATGTGGTACCCTAAATACTGATGAAGATTACATGTTATATCACAAGTAATCACTTCTCGGAACCAACATCATATCATGTGGCATCACGAAATATCCAGACCACCTCTTGTGTGCCCGCTCCGCTTGCTTTTTTAAATGGCTATCAACCCCTCATTACTCTTCATTTTCTCTTCGTTACCTAACAAGGCTTGCGTTGATCTTTGCTCATTTCTTATTCTGTTCTAGAATAGTTTGAAGCGGTCTTTCCTTCCCTGGCAGTAGCCATATCCAGTCAGTGTCCAATGATGATTTGGTGAATCACGGAAGAGAGTGTCTATTGACTTCTGCCACAACCATTCCAGATTTAAGTCATGTTCAATAACTTCCCTGTATGGAGCCACGTGCTAGATGGTCAGCTTCGAGTAAGGTAGCCAAATCAAAAGTCCATAGAAGAGATCCTCATCTACTATGATGATGCTTGCAGGAGATTTAGGACCATTTGCTGTCTTCAAGCAGCATGTGATGGGAAGATTTCTGGTACTTTCAAGAACCGGCTGAATTCGAGCTGCCAGGCAAAGTGTAGGCCACAAATTGTTGGACCGCTGGTACTTCAAGCCAAGCAGCTACTAGATTGAAAGAGGTGTTGCAATCAATGGAGGGTTGGTCCTCCTAATGAACCATAAGTAGTTCCAACGGCTTCATTTTTGGAGGGTTGGTCTACTTCAAGGGTCGAACCGACTGCTAGTGGTCCAAATAAACCTTTGACCCAATGTCGGTCTTGGGCCAGTGATAATTCATTCTGCCTACGTTGGTCAGGTATTTGAAGAGGATAATAGGCGCAAAGGCAGTCTTATAAAAAGAGTCTAAGACTATCACGGTGGTATTTCTTTTCCTTGCCAATCCCAACATCTACCTCTACCGTTTAATCCCTTTGATCGAACAACCTCACATATCCTCTCCGCCGCGAACTCGGGGCTGAACAGCTTCTCCTTTGGCATGCTTTTCCAGAAGTCTTTACTTAGATCTGTCATTACAGACCCGGGATGTAGTGCGACACAGGTTGCTTGATCACCACATCGTTGCTTCAGAAAAATATCAACACTTTTGGTAATCGAATTCAAGGCCGCTTTACTTGCTCGGTAAGAATACCAGCCCCCAAGGGCGTTATCTGTAATGCTCCCAACACGAGCGGACATAAAAGCTAGGACTGCAGAGTTTGGCAAAGTGTCGATAGCTTCAACTTTCGCAGATTTACGTGGTAAGAGTGGCAAAAAATGTTTGGCAAGGAGTAAAGGCCCCATGGTATTAATCCGAAAGCTTGTGATTGCATCCTCTAACTGAACCTGCATCGGAGACTTTTCTGGGTACAGTACACCAGGAATGCAGAATGCAAGACGAAGATAAGAGTCCGAGAAACGGGATTTACAAACATTGGCTACGTGAGATATGGTGCCCTCATCCATCACGTCAAGTGGTAGGACATCTAGCCGGTCGTCATCGACATTCAACCCTTCTAAAATGCGTGCTCTGGCGCTGGAGATATCGGTTCTGGCAGTTGCAACCACAGGAAAATATGTGGTCTTCAGTAGGCGTCGAGCCAAATGTAGCCCAATTCCTCGAGAGGCAGGTGTTACTAATATCCATGGCCTCATCATATTAGACTTGGTCAGTCCGAAACACTGACACAAATCCGTTGTGAAAGATGTGGCTTAGGTTCGTTAGAGATCACCCCTGAGAGGTCTTGGCGAATCTTCAAAAAGTAGTCTAAACTTCATTCTAAGGTTTTTCCGAGTGCTTAGTGACCTCTTATACGCTACTATGATTACGTCTGCGCTCCTTGGAGAGACTAACCCCTCTAGAAGAGAAAAACGTCCTAGCATTTTGCATTGATTTGATCATTGCCTAGTGTAGTCAGTCGCTGAGAGGCTTAGTAAAACTGACATTGCACAATGCCCTCCGTACTTTCGGATGCTGACAAGGAGACTGTCAAGAGGACTGTTCCAAAAGCAGCCAACAAGATCCAAGCTGTGGCTGTCGCCCGCTTGTACGTTGCCTACCCTGACAGGCAAAGATGGGCTTATACGGGCTTACAAGGCGCTACGGTGCTCGCCAATGACCTCGTCGGAAATACGTATTGGGTAAAGATGGTAGACATCTCGGTATGTCCTTTACCTGAGATGGAGAGTGTCGAGTCTGGAGCTGATTGAATGACGAGGGCTCCAATCGTGGGGTGATATGGGATCAAGAGATATACGATCCATTCTACTACAACCAAGATAGAACGTTCTTCTTCTCCTTTGAGCTCGAGGAATGTCTCGCCGGTCTTTCATTTGTCAACGAGAAAGAGGCAAAGACCTTCAAAAAGAAGATGGACGATCGAGAGAAGAATGCAAGTAAGGAGACAAGGGCCACTCCGTTCCAGGGTGCTGGGCAAGTAGGTGGTACTGCCACAAATAACAAAACTCATGGTCGTTTTGGACTTGGGAGTCTGTTACACGGCAGTCAACGCCATTCTTCAGCTCCGCAAGTTACATTATCTCAACAACCTTCATCGATCATACCCCGAGAGCCTGCCGTGCAACTTCCAAAGAGCCCAACGAGAGATAGAGCGTCATCTCTTGATGATGTCGATCCCTCATGGCGAGGCATTTTAGGGGAGCTTTTGGAAATGGGCGTCACTGAAGATCAAATTGCACAGAACCAGGATTTCATCAAGAGCTACATCGAGCAGAGCAAAACAAACGGTGATCAGAACAGTGCAAACATTACTCCTTCATCCAATGGTTTCGGTAACGACCGCCGTGCAAACCCTCCTCCGCCGCCACCCCTGGTCCCATCAAATGGGCGATTCAATTCCATCAGCCCACAAACCACAGGCAATAGCTTGTCGAAAAGAGGTCCAGCTCCTGCACCTCCTCAACCACGTAGAAGTCGTCAGGAGAACCAGTCGATTTCATTAACCCGACCCAGGTCTCCTTCTTCGCTTGAGGAGCGAACCCCTTCTCCACCACGGCAGCAGTACCAATTCAGAGCGCCACCTCCAATTGCAGATGCAGGCAAGTTTGCCCAGGTTCCCCCGCCAGCAACACCCGCACGACCTAGGAACGTTTCAAATGTTGCCAATCCTGGCCCTCCACCGCCGCCTCGACCTCCGAAAACACCAATCGAAGATGGAGACGAGGCTAGACCTAAGTTTGGGGTGCCTCCTGCGTTCCTCGGTGAGAGAAGCGCCTCAGCAAAACCTCCACCTCCTCCAAGTCGAGCACCGTTGGCTTCCACATCCGCACACTCAAAAGAAATTAGTCACGGCCACGCTGTTCCACCGGCTGCTGCAGCTCCTCCATTACCTCCGAAACAAACATCCGCTCCAGCTCCCTCTGCAGGTCCACCACCACCGCCGCCAGCGAGACCAAATGCCGCCCCACCACCTCCTCCCCTACCTTCGGCACCACGACCTCTCAACACTCAGCCACCATCATCCATGTCTGGAGTGCCTCCCTCTCCGCCTTCAATACCATCGAACAGCGCACCTCCGCTGCCTCCATTGCCAGCTGCTGGGCCACCGCCACCGCCGCTGCCACCAGGTGGACCCGGCGCGGCTGTACCACCCCTACTCAAGCCTTCCGGGGGCAGGACGATGTTCTAGCATCGATACGTGCTAGTGGAGGCATCGGAGGAGCCGCGCTAAAAAAGTCAATGACAGCGAGAAACGAGACAGAAGCGCCGCAGCGGTCCCGGGCGCAGAAGCAAGTGTCCCCAGTGGTGGCGCTCAGGTACCTTCCTCTGGCGGGGCTGGTTTGCAAAATGCGCTCGCAGTGGCGCTGAGCAAAAGGAATAAGAAAGTCAGTGCAAGTGGTACGTATCTTTTACAAATTTAACTACTGAAGTACTCGTCTAACCTACGTGCTGTCTAGATGACGAAGACGATGATGAAGATGAATGGGACGATGACCCAAAGCGCAAGTAAAGCCACATCGAATTGGAGAGGCGATTCCCCTTCAGCTATGTAATATATGACTGAGCGATGGCGCCTGGCGTTGTGGAAGCAATAGGGACGAGGGTTGGGTAATCGGAAGGTGGCCACGCCAAATCTAGCTAGGCGCCAGTTTTTAGGGGACTGGTCCCCGGGGAGAGCCCTATAAGGCTGGCCTCTTAGGTAGACCATGCCCCAATCTTCTCCCTATAAATTTAGCGTGGCCACCTTCCGATTACCCAACCCTCGGGAGGAGTTTTGCACCTTATCTTATCTGTAAGAACTGACGCCAAGACGACTTAATCTTAGCTCCAAACCTTAGAATCCTATCGACGCCGCGAGTCTTGGCTCGAATCGAGCTTCAATGGAAATGTTTCTGGTGCATGAGTCCAAACTTGCCTGACTTGCGTTGTACCCACCTGAAATGCGATTGGCTACAGTGCCGGCCGCCCCTCCATCCATACCATTACTGCGATATCTCACGCAACAGGCTGGCGAAGATTGGTTCTTTACATCTAGTCCTACTGCTCGCCTCTGTCCCAAATCCCCCAACCGAGCACCGGCAGTACATGGTAAGCGGAAGCTCCTGGCTGCCGCCAGATATAGAAACACCAGCTGCTCTCGCCATGTAGACATCATCCACTCTTCTGTTGGGCCTGAAAATGATTACACTGCCCAACTCGCCACTTGCCAGAGCAGGATACTCGGAAGCTTTACAACGGTGAGGCCTCGCTCCATCATAGCAAATCGCATATATATATCGCGTCAAGCATCGAACGCCTCTAAGCACCTGCTCAAGCGGCTATGGAAAAGAAGTGGCGGAAGCGATGATGATGGAGACATCACGGCCCACGGGCTTCCGCCTCTCCCAAGTTTCCTCGATGATGCCGCTGGTACTAGCCTAGGTAGAAGTAAGGCGGGCAAAGCGAGCAGCGAGTTGAAGCTTCGATGTACAGAAATAGATGAGAGCGGGAACGTTACTACTGTGAATGGTGAATTCAAGAAAAGTGAACTGATCGCTAAGGTGTGTGGGACTGCCGGAGCCGCTTCAGACCTCGCAGGAAACTGATGAGGCAAATAGTATGGACTGCTACCTCGCGACTTACGAAAAATTGATTCGTCTCTCCTTCCTCACATGTTGGTCCGCCCATCGGCGATACTCATCAATCTTTTGCATCTTCGCGTTTTGATCAAGCACAATCGTGTCCTTGTTCTTGATGCCTATGGATCTACAGACTCGTTCACGCAATCTCAATTTATGTATGACCTCTCGGGTAAATTAAGTCAGAAAGAAACTCGACAAGCCGCAGGGCTGCCGTATGAATTCCGGGCTTTGGAAGCCGTCCTCGTCAGTGTCACAACTGGGTTAGAGGCAGAATTTGAGGGTGTCTCGGAACCTGTCGTAAGAGTTTTAAGGGAGCTCGAGGAAGATATTGATAGAGACAAGCTTCGACACCTGCTGGTCTTTTCAAAAAAGCTAGGCACGTTCGAACAAAAGGCTCGACTTGTACGAGACGCCATCGATGATTTGTTAGAGGCTGACGATGATCTGGTGACTATGTACTTGACTGAGCGTTCGCAAGGCAAGATCCGAGAGGAGCATGATCATACCGAAGTTGAGATGTTGTTGGAGTCGTATCACAAGTTGTGCGACGAGGTCGTTCAAGTCAGTGGGAACTTAGTCAATAGTATTCGCAACACCGAAGAAATGTGCGTTGGACTCCCTCTTTTTCGAACCCGCCCGTTTGTTATATTGCTAATGGTTCGATGCTCCCTTATAGAGTCAAAGCGATTCTAGACGCCAATCGCAATTCCCTCATGCTACTGGACCTCAAATTCTCGATTGGTACTCTAGGGATCGGATCGGGGGCATTCGTTGCATCACTTTATGGCATGAATCTCAAGAACTTCATAGAAGAGTCTGATCTTGGTTTTGTCGGAGTCACAGGCTGGTCGCTTGTCTTTGCAATTGCGGTTTGCGCCTACGGATTGAAAAAGCTGAGGAAGGTGCAGAGAGTTAGTATGTGGGGAGAACGGGGTAGAGGTGAGAAAGGCAGCTGGAGGGACGTTAGCGGTCCTGTCAGATCAAGGATGGAGACAGAGGCGAGGAAGGAGAAAATGGAAAGGCTCAAGACAGGGTACAATGTTGGGTATGAGGACAAGCCTACAGAGAGCCTATTACCGCCGCTCAAGGAGTGAGAGCTGAATGGTCCAGCTCTGATGAATGCACAGCATTGGCGTTTTTGGATTGCATTGCTGGCGCATGATGAATAGATACCCATCTTCATACAATCTAGGTGACAATACCCCACTCAAAAGATGTGAACAGTTAGTAGCCTGGAACAAGATACTGCTCATTCTGTTTGAACATGCAGCTCGGCCTGGAAAAGGTGTCTGAGTGTTTCCATTCTATGCTTGCATTGGTAAAAATGCCACCCCCCGGTACCGGTCAATGAGATCTCACTGATCCTGTATCTGCCGTATGATTGCAATCGGTAATCCTCATCCGCACCTCTTTCCGTAAGATAGGAGCAACAAAGCCTCTAGAAATGCGCATGCGTTCAAGAGCGGGAGCATCGTCTTACGATTTCATTTGCCAAAGCTTGGATCTGACACTGCACAGCCTCCCGCTCAATTTGGCAAAACCTCTCGAGAAGCAAGACTTGAACAAAGCCTTTAATTTCGCTTTGCCTTGAGACAGGTCGTTGCGGTTTCTGCGACGCCGAAGTCTCTACCGATAGTAGTCGCTGTTCAAGAACCTGAGAGGGTTTTCCTTCCGCATTAAAACCCCGCCTCCCTAACTCCTTGACCAACAACTGTTTGACGCGTCGCCTGGCATTATTCCTTACGACTTTCTTGTACTGCAAACCCATCGTATTTCCACTCACACTAAGGTGAAGACGGTCTGCATATCTTGACGAAGGACTACCGAGCATTTTCGCTCGGAACCGTTCCATGCGAGGCCGAAGTACGTGCGTAGGATCGGCCAAAATGTGACGCACGGTATGAGGAAGCTGAGGGCCGGGCGAGATCAACAAGGCAACACATTTCAGTGGCCGAGCCTTCATAGATCTGGAAATTGGATATGCTCAGAGCATGAAAAGCGTCCGTTGCGGAAGCGATGTCCCTTAGTGACAATGATCTTACCAAGAACGGTCGTCAGGCTATAGAAAAGAAAACAAGTGGATGATGAGTCAGCGTGGCTGTAGGCGGTCTTGGCGCCCCGCCAAAGCGACCTTTGCCCCACTGGTTGCAAGAATTCTTGGATTTGAAGCAACTAGACATTCCAGACCGAAGCCGCAAGCCTTTTTAAAGTCTGTTTGAAGCTCACTGAGTCAATATGCCGAAGAATAAAGGAAAAGTAATACACGAGCAACCTCCATTTGCTGTGCTTTCGTTCTGACCGTAACTCATTAGGGCGGTAAAAACCGACGTCGTGGAAAGAATGAAAATGACAACGAAAAACGAGAGCTGACGTTCAAAGAGGACGGGCAAGGTAATATCAGACAAAGTCAACAAAGAATGTAAATGAGTTCATCTTACCTCACAGAGTACGCACAAGTCGTAAAAATGTTAGGCAACGGTCGGCTAGAAGCTCTCTGCTTCGACGGAGAAAAGCGTCTTGCGCACATCCGTGGAAAATTACGGAAGAAGGTCTGGTCAGTATACACCAGAACTGGTCACGATCTTACGCTATTTCACGTTGAACTGATCCAAAGCTCTGTAGGATAAACCAAGGCGATATCATACTGCTCTCTCTCCGGGACTATCAAGACGAAAAGGGAGACGTTATACTAAAGTATTCGGCGGACGAGGCAAGAAGTCTGAAAGCGTACGGAGAATTACCGGAAAATGCCAAGATCAACGAGACTGATACGTATGTTACACGGCTGCTTTCTTCAGTGTCCGGCGAGTATTAACATTGTGTTGCAGGTATGGTCATGAAGGGGTAGACGACAACGTGGAATTCGACGAGGACCGAGGCAACAGTAGTGATGACAAGGAGCTTGATGTGGACGAGATCTGACGGAACAATGCCTTGCAAGCGTAACAGCGCGCATCGCGATATGCATTGGCGTACAAAGAGCGTAGGGTCGGCGGGAGACCGAGTGTCAGGGGGCGATCTGCGTGCCTGTCGTATGCACTAGCATCGTGGGAAAGCGGCTTCAAGTCTGCAGGCGGATTCAAATGGATTCACGACCGGGTCGAAGGGAAGCCATGCACAAAGCACTAGAGCGTGAACAGATCAATGAATGAATGAACAAATGAATAGAATTGTATGTTTACGTACATGCACCTGGCATTTATGTGCGAGTCTGGAGGGGTCTAGCTCGAACGTATAATTTAGGTAATTCTCTAAAAACACCGTATTGCTTTTTCCAACCCCGCCTGATCTGCTCGTTAGACATCACCAATGCCCTCCGCAAGCACATCGACTCCGGTCAAATTGTCACTACCACTGGTGAGGACGCATGTTCCCAAGACGCATCGCATACAAAAACACTAAGATTCCGCCAGGAGTACCAGCAAGATTTGTATGCGGAGCTTGACGATGAGGATGAACTTATCATCCTTGCACGTGGACTGGGTCTTCTTCGAATCGTCACGAATGTTTTACACTCCTATGACGCAGCAGGAAACAACCTTGTCGTTATTGTTGGCGCCGATGAGAGGGAGAATGGGTGGATTGGAGAGGCTCTCGCTGAACATGCCGCCGTGAGCGGCAGCCCAGCTGCGAGAGGCCTAAATCTGGTAAATACGGACATGGTAAGCGTAGGCACACGGTGGGTGTGAGGACAGAATTGATTTCAGCACACAATACTTACGGCTGGATAGTGAGAAGATGTATGTACAAGGAGGTGTTTTTAGCATTACGTCCAGGATTCTAGTTGTCGATCTACTCTCGAGTATGTGATCAGCGAAAGGGGATGGGTATCACGAAGCTGACTTCACAGAGCTCCTGAACCCGGAAGCTGTGACCGGACTGATCGTCTTGCACTCTGAAAGGTAACTCCTTACGTCTCCATGGTTATTAGACTAGGAAATTCACATCACGCAGGATAGTGGCTACATCCGTCGAAGCCTTCATTGTGCGCATCTATCGGCAAGGGAACAAAGTTGGCTTCCTCAAGGCCTTCTCAGACAGCCCGGAGCCATTCATTGGAGGATTTGCCCCATTGTCGAGCATGATGCGCAACCTTTTCATTCGAAAGACATCCCTATGGCCACGCTTCCACGTCACTGTGGCTAAGTCGTTGGAGGGGCGTAAGAAAGCCGAAGTCATTGAACTCGACGTCCCAATGACTGATACCATGCGAGACATCCAGAACGCGATCTTGGAGTGTGTCGAGGTAAGTATTGGTGAACTCAGGAAGACAGGTACGGGCCTGGAATTGGACGACTGGACGCTTGATAGTGCACTTCATAAGAATTTTGATGTCATTGTCAGAAGACAGTTGGATCCTATATGGCATCGCGTCAGCTACAGAATCAGGCAGATTGTCAATGACCTCACCGTTCTCCGAAGCATCTTGCAGTACGTAGAAAACTCGCTGTAAGGTTCAAAGATTTTGACCCTCCATAGTGCACTCCTCACCTACGACTGTGTTTCTTTCAACAAATACCTGGACACTATTCTCGCAGCGCATCAGCCTCCTCCAGGCTCGAACCGTCAAAATCAATCACCTTGGCTTTTTCTAGATGCAGCAAATACTATTTTTGAGACCGCTAAGCGTAGAGTCTATGCTGGGAGGCCGACGGAAGGCGACACTTCGGGTCTGTCTAGCAACCTGCCAGGTTCCCTCCATCCTGTGCTTGAGGAGCAGCCAAAGTGGGCGTTACTAGCTGAGGTTCTCGACGAAATAGAACGAGATGCTTACTTCAACCCAAGTCTTCGTGATGACTCAAATAATATAGTTCTAATCATGTGCTCAGATCAGGGAACGTGCCGTCAGCTGCGTGAATACATTCAAAACATGCATATCCATCTCAGACCGGACGGAGAAAGTACCGCAGGAGAAGACGAAGACTATTTCAAACCTTCTGCAGACTTCACGATGAGGAGAAAGCTGCGCAAATACTTGGACTGGAAAAGAGACTTCGCCAAAATTAGTGCCTCGCTTTTCGCTGAAAATCAAAAGGCCTTAGAAGGTTTCACTTCCGTGAGTGATCAACGAGGCTCAAAAGGCTATCGGGGCAAGGGTCCCCCAAACAAGAGACGCCGCGTTCGAGGGGGAGCTGCTACGGCTGCTGGTGGAGGAAGACCACTTTCTAGTGCGATGCAGGTTGCTGAGGAAAAGGGATCCCATGTTGCTACGTTGATGGCGGAAATACAACCAGATGAAGCAGATCGAGAATTGAAAGATGAGACTGTGATCGATGACCTTGACGATTTGGAAGACTTTTACGAACTCTATGATATGAGCGAACTTGTTGTGATTCACCCATATGATGGAGACATGGACGAACACTTGCTTGACGAAGTGAGGCCAAGATACGTCATTATGTATGAGCCTGATGGGGCGTTCATTCGGCGCGTTGAAGTTTATCGGAGCTCGCACAACGATCGAAACGTGCGGGTGTACTTTCTCTATTATGGAGGCTCAGTCGAAGAGCAACGGTACTTGAGCGCAGTCAGGAGGGAGAAAGACGCCTTCACAAGGCTGATTAAAGAGAAAGGGGCAAGTATCTGCCGTTCAGAGCTGCAAACCAACGCTAACAAGGTCTTTAGAACATGGCAATCACAATTACCCATGATCCGACAGCTGATGATCCTCAAGAGGCTTTTCTGCGCACGGTGAATACCCGTATTGCTGGGGGCGGCCGAATTGCAGCTACTGCTGAGCCACCACGCATTGTGGTAGACGTCCGCGAGTTTCGCTCGTCACTGCCCTCTTTATTGCATGGGCGTTCCAACATCGTTGTACCTTGTATGCTCACTGTGGCGGACTACGTCTTGACTCCCAGCATCTGCATTGAGCGAAAGTCCGTCCGCGACCTCATCTCCTCCTTCAAAAGCGGCCGCCTATTCAACCAAGCGGAGACAATGCTCCAGCATTACAAATTTCCAATGCTTCTGATCGAATTCGACCAGAACAAGTCGTTCACGTTTGACACATTTGGCACCGACCATACGACGGCCTCGCTTAAGGCCGACAATCCATCCGACTTGCAATCCAAGATCACGCTGCTCACATTAGCCTTCCCACGACTAAAGATCATTTGGTCCAGCAGCCCATATCAGACAGCTGAGATCTTTGAGGAACTGAAGAAGCAGCAAGAGGAGCCTGATCCGATCAAAGCCGTCCAGATTGGCCTTGTTGCAGGTGAAGATCCTAGTGACCAGAGCTTCAATCAGACACCGCAGGACATGATGCGCGCCATTCCTGGCGTCACGGAGAAGAACCTCAGCAGAATCACTCTAGAAGTGCAGAGTCTCCAGGAAGTCAGCAACCTGACGGAAGATGAGCTGGATTTGATCGTTGGCAAAGAAGCAGGCAGGCAAATCCATCGATTCTTGAATCGAAGCGTATTAGATGACTGATGGACAATCTATACTTTTCGGCAACCTCGTGAACCGACTGGTTAGGGAAGTCGGTGTCCTACTGCGCTCTTTGGTCGGCTGCTGGAACCCCGCAAGGAGGCCCCACCAAGGCCCAGGCTCCAATTCTTCTGATGTATGACGTATCCTTCACCCTCAGCAACCGAAAACATCAGAAGCAACAGCATCCTCGACCTTCACTCCTCCACGGAATCCTATCACATCCTATCACACTCTATTGCGTAGTCCAGTACCTTATCAGCTTACAAGGCTTCGCCGATAATCATGCCTGTCCACCCCTCGGAAGAAGATGCACCCTCTGGGCTCACTGAGAAAGTGGCCAAAGATCCCTCCTCTGCTACTAATTCGACGGCCTCCGAGCATCCAGGCCATTCAAACGAACACAGCCCAGGCGGAGCCACGGCTCAGGACTTTATGAGCAAGGGTCCGCAAATTCCGAAAAATATGCAAGGTAAGCCTCAGCTTTTTGGACACCTTTCCGTGAAAATCACTGATCAGTGAACCTTACAGATCTGCCGCCCAAGGCTAGCCGGGAGGAGACGGAGCAGAAGTTGAAGGAATTGAATCAGTAGGAATCAGGTGACGACCAAAGCTATGATGGGATATGAGTAATGTTCTGCAAGATTCTCTTGATGCACACATCATGTGCGGTTGCGACGCCACCGCAATCAAGATCTGTGCTTTGAGTAGTTCAAATACTTGTTACTGCCGCCATTCTGCCCTCGGAAAGAAATACATTTACTTCCTTGCTTCGAAATGCTCCGTCAACAGAGGTGACGTTCACGTTTTGCTTGATTTCTTCCCCAATTTTCCTGGGATGATGGCAAAGATAGCGCTTACCCGGTCGTTACCTTTTTACAGAGACACCATCCCATGTCTCATTGCTGTTCTTTCAATTTCTACCCGAGCAGGCGCGCATACACTGCACCAGCTCCTTTGCCTCCACCTGAGCAAAAACCCCACCCTCATCGTCCACCCCAATTGCAAGAATGACTTCATCATCAAGATAACCCATGTGCATATCCTCACTCCGATCCCCATGACTCGCCTTTCTTGGTTTCCTTCCCCACGCATATGAAATGCTTACCGTGTAGGTGAAGCTGGCCCAATGACCTTTCCCACCATACGGCTCACTAGCATTCTTTGGAATTCGCGCCTTGGTCGCCGCCACAATCTTTGCGTTCTCTGGATCGTCGTCCCAACTCTCAGATGGTGTCCAACCTAACGCCGACTCATTCCGCATCAGGATAGGATGCTGTGATATGCCGATCATATGGAAAGGTGGGGTGGATGACCAAGCGATGAAGAACCGTTCGTACCGCATTGGAAGTTTCAGCGCGTTCGATACTTTGCGGTGGACGAGTGCGAAGAATATCGAATTCTCTGGTGTGTCCTTGCATTTTTGGTCGGACCGATTGCAGAGGACCAAGCGGAGGGCGTTAGTTGCTTGATGCCATTTCATGAGCTTCCGCTTGTCGTGTTCTACTTCGCGCTTAGGCTTGTTGGTGCTATTGTAAGAGGCATGCTGCTTCGCAATCTCCTCCTCGAAGGCGTTGTGCAAGCAAGGACTTTCCAGTGGGTCCGTCAAATTCGGAGTGGTCAGGCCGTTCCCGAGCATTTTGGCGAGAGTACGACCGCGTGTGCTGTCGGATGTGGCGGGAAGATCGTAGTGGATGAAGGCTTCACCGCTGGGTAAGAAAAACAGCATCCAATTCTTCTCGATTGGAGAGCGGGACTTGCGGGGGTTTCGTGTGAGTTCAGTCATGGACGGATAGGACTTCAAAGGCCCCAGTGACGGTTGATCAGGAGCAGATGACAGTAGGGCGTCCAAGGGACTGTAGGTGCTACGAAGGTCAATCACCCAAAGCCCGAAGCACGCATAACGAGACCTATTACATAGTCAATTTGGCGAGAAATCGGCTTAGGCTGGGCGGTGACACACTGAGTATTCATCATCATGAGAGGCTCACCTTTTCCACTCCAAAATATCCTGGGATCGTGGAAACCTGGGATATCGGCGTATGCGGTGAACTTTCCGTCGCACCGCTCGGCCGGTGTGGGTGGCACGCTGATGGAGACTGGACTGTGAACGCATCTTAAACCTCCAGACGGTCCAAGCTGCCTCAAGTCATCAGTATTGCATTCTTTCTCTCCCGTTCTGGCATTCTCCAATCTCCCCACTTGGCACAAATTGGCTTCACAAAGTACGTTTTCTTGATGATTTCCATTCGTAAGGATTCTTTCAACAAGGAGGTATTGGTTAGACGACCAATATGGCAGGGCGATTATGGTTGGATTCCAGAATGTTCGAGTCTCGGATATAGTTGGGTTGGGTGGTATCTGGGAGATATTTCTCAAAATGTTTGGTAATCGTATGTGCCCTGTAAAGCGGTTTGGTGTCCCAGAGCATTGAAACAAAACCTGCAGATGTGGGTCATCTTTGGATGTCGGCCTGAAATTATAAGACGCGTGCTTATTGCTGAACTTGTTGGACTGGTGGCTTGGTATTGTTAAAGAAAGCTTAGAAGCATTTCTGATGGAAAGGATGTCGTAGGAAGGATGCCTCACGACACGCACGCCTTGAGACGAAACTCGCTCTGGGTGGAACGTGAAAGTCGGAAGGTCTGGAGACGGAAATGTGCGGTAGAGAATAGTGAAAGTGACAAAGACCAGAGCGGGAAGTAGGAACCTCCGGAAGGGAGGGAGGTAAATCATTCTTCGTTGGCATTTGATAGAATGTTTATGGCTGTGGGAGCTTAAAGTGAGTGTCAAGGCAACAATTAACAACACTAGACAAGACGCAATGACGATTGCCACATACCATCCCATCTAGGCCGAAATGAAAGAGATTAAGGAGTCTGGTCATGTAATGAGGACTGTCAAACGGGTTATATGCTTACCAGAGCCATTCGTACTTAATCACAAACATAGCCAAAACCATTGTATGTCTCTAAAATCCTCCAACGCCACGCTTCGGCAATACGCCAACTTTTACAGCCAATTTACAGCCCTTCCTTGCGCCGTCACTGATCATCTAAAAGTGGCGTAATGTTTCATCATCACTATGGTCATAGCTGTCTTGTCTGTCCAGACCTTCTGCTTCAAGCGTCTGACCTCGAATACCAAAACTTAGGAGAAACCCAAGAAAGGCAACGCCAGCGAAGACACCAAATGCGACGGCCTCACCTTTCGGCTCGACGTGCGTAGTCAGAGAGAAGAGTCCTCCCGCCAAGAAAGGGCCAATAGCACGACCAGCTGCTGAAAGTGTTTGTGCTAATCCATTCAGAGTGCCTAAAACAGAGTGCGTGGGCGCGGAATTTGTAAGCTAGTACGAATAGAAAGTTAGGTGCAGTCCTCAAAGGAGGCGCGCAGGACTCACTAATAGAAGGAAACTCGTCAGGCAGCCTACAGCGGCGAGTGATTTGATTAACAGGACGACTCCAAGCTCGACCCACAACCAGCCTTTGCCACTAGGTATGCCTCCGTCGCCGTTTCCTATCTTCTTGTAGCCAACCCAAGGTGTTAACAGAAAGGCGAGGGCTATGCCAGCAATGCAAACACGATATGTGACCTTGTTACCCATGTTGTCTCTCACTCTCCCAAAAACTCCGAGTTGAAAAACGATGGTTGCAGCTCCCGCAAAAGCGAGCGTGAATCCGATTTCTCCAGGTGATAAATCACGTCCGCGAGGGGCAATGCTTGCCCGAAGATAGGATATAAAGCGTTGTATGATATGTTTGAGAACTGAAAAATCAAGTACGTAGTTAACAATAAGACAGTATCGCGACGGAAAATATGGGAGGACGAATGCTCAGAGTTTCGATGCGGTAAAAATTCTGGAATCGACTCTTCTGAGTCTGCGTCTGAATCAGTATCGTCTCCCAGAAGAGCCGAATCCTCGCCGTACGATGGCTTGTGTGAGCCATTTGGCGCGTTGACAAGACTTGTCCTTGACGATTTTGCAAATTGCCACACCTGCGAGAAGCCATTGACCACTCGTTTGCCCAGAGGTGGCAGCTTCCTGGCTTCTTCTAGACTTTCGTCGAGAAATATCATGCTGACAATTAGGTCGACGACCAGAACACCAACAGCCACCAGATTTGGCCTCAGGTAAGGATAGGGGTTTCTGGTGGAAAAATGTGCGTCCCTAGCTACGAGCAAGCCACCCAGCACGGGCCCTGTGATTCCACCCAGACCGTATATGATAGGAAGGTATATGAAGGCACGACTCTGATTACTTCGATCCGTGATCTCTCCCAAGCACGTGCTCACGACTCCTTGATTTCCGTTGCCCAAGCCCATGATCACTTGCACTACTACCGCCTGCCATAAGGTCCTAACGAAGCCGAAGGCCAAGAAACAAGCAGCTGTGATCAGAGTTCCCAACAGAACGACGGGTTTGCGGCCAATCTGATCCGAGAGCCACCCCCAGAAGAAATTGGTGGTGAATTGGGCAAGAGCGAACGTCGAAGCGATGGTACCAACGTAGAGGCCAACCTGTCCCGGGCCTACCTCTGGGAATGTGGAAGCCATTTTTGGAAGATAGGGGCCGATACTATTCAAGGCAGTCTGCTCACAGAGCGAGATAAATGCCAGGACACACAATTGTTTCACTGGTAATGGGGAAGCATCCTCTGACTCGTGAGAGGACGCTCGTTGGTGGCGGTACAATGCATCTGTTGAGGAAGCGTTCGAAGGAGGTTGTCCCTTGGATTTTGGAGGAGGGGTGGGGAACGTTTGGTAGTGAATTGCAGAGGGTTGACGGCGAAAGTCATTGATGCTGGGGCGAACCATGGCTCGTCCAAGGGAGGACGAGAGCAAATCACGAGTCTCTGGTGAGGGCGCCGACACCGCCCCAGCAAATAAATTTATGGAGGGAGTGGCGGCACACGGATACTGAATCGACTCATCTGTGTTGTCCGTTGTGCCAGGCTACGAACCCAAGAAACTGGCTCGCGGAGAAGGTCGCTGCTCATTGTCCAGAAAACCACTAGCTCTAAGCGCGGAATCTTAGCCCTAGAACTATGCTGAACCTATCTGACGAAGCCTACCTACCATCAACCTCAGACTTCGTTTTCACATAGCATCACTTATGTCTCCTTTGGTCTACGACTATACGAGAGCTCGTTTTTGCATATGCTGCATTCCACCCAGCCTTTGTACCCTACGAATCCGCGTATCAGCCGTCCCGCGTCCCTCAGCATCACATTGAGCGGATATCTGCCGCCGATGCTTCGCTCTCCTTTTTTTCTTGCTGTCCAGTCAACCAGAACAACTCTCGTAGTCTTTGTTCCTTCTCAGCCTCTAGGTATCGATTAAAATTAGCCTCTTCTTGGTCGTACGCTGTGCCCTGGTAGACCTCCTGCGGGAGGAACGCGCATTCGTCTCCAACAGACGCAAGGTGCTGGCAAACGTGAGCGTGTAGGAACATTGCTACGCGTTGATTTCCGAGCTCCGTCAGTCGCATTCGTGCCGGGTCCAAGCTTTCATCGAGGTACAAGTCCCCTGCAACTTCGTGGGTCACGTCCGAATCGAGCCAGCCAGAAGTATCTACCCAGAAGACTGATCGGTCTCCGTGCGCTCTAAGTCTGTTGACTATGTTTTGTGTTGCGTGCTCAAGGCGCCCAGTCAGGGGACGCATGATAAATATGGGTACCGAGGCCGGTACATTATGAGGAATAACTCCAGGGAAGCCTAGTCGCTCGCTCAGAACTATGGCTGGATGTCTCTCGTAGCCTAACCTTCGGATTCCCTGGACCAAAGAAATATAAGTATTTTCAAAGGACTCCGATAGCTGCCACATAGTTTGATTGTATTCGGCCTGATATCTTTTGAATGAGAAATGATCGGACTCGCCAAGATTAATAACCTGTGAATGATGAGCATCGACCGTAAAGCCTACAAAGGGAGACTTTGTACGTACTAATACGTCTGGAATGTAGCTTGTAAACATCCAAGGAAGTTTAAAGTATTCGGTGCTATATGGTCCACTGCGTGGTTGATCAGTATTCGAGATGATTGTGTAGGGCTTGACAGACAAGACCTGCGAAAGAACACATCACCAACCCCTACTGGGAAGCCGTTGCCTCCAATGCATTCTTGAATCAAACACATACCGTCCACCCAGATACCAACGTGATCTGCCTTGAACATCTCTCCAAGTAGATACTCCCATCCTGTTACGCCAGCCAGCAACCTTTCTGTTGCTCCTGTGCGGGCGGAGGAGCCAGGGAAATCGGTCACAACCTCCAATATCTTCTTCCTATCTTGGTTGGCGACCACGAGATCTGATTCGATTTCGTGAGTTTGATGGAAATGCTTAAGTCGATTCGTCCCGTCATTTTCAAGCTCACTGAGCCCAGCTCTATGCTTTTCCCCAACATTAGAATTCTCGGGTCGCAGTATGTCTTCATCAATGTAGACATCGTCCAACATCGATCCAGCGACCTTGATCAAGAAGCCACCTTTACTGAGCCAAAGACCTTCCAACTCCACAATCCCGCGCCCACCGTCATCGATCATTGGTGCTACTATACGGATATGGTGCTCATGATGTCGAGAAAGAGTGTTGAAAGAAACAGTCACGAGCTTAGATGCATTGGATAGGATTACATACTCAGCGTCATCAATACGAGCTAGGAGGGATACTGGTGGAGATGGCGCCTGATTTGCAGCTAAAGGGTGAAATGAGAGATGGTCCGGAGCTTTGTAGATGGTTGGTGATGTTTGCGCAGCAGTTGAGGTCGCTGAGTTCGACGTAGGTCCAACAGGGGCATTGTGAAGCGCGATAAAGAGCGAAGTTGTGTTCTTTACCACGATGTCAAAATATACACCTTAAAATTGGTCAGAGCGGCAACTTTTTGTGAGATCGTAAGTAGGATGTACCCGGAAATGTACCGTCTTTGCGCAAGTGATTTGGTGTTGCCGTCCAGCGGCCCATGAACTTGTGTGCATTAGCTAGGTCGATCTCACGTAGAGGTCGCGAGCATACATGGATTTTGGGATTCGTAACAGGGTAGAATTGGTAATTGTGCATCCGTCTCTCGGTCAACAGGCCTTTTCCTAGCCCGGCAGCATTCAGTTTGACCTCATCCAATTCTTGTCTCCCACCATTGAACCACCAGATTGTCAGTACTAGAGCTGCAAAGAACAAAAAAATAGATTTGTTGCCGATCCGTTGCATTCTGCGGTGCCAACTAATCCGATTTCTAGATTCGCGATGACGAGACGGAAAGGGGAATGGAGTCGGAACTTTAAGACTTGCTGAGCGAAGGGGAGAATAGCTGGTAATGCCAAAAGGTGTCTCTGAACCAAAGGGCGTCCCTCCCGGTGTTGATGCTGGAGTACATGCATATGGGGTCCTGATCGGGGTGGCTGAGCCTGAATGGCGAGGGGAGCCGGTGCTATTTAGGGCAAGGGCAAGTTGTAGATTCGGCCGCTGTCGAAAAGGTGGTGGTTGCGACATTATCTCACACTTACTCCACAAATCAGTCCTGGATGGTGTGGGGCGAGGAGTTGCAAGTTAGATGTGATGAAATTTGATGGCGAAGCGCGATTTGCCTGGACTGTCAACACTCGGGAAGGGACCGGCCGCGACACTTTGCTAAGGTAGAACATTGAGAAATGGCTTCGAGCACACAGATTGATCAATTGATCGGATGTCTCAGACAAATACCAGCACCAACGCTCTTGCCTTACCGTCAGAGTCTCCAACCAAAGTCGTACCTGCCTCATAACACTTGCGGCAGATGCTTCTCCTTATCACGGATTTGAACACCCTCTGACCTCACTACACATAATTATGGCGAATCTCCACTTGCATCATCTTGCTGCCTTTAAGGCGAGAAATGTTCCCCACCCTAACCCGACAAGGCTTCCAGCCACGGTCCTGTATTGGACAGGCAAAAGAGAATGCTGGAGGATGTTGACTGCTGGCCACAATTTATAGCCTGCAAGCATGATTGGTACCGTTTGCTATTGACGTCAGGCCTCTGTTCACGCAGCAATCGTACCAGGACCCACCTCCTTTACAGCAGCCCAACACATCTTTGGAGGGACACCTCTTAATAAACGAGTGACTCCAATGTAACCAACAACGTTCGGAAGGGCAGCCACAGTCTGATCTAGCACGACCTTAATTAAGGTGTTTTTCGCACTCAATTTTTTCTCCACTTCAGCGCCGTTGCCTCCCTCGTCAACCTTGACCTTCTTCAGTTTGTAGGATGGAAAGATTTGTTCTATTTTCTGCTGCCAAAGAAAGTTTGGAGACGTGGCGAGCAATCCATAGACAAGGAGTGAGAAGTAATGGGGGGGATCCCCGGGATTCAGATAGTGGGCAATGAAGCATGAGCAAAGCGTAATGAAGAAAGATTGAATGGAAACTGAGACCAACGGCGAGGGCATAGCTGTTGTGGTATGGCTCATGGATTAGAGGCGTAACATGTAGTACTCAAGCATCTAGACGAGGCAGATTGAATGCGTCGCACTTTGCAATTGGAGTAGACTTCGCTGATGTTCAGGTACCATCTGCCTCCAATTTTTCCGCGCCTAAACCGCAGGTCGGAAGAATGCCAAGATGCAAGGCTCAGGCAGCTGCATATCGATGGGAAAGCGAACAATTTATCGACAAGGGATGATCGATCTAGAGTACACTACTTCTATAGTCTTGTCTAAAATATAAATGCTTTGAAATGTTGGCCTAGGCTTAAATAGCATTTATTAGCAAATAATCTACAAGGCGCCTCACTTGTCGTGTACAAAACGATCGTTGTCGGCTGTTTTAACCAGGCATCGAGAGGTACTACTCTTCACAGGGCACAGTGAGTGCCTGTTCTTGCCGAGAGCTCTAGCGAGTATCTTGGTCAGCAGTGAAACTTGCAGAAGTACTGACAGGATGAGATAGATCTTTCCCCTCAGTGATCTTGGTGTAAAACAGTGAGATCATGCTCTTGAAGAGTCACGTACTATCTAGTGCATTTGTTGTTTAATCATAGGGGGAGACAGATAAAAAGCATGGTACCAACCTCTGAAGATTTTAAATGTTGTAATAGCCAAGAATCAGCACATTCTGCAACGTGAGATTCTACTCAAGAGCCTGGTAAGTCAACCTGTTAGCGGTGGACGTCTATTTTCGTCCATACGTGCACTCAGTGACGCAGAGTATAAGAAAATTCATATCAGAATATGTAAGTTTAAATATCATTCGTCTCCCTCCCGTGTGAGCCTCCGGCGAGAGACCCCGAGCGAAAGTGTCAACCGCAAATTATGGCATCATGAGATCTCAAATCCATATAAGAGAACGTAGAAGTGGCACTCACGATGTCTACCCGGGTAGTAATTACAAGCGTATGACCCACATGATCACTGATCTTGCCCAACATAGACGGTGCAATAGTCTATGAACTTGTAAAGTCGAAATGAACGTGAAGCAAATTCCAGAGTCTTGAAACAAATTTTGTTGCCAAGCTTCAAAGCGCTAAATTAGTGCGCAATCTTAGCCGAGCTCCCACGTCTGATTGCAAGCCCTCTGCGCTGCGTCAGATTATCACCACTTTCGACAAAGGCAAGTATATGAGTTGTGTAGCATGTTGATTTGGGTGCTGACAAGATGCGCAGAACAACCTTTTCGCTATGGCAGACATCAATATTTCAGCCTCAAAGTGGAGACTCATTGAAGTCGGTCGTGTCGTGCTTTTCACTAACGGCCCCAACAATGGACGGCTGGCAGTCATAGTCCAGATCATAGACCACAAGCGAGTATGTAAAATTGTCTCTCAATGATAGAGACAATGCTAAGAGCCGCAACAGGTTCTCGTCGACGGCCCGTCACACAAATTCGGGGAAGTCGTTCGCCAGTCTGCGCCCCTCAACCACATTTTGATCACCCATATCGTCATCTCAAAGATGCCGAGAGCAGCTGGACGTGGTCCTGTGGCGAAGAAGTGGGAAGAAGCTAAAGTTGATGAGCAATGGGAACAAAGTGCGTGGGCAAAAAGGAGAGACCAGCAGGACAAGAGAAAAGCTCTATCGGATTTCGAGCGATTCAAGGTCATGAGGTTAAAGAAACAGGTTAGTTACCAGTTCATGGGGCCTTTGAGGACCTTACTTTTTGCCCCGTGAGGCGTGTTGACTGATTTGGTTGATTTCCAGACACGATTCGAGGTTCGAAAAGCGCACGCGAAGGTTCGAGAGGCTGCGAAAGCATGATGGCGATGTATTTGTAGATGTCGAACGATCCATAGAGCAGGAAATCTGTGAAGTGCCATTCAAATGACGCGTCAGATGCCGCTCTGAAGGAATGCTCGTGGATCAATTCGCATTGAGCATGAGAGCCCCCATACCGCACAAATCAGGTACTCCAAGAGCCACAAGGCCACTACCTCATCCGTCCGATCCTGATCAATCCTTTAGGTTTTCATGCCTTCCTGCAATGGGGCAAATAATTAGCACGCAGATGTCATCTACTAAACGACCCCTCGCGGTTCTACGGCGACGCTTAACATTTTGACTCTCAACACAAATTAGAGTCCGACTGTCCCGTTAACCCATCAATGCCTTATGTAACAAGAGAGAGTCGTGCCAGCATCAGCTTTATATAGACAGTGCCATGATACTATTCACAATATCGTTGTCGTTTTCTTTCAGAGCTTTGACAGCTTTCTTTCTGGAGACGTTGGCTTGGCCCATGACTAGCTCAATGTCCTTTGCCTCTAGACCCGTGTCGTCCACTTCCTCCCCATCGTCTTCCTCCTCTTCTTTCTTTGCCTCTCCGCCCTCAATTGCCTTGCCCTTGTCTGCAGCGTGGTTGTGTCCGGCGTGGTCACCTGCATTGTCTGTTGGGGCCATGTTTTTAAGCGCACTGTCAGAGATCTGGGAAGATAAGTCTTCAATCTTGGCTTCACCGAAAATACTGTAGCAGCATTAACGCATTTCAATGATCATGGAACACTTGACGACGCACATCCAGGTGTTGCTTGATGGTGACTTGTAAACGTCTGGTTGATTGATGACGAACAGGATCTATGGGTCAAAGTTAACAACTTTTATGGGTCGTCTGGTGAAGCAAGCGAAAGGGTTTCAAGTAATAAGAGATTTTCGCACATTTTTCGGCCTCCTTAATGTGACCCTCGTGATACCTGGCACATGCTTCAAACCCAATTTGGCAATCGACTTCCGAGCTTTCTTTTCGTTGCGAGAATGTACTGTGACGGACGATCCTCCTGGTATGCTTTCTCCACCTTCGCCTTTTTCGGCCTCTCCTTCTTCAGAATCCGAGCTGCTTGATGCATCCTCAACATCGGCACCCTTTTTGCTTGGTTCATCATCAGGGAGCTCCTCAATGCGAGGATTCGACATCGTCTACAATTACTACGTAGACCAAATTTAGTACATGTTGTTGAAAGCCCTCGAACAATCCGCGGACGCAATCACGCATATCGCTGGGTACTACGTGAAATGCAAGGAGTTGGAGTCGATAGCAGAAATTCTGCTAGATTCAAAGATGACAGTGAAAGTTCATAAACTTACAATAGAGGCGCTGATTCTTACGCAAGTATCGACTGGCAACCTTTATGAAGACTTCCAATTTGCCAATTACCAGAACTTGTGCGCTAGTGGTTTGTTTCTCAGCCTTACGGCGGGCTCCTAAACCCTGTCTTGGCTTCCGGTCCTCTTCTCCTTCATCCAGCAGATTACGCCAGCATTAAGCAATTGGGATCTTCAACATGGCCGCCGCTGCAGTACGTATCCCTTACTTCCATTATAACGCTCACATACCCTCCGAGCTTGTCACTGACGCATCCGTAGCGCCCTGCGGCTATGAAAGTCGACTGGAACAGAATCACGTCCTCCCTCGGGCTGAAAGGTCAAACAGCAGCCTCTCTTCAGGCCTTCAAGAAACGTAATGATGACGCACGGCGAAGAGTAAATAACCTGTCGGCTCTACCTCAAACAGTGGATTTTCAGGCCTACCGCGATCAGCTCAAGAATACCACCGTGGTTGACAACATTGAGAAGGAGATGAAAAACTTCAGTCCACGAACGTATGACGTGAATAAGCAGATCAAGGCAATCGAGACTTTTGAGGTGCAGGCGGTGAAAAGCGCAGAGGAGACGAAGGAGAAGGTCGACGAGGAGTTGAAGAGTCTGCATGCTACGCTGGACAATATTGACAAGACGAGGCGATGGGAGGACATCACCACTGTAAGTGTTAAAGCTGATGATAGGCGTAAGATTAGCCTGCTGAGAGCTTGGTGATATAGGACGACGTTTTCGCGGCTAAACCAGGATGGGAAAAGAGATTTGAGAAGATGATGGAAAAGGGTATTTGGATGCCTCCAGGCTACAAAGTAAGTTGATATGCGGAAAAACCTCTGTTGTTGATTACTGACACGCTTTCGAAGGAGAAATTTGGCGATTTGTCTGTCATGTAGGCCATATTGTGCGCTTCACTTAGGGACGGGAATATCCTGAAAATACATCTCTTTGCTTCGCTCGTCTGCCTTTCGAGCTGTGTGCATCTACGGTCGAGAGTACCAACAAGACGTTTGTTCCCACAAGGAACCCTAACCAGGTTGTCACAAACAATAGTCGTTGACTATCCTTGCAATTGGGGATGGAATTGCAACACATCCCGGGTCTCCAATCTATACCAGAGAGGTTGCAACAGTCGCAGACAGCTCATACTACGGACATGATTCAACCAGCACAAGAGCTCATCGAAGGGTAAGTACAATTGCTTACATGGAATTCGTTGCCCGTCACAATTGTCACGTTGTGTACTTCAAAACCGACCAACGATTTCTGCTTCAATATCTGTTCAAGATTAAAGGCCTTCTCTAAGGTGGACTCACCTTTTTCTTGAATCCACTATGTCTTCAGTTTTCGACTCAGTAAGACATCAAGTCAAGATTCTGTTGCAATTCTTTTGAATGTGGACAGAGATAGCTATTGTCTGATTGACCAAACCAAAATAGGCTTCAAGACTGTGATTGTGGAACGCAAGTCGACCATTGCGAGCTTGCTAAGATCATCGGATTTCTCGTGCATCTTATGATCGGTATCGAATCTCATTGTCGTCCTTTGCAAGCCACTACGATCTAGACTTACACTGAGATAAACAGTATGAACACTATCGCAGATACTTTGGTCGTCTTTGACCTTTTGCGTCTAGGAGAGATACTCTGCCTACAGTATTTTCAGACAAAGTTCTTGTATCAGGACGAGGCACATTGCCTAGAATATCGTCTTGGTGGTTGAATTATATGGCACTCTGTCAGACGAGGCTGCTTTTTGCGTCAGTTTCCAGGTCAAAGCGTTTTCACCAAGGCTTCATGATCTCGAAATCTACTCTTGTTAATGTTTCGTTTGTAATATAAATGTTCACAAAATTTAGCTTGGAGGGTGGTGCTTGCCAAATGTAAAATTACAGAGTCCTAATCCTATTACATTATGCGGCATCTGGCATGTAAGGTTTCGACAGCCAGAGTTCCTAGAGGCGATCAGCCATAGAGTACATGGACGGTCTTCAGTCGCGACTGTTTCGTCGAGGAAAGCAGAAGGGCTCCACTCAACTAACTTCCTTCTTTGATTCATAATCAAATATTTGATATATAAACCACTCTATCTTGTGACTGAATGAATTGCGACATTTAGCCATCAAACGGTTGATCTGTCGCCGGCTGTTCAAATTGATTTTATCGTCCTCGGTCGCTCGTGTGAGCACAAGCATCATGAGGTCCCAGATTCTTCATTACTTTGTGACACAAAGGGGGTTTCTTCCTACCTTTTCAACCTCCAACCCGAATGATCTGGTTTTACGAAAACATCGACGAAGATGTCCGAGCAACAAATCTGTTTAACATCAAGCAAGGTTGAAATGGTCTCTTCCAACACAGTCGTGGCAATATTCTTGACTCCTCAGTACACGCACAAATACCCCAACCTTATACACTTTATAATCTTAACGTACACGATCGTGACTAATCTGATAGCCTAAATGTACAAGTTGAAGTTTGCCATATTTCTCAACACTTTTCGACATATGCAGCTCTGTCGTTCAGGCCGACAGTTACTACAGCCAGTGGTAGAATCGAGAGGGAAAGTGGATATCGAAGCAAGACGTCATGCGAAGAGCAGTATGTGTATTCTTCAAACTTACTTTCCCAACAAAAGCACTGGGTATCTTGAGGACAGGTGGCTTAAAGAGTTTGGATTGAAGAAAGGGGTTGGAAAGACTGGAAAGGTCTAAGAACTCATTGATTCCTTTGGCTTCTGAAAGCCTGACTTGATGTCGTCCAAAGGATGAGGCGACGTGAAATAATCTTTCAAGTCTTGGTAAGCGGTATGTCAAGACATTCTTAAAGAAGTAGGCTTCAATAAAAATGGAATACAGAGAAGGGGAGTAAGGGAAGGCGCTCTGGATGTATAGGCGACGAGGAAGGATCAAGATCACGCAATAAATGCATGGAACTGGCAGACTCAGCCCATGGGGCTCTTGAACAAAATGGAACTCATGGTTTTCATGAGACAAGTCTAGAGAAGCACAGTAACAGCAAAAAGGCACCGGGGTTTCCAGGCATTAGAAGTACGACAGTCATGGTTGACGTGCGACAAGGAAAAGGCGTGAGTGCTTTTGACCTCGCCAAGGTATACATATTGAAGTTGAGACAAAAGCATGACTTGGTCCCGGCACTTTGTAGTCCATCCGTGTGGCGGCTTGTCACGGGGATGTTGAGTTCACAGTATTGAAAAGGATAGTCTCTCGACCGATACCTGGCTCCGTATCGATTGAATCCGACGATAGGAGTGCTCCGGTTGTCTCTATGTGTAGGTGGTATGAGATTCGGAAGCCTCCAGCATATGAAGCAGGGTTACATCATGGAAAGGTCCCTCATCGTATGAGCAGCACCCAAGCTGTGGTGTATCATCGAAGCCAGCCGTGGGCTAAACCTGATTAGAGCATTCCTGCGATCCTGCCGCAGAATCGTCACCGCCGGCCTTAAGTCCAAGACGGCCATTGCTGAGTGCTGGGGTGGGGTTTAGTAGCGCATAAAGGGGAAAGACTTGATGACGCGCGTGGCTGGCTAGAGTAGGGTCCGATCTCATGGCTCAGTCTCCCCATGACACTGTGATCCTACTTTCCTCGCTTATCTAAGTCTACACCCGTCACTAGACTTGGCTTGGGTTAGAGACCACATACCGTTGGCAGCTGTGAAAGTTTGAGCTTGTGGATTCGTTCTGGAAGAGATAAGGTTCAACAGATATGAAATATCAAATGCAAATAGTCTTGCGTAGCTGAACATCTTGATCATTCCACTGAAGAAGCAATTGATGCAGACTTCAACAATACCTTGCAGGTGTCTTGTAGCGTGCTATTGAAATTCGAGCTTAAAATGAGCGAATGAGAACATCACATCCGAGGCCAGCCCTGGAGAGTCTCACGATCCAGCTATGGTACACATGCCAAACGAAGGTTTTCTTCCACCGCTTTCCATCCAGAAGACCAGGTGCTGGAGGTCGTCGGATAATCTATTGATACATAATCCCAATACGCGCAAAAATGCACAAAACAAACACCAACCGCAAACAGGCAAGAAGGACTTGAACGCCGTCCATATGCTTTTCCCTTCCTTCGCAATGCATCGCTCAAACCACTGTTACTTCGGCCATGACATTTAACCAAAAAATGACTTGGCCGTTATTTGCCGGGGGTCTTTGGTGGTGCTGTCCACTGCTTCAGCATGTTGTCGATGGCCCTCGTCCACTCGGCCACACATGCGGTGGCCAATTTGTCCACGTTAGCGGTGTTCGGGGTCTTTCCGCCCCACATAGCAGGCTTGGTAGCTAGCTGACGCGCATGCTTTTTGATGAGTGATCTGTTCCAGAAATTTCGTTAGTATCTGAGGGCGACAGAAGCGTTTCTTGGAAAATAAGAATGGCCACCGATGAGGATGGCCTTCGGACTTACTCATTCTTTATCTTCGACAGGATGAGCCAGCAATAGTTCCAACTCTTAGTACTCGCAGGATCTCCAATGACTTGCCACTTGGCCTCATCAAGGCATTCAGAGCTGAAGGGGTAATTCTTGGTCATGCCTCTCAGCTCGCTGAGTAAGTTGTTGGAGTTGACGTAGTGTGCCCAGCCGGTGGTTAAGGCTTCGATGACATCTTTCGAGCCATCACCGTTGAGTGACTTTTCGATCCGGCGAAGTTCAGTCAACGTGTTGACGCGGTGGGTGCGCAATGTACGGAGCATTTGGTCTTTGTCGGCCTAAGAGATCAATAACCCGATTAGTAATTGTGCAGGTTTTCCCAAGTTCTGATAGTGAAGAGATAAGACGATCGTGGTAAAGCGCCGGGCTACCAAGCTTCTAGCGTAGGGTGGCTGCTCGGGAACAATTTGGAAGCGAATGGTACCCTCACAACATCACGTTGTAAGCTTGCTTCTACCAGACTTGCTGGCGCAGGCTCCCTTCTTATAATGAAAAAAAAGACGCAAATGCCAATGACAAATAATTGGTAAAGACTTACCGAACTAACCCCCTTTTGATTACTCATTCTGAATGAAGCCGTGTTCTGTGCCGACCTTGGTGAACTGTACGCTGAACTGCTCTGTGATGACGAAGAGTACGTTGACATATTTTCCTCAAGAGGTGATGGAGGATTTGCAGTAGAAATGAAAGGAGCTGACCTTGCCTCTGCGCGTGATGCGTGTGAGGATCGTTGGCGTGGTATGGGGTTTTCTTCTTGTGCGTAGGGCGAGATGTATGCCTTTTCGGTGTTCGTCAAGTTCGAGAAGTATCTGGTACTTGGCGTCTCTGTTGTCTGCAAATAAAGCGAGCTTGTAGAGGTGTAGGTTGGGGAATTCGAAGTCGACGTGGTAGGTGAAGTCTCTGAAGATTGATAGTCCATTTTGAATGGGAAGATAGCCAGATATATATCTTCAATCGGCAAACCCAGAATATTCGGAAACAAAGATGAATGTGCTAGCGGCGAGCTTAGAGCGGTTCAACAACTTCGATTAGCGTGAATCTTCCCAAGATCTTGAGATGCGTAGGGCAGGGCCTGCTGCCTGACAAACGATTGCAAAGAGACTGATTGAGATAGCTTAGAAGTAGAGAAATGTTTAAAAAGTTGAAACTCGAACCGTAGGAGGTGTGATATTAATGATTACTATGCATGGAAGAAGCGTAGCAAGTGAGGCATTGCAAGATGCTGTAACTCCAAGGAACGGACTCTTGACCCTCACAGGACTGACAGGTCCCTTATACTGGGTCATGAGTATCAGTGTCAGGTTAAGCTCTGACATGACTCCGTGGTTTTTGGGATAAGAAGTGAAGACCCCGTCTTGGAAGTAAACGGTCATGTCAGCACAGCTCTCACAAGCTACAAGCCACAAGCACCGTATTGCATTACTCTTGCGATCTCTCACTGATTGGGCAACGATTTAGCTGCCGAGATCCCTATGGAGGTGAGAACGCTGATGAGGCGCGCAGCCGCACACGTGGCTAGGATGTCGAGTAGAGGGTGAGCCCTATGACGGACGTCACCCACGGGCTAGACCAAAGGCAGGCCCGGCGAGCTCTGTCTCACGTGCTGTAAAGTAATCTGATATTTCTAGGGCTGACAACTAGAAGGAGACTTGCAGATTCCCATGAGGTAATCCGGAAGGATACTGGATCTGGCAGGCGTAAGCCGAGCGGCGCCGGGACTAGCTTCATCGAGCACAGATGACATTTCAAAAGGGGTAATTCTGATACTCCTGCGTCCAAAACTGTCGTCAGGGTTGAGCAATGTGTGTCTGAATAAGTTAGAAAGAAAAGATCCAAAATTTGTCAAATCGCGAGCGGCCTTGGCGCGGCTGCGGCTCCACCCAAAAATAGCCCGTACTCTAAATCTTTAGCTTGTTTAGCAAAAATTCAAAATAGCAATCTGCTTCCCAAGCTTTCCACACCTCAAATGTCAGCATACATTTTCGTCCTTCAACCAAGTCAATCCTTTCCAGGGCGCAGTCGTTCCTTGCCTGTTCACTGACTGAATATTGAAGGTGTAAGCAATGATCATGATCATAATCATTGTTGCGACGATGAAAAGCTTGGAGACAGACCGTGCGGCGTGTGATGTACTTGTCTAATGAGTTCACCAGTGCTTACCCCTGATGTCTGTATGAAAAGGCATCTGAGCTCTCAACACCCCTGTCGGCTCATAGGTACTGCAGCCGCAGAACCTAGAGGCGTTAGCTTTGTGGGCTGGCGGGTTACAATATGCGGATCTGACGTTGGATCATCCATGATGAAGCGGTGCTTATACCCATAGGCGATAGCGCGAGGTCATTGGCTAAACATTGTTCTCTCCTTGATGCAATTGGCGGATGGCTTGAGACTACTTCGGTGCTCCGGGCGCGAACGCAGAAGATTGGGGTACAATGATGATACCCTAACCTGCAACGCAACCTTCACCGATGCCAGGAAGACCGTGGCCTGTCTCGACGTCCTGCACTTGCCCCACAAGATCTAATGCAGAGCCACCACCTCGACTGAGCCTCCTCGGGTTGAAAACAAATAATCTGTTGAGAGCCTGGTTTGCCAGCGTGGCGACGCCATCTCGAAAGGTCTCAAAATCAGCACAAACGTTGTCCCAAGCCGCCGTCAGTACTTCACCAGCAACTTCGAAAATGCTCCATATAGCATTCAGCACGAAAGCCTGTACGTAAGAGATATAGCCGTTTGTCTGCAGTCGGAAGATTGTTGTGACAGCAATGTATTCAGCTACCGCAGTTGCTGTCAAGATGTAGACTTGCTGGTCTACTGTGATATTTGCTGCTGACCCCGGGTGCGCAACACCAACGTGCAAACCAGTCCACCCAACAACAGCGGTACTCACTCCAGCTAGGATATACGCGACCCAGAACCCTTCCAAGTCTTGACTGTGCCAACCATCGTACGTGAGCACTCGTCCACCATTTGGTGTAGGCTTGCAGAGAATGTTGTTTAATTTGTCGCTGATCGAGCGTTGGAAAATATCGGCTCTATACACCGTATACTCAGCCAATCTATTTGGTGGAAGTCGAAGTTGTTGAGCAAGATCACCAAGGGATCCATTGGTGATTTCTTCGCCGCTGGGAGCCGTCCAGTCTCCAAGCAAAATGTCCGCGCACAGCCATGCAGGGAGCCTGAGGTCATATCCATATCCACTGTTATTGTAGAATGACTTGAATTCCCTTTGTGAAAGACCACTCATGGGTTTGGAATTACTGGGCACGATTCCAAGCTTTTTATTGTTAGTGTTTACACCGTTCTGTCCAAGACTTGGTTATTACCGGGTGCGCCGCTGCGGGTTCCTCATAGTAGGATGTCTGAATGGAGACCGTCTCATCTGCAAAGGTGTTGTCCTTCCCCATGAGATCACCGATCGACATGCCATAATTGCTTGCAACGGCGACGGATGAGAGTCTATAGACTATACTGATAGCTGTCAAAATTCGCATCGTTAAGCGATCTGTGATTGATATGTTATTTGAGAGACTCCTTCGTTACAATCTGAGTCTAAAGAGACTACGACATATCAACAAGCACTTCCCCTTTTCCATCGTCATCCAGAGCCTTGCTTACGATGGAGCTTAGGTAAGTAGTATGAAAACGACAAGGCCTATAAGCGATCTTCCGAGATCTGGCAGGCAATCGTGGAGCAAATGAGACTTTTCAATATAGGGAACGACGTACGGGGCAAGGCAATTGATTTTTGAATGAGATATTTCACTGGTCTAACATGGGTCTAGTTCTCAATCTCAACCACATAGAGACACCTCAAAGGATGCTTGTAAGCCAAATGAGAATGTGAGACGACAACGTATCGCATATCTAAGATTTCAATAGGACGTATCTGCGATCCGTTCCTCTCAAAAGTAAGCCACGAGATTTGATGTTGCGGTCTCTATTTTGTATTAGCTCTATATTTTACGATGCAAGATCGAGCGTTCACAGCTTTGCAAAATGCCGCAATCCGAGAATCAGAAGGGCATGGCTGATCAAGTGGATGAGATACAAAGACAAGCGTTATGACAGTCACCGCGCATAAATGTCGTTCAGATGGCTTTACCGTCTGACACGCACGTTGACTAAGGTGCTTACATGTCAGCGTATCAAATCAGAAATGATTTAGTCTTCGAGCCCCACATCAGCTTTTGAAAGAACATTGTCACATCTTCTACGGACAATTAGACAGAGAACATAACCTGTGCTCTGAGTGCGTCGACCGCTCTGAGCTCGGACCTTGTCTGCCTCCTGCGAGCGATTGGGTAACGCCCATCCTACGGTCTCTCCGAGCCTCACAATATGATTCATACAGTCTTAGCCGCGCCTCATGTTCACCAGATCTCGCCAAGTCGTCGATCCGATTCGGATGAAGGGCATTGATTCAGATCTGGCCATTTGGATTTGCTGTCATTTTCAAATACCATCAGAAGCCAAACTCTAGCCACCTGAACCCTTCCCCCTGAATCTGAATCATCATGTAAATGGCAATGGCGAATAGTGAAGGAAAGGCGAAGGCTAGCTTGTTAGGAAAGCCTTCTTTCCTTGGCGAGTGATCGATGTCATCGTCCAAGAAGCAGTTGACGATGGCTACCAGGCTCAAAGCCTTGCCTCGGGACACTTATCCTGACTCCCTAGGGACTATTCATAGCACTGCCAACGTATTAGATTCGATGTCGACTCGCGAGAAAAGCATCGTTGCCCACTCGACATGGCGATGCAGACTGCTCTGCTAGCCCTCTTGTCGGATCGTAGCGCGAGTGCTGCAATGAGATCAAAGTTTACGGGTATTGCAAACAAGACATCTGGTGGACTGGTGGACTGGAACTGGTAGTAAGAACTCCATACGCTTGCACTATCCAGCATACCATCTCTTCACCCATCCGACCTACTCTCTCCTCGTCCTTGAAATCGAGAATTAGCCAATCTTTCTACCGAGTACCTGGTTTTCATCCACTACCTATTATCTTGGCCTGCTCTCTATTATTCGCGCCCTCTTATTCGCTCAATGTAGCCGCTAGAACCGTCGGCAGGCAAATGTATGTCTCTATGTTCTAAGTTTAGTATAAATCGGAGCATTGCTTCATTACGCATTTGGGCGTTGTCCTAAACGCTCTAAAACACATAGCGATCAGTGCTACTAATAATTACCTTCTTATGATTTGAGACTCAACATTGGCTTTTCACAGTGTGGTGGTTTAGCTTTGCTGCGCTCTACAATCCATGAGAGAACAAGATAAGGTTGCAAGTCATCAAGAGTCTATCTATAGGCAGTAGTAAGAGACTCTTCAATCATGCTTTAATGTAAACCATCAATACACAGAGTTGACCACTGAAGTTTCGTGGTCATTTGAATCAAACAATTCAAAGGGAACGAATATTTGATGAGGATGGGGATCGTGAACGTTGTTTTGATCTACTACCGACCTTCCATTACCTTACAAAGTTATGACAGATCGATCGATCTATGAAAGCCAAGGGCCAGCAGGTACACTCTGTTTCGAAGTCTTTTCGGATCTCGCGCGCATGCAGCTCAGATTTACCGAGCGGAATTCTTGGGTGGCTCTGTTCCTGGTCCTTCAGGTGTGACATACGCCTATAAAGTCCCAGTGTCAATCAGGTTTGAAGCAAGGAAGGCCTCTCTCGCTGGATATGACATCGAAGAGGAGCATTCATACCTTCGTCATACCTCCGTCGACAGTGAAATCAGTCCCATTAACAAAGCTGCTCTCATCGCTGGCAAGGAAGAGAACAGCCTGCGCCTGCTCAATAGCCTCACCAAATCGTCCCGTGGGAAAATGAACCTCCCGTCGATTTCGTTTGGCGGCATCATCACCGAGCCAATCCTGTAGCAGAGGTGTACTTATACATCAACAATCATCAGCATGACTTCTCACAGGACGTATTACGATCTATCGGGACATTGGAAAGGTAAAGCTCGGAACACTTACTTCAAAGGCGCCGGGCAAAGTGCATTGAATCTGATTCCCTCCCTCGCATGCACAATTGCCAGTTCTCTGGTCATCGCTAAAACCGCCCCTTTACTTGCTGTGTACGCCAATTGAGGCGTCGCACTGCCTACCATCGCAACAACGCTTGCTGTGTTAATAATACTGCCCTTCCTCTTCCCATGCTTCCGCATGCTCAGTACTGCATGCTTGCTCCCAAACCATACGCCTTTTACGTTGATATTGTGCGTGAGGTCCCAGATTTTCTCAGGTGTTTCGATGGCGTCAGCGTCGTCGGCATGCATTATTCCAGCGTTGTTGTACATTATGTCGACGCCACCCCATGATTCAAGATGGGAGACTACGGCTTCAACGTCCTTCTCCGATGACACGTCGCACTTGACGATTTCGAGCTTTGTGGTGAGGGAGGGGAATATGGAGCGGACTTTCTCAATGGCTTTCTCAAGAGCGGGTGGAGAGATATCAGACATGAGAACATTGGCGCCTTCTCGTACGAAAAGAATGGCTGTTTCAAGGCCAATCCCACTGTAGGATCCGTGATATCAGTGTTTCGAAAGAGGGAACATGATGAAGTGAGGCTGCGGGAGATCGCGAACACAATAAAGTCGTTATCGAGAAATAGAAGAACAAATCGACATCTCAATATCTGACACGCATGTAATGACAAGCTACAAGTTTCGGAGTCTAGAAGGTGGCGACAGTAGAATCTAGCCTTTATTTTCCCACGGAGGAAATCATGATCTAGCAGCTACTGAATGATGGAACTACTCACCCAGCGGCGCCGGTGATGATTGCATTCTTCCCTTCAAGACGGCCAGGTCTGGATGAGTTGGACATATCTCACGCCTGCCTCTTCAGTGAGCAGTCGGCAGAGCTAGAATAATGAATGAGAGTGAGCGAAGTTGAATGATGTTCGCAAAGCAGACTTACACTAAACTTTGATCAAATTAGATCCATATGGTCAACAGACTATCGTTAAGGTATCTCAAAAATGGTTCGCTGGCCAGAATAAGAGCGCTTTGGGAATTGCATTCTCAATCACGAATGCGTAGCTGTCAGATTAGCTTTATTATATTCTAGGGATTCCTGGAAGCGACTCCCTCGGTCCTTTGCAGACCCCAATTTGGAAGCTTGCAAATGTTCCAATGACAGCTCAGGGCCGTAGAAGTCCCTTGGGATTGTCGGCAAGCTTTCTGAGTCATTTGTGAGAGCGATAGACCGGCACTCCAAAGACTTGTTGCAAATAGCCCGTAATGGTGTCCTCTACCGCCTTGGAAGTGAAGGCTTCCGACTTGCCACAGATTCTCGAGAATGATACGAAAGTCAAAGTCGCTGGCTTCGACATTGATGGCATACTACGTGGTAAGCTGATGGCGAAGCAAAAGTTTCTCTCCATAGCAGAGGACGGATTCGGCTTTTGCTCCGTTATCTTTGGCTGGGATATGCATGACCAGACCTATTTCAGAGAACTCAAAATATCGAACGCAGAGAACGGCTACCGAGACATCATTGCTGTGCCTGACCTCAACAGCTTCAGAAGGATACCATGGGAAGCTGACGTCCCTTTCTTCCTGGTCAGCTTCATGGATCCTGATCATGGAGGGCCGCTTAGTGCATGCCCGAGGGGATTGTTGAAGTCCGTAACAAATCGCGTGCAGAGTAAGAGCTGGAGAGCAATGGCTGGAGGTGAGCAGTCCCTATATCGGACTGTAGGGTGAGCAGGTGGTACATTTGAGCTCCTGCTCGTTCTGTTGACCGAAGAAGCTGATCTCTGGTGCAAGCCGAGTACGAATTCTTCCAATTCCGAGCACCCCCAGATTCGGATGATGTACCTTCCAAGCAAACACCGCCGTCCGCAGCGAAATACTTGAAAAACAATCCCGTCAACAGTTTACCGTCCTTGACAGAGGGTATGTTTGGATACAGTCTGACCCGCCCAGTGCACAATCAAGACTACTACTATGGTGTCTTTGATACGTGTGGAAAGTTCAAATGCGGGATTGAGGGGTGGCACACCGAAAGCGGGCCTGGTGTCTTTGAAGCCGTATGCTAGTCCCATAGCCTCGACGAGTATGTTCACGACTGAAAATCGTACAGGCACTAGAGTTTGATGAAATCCAGCAGATGGCTGACAAGGCTGGGCTTTTCAAGTTTGTCTTCTCGGAATGATTTCACTTGGAGCACGCGCTAATGAGTGAAGGTACGTTGTGAAATCAGTAGGAACTAGATACGGCATCACACCTTGCTTCATGGCAAAGCCTCGTGAGGGGTTGCCGGGTAATTCCGGCCACATACATGTATCTCTTGTGGACAAATCCGGCAACAACCTCTTTTATCGCCGTGAGAAAGATTTGAAGCCTCCATTTGAGGGCCTGGCATACGTTTCGGATATTGGACGGCAATTTCTGGCTGGACTGCTTGATGGGCTGCCGGACATCATGCCTATCGTTGCACCAACCATCAATTCTTACAAGCGACTTGTCGAAAACTTCTGGGCCCCCGTGACGGTATCCTGGGGTCTGGAACACCGTGCAGCGTCGATACGGCTCATTGCACCACCCACAGGTAGCGCCAAGGCAACTAGATTTGAAGTCAGGGTTGCTGGCGCAGATGCTAATCCCTTCCTCGTCTTAGCTGCAGTACTCGGGCTTGGATGGAGAGGGGTGGAAAAGAAAATGGCGATCAAGACGCCCCCCTTAGGCAAAGGAGAGGATGTAGGAGGGGCATCTGATCAGGGACTGAGACTGGCCAAGTCATTGAAAGAGGCAACGACGCAGATGATGCGGGAAGGCAGCGTGGCCAGGGAAGTCTTTGGGAACGATTTTGTGGAACATTTTGGAGGAACAAGAGAGCATGAGATTCGTCTGTGGGATGAAGCTGTGACGGACTGGTAAGACAGTACCTCCGAGCGATACTGCTGATTTGAGGTAGGCTAACAATTTTTAGGGAAGTGAGGAGATATATTGAGACCGTTTAGGCGATACATGACACAGACCTGTACTCATACGGTGGCGTCCCCTAGAATCCTTCATTGGCTCGAACAGCATTGCTCCCAAGGTAGTCTACAATGGTGAAGCTGATCCTACCTACACGGAAAGGGCGCCATTGAAGCAGTGTTCTTACTGGATCCAATGTTCGCTTGTGAGTGCAACATGGACCTCACCTACCGCAGGCTACTCGAAGCTTCTAGTGGCACTAACAAAGAACACCGTAACGAGTCTGCGGTTGCCTGCACTGTCTACCGATCAATTTGGAGCATCTTTCGCAATATTGGCAGACTTCATCTTCCGGCTTGCTGATCCGGCTGCACGAGCCGACCAATCACCACTATGACATCACTGTCCCTTCGCTGGCGTCCCCACCATTTTTGATATACTTATTTCCTCTGTCCGTTTCTGTCATAGAAATCCTTTCAATGCAACCTTGTGAGGCTTTTTGAACACAGCTGTTGATCTGGAAAGACTGTGACATCTAGACAACCAGAGACTTCACCAGATTTCAATAGGCTATCTTCAAAGATACAATGGCGCAACAACCTAGCGAGGTTGTCCTCGCTGAACAATTCTGAATTCAACGACTGACGTTTATCGCACAGGCCTGCTGCACTGTTCCTCCCGCTCAAGTCGACAACTACAAAGCGAAAGGCAAATACTTCGATCTCAGTGACGGAATGAAATGCTGTGCGTGCCCCTTTTCGTCAATTGAACCTTGGGTGCCACACTCATGCTTATGTCGTAGACGCGACTGGCCCCTCCGACGCCACCTCTGCTATCCTTATCATCTATGATGTCTTTGGCTACTCAGATCAAGCGATACAGGGAGCTGACATCCTCGCACATGCCGATGGGCCCGACCATCAGTACCGCGTCTTCATGCCCGACTTCTTCTACGGTAAACCGCTAGCCTTGGAGGTTTTCCCTCCCAACACGGAGGAGAAACAGAAGCAATTTGGTGATTTCTTTGCCGGACCAGCGGAGCCTGGGATGACTTCCAAAAAGGTTCTAGATCTGGTCAAAGAGATCGGTGGCACTTCTGAAGGGAAGGGTATCCAGAAATGGGGCAGCCTGGGAGCGTGCTGGGGAGGCAAGGTAGGCGCAACAAACAAATTTATAGAAGTGCAAAGCTGAATAGCGCGCCTTCGCGACAGATCGTTTCCCTAACCGCCCAATCTGGCACCCCCTTCAGTGTGGGCGCCGAGGTACATCCGGCGATGATTGATCCCAATGATGCCAAGGGCATTCAGATTCCAGTGTGCATGCTGGCGTCTGGAGACGAAGATAAGGAGGCCGTGCAGAAGTGGAAGGAGGCGCATCCGGGGGAGAACCATGTAGAGACTTTTGAGGATCAGGTCCATGGCTGGATGGGTGCTAGAGGTGACTTAAAGGACGCGCGGGTGAAAGCAGAATATGAGAGAGGCTATAAGACTTTGTTGGAGTTTTACCATAAATATCTATAGTCCTACGGGCGTTTCTTTCGCAGCAGATCTGGACCTGAAGCGCAAGAAAAGGGCAGACGATTTTTAGCAAATGGGAAATAAAATTCTTAAGATTCATTCTGCAAATCAAGTTGGTAAAAGATGCACGCCGCATACATCATTAAACGCTCTTGCTTGCACTCCCATCCAAATACGCAATGGGCTGACCTCCATAAAAAGTTGCCGAAGCCTTACTTTCCGCCACCGAAGTATCCACCGCTGAGCGTACTTGTCCAGCTTCCTTGGTTCTTCTTCTGTGCTTGCTGCGCATCCAAATTTCCCTTCTCCACCCTCGTCACACCTTCTTTGCTACTGGCATCCCCGACGCTGCCCAAAATGCCACCAGAGGAGAGTGTACCACCCACACCTTCAGCCACGCCACCTTGGATAGCGTTGATGTTCTTATCGCCGGTCACGTCTGTAGAGAGCTTATCTGAAAGGGAAACATCAGCGAGTGTTGATGGGAAAAGGTACTTAGAAAGGCCAGAGCGATGGGGGGAGCAAGGTGTGGAGACAAACCTTTCGCGGTATACGACGTCTTGTTCTCACCCCAGTATCCGAGGACCTTGTCCTCGACCCATGGAACGTAGTTGTTGTAGGCGTTGTTGTACTTTTCAGATACCCAGGAAGTCATGTTGATGGGTATATTTGGCGGTGGGGTTGTAAATTAGTCGGTCTTAGGAAGATTGCCTGAAGGTAAGACGGAGTCTTCAAGATGGCTGGTTAGTGGGCAAAGAAGAAAAGCTTTGGGAGGGCCTGGAGAGTATCACGACTTCAGGGCAAGCCTGATCCATCCCCATGACGTAGTCTCGCGCTAGATTCACGCGACGTGGAGGACATGCGTCACAGGCCACATTGATAGGCCAGCAGCTCCTAACAATATTCGGAATAAATACTCTAGACACTTCATATCAAGTGCGGCTTCACAGGTATATACACATTGCCGTCGTTGCTTCTAGGCAGTTGTTTGTAACAATGGCTTTAGACAACTCCATAGAGGGTCACCTCGAGAGGTACAGTCATACACACAACAGCGACAATTACAGCTCTAGACTTACAATCATGAAGGCGTTCAGCTCATCAACATCTTTACAGCCCATGATACGTTCTGTCAACGGTCAGCATTACGATATAAGCTTCTGTAACAATGACAGGACTCACCAAAGTTCTGAGATCCCCATAATGCTGTCCAACCCCCAGAAACACCACCGGAATCCCAGTCGCATGCACCATGCTAACCAATGTCCCAACCATCTCTCCAACCGTGTCGCATTTACTTATGATAAATCCATCTAACCGCCTTCCTCGCCCGAATGCAGTGTCAAAGGCCCTGGCCTGCGCCACGCTGTCGGTACCAACTAATGCCTCGCCGACCATGAGGATCTTATCCGGCTTCGCGAATTGCGCAAACTTTTCGAGGGAAGACATCAATCGAGTGTCATTGTGCCGCCTGCCCGCTGTATCTATCAGAACCACATCAAAGCCTTGCGTGTCCGCGTAGCTGATGGCGTCTTTGGCAATGTTCGCCGCGTCTTTGCCGTAACCACGCTCATATAGCTCCACTTTGCCAAGATGCTCTCGATCGCTGAGTTCCTTCAGGTTACGGGCATGAACTCGGAGCTGCTCGACCGCGCCCGAGCGGAATGTATCGCATGCTGCAACTAAGAGAGAGAATTTGTTCTGGAGAAGGAAGAAAGCGAGCTTGCTCAGATTCGTCGATTTTCCAACTCCATTGACTCCAACTATAGAAATCACGTAAGGTCTGCGTTTAACTGCGAACGGCGTCCGAGGCGGTTGGGTGATGGACGTGATAGCACGGAGGATATCAAGTGAAGTCGTTGGAGTAAGCAGCTGGCGAAGGGAGTTTGACAGAGATGTTCGGACTGTGGCTTCAATGGCTGAACATGCGATGTTAGTGAGGCAAAGATGAAGGGTAAAGGAAAGGGAGGCTACAGTACATTCAAAATTCCCAGTCCTCACTCCTATCAATTCCCGCTCAACGCTCTCACATAGTCGCACGGCGGCTTCTCGAGCCACGTTCTTCTTGAGTAGATGCTCTTCCATACCTCTCATTGGTTTCTCAAGGTCAGCCTTGGTCAAAACTTTCCCCCTACAACATTCCTGAACAATCCGCTAATCGCTCCAAATCCTGAGCCCAGGATTCCTCTTGGCTCGATTGGATCTTGTTGCGCTTTTCTTTCCTCGGCATCTTGGAGCATTGAGTGTACCTCGCTATCAAGATCCTTTAAGACGTATTGGCCCTGCTTTGTTCTGGTGCCAGCATGCTCCACACTCACTGATTCTTGGGCTAACGATGTTATTTCATTCTTATCTGTTGTGCCATTTCTCTGTGTGGAATAATCTAATGTCTCGCCGTCATCTTCACCAGCTGCGCCAGTATCATCCCATCTACGCATTCTCTTCTTGGTGTCTTTCTTGGTCTTCGATTTGGTCTCATCGCCCGAGGAAGCAACATTCTGAATATTCGAAGCAGCTTTTCGGGCTCGTCTCGATGTACCTTTAGGGTATTGGCTCCCTGACAAGACTTGGCCTCCTGGCGTAGAGGGCCGTGAAGTATCTGGTGTAGACGTTACGGATAAATCTTCGCCAGCGACTAAGTTTCGATCATCCTGTTGGTGGAAACTAGGTGTGTTTTGTAAAGAATCGTGAGGATTATCAGCTTGGTGAGGGGGAGGGGCGGATCTTGAATGTTTATCTGTGGCACTTGTTCGTTGAAGGACGCAGAGCCTTCTAATTCTCTCCTTTGTTGCTCAAAATAATCGCCAAAGTCACACTCGACAACGCTCGTATGTGGTTTCCTTAATTGATCACCATACAAGTCTGTGAATATGACTCGAACATTATCGAGTAGCTGGTCGATCCATGTGAGATGTAGCAGCGACTGGTAGACTGCCTAGCACCACATCAGAACACCCTTCGTACCAGATGCATACCAGATGCATACGACAAAAATTAAACCTAAGTCTTTGACACTTGTCCATCGTAATGTATATTTCTCTTTCTTGTAACTTGGATTCTGCGTAGCCGACGCTTCGTTGGCCAGATTCCCTCCGGGCACCGTCTCTTCGATGAAGACATCTTTGATGAAACCATTGATCAGACCGTCCTTCACAGGAGCGTATGATTTTGACCAAAGGACGACACCCGAGGTAGTTAGGATCTCGAAACTGTCCAGCATTGTAGAAGTTTGAGTGTATAGAGTGGGGAATCCGAGGCGCATGCGAACGGTTTTCGGCTGAGTTTCCTTGGGTGGATTTTCTTGGAGACAGCAGACAAGATTTGTTTCCCTCCTACAACCGCAGCAAGAAGGCTATCGCAACGCTTTACTGGCGCATTGACAGGTGAAAACCCTCATATTGGAACACTCAACGTAATGCAAAGACCTGGATATGGCCCCCCTCCAGCACAGTCCCCCCCTTTGCACCACCCTGTCCCTCAGCATGTCTCTACAGTACCCATGATGCGCTCTCCTCCTCCCTCGCAGTCCCAAGGCAGTAACTATGCTGGCTCTCCATATGGCGGGCAACAGCCAGCACACGGAGCTACAGGCCAATTCGCGCCCAACTTCAATTTCGGTGGCATGATGAACGACCAAACAGCCCAAATAGGCCTCCAAATCGGTCAACAGGCTATGACGAAGGGAGGAGCGTACATGGAACAAAGCGTAGTCCTCCCCTTTCCCCATTCTTCATGGTCTTACCCACTTAGCTAACTCCAATTTGACAGCTAAACCGCTATGTCTCCATTCCAGCCCTGAAACACTATTTCAATGTATCGACCCCCTACGTCCTCCGCAAGCTCCTCCTCGTCCTCTTCCCGTGGAGGCACAAACCTTGGACGCGAGCTCAACGCTCCGCCTCTTCCGCCGATGATGTTGGGCCCGTCCCCAACACTGAAGGAAAGCCAGCTTCAAACAGCTACCAATACTACTTCCTTCCTCCGTCCGCCGACCTCAACTCCCCCGACCTCTACATCCCCACGATGGCTGTTGTGACATATATTCTTCTAACGACCTTACTGGCCGGGTTGCGAGGGCAATTCAAGCCGGAGATCATGGGCTTGACCGCTACGACGGCATTCGTGGTTGTAGCGCTAGAGATCCTAGGGCTAAAATTCGGGACGTACATATTGAGCATCAGCAATGATAGCCAGCTTATGGATCTAGTCGCCTATTCAGGATACAAATTTGTTGGCGTGATTGTCACTCTCGTGGCTGCGGAATTGATCAATCGTGGACAAGGGACCGGGGGCTGGGCCGGCTGGTTGCTATTTGGCTACACGTTTCTCGCAAATGCGTTTTTCTTGCTTCGGAGTCTGAAATACGTCCTTTTGCCAGACTCTGCGGGAACGGGGAGTGGGGCGGGTGGAGGCAGCATGACAGTGGCAAGGAGCCAACGAAATCGGAGAACGCAGTTTTTATTTCTGTACAGTTATGTGGTGCAATTTCTGTTTATGTGGATATTGAGTCGAGCGGACTCTGGGGCCGTCAAGGCAGTAGCACCAAAGGCATAGTTCTCAATCGATGACACAATCAATTGGTTAGACTTTATTTATTCAAGTTTATACATTAGCCGGACGTTATGTAGATCTGGCCTTCTTCTTTCACAACCACATCTAGTCCTCTGTCATGACAATGATATGACGGACAGAATTTTTCCACTTCACAAGGTAGAACGTGCCACATAGCCAAGCTACCTTCATTCATATTCCAAGCAATAATCTGTGTAAAGAATGGTTATCCCAAGTCCTAATGTCTCGTTGAACCCTTTCTGTGCATCCACCTGTCCAAGGCCAGCGAGATTATCAAGAGTCGATAGCTATATCAAGAGCTGGGGTATCGTAAGTCTAGATTTGCAAAAAAACCCGAAAATTAATGACAAGAAGCAATGTTTCCGTTCGCTGACTCAACTCCTTGTATGGAAGATTGACTATGTTTAGACACCTTTACATAGACATATTAGTTTTCAGAATTTGATGTGGTGTCACCAGACTTGTAACCAATGCGTATACTAGGGCTGCGGCACTAGAGCGGTTTTATACTGGAATGGAAGCCCTTTTCCCCTGGGCGTTGTAGCGTTGCCAAGTCCCGCTCCATACCATGAACTTGACACTCTTGAAAGCTGCGTCAAAGACATGGGAATTGAATTCAGCAGGGACCATATAATCCGCAAGTGGGTCGTCCAAGTCATGTAGTTGTCTAGTTGTCACAATAGCCTCCCTGCTTTCGTTGTCGCTCGATTTGCGTGTCGTCGCCTTCATTTGATAACTCTCTGCGCCTTTCATGGCGGTTGTCTCGTCAAGCTCGTCCCAGGGAGTAGCATGGGAGCTAGTCAAGGAAGCTGTTCGCCCGTTGTGGCCACGAAGTAGGTCCACCGCTTCCCCGAACGTGGTTTCCAGCCGCTTGTATAACAAGCTTTCGATGTTAATGGGATATGGTGAAACCTTCTCCTGTACCGAGCCAAGATAGATATTGAGAGCTGCTTTGAACATCAATCTTCGAGCTGCAATTGCATCGATGCCCCCAGATGAGAAGACAAACTTCCACTCTCCCAGAAAATGCATCACTCGGTTGAGGAAGAGGATGTTTTCCCCGTTGAATTCCACCTTGGAGGCATAGGCCTGAAGTTCGACGGCCCCTTTCTTGAGGCATTGGTCAAGGGAGTCCATCGTGGACATCTTTCCCTTTGAGCCAGTTGAGCCAGTGGTCATCGACGTGGCATCGCCTTTTAGGAGGCGCTTTGCGTCGAATTCCGCGAGATCTAGTTCTCGTTGTTTTGCGTTGGCAGTTTCTCGGTAGTGTTTCAGTATCTGATGAATAGGAAAGACCAATGTGATGAGTTCCATGGTGACCAAGCCTGGCACAAACCTGACAGAGATCTTAGCATGCTCTCTCCAGAGTATCCCTATACATACCACATAGCGGGCGCCCAGTATTTGTTTACGGGAGCGAAGGAATCGGTATAGACTCCGGCGAGCCAGAGGGGTGTGCCTGGCAATCTTCGTAGTGTTAGTATGTTACATTGTGGGAAAAAAGTCTGCCTTGACTAACCCAGCAACAACTGCTAAAGTCGTTTGAAGACGCCAATGATAGATGTCATGGATTCCACGAATTTTCCATAGTAGATACGGTCCGAAGAAATAATTCCACAAGAATTGCCAGAGAATGGAAGGGGCCCTATCGACTGTTAGTAATTCGGAAGGAAGTCATGTTATTTGGCGTAGTCCTACCATTCCCATCCTCGACGACATAGACCTGGCGATTGTGCCTCGCCAACGATGCCGTAGCTGTTGAACTTTCTCGAGATAGTATAAAGTACCAATGAAACAATGAACTGATGGTTTCAGTCAGTGGCCAGGGTCTCGTCGATGGGTACTCACCTGGACAACGATGCCCGCGAGGATGAAAGCTTCATATTTCCCTTGCATTGTCGCGCCACTCCACCACAGCTTGAAGCGGAAGAGCCAATATGACGGCGTTCCAACGCCATTGGCCTTCCCAAGATTTCCATGCAGAGGCTTGTAGGGCGCAGAGAGGTGCTTCATCTCGTCCTGTTCCTGGCTGACGATCAGAAGCTGTTGGTTCTGCGCTTGAAAGAGTCCGATGCCAATGGGAAGATAGACGGACATGATCCAGAACTCGACTCCGCATGGAAAAGCGCCGTTGAGCGGATAGACCATGAATACCATGAATTGATATACATGAAGAACGAGAATGGATGCTAGTGCAAGATTGATCTTGCGCATCCGAATGACAGGGAGATGGCGGTGTAGCCATACGAAGACACAACCGGCCAGGAACAACAGTGTGTAGGTCACTGCCACAACGATGAAGGAAATACCATATCCATCAAGGTTGGGTTTGGCCCAATTGTGACCGCCAGGGTTCAGGTACCGGACCATGGCGATCGAATGAGCGGTGTCGCTGGCTTCGCGTCTGGGAGTGTTGTGGGCCTTGCTCGATAGAATAAAGGATGCCGTCTGTGACGTTCTTTCCAAAAACGAGCGTGGAGGGTAAAGAGAGAGCGAGAGAGAGAGAGAGAGAAAGTAAGAGTAAGTAAAGGAGTGAATGAAGGATTGAACGCGCAGTGTCGTCACCGAGTGTTGATGGCGAAAGGGGGGAAACGGTAGGCCTCCAATTGAGCCTGCTAGATTTGTTTGCGCAGTTTCGGATAGGTTTGGTGACACGTCCTTTTTCCCAGTCACCGCATGATGGCTCTACAGGCAGGTTTGCGTGGGCAAGAAACGAAGAAATTGACGGGGAAAGAAGAGCCCAAGCATATGTATGAGATGGCACGGCATGAAGCTAGGTTGAGCCTCCTTGCACGGTCCAAGCTACTACCCCTTGATTGGAATTCCCAAAGTCTCTTCTCCTAAGACTGAAGGTGATGGACGGCACGAGTAATCCAGAACGCGACCATCAAGACAAATGACACGGGCGAGAGACCCGTACCAGACAAACAAACACTGACTTATTATTTGCACTAGTGAAAGGCAGAGACCCTGGATTTCTGTTCACATCATGTTCTGCACCGTCCCACGATTTCAACGGTTGGTCTAACCGTGTTGAGGCAAAAGCTCAGGGGGAACATCTGGGAAATCTGGTCAGAACCTTGACCGTCTTTCCGAATCTTCCGACCCTTTGCTAGGCTAGATTCCTTCATCTCGCTATTTATTGCGAGCATGGGACTGAGGATCCTGATCGTGGCTGGCTGAACGGTATGGTCTAGATGCCCTTTGCTGCCTTCAAAGTTCAGACCAATCAATTACGCACCAGGTGAATAATGAACGTCGGTATAGCAGTCGGGTTGATACTCCGTGAGGTACGCACTGCCGTGCCCCTTGCACGGAGGCATACTTGTGCAAACTGTCTTCAAATACCTTGCATAACCATTGCTCCGCCCACCAATACCAGAATGAGGTGTCAGGAGTAGTAGTATATGCTGGCGAGTGGGCTGCTGGCCGGCGTGGCCGCAGCTTTGATGTGTGATTCCACTACTGCTGTGAGTCTGTGAGAAGGTCACAGGAGGTGTGGACGCTGGCGATCGGCACTACGGCAACGATTTTCCTTGGCTAGCGCGGTATGTAAGGTACCATACTAGTTCGAACTCTTAGTGCAATCTGCATGTGGCTGGCCCTCTTTCTAGAAGTGGCCAAGTATAGGGCTGCGATGGAAGTCAATTTTGACTAGCTTCCAGCTTTCGACGCTCCAAGGTTCCAGTGAGTATAAGGTAGAGTAATAAATGGAGGCAGGAGAAAGATTTACTTACTCTTAAAATGCTCGTGTCCCTCACCGTCGGCAAGGTCGATGCCGGCGTTGCCGTGCTCCTCACAGAAGACAAACGCCTGATCGAATTTCCATCCATCCTCCTCCCATCCTCCATCACTTCCGGCAGCATAGTCGACATAACCGTCTCGCGCAATCCTTCGCTCGAATCCGACAACACCGCATCCTTTCAAAACCTCCAAGCCTCCATTCTCGACACCTACGGCCTTCGATCTCCCTCACCGCCTGTCCTCCGCCTTCGCAATGCCACCCAAACCTCTATAGTCCTCGAATGGGATTCCCTATCACTTGAAACAGCCACCTTACGGTCCCTCTCCCTGTTCCGTAATGGCGCCAAAGCAGGTCTCATCCCCCGCTACTCCCGTGATGGGGAAGAAGTTCTCGCCACCAAGGTCTCTGGTCTCGCCATCGACACAGAATACACATTTCACCTCGTAATGCGCACTAGCGCCGGTACATACACCTCTTCTCGCCTCACCGTCTGCACACAGAAGATGACAGATTTGACCGGCATCACTGTCACACCCGGACCCCTACCACCACCTCTACGCTCCTCCCTCTCCGGCGCTGTCGAGCGTATAGGCGCTAAGCTAGTCGACGGTGTCCGGATCGACACTACGCACTTTGTCTGCACCGAAGGCCGCGGTCGGGAATGGGAGCGCGCAGTTGAAATGAACATTCCTGTCGTGCGGCCCGAATGGATTGAAGGCTGCGAGCGAGAAGGCAGGATTGTCGGCGTCAGAGCTTACTATCTTGGCGCAGACCCGAAATTGAGACAAGTAGGTCAGGGCGTAGCTATGCAGCAGCAGCCACCGACGCCCCAGCCACAGCAGAGGGACAGTCCGAGGCAGCAACCGTTGGCAAGGGAAAGTCAGCAGTCATTGCCCATTAGGGAACAGACGGAAAGACCAAGGAGCCCGATTACGCCGTTTCCTGGGGCTCAACAACAGCAGAGCGGGGAAAGGGACGCGGATGACGCAAGTGGGCTATCAGAGGGTGAAGAGCCGCCACCGCAGCCGCCGGCAAAGGATCAGCCAAGGGCGGGAGAGGGAGCGAGGGAAAGAAGTGTCAGTTCGGAGTCCTCGGAAGTGGAAGACGGGCACGCGGGGGATGACGAAGATCAAGCAAGTGAGGCTGTGAGTCCGAGAGACGAAGGTGCGGGTAGTATTGTGAAGCCGCCTCTATCCAGCAACAAAGTGGTAGGTCAGAGTCAGCCGAACTTCAGCGATGTACAACTGTAGACTACGAGAGCAGAAATTCTAGGACTTGATATTGGCATGGATGCTCCAGGGACTTTTTGCTATGAAGCGATAGCTGATAGCTTAATCTTTCAATAAAATCTTCTTCATCCAAGCGTCTGCTGCGATACGTAATGTCTTCTCAGAAATATGCCTGTGACCTGTTAGCCTTACGTGCAAGTCGTATATATGTTGAAGCTCCACTGAGAACAGTCGAGTTCAAAGACCTTTTCATTTGACTGTGCCATTGGTTCAGTACGTTCTTAGGCTTTTCACTGTTGAATCTGGATGTTGAACTCCCTCCGACTTGATGGAATGACAGAACAAATTTAGAAGCCACGAATGGGTTTGAGGATAGAGTAAATCTCCCGTATCATGATTGACGATCTTCTTGGAGATCAGACACTGTGAGCCCGTCTGCTTTAAACAAGGCTTTCTTGATCTCCTCTAATAGGATGCTGGAGAAAAGGGGCGGCACTGCATTACCAATTTGCTTCTTGACGCCAAATTCGCCAAACTTATGACACAAAGGAAACCCTTGTATGCAAGCCAGCTCACGGTGAGTGAAGTCTCTCTTCCCGCTAGGATGGTAAGTCTTGCCCTGAATGCCGGTCGTAGTAACGCAAGTCGCAATTCCGTCACCCGAATACGAAGGCTTATCGCGGAAGATGGCTCCATGCACATCGTGATCTGGCCAGTCGTTTGGAATGTTAGAGATGGATGTATTGATAGAGACCCATGGTTTCAGACCTGTCTCGCTAGGGATTTTGGTATGTGTCGGCTGCGGAAACTCTGGTAGCACTTCTCCTGAGCTTCTATTGTTAGTCATTAATAAGAGCAGGTATACATTTGACTCACCAGGCGGCAATAATCACAAGACGGAGACGCCTCTGTGGTAGCCCATAGTTTACAAAGTTGATGAGCTTCCAGCGAATACTGTAGTCCAACGTGGTAAACATATGAATCAAGCTGTTGAAGTAGTGACGGTGCTTTTCAAATTGTACGAGCCCAGCTGTCTGCTCCAAAGTAACCACTCTTGGTCTTACCTTTTGAAGGATATCAAAAATCGCGAATTGCGAGGCTGTATTCATCTCATCATTCTTTCCCTCGCGAGTGTGAGCTGGCGAAAAGGCTGGACACGGGGGAGACCCATGTAGGACATCTACTCTGAGATCCACGGGGAGGGAGACGAGATCATTCGCCCATAGGCTGTAAACCCTAGTCCCGAAGAAGTTGTAGCTATATGATTCACAAGCTGAATTAGAGAAGTCGAATGCCCAGTTGACTCGATAGCCAGCCATGACCGCGCCGCGAGAGACACCACCAGCTCCACAAAAACAGTCCGCAAATGTGTAACGTTGTTCGTTTGACAGCGACGATCTTTCGACGGAAGGCCGCTTAGTCGTTGCGTACGATTTCGAGGAAGTATTAAAGAGTCTCGGATGATACAAGCTGCTCTGAACTTGAGGATCCGTCAGGTCTATGACATCAACCTGCGCGCGAAGACGTGCAGGATTTTCTTTGCCTGGAATTTTCTGATCACTCCCAGTAGTACTTGGGTCCTTAGCTACAATAAGACGTCCTCCGTATTCACTTTGAAGTACTCTGGCGTTGGTACGGCTACCAGCGTATTTCTGCGACTTGCAGTCATTTTCAGTGATCAATTTGCCGACGCATCCGCGCTCCATTGGGTCCCCAAGGGGCCATTGATCGGTACTAGTCTCTAAAGACTGCCAAAGTCTGAGACCCTCATCACACTGTTGTTCCTGGCTCAAGAACAACTTTTCATTAAGCAGCCAATTCTGGCAAGCTCCACCTCGAATCGTCTTCCCTCGCCAGAGTTGACGTAGATCGTCATCCGGTTGACTGCTGTTCTGACTTGAATCGCACTCTGATTCACGGAGGCGTATTAAGGCTCGCTCGCTCCATTTCCCGTTAGTCCTAGCCAACGAATTGGTATAGAGTGTAATATACTTCCACCTGCAAACAAGAACCCGAGATTCATATACTGTATCGATGTCCTCTTTTGGATCATCGCGAAAACTCAGATCTGGCCATTGCCTGTTAGTCAATCGCAGGCCACGCCGTCTTAAGACTTCAGACATTTCAACTGCCTCTATGGCTTGCTCACGTGGCTCACGACTGTCATCGATGTCCACGTCCACGATCCAGCAGGTCTCATTAACCTTATTAGGTAGAAAGCCATAGACTTCCTTAGTCCGAAGAAATCGCCAGCCCCATAACGTGACTTCGGAAGACATAGTGTTTCTGATGATCTTCGAGACTCTTAAGAAAGAGCCGTCTTGCAGCTCGACAGCGGTTCCGCGGTAGATCTTAAAGCTTAGTACATCACAACTCTCGATTTCGGCGAGTGGGCTCAAGATTGGAGGGTTCCGTGGAGGTATGTTGGCCCTTTTTGCTCGTCTGAAATGGGACCGAGAGTCTTTGGACGAGCTGGTAGATGCAGTTTCTGCGAGCCAAGCGGCAATCGCATCATCGTCCATGAAGTCACGCTCATGAAAGCGGTGCCCATCTGGTGAGAAGCCTGTATTGGATAGCTTTGTCTCACTAGAGTCATCATCATATGGTACTGATGCGTCCATTATGTCGCTCGATGCTGATTACTTTTCAGAAACGCACTGAAGACCACAACGTGGGAGCTCTGGTCTCGCACTTTGAATATCAATCTAGCGTGGACCCTGACAGATACGGATTCCTTAGGCTTTTCAGTCAATCATTACACCTTGCTGACACTCGAGGTATAGAGAAAATAAGATAGATTCTTCATCACCATAGCTCCGTGATGAAGTGTTGTAATATAAGGAAAATCCAGAACGATGAAAATGTGCCCCACCATAAACGACTATTCACGGAGTCATAAATGACTTGCTTGAAATCAGAGTTGGATAAGACTGACTGTCTTGAAATGTCAACAACGAGAATCACGCCGCCAGACACCTAAGGAGAAAGGAGTTTTACAGAAGACATTGACCACAGAAGCTGCCAGATGTAACACATCTCGAAGTAGCTACACCACAGCCTGGAGACAGTAGAAATAGCGTTGAAAGTGAAGGCTATTCATTCACTTGACTATTTTGTCACTTCTCTCACGATCTGTTGTATCAATTAGAACTAGGCAAGCAAATGGGACTTCTCTCTCATTGAACGCTAACACTGATACCCTCAAACGTGGGGCTAGCCAGACGGAAGTGCATAGCCCCGAGGACTTCTATCCTCAGGAAAGCCGCGAGGCTCAAAGCAGCATGCATGCAGTGCCGTGGGCTGCGAGGGGAGCACCTTCAGTTGCAGAAACGCGAAATGCAAGCAATTCGTAGCGGCTTGGCGTTTAAGCGGCGCCACTTCTCCGTCTTTCGGCAGTGGGGTTGAAAAAAAGTTTCATGAGATGCTCTTCCGGTGTTGCAATGATCCAAAAGATGCCTCCTTCAAGCTTTTCCGCAATTCGCTTGTCTTCATCTTTTCGAGACCGCACGAGCCTCTACCTACTCAGCCACATCAGCGACTGGCCAACCTGAAGTCGAATGATAGCTAGTCAATGGTGAATTACGCGGAGAGCCAAGTGAGTAGAAAAGTTCCATTGGTCGTTGGCGTGATAACGTATGATGTTGGGATGAGCAATACTTTAGGTGTTAGACTGCTGAGCATACCTTGCGGACAATCAAATTCTGAACATCACCCTTCTTCTTCAGCACACAGGCTTCAATCTGACGATTATCGTACTAACAGCGGCCTCCAGCTTGTCTAAGCCCCAAATGGCGGCTGTCTAGCTTGTTTGTACGAAGAGACAAAAGAGGGTACACAAAAAATGTGCGGCATTCTGGCTGTTCTCCATGCCCGGGCTGAAGGTAATGCCGTTGCTGCTGAATTACAGTAAGTTGTGTCGATTTCAATGTGGTAATTGATATCATTGACCGTATTGTAGTGAAGCGCTTTATCTACTCGTTAGTCTGAAATGATATTATTTTGTCGACCACTACCTAAAGCAAAGCAGCAACACCGAGGGCAGGACGCTTGTGGGATCTCGACCTGTGCCTCTGAGGGGAGAATATACCAATGCAAAGGCAACGGTCTAGCTGCAAAGGTTTTCAGGGATGGTGCCCGTGTGCAGGATCTGCCTGGTTATATGGGTACAGCAGGTCATGTCGTTGATATGCAATTGCTGAGTACGCTTTCAGGTCTGGGACACTTGAGATATCCTACGGCTGGTACCAGTGCCAACGCAGAAGCTCAGCCCTTTTTCGTGAACTCGCCGTAGTCAGTGCTGTTCTGGGCCTCGGTCCAGTCAATCAACACTGACCCTATGCCGCTCTAGTGGAATATGCTTTGCTCACAACGGCAACCTCATCAACGCCCCCGAGCTGAAAGACTACCTTGACCGTGTAGCGCACAGGCACATAAACACGGATTCGGACAGCGAGTTGATGTTGAACGTCTTAGCCAGCGAACTGAATATTACAGGCAAAGCTCGAGTCAATTGTGATGTAAGTACAATGTTGAGCTTTCAGAACATTACTTTACCTCCCCAAACAAGCACCTAATACATAATTCGGACTCGGTGAGTTTGTCTGGGGTCCCACTAACCTCGATGTGCGCTCAGGATGTATTCGCTGCCCTGGGACGCATGTATGACCGTTTGGAAGGAGGATGGGCATGTACTGCAATGATCGCAGGTATGGACAACAATTGGTTCCAACTCACGTAAAATCTAACGATTTCAAAGGATTTGGTATTGTCGGCTTTCGAGATGCATGGGGTATTCGCCCTCTAGTACTCGGGTCTCGGCCGTCTGCCTCGGGACAGGGAGAGGGCAAGGACTATATGATGGCTTCAGAGTCAGTGGCCTTGCAACAATGCGGCTTCAAGAGCTCGGACATGCAGGATATTCTGCCGGGTCAAGCAGTCATCATACCAAAGGGCAAACCCCCCGTGTTTGCCACCGTTCAGACTCAGAAAGCGTACTGCCCTGTAAGTCTTGCCTTGGAGCCGAAGTGTGTAAAGGACAATATTGAGTTGGGACTATTCTCAGGATATCTTTGAATACTGCTATTTCGCCCGGCCGGATACGGTACGGATCCACCTCATCTGAATCTTTTGGGCACGCATCCGTGCTGCCTCAGCAGCCCAGAATAAAATCATGGCTATGCTAACATCGTAAGGTCATGGACGGTATTAGTGTCCATTCCAGCAGAGAAAACATGGGTTATGCGCTCGCGGCCCGTATCAAAAAGATCTTGTCCCCAGAACAGCTCGCAGAAATTCAGGTGGTGATGCCGATTCCAGAGACGAGTAACACAATCGCGCCTTGTGTAGCTGAAGCCTTGAAGAAAACTTATACCCAGGGTTTCATCAAATCTAGATATGTGAGTCATGGTTTTCTAGATTAAAAACATCCTAAAGATTGTGAGGTTGGGCGTAATTGTTCTAAAACCAGGCCATAAAATTCGTACCTCAACGCTTGAATCCGTTACTGACTTCGATCTCCCGCAGGTCTATCGCACATTTCTCATGTAAGTAGGATCCCGCAAGTTCCTCCTTGATTTGAGATGTCTTCTTCCCCGAGGCCAAATTAGATCTCTATCCGAACGAAAGGCTGAATTACACACCGCAGGCCGGGTCAAAAAGCAAGAGAGCGAGGTGTTCGGCGAAAGTTGAGTCTGATAACTCCTCAGTTCACGAATAAGAACGTCCTTTTAGTGGATGAGTAAGTGTAGATCAAAAAGTTCGAGCTCTGAGAAACCAGCCTGACCGTAGGAAACAGCTCCATCGTTCGTGGGACAACGAGCAGAGAGATAGTCTCTATGGCGAGGGAAGCGGGAGCTAAAAAGATCTTCTTCGCCAGTGCTGCTCCTCGAATCAGATACCCTCATATCTATGGCGTGGATCTTGCGAGTCCTTCGGAGCTCATTTCTCAAGGGCGCACCGTCGAGGAAATAGCCAATCACGTGAGTCAAAGTCCTGTAGCCTTATCACACCATTGGGATGTTCTAGCTTAGAATTTTAAGCCCTCTGGCTTTGGGGCTGTGGGAAGTAGAACACTCGTGACACGTTGAAGTGCTTGCTCCCCTTGGAAGGCAATTTTGCTGACTCCAAGGTTTCTTAGATCGGTGCAGAGGCTGTCGTCTTCCAGGATTTAGATGACTTGCAGAATGCATGCCGTCAGGCAGCATCTGACAACAGAGAAAAGCAGGCTTTTGAGATAGGAGTCTTCAACGGTCATTACACAACACCAGTTCCTAGCGGTTATTTTGAACACCTCGAGAGAGTTCGTGGCGAGACGAAAAAAATGAAAGTGATTGAAAGCGCGCGAGAAGCGGTGGCGAAAGGTTCAGCTGGCGAGACAGAATTTCAGATTGCTGCAAATGGCGCCGAAGTCACATTCGATGGCAATATAGTTCCATCATATTCTCCCGCTACGAATGGTGTAGCTCACGGGGGAGGACAAGCTCTTCCGAAGACAAACGACAAGAGAAAGCGTTCAATAGACGGAGGCGAAAGAGCTCCACGTCGTCGGCAAGACATCTCGATACACAATCCGCCTGACTTCGAGGATGAATGATCAGGGTTGACTTCGCAACATGATAGAGACCTTTTCAGTGTACAATCATGTGTCAGCTTTGCAGATGAGCTAATCATTCGATCGATAGCTAGCTATGAGCTTTGTTGCGAGTTCACAATACACGCGTGTAACGCCGTAGCCTTCTCGACTGAAAATCAATAATTGTGAAGCTAATTGACTTTAACGATGCATTGCTTCCACGGTATCTAGCTGCTAAATACCTATCTACGTCATCAGCGAAGCTTTCGGGACTAGTCGCATCAGCCGCATATGTCTTTAGGACTGGTACTGAATGTCGTTCTCATAGTCTCTTCGACGAACTGAATTGAGACTTGTAACCAGTTGATCTCTTTGGCTTGCTGGCGCCGACTCAATGCTATCCTGCATGGCGGCGGTTTAGAGTCAATTGCATCGTCTCGTCTTGTAATCGCAATCCCCTCATATATTCCCCCAGGGCAGTGATTATGACAAGTCGTGTGACACGCGCGACGCTGGCCAAAGAAGCAGCCTTCCTGAACTCTGATAAGGAAAATGCCACGCCAATAGTTTCAAGTCCGCCTCCCACGCCCAAACATCCTGTTCGGTCAGTCCCCTTATCGCGCACCAAGACGTCCAAGAAGCTGCAAGCTCCTCATACGCAGGTCAAACTCGAAGACTCGGCTGCGCCCCAGACGCCATCAGCGTGTGAAGAGAGGAGCGCTTTGAAAGGCAGACATGAGGTTGCGGAACACGATCATTCTTTGGCGGACGGGGAAACGAGTGATAGCTATCCATCAGGGGAGTCGGTTGGACGAAAGCGCAAGAGAGCAGTGAAGCACGAGGACAGCGATGAATACCTTGGCGTACCGCACAATCTCGGTCCTTTGGCCACAACCAAACGAGGAAGTAGCAAATCTGAAGACGACCAACCCATCAAAAGCCCAGGAAAGAAAAGCGCAGTACAGAAGAGAACGTCGAGGCTTTCTGATAAGTCCGTCGTAAAAACAGCAAAGGACGAAAAAGACGCGGAGAGGGCTGTGCTCCAGCTGGCCCAGGTGAAGACAAAATTTACGGATGAAGCTGAGCGAAGGCAAAGGGCGATCTCCAGTGGAAAGAAATCCAAGAGCGAGACCTATGGTCTTTGCGAAGGCGAAACTCCGTTTCCGCGATGGCAGCACCCTACTCCGGAGGAATGTCAAGAAGTTCATGAATTACTCTTGAAGCATCATCCAGACACAAATCCGCAACCTCAGACGATACCACCCCCGTCTGAATTTGTTGCTGGTTGTGGCGAAGTCCGGTCAATACTTGATGCCTTGGTTCGGACTAGGCTGAGCGCGTCAACAACAGGCCGGAACTCCAATGCAGCGTATCAGGGCATGGTGCAAAGATATGGACTTTTAAAGTCAGGCGTCGGCAAGGGCAGTGTCAACTACAATGCAGTTCGTATAGCCCCAGTGCAAGATTTATTCTATGCAATCAAGGGCGGCGGCCTTGCCGTTTCGAAAAGTGCAGACATTAAAGCCGTCCTCGATATTGTGTTTGACGAAAATCAAGCTCGGCGTGAAGAACTGCTTGCTGCTAAGGACGACAGCATTTCATACAAGGGCCCTAAAGGGGCAAGTGTAGAGAATGAAAAGCAGAAAGCGACGGAGATCAAGCTAGCAGAAGATGAGAACCTTTCCCTCGATCACTTCTATACTCTACCTACATACGATGCTATCTACAAATTCATGACATTCCCTGGTATTGGTGTCAAGACTGCTGCCTGCGTAGCCATGTTTTCCATGCAACGGCCTGTATTTGCAGTCGATACGCATGTATTTCGCTTGGCCAAGTGGCTTGGCTGGGTACCTCCCCCAGAAGAAAAGCAGAAAGGCGATAAGTCCGTGGACAGAGACACGACTTTCTCCCATCTCGAGATACGCATCCCGGATGACTTGAAATATATGCTTCACCAGCTGTTCATTAAACATGGCAAGACCTGTCCAAGGTGCAGGGGTAACACCGGAGAAGGCAGCCAAGGCTGGGCAAAGGGATGCCCAATAGACCATCTGGTGCAGCGATCAGGACCGCGGAAAAGTAATATAGACAGTCCTGCAAGTACGAAAAGCCTGGCGAAGAAAAGGAAGACCGCGGAGGAGAGTGAAGAAGATGATGAGAGCGAGGAAATGCCGGATCTCGATGACCAGGACGAAGGCGACGGAGGACCGATTCCGATGAAGAAAAAGGCCAAGGCGCCAACAAAGGCGCCAACAACATCAGCGGCCGCTGTTCGAAGTACTCGAGCAAAGGACACGGCGGATGTGCCTTCTCCAAAGGGGCCAACGATGGCGACCAAGCGGAAGCGCAAATCTGCTCCCCGGAACGGGTGGCGAGGTGGGAAAGCGATCTCCTCTCGCGAGGCTAGCACAGACAGATGACAACATCGCAACGTGAAAAGAGTACATTGTTTTGCTTTGCATATATATGGCTGGGGAGAGCGGCTGGCTTTACGCTCGACTCACTCGATTATTGTATATGAATAGGCCACTTGTAAAAATACTTGCTGTGTCGGGTGGCGAGAAGATTTAAATGTGTTGACATGATTAGCTTGAGACAAAACCCAAAGTGGCTTTTGAAATAGATGTTGAGCGAGAATGGGACCGAAGGCAGCCATTGAGTGAACAACTTCGGCTACAAAGCTATGATTGCAGTGTCTCATGACGTCTTGACCGCTTACAATCATACGGCTAGTACCACCTAGACGACATGCAAACCTCACCTTCGTGAGTCCTTTACTGCTCACGGACTTTTAAAAGCGACTCCAACCATACTCCCTTTTCATCCCCTAGGCCTTTTCGCTGATGAACCCAACCCCAAACAGCCTTGTCTCTCCGGTCCATATCACTCGACTCAACACGCAGTAGACATTCCACTATTTCATGATGGCAACCGGCTCTCAAGACTGCAGTTTGAAGGTGCTCTGAGGTAGGCTGAACCCCGCCAGCAGCAGCAGGCGCCTTTTGTAATCCGTCAATACGAGCGAGGCGAGGAACGGGAAGTAATGACCGAACAGCAGACACATCACTGTCAAGTATCGCATGTGTCAGGCTATTGCATGCGATCTCATAGTCAGTCGAGTCGGTTTTGTCAATGTAGGCGTCAGAGCGAAAGAGCAGGCCAAGGAAACGACATTTATCATCTGTCCACGGCGGTTGTAATAATTTGACTGGGATCCGCACAGTGTCGAGATAAGGCTCCCCTTCCTTCATACAAACGAACGCTTGCGGGTTGCGCTTTAGAAGAGCCATGATCCAAGGATACGTTAGCCATTTGAGATTTAATAGCGCTGCTTGCAAGTCAGAGACGTCTGTCGAGGAACCAAGGTGGAATGAAGACACGTTGCCAGTTACAGCCTGTTGCATCCGTCTGGAGAACACATCGATGAAGACTGTTGACTGTAAGCCATCGTTTGATAGCTTTTTGCTTAGAGGCAGTGAAGCTGCTAGAAGCGCGAGGTTGTTGGCGCTGAGACGGAAGATGTACTGGAGCAATTCAGGAGGTAGAGCTTCCAACAGCGATTGCCGATGTCTTTCGGCGGCCTGTGACTTCTCTACATTCAGGACGAGGGGAGTCGCGGAAATGCGCTTGGGCTTTAGCTTGGACCGTGTCTTCCTCAAGTCTTGTGCCGGTTTTTGCCCATGTGCGTAACGCTTGCCTCGGATTTTCACAGACGTAGGATCCATACGAATGCCGATCACTCTTGTTATACCTGATCAATGCATGTGTTGTTTGGTCCGGCTATAGCATCGTAAAATGGTGCGGTGACCATCTGCGACAACAAGGACCCACGGACGCCACATATACAGAAGATCGGCACCGCTAATCCTAAACAGGCTTAGACTACCTGTGGCTGTGGTGGCTTGAACTGCCGATCTGATTTAGCTTGCCAGTCTGTGATGCCGCATGATGCTTGCTCTTACACGTCCTTTGCCTTGGCTACCACTCGGTCCCATGACTTTCAAAGGAAAGCGTGTGATTTGCGCAAGATTGTGTTGCGCGAGCACCGATATCCGGATGAGTGACGTCCGTTGCAGTCGCCCAAGTGATCCTATAAGAAGGTAGGCTTTCCCAGATTCAGAAAGGGAAATTGCACCTTCCGTACCCTGCGCGCTTGAAACCTTGGAAATCTGTTCCCATTCTCAGAAGGAAGGGACAAAGCATCTTCACTACATCAACCTCCCAATACTATTACAAGTCGACATCTGCATCACGTCCTTCATAAGCTGTAGCTTCTTTTGGCTACGGGATTCCATTGTTTACTTTTCATAAATCCCAATAGTAACAGCTCAACAACATTTCCAGCACCTTTCACCTCACAATCCGCAAGCTACTAGACATCTCTCATCATGGGTGCTGTACTCTCCTGCGTAAGTATACATTTATTGTTTCGACGATAGCGATGATGCTGACTGTCAACCGTCATAGATTCAAGATGTCTTCCGCTCTATCGGCCGCTGCATTATGGCTGTCGTCAACGCCATTGCCTCAGGTCTTATGGCCATCATCAATGGCATAGTCAGTGTCTTCGGCATCATCATCGGCTGCCTCACTTGCCAGCGCTGTGGAGGCCGACGCAGGAAAACCACGAGTGCAGTCTAATCCCTCGAGTGATGAGCAGCCAAGGATGATGGAGCAGATATCGTTGGGCCTTGCTCGAGGGAGTGCGTGGGAGAAGCGAGAGTGGAGAGTGGAGAGTGGAGAGTGATACCCCGTTGAAGATAGCGCTGCATGGACAATGGAGTCGTTCTACATGAGACGGAAGCGTTGAGATAGCATCAGTTCAGGGACGTGCAGGGCACTCAGGAATACGTTTTCCCTAATTAATGGTAGCATCCTAATCAAAATCATTTGAAGATCGGATTCGAATTTGAGATGAGAACTTTTGCATTTTGTTCTACTCCAATACGTTGGAAATTATGCAAACCCTTCACCTGCCAAACGGACTTCTTCCGCTTAAGCTGTCATGGACCCTTTTTACCAGCGCTCGATTTTCCAGCATGGCATACCATTACTGGCCCTTGCCACATTTGTTATTTCCGTCACATTCGTAGTTGTCGTCTTCAAGCTGGTAGTCCTGAACAATGGAGATGAGCGCGCAGTAAAATTCATAATACCTATCCCAGAGCAATGCTCTCCAACTTGGAAAGGTGAGACCTTGAAATTTCCAAGTGTGAAGGTGCGACTTTGCCAATGAGAGGTGTGACGTTCATCTGATTTAAAAAGCAGATTTCCGGTTCTACTTCCATACAATGCTATTGTCCTGCTCGTGGACAACTTCTTGGTCGAGTGAACCCTGCATCCCTTGATGGGATCGATAGGGCCGTTGCTAGGGCAAAAGATGCACAAAAGCTTTGGGCGAAGACTACATGGACGCAGAGGAGGAAGGTGTTGAAGACCCTACTGAAGTGAGAGCTCATGGGGATCACAGCGAACAGCAGCTTGTGCTAATCGATCGCTCACGAAGATATGTCCTCGAGAATCAAGAGTCTATTACAACTGTAGCCTGTCTAGACTCTGGAAAAACCAAAATAGACGCCTCATTGGGGGAGATACTCGTGACGACTGAAAAGTTGAAATGGACTATCCAGCATGGAGAGAAGGCATTGAGCCCGGAAAAGAGACCACTGAACTTTCTTATGATGTACAAGCATAATGAGGTCAGATGGGAGCCATTGGGCGTTGTCACCGCTTGCGTTAGCTGGAAGTAAGCTATATCTAGTACTCCAGATATGACCCTTGCTGATATCGGTCGTAGCTATCCCTTCCATAACTTCATCTCGCCGTTCATATCAACGCTCTTCACTGGCTCAGCCTTGATTTTGAAAGCCTCCGAGAATACAGCATGGAGCACACAACATTTCGCACAAATAGCCAGAGGGGCTCTCAAAGCCTGCGGTCATTCTCCAGACCTCATCCAACCCATTGTGTGCTGGCCACAGAATGCCAACCATCTCACTTCCCACCCAGACATTGCTCACATCACATTCATCGGCTCTCGCCCCGTCGCTCACCATGTGGCAAGCTCAGCCGCAAAATCTTTGACACCCCTCTGCGTTGAATTAGGAGGCAAGGACTCCGCTGTAATTCTTGATGACATCAAAGACGTCTCCAAAGTCGCTAGCATACTCCTCCGAGGGACTTTTCAATCGGCCGGCCAGAATTGTATCGGCATTGAGCGCATCATCTGTTTGCCCAATATCTATCCACAGTTGGTATCCGTTCTCGAGCGACGTATTCGCAACCTTCGCGTCGACACCTCTCTTGACGATGATAATATAGATGTTGGTGCTATGATCGACTCAACTCGCTTCTCGCACCTTGAAAGCCTCATTACCGAAGCCGTTAATCAAGGAGCCCGATGTCTCGTTGGTGGTCAGCGCTACCGTCATTCCAAGTACCCTTCAGGCCATTACTTCGCTCCCACGCTCGTCGTAGACGTTACCCCCAGCATGAAGCTAGCACAAGAAGAAGTCTTCGCGCCAATCTGCACGCTGATGCGCGCCTCATCACTTCCTGATGCAATCGAAATCGCAAATTCCACGCCCTACGCTCTTGGCGCTTCTGTCTTTGGCGCCAGTCGCTCCGATCTCGAAACCGTGACTTCGGGTGTGCACGCGGGTATGGTCAGCATCAACGACTTCGGCGTTACGTACGCGGTATCTCTGCCATTTGGCGGGATGAAAGGAAGTGGTTATGGGAGATTTGGTGGCGAAGAAGGACTGAGGGTATTATGTAACCAGAAGGCTGTCTGTAGAGACCGTTGGCCTGCTTGGGTGAGCACCAGTATCCCGCCCTCGTTAGATTATCCAATTAGAGGTGCGAGGAAAGGGTGGGAGACTTGTGAGGGAGTCGTGGAGCTGGGGTACGCAGAGGGATGGAAGAGATTAGGGGGTTTTGTTGAAGATCATGAGGAACGCATAAGCCGAGAGCAAGCAGTGCCTGTTTACGTGACGACTTTGAGGGAGGATATTAGAGAAATGGAGAATCAAAGAATGGACTTAGCTGTACAATAGAGACCTGCACTCGTACATGGGAGATGGATCGCTTTCATAGGAGGGAAAACATCTAGCTTTTCCTGATTCCGCTTGATGGAGTGTAAGCGTTTCCTCAGTTATGAACGATCGCTAGGCTAAGTTTGAATATTGTCTATATTTCAGTCATATGTATTGTTCTCGCAAGGAAGTTGAGTCCCACCTCGCACTTTGTATGTATTTCTCTATTTCGGGGGTCTTGTCTGGTCGAGGATGTCTGTTGCCTTTGAGAGTGGACGCTAACTTTCCTTTTCCAGCTTCGCACACAAGACACCGAGATGAGATTAGGGAGAGATATCTTTGCAAGGAAATAGAGGGGGAAAGTGGTCCACTCATGGGTAAATCACTACAAAATGACGAAATCTACATTCCTATACTAAGCGTGTTCGTCTTTGCTTCGGGAATCACTCAGAAAGAATTTGGTGAACATTATATGAGACAGGTGCGACACGGACTCCTCGAAACATAGATAGCGAAGCCTAATGAATAGGAAGAATAACACATGAGTATTTGGAGTCTGGCAAGAAGCCAGACCTACGGCATTCTTAACAGAACGATACTTCTGCAAAAGGGTTTTCTGTCCAAAAAGATTTATTCAAAAACTTCCAGATTCGTCTCCGACAGCGATGCTCTTAGTAGTTGATCGGGACGAATGCTTCCAAACTCTAATCAATTTAATGAAGGTGTTACTAGGACAGAAAATGAGCTACTCCATACTTTTTTCTCGTTGATGCACATCTTTCGAGGTTTCAATTGGCAAGGTCAAAATTGATATGGACCTTGACGCCGTGAATGCCAGGCTCTTGAGGAGACCAAGTCCAGCAGCCCCGAACGTTCAGCCATATCATTCCTCACCTCGGATCTCAAGCCACGTGCAAATCCCGTGCTGTTGGTGTTGGAGGTGTCACCTTGCGAACACTCTAAGCTCGAAAAGGGTAATCCGACCAACTATCTGCTGCATCTACATACATCGAGATGGGTTTCAGAAATCGGAGTCGGCCCGCCAAAATCACTCATCCAAATGATTCATGCGGCGTGAGCGATGACCATGATGCGGCCAGCGGACCCTACTCTCAGCAGAGTTTCTGGAATAACATTGATAGGTTGCATCTCTGCCTTTCCGTTGAAACACACAGTGAAAGCGCAAGAAGGAAGAAAATGTCGGTCTGGACTTTCATGTAGATGAATGCAGGATTCTATTTTTGCGATAAGCGATCGTCAAACGCTCGCTTTGAGTGCGTTTGATGCTTTGCATGTCTGAAACAACTGAGCCGTCAAGTGAGGAAGCAGAAATGAATGAAGCGGAAGAAGCGGCGCTTGGGGTATCAAAAGCACATTGCACCACTGTGGGCGTTTCAGATGCCCGCGGGAACAGGAAAGGTGCGGATAGCGTGAAGGGAAGGTCGAAGAGTGATCATGGCAGGTTAGTCGCGCTGCTGATACTGAGAAAGCAAAACGTCGAAAAAACGCCTCTGTGTTTGAGCAGAAGCAGTCTGCGGGCTATGATCTCCCATGAGACCTGGGCGAAATGGTTCTGAACCATGGGCTTCTGGGGCCAGTGTACAGAGTGAGGACTTCGAAGAGTCTGGCGATCGATGGTGGCACATTGAGAGCAACGAAGAGAGTGCCTCATGTCTTGCTTTGGGTCGTGGTCGGTCAGACTTGTTGGAGTCGGTTGGTGATTAGATAAATGGCGTGAATTCTACCAACGGCAAAGCCTTTTGACCTTTGGACCGTTTTCCATTGGTGGACTAGGCGGCGGTACAGCAAATCTTCACGGCGACGTGCAGCAACGCGGAATGCAGCCTCGCTGCGTAACTGATCATCGACTGCGAGCACAAGCGCAAGTGAAGCAGTCCACGCTTGTGCGTCGAATCCTCTATCCAAGTTGCAGGTATGATGCCTGTGTCGCCAATAATGGAGTTTAGCGCGTCAATGTGGTGAGGGTGAGAGCATGGTAGTAGCGCGGCTCAACCGTGCAAGCCTCATCAGCATGACGTCTTGAGCGATTCTTCCGTGGGGAGCAACGAAGATTATCATTATTATCAACGTGATACTCTAAGACGCCACAGGCTCAGGGTACTGGTCGACATGGATGATGGTGGTGGCATGTTGGCAGCCAAAAAAAGTTAGTCAGTAACAATGAAGCACAACAGTCAGCATCGATATCAAATCCCGCTAGAGAGTGCTGTGCCGAAAACCGCTGGAACGCTTGTGGGCAGAAAGTCGCATCGAAAGTCTCTCTTAACCAAGTGCCAGGGTCTTACAACTCGCGTGCGCTGATGGCATCTCGCCTGTAATTAGAGCGATATTTCACGGAAGATTTTGCGCGACTGGTCCAATCGGGAGATTACATGACGGTCGATGGGCGCACGCGTTCGATGTATGGTCGCTGACCGGACCGGGCAAGGCTGATGACTTCAGCGACAAGACTGACCTCAGACCCTTATATTCATTCACACAGGCGACACTGAAGCGAAGAGAAATGCACTGGTGGGCTTCCTGCGACAGACTTCCTGCGTACTTCACCGTGGATTATATGGATTTTTGCTCTCTGGTCATCACTGACAATGAAAACGGGATTACTACTCAAGCGGGCCAGTCTGTCCGTAGTCCGTACATCATCTAGCTAGTCGTAGTCGTCCTCAGGCCGTGTCACCTGGCATGTTGGGGGCAGTCGAGACGACCCATGGGGTCAGAAGGTAGGTACCTTTAGGCGCAAGGATGGGAGAAAGAGTACAAACGGTTGTTCGCCATCATGAGCAGCGGGCTAGGCCATTAAGGCGCTAGACTGGTGCTCCCGCCGCAAATAGATGAAACAACCTAACGGGCCAATGTGCAGGCCAGTATCACCGCATTCACACCACACACCACACGCACTGCCTGCTATGCCGCAGCACACCAACGTTGGAGAGAGGCCTAAGCCTAATTATTGCTGATGATGCATCATCGGCAGAGCCGGTGGGGGCATTGCAGTCCTCTGGCTCCTCTTGCAGGCATGCTGTTTCACTTCACATGGCCTCTGCCGCCGATCGCATAGAGCATGGGGTCAGCCCAGATCTTGCCCTCCGTCGCTCTGTCATGCGACGCAAGCTGAGACTTTGCTGTGCGCGCCGCCGGAAAGTGAATTTGCTTGTCCTTTAATGCCCCCAATCGCAAATCCATGGGGGGTGAATTGTTATGTTACTGCCGCTGTAAAACCAGTGCTTGTCCGACCTCCTTCTGAGATTCCTTTCTGCCGTGCCCCCATCTTGCTGAATGCCTTGGCTGTGCTGCTACGATTAGGAAACACATCCTCGTCGTCGTCAGCAAGCACACATTCGGGAGAGCTGCATGAACGTGGCCAAAGCCTAAGAGTCCAAGACTAACTCCGTTGCGGATTTCGGTCAGCGCAGCGTCACAGGACGGCCACTTCAGGCCCCGAATTGGTGGGCAGGAAACAGCATACTGGGGTCGCCCCCAGTAATTACGGCCTCACCAATTGATTTGGGAACTCGTTATTTTATTGCATATGTGAGTTCTAATTCAGGCCGACTGTCCTTGCCCCAACTGTTGCTGATGTGGGCTGTGCCGTGCCTCAGAAACACCCAGGTGCAAAGCCCCCATCCTTAGGCGACCCACTCTACTGCCTCAACCAAAAGGCCACATCATGTCTCAGCCAGGGTGTGGTATCTTCTCACCCTCTTCCCAAAAAGTTGATCGGAGGAACAGTCTTCGCAAGTCCTTTATCCTGAACCCAAGACACAAACGTCATACATCGGACAGGCCTGTCCCGTCGTCGACACCAAGCAATGACAGCTCTTACTGTACTCATCAACATACCAGATCGCTTTCAGACAGAATGAAGCATTTGCAGACGCGCAAGAAGAGGGAGCAGGAGATGCAAGGCATCATGCAGCGAGGTCCCTTGAGGGCTGCCCCGTGCGGGAAAAGGACTCCTCGACATATGGATCTCCTGGAGGCTGCGTCTCAAACAGACAGTGATTCGTTGTATCAGAGGCAGACACCCAGGCTGGACAACAGAGTACACCCGGAGATCGGTGTTGGGAAGGAAAATGGTCCTGAGCAATCGCAGAAGCAGAAACCTAAGCCTTTCAATGGCGATTCGTCCTACCACCAAATTGCGTACAACCAATACATGTCGAGTGCCTTCGGACTTGAAAGTGAAGGAGAACTCAGACCTAGGAATGCTCCTGTAGAACGATTGCGAAGGCCTGAGGTCTCGCTCCACCGACCGGACTCCGATGCCAGCGCGATGACGACCGACTCAATGGAGGTTAATTTTCACATGGCTGACAAAGACTACCCGGCGCCGTCTGTGCTCTCAGCCAAGGATAGAAGACCAAAGATTCACGTTCAAATACCTGGAAAACAACCACCCACGAAGCGGCCGACGTCGACTGCCCATTTGGCCACGCAGATCGATAGGCGGAAAAGCAAGCTAAGGACTAAATATTCGTCGCAGCAAGTATCTCCACCATCAGCGAATGGCGCTCCAAACAATGAATTGCCTGCGCGACTTTCCGTGGTGTCTCCACTTTCAGTCATGGAGATGCCAAAGCCGCGAAGGCCGTTCTCCGCTTGGTCGCTCGAGGACATGACCAAGAACGAAGGCAGGAAAGCCGCAGCGAGGGGCCAATCTTCATTGGAAAAACCTGGAAATTCGGACTCATCGGACGACACTGGTGACACGGACGATAGATCATCGACGTACACAAGGCGGTCTTCAATGTCCAGTCTCACGTCAGAAACCACGGCGAAAACCTTGACGCGGCGGCACAGTATTGCGTTTTCGATTGCTGACCCAACTACTGCGGGAGTCTTTGACCCCGCACCAATCGTGCCTCAAGTCTTCTCTGGTGTAAGAGCGATGCAAAGTACTACTTCTTTGGCTCCTGACACGAACAAACCTTTACCACCAGAACCTGGCCTAGAGGAAGTTAGACCACTTCGGTTGCCGAACCAGTCATATTCTCGCGGGAGCGATTTACATCCAAGGCGTAAAGCACCATCTCCCCTTAACATTTCTCGTTCATCAAGTGTTTCCACTGCCCATCCAAATCGCATGTCATCACTGCGATCCAAATATACCCCTGCGGATCTTGACGCTCTGGATGCGGCATTTGTGAAGTCTAGCCCACAAGTTGCTGATTTCCATCGCCCTCGGGAGCCATCCTGGGAACAAGCTCAGACTGCGTTGGAGGAGCATTTGGATACGATTGCAGAAGATGAATCATCTTCGATAGTCGTTCCGCTTGCTTGCGACCCTCTACAAATCAGCCGTGGTCCAAATGATATGGTGCCTATGCGACAGGCTCCAGCCCCTCCGTCAGCAGCAGCCAGTATTAAGTTAAGTGATGGTAGTATTAGTAGTCGGAACCGGCTTAAGAAACAGCCATCAAAACATGTCGTTATGCAAATGAAATCCGATGGAAGCGAAATCCGGAAACGTATTTCTGCGCCCGTGAGCGTGAGCGGAAGCATGAGCAAAGCAAACCGTGTTCTTGGCAAAAATGAGCCTGAGCAGCCAGTGCCTTCAAACAGGTCAGTTCAGATGTCCAGAGAAGCCAGTAATGAGTCAAACTGGGACTCGAGCGACTCTCCTGACACCTCTTACAATGGTGATACTTCAAGCAACCGAGGAGACACAACTACTCCTGAAACCGATGTATCGTCAATACCGGACTATGCCTTTGAAGAGATAAAAGCGAGGATGGAGTTGCTTAGTCCTAAGAATGATTCTCCCACCCTTCCGGAAGCTGACAAAGCCTGGGATCACGCAGAACCTTTCTCTCCTAATAGGCTGCCTATCCAAGAACATATGAATATGGATTCAAGATCATGCACTTCCGAGAACCATGTAACGACCAACGACCAGACTCAGTCATCGGTTCCCGATGTTGAGATTACTCCTATGAAAGATGACTTAGAAATTTCCGATAAGATTACCGCCAGTTTTGAAGATGTCCAAGACTTTCCGCCCGCTCGTCTGAGACAACGCCTAGGAAGCGTACAGGAGAGCATTAGACCTCGGTCACTTGCCTCGATTGCAGCGTCCGAGATTCCAGATCTATATGCCGACTTGCCGGCTTCGTTAGAAGAAATGTCCGCTGAGGAGGCTGACCGCGCGATCTCCGCTGACGCCGCCGAGCGCGTCCTTCTCCGCATACTTGAGCACCTCGATAACCTTCAAGATCTGTTCGCTACCGCAACTGTAAGCCGCGGGTTTTATCGTACGTTCAAACGACACGAGCTTCCTCTCATGAAAAATGCCCTTTACGGCATGTCGCCGGCTGCTTGGGAGTTGCGGGAGGTCACTCCTCCATATCCTGGTTTGCAAGGTGACGGTGAATCGTCCCCTCTCCTTGACTACACACCCACTCTTTACCTCCAGCATTACATGCGCGACATGTATACGATGATTGCTCTAAAGTCTATGATTCTCATTCATTGCGAATCTTTCCTCCGAGCCGACACTATCTCGGCGCTTGCAGGCGGTGAGACAGAGCGTGCATCTCAGATTGATGATGCATTTTGGCGGGTTTGGGCATTCTGTCAGATTTTCGGGTGCGGAACTAATCGAGAGGAAGACATCCTTGCTCAAATGGATTGGCTTCGCGGTGGCCCTCTCGCGAAGAAGGAAAAACGGTATCAGAATCCAGCTGCTAAATTCAGTGCCGTCTTTGTGCCAGATGTCTCATTTGGCTTTGGCAACGTCGACGGTCTTACAGCGGAGGAGCTTTACGACATGACTGAAATCTGGACATGCATGGGTGTCCTCGTGAGAGGATTTCACGGCAAAAGGCAAGAGGCTAGGGAGTATGGTATCTTTGATAATGCCTGTGACCTCACCCCTGGTAACGTGGAACAAGAAGACGCTGTCCTGGGTATGTGAGCTTGCTTTAGTGGTTTTGACAAAGCTGACTATAGCATCAGAAGAATGGACGTACCATCTACTGACGCTTGCCCCGCCAACTGTCCTCGACGTTACTTCCCCCACAACTCCCACCGCTGCAACCTTCGCCCATGCGCGTTCTCGGAGTTACACGACTTGGACACCTCCGTCTGTCTCTCGTGCCACATTTCTGAAGGAAGCGCTGTCCCGAGTCTATCAGGATCGTATTGCCGAAACACACTCTAATTCACCTCCTGTGTCTCCAGCAGCCGTTATCACCAACCCTTCGATTCAAGAGCCGGACGAGCAGGAGATCTCTAGCGAAATTTCAGCCGCCCGTTGGCGATGCGCACGCCACGCTGCAGAGATCAGAGCGAAAAGAAACCAGCCAGGATTCGATAAATTGCCGCCTAGTGAGGAACGTCCTATGAGCAACTTCCCGTCTGTGCTAGAGAAACTTGACTCTGGTCACGCGGAGGCGGATACCCCACCTGTACCAGCTATCCCACCTAGGGCCTCCCGCACTCCATCGTCAGCTGAGTCGAAGAGTTCTCCAAAAAAGACTCATGCTAAGCAAACTTCCACTGATGACACTTCCAAAACCATGGTCTCGGCCCTTGTCGTTCCGCTTGGGCCTCAAGTCCGAGATCCGGTCGACGTCGCGGTCGAACGACTTGTCGCTATGGGATTTGAGAGCAAGAAGGCAAAGCGCGCTCTTGCCGATAGCGACACTGGCAACTCTATCAATTTCGAGGCTGCGCTTGAGAGTCTTGTGAGGGAGCGCAAGCGCGATGTCGAGGGTCTCATGCATTTGGGTTGGAGAGGAACCGTCAAAGAACGAAGAAGGGAGATCGAACAGCGTCAGTCGCAGCAACAAGCAGGAACCCTCGGAAAGGAGCCAGCCGTGGGGTTGGGTATTGGACTTGCTTGAACGAGAGAGTGATGGCCTTGGATTTTGATTTGTTTCTCATGAGTCTGCCACTTGCCTTTTTGAACTATACCCCTCTGCCCTGCCTGCAATGGATGGCTCGCAGATGCGATCTCTGGAGATAGTTGATCTAGATATCAATATGTCAGTATGCTTTGCATGCAAAACCCTAAGAATTCCAATATCCTACCTTTTGCAAATTGAATTTTGGCGCGTCGTGACAATCTCTTGAGATGCCTGACCGTTTGGAAGGATTCTGAATGGCCTCTTAATGATCAATTTGGTTGTCGCCTTTCAACGGACGGCTACCCGTTATTCAACGGTTCTCTAAGCGTTCTATAACGGGGTCTCTCGATCCCCTATTTTAATGACGGAAGGTACGAATTGTTCACAAAGGGCTAGTTTGACATCAGGAAACCTTGGCACGTAACGGTTATCGAGTCCTAAACAGGCTAAAAAGTCCAGCAGACCCGCCGTCCCAGAGTCAGCTTCCATTCTGCGCGTCACAAATGATGAGATATCGAAGCGGCCATTGTGCCGTCGCTAGAGAGACTAGTGACATGCTTCTCCACGTGGGGAAGCGGTCTTTTCGGCTTAGAGACTTGATATCAGCTTCTGAATCAATTTAATACATCTATCTTGAATGCTCTCCCATCATTCATCTGTGAGATAGGCCCTCAAGATACACTCTCGGTGATCAGTGTCAGCTGCCAGCTTGAGGTTTCATTCGTACAGGCATGCTATTCCCTGCATCTATCCCCTTCTTACTGATGCGGCATTGGTTCTCCAAGATGTCAATCATTATATAGCTGACATTCATGGGTTGGTTTTACAGTTACCTGAGGAAGAGAAGCACCTTTCACAATCCTACAAACTCCCCAATCAAGCCATGGGATCAGCGGGACCGCTCAAATTCTCACATTATGGAGATGCGCAGAACAAATTTGTCAAGACACTGCCTCTGATTGCCAACGACAATGCATATCTGGCCGATATTTTCACATCGTATGTCACGTCCATTTGACCACTGGCCTTGCTGCACACTCATGACAGATGCTTCCATAAATATCTCATGTCGCAGGTTGTTAACGAGTGACTTGATAGCGAGGAAATGGATCCTGAGAAGCCCATCAGTGCAGGCTTCTACCGCCTTGACCCCGGCAAACCTCTTGAATATACATATACATATAACGAAATGAAAATTATCGTCGATGGAGACTTCGAGATCTCAGACGAGAGTGGCCAAACAGTCAAGGCAACGAAGGGAGATGTCTTTTTCTTTCCTAAGGGTAGCAAGATCACGTTCAAGACTGTCAATGGTGGCTTGGGCTTCTTCTGTGGGCAGAGGAAGAAGGACAGTGCATGAGTCAATTCGAACCCGGACGGCACATGACTGAAAGGGTGCAGACTACAATACCATAGTGAAGGTGCCAGCGTTGGCTTCTCTACCTTGCATGCAGTAAAACGTTTTTCTGCAGCATAACGATGGCCCTTCGGTTACCATGATTTGGCCATGGCTCCAGGCTTGATACATTGTTCAAGCCTCGTAACTTTGAAGAACGGCTGTGTCACATAGAATACGGCCGTAAAGGATTAGGATGAGAATGTCTGCACAATAGCTAATATGTCGACGGAAAAGAAGGCAGCCATGCTTGCACAAGCTGCGTGATAATACATTCTGACGCTATTCGATGCCAAGGTTGTGTGTTGTGAAGTAGTGTGCAAGACAATTTGTATGGAAGCTGCCAGGGCCCCACTGCTCCCCCTAAATTTTAGCGTGCCCGAATGCACTGCCACGTAAGAAACCCTCCCTCTTCCCCTGCACTACCGGTATTTTCAATCTTCCCAATACCACCAACGATACGAACACATACGAAACATTATCGAAACCTTGGTGAAAATGGGTCGCATCGGGGACGGAGACGTCCACGCTGCGTATGTTGAATTTCGAGCGAAAGAATCAGACAAAGTCAGTTGCCACCTCTCTTGCAATCCCAGCCATTTTCCCTCAAGCATACTCCCTCGAAATCCGCTCAATATTTCCACATATCTTTCCTACACCAATACTAATCTGACGACGTCTAGTGTCTTTCGGCGCAATGCATATACTGCCAGTCTGTTCGGGCAAAGAATACGTCACGTCAGCGTCAGCATCTGCTGGAGTGTCCAAACTACCTAGCCGCCATGAAGGAACACAATCCAGACAACCCTATCCTCCATGAGTCGATCAATGGCCCACCCCCGCCGCCGACTCCAAGCCAGCCAAAGCCGAACAAGAAGCGCGACCATGACAGTATGATTTCGGGCTTCCAAGGAGAGGCTTCTGTGTCCAGGAACTTCCCCATCCCTAAACCGGTGCTAGAAAGAGATTTCCAGATGAGCGTCCAATTGAACCCTAAAATCAGTGTTGGAGTCGGAATCTGGGGCCAGCGCAATTGGGTCAGCTACATTAGCGGACACTGGAACGGGCGTTGGGGGAAAGGCACTGTCGTGGTAAGTTCTGCCCTTTGATACCCTTCTAAAGAAAGAAGCCTCGTCGTCGCCAACCCGACGAAAGTCTTAACACTTAATCTTTCAATCTGCTCCACGTCTCTCTTTATCTCTCCTTTGACTACCCAGCATATCTACAAAAGCTGATGAATGTCTAGCCTGGTGGGCAAGATTCTCAATTGGTTGCACCCGACCTTTCTACCCATGTTGGCAGCAACTATCTTCTACAAACGCACGATCATCCACCGGCCTACATTGCTGTCAAGAACGATGGCTGGCGCGTTGGACCCCGGGAAGTTCTCGAGAAGCTTGACAACCCCGTCGAGGCGGACGAGATCGATCCCAAAACCTACTCATTCAGGATCTATATCACTATGGAAACGGGGGACCCAAGGTATCTGCACCTAAATACAGGCATGTGGGTTGGTAGTGGCATAAGAAGAGGAACTGAGAGTGAGTTTTCAGGCTTATCGATCGATTTTACTACGGTATACTAACACTGTTTTGCAGTGATCTACGACGCCTATCGTATTATTTGAGGTGGGAAAGACTGTCTTTTGCTCCGTTCGGGCCCTGGCGCAAAGGCGCAAAGGATGCCAAGGAGGGATTTCCTTTCTGTTATCATATGATGCGCTACCAGAAAGTCCCTTCGAATCAGAAGTATGAACGTCTTAGGTTTTTCTATATAATTTTCAGATGGCAATCATTCACACTTGTTGTCTGAAGCTTAGACAGAATTTCGACGTCGCCTCAGCTGATGCCACAAAAGTATATCATGGCCTTGCTTCCTAGGGTTCCTGCTTGGTCAATTCCAGCATTTATGACACCCTCAAACCATTCAATGGCCACGGACTATGAGTCAAAGCTGGCTTCTGCAACGGTAGGCCTAGTTTGTTCTAAGTCGGTCACAACATTGCTTCTACCTCGCGAGCTTATGCCGGCAAACGTACCCCGTCATACCATCATACCATCTCTATATTCTATGCAAAGCCGTAATCTGTACTCTCCTGCTCTGGACCTAAGCGGCTTACCCAGGCAACCCAGACCAGCTGCTGGGCTCGTCGGGCTTGTGGCAGCTGCGAAGGACTGGGGTGAGTCCCAAAGACGCACCTGCCATCTTTGTGGCCGCGTATGGAGGGCATATAACCTCGTCTGTTACTTGTTTTGTTCCCTCTCTTCTTTTCTTTTAAACATTATTCATCCGAACAAAAGCCTCTCGAAATTCATTATTAATTGTATACCCAAGCAGCATACATCATGGCCTCAGGAAAGTGGAATCGCAAGTCTGCTTTGCCGGCCTTCATTATTTTGGGCATTCTTTCAGGTGTTTCTCTGATTCTGGTGTCCATCGACATTGCAATAGCAAGAAAGTCGCTCCAAGCAAAGAAATCTGGTTCTGGACCTGAGAAATACCCCTGGGAGTATATTCTAGCCTTCTCCACTCCCATACCCCTTCATGCTATACAGACATGAGACTGATCCACTCTATCTGACAGGTTCGGTGCCTTACTTGCTTGCCTGGGTACCTTCTTGACTTTCTTCCTCGGCTTGCCGCTTGTCATGAGTCAAAAAGCCAATCCCTCCGGTATTGGGTTTGCTTGTCTATGCTGGGCGCTGGCCTGGCTTGGTCTATTTGGCCGCGATTGCTTGCTATTCCAAAACTTCTCCATGATGAGGAGGGTATCTAAGCAATATCCGAGGTTACGTACCATACTCATCACCGAACTCGCGCTCTTCATCTTTATGCCATTCAATTGGTACGTCTTGCATCCGAGTACGAGGAAGCCATCGGGGCTTAGCTTGCGTTTCGTATGCTTCTCACGGCTGATCAAGCTCTGCAGTATCGCCTCCATCATCGTCGCTATCATTGCCTTGCGTACCAATTCTCACAAGTACCCAACAACAACGTATCCTCAAGCGGCACCCGTTGGGCCTCCACAACCACAGAATCCTCAGCAAGCGCAAGGAATACATAACAATCCACCATTAATTTCTCAGTACGATGGAAGCTCTGATGAAAGACCATTAAGTGACATTCCTTCAAATACCAATCAAGCACAAGCCTTTCATCAAAACAGACAATGGGATCAATTTCAACGAGTGCGTCTATAGCATGCACAGCCTGCACCCTTCGAGACGTGGAAAGCACACCATGAATTCTAGCCCTCACACTGGTCCTTACAGCGACAAGCTGAGTAGGCCACACTTAGCTAAAGAAAGTACTGGTTGAAAGCCCTTCTCGAATGAATTTTTCGAGCGTACATACCCCTGGAGCGGATTCATATTGGGAAACACAAGGCAGACCAGGAGAGGATGGGTATTACTCTGGACTTGTATTCTTAGTCTGACTTCTATGAACATTCTCCCACTGGAAGCATTCACGTCTTCATTGATACAATCACGATCATCCCAGCCCTTCTGCCCTGGAAGTCTTTTCGGGGGTTTCTACTCCCTATGCATTGAAACTATCCCCTCAGTTACTCTCTCCCCCCGACTCGCTTGCTCTGTACCTTTGCCACCTTGAGATAGGTCAAAACGCAATTCCTTGCCTCTAACTCGGTGGCTTATTCTGTAACCCAGCAGAACAGATCAAATCGAGTATGATCTCGTTCCGAGGCAGAGAACGATCACTGTTCCATGCATGCATTGTTTTTGGCTCCCTTGGTATGGTTCCTCAACATAGCAACCTATGGACAGCGGATACTTTCTTCACTGAATAATCTGTCATTCTTGTTGGCTTGTTTCCTGCCCTTCGAGCAACATTTAGATATCATTATACATTCATTTTCTTTGTTCTTTCCACGCCGGATCTCCCTTTGAGAAGGCATGCATGCTAAAAGGCACTCTCCAATGATTTCCTACCCAAAGCGAAATGTCTCGGACGGCAATCCAGGCATTCTGGAGCCATCTTTGCTCAAAGGTGAAGGACGTCGTGATACATTGTTGTTGGCTATCCATATTTACCCTACTTGTAATGTGTTAAGTGATCGAACATTCACCCCCTAGTATAATATGCACAAGTGCTTGACTCTTATAAAGAGTAAGAATGCCCGCGGAACGAGCTTTGGCGTCTCTTACTGGCTTGTTTTGAGGACAGAGGGGAGCTGGCAATAGCATAGTGAAGCTATTATTCGAATAAGACCGAATGAAACAGGGTAGACGCTTTTCAAGCACATATCCGTAACTGATCCAGCAAATTGCTGCTCTACTTGGAGGCGATCCATTTTCCTGAGGCAAAGAAAGGGGCTCCAAGACCCACAGCAAACTGCAGACCTGATATTGACCGATTTGGTGGGGATAGCATCTTTCAAAAGCTGGAAAAATGTAGAATGGGGATCGTACTCACAATTCAAATAGGATGAGCGTACTTTCTGAGCAACACCAACGTGTAAATTCCATCTCAACTCCTCATCAAGTAGATATCTAGAGCAACCCGCACCGGCTCTGGTACCTCTTGCCAAGAAAGACCGGAGCTGATCTCCCTCCTTCGTTCTTCTGTCCTGAGTTTCGCCACCTTGTACAAAAAGGATCAGACGGGCGGGAAAAAGAACAAAATCATCGCCCGATGAGAGGCTTGAACTCTCAACCTTGCGGTTTATTGTGACTGACGTCTCGTAAAAGCCGCACGCGCTAACCAATTGTGCCAACCGGGCGATTTGTTCGCTTGAACTTTTGTTAAATATTAGTATATTGCCTTTTATACAATGTTGCTGATCGGAGACTGTCCGATCCATCATTTCAGGTACAACCTAGGATCGATACATAGAAGAGGGCTCTATTCGCTGACGTTCACTAATTTGACAGATCGAATGAACAACGGCTCATGCACGCATGATCAAGAGATTGTTAGATTAAACTTGCACCAGCAGGTCTTAGGATATCTAGTATCTATATCTCAATCTACATCTGTAACATTCGCGCCTTCGAAAAATGCATTATGACCAAAGCGCCTGAGTCGTCCCCATCGAATGCTCATTAAACATCATACCACTCGCTGGAATGAAGCCCTGTCCATCATCATATCATCATCCACCACAAGCCCCCAATGACCCACAGCAGGACTATTGTCGTTAAGATGCCTGCTCCAGCACGATCGCTCGTTTTGATAGTATCTTGCGCAAGTATAGGATTGTTCCCTCCACTTCCATCTCCACCAGCGCCTGGGTTGCCCTTGCTCGTACCTCCGCTCTTATTCGTGGCTGGGTCTGCAGAACCGTCAATTAGATTACCTTGTACAATCTCGAGTACTCCCATCTGTTGGCCGACCTATGGAATCAAACTCGGTTAGTTCCGTTCATCATGCTGTGCTTGTACTAGGATGCTATATCTTACCCCTTGGCTTCCATCATATTTTCCATTGCCTGTCCATATCATTCCACATTTGGTCCCAGAGTCACCACCGGTACACTGCGAGACAGCAGCTTGCGCAGACGCCCGCAATTTTGGCATAACGAGATCGCGCATGAATGGCGCATATTTCGTCGAAGCAGCCAACCAACGTGAAAGGTAGGCTTTGAAAGAGTAGTTGTCTGTATTGCATGTCCCATGACCTTCGCATGCCACTTCATACATGACCGTGTTGTCCGGAGGATAGAAGAATAGATTTGTGCCATTGAGCATGCCGAGAACACGCGATTTCCAGGTATCATTTCCATTCGTCTGTTATGCGATCAGCACAGCAAAGGGGATAGGTTGAGGGTTAGCTTACGTAGTTGTACATGTTTGCCGCACCCAAGAGGTAAACACCAACGTTGTATGACCATTGCACTTTATTGATGTCTGAGCAGTTCAAGGTAGTGTGCGCTCCATCGTAGAAGTGATAATCGGGGGTCATAAAGCCAGAGGCTGCTGTCCAGTCATAGACTTTATTTGCCCAATCCGCGTAAGTCTGATTATTTGTGTATACTGCTAATCGTGAAGCAATGTTGAAGAAACATCCATTCGAAATAGTGTTCTTGTAGTCGTAGCCATTGTTGAAGGTAAAGACTTGCCAGCGCAATCCTCCACCGCAGTATTGTTCATCCCATCGATATGCTTGTGTATTGAAGACCGCCTGTGCCAACTCTAGCCATCCTGGATTGTCAGTCCCTGGGGGATCGGGAAACTTTTGCTCCGCCGCTGACATGGCAGCCATGCCCCAAAAGCCTTGGTCATCATTTCCGGTTGTCTTGGTCTGATTGGGCGTCATGAAGTCTTTATTCGGCCCCATTTGATGCAGCATGCCCTGTACGACCAGATCATTATACGACCCATCACCAGTATAGTAGTAATAATCGATAAGGGTGCCCATCATAGCCCCGGCTTCCCACCAGTAGTAGGGCTGCGGCAAGTTGCCAGGAACATCGCCAGTCCGATTTCCTGTATAGTAGGTCATCATGTCATAAGCTACCCTGCTTGCGACAGACTTTATAGAGTCTATACGTGTGAAATCAGTCTATCGATTCGTTGCATTGACGGGGTCACCCACTGTCATCATCTAAATTGAGCTGAGGCAGCCCGGCGTTCACAAGAGAGCTGCCTAGTAGCAGTGATATTGACGTGCGCAATAGCCCTGTGGATGATGAAGCGCTCTTGTTCCTCCTTTTGTACAACATGTTGGGCCGTTGTGGCCGGCGGACTGCGTTCGAGCCAGAAACAAGCACCCGGTTGATGTGAGAGATGGGGATGTGGCGGTCCCCAGATTTTCTTGATTCGGTTCTCCACCAGGGTACTGCGATCGTACGTGAGATGATATTCCTCCTCTTCACAGCTATTATCGGACAGATCGGGAATGATTTGGTGGCTGGGGAGAAGACCGCAGGAATGTGGTCGGTGATTTGCGGTTCTTATCTCTTGTCTCTTTATTCCCCAGGTAACGAACGATTTGCGCAAGTCCCCAAACGAGTGTGAGGATGAAGTAATGAAAGGTCAGCAGGGAGGTTTTGATTAATGCTGAGAAAGGCTTGGTAGCCAAGTGAATGGAATGACGAGTCAGATCTTGGCCAATCCTTGTTTACGACAGAAAGGGGATCTCGAATGGATCGTGCGGCTAATAATTGGGCGAAAGGTTTGCGCAGGTCCGGCCTCTTTGGGACCAATTATCTCCCCCGCGCGGTGGCGTAAGGTAGGGGTACTCTAGGAGGCCCCTTATTATGACTTGCAGGTCTACAATGATCTATGATTGATATCTATGCCTCCTTGTCCATCACTCAGGCATGTGGAAAGACGTTAAATTTATCAGCACGGGAGAAAGGGGGAATGAAGTCGCCACGCACTTCGCGTCATATGAAGACGGAAAGGCCGGTTGCACGGGATACGGATGATCTGAATGATAGCGGCAAACGGTGGCGGTGCTAGGCAGTCAAGATTTGCAGCTTATAGAAAGAAGATAGAGGTGAATGTGAATGCAATGTAATGCTGGATTTCCTGATTACCTGCACGAGATCTGCAGTTCCCAAAACGAGAAACCCACTTGTCCTTCGGTGCTATCCATTTAGAGTCCCTTCGTTCTCCTCGTCCATTACGAGAAACGTGACGAGAGATTGGCGCCAAGCCCTTTAGTCAGCGCTTTGAGCTTTTGTTGCAGACTTGTCTCCTTCACCACCTCCATCAACAATCTTCTCACCACCCATCACCTCTCTATTCTTACGCCCTTTCCATCATTGATACAAGCCATTGCGACTCTGACTTAATTTGCATCGAGCGACACAGCGGCCTCCACCTGCGAGAACGCATCAATTTGACTGGCTCCAACCCCCCAACCACCTGATTGGGATCGTACGACCCTGCACGACCAAGGGCCGCGCTTCAGTCTTCTTTTCGAGTCTCCGACTCTGCAAGCCCAAATACAAAGTTCACGATGGCCGGAAGAGAGCAGCCATACGATCCGTATATCCCGTCAGGCAGTAATGGGCAGACTGGGGGACAACATGAGGGAGGAAATGCAAGGACAGCAGCTATTCAGTCCGTAAGTAGAGCTCCTAAACTCAACTCATCTACCTGTTATGGAAAGAGTCCGTTCTCTGGGCGAGGGTTGGCTCACTAAGGGGAGGGTCACCCGATCATCTGTATCTGATGGCCTCAGAGGAGCTACGACATGGCCGTTGGACTAGCTGCGGGCGTTCTGTTCGAGTCGTTCTGTCATGGTCATGAGTACAGACTGACAGCTTCGAAAATTTAGCAAATCGATGATACAGTCAATGTTATGAAAAAGAATCTGGAATCCGTTGCGCAGCGTGGGGAGCATATTGATCAGCTTCAAGACAAGTCAGAGAATCTCAACCAGTCGGCTCAAGGCTTTCGTCGAGGCGCGAATCGTGTGCGCAAGCAGATGTGGTGGAAGAACATGAAGATGAGGATTTGGATCATTGTGGGAATTATCGTGCTACTGTTGATCATCATTATTCCCAGCGGTAAGCGCCTCGTCTGCGGTATTTGCGAAACCTCTGCTGACCGGTGGTTGAAGTCGTTGCCACGAGACACACATGATTCAATTAGATAGGACACGATCCGCATCAAGTCCGGTACGAGCCTCCAGTAACAAGATCGAGATGAAATATCAACTTTCAAGCCACTGAACTCATCAGGCAAGCTCTCGACAGCACTCAAGCTCGCAGGGTGCAGGGAATGGGCGCATGGCGTTTGTCAGATGCTGTCTTACCATTATCTAGAGATGCAACGTGGTGCAGGTAATGAAGGAGTTCTTTTCCCCATATGATCAGTCTGCTTTGACTTCATCTTTTCAAATTTTTTCAAGAGCAAACAATACTCACTTGTTTGCACGACTGATCCGCAGTCATTATTTGTTGCACAACCGGAAGCTCAATATCATCTACCTGACCGCCTGACTGGGACTGGATCTAGATGAGCTTCGTTCTAGCTCGGGGACAACAATCGATCCAGGCCGCCGCCAAGAGTCCTCCCCTCTCCGCGCTTCTTGGGACCTAAAACCGATCTGGAGCGTAAGCAGCATAGCGCAATACACCCACACTTCAAGACTCATTGATTCACGATCATCCATACATGCTTACCCTGCGATGCTCCAAAGCAATGCAAGAATAAGCACTTGACGGTGAATAGTCCGCTGGTTATCCGGCCAATGAGCACAAGGTCCGAGGAAGGATTGATATGCGGGTCATGCAAGCCTGATGATTCTGTTTTCGCTCCTGTAGACGCCCAATTCATTCCTTTGTGCAAGTGCCAGACCACTCTCTGAAGCTTCCCCGGGTCTTCGTGACGACACCCCGGGACGGTCACGCTAAACGCTAGATAAGGCCGTCCATCGAGCTAAGCAGCCACAGTTGATCCTTCATCCCCACGCTGTCTGTAGTCTGTATTCGTTCCTGCTTTAAATGAATTGACTTTCCCATCTCCTCTTTTCGCTCTTTTGCATATTCACGCGAGCTTCTGCCGCCCTCATTCACATGTACATCATAGCATCTTAATTGTCACAACATCACTTAGACGGACAGGACGCGAAAGCCACCCCCGAGTCGCTCTCACCATGAATGAAAAGCACCCAGCTGTCGATTCGGCTGACTACCCAAGTGGCCAACATGAGTCCCTCCCGTCGATGGACTCGGATGCCCTTAACCTCGCATCGATGGGCTACGACCCTACTCTCCGCAGAAACTACTCCGTCATCTCCGTTCTCGCTGTCGGGTTCTCGCTCACAAACTCCTGGTGGGGCATCAGCGGCGCCCTCGTCACAGGTATCAACTCTGGCGGCCCCGTCCTCTTCATCTACGGCATCATGCTCATCTGCTTGATCTCCATCTGTGTCGGCATCTCACTGTCTGAGTTAGCGTCCGCGATGCCAAATGCGGGTGGCCAATATTTTTGGGCGAGTGAGCTTGCTCCCAGGGGGTGGGCTGATCTCACAAGTTATTTGACGGGATGGTTTGCATGGGCGGGAGCAATCTTCACGAGCTCGAGTGTGGCATTGGGGACGGCGAGTGCGATTGTTGGGTGCTGGCAGTTGAGTCATCCGGATTTGTAGGCATTCCATTCTCTTGAGATTCTTCCTTTCTTGCACTTGCAAGTGATGAGTAGGAAGGAGGCTGACATTGGCACACTTGGATAGCGTGATTGAGGCATGGCATGTCGTGGTCACATATCAAGTAGTCAACGCCTTTGCCTTCATCTTCAACACGCAAGCGCGGCCTCTACCACTCATTGCTCAGATCTCCTTTTGGACCTCACTTCTCTCATTCGTTGTGATTTTAATCACGGTGCCAAGTAAAGCGCCAACGCATCAAAATGCACATTTCGTCTTCGCCAGCTTCTTCAACAACACCGGTTGGAGCTCCAATGGTATTGGTGGGTGGCTTCCCAAATCCTTACCAAAATTCCTGCCCGAAGATTAGTACTCACGAGTGCCCGTCACTAGCTTTCATAGTTGGCCTCATAAACTGCAACTACTCCTTCGCCTGCCTCGACTGCGCCTGCCATCTTGCGGAAGAGCTCCCCAAACCCGAGCGCGCCATTCCCGTCGCCATCCTGGGCACCGTCGCCATCGGCTTCTTCACCAGCTGGTTCTACGTCATCTCGCTTTTTTACTCCCTCAACGACCTTGACAAGGTCACCGGCACCTCAACACTCGTACCCTTGCTGGAGCTCTTCTACCAAGCCCTTGGCAACAAGGCCGGGGCTATTGTCCTAGAGGCATTGGTCGTGGCTACAGGAATCTGGTGTCTTGTTGCAAGCCATACGTGGCAAAGTCGCTTGTGTTGGAGCTTCGCAAGGGATGGCGGGATTCCGCTGCCCAGTTTGTGGGCAAGGGTGGAGACCGGACGGGGGGATGTGCCGTTGGCAGCGCATAGTTTGAGTTGCTTCCTGGTGGGGGCACTGGGATTGTTGTATCTGGGGAGCTCGACTGCATTCAACAGCATTGTTACTGCGGTGGTGGTGTTGTTGTATGTAAGTTATGCTATACCAGTCATTTGTTTGCTGGTCAAGGGAAGGGACAATATCAGGCATGGGCCATTTTGGTTGGGAAAGGTTGGATTGCTGTCAAATATCGTGCTTCTGGTGTGGACGCTCTTCACGATTGTGATGTATAGCTTTCCGTTTGCCAGACCCGTGGAGGCATCTAGTAAGTCACTCATTGCTTTGGAAATTTCCGCTTTTGATCAAAAACTTTCATCTCCGAGAGCTTCGTTAAGTGCTAATCAATGATACAGATATGAACTATGTCACCGTAGTTTATGCCGTTGTGGTTCTCATCCTCACAATCGACTGGTTTGCACGTGGACGACGGAACTATCGTGGCCAGACGAGACGACACGAAGATGCTGCCGCGAAGGTACCGATAGAGGAGGAAATAGGTGCCGCGAAGCAATAGAGACTCTGGCTGGGCCCAAGGGAAGAACGTTGGGCGAATCTGTCCTATCTGATCCTGTCCGTACCTGAGTGAAATTGGCATATTTTCCTTGTGCAAAAGGCAGACAATTGTGAAGCAATAATGCAGTAATGCAAGGGGGCTGTCAGGCTGCAAGGTGCGCCTAATGCAGGTACTAATGCAGCCCTGTGCTGGCTTTACCTGATGCAGCCAGTCTCTCAGGCAGACACAGACGATGAACATTAATCAAGCATCATTCGTAGAATGTCCAGGTATTTCAAGTAGCCATGGGGACCTCGCAAAAATCCAATGTTTCCGTTCATGAATGTCAACCTGGGAGAATCCAATGCCATCGCACCCGGCCATAATATCCCTTCCAAACGAAGTAAAAGCCCAAATATTCCGGCATATCGCGATCTCCCCTCTTTCTCAGCAATCAACAAGCGATCAACTACTCCCGCGTCCATTGCTTTGCGAAGGTCGTCCGATTCGTAACGGCTACTTCAGTCGAGACACAATTGTCCCTCTTCTCCTCACATGTCGTTCGATCCACGACGATGTTGCTCCCATTCTTTACGGCGAGAATGTCTTTGTGTTCCATATATCGGGTCTAGAGATGCAACTAGATGACTGGCTCGCGAATTGCAAACGTTTGGGAAAGTATAGAGCGTTAGGATTCGACATTTTTGCAGAGCGATACTGGCCCTTGCTGAGGAGCCTGTGGGTATATACAGGGTATGGAGACGCAAACTGGGGCGTTGGCAGATTGAGCGATGGCATTACTGGCGTTGAAAGCGCGAAGTTGGCGCGTGACGTTGCGGCGTCAACTTCCTTGATGAGATGGGCCTGGCCTGACGAACGATACGGCATAGCAGTCAACTCGCAGCAAACCGCCACAACTCAAAGAGGCTTTGATCCTGGGTGCAATTGGGCATTGTGGCAGCCGGCACCCAGGTTCGTGTGGAAATTAGTGGTCGTTGAGGACTTTAGCGGCGTAGTGATCAGAGAATTCAGGAGGGTTGATTGGCGCTGAAATAACTGTCACTTCACATCAGATCAAGCAAATCAATAACGTGCTCTGTAATGGAGCTTTCGATGTCTATGTTTGAGTGAAGAATTCTATTGTTGGTGGTCCGGGAAATCACCCTTTCTCAAGGCCAATGATCGCACGAGCTTTTATGCGTAAACATTGCAACAGAAATGTAAATAATGACGTCGGATTCCCACGATTTGCGCCAAAGGAAACCCATGATGAATAATGAAGAGTCGTGGTCAGCATCATCCAGATCAGATGAAGATCAAGGCCATCAACTGCTGGACCGCCATCGCCCTCGAGGCGGAGGCGATCCATTCCACTTTGGCACCTCACCCTACAACAAAGGGAAACTTGCGGACCGCTTAAGACTTCCTTCTCTTAACAGACAAGGAGGCTGGCTTCGATCAAAATATTGTTTCTACATCTCTACCCTTGCTCTGACCCTTCTAGTGACCCTCGCGATCATCTTGTCTATAAAGCCTTCGGACAATACCTTAGATGGGTCTTCGCCTCCATGGTACCCCACTCCACCAGGTGGTACCACCTCAGCATGGAAGGAAAGCTATGACAAAGCTAGTGACTTAGTGCAAAACATGAGCTTGGTTGAAAAGGTCAACATCACAACTGGTACAGGCTGGGGCACAAATCTTTGTGTCGGAAACACGGGCTCCGCCAGTATTACGGGCTTTCCTATGCTCTGCCTGCAGGATGGACCATTAGGTATCAGGTTCGCAGACAATGCCACCTTATGGCCTGCTGGAATCACCGCTGCTGCTACCTGGAACAAAGATCTCATTTATAAGAGAGGCAAAGGGCTTGGAAAGGAGCACCAGCGGAAGGGTGTGAATGTGCTTTTGGGGCCTTCAATGGGTCCCCTCGGCCGCCAGCCAGCTGGTGGACGCAATTGGGAAGGTTTCGGATCGGATCCAGTCCTTGCTGGTATTGCGGCTGCAAAGACGATACAGGGGATTCAAGACGAAGGCGTGATGGCTACGGCAAAACACTTTATTGGCAACGAGCAAGAGCATTTTCGGCAAGTGGGGGGAGAATGGAACGTTCCAAACGCCATCTCTTCCATCATCGATGATAGGACGTTGCATGAGCTCTACCTCTGGCCCTTTCAAGACAGCGTGAAAGTCGGTGTTGCTAGCATCATGTGCAGCTATAATATGATTAATGACTCTTACGCATGCCAAAATAGCAAATTGATGAACGGTATAATCAAGGATGAATTGGGCTTTCAAGGTTTCATCCAAAGTGACTGGCTGGCACAAAGGAGTGGAGTAGCAAGCGCTCTAGCAGGACTCGATATGTCGATGCCCGGCGACGGACCTAATTGGGAGGATAAAAATCCTTTTTGGGGACCGAATCTGACAGGAGCCGTATTGAATGGGTCTATGCCTATAGAGAGACTTAATGACATGGCCACGCGAATAGTTGCTGCATGGTTCCAGCTCAAACAAGACAACGAGACGAAATGGCGAAAGGCTGATCCTGGAGAGGATACTAGACCCAACTTTTCTTCTTTCTCAAATAAAAGGATAGACTTAATCCATCCTACCACTGATGACAGCACAACAGCCATTGTGAACCAGTTTCTCGACGTACAGGGAGACGGAGAGCTGGGCGACGATGATCATCCGGCGTTGGCTCAAACGATTGCCGCAGAGGGACACGTTCTAGTAAAGAATGAGGGAGGCATCCTGCCGATTAACAAATTCGGGCTGTCTGGTGGAATGCAACCTCAACAGGGTGCCAAGTTTCGAATAGGTGTTTTCGGTGAAGACGCAGGACCAGCAAAAGATACGCAGTTTGGCAAATGGCCGAACCAATGTGAAGACAGGGCTTGCAACCAAGGTACTTTAGCTGTTGGCTGGGGGAGTGGAGCCGCAGAGTTTCCGTTTCTGGTGACCCCACTGAAAGCTCTTGAAGGTTCCTTTGACGAGGGCTCTGTGACTCTTGAATCGAGCCTCAGTAATAGTCCCAAAGACCTTCCTCGGGGTCTGTCAACGATGGACTTGTGCTTCGTCTTTGTGAACTCTGACGCAGGGGAGGGTTTCCATCAACCGGAAGGCATCAGCGATCGGAAGAATCTCAGTGTGCAAAAGGATGGCGACAAGCTCGTGAAATCTGTTGCTAGTTCCTGCAGGCGGACTATTGTCGTACTGCATGCCGTAGGACCTACTGTAGTCGAGGAATGGGCCGATAACACAAACGTCAAGGCAATCATTCTTGCGAATCTGCCCGGTGAGAAGAGTGGATTGGCCCTGACAGATGTATTGTTTGATTCGACCGGAGTCGACGCCAGCGGTAGGCTTCCCTATACGGTCGGTAGGAATATTGGAGATTATGGCCCCGGAGCTCAAATTATGTATAAAGCTCAACCTCCCAAACACCCTCGAGAAGTCTTCGCCGAAGGTCTTGAGATCGACTATCGGTATTTCGATGCTCATTCGATCAAACCCCGCTACGAATTTGGTTTTGGTCTTTCTTATACGACATGGTCTCTCTCAGGCCTCAGCCTGACAACCCATGTAGCCAAGTCTCCAATGCCATTAAAACGACCACAGCCATCTGTGATAGCTCCGAGCTACCCAGCGGATCAGTCAAAGCCAAGCGACTGCTACTTTCCCGAAGGGTTTCGCAGGATAGGCAAATATATATACCCCTATCTCTTCGAAGGTCAAAATACCACCAAGGCAGATTACCCTTTTCCTAAGGGCTACAACACCCCTCAAGAGCCTTCTCAGGCGGGTGGCGGAGAAGGTGGCAATCCTAGCCTCTGGGTTGAGCACGTCGGTATTTCCGTCACCCTTTCCAACACCGGCAAGCGGACTGGGAAACAAGTCGTGCAGCTCTACGTCTCGTTCCCCAATACCACAGACGGTCCCGATAACAACATCAAATACCCTCCACGTGTGCTGAGAGCATTCGAGAAGCTTGAGGTTGAAGCCGGCAAGGACTCCGTCGTAGAGATGAACCTAACGAGAAGAGATCTGAGTTACTGGAGTGTATTGCAGCAGAATTGGCTGATGCCTATGACCGGGCAATTTAACATCAGTGTCGGATTCAGCTCCAGGGACTTCCCGCTCTCCGCATTGTGGTGATGATTGATATGACTGTATGATAAGGATTCGCATCATGGCTAAGAGAGGCCGAGCGGCGCATAGACGGCGTTGGGTTGCATTGGGCGCTCTCAGCATGTCTGCTGAGGGGGCATTCGTGTTTCTATCGTACATAATAATGGTTAAAGAATACAGAAGAAATCGCGCCGCAATTGTAACTCAGTGTAACTAGTCCGTGTCTAAGATGAATCGCTATCGTGAGATATCTACCTAAGTGTAACCTTCACAGGTCAAGAGAAAAAGGTAATGGCACCAGTAAGCAGAGATTATGAGTTTTCTACCCAAATTGATCGCTGAATGTTGTAGAATGAAGGTCTACGCCAAAGCGCCATCGCTAGAACAAGCCCAGATGCAATCCAGCATACATTAATCAAAATAGTAAACTCGTCTTCGTCGTTGAATTACCCGGGTGCGTGGGTTTGAACGACATGCATGCCCTGCATGCTCCAGTCGCTCTCTGGTCAGTTTGGTACCCTCATCAGCTATAAAGGATAGCTGACCAACTCGAATACGCCTGGCTATTCGAATCTACTACAGTAATTTCTCAAAGGTCGCGTGCCGCAAAATATATTAGAGTTTCGTTATATCATCCAAGGAGTACTTCGACAGCATTGATCAGCAAGATACAAAGCCTATAACAGAGGTTCAACCTACTCTCCCAGTGCTTCTCTGTCATCACAGCGACCCAATGGAGCCTGCCTCTCACAGATTTCTGAGGATCAGTCTTGATCGTTGCAGCAGCTCCCTGTTCTCTGATTCGGTCTCCACTCGAGAAAGATCTCCGATACCTTTTCAAACTCGAGAGACCCTCCGGCCTTTGGTCGATATCTTCGTTGCTGCATGAATTGTGTCTAGATATGGTAGGATGCATTAGAGAAGGCGAACCTTGCTGGGCAGTATCGCGTTCATCACGACGCTGCCAGACTTCCTGTACGACATCCCAGCACCGGTCGAGGTTGCCAATACACATGCGACTCATCATTGCGTCCCACCTCTCTGCTACAAAAGAGCGATCCTCTTCGCTTTCGGCCTCGCAGCCTGCTGCTAAAAGGGGAAAGATGTGGATTATGGTCGCCCTAGAGGTAATTGGGACAGCAGCAAGATGACCCAATGTGATTTCGGCCAATTCTAAAGGCTCCTCCGTGCATACCATTGGCACAGCCTGGTAGAGAAAGAGGATTGTAGCCCATCGATACGCCTCGGCGGTGTGTCGACTGTGATCGACTTCCAGCGACTCATCGCTCGGAGGGACCAATTGGCTTGGGACCTGCCATTTGTGGAGCTGGTCCCGCAGAGCTGCAGCTTTTGCTACTACTTGCAATGGTGTCTTCTGAGTCTTCCTGACTTTCTTCGCCAGGTTTGCTACGGCACCAATTAGTGGGAAGAGAGATGTTGCACATCCCATTAAAGGATCAATATCATGGACGGATGTTTCAGGACCATAAGTTGGCATGACAATCATATCCAGATCTTCTGGATCATCGCCGCCGAGTGCTGTCAGCCTGGCGATGACATCCATATAAACCCAAGTGCTTCGTAAAAACCGGAGTCTTGCCATGTCCTCGGAATCCATTGAAGCTTGTTCCTGGCTTTGTAATCCTTGCGAGATCAAAGATCTTGCTCCTCTCAAATGCGAAATACCGGTGTATATGTGCGAATGCCATGACTCTGAGAAAGCAAGGATTAGCGCTGTAGCCAACGCAGTGTCACTTCGCATAGATGCCAAATTACCCCGAAGCAGCTCGATGCTTGTAGTCATCAGCTCTAGGCCTTTGACTCGGAGTTCCGGAGCCTGTGAGGCAGCATGAGACGCGGTCATTGAGAGCATCGCGTAATACAGTGCAGGCTCCTGATGAACTATTGGCCAAAGTAAAGTCTTCCAGGGGTTCTCATTTGGTCCATTCTTAATAGAAAGAATTCCGCAGGTCTGCTCATAGAAGAGTTTTTGGAGTAGGCCAGAGTCTTCAGGTCTGAGGTCAACTTCCATTGAGGGAGCATGAAATGGACTTTCTGTTGTAGAGGCAGATTCGAAGACGAAGGGAGATGAGTGACGCATTGAGACAACTTCGTTCGACTCAGGCTGTTGGCAAACCTCCTCTAGGCCTTGTTCTGTATCCATAGGTGAAGCTCCATGCGGCGGCAGGTCAGCTGGTCCTGCACCGTGGTCATTTTCTTTTTGGGAGAGATTTGCCAAAATTGAAGGACGTGAGGCGGGCGAAACATCAGGACTGAGATACTGAGCAGCGTCTGGAATCTCAATTGCGGAGAGCGTCGGGGTAATTGGTTCTTCTTGATCGAAGAGACTCAAGCCGTCGAAATCGTGATTAGGAGGACTCGGGGTGGTGCTGTAACAAGCGCTATTTTCTGGAGGCAATATAATGAAATTTTCATGCGGTGCAGAGAGCTGATCAAGCTTAGTAGTTAAGTCGGACAAAGCGACCGAAGTTTGATCGCAATTGGATCCGCACAGGAGGGCGTTGTCTTGTGGAAGCTCGTGGTCTTCATTTACATCGTCAAGAGGAGGGGTTGGTGGGTATGCAGAACGGTCCCTGGTTGCAGGAAGCTTGCGATTATTGAGGACGGCACCTGATTGATGTCAATAGCTGTGCCTGTAAAGGACTTCCGTTCATCACGAACGTTTCTTCGGCTTCGAAACACTACGGCTGAATGGGAAGGTGTCTTTCTCGACGGTCCGGAATGTGAAAATCTTCTTATAACCCCCGCATTGAACCTTTCTTTTCTTGCATTGTAGGCACGTCGGATGAGTCTCGTCGCACTTCAAGCGTTTTTCCTTGCAAGTTACACACCCTGTTGCAGACTAAGCGACTGCCTGCACCTGGAAACAATTGAGATTACCATCGCGACTCTTCGTCTGTTTCGGCTTTGGGCCATCTGGCGTCCCCTTGCCACGACTGGCTTTTGGCTGCCTCCTCTTGACTATTGCATTGGCATTTTTCTTCGCCACGGCCACTCTGGAGGGCTTGTTGGTAGAGGTAGAAGATAAGCTTGAAGTAGGTGCGTTTTCAAGAAAATTAGAAGAAGAAGAGGAAGGAAGAGCGACTTCTGCCATGCACCGCAGGAGAAATCAAGGCAGTAAGACAATTGCGATCAAAGAAGTGCAGTAAGGGCAAAGAATGTCAGCCAGACGAGCAAAAACCCTTCAATGTGCTCGTGACCTTGGTGGAGACGTGTGCGACCAGACACGAGAGAGAGGGCGGAGATGGTGGGAGGGGCAAGAAGGACTTTTTCTCGGTAGTTAATTAGCGGGAGGCCCTTTAGGTTACCAGCTTAACGAGGTGACATGCGCCTTATCAAGTCTGGACAGTCGACGACCTCTATCTGCAACACTGTGAAGATAGTCCTGACTATCTGGTGGTTTTGCGCTCCGCCGCTTGCTGCAGCAGAGATAAGTCTGAAGATAGACCTCGGATAAAGCCGGGCGAATGCCTTCCTTCACTTCCGCTACTCAGGAGTCAGGAGTGAACGATATCCATGTCGGCTGCAGAGGCGTGGAGGTGCCGTTGAGGGCGTCCTGGTCGTACAATTGCATGGCAGGCATCCGAACCCGCATCAGATTTGGGCTACCGTATGGTGGAGTCCCGAAGGTACCAAGATCAGGCCGGGCCGTCGTCATAGCACTTATCGCTCCGCGCTCGTGAATGGGCGCCGTTGTCACTTTAGCGGTCTACAACATGATCGACAACTCCCTGATAGATGCCTTAGGAGACGCCGCGGGACCACCGGGGCCCCTTTCGATACGGTCTTCAACCATTTGCAATATCCGAGCGACCTCTTCACAGCACATATCATCTAGCGGGTAAAAGCGCGAGCATGCAGGGGTCATGCAGTATTTTGCCTTCATGGTCACGCGTGTATACCATGAGCTGGGGTCGAGAATGCAGACGAAGTGAATTGCGATTCTGAGGAGCACCAGGGAGGCTGATTGGTTGCCACATACGCGGGCAGCCAACCGGTGGTGGAAGCGTGCTTGGTGTGCTGTTCCGTCTTCCGACACTTTTACTTGCGATGTTCTTATAATCGACATGTAGTCTAGTTGGAGTAATGGGGATTCAACCTCCCAGGTGTTGGCGTGTCGAACAGCCAAGATGGAGGAATAGCAGAAATTCTTTCTCTTCGGAATTAGAGAATTTCCGAGGCTTGGCAGGGCGTTAGACTTTCCCTCAAAAAATAATCACCACAATGAGCACCTTTTTTCCTTCCCTTTATTTTGCTCGTCATATCGCAGTCGGCAGCAGTCTCCGCTCCCTTCTGAACGGTGCTCGGCGCTCGGCGCTCTGCAAGAATTTGTCGTCTGCGACCAGCATGCTGTAGCAAATTTGCATTGTGTCTCTAGCCCTGCAACGAACTTACTAAAATCCAGAAGCCCCCGAAAGAGGAAAATCTACACTTTCTTACATCCAGGAGACAATGCCGCATCCTGTATCCCCCAAAATGACACCAACAATGCTTGCAAAAACCTCTCCTTCCTCGATGAGTATGCCTACTCAAGACGAAATTTCCTCCTTTCTCGATACCATCTTCACGGCGCAAAGCTCGCAAGCCTCTCTTGATGCCGCCTATGCCCTTACCAATCTTCTCCTCAACAGTCTTGGCTTCCATGGGCTTGCTTCGCACGGTATCCTGGAGGCCGTCAGAAAAGGCGCAGCGGACAAGAAGAGTGGTATGAAGAGAGCAAGTGCAATGATACTATTAGGTGCCCTGCTCGAGAAACTCATACCAGCTCAGAGGATTAGCGAGGTAGTTTTCTTGGTCCAAGACGGGGGCATGATTTCACCGGCTTTGGACGCTTTAGCGGACAGAGACGCTGTGGTCAGAGAATGTGCGCAGTATGCACTAGATGCACTGTTCAATCACTTATCACCAGAAAGCCTGGTGGCGGGTCTTCTACCTGTGCTGAGTCGATACCTAGGCAAAAGGACAGGGAAATGGCAAGGAACGGTTGGGGCTTATGAACTCCTGGGGCGGATGGCCGATAAGGCGAAAATGGGATTAGGGACTAAAGAGGAAGAATTACAGAAGGACTTACTTCGAGAAAGCATGGGACGAGAGTTGAAAGGCATAATTCCTATTGTGGAGTCTGGAATGCACGATTTGAAGTCAGAGGTTTGTGGACGACCTTGACATAGTACGGGACCAAGCTGACCATCATCGGTAGGTCGCAAAACAGGCTGTAAAGACGATGAGCTCCCTCACCACCCTCCTTTCGAATGACGATGTCGCCCCTCGAATACCGCTGCTGATTGAGACAATGAAGAACCCATCCTCAGAAACTTTGCAAAAAGCTATACATGCCTTGTCGCAAACAACGTTTGTCGCTATAGTCACCTCTCCTGTACTAGCTCTCCTCACACCTCTACTGGAACGATCTCTCAATACTCCGTCAACATCACAAGAAGTGCTCCGGCAGACAGCTGTAGTTGTAGAGAATCTAACTAAACTGGTTCACGACCCCATTGAGGCGCGCGCTTTCTTACCCAAACTGAGACCTGGTGTGAAAGGCGTGCAAGACCGGGCGTCACTTCCAGAAGTCCGCGAGCTTGCTACGAGGGCATTGAATGTGATCAAGAAAGCCATGCGGGACGACGATGGCAATATATCTGACGGTCAAATCGTACCAACCACTGCTGAGGACATACTAAGTGTTCTGGAGAAGGAAGTCAAGCTACGAGGCCGCCTCGTAGGACATCCAGGGGATATGGATATTTGGGCTTCAGCCAAGATTTACATCTCCGAGATGGCAAAAGAGGATGTCAACATACGGCAGATGAACCGCATCGTACAAAGTGTCGGGCCATACCTGGAGCATCTGTTACTAGAGGGTTCTGGGAATGAAGTCGCACACGCCGTCGAAAATCACTTCATGGAAGAAGACCACCGAAAATTCGGGCAACCGATCAAACCTGACTCGGGAGAAGTAGAGATCGTGAACACGGATTTTTCGCTAGCATATGGTGGTATGCTTCTTCTCTCACATACCAACATTACTCTCCACAAAGGTCATCGTTATGGCCTATGTGGACGTAATGGGGCTGGAAAATCTACACTCATGCGAAGTATCGCCGAGGGTAAACTGGAGGGTTTTCCAAGTAAAGACAAGCTCAGAACTTGCTTTGTGGAGCACAACCAAGGAGAGGATGCGGATCTGAGTGTCCTAGAATATATCGCTAAGGACCCAGAACTCACGGCTAATGATAAGGATCGCATTTCAGAGGTCCTGAGTGAAGTCGGTTTCACAACAGGGCCAGAAGGCAAACAACAAGACAGGGTGGGCTCGCTCTCTGGTGGCTGGAAGATGAAGCTTGCTCTTGCTCGTGCTATGCTGATGCGTGCTGATGTCTTACTCCTCGACGAACCCACCAATCACTTGGATGTTGGGAACATCAAATGGCTTGAGGAGTACCTCAAATCTCATACCGAGATCACAAGCCTCATAGTCTCTCACGACTCTGGGTTTCTCGACGATGTCTGTACGGATATTTACCATTATGAAACGAAGAAACTCGTATGTTATCCCGGAAACCTCGCAGCTTTTGTCCGCGTCAAACCAGAAGCAAAATCATATTACACCCTTTCTGCCAGCTATGCACAATTCAAGTTTCCCGCCCCCGGCATCCTCAGCGGCGTCAAGTCCGCAACACGAGCTATCCTCCGCATGAGCAACGTCAGCTACACCTACCCAGCCAACCCCCAACCCTCCCTTCACTCCGCCAGCTGTGCGCTTACACTATCCTCCCGCGTCGCCATCATCGGCCCTAATGGTGCCGGTAAATCTACCCTTATCAAACTCCTTACAGGCGAAACCATCCCACAAACTGGCCGTGTGGAGAAACATCCTAACCTCCGTATCGGTTACATCAAACAACACGCCCTCGAGCACGTTGAAATGCACATGGAGAAAACTCCTAACCAATACTTGCAATGGCGCTATGCCAATGGTGACGACCGCGAAGTGCTCCTCAAGCAGACTCGGCAATTGAACGCTGAAGACCGCGCTCAGATGGATAAATGGATTGACCTTGGTGATGGTAAGGGTTCTCGACAGGTTGAGGCCCTCATGGGTCGACAAAAATACAAGAAAACGCACCAGTACGAAATCAAATGGCGGAACCAACTCCCCAAACACAATGCCCAAATCTCACGGGAGACACTCGTGGAACTAGGTTTCACCAAGCTTGTCCAAGAATTCGACGACCATGAAGCCTCCCGCGAAGGGTTGGGATTCCGCACTCTCGAGCCAAAGGTCATCGCGAAGCACTTCGACGACATCGGTCTCGACCCGGACATTGCAAACCACAACACCATTTCCGGCCTTTCGGGGGGTCAGAAAGTCAAAGTTGTGCTTGCAGGCGCAATGTGGAATAATCCTCACCTTCTCGTCCTGGACGAACCTACCAACTTCTTGGATCGAGATAGTCTAGGTGGTCTCGCGATCGCAATCAGAGATTTTAGAGGTGGCGTAGTCATGATCTCCCATAACGAAGAATTCGTGAGTGCGTTGTGTCCTGAGCAGTGGCATGTCAAAGAAGGCCGACTCACACATAAGGGACATCTCGCCGTGGAATTGGGCAGGTTCGAGGATTCCAGGCCAGGCAGCAGTGTTGGGAGTTCGAGGGCAGGAACGCCGAGTGCGCTCAGCAGTGCTGCGGCATCCGCGTCTGCGAGTGCTGCAAATTCCGATGCTGAAAGTGGGAGGATTGATGGTGAAGGGGAAGGGGAACTGAAATTCAAGGCGAAGAAGAAGAGGAAGAAGTTGACGAGGGCACAGATGAAAGAACGAGAGACCAGGAGACGGTTGAGGCATATCGACTGGCTGAATAGTCCGAAGGGGACCCCACATCCACCGGATACGGATGACGAAGGGGAGTGAGGGAGGAAGACACCCAGAAGGGGAAGGTAGAAAGCGCAATGGCGATTTTTAGGAGGGATATGCTTTGGCTGATATACGCACTTTCTGGCGCCCGCGATGGCTTTGGACAGGAGTAAAGGGATAGACTTAGATATAGACATAGACCACGGATTGTGGGGTCGATGGTATCGAGACCTTCAATATAGACAAGTTGTTGTCGTTGGGATAACATGGTCTATTGCAGGCATGATTAAGGATATTCTGTTTATGGAGTTAGTTATGAGATAGATGCAATTGAGATAGATTACATGATCACTGAAATACTTGTCGTCTTGTTTTTTCTTTGAATATCCTCGTATATTACTACAGTGATGTACCCTGTGCTGGCCCTTCTCCTGATTGTGGACTGCCCATGCTGAACGTTGCATATGCTCGCTTTTTCCTCATGCATGATACATGTGCATAGAAGCTCCCTTACCAACCCAAGCTATACCTAATGTCTCCTCAAATCCCCCTTTTTGGTTATGCAGCACAGTGCTCGCTAGATCATATGCAACAAATTCGTCAGAATCAAGAAACCCGAAAAAGCCTCATGCTTTCAGTCACTCAGCCTTAGGCTGATCTGTTGTTACATCCTACGCCCCCAGAATGACAATCAGAATCGCGAAATTCGTCCGTTGCTTCACTCTCACCAATGCATTTCTCTCGTATAGTAGCGGCGGCAGCGAGCGCCCCTGCAAAGAAGATGGTGCAGACGACAAAGCACCATCGAACCGCCAGACCATAGCAGACTCTCACCGCCTTTGCAGTCCTCGGATCTAGGTCATTAAGGACGGTCAAGGACCTACGGACTTGGTCTGCAATCTCTTGCAAGAACTCGGGATCTCCGAGCGTACCGTCATCATTAAAGATATTCTGGCTGATAGAAAATTGCAGCGTGCATTGTAGAACCGCACCGCAGATTGCAAGGCCAAATTCAGCACCTAGCGAGCGGAAAAGGTGAAGACAGGAGATAGCTGGATTCTGATCCTCTCCTGGTGACGATGCCACTATTTGATCATCATTAGCAAAATTGTCTTCTGTGCTAGTAAGACAGAGAAAGCGGACGGGGTAGAAGATGACAGGATGATGATGGAAAATAGATGAGCAGACGAGCTTACTCAATGCAATCAACGTGCTTGTACTCCCAATGTTCAGCGTGAAGCTGCAGAGCACGTAGCCGACCAAGGTACCGATGACATTTGACATGCTCACGCCTGTGAATATAAAGAGTAGAATGCTAGAGAGAGTCATGGTAGAGTAAGCGATGATGGTGAGCGCATAGTAGCGGCCACTTCGCTGGATGACCTTCACGGAAACCAATATTAGTGTTGCCGTTTTTATTTCGCGACAAGGATGTTCAAGGGGGTCAAGATATGCGTACCAGGCCTGCTAAGAGACTACCAAACACTCCAGTCACCACGCCTGGGAGCAGTCGAATGCTTGCCTGACTGGCACTGAGCATCTCCACCGCTTGCCAAAGCAGGGGCAAATAATAGAGAACGCCAAACCAGGCACCGTAGGCAAAAAAGTTACTGATCAAGCAGGCTGCGAGTGTACGATCATAAAGAACGCTTGTCGGAGCAAAGGGTTCGACTGCTATTCTGGCTTCGACATAGAAGAATGCGACGAAGAGCAGAAAAGACGCCACTAAACAGCCCAAGGTCATTGGAGCGGACCAGGATTCATTTGACCCGTTGTCGAAACCGAACAGAGTAGCGGCAACGGCAGCGATGATGAGCAGTGCACCTGCAAAATCAACGCGCTTGAGTTTGCAACGGAGGGGTGTCTTTTGGAAGTCGACAGTGAAGGGAAAGGAGAAGCAGACATTGAGGAATCCAACCAGCACGAGTGGGACTTGAAGGATGAAGGACCTGTAACGCAAGACGCGATTAGAGCTTGCCGATTGCTTCCATCTGTAGCGCGAATGGTAGAAGGAGAGCAAACGTACCATCTCCAGCCTATAGTGTCCGTAATCCAACCTCCACAGCTGCCTGCACCTAACCCAACGGCGAAGATGAGGTTTCTCCACGCTTGCCACATCCCTCGTTTCCGCAGAGGAATATTCTCACTCAGGACGATGCTCGCTAGCGTGTTGAAACCTCCTGCAATGCCGGTAATGGCTCGCGCTACGATCAACTGGTTCATGGATTGAGCTACACCGCAGAGAAGGCAGCCGAGGCCGAAGGCGAAATAGGCGAAGAGGAAGAGTGGCTTCGTCCCAAAGGAGGTTGAAAGGGTACCGTACAGAAGCTGTAAAGAGGACAGAGGGAGCAAGTAGCTGTTCCGACTGAGTGTTAGACACTCTGTAATCATTAAAGTTGGAAGTACTTACGCCGTGGCAAGCCAGTTCGTCTTATGTAGAGCATTCAGTTCGCTGCCAATCTGTCCGTAGCTCGAGATTATGATGGTCTGATCAGCAGCTCCCATGAAAACGCCAATGGCCAAGGCCGGCAAGAGATAATATGCATTTGGATCGATGTGATCCGCATCGCGGCTAGTGTTATTGGGCCTTCCTGCAGAGGGAATTGGGAGAAGCGGCGAGGTCTCGTCCAAGAAGTCTTCGCCGTCGCTTGAGACTTCTGTAACTCGAGGGGAGGGGAGGTGTTTGACCATTTTCGTGCAGGTAGACAGCCTCAGACAGGATCATGAGAATGGCGCAAGAGATGATGATTGTGCAGAGCATGCCAGCTGCTGGAAAGACTAAGATTGTGAGGAGTTCCCAAGCATGATCAGCAGTGGTGACACGGCGGACTTGAATGCTGATAAGGCGGGAAAGATTGAATGATTACAAAAAAGATGCGGAGCACGATGCTGGCGTCTGGGATGCGAGATTGCAGGCGGCGAGTGGCATCGGCTTCATGCGGCGAGATCGAGTGCGTAGCAGGGCACTGACGAGAACCAAATAGTGATATCAGCACATGCGCTGAATATGGGATTTTCGATAACAGCCTTTACTTGTTCATCCTAAGGTGAAGGACAAGAGGACCTGAGAATAAGAGAGAAGAATAAGGAGCTCTGTCGACGACGGATAAAGAAAAGTCAAAAGTGCATGACGCACTAGAGTTGCAGAGCAGAGCAGAGCAGAGCAGAGCAGGAGGCCCGAAGATGAAGAATGAATAATAGTCAGTCAACGATACGGTCGGTTGGTGGGCACGTCGATACGTCGATACGTCGATACGTCGAGCTTCTCCACAATGTAGGAAAGTGGGACCCAACCGCCACTTCCGGAGGGGTAGCGCAACATTGCACCTTCACTTGGGCCACCAAGCTTTTGAACAGGAGGACAGCAGCATGAAATGGCCAGTCTACAAGCTGGGCAACAACCCTGTTCGGGTTGCGGTGCGCATAAGTCTGGCGGGCTAGTTGGGCCAGAGAGGTCTAGTGTGCAGTGAAGAGATCGAGTTCATGCGAGGGAGGCCTTCGGTTATCGCTGTCTCGCAGAATCGACCGGGATACTTGACACTGGCGCCGTTTCCCGGTCCCTAGCTGGGTGACGGCGCCACTAAGGAAGTCGTCCAGGATTCAATGATTCTATGATCCAATAATAATGATGATTCGTTCAATCTCTCCCCAGCACTCAGATCCCTTCTGGCTCGGCTATCTGGATCCGACCGGAATCAAGCGCTGTCAGGATGGGGAGAAAGATGGAGCGAGGGAGGCTTGCTCTCGAATCTGATGGGTGCCCTCGGACGACCGTCCTTGCTGATTTGATGGAGACCTGTCCTGCCGGAACGTTGTGCATGCAGCTAGCTAATATATCCATTCACTCGACTCGAAGATCTGATCGCTGCTCTGGTCTGGAGCTGCATCGATTAAGCTTCGCAGGGCAAGCTAATGCATGGTAAGCCTCATTCCGGTCACCCCAAGCGCACCGCTGAACAACAAGGAAGTCGCCCTTACCGCTGCGTGAGCTTTCATCTCAAAGCATTCGGCCCACGTCTCCGCGTCTTGCAGCAGGAATCCCTCTAATGCACTCCGCAATGCTTGCCGCTTGTCCTTCCCTTCCTTTTCTCCATAGCTGGCCATGAGGCTATGCCCGCACCCGCGCAACATGACACACGCTGCAGTCAGGTCCGCTTGGCTCCACCGTGATTGTCTGCGCGTCAGACCAGCATTGATGAGGTCCTCCAGCTGTCGCCCGTCAACCACGCGCAGCATCCCCAATGCCAAGGCCCGCCCGTGGATCGCAGCGGTGATGATGCAGTAGATTCGCTGCCTCTTCCAATCGCTTATATCGGAGAGCACCCCTTCCAGGTTGGCAGCGACGCTGCTATAGCGGAATTTGATATTCGACCGATCATGGAAATCTTGAGTGCCAACATGTCGGGAGGACGTCTCGCCCCGGAAGCCAAGAGACTCCTCGTGCAGCCATGCCCGAAATCTATTCATGCCCGCCGAGGGTCCGCGACCGTACTCCGTCGTGATGTCGTTCGAGAACATCCCCGCCGCTTCTTGAAACGACGTCAAGAGGTAATCGATGGCCTGTGGCTGATCTATCGCGAAACGTCTGATCCCCTCGATCATACCAAGGATGAAGACTGGGTAACCTGCCTCTGTCGCGCTGTTCAGGCCATCCAAGAGGGCTGTTGCCGCTGTCAGGGTCTCTCGTTGGAGCCGTCGAGTGGACTGATGATAGCAGGAAGAGAAGATCATGTAAATATCTTGCTCGTATGCGTTCCCGCTCTCCGCTGGAGTGCGGATCGTTTGGGGCGACATTGACTGCACGCTGGGAGTGCGGGCTGTCGATGCTTCAAGCATTGAATAGGTGTCCCTTAAGTCGCTTTCTGCAAGAGAACGGTCACGGTGGATTGTCTTTTGCTTTCTCTGAAAGAGCTCTCCTCGTTCGGATTGCTCTTTAGGCTCTCCATCTTGCGAGGGCAAGCGTGAACTCGGAGGCTCGCCAGTGCTTCTCTGCAAAGAGTGTGGGCTACTAGTGTCAGAGCGAGTAAAAGAATATTGAGCAGTAGGTGCTGGCGAAACGGTCTGCTCTCGCTGCGGGCTTGGCTGCATGCTTGTCTCCGCATCTTTCGAGGGTACGCTCGCAATGTTTGAGCCGCGCTTTCTACCAGGAGATCGCTTTCGCTTGATCGAGAAGCGTCCAGTGTACTCCGGAGGTACATTTTTCGGCATTGCACTTGGATTAGACGCCTACGGAAGTCCTCAGCTTAGATATTGGTTCTAAGTAAGATGTCTAGAGTCCGCTAATCTCATCAGTTAAACAGGAATATGACGATGCAAGAGTCCAGCTCTAGGTGGCCGCACCATACAGTACTATCAGCTCCGGCATCTTGTAAGGCCCGATATGCTCGTTTTGGAAATGATAATTGATATTCAGTTGATCAAGCTAAACTGATGCCTGGTCTTTGATGCAACAGCCAGAAAGGGGCTTCAGATAGCGTGGCAGATCCGGGGAAGGGCCTGACGAAGGCCTGCGGCTAGTTTCCATTGGAGACAGCGGCACAGCTGGAGCCTGGGTCGCAATTGAAGGTATTTCGGTGTACTTGAAGAACCGCTTACCCGATATTTTCGTCACCAAAAATGCAATTTGTTGGCACCTCCTATTGAGAGGTATGCTCCAATCGCCTTCGTACTAAGAACAGGTATCAGATGCGCCGCACGTGCGCAAGTCTGTCCGAGTGCGGTTTAACTCAGATCCAGATACTGGAGGTTTCAGAGTTGCGAGACGAGCCTTATGATACTGGCAACACTTGGGATTTCTCACGCGAGCTCAGTTTCAGGGGCGTTAGATGATCTCAAGAGGATAGTCGACCTTTTGGCAAGGCGGATGTGGGGAGCTAAAGCCATTTGCTCAAATTGATCGCGTCCTTCAGAAAACTGGAAAGACGACGAAAGGTTAGAAGGACTTCAAGGATATTGTCGTAAGGAGGACCCACCTGACTCTGTATTGCCCTCTCCCATACTTTTGCTTCCACTACTCCCACTCTGTATAGTTGCGAGAACGCCATCGATATAGTTTGCACCGCTCCATTTTTGGTGGGTGAGAACATCAACACCTAATTCCTTCTCTCGCTGCTGAATTAAATTGACGTACGCAAGCATGCCGTCCTTCGCGAATTCGTGAGACAGCTCGGCGGTAATGGCCGCTGTTGAATGTAAGCCAGCAAGAGAAATCAATTGAAGCACAAAACCATGCTGCGCCAGATCCCAAATGAAGGACTTCAATGATCTTTCATTGAAATTCTGTCCCATCCAGTTGAATGATGGACTGAGGTTGTACACTAGCTTTTTACCGGGGGAGGCACTGTGAATGTCACGAGCGAAGCTCGCAGCTTTTTGAACATTTGGCTCCGCTGTCTCTAGCCATAGCAGATCTGCGTAAGGGGCAAATTCAGTGGCCCTCTTCACGGCTGCTGGTAATCCTGCACGATAGTGATAGAAGCCCTCTCTCGTGCGCGGAATATCCCAAGAAAAAAAAGTGGGCGCGCTGGTGTATTGTTGGGCTAAGACTCTTCTCATGCTTATTGGCATGTTTCGGTCTGCAGTTATAGCTTCACGATAGTCTTCAATGTGTTGCTCACGGCCAGCCTTTCGTAAGTCCTTCTCTACTGCTTCATCAAAAGTCAACAAGTGATGATTCTTGATCCACTGAGATTCGAAAGAATCGATCTCGCTTCCCTTTGCTCCCTCAAGCTCCATTGCTTGGAGTGTCTCAGCCAAGGAATTGGTATCTTCATCGATGCCTAGAATGAATTCATGGTCTCGAACATCGATAGTGCTGCTGATCAATTTGCCGGACTCGGAATCTGTACGGGCTATGACAAGATTTTCGCAGCCCATAAGATCCCACTGGTATCTAGCCGCAACTAGACGGTTTACGTGTTCACCAATAGGGACAAGGACTTTGCCTGACAGATGGCCACACTTCTTCCCGCCATGGAGCTGATCTTCAAAATGGACTGCCGCCGCACCGTTCTCGGCGAATAGCTTCGCAAGCTTCATTACGGCGGTCAAGCCACCGTGACCGGTGTCCCCGTCTGCTACGATGGGTCGCAAATAATCAAGATACGGCGTCCTTGCTCTCTCGTCCTGAGACATTTTCCTCCTCGCGTCCCACTGTTTTCGGTCATGGAGCTGCTGCGCTTTGAAAAGTCTTTGGACTTGATTCGGTACTGTGTCATATGGATAGTCACCAAAATCAGGGGATACTTCATTGGTTGTAGTGAGGGTAGAAGAGCAAGCCCATCCTGAAAGATAGAGGACCTCTTGATGCGCAGCCTGTTGCGTCATCTGTACCGGATCAATGGCGCCCACTGTACTCATCAACGTTATGCCATGCCAGACCATTCAAGTGTATGTTCACGTCTTACTAGTATGGATAGGCAGCTTAGCAGCCGCTTTCTCTTTGAGTAGCTTGAACAATTTCCGCGCCATAAGGGAACTAGGATATATTTGCTGCAACGTGCCTCGCTTGCTGATCACATCCTCGGGCTTATAATGCCGTTTGATACCCTCATATCTCGGCGATGCCCAGATTTTACCAAGGTCGTCGACCTGTTCATTGAAGACCTTGTCTTCAGCAGCACCATTCTTGTGGAGGTCGGGCAACAGCTGATAGGCATCCGTCGGTAAAGGTGTTCTCATGGAAGGATCAACCATGCTCTTGGTTTGTATTTGTCGAGCGAGCTTCAAGGTCAAAGGACATTGGTGTAAGCGCAATGGGGACGAAGGGGATCGGAGGCAACGCCAGGACGTCCTCGAAGACTGAGCACATTGCATTTGGAGCATGGAGCCTTGACTCATCCGTTATTTCCTCTCCCTCAGCCTCAGTCCGCTCCTTGCAATTTTCCTAGCACAACGGAAAACGCTCTATAGCAATTATACCCCGTTCGCGCGGTGTAAAGACTGAGATACCTCATTGCGGAGTAGCGGAGCCGAATGCCAAGACCGAGACTCGCGTGACGTCTCATCGTGGGGCGAGGTTCTCCCCAAGCTGCTTTGAGTATTACCAAAGAAACGCCATTGGTTTGCGAGAAAGGGGTATACATCCGCTGAAATCTTCTATTTTGTATTTCGATCGATCTCAAAGTATGTCCTTTGCGGGCAATGCCCTCTCAAAGACCTTGTGCCCACGGCTTCTGGTCAGAAGCACATCCCGCCACACTAGGTTGGGCCTTTCTCCAGCACGAGCTGTCGAAGGGACACGAGTATACATTCCTTCTATCAGGAACGGTCCCAAATTCTCAAGCATGTCTTCATTTTCCGCAGATATAGCGCAAATAAAAGGTACTCAATCCTACGACCCAGAGATCAAGGGCATAGCGGACTACGTCCAGAACTTCAAAATAGACTCCGACCTCGCTGTCAGTGAAATTTAATGAGACTGATGTCAATTGCATGCTGACGCCCCATGTAAGTATGAGACGGCACGCTATGTGTTCCTAGATACAATCGGCTGTGGTCTCGAAGCCCTCAGATTCAAAGAATGTGCCAAGCTGCTGGGCCCTGTTGTTCCAGGGACGGTTGTGCCTAACGGTACAAGAGTGCCAGGAACACCATATGTACTTGATCCTATCAACGGAGCTTTCAACATTGGGGCAATGATACGGTGGCTGGACTACAATGATTGCTGGCTTGCTGCTGAATGGGGTCATCCATCAGATAACTTAGGAGGCATACTGGCGGTTGCAGACTGGATCTCAAGGACGAATCGAGCTGGTGGCCATGTGGGTACCGGTACTATTGTCAAAATTAGAGATGTTTTGGAAGGGATGATAAAGGCGCACGAGATACAAGGTTGTCTCGCGCTGGAAAACTCATTCAACAAAGTCGGTCTGGATCATGTGGTGCTTGTAAAGGTGGCTACGGCGGCTGTCATCTCAAAAATGATAGGGTTGGACGATCGGCAGACCGCAGCCGCGATCTCACAAGCATGGGTAGACGGGCAAAGCCTGCGAACGTACAGACATTCACCAAACACCATGTCAAGGAAGTCTTGGGCCGCAGGAGACGCATGTCAAAGGGCGGTGAATCTAGCGCTGAAAGTGCAGAAGGGTGAGCAAGGTGTGCCTACCGTACTGTCAGCGCCAGTTTGGGGCTTCTACGATGTGGCCTTCAGTGGGAAAAAGTTCGAGTTTCAAAGACCGTATGGTAGCTATGTGATGGAAAATATCTTATTCAAGGTCTCCTACCCAGGTATGATCAGTCATTCTCTCACATTCGAATTACTGCTGAATACATCTCATAGCCGAGTTCCACTCTCAAACAGCCATAGAAGCAGCAAAGTCAATTCACGCTCAGCTAAAAGAGCGAGGAAAATCCGCAGAAGACATCGAAAAGGTCACAATCCGTACGCACGAGGCGTGCGTTCGCATTATCGACAAGCAGCATAAAGCAATGGATAATTTTGCTGACCGAGACCATTGCATCCAGTACATGGTCGCCACGATGCTTGTTTTCAACCGACTAGAAGCGACTGACTACACCGATGGCAGTGAAGCCGCGACGTCACCTCTTATAGAGTCTCTTAGGCGCAACATAGCTTGCGTGGAAGACCCGGAATTTACAGAATCATACCATAATCCTGATATGCGGTCAATACCAAACGCTCTAACTGTAACGCTGAAAGACGGCACAGTCCTTGAGGAATTGGTGGTTGAAGCTCCTCTAGGCCACAAACTGAGAAGAGAAGAAGCAAAGCCGGAGATTCTGGAAAAGTTTGAGAGACATTTGAAGCCTCATTTTGCGGCGGAGAAAGTTGAGCATTTGGTACAACTGGGCCAAGACAAGCAGACATTAGAGAATATGGGCGTCGACGAGTACATGGATTTATACGTGAAAGAGAAGATGGAGTGGTAATCATATATAAATTCTGACCTACGGAGTAAGTTGGGTGGATAACATACCGCGAATCGATCATACTAGAGGCAGCAGAGCATGTACAGGCTACGGGACGGTTGGCTCAATTCAATTTGCGCCTTGTTTCGCACGACTTTCTTTTACGCTTCTTTGAGCCTGTCTCCTTTCTCCTCGGATCGAGCTTGAAGGTATGTTTGTTGCGCAGTAATGCTCTTGAATTGATATCAGACGGTAGCTTGAATTGTTGCAACACTGCGGACGGGGCAGTCATAGAAAGACCGGGCTTCATTCTGTTGCTTGAGCAAGTGAAAGTGCAAAGATTGCTCACATGAACATAGAGCACTGAAGCCGTGGAAGTTCTGCCTGAGTCCGAGATTGGGTAACAAGCATCAAATGCTTTAGTTGGTTGCTTTCTTCACGAGGGTGGAATGGCTTGACATGTCATTCCTACCTCCGTTACATACAAAGGGAAGAATTGACTTGCTGGCAAAGGGGTGAAGTGACATGCCTCTAAGGTTACGAACGGGCTTGAACGGCTGGCTGGGGCGCTCCTTCCAGGCAGGGAATGGTGGGGGTCGGGTGCTCTCCCCGAATGGCTCCCGCCACTTCCCACTCTGGACTCTCTGGAGGGGCATGTTAGTTCTAGCGCGGCTGAAATTTCTTGCCGAGCTCGGCCAAATCAGTTCTCTCATTCACCCAAAAAATGTAAAACACCCTGGACACTATGTTCTCTCTTCGTCCAGCAGTCGCTGGCAAGACGGGTCTACGGTATCTCTGCCGCTTGAATAGACCCTTGCCTGCAACGCGGTCATTTCTGGAATCTCGCCGTCGACATTATGCCTCCATTTCTGACTCGACGCCTTCCACCCGATCGACAGTCATACAACTTCTAAGCCAAATTGGCTCCAAGAAAGAAGCTCAACAGTATCTGAACTACTTCACGTCCGTGTCCCAGCAGCAATTCGCCGTCATCAAGGTCGGAGGCGCCATAATATCAGATCATCTGGCCTCTTTAGCGTCTGCCCTGGCTTTCCTAAATCATGTGGGCCTATATCCAATTGTTATCCACGGTGCTGGTCCTCAATTGAACGAGATGTTGAGAGAAAGGGGCATAGAGGAAAAGTGGCATGAAGGCATACGGATCACAGATGGAGAAACCTTGAAACTAGCGAGGACTCTGTTCCTTGACCAAAACCTCAAGCTCGTCAATGCCCTAGAAGACATGTATGGCGTCAGAACGCGACCAATCACCTCAGGCGTTTTCACTGCCGATTATCTGGACAGAGATAGGTATGACAAATCCTCTGCTCAAATAGTAGGTGAAGCTCACCGATCTAGATACGATCTTGTTGGAAAGATATCCAACATCAACAAAAGGCCAATCGAATCCGCAATCAATGCCAAATGTTTACCAATTCTCCCAAGTATGGCAGAGACGCTAGATGGCCAAATTCTGAACGTCAATGCGGATGCCGCAGCAGCAGAGATGGCGAAGGCACTGCAACCTTTGAAGATCGTATATCTATCAGAAAGTGGTGGGATATTCAATGGAGACAAGAAGGAGATAATCTCTGCTATCAATCTCGATGAGGAATTCGAGTCCTTAATGGACGGTCAGTGCGCCACTCTCCTACGTAGCGTAGATAGGTGTCAAGGCTTTTATGCTTACTTTCGAACAGGAAGCAAACCGTGGGTGAAACATGGAACGAAGTCGAAGATACGAGAATTCAATGATTTGTTGCAGCAGCTACCAAGAAGTAGCAGTATTGCTGTCATTCATCCTGCTGATCTTCAGAAAGGCAAGTGCTCAACAGCACCAAAAAGGGCAATCACTGATATTGTCTAGAACTATTTACCGATTCCGGGGCAGGTACGCTGGTAAGAAGAGGGCAAAAAGTTAACTCAACAACGAGACTGTCTGACTTCAAAGACCTTGACTTACTGAAGCAAACATTGGTTCGAGATAGAGAAGCGCTTGATGCCCGGCAAACAGTGGATCGCTATGTTGATTTCCTTAACGAGGGTGAATTCACTGCTTTCCATGACGACGGTCTTGAAGGCCTCGCCGTTGTATTGCCGTCCTCTGCAACCACTAAAGGGCCTCAGCTCGCACAACTCTCTACTCTGACTTTGAGTAGAGCTGCTTGGCTCACAAACCTTTCTGACAACCTGTTTGCGACTATCAAGAAGACATTCCCAAAACTCATGTGGACTGTGAAGCAGGATGACGAAAATTTGACTTGGTTCTTCGACAAAGCAGATGGATCAATAACTCGACAGGGAGAAGTCCTTTTCTGGTACGGCATAGAAAATGGAGATGATGCACGCGATCTGATGGTCGAGTTTCTCAAGCATGGAAGGGACATTTTCGGAGACATCAATCTGGAATCCAAAATGTCGAAGGCAGCTGGGCGGGCCGGGGAAATTCTAGGAGGTACAACAAATTCTCAGCAGAGACGATCTTACTCCACCGTAGGCGGTCTCCGAGCTCAAGGCTTTCCGACCTCTCGACCAAGGCTCTCAACTTTAAATATATGGAATCAATCGAAGAAATCGTATGCTACCTCTACAACCACGAATCCAAACCCGCCGTTCGGAAAGAAGAACGCAACCAACTCAGTTCCAGCAAAGGTGGCTTTGATAGGTACGTAGGTGAATAAAACGTACATTGGTCATTCTTTAACGTAGGAGTAGGTGCTCGAGGCTATACTGGACAAGCCTTAATCAATCTCCTTGACAAACATCCTCATTTGGATCTCCGACATGTCTCGAGCCGAGAACTAGCTGGGCAAAAGCTCAAAGGCTATTCTCGTCGGGACATTACTTACGAAAGCCTTTCTCACGACGACATTCGACGAATGTCTGAGAATGGCACAATTGACGTTTGGATCCTTGCCCTCCCCAACGGTGTTGCAAAACCATGGGTCGACGCGATTGACGAAACCAATGCCGACAGCCTTGTAATTGATTTGAGCGCCGACTACCGCTTTGAGCCCAGCTGGACCTATGGCCTCCCCGAACTCATTGACCGTTCCAAAATTACGTCGGCAAAACGTATTTCAAACCCTGGCTGCTATGCAACTGCCGCCCAGCTTGGTATATCACCCATTCTTCCGTTCATCTCCTCTGCCCCAACCGTCTTTGGTGTCTCAGGCTATTCTGGAGCTGGCACCAAACCTTCACCTAAGAATGACGTCCAAAATCTTACGAACAATATTATTGCTTACAGCCTGACGGATCATATTCATGAGCGTGAAATAACTTCCCAGCTAGGGCACGAAGTTGCTTTCATCCCTCACGTTGCCTCTTGGTTCCAGGGCATCCATCACACAATTTCTATTCCACTGAACAAGCCTATGAGCTCTAGAGACATTCGCAATCTGTACCAAGACCGGTTTGAGGGCGAGCCGCTTGTGAAGATTATTGGAGACGTGCCTAGTGTGAAGGATGTTAGTGGCACACATGGGGTAGAAATCGGTGGATTTCAAGTCCACTCGAAAGGGGAAAGAGTCGTGGTATGTGCTACCATTGACAATCTACTGAAAGGCGCCGCTACACAATGCCTCCAGAACTTGAACCTGGCGATGGGATATGCCGAGTTTGAGGGCATTCCATTACAGAAGAAGAACACCGGCGGCGAGATGCTGTTCTGAAGGTGACTTGCAAAATTCCAACGTTGCTGCAAATGGCTATGAAGCGGACATTGACGCCATGATTTTAGCGTTATTCAGCTGTACAGCTGGGCTGTAAGAGTTGTTTGTATGTATATTTGCTATGACTAGGGCTTTATATAATTCTATGACAGTAGCTTTGTGCTACTTTATGATTTTGGTGTCCTTGAAGTCTCCTTGATACTCTACACCATTTTGAAGCGTGCTGAAATTTTCCATTGGCTTGTTGCCAGTGGAGTCATAAATAGGACCACTTTGGCCTGCAACATCCCTTGCCACTCTCGAGAGTGAGTCAGTTACATCTGTGCATTCGAGACCGTTATTCAATATTGAGGACTAGCCTGTTAGCATCCCCTGGAAGTTTTGTTCAATCCCAGACTCATGACCTTTGTGTCCTAAGCTGTAATAGCGACAAAGGCTAAATTATATCCTCACGACTCTTCAGCCAGTCGTAGCAAGCCGGTCAAGTCTATGCTTTTAGGCCTCTCAATCGGCAACCCTAAGGCTCTGTCCCATATTAACTGAGCCAAGGGGCCTAGTGCTCGAGAAACGCCAAAGATGACAGTGTAATACAGAGTCTCCTTGATGTCAAAGTGATAGAACAGCGCGCCAGAAGCAGAATCAACGTTAGGATGCGGATTTTTTGTCTTTCCATGCTCTAAGAGAACTCCAGGAGCAACTTCTGATATTCTCTTCACGAGCAGTACGTTAGAATCATCCATGAGCGCTGGCCTATTAGATGCAAAATCCATTAGGGCTTGAAAACGGGGATCAGGTTTTCGAAGGACTGCGTGCCCATATCCAGGGATGACTTGACCTGATTTGAGCAGAGACCAGAGGTAGTCTCTGATTGAATTGTCACTGAAATCTTCCTTGATTTTACCTTTCATAGCTTGGACGAAACGAAGGACCTCTTGAGCTGCAAGCCTGTTCGCAGCATTATTAGTGATAGATAGGCCAGTCGAAGCAGGCAGACCTACCCATGCAATGGCCCCGCTAAGCCTTGAAGACCGGCAGAATAGCTCAAAAAAGGATCACTCAAAGCGCTTCCTACGAGATGAGTTGCGTGAGCAGACACATTGCCACCCTCATGGTCTCCGTGTAGAGACATGTAAAGTCTCAGTAGATCTTGAAATCCTTCGTTCTCCTGACCGCCCTTTCCCAGCATTGCGGCAAAATTATATGACCAGTCCTGCTCAGGATCTATCGTGGCCTCGAATCGGTCGCCCGCCGATCCCTTGTAGGTGTTGTGGTATATATGAGCTGCAATCGTTGGCAATTTGGCTATGAGAGAGATGCAATCGTCGAATATCGGTTCCCAGTACTTCGTTTTGTCCAACCCTTCTTCGTATGCCTTCGCAAACTTACTTTCGATACTGAGTGCGGATACCGCAGACGCAAACTGCGCCATTGGATGTGTCTTCGGGTCAATGGTGGTCATGAGCTTTTTGACTTGTGGCGGAATCTTGGCCTTTGCGGCCAGCTCGTTGGAAAATTGGCGGATCTGTGATTCGCTTGGGACTTGACCGGTCAAGAGAAGCCAGAACATCGCTTCGGGTAGCATTTGTGTACCTGTCTTGCCCTTCGGCAGAAGACGCTGGCAGTCTTGTATTGTGTGGCCATGGAATCGTATGCCTTCATTAGCGTCTAAAACTGAGCCTTCCCATATCATGGCTTTCAAGCCTCTGTATGGTTGGGGTCAGTTTTGGTCAATAGGCCGCCAAAGCCGGGGCTCGCACCTCATTCCTCCCAGCGTGTTCTCCACCCTGACTTCACCAATTTTCTTACTTGCATGACTTTTCACCTGCCTCACGAGCTCCTGTTTCTCGGGGATCCCTTGCTGTATGGTGGTCTTGAGGTCAAGGTTAGGTACAGAGGAGTAGCATCGTTTGCAAACAAATGCCGTAAAGGGGCTTCGTGTGAACTTGGATTGAATTAGCAAAGGTGTTTGCGGTCGAGACGAAGACGAGCCTGCAACAACGATGCAGCTTTGACTGCATTTCTAGGGCTGAAAGCCATCGGGGCGATGCTCATATATGCTCATGAAGGGAAATGTCCAGCCATCGCCGCTGGACAAAATGTGGACTGCGGAGCTGTGACGCAATGAGGGGAGCCGCCACCAAAGGCCCCTCCAAGTCTGCGGGCCCTCCCCCGGAGCTTCTTGGCGGCCCAATCCGCACCCCCAAGGGAGGTTGTGAAAATTACGAATTGCGGTAAGCCGGTGGGACAGGACCAGGGGACTCTCATTTTCACAACCCCCCACTCGTGATAATTTTCATGATTCAATTCAGCTAGTTCGTTTGTAGCAAGATTGCTCTATCTTGAAAACCAGGGATTCTCTTGGGACGTTCTCTAGGAGCAAATCAAAGTCTATCATAAGTATGTTGGTCAAAGACATTGCAAAAACTGAATCGCTTGTGCATCAATAATATTTACGACCTACAGCCATACGAAGAGGACGATGAGTACGGCCCCAAAACATTAGACTTGCTGTTGACCTTGCAATATCGCTTTGGCTGTATCTTTCTCGTGGGCTTTAGTCCCCTCGAATGTGCTTTTAAGAGTCTGTAAAGGATGAGGGGAACACCAGAGATGGATGGAGAATCTGGGAGCCACCTCGACGTGATAAAAATGGAAAGGTCGTACTGAAAATATCCTCATCATGAGCAGGGCACACTTGGCATGTGGGATCTTCTAGACATTACAGACTGCCTGGCGTTGACGACATGAGGGTTGACCGTGCTCGATCTTTGGACAACTTCATTCTTGGATCTCAAACCTTATTGCAAAACAGAAATAGCTGCCATTGATTATGGAAATGCTGAATTCAACTTTCGCCCTTCAACGGGAATTCAGAAATGTTTTCATTACGGGCATTACAAGGCAACCTCAGCCGGATAATTCACGTGGAGCGATCAACGGGCTCGTGACATGAGTGATATCAATCATCTTCCAGGCGCCCAATCACGATTTATAATTTAAGGTCCGGACATCTCACGTCCATGTTCCTAAACCCGCTATACCAGCACCAATCCCAGGCTTATTCCAAATCCCCTGTTCATTGAGCTCCGAAGCCTAGTCTAGGCGGGTCATCTGAATAAATGCACGATTACGTGAGGATCAGTGGCGTCCTTCGCGGCAGAGCAGACTAAGAGTAATGAAGGGTGAGGATAGCCCCACTTAGCTTCGAGCGCCTTTACTGCACTACAACAAAAGGCACTATAAAGGCGTCAGCGACCCATCTGAATGCTTTCGACCTCTACTACAGTCTAGCTTTCGGTAAAGATGGCGGAAGAAAATCGTGGCTTTCGAAAGTTCATACATGATCCCAAAAATGTCGTTATGAACTACATTGCAGAGAACATTCCGGCAGATCGAATCGCTGGAGGACAAGGCGGACCACATGCCAATGTTCAATCTTCCGACCCACCTGCTCCCAATAACCCGAGTCCCATGAACGGGGGGCTTCGTTTTACCCTCAAGCCTCGACAAATGCGCCATACTTATCACCTAATTTGAACCAATCGACTTATCCCTCTAATCCTAATATTCCACCTCATGAGGTAGGATTTAGCCAGAGTCAGCCCTTTGGTGCGGGTACACCAGCACCAGTACAACATGCCCTTGATGGCTCTCATGCTTCACTTTCTGAAAGAATGGGAAATCATGTGCTTCATACTCTAGAACATGTGCCCAATCCGAAATTACACCAATCAAGTTCTGCCGAACATATGATGCAACTTCCACAAGACGGTCGAACAGCGGCTCCGAATGGCCTCTCGTATCAGATCGGCCACATTGGAGAGATTCTGTCTGAACCTGGAGTGAGGCGAAGGACTTCGCCGCAATCAGTCTCCAGGTCGTATCATCGACTGGTCATTCAGTATGAGACCACAAAACTGGCGTTTTTCCAAGCAAGATTAGGTATGTTTGGTAATTCTGTCCTTCTTAGACGTTTTCATAGACTGAATAGTATCCTCTCCAGACAAAAGCATGGCCGACAGATCGTTAGCTTCAGAGCTCGAATCGTTGTCTAGAAGACTCTGGTGTCTTCGCCGGGACAATGCAAATGGATTTGAGAGTTTCTCATCTTCACAAAACGCCTTCATTTTGACAACTTTGCAAACAAACCATGAGTTGTGGGAAGATACTGTTCTGGACTTTGAAGAAGGCCACTCAAACAGCCTCAATGACGTACGGCCAATTCAGCAGAGCACGACGCAGGATGAGAACGATGGGGGCTGGATGGGCGGACCTAGCCCAGTCCCAGGCTCTTTCCCCCAGAACAACATTGCCTTAGTGCCGGGGGGTGGAAGACCTCAATCACAACCCATTCATACAAGTAACGCGATGCCTCAAGCTACGTTCAATCAACCGATGCCCGTTACGCAGCAATTGAATCACCAGGCACCAAATGCAAATGTAAATCAAGATCCAGCTTCGTCTATGACTCAACAGCCTCCGCCCTCTCGAAATCCTGCGCAAGGTCGTGGAAGACCTATTCGACCCCAAAATAATGGGTCTACTCAATCATCGCAGGCTCGGCCAGCTGGCCCGCCGCCCATCAATGGACGAATTTCCCCGAATCCTATGCGCCCAAAAACGCAGCAAATGAGGAACACGCAGTCTCAACCAAATGTATCGCAGACTTAAGAGTCGGTACCGAATACCACTTAGCTAACCAGCCAGACCAAATCATGCCTCAGTGTGCGCAAGCAGCCTCGCCGGTCCGGGCAGCCTCCCTTTCAATGTTCAAAGGCAGCTGTGAAGCAATCAAGGCGCCTGGACAAAGCTGATATTGTGCCGACCTTTTCTCTGTAATCTTGCTTGTCCCTTGTCCGTAATCCTGTATCGTATGAATGGTTTTTAATCTTGTGCGTTAAGCCGCAAAGTAAATTCAAACGAATGCTGAAATACCATTAGCGCAACGATTCTTTTTCATTTCAGAAGAATTCTCTAGACAGGAGTAAGCACAAATGTGCTAGTAGATTGCTTGATTACTTAGCAGGCCTAAGCCTGCAGGAGCTCGCCGGTAAAGCTTGTTCAACCTCCTTTCTGTAAGGTAAGCTTACGAGCTTAATGCTGACAAGTGAGGGCAGCAGCGTGCGTGGCTGCCAATTTTGCCTCAATCCAGCACTAGGCGGAATGAAGGTCATGGGCCATGTAAGCTCATTACTCTAGTCTGTCCTATTTCCTGTACAGCTTTTTAAATATCATTTGAGATTGGTTGAAGCTCTCATTATCTTCTTTTCTTTCGCGTTCTGCTACAAGATCTGCTCTCATCAAGTTTTCGTTTGCGTTTGACATTCTTCAGTACGAGGATAACATGGCCGCCGCCTCTTATTATAACCAAGATTCACTTGGGGCTAGGCCTCCTTTGAATACGGAAATGACATCCTACAATAATTTTCCTGCACCACAAGAACCACTGAACTCTACTGGTTACGCACCTAATGTAGGCGCTTTTCAACCGGATGCCCAGAGCTCAGGACCACAGAGGCTACGACGACAAAGGTTCGAGCAGTGGAAGAGGTGGCTCAGAATTCTCAAGGGCATTACCGGAACCTTCACCCTAATCTTCAACGCTGTGATGTTTGGCATAATGGTTTGGGTTAATGCGAAGTACTATTCCACCAAAGACTTGGTCAAAGATGGAAAAAGTGCATGGCCAACTCACGGAACGAAAGTCTGGCCTTCCATTATGCTTCTGGCTGCATCTGGATTCACGCTCGTAACAACAACCATCATTCTGATTCGTTACTGTTGGAACAGGAAAAAGTCCTCCGCCAGCTGGAAGATTACGCTAGGCATATACGCGGTACATATTACGTCGTGGATCGCTGTGTCAACCCTTTACAGAATCGAAAAAAGCTTGCATGGAAACAACAATGATCTCTGGGGATGGTCGTGCGCGAACCAGGCGAATGCGGTACAAGTTGCGTTTAATGGAACAATCGACTTCAGCAATCTGTGCTCCGCTCAGGTATGCAGGTCCAAGGAGATACTTAGAGCACGCAGCTGACCTTGCAACAGGGATCATCTTGGGAAATTTCAATCGCTGAATACATACTCAAGCTTGCGTTTGCCATCGGCCACTTCTATTTACATCGGAAAGTGGAAGGACAAAAGCAGAATTTGGCGGATCAAGCTGGCGGGGCAACGAGTGATCTCCTACAGAACATCTTTTGACGGCAATATTCGTGGATGAGGAGGCGAATTCCGCCCGCTTTGCAACATAGGCGAGGTCCAGTCGCCTAACGTACGGGCTGTATTGAGCCCTGTCACCTTCATGGATATTACGATTGGTACCAGTGTTTGGGAGATGCTATTCGCTCGCTTGTGATGGATGGAAATATCGCTCAGGTAGGTTTGCTTACGGAAGCGTCTCCGAGACTGGGGTGCATCGCTTATTTTAAGTCCATGCAGTCAGCATGATAATATGTCGGTCTTACTCATCTGCAACCCTGACAGTCTCGACAGCCACATCTGACACCTAATGTACAGCTGCCGACGCCACCGTGATTAAGGTCAGCCTTGCTTTTGGACTGACGGAGTCGCTACAAAATGGCGTTTCCCGCCAATGTTGGACCATACTTGATCAACGGCTCAACTAGATTGCACACCATCAACTGTCATGGCAGGACTTATAGCTGGCCTTCTCGGACCAGTGCTTCAACCAGTGGTTCAAAGCATCTTCGCACCTCCTCCGCAGCCTCCTCCGCCGCCTCCTCCAGCCCAAGCCCCTCCCGCTGTTGCTGCCCCAGCTCCGACACCAGCCCCGCCGGCACCGGCACCAGCGGCTCCTGTAGCTCCAATTACTGCACCAGGAGCTCCACCGCCAGCACAGCAGGCTCCCTTGCCTCAGGCCCAACAGCAAGCTCAGAATGTATTTCCCCAACAGTCAAATCAAAGTCCAGCGTTCTCAAATCCTCGCATTGGCACCGTGATCCCTGATCAGAATCCAAATCAGCAACCAGGTAGCTCCCAATCAAATGATCAATTCGACGACCAAACTATCGGTGGATCTTCGGCAGACCAACTAGTCGGCAGTGAACAACAAAGTCAAGGGCAATTCGGTCAGCTGCAAGGCGGCTCTAGCCAATCACAGCAAGATGGATTGAACCAAAGTCAAGACCCATTCAGTCAAAGGCAGCAGGGACAAACTTTCAATCCTCAGGAGCAGCGAAATGGAACTCTGGAGCGTCCTCAGACTCCCAGGGGCCAAAGTAATAGACCTTCTCAGGCCAACACTCCCCAATCTCAGAAGTTTGGAAGTCCTCAAGCCAATCTCGGTCAACGCCAGGGTCAGGAAAGTCGTGCATCGATCTCACCTGCCTCCAACCGGGGTGGTTCGGGCTACGGGCAAGGTGTCAAACGTAGGTAGAGGGTGTGGCCAGATGAAGCGAGGGATGCTTAAGCCCTGCCGTTCTTCCAGCGATGTCATTTCGTCCTTATTTCTAGTGTCATAGCTTCAATGAGATTTCTGGAGTTGAATCTGTCATTGAGCATCGTGATCGTGTAAGAATGTTGCATAAATGCTCTGCTTTACTCTTGGTCCCTACTCTACGTTGCATTGGCTAGTTGCCCGGCAATGGTGACGTTCATGGCGTAGTCATATTAGATCGACAGGTAGACCCGAAAGACACGGAATTGTTCTTGAGAGCCAACCAAGCCTTAGTACCGGACCAGCCATCGACTTGAGATCTGAGCAATTTAAAGCACGTTGTTAAATGCGGGTGGTGGCTTGCACCAGCTGGTGCCAATACAAGCGAGGCGGCTCAGTCAGCAGCGGACATGCAAACCAACCCGCGCGTTGGCTTTCTCACTCTCATATGATGATGGACTCAAAAAAGGGAGGATAGTATTGGTACGCTTTGCAGACGCCATTCGAACTTTGTGAAAATTATCATATTCTAGAACGCGGCTTTTCTATCCTTGAACGCACCCTTCAATCTCAACCCCCCTGATGACGGCCATACCCACAGACCCAATACTGCGCAGACCAACAGCAAATTGCACAATAACAAGCCCACAAGCAGAAGCACAATTATGAACAGCATCACCATCATCATGCCTCCCCAAGCCAGAACCAAACCCCGCACATTCAACCCCCCTTCTCGTTCCACAGCCATTCTTTCCTTGGCCACCAGGCTTGGAGTAGAAGGAGTCAATGCCGCTGCTGCTGTAGGCCCTCCGTCTCAGGATGCATGGCATCAGGGGCAAGACTATGCTGATTCGCAAGCGCACCCAGCGCATATGTTCCGAGATGTAGGAACGAGTCCATGTGGTCTTTTGTGAAGCCATTGTTCGCTGTCTGAGACATATGATAGAGCGCATTGTGGTGAGTGGGGTGATAGTTGCGGCCAGTGCCATATGATGCTGGCTTTTGCTGACCCTGGGGTTGCTGTTGGCCGGGCTTTTGCTTTGAGGGTTGCACCTGATTGTTGCGCTGCTGGACATGGCCCTGGCCTTCGGCACCGGCGCCCTGGTTGAATTGCTGGTTCTGAGAAGGCTGTTTGCGGGTTTGTTGAGGGGATTGCCCGTTACCATACCCGTTGGATTGGGGTTGGGAGCCATTGGGCTGGTTTAGTTGACCTTGATTGTGCTGTTGATATTGCTGGCTATCGCCTTGGCCATCTTGTTGGTAAGGATCTTGAGCCCCATCTTGCTGGTATTCGTCCCCCTGATTCTGACTGGGGTCTTGTTGGCCGTATTGGGATTGGTCTTGTTGATCATATTGACCGTACTGGGAGGGATCCTGAGCTTGATCGGCTTGGCCACCGTAGGATTGATCTTGAGGAGCAAAAGACTCCTGGGGCTGGCCGTAGGACTGCTGGTTACCGTATTGAGACATTCTCTTGTTCAGTTGGGAATTGAGTACTAAGTGAAGTGCTAAGGAGTTTCTAGAATTTGATCGGCGATGGGATTGCGGTCGTTCGTGAGGTGGAGATAGGTGGTCTGGAGAAGCCGTGGTGAAAATCTTGATGCCTTTAAGCTGAAGAGTAGATCCTCACTGAGGAAGACGTTCACTTATTATATCATCAAGAATGCATGCGACATGGGCATGGAGCCGAGGAAATGGCGTAAAGACCTCATGCTCTGGACTACTCAAGCCCCTCAGCTCTAAGTTAGAGCTGACATGACTATTCTCAGACGCCATAGGCGGAAAGGATCATTTAGAAGGTGGCTGCTGATAGTTCCTCACGGGTTGCATACGTTATGTACAGGGCTGACAAGTGCGGGGCGGCCGGCGGCGAAACGGGGCTGCATTTTAGCAACGGAGTAAGCAAAGCGCTTACTCATCGCGACTTCATACTTCACACTTGATGCTTGATGCTTGATGCTTGATGCTTAAGCTTTAGACGACGCCTTTGGTCTGTGGCGTCTCACTTACAAGCGACAGAATTGGATTTGCCCCGTTGATGACTGTAAAAGCCGAGGTTCTGGACCTACCGCCGCTTGGTTACTAAATTTGGTGACAAGGTATTTCCAGTGGCACCAGAGAGACGTATTAGCTTGTTAAGGTGAAAGGCGGGATGCTTCTAAATATTACCTTGTAGAACTTTAAGCGTTCAGGCCGCTCAGATGGACCAGCATGCTCTAGTAGAGTCGCGAAGTAGAGAGCCGTACACAATGGATGACAGAAGTTCCTTCAATGATTTGGAACAAGTCGATTCATATTCCTCAAACCAAACAACATCTCAAGAACGCATGATTCACACCAGTGAGCAAGTGATAACAGGGAAAAACCACTCATCGGCAAGATCGCGTAACTCAACCGATATGAGCGCATCAGAACCCAGGTCTGGGGCGGTTGCAGAGATTGAGCCTGCGCAATCTAAAGCAGACACGGAGATAAACGGTACGCACCACAGGACCAACGCTCAACCGGAGCGATATGAATCTCCCAAGCCGACCGCCGAAGCACGAGCTCGCTGGGCCATGCTTGCGTCTCTCGTCTCTCGGGAGGAAGAGCCAGATCAGAGGGAGCCAGCACCGTCCTCTGCCCAAGAACGCGAGTCAATAATCAAGAGAGCCTGGTCAGAAAGAAGTGAGAGCGAGATTGAGCATAACCAAAGAACTGGACATATCAAAATGCCCAATCATGAAGACTACCTCAACTCGGATGAAGAAAACCTACCTCTTTTGTCAACCTCCACGACGGAAGCAGCAAAACGCAACAAGGACTCTAGGCTCTCTGATATCTTCCATAGTGTTTCGGATCACCAGAAGCTTGAAAACAAACAGGATAGAGAGTATGAAGAACGGACTCTCAAGATACTTGAAGAAGCAGACAGAGCGTTGCAAGGTGATGACTTATCTCTCTCTCACCATAGACGACGATCACTCTCATCACAGAACGATAGCTCTCAACGTCACGAATCTGCTTCAGTAGAGGAGCATCATTGGCTTTCGGAAAAAGCGGAGAAACAGTCAGCCGGCGCCTCGAAAAATGATGCCCGAATTCCTTCTAGTATAGCGAGATTAGACCGTGATATGAATCAGGCATCAGGGACTATTCATCAAGGAATAAGAGCCTTGGCTGGAGAAGTCACCAGTGACCATGCTGGAGAGAGACTTGATCATGTCGAACAGGAAGCGAAACAAGCTTTTATCAGAGGCAAGGAAGATATTGAGAATGTAACGAAACTTGCGCAGGCTTCATCAAACATCAATCAGGAAGAAGAAACTTTAATCAACACTCTAGAGAGCGACGTCAAACGCTTTGGGCAAGGCTTTCAAGCGGCAGAAAGGGCCGTAGAAGAAGATCTCGATCAATCTCTCAGAAAGGTTGAAGGCAGTCTGGGAGAAGTCGCTGGTCAAAAGACCCACCATGGTCTCAAAGAAGCTGAGACTGCGGTTAAAATGGGGGCTGCGATGGTAGGAGGGCGAGCCAAGGCCATTGCTGGCTCGGTGGAAGAAGCCGTGTCTTTGAAAGGTAATACCTCGAGAGATTCGTTTCGAGGTGGAGAAAACACTGTCGACAGGATAATCAAAGATATAGGCCATACCAATGTCGTGCAGAAAGCCGAAGCAAGCACAAAAAGCCTAGAGAATCACGTTGGCGAAGCCGAGCAGTCAATCGCCATGAGGATTCAAAGGCAAGTAGGGGGTTTCAAGCTCAAGGCTGACTTCAAAATGGCCGAGGAAGCGGTAGAAGGGATTGACGGCGCTGCGAAGAAGGCTTCGCTGAAGGTCGAGAACGGAGTTGCGAGAAGCGATCTCGCGACGGAATCCAAAGCAAACAAGGACGCTGAACCTTTGCGGCAGACGCACACACCTTTCAGCTCGCATCCTCAGAGCGGGCACTTGGGAAGCGTCAATGGCAGGCCTGCTATTTCAGGTATGCAAAGACAGGCGCCGAACAGCCTTCCATCAACGGAAGGCAAGCAGCAGCCTCAACATCATCAGCAGGAATCCCAAATTCCCGCCGGGACTGCACGACACAATGTCCCACATCAAGGTGGTATGGTGCACCAAGCGCGAAAGCAGCCGCAGCCGGCTTCAAGAACACCACAGATGGCCCAAAAAAATGCTAAAGCAGCACCTCCCCAGCTTATGCAGCCAAAGGCGAATGTTACACGGCCTCCTAGCCAGCACCAAGGCAATATGGATCACTCACAGCAGAAGCAGCCTCATCTTGTGGGTGTACCACACAGCAGTCAACAACAGAGGAAGCTGGCTCAGCCGCAGCAGATGCGACCGCCTGTCATCGGGGGACCAAGCAATACCCAGCACCAGAACCACGTCGCTCAATTATCACCGCAAAAAGCCCCTAGTAACAGTCATTCGGATCAAAGAGTAAACCCAGCACGTCCAGCTAACCAGAGCTATCCAGAGCAAAACAATATTCACAGACCGAACGGTCTCAATGCGGGACAAGGGCTTATAGGCAAGGACTCTGGGCTAAATCACAAACCAGTCGTAAATGCGCCCTTAAGACAACACCAACCCGAGCATAGGCTCTTTAGGCCTTCGCTCGACCATGAAAGAGTATTAAAACAATCGGATAGCCATGTTCCGTTAGTTCAATCGGCAGCTGTGATATACCCGACCCACCAACAGATTACCAAGGGACGAGAGCTAGAACAGCTGAAAGCCTCGCACGGAAAGCCACCACCCACCGTGAATGAGAGTAGAATTGACGGAGGCTTCGTCTCCGAGACTGGAACAAGGGCCCAGGAGAGCAAGTCCCGACAACAAGCGACAGTAGGAGCTCAGGCATTTCGACGAAAGCAGTCAGACCCGCAAGCTGCGCTGAATCCAATCTCCTGTCCCGGACAAGATGCTCAGCAAACGTCCGAGTTGCATTTGCCGCATGCGGAAAAGTGCAATGGTCCACTCAGGCAGGTGCAACCGTTCGAGAACATGAAGCAGCAGCTTGCCACACAGTCAGAAGGATCGATCGATCGATCGAATTCCGAGACAGAATCTTCCAACATGACGGAAGAGCTCATGAACGACGTAGAAACGAATGGGGAACCAGCGAGCGGGCATTCCGCAAACCCTAAGACACAGCTCGAAGGATATCTCGAAGCAATGAAGCAGCAGACCCAAGCATACGTTGGTACATCGGATGGAAGTCCTGGCTTTCTGGAACGTGAGTTGCCCCCACCCCCTCCTTTACCCCTCTCTTTTTCCTAAATCAGCGTGTCAGGACTGACGATTTGCATAGAGATGCTACAGCTACTATTCAGAATGGCTGAGGATTCGTTGCCCGAGATCCAGCGCCGCTTGGACCAGAATGGGCAACATTGTGGCCCCGGGCAGCCACTACCCGATCACCCTTGAGTTTTGATGGCATGTTGAGGTCAGGCGACGGCGTCTCGGGTCATGGAAGGATTCTCTGGGATCCGATGCACTCTACTCAGGTGATTGCTAAATAGAATACTTGCATGCTAATTTTGTCTTCCGCACGGACTTCCCGTCGTGCAAGCCGCTCCGCATATCATAAGCGTCAGCAAGTCCAATTAACGGCCCAGCAATGAAATGACAAAATCTCAAGGGTTTGCATGGTGACGAGGAGCACAAGAGAACTCTTTGGTGACAGCATCGACAGTCGCTGCTGTCGTTCGGACGATTAAATCGACATCCTCTTGAGTGATGTTGTATGGCGGGGCGAGTATGACATGGTCGCCTGTGAGACCGTTGACTGTTCCAGTTCCGGGGTAAACAGTGATACCAAAATCAGGATCGAAGTCCAAAGCCAATTCACTGATGCGCTCTGCAATGGTCAACGAAGACGGAAACGGTTGCTTTGTCACTTTATCCTCGACGATCTCGAGCCCCAAAAAGAGACCGCAGCCGCGGATATCGCCAACGTGAGGATGGTTTTCCAGGGCTTTTCCTAGGTCGTTGAAGAGTTTTTCGCCCATCATTCGTACATTGGACAAGAGATTGTCCTGTTTTATTATTTTTTGGACAGCAAGAGCTCCAGCACAAGCTAGCGCGTGGCCCTGGTACGTCTGGCCGTGAGTAAAGGATCTATGAACTCGTGTTAGCCTACCGTCTAAGTCCTTCCATATCCTTCTAGGAATCACGCTGTGGAGAAAGTAGAAGACTGCGGGGAATACTGAATTGGAAAGAATATGGATGGAAGACAAGATGCTGGTAAAAATAGAGCAAATGGAGGGGAGAAGCTGACGTACCCTGTTCCTGTAAAAAGTGCATCATTGACCTTTTCTCCCACAAGCAAAGCAGATATAGGAATGAAACCACCTCCTAAGCCCTTGCCCATGGTCTGTAGATCAGGAGTGACGTTGACGTCAGGACTCTGCCAGGCATGCATATGCCCAGTCCTTCCAATGCCGCACATGACTTCATCTAAGATGAGAAGTGCGCCATGTTTTTCACAGACACTTTTCACAGCCGCGAAATAACCCGATGGTGCCACTGTACATGCCATTGCGGCGCCGACCACGGGCTCCGCGACGAATGCACATACCTTGTGAGGTCCAACGCGCGTAATTTCTTCATCAAGCTCTGAGACGAGTCTTGCAACATAATCTTGACTTGTTTCTGTGGCGAAATCCCGTCCTCTGTACTCATACACAGCCGAGACGTGGGATGTGTTTTTCGATAGAAGAGGTTCGTATTTCTCTCGGCGCCCCTGGTGACCGCTCACTGCGAGAGCACCGAGTGTGTTCCCATGATATGAGGCTTCTCTAGCAATGAAGTGGACGCGATCGGGCTGCGGAGGATCGAGCTCAAGGAAGTATTGGCGAGCTAGCTTCAGAGCTGCTTCCATAGCCTCTGATCCTGCGGGTCTGTCAGATATTTCATTTCAGTTCTTGAATAGATGGCTGCTAACCGGAACTCAGAAACAAAGCCTTCTTCATCGCTCCCCCAGTTGAGCCAACCAGCTCCTGTGCGAGATCTTCTGAGCTCGAGGTGCTGAAGAAGAATGAGTGGCAATAGCTTATTTGACTCATCTGCTGGGCAATTGCATCAGCAACCCTGCTATCTCCGTGCCCAATGCAGGCCACAGCAGCACCTCCAGTAGCATCGAGTATACGTCTTCCATCTTCGAGGGTCAACCAGCTTCCCTTGGCTGCAACAACCCGCCTTGGGATTTGGTGGAGTGATCTATGAAGGATCGAGCTATCGGCCTTCTGGCTGAGTGATCGTTCTGCGTATGAGACCGTTCCATTGATCGAGACAGGTGAAGGCAAAGACATTCTTCTATCAATTACTGATGAGGATCGTACGCATTGCTACTAGAGTAAGGAATCGGAAAGGGATGGGGATCTAGAGGTCGAGCGGGGTATGTTGTGTACATCAGTCTCTTTTAGCTATCCGACCCCAGCGAGACTCCTCGGTTGCAGCATTGTTACATAAACTAGAAAAAGGGTTAGTTTGGAGACACCCTGGAGACAGCCGTAGCCGCTTTGGGGGCCCATTTTCTTCTGTTTAAGTTGTGGCGTCAAGCACGATTGTCTTCTGATTGACTCAAATGGAGCTTCGACACTCTATTATCGCTTGCTATTCTGATAGAGAGCACTCATTTCGTCGCCTTCTCACTCTTGGCGCCGAGAACTCCCCCTTGTCAAGCTGAGGATCGTCGCATCCCTTCCGCTATGATAGGCTGACCTGGTGTCCTTTCAATGGCCCAAAAAAGCCGTAACACCTTACCGCGACCTGCCTGTTCCATTGAGCCATGGCTTGGGAAGAGCCATACTCTGTCTATTTTTGCTATTGGCGTCCGTCTCAGAGGATTATTCAAGACACTTCGCCTGGCTTTCGACCATGAAGCACGAGGGAAATCTGGTGCAGACGGCCATGGTTAAACCCATGAGAGGGAATATCACCTTTCGCTCCTTTACAGTGTCAATTGAATCAGCGTCAATGGCACATCGCGTCCGAAACAGGTTTAATGGACGCGACTCCGATATTTCAACCTCAAAATCTCTTCGACGAACCATCTACCACGTAAGGACAATACGGCGCATGTTTGCAGCCTTAAGTAGATCATTCTTTGCAACTCTAAGTCAGACATGCCCCTTGCAGCTTTTTATGTGCAGTTTGATCCTTCGATGCGAATCCTGTCATGCGATTGCCGCTACTTCTTTCCTAGACTAGAGGCTTGTGCGCTCGACATTCAATATAGTTGGGTCAGTGCTAGTCCCAGCTTCACGCAATTACGAGATAAGAAACAAAAAGAATGTTTTGGACCACGTTACTGTTCGCCGCCTCCACACTTGCATTGCCTACAGACCTAGCCTCCGAGTACACGTGCTTTACGCCGACTAGCCCATATTTATTGGCGACCTATGCCCAATGTCAGGCAATCATTCCCCAGCTACGAAACCTCTGGGGTTATGAAGGTCATTATTTACGATGGCACTTTCAAGATCGACCAAAGGATCAAACACCAGGAGCGATGCCCTTTACATTACCCCAAATCACCCCTTGTCTGGTCAGGCTCTCGATAACGGATATCCAAGCGGATGATTTGTTCAGGACGGAGGATCTTGCCGTTGCAGCGGAGCATCTCCTCCGGACCTGCTTCGATTTACATCAGATGGACGGCCGCGCACGAGTTGGCCCGAAGAAGATCGTTGGATTATCAATAACCACTAGCCCGCTCAACGACCCATCAATTGCAAATATAACAAGCTTTTAGGGAGTTGAAAGGCTCTCGTCGTATCCTCTTACGGCCACTGCCATGCTAGTATAAACGGGCTGCTTAGGAGATTTTGAGGCTGAACAAGTTCTATGGCCTGGAATCAGGGGGTTTGTGACCAGAATTATATCTGTGCAGGATATTGGATGACTAGCAGGGGTTGTGGCGACTGATTTGATCAGTGGAGATTCAGCCGGCAATGGCAACAGGGGCTGAGGCTGGATCCCAATGCATTCAAAATCACAAGTATTTTGCACAGCCCATATGTAAGCATACACTGCAGTTGTCCATTCCTTTCCCCTAAATCCTCTCTTTGCATTGGTTGCGATGGCATGCGCTTTCTTCGTGTAATTTCGATCACCTCAAGCGCCAGAATTTGACTACGATGATCGAGACTTTACCACGGAGACTGTTCGTTGCTCAAAAAGATAACTACAAGTCCATAAATGCCAGTGACTTGCTCGGCAAGATAGACCTGCGACCACATTAGAGATGTCTCAATCAAGGCATCCTGTGCAGCCTGATGTCATCTCTTGGGTCTGCATTGCACCTTGAAATGAAGCTCAATCTGACCTATTTGTGGGGTCGGGTGTGGAGCCGACTAGTACACCCGCCCGATCGCATATGTAATGTCTATCATGCTAACCCAATTGAAGATGTCCACCCAGTGGAAGCCTCCAGATCAATTTGAGAGCAGTCTAAAAGGTCCCTACCTTGCGTCTACACTGTCTGCAATGGAAAGCTTCGTTTTCCACGGCTGCGTAGCTGCCATGAACCCAACGGGAAGTACAACGAAGCTGACGAATACCACATGTTAGACACGCTGTACGTGGTGATAATATTAGACATGTTACTCTTTTGGGGCCGATTGACAGCTACCATGACCACGGTTCTGCTTTTGGTTTCTGTGTGCCCGTACCGTACGAGGGTCGGGTAGTCGGAGTGTGGCCACGCGAAGCTGAAGTGCACTAGCTTTAGGGCTTTCTACGGGGGCTCAGGATACTTCCGCGGCGCCAGAATCATTCTGCTTTATATTGCTGCCTGGGTCAATCGAACGGTCCAGACGCTCGCATGGCTCTGAGAGCCCAGAATGATCGCGATCTAGCTGCTAGTTCCATGTATTGAATTGTCTGCATTCCGCTCTCTTCAAGGCAGCAGCAATTCTACAGGCACCAAGTACGTTTAAATGGTTCTGATGGCGATTGTTCTTTCATTGCATTTATCATCTACTCAATTGACTTTTTAGAAACAAGGACAATGGACGCTCCTCCTCCTGCATATACTGAAAGCGATCCGCATCCTCAACCTCGTCCAACCCTGGACAATGCTAGCCAAGTTTCGCAAACCTCCCTCCCTGGGCCATCCCCTAATACCTCTTCCCCTACGAGCTTTGTGTCGGGAAGTCCATACTTTGCAATGCATCCACCTACGAGACGCCCGAATTGCAGATTGACGACTGCCAGTATCCTCGTTGTGCGTGGAACTCGTAAAGAAGACCTCCCTCTGCCCCCGCAATTACAGAAGGGTAGGGGTCGTCTCGATACAGACGATTGGAAGGCTTTCCTCAGCCATTTGCTACCTGATCGTAGGGAGGAGACACATGTTCAAGCTAGATATGAGAAAAGTGGCACAATTAGCACCCGCGTCCAGCCCAACCAACAGGGAGAAACGCCCGATGTCGCCGACGCACATCTGAGTCAAGTCGTGGATGAATGGAATGAGGGCTTCTTCCTGCCACGCGGGATATCAATTGCTCTGCAAACCGAAGTGCCTGAAGCCTCAGCTCTTCCCGCCGCCATATCCAACGACCGCAACAAACTTGGCGAAGCTTTGTATGAAAGTATCAAAAAAGGAGACTTGTCAACGATCAAGCTGCTTCTATCTCATGGGGCTGATCCAAATTACCGACCAAGCTGCTCAACACCTTCAATTGTCCGAGCTGTGAAAAAAGAGAATATTGAGCTCGTCCGACTGCTCCTAGAGCGAGGAGCCGACCTCGAAGTGACGGCGCCAGCCGCTGAGACAGCTTTGTGGGCCGCAGTCAAAGCAAAGAACGTAGACATCGTCAGGATGCTTCTGCTTTACGGTGCCAAAGTTGACACGGCCCATCCTTCAGGAAGCGATCCCTGCCTCTATCGCGCAGTGGTCATTGGAAAGCTTGAAATCGTGAAAATGCTGTTAGATCAGCATCCAGATCTTGAGAAAAGCCCTCCAGGAGGCAGCACAAGTTTGTACCGCGCTGCAAAGGACGGAAATATTCTACTGGCGCAAATGCTTCTGCGCTACGGCGCTAAAGCTAACTGCTGGCCGCCTGGGGGCTGTAGTGCATTTTACAGAGCTGCAGAGAAAAACAACCTGCCCTTAACAAAGCTTTTGATCGAGCACGGGGCGGATGTAAACTTCACACCCTACTCGCACAACTCAGCTCTTTATGAGGCAGTGAAGCGGGAGGATCTCCAGATGGTCAAGCTCCTGCTAGACTCCGGAGCAGATATCAATAAGCGAAGTTCTGGCAACAAATCTCCTCTGACGTACGCCTCTAAACATGGCCTGAATTCTTTGGTCAAACTTCTTCTCGAAGCTGGAGGTCATGCAGAGAAAGGTCTTAATTGAGATCTACAATTCATTCCTGTACCCAGGGGGTTGTTCGGCCGCTTTTCTCGTTGACTATCTGACGTTCCTTCACGTCCACCCCTCAATCTCAATACGCTAGTGTTCTAAATCCTTTCCATCTCAGCTCTCACCTCGGACAACTGATATCCATCACCTCTCCGCCCGACTAAGATTTATCTCAGCGTAAAAGCTGGGTCCAGAAAATTTCATGATGGAGCTTACGATCTCGGAGATGCTGTTTAATAGGGAGCAACAGCACAGTGGGTGATGCTTGGTGGTCTGAAATGTTACAATGGAGCAGAACTGTATGCTGGCACAGACGCAAGATACGTCTAGTTCCTCTGTGGACGACCGACTCATTAACATTGACGACTGATCAAGGAGCGTTCCGCCATTCTTGCAAGATTGCATCGTGCAGAATCAGGATATCTAGGCATACCGCGCCGTCCAGCACGTCAACCCAATGGCCATTTCGAAGACTCTCCAGTGAAGAACGAAAACGTTTGAATGGGTTACAAAGAAGAGACGACTAGACGCTACCCACATAATTCGTGACCTTTGGTACGATATGGGCGCGAATTGTTTCAACGTGAAACGCAATGGGAACGTAGTCAATTTCACCGAGAGAGATTTTATTGGCTTTGCCTGCGATGATGACCTGCGTACCTGGTATACTGCTCAGAATGTGAAAACCCTCATTATGTTCCAGTATCGTAATCGTCTTCAACCGTTGTCCAAATGTTTCAAGACGATCATCGTGACTATAAAATGACATCAGACATACAACGAATCATCTATATCTACAATCCTCATAATTACTGGGGTTTTGTTCGTGAGCGGGCTCAATCCTTTCGGGGTAACGCGCGTCGACAACACAAAAGGAGGCGGCGACATTGACTCCATGTTGGCTTTCTCCGCCATGGCTTTATTCAAGCGGCGATTAGAATTCTCTGAACTTCAGTTGTTTCAGTTGTCCTTACGGCGTGCTAAGATCGAAGTTTGAACGACTTCTCCCGCACAAACCGACAATTCCAGTCGCAAACCCTGGGCATTTCGTGAGGTTGAGTGATTGCTTCTGAAGGATGTGGATACAGATAGAGGAATTCCGTTAGCTATCAGAGCACGACATGCTGAGATTGTTGTTGGGCTAGTGAATGATCTCAGCGTGTCTATATCGTCATGCTCAGAGAAACACAAGGATCCCATCCATGGCTGGACGTTCAGATGCCAATAGGGCTAGCTGTGGGTGATTTGGCCGTCGAAATCAATGATCCCTCGCCTAATCTGACAAAATAAAAGTCTTTAGCCTGGAGGATTACCTCACAACGAGTCAAAACGAGGCGAGTGTGCCTACTCAAATGATATAGAAGACCCGATCGAAACCGAAGGGCGAGTTGTTCAAGTCTGGACAATGGAAGTCCGGCCGAGTATGGGGGCAACGCAAATCAATGATACCAAAGAAACCCACCATGCCATACAACACCCTTGTATCTTTGCCAGGTGATAACGATATAGAAGAGCAAGGCTATGGGCTTGATTCCAACGAGCCAGATTCGTAAAGGTTATCTTCTGGAGATCGAAACGAAAGTAGCGACGATTATCATCTGGACCTAGATGAGAATGAGGATTTACTCGCACATGGGTGACTCACTGCAGGCGACTTCAACTACGAGGGCTGGGACATTCGGTTTGGCAGACACTGAGGGTGGAGCGCCGTCGCCCGTGAGGGGCGGATGGCCTAACGCGAACAGCCTTTTGTTTTGCCAAAGATTGAGATGCGTGCCATCTACGACATATCTTGATGGCGCTATTGATCTCAAGTATATAGACATTGTAGATTTCAATAGCAAAATATTCGATTTCTTTGGCGGCACAAGGTTCATTCCCTTGTTACGTCGGCGAGGCTAAGTCCTATGTTATTCTGTATCAATGTATGTTTGACTACATTATTTAACCTCTAGTCCAATGTTACACTCTCTACAACACAGAGGGACTTTGGCGCGTCTCAACTAGACTTTGAAAAACTCTTCGATATCAGATGCAGATTGCAAAAAGAGTATGCTACCGCGATATACCTGTATACTAAGCAGAGAAGGCACTACGGCTTTGTTAAAAGAGCTTGGGAGGGCAGCCAAGGCAGATGCAAAGCTTGAACACTGGAGCTGCCTGTCTTTCAAGGGCAAGTCAAGTCAACACACGGCGTAGCAGCGCCGGTTTAGATTCGATCATAGCAACGTTATGCTGCTGTAAGCATTGCTATCCCTATCATCATTCGCGAGGCTGCGAATGTTTGAGATGTGCCTATGCTTACCACATTTCAAAGTAACCTGTTCTTATCCTAGTGTCTTATTTCATTAAAAGTCGATAAACATTAAACGACTGATCATCCTAGAGAAGCCTTCTGCAACCCATTGTTACCTAGCAAGATGGTTTTAGCTTCATCGAAGGCATATTTGAAAGGGGGTTGAAAAGCTGCAAAACTTTTATAAGAGGCTATTTTCATTACAATTGTTTTCAAGAGATACTTTGGATTTTTTAGGATATAGGAGGAAAAATTAAGAAAAGAAATTAGTTCTTAATAAGAAAGATTTTGTCCTATAATCATTTTCAAGAGATACCTTAAGATTTAGATTTTATATAATAGAAAGCCTTTGCAATTCTAATATTAATTCGTCAAGGACGTTGCTCAAAAGCTTTTATCTATCCCACGCCTTATCTTTAAATGCATTAATAGGAAAGGCCATAGAGCTAGGCTTCTTTGTCCCTTACACCTGTTACCAATATGGCTTCATCTTGTGCCTGCCGTCTCCAAGGGTGTCAAAAATTGCTTAGCGTTTACTTTCAACCGGATGCGCTTTTGGTTGAGGCACCCATAAAACAGCCAGGCGTAAATTCGCGTCTGCGAAATATGTACCAAACTGTGTTACTTGGTCCTCGTCGCTGGCCAAAGTTGGCAGGTCGGCTACTGCATACTGTTGTGTTCCGCGACCATTCGAGGCCAGCGTCATGTAAGCCAAGGGAGACTGGTAGAGTCTGCTACCACGGCTAGCCGGCGTCCACGAGAAGAGCTTCGGTAAAAGACTCGGATAGCAGGTGGGAGCTTAAAAACGACTCAAATAGCAATCATTCCCTTCCGCAGCGTGCGAACGTAATTTAACAAGGGTTCTATTGGCTGCCAAAATTATTAGGGTTTCCTACTGAAATTAGGCAGCTTTCATAATTACTTACAAGTATCGCTGGCACAACTTTACGCCAAGACTCAGGAGATTTCTGAAAATTTCAAAGAAATTGCGATACTATGAAGGCTTGAGATGTCTTCTCAGCCTAATGCAATAGACTTTTGATAGCAACAAAAGTAGGGAAACAACTGAACGACTACAAAGCTTTGCAAGCAAATTTGTTCACAAAGCTTTTAGTTTTTTGCAGCGCTTGAGGGGCAATCCTAGCCCCTGGTGGCCCATAGATAATGTAGAGCTCGATTGAAGGCGAAATTTACCAGTATTTAATATGGCTAAATGCGCCCCTTGTTGAATTACGCGTTTGCGGCCGGGAGGGAATGATTGCCATTCGAGTCGTTTTTAAGCTCCCACCTGCTATCCGAGTCTTTTACCGGAAGAGCTTGTAGGCTGGGAGCTTTACCATGTCTAGTCAAGGAGCTCGCTAGGGGAGAAGGAACCCACTAGAGGCCAATCCTGCGGAGATGGAATGGGAACTAATTGAGCAGAACCCCTGTCGTGCGTTCGTTAGTCGCTCGTCGTTTGTCCTGCCCGCTGCTCGCTATTTGATGAAGTACTACAAAATGGACCTGGAGAACCACCAGCAACCGCTTCCTGTGCAATTCGTGCGTCTCGGATTGCCAGGGCGACTTCATATACCTCGGAGCTGATTATTAAACATGAGTATATAAAGAAAATCTCATCTAAAAGCCCCAGTCCTCAACCCAGATCCTCGCGTGCTCCTCAAAATGGTGAAGGACGAAGTAAAGAAGGCCCTCGAGAGCGTGCAGAAAGCCGTCCAGGGCGATCTCAATGGCACTGGACAAGCCCACGTTGACTTGCTTGAGACCATCCGCAAGCTGAGTCTGGCGGTTGAAACCCCAGCCGAGACTCTGATGCGAATGCGGTTCGAGGTATGCCATATCCTGACCCATAGATCACCCACTTCTCCCAGCCTTCGTATCTCAGACTGATCTCTGAACGCGGACCGAAGCCTCTACAAAGCGCTGCAATTCGGCTAGCTTTAGAAACTGGTGTGCTGGATGCTATCTCCTCTCTAGGCGGCAAGAAGGTCACGGCCGATGAGCTTGCAGACTTGACAAAGTACCATGCTCTTCTCATCGGTTCGTTCCAAATCTTATTCAGCTGTGTGCTCGCGTGCTAACGTCGTGGGAGCTCGCATTATGAGGCTGGTAACCTGGGCTGGTGTGGTCGATGAAGTAGGCGAAAATACTTATGCAGCAAATGAAATGACACGCCTTATTGTCTCGCCTGGACTCTCTGGCGGAGAAAAGCACCAGTACGTTGTCTCTGTGACACCAACATCCCGATCTTGACTGATTTGCCTGGCAAAGTTTTGACTTATTCTTCCCAACTGGCGCCAAGTTGATGGAGTACCTGCACGAGACCAAGGTTCACCAGTTTCCTAAAGATGATGAGATCAGTGCGTTTCAGTACGCACACGGTAAGAAACTTTGGGAATACTTCGATGCCGTCCCGGAGCAGAGGAAGTACTTCGACGATTACATGGCTGTTAGGCGAGTTGGTCTTGTGAAGTGGTTCCAGACATATCCTATGGCGGAGATTCTTTGTCCTGCAGCCAAAAGGGATGCCAATGCTGCCTTATTTGTAGACGTAGGTGGAAATTGGGGCCATGAAGTTGAGTCTTTTCATGAAGCGTACCCAGACGCTCCAGGACGTTTGATCTTGCAGGACCTTCCCCAAACGATCGAAAAGGTTCGCAGAGAGAATCCACCTAAAGATGTCGAATGTATGGAGTATGACTTCTTCCAACCCCAACCAATCAAAGGGGCTCGGGCATATTACTTCCGTAATATCTGCCATGATTGGCCCGACGAGCAATGTCAAATCTTCCTAAGTAACACGGCTCGGTCAATGGAGGAGGGATATTCTCGACTCCTCATTGACGACTACGTATTGAACGACGTCCAAGCCCCCATCCGTGCTGCGGCCATGGATCTTTTGATGATGCTGTTCTGCTCTGGCATTGAGAGAACGCGCCACCAATGGGAGATTTTGCTTGATCGGTGTGGTCTAGAGATCGTTAAAGTCTGGGGGACACGCAGTGACTATGAGCAAGTTATTGAGGCGAGGTTGAAGGAATGACTCAATCAGTCCATCCCATGGGTCCAAACAGGCAGAGGTTTGTCGCTATCACCTCGCCTTGTTTTGCATGTAGGCTCTTGTCGCTTATGCATATAGGTTTTACAGATCCTCGATAGCTCATTTCTCCGTAATTCTGGCAATTATATGCCGCATTACCATAAAGAGCGTCACTCGTGATTTCTTGCAAAATACCTGAGTTTGATCGAGCCGACCGAGGCTAGCAAGTGATCCATTGCAGACTCATACTTCATGTTCAATAGCAGCCACCCTAGGTACCTTGTCAATCGGCACGCTTGCAAACTTTGCTACCATTTCAAGCTATAAATCATTAGTACTCTACCTAGACCAATGATGCAGGGCTGACCCACACACAGATGGATTTTCTCCGTATCCTCAGAACTCACTCCGACCCTTCTCATTCCTCTCAAATGCCACCCCGTCTCCCTTGGTAAGTTCTGCATCATGATTCCAGAGAGCACCACAATCTCCGTCTCAATCCCATCCAAGATCGTGTGATCCGAAAGATACAGGCCGTATGTGATATTGGCTGATATCCAGGCTTTTGCGCACGCTCAAGCATCAGTGACATGATTCCAAGGCTTCTCTTCCGCAAAATGGAATTCTAGAAGGCTTACCAAAATCCTTATGCGCCTCTAATGTCCCCAGAGTTTTGGCTCGATTCTCCTTGTAGATCGCATCCAGCCACGCCTGTCCGCGGGCGAGGTTTTCTGGGCCGGACTGCCAGTTTTCTCTGTCCAACGTCAGCAATTTCCCATGAATCCTTTTGCCTTTGCTCCATTCGCCCCTTGCGTCCGCACTCCCGCTTTCATTCCTCCTCTTCCCGGGACGAATGATAAGGGCTGCTCACCGGGAGAAACTATAGTCCCGATCCTCCTCCCTTTCCAATTCTGCAATCAACCAAACCGTCTCCAACGGCTTGCACACCCCTATGATGCTCACCAGCTTCACCAGCGCCTCCCTAAGCCGGCGTACCAGCTGCTGGCGAGACGCTGGGGTCTGAAACTTAGGTCTGGCAATGAGGTAGGTGTAGAGTGTGGCTGAGTGTGAGAGTTGCGGGGAGGTGACAAGGGCCGAGAGCTATGATTGGGTTGGGTAAGCACCTTGTAGAAGGAGTGCGGGGTCAGTGGGATAGGGAAGCGGAAGGGAGGCATACGACGAGGAGATACCAGCGATCATTGCCTAAGGTGGAGGATGGAAAGGCTGCCTCTACCTGGTCGAACAATTTGTGGGCCTCGTCTGTGCTTGGTTCGAGTGATTGGGCCATATCGTGATGACTGGGCGAAATGATCGCTGGATGTTGGAGATTTATCGAGTGGTGAGATAGCAGAACCACAAATGTGAGCTCTCTGGGAAGGATACATCATTCTGGGGCGGAATGGCGCAGGTCCGACCGTTCCGACGTAAGCAGAAGGTAAAGAAAGCTGACAACATATGGATGAGATTTGTGCCAAGCTACAATCTCAAGGAAGGCCGAGCAAGGTCAAAGTGGAGTGAAACAAGAAAAGAAACGTCGGGGGCGGTACAGAACGGTCTCGATATCAGTTATGTTCAATTAATATGATATAAATATGCCGGAGCAGTGCCCGCTGAAGATATGGTATAGCTTCACATTGAGGTAAATGCCTTCCAGATGGAATTTCACAGTCTAACAACCGGCCCAATGCAATATCTCCGAGATGCAATGAATTATATACATGTAACTAGCCTCCCAACCCAGGTGAGGTGTATCCTGACGCAAATTCCTCATTAATGTCGTCAATCATCACAAAATGCCCTCTTCTAGTAGCCATCTCAAGAATCTTTGTTGAAGATCTTGTAGAATCCGAGGCCACCTGCTTGCCCTGAGGCGGCGACATCCACACTCAAGCTATATACCTGCTTCCCGCTCAAGGTCTTTGTAGTGAGCCCGGAGTAGATTGCAAACGGTCCCGTCTTTCCAATGAGCTTGAGCTGCGTTTGGGTTGATGCATCAGTCTTAGGTGAGACAGTGCCTGTTTGGGGTACGGGGATCGAGAAGGTAGCTGTCAGAGTTGCTGGGGGCGCCGTGGTCAGATATGCAACAGTCAGATTGGCGGTATATGACTGCTGAGCGTTCAAGGCAGGGGTACTGGTAAATGGCGGTGGTGTCGGCGAGACTGATGACTTTCCTGGGACGGGAAACATGCTATCTTGAAATTTGAAGGTCTGCCCACCAACTGAGATACCTGAGAGGCCTGTTGAGGCAGGGAACGAGAGTTGGAACTTGTATGAGTTTGTAGCACCGTAGATGCCTGTCCCTGAATCTGCAGCCGATTTCGTGGCCGTTGCAGTCGTTGTCGTTGTCTTACCATCTCTACCGATAAGTGTAACTGTGTAGCTGCCTGGCCCTGCTGCTGAACCGGGGACTTGGACATAACGGAGGTTCCCCGTACAAACCATGTTGCCACTCCAGTCGACGTTCAGATCGACGTTATACGGTTTCAGATTCGTGGTAGTCGTTGGGTCGATGGGGGTGCTTAGGCGAACACCGGACGGAACAGTCTCAATCATACGCTGAAAGGTGGACGAGCACTGTGATAGAAAATAGTCGTTGGACTGACCCAATCGTTGCATTGTAGCATTCTGATCGGAGACGTACAGCCGGAGGTCGGACTGCACGGTCACGTTTGTGGTGGTGACCAGAGGACCACCTTTTGCGTTTTTGCTGCCCAGGTAATCGTTGACCAGCCCATTGTCGAAGCCCGAGTCAGTCTCGTCGAAGGCAATGCGCCCATCTGTACCTGTTTGGGTCCCTGGGGCATTGTTGACAACGTCGGGAAAATCTTTCTTGTGAACGCCTCCCAAGGTGTGACCACAGGCGGTCAAAGCGATGGTATCATCACGATTGAAGCCAGCATTGCCGAAGACTCCCAACTGCGTGTTGAGATCTTGCTGGGGCTGTGGAACACCAGTGGGGCCAGCCGCTGCGGCATCCTTTCGGCCGCCTCGCATCGGCACATGTACACCTCCGCAGTGCCCAGCAGCTAAGACAGTGCCCAAAGAAATAAGGTCCGCCATGGACACAGCGGCGTTGAAGTAATAACCAAAGTTGGTGAGGGCATCGTTGAAGGCGGTGCCAACGTTTTCAGCACGAGTCGTTTCGAACCCAATCGACGCATCCAGACCGCCTTGTAGAGTATAAATGTTTCCTGTCACGAAGTCATGGAAGGCTGTCCGGATCCATTCGGCAGCTGTCTGGCGGCCAAGGTTGGGGTTTGCTAGGCCGGTAGATGAATCGATATACTGTGAGCATGGTGTGATCATCCTCTTGAGATTGTAGGTAGCAGCGTCGAGGAAGAGATGCTCGAGCTCTCTGACAGTGGCTGCTTGGGCGTCGACCGGCCATTGTGCTCTGACGGGGGTGAGGGAAAGCAGCCAGAGGCTGGAGTGAAGAAAGGAGGTCCGCATTATGATTAGTATTAATGTGTAAGAGCAACGAGCGTGAGTTTATGCTTGAACGACGAGAGGTACTGTACAAAAGGAAAGAGAGCAAAGGAAACGAAGGCAGGACACGATGCGATTAAAGAGTGAATGGTGTAGGAAAGAAGGACAGCGATCGCTGTTTGCCTTGGGAGGCCGTTTCACAGTCTCGACCCCGGCTGGCGACCATACGCGTACAGCTAATGCAGTGGCTCCCATTAGGGAGGTGCCCGTCGACAGACTTACCACTTGAGGCCGGCGTGGATTGCTTTCGGATGCTAAAGGGGCTGCAGGGAAGAAAGCTTGGGTGTGTTAGTGCCAATGGCCGGCGTATTAAGGTGGATCTTCAGCCCGCTAGTCGGGCCCTCCGAGGGGCCAAATAAGGAACAACACGAGATTTGGGGCCTTCCGCTTACTCGCCGACCGTTCATTGGGAGTCTGAGTGCCTGGTGGGTTCAACTGGGTTGGCACTCTGCACCTTGGGAGCTTTCTACCTTCACCCGAGCCTGTGGGCTTAGCGAACGTTCTGCATGTGGATTATGCAGCTATGGACCTTATGCAAGCTATCGATGCAGGTCTCACTCGTTGGCGAGTGCCACCACCACGCTGACCGGTTTCTTTCGAGGTGCTAACCGTGGACTACCTGACTGATCCCAACGCAGATCTTTGTCAATGGGGCACCCTGTCCATCCTTTAGGGTTTGATTGCGGGCTAAAAATCGCGAAGTGCCGCTTCGTACGGCATCTTGCATGAGATGATGGGAGGACAAGGGGTAGAGCACCAGGTGGAAACAGTGGGATGCCATTTCCTTTCCCCATGCGACCCTTCCTCGGCACGTTTTCCGTCCGACCTCTCTGGAGTCTGGATTGATGGCCTTGCATCAACTGGCACGCCTTCCACGCAGCGGTGACTTATCTGCGCCATTATTATTTCCAAAGCTTTTGTTAAGCCACGTTCTCTCGCCTCCCGATCGATGCACCTGCTAGAGCTTGCATATCTTAGTTCTTGAACACGAGATAATAACCCTCCACCGAATTGGCTCAACCCGACTTTTTATGCAACCATTACCAACTTTCCGAGTTGGCACTACCTATCAGCAGGCCATGAATGCAGGCTATTCCATAGTACTGAACAGGCCTCGCAAGTTTAGAATCATCGTAATCACGGCGAAGACTACAAGAACTTGATGTTTTGAGAAAGCAAGACCAGTTGGGACATCCACCCATATCATGGCTTAGGCTGATCAAAGGCTACCTTATGGAGTAACACCTTGCCATTCTTTGTCGGCGACAACGTTGAATCTGAAAGTTCCTACGATGAATGACCCATTTACGCTAAGCAACCTTGATCAAGCCAATATGGTCTAAAAATCTTACTACATCACGTGTGGTACTACCAGCGACCCTGCCTGCATAAGCGTCCATCCGCTATTCTCCCACAGAACCACATCTCTAATAATTGCCGTCGTGAGAATTAGACCCTGGCTTCTGAAGTCTGGCCTCTCGCCAAATTTCCTAGACACCAGCAGCACCACCAGCCCCACCACTGCTACTATTCCTTCTCCGTCTCCTCAGCTCGCTGTACGCGAAGGCGGTCACAAGCAGCTCTTCCATGAGAGGCCCATCGGTAGCCCCCACCAGCTCTAGCTTCGCTCTCTTACTGCGACTGAACATGCTAACATCCAGTCGGGCTACCGCGAGGCCCTTGTCGTCCGTGCAAACAAGATCTGCACTTCCCAATGACTCTTTTTCCCATGTCAACATCTTACTTTGAGCAGCTGGAGATGTGTATGTGTAGCCGCTCTTGAACATTCCACGAGATTTGAGCTCAAAGGAGACCCCTTGCATAGCGATGGTCACTTTGCGTGGAAGCATGGTGAAAGTGACTTCGCCAATTGTTTTACTGGTAGCTGCGGAGCGTATGACTATCTGTGGCTTCTCAAATCTGTGCAGATCAATGGCGTAGAGGGGTATCTTCTCATCCACATCGTAGACAGTCTTGCTCTTGGAAAAAGGACTACCATCGTGATGGAGATGGAGCACACGGGACGTAACGGGTTGATGGTGGCTCTGAGGGGGATAGACTTCAGGACTGATAGCTTCGGATGGTTGCATCTGATTTGGAAGTGGCTTTGATGTGGGATCAGATGCTTGCATGTCGCTCCTCTTTGCATCAGCCATTGTCGAATTCTTTATTTTGTTTGATTGAGATCGAAAGTAGATGATGGCAGTCTGGAGCCTCTGTTCTCTTCACCAGTCTTAAAGCCATCCTTTTATATCCCGAGCTCTGTGTGCATCCCCTTCTTCTACAATGCCTCGTGACCACAGGGTGTGCCTTGGTGAGCTTCGGCTGACAGCTGACATGAAGATCGTCCAAGTCTTGGCTTCCACTGACAGCTCTCAGCCTCGCTATTACTATTTTTGGCTCAATGATCTGCAGGCGATGCATTGACCAATCAACGGGTGGCATCGTAATGACAGCATCCTCCACATCTTTCTTTGCTCCCAGCTCGAACATCATACAATGGCGACCTTCCAAAATCTCCCCACTGAGTTAGTCTTGCACATTTTGTCTCATCTGAATGTTCGTCCACCCTCAAAAGAACGACTGCATGATGAGCCAATTCCCCAGATGTTCTACTCCAATACTCAGCCCTTGAAAAGTGTTACGCTCACTTGCCACTACCTGCGAAATATCAGCATCAAAAGCCTCTTTCGTCGTGTCAATATCAAGCTCGGACAGCCTCTCAGTCAATTCTATAAGTTGATGGGGACCTATTCCATCGAAAAGAACGGCGTCGACAGTGTTCTGATCCAAGATCAATACGCATATGGAGGGCCTAGTAACGAGATAATGCCGTACTCGATACTTTACATGGTCTCGAGCATTTTACAGAATATGGACCCCAAAGACGTCACGCTTGCTTGTGCCCCCGAAACGCTGGCCAAAATAATGTCAGTGAGCATTCAGACACAAAGCTCCTGGGCCTTCCAGATGCCTTTCCAAATACTACGGCTAGAGCAACACCCTGGGGGTCTAGAGCGATGGCCGCGCCAAGGACACCGTACTTCTTCAGAGACCTCAAACATTCTCCATCTTCGTCCGTGGACACGCCTTACTTTCAATGAGGGCTCTTCTGTAAGCGCTTATGGTACGTACGAGTACTTCCACCTGGTGGCTCCAAGTTGGTTAAACGCGATCGAGTATGGCATGCCAATGCTGGAAACTACCCCGGCCCTTCGTTCATTCACCTATGTAGCCACGTTTCCCTTTAGTCGCATGGATCCATTGTGTTGTTTCGTTCGCAGTCTGCGTCTCAGGGAGCTTAGAATCCAGCTCACCCCCATGGGATCTTGTGAAGGCCATATGCTAAACGGAAAGTCCTCGATGGATGTTGGTCGGGCTGACATCAGGGATCTCTGGATGGAATATGAAACTTCATGTCACAATCTTGCACTTCTCCTGCCTCTGCCTAACGATCTCGAACGTCTGGAAATCGTTGACGCTCAGACTAGCGAGTACGTTCGTAGCGTACTTGACAGAACGTTGACTCAAAAGATTCCGAAGGAATGGAGATATTGCGGCAGTGGCATTTGGTTGAAGGAGAGAATAGCAGACAAAGGATGAGAATAAACTTGAGACAGATGGCTGAAACGGACTACTTGCTAGGATGAATCACCGGCGTAAGGTTAAGCTGCTTGACACGAGGCAGGATTAAAGCGAGGCTGTGAGTGTTTGATCCATATCTATGCTCGCCATATTTACGTTCTTCGGGTCATTTCTGACATCGTAGGACAGCAGTGGAGGCTCGAATGATCTGTTTTCCATTTACATCATACAGGATCATTGTAATCACAATTCTAGGTGAACTTCACAGGGCTTGCAAAACTTTACATACACCTAGATCTCTAGCGAAATTGACAGACCGAAAGCTTGTGCACTCGAATCACTCATACTCTCCGCCCCTCCATTCAAGAAAAGGGGAACTCCTCATTCCCTGCAGGCTGTCGTTTTCTCCCAGCTAAACATTAGCTTCAGTCCTGTTTTTGTTCCTCTTTCGCCTTTGTTGTTGGCTTTGCCGAAGCCGTTTTCTTCTCACCCTTCCTTATGGCCCTCTTGATTTCTGGCATACCCTTTTGAATCTCATGCGTATCTGTTAGGAAAGACTTCAGCGTATCTTTCACTTGCTCTGGTCTTTCAAGTAACTGGATTAGCCCTTGGCCCGTCAGCCGTTCAGCGATAGCCATCAGTTTGCGTTCATATTGGCTCAAGGCTTGTATCTGTGAGTCTAAATCTTCGTTGTTCTCCTCCTGCAACCCAATCGTACTTAGCAAGTTAAGCGCTTTTTGCCTAAAAGTTGAAATGGTATTGCGTAGAGCTTGCACTGCTCTAGCTACCATGATACCGTCTATTCTTAAACGCCAGCCCGTGACTACAGGTGACGCTTGTCTCATAACCGCATCCTTGAAGTTTGTAGCTAGCTTGCCTTCGAAAGTTTGGAGCCACTGCCGTTGGCGGAGAACACCAGGCCTTCGGGTCTTCCAAAGACGCTGGACTATTGTGATAGCCTTCAAGTCTGCCTCTGAATATTGTTGCTCTGTAGCTCCCCCTTGGTCAGGTGCGGCGGAGAGCACGTCGCTTGATATTCTCGACTGTAGATCTTGAGGCGTTGTTTTTACTACATCAGGGTGGTTTTCGAGGCCGTGTAGGTGTTTCAAGGAAGGATAGTGTTTGCTTTGGTCTATGACTAGCAAGAGAGTGTCTTTAGCCTCGTACATCTCAAATGAAAGCATTAAAGCCCTTTGCATGAGCTCAGAAGATGTTTTGAAGCACATGTGACTAGCTCGCATTGAACCTAAAGTAAGAACATTGTTCACCATATTGACCATTTCGCCTGATAGTCCGACTTGTAACCCTAGATTTGCGATACATGTCAGTATCATGTTAGTATTACGTCGTTGAAGATAGCGTTCCTGAAGCCTCACACCGCAACACATCAGCGTAAACCCAGGTCCACGAAGCTGTCTATCGAAGAACAAAAGAAGGCGGCAGAAATGATCCACAAGCTTCAAGAGGCACTGGCGATATACCTGATTGTCGCGTTCGGGCACGATGTAGTGCTCGAGCGCTTCACGAGGTAAATGAGGCAAATGACACTCGATCCAGGACGTGGGCAGTAAACAATATCTACCGCGAAGGCGGAGAATCATATAAAAACACAGGAGCTCGAATCTTGAAGTTAGCCCTGGTAATGTCGCTAGCTGGTCTTCGTGGATAGTGAATAGTACCCCAAGAAAATCGTCGATGTGCTCTTTCACGGCGACTGCAGGTACTTCATGGAAGTTGCATTGTAATTGAAGATATCGTCTGAGATCATGATAGACTGGGCCACTTCGTGGTTCATTGTAAAGCTTATTGGACAGGTTCCTGAAGAAACGACCTTGTACAGCGCGACCGAAGCAACTCGCCATCTGCAATTGCTCATGTATAGCTGAATATGTCTTATTACTAGCCCATTGCCGTCCTAAACGATGGTACAAGAGATCTTCAAGCGAAGACTTCACGACAGTAAGGCCTCGATCAGCCAGCAATTGCTGCCAACCCGAATTAACCTGTGTTGCGTCTTGATCACAGGCTGAGACAAAGGTAAGCTCTCGCAGTAGTCGTTCAAGCCAACGACGCCGTATCGGTAGAAAGGAACCGTTAAATGCTTCACTCATCGCTCGGCTGAGGTAGAGTCTGTTGGCGTTGCAAAGCAAGCAAGTGAAGCTTAAGAGGTCGGCAATTCTGTCTGAGCAATCTTGAGATGTCATTGACTCGTGCAGAAAAGGACAATCTTGTCCTTGACGCTTTGATGGGCAGTAGCCAAGGCTTAGAAAATGACGGCAGCGCGATGGCCATCTCAGGTCCCACAGTCCCCTGGCACAATCGTCTATTTTTAGTATCGCAGTAGACGTTACCTCAAGGATCTTGTGCTTGGCCGCTTCTAAATCTACGCTCCGAGTGTCGAATCCGCACTCTGGAGCGAATACAGATGTCCCACTCACAATTGGTGGACTCTGCTCGTCTGTCTGCCATATACCCCCAAGCAGTCTTACTATGCTCACAGCTTCGACGTTGGTAGAGTCCGTAAGCTGGCCAGCGAAGGTGATAGCACGAGAGAGAAGGGCGATTGGAAGTGCTAGAAAATCCACGGTCTGCCAGACCGATGTTTCATTTGAGAGAACGAATATCGTTGTACAGATTTCAACAGTAGCATCCTCGAGCGTATCTAAATAGCCGCTTAGTTCGGCGGTAGATACCGAAGATATCTCTTGCCACAATTTGGCAATATTTGCTAAATCTGCATGCTTGCTGTATTTGTCTTCCACTGGAACCTTGAAATCAGCTGACTTCGCGCCCCAAAATGCCCACAAATTTTGAGCACATATGAACGTAAATAGCTTCCTGGTCAAAGCCTGCACTTCAGGTGCGCTCTCTTCGCAGAGTCGCTGACAAATAGACAGTTCCAGAGCTTCCAGAAGGCGGCCTTGCCGGATCCTTAGACGGAACAAGTCTACGAATCTCATTTGCTGCTCGTAAAAAGCCTCAAGATCTTCGTGTAGGTCATACTCGACTAAGCCTGCTTCTTGCTCTTCAGGACTTCCCAGAGCTCGGATGGCGTATTTTCGGCACGTTGCTGAGATTTTGCGCTGCTTGAGTAGCAGTCTGCACAACTGACTATTACGCTGAACGGTTATTGTTGCGAAGCTTTCATAGTGATGGCTGAGGTACATGACGAAATCATCAAAACAGGCTCCTCGTCGTAAGCAACCTAGCCCTTCTTCGTACATTGACATCGAAGTGTAGCAGCCTGCTGCTTCGGAATACAGCTGTGCCTGCTCAAATAGTGGAGCAGCTTTGTCTAGCTCGCCAGCTTCTTCCCAAAGAGAAGCGGCGGAGGCGAGGTCTTTTAGCCGCTCTTCAAGAATTCTCGTGGCATCCTTCACCTTTTTCAACTCTCTCAGGGCGCTGGCGGCTTTGGAATAAAATTGACGTGCCTCTCCAACCTTTCCCTTCGACTCAAGTTCGATACCTTTCTCTTCATTTGAATGAGCAGTCGCTTCCTGCTCAGCCTTCACGTCGAATGCCTTCCTGAAGCACAAAACCGCAGCGTCATAGTGCTTATATGCCATTAGGCGCCAGCCTTGGGCTTTCCATTTATTGGGATCGTTTGTTTTCGATGGCTCAATCGTCGCCAGCTTCCTATTGAAGTCGGATTGGCTTGGGCGTGTCGTCTCGACTAAAGGTTCTTCGTATGCATTGTCGAGTAGCTGGCATACAGATGTAATTTCTTTGTCTGATCGTTCAAAGAAGAACAGCCGAAATCGAGCTCTTGTAATGGCAACGTATAAAAGCTTGAGCTCTAGACACATTTGCGGATGATTTCTCCCAAATTCGCTTGGCAGCTGGCCCATGAGTGCTCCAATTCTCCGAAAAGACGTCTGATGAGCGGAGTTGGAGAAGAAATGCCAGATAATGACATCGTCAAACTCCATACCCTTCGCTTCTAGGATTGTGAGAATGAGTCCGATGTCCCCTATCTCTGCCTGGAGATTGCGCTTTTCATCCTGGTTACGAACCAGTATCACTTGCTCTGCCCCAAAATCTGCAGATCGCTGAGACAGTTCTGACAGGCCAACCGACCTTGATCGAATAATGTTGGCATCGCATCGAAGAAAGAGTACGGGTTTCGGCCCATTCATGATCCCAGTCTCTGGCTCAAGCTTGTCAATGAAAGATGGAAAACCGTTCCATAACATTGTCATTACTAAACCCGCTAGGTTCAAGATCCCCTGGTGCGATCTAAAGTTGGTCGATAGGTTGAAATTCCTGGGCAGTAGATGTTTTCTAGCTTTCTCTGAAATTCCATTAGGCAGAGCTTGTGAAAATAATGTTCTTGCATCCTCGAAACGAAAGCTTGTATCGAGTGCGATTGTCTGGGCTGTATCGCCGGCGAAGTGAAATCCCCGTTTATCGTCAATAAAAGCCAAGAATAGCTCCAGATCTACACAGCGATGATCCTGTACCTCGTCGATATAGACTTCAGAAAAGACAGAGCGTAGAGTTGAGCGAATTGTCTCATTAGTTCTGATGCAGACTAAAAGCTTGAAAATGTGGTCGACATCATCTGTATGTCCGTTCTGGGATTTCATCTGCTCGTAGGCTTCAAAGATATCATAAATACGGTCGCGGTCCTCATCAGAGAACGTTGGAGCCTTTCGCGCGGACATGTTGTTGTATTGGTCCCTTGAAAGAGGCTCCAGACTCAGGCTAGAGTCAGTTGAGCCTTTAATAACGCCCATAATTTCTGGAAACACAGCATCTACAGCAAAGTCGTGCCTTGTCTTATCTGGCAAACGAGGCCAGTAATCTGTTCTGAATCGATTAAAGTCTACCTTGACCAGACGACCATTTCTTCCTCGACCCTCTGATGACATGTCTCGCTGCCGATCAAGCGCGACCACAGTATTCTCCAGCATTGACAAGAGATCGTCGAAAGTACAAACGAGGGGGAACATATCTGCCTCCAGCTGTGTAACATCCATTCTATAGAGAGGAGCTGCAGACCCCGCAAATTGACTGGTCTTTGTGACCATTGTTGGCTGAGACGTGTCCGGACCAAGTGTTCTGATCAGATCTCGAGTGTACAGGAAAAGTTTCTCAACAAGCAGCCCAGAACGAGTCAAGAGCACCTGCTGTATTGGTCTGTCTCCACCTAATTTCATACTAGCAATGTATTTGCCCACTAGTTTCTTAGCTAAACAAGTAGTTTTGCCAGTGCCGCTCCGGCCCAAGATCAGGCTTGGACTTTTGACGTGACTGATGACATGCATCTCTTCCTGAGAGAGCTCGAAGGGGAATTCTGCCGTGAGATCCTTTTCAGCAAGTGCCTTCAAGACCGCATCGGTCAACGGATACCATTTGTGGGCCATTTCTATGATAGCCTGGTCAGCGGTGCGCATATCAAGTTTCGCACTCTGCCGCTGCATTGTTCTTTTGCTATCAGCGAGTGGTTGGAAAAGCGGTATGAATCTGTGTTTGAACTTCATTGGATTCGATGTGCAGAGGTCAACGGCTTCTTTGGAGTAATTCTGGTGTAGGAGAGCAGCTTTGGGGACGACGTTCATGACTTCACGCTCTTTGCCAATCTCCCAGACTCTAATACACTGCTTCGTGCCCGCACTATCCGTCGAGGGACTGAGATCAATATGCCATAAGATCAAAATGTCTTTAGGACCAGCCCGGTAACATTTTGTTGTTGAGAATGGGATGAGTAGTTTCTCGCCTTTTTGTCCACGAATAATCGGATGAAATTCCCATAGTCCTGCTGCTAGGTCGTTAAGCTTGTTCCTTACAGGAGCCAATTCATCTTGTGCCAGTCTACGCAAAGTCTTGAGAGCTAATTCGGACAGCACAATCCTCCACGCACCCTCTGAAATACCGAAAATAGCGAAATCAAGATTGTGGTGTTGCACCGACCTCTCGAAGCTAGCCTGATGAACCGTGATACTTTGACTTTTTTGAGGAAATGTAATGCATTTGGCGCAGATGCGGCAGGGAAATGTGTTGGCAATGCCAATGAGGATCTCGCTTGTTTTGTCAGTCTTCAAAGTTTCAAGCGCGGTTTGTACGCCGAGCAAAGACTCTGGTATAGCCAAACCATGGTCTCGCAGTCCTGTAAGTACGTTCATTGGTATGGTAATACTCCTCTCCGGGGTTGATTTTTGGTGAGAGATAACGCCTTTTACGACAGTGGCCATCCCTTCGTCACACAGAATGTCACCTAAACGCCTTTCGCGATCATTAATTGCTTCTAGCCCCAATATGAGAAGCATTAAATTGTCCCAAGATTCGATGAGTGAAGATGACTTATGCTGATCTAAGCAACGCCTTGTCAAGTCCACGAGCCTTGATGTCCATCCATGGATAATATTCGAGTGGTATATCGTCGTTTTAGATGAAACCGCCCACCGCTGAATCAGGGCACTCCCTTGAGCGTCGCTAGCCAGAGATTCCAGCGCGTCCCCACACTCAATTAATAGTTTTGCGAGCTGACGATGGAGAGAGTGTTTGGAAGAGTATAGACAGATGGAGAGTGTCAAAGTGAATAATTGTACGAGATTCTGAGGCTCAATCATTTCCTGTAGATCCTGGAGGATGTGGAGGCAGAAATGTGATGCGGCATCCCCAATATCAGGTGTAAGTGGCGATTTAGGATGGTCAATCTGATATTTCAGAAGACTGTCAAAGACATCCGCGAGTCTTTTGCTTTGTGTAGTCAGGTTCAAAAGAGTCCTGTCCCGATTTGTGACGGAGACAAGACTCTCAATTTGGTGTGGATCTTCAAGGATAGCGGCGATAGTTTCTCTTTGCTGAGCGTACGAAACTACATCTGGAGTCGCTAGATAGGTTACTAAATCCATATATCGACCCATCCTTACTTGACCAAGGAGTGAATGGCGAATCAGTACGCGTCAGCAAGAAAATGAAGGGTTTCAAGCCCGGATCTGCGAAGTGTAAACAATTATGCGGTGAGCTGCAAGTACCCTGACCAATACAAATATCTGTCGCCCCGCAGTTTCATCGAAGTATGATGATGACACGGTAAGATATCGCTACAACGAAAGCAGCCTTTCTCGCTTGTGGACGAGCATTCCAGGTGGTAGATCAAGCATAGACAAGAGAGCAAGACAGCCCACTTGCCCGCTCAGATTTCATCATAAGCTACCTAAAGCGCTTGCAACAAACATGCCTCAAAACAGCCGCGCGTTCTTCCTGCACGCCGCGTCTTCACAAGATACAGAATCCCATAGTCATATAAGAACTCTTATGATAACATGTTTGCAATGATTGAAACGTCTTTCAGTTGAAGGGATGGCAAATTGCAGGAGTGCAACACACGTATGGGCCATTCGGTTAGTAGAAACCTCGATGGTGAGTAGATCATTTAAGGTCGTAAATAAAATCCAAGAGGCGTTTAGGAGCCTGTAAAGATCAATCGCAGCCTGGCGGTTCGACTGATGGGCTCACCCTTCCTTTCCAGTATACAAGGCCACGTTTGGCGCCGTCTTGGACCACTCTGAAGCTTTATAGAACTTCGATTGTCCCGAAGCAAAAACTCATGTGAGCTTCAGTGATGCAGTCTCGAGCATTTCCTAACAAAACATTTCAAATCGAGGTAGCTAGACCATTGCAGTTTAGTCTCATCCCGCGCAAATGTCGTGTCAGCCTACAGCTTGCGCTCGCCAGGTTACCATGACGACCCGATCAGCAAACGATGGGACGCACTAGCTGCACCGCAACTTCTGGCGGTCTAAGTCCGTCTCCATCTCTGATCTACCCCGTACAAGTGAGGGCTGTGAGGCGATGCTCGCCGGATAGATCCTGTCCCACGGAAGCCCGGTCGGGATCCTTGCCCTCTCCGGCTCTCTCGAGAAGACTGCGACATCCCTTGGCGCGTACTCCAGGGGCTGATTGTGTCTCTACTAGATCTGGAGCCCTGCCAAAAATTTCCTCCGGTGCGAAATTCTGCCAAGCCATCAATACGTTGTGCGTTGGCATTGGCTCGCCACTGGCGTGTTTTGTCAGACGAGCTCGTTACCGAACCGTCGCTGGAGCCTTTGGGCCAGGATGCCTTCTTCACAGCAGCAGGAAGCCCAAGAAAACCTCGGAAGAGCGGCTTCATCGTCGGTAAGCAAGCTGAGACGATCCCAACGGAGCATTCCACGCTCGTCCAGATCGCCGACGGTACGTCCGTATATGTAGGATCGTGAAGTGAAAGGGATTTCACAGTTGACAAGCGCACAATTGACGTGATACACACGCTGTTGAGGCATTAGGAAGACTGAAAGGGGAGAGAAAGTAATCTTAGACTTACAATGCGCCTAATAGAAAGACGCCAGACAGAGCGACCTTCTGATAAGCAGTGGCTGAAAACTTCCAAATTATAGGTACCGGTAGGCATAATACAGCTACGTCAGTGATGAGAGACGTCACAGAGCTACCAGTCCAGAGTTCCTCCTGAGGTATACACCAACCTCCGGGAAGTGGCTTCGAGACTCGTGTCCACATATAATTGACAGGACGGCACTGAAAAATGATTATGAAGGTACTCGTGAAGTACCAGCAGAGCGTTACGGTCCCTACAACGAATATCGCAATGACGAAGCGATTGTTCACGTTGAAAAGGCGATAGTAGAACAATAATATTGCGAGCTTGACACATGTCATAGCCAGTTGGTAGATCAGCTCAGCTGCGTACTCAACCTTTTCCTTGGTATCAGACGCATTCCACCCGGACTGGTAAGTGGTGCTTACCTTCGCCCCGTAGACAACATCTTTGATTCCAGCAAACTCAGCATGCTGACCCAGCCCGTGGGCAACTCCAAGCAAAAGATCCACATTCAGGCCAATCGAAAACACCTTGCTCGCTGCTCAGCTAACAACGCTAATTGAAAAGAGGCTGACGTACCAGTGCAACGACAATAAGATAGTCATCCCACCAAATCCGCGACCGTGCTATCCTCCGCGACAGGAATCTTAAAAGCACGGATATGACGGAGAGTGGGATGAGGACTATGAAGGTACTGCGAGCCAAAAGGGTCTTGTCCTCTTGTTCTCGGATCAGCTCTTGCGCTGGAGTGAAGCCGAGCGTAGTGGAAGACATTATTCTGCGGGATGGGTATGACGGAACGTTTGCACTTGCAGTTCGACATCCTGAAGGCCGGCGACGCAGTACTTATCCCTGGTATGATCTGGTCCGTGCTTGCATCTAGTGCTCGAGAGGCTGGTGGAGGCTGTCCTCTTCGAGTCAAGGGGGCGACTAGACTGGCGCGAGCAACTCCTGGCAATTATGCAGCTATCTATCTAGGGCGGGCCCGTTTGAGAACAGTCGACCATGATACAGCGTTTTATTCACTTTCGGGCCGGGACTGTGCACAAGCTGTCGATGCGGCTGCCAAAGCAAATGCGATCAATCCCATGTCGTCCCTTTCTAAGCCTTTTTGGTACATTTAATGTTTCATGCAGTTGATATTAGCTTTTCAAAGACGTCAGAACGCAACAAATGTCCTATGGTTGGCGCGCGTATTGAGTACGCTAGCAGCTCGCTTTCACCATGCTGCGATCATAGCGGCGACAGCAATCACAGATGTTGAATACAGCAGGAAAAGCCCCCGCTCTAATTTTGAAGAAACGCATGCAGCATTCTGCTAGACTCTGAGGACCGCTCTGCCCTGCCTTTAGCTTGCATCTCGAAGTGGTGAGTACGATTCCAAACTCGAATCTTGATCCCCAGGACCCTTTACAGGACATAGCAAGCGATACTGCGCCGTGTCCATGCGGGCTTCCTCGGCCACCAACTTTCGCCATGCATTGCTGCGTGTTCCTCCAAGGATCTGTGAAAAATGGCTGCATATCCAGAACGGGTCCGGACTTGAGACTGGTAAATATCCTTCATTGGACTAAACCACCCTTGGAATACCTCGTGGAAGATTATTGTACTTAGCTGCACCTGCAGACCTGACCGTCAAGGTCCAATGTTGCTGCATCTAACCATTTGAAAGTGATTTCCCGCAGCAATACACTGGCGATAGATACTATTGCATTGGACTGTGCGCCACTTTGATACACAATGATGTCGAGTGCCCGGCAGAAGTATGGACTCAAGCAATCTCATTATAGAATCTCTAAAATGGTTAACCGAATAATTTCGCTTCGTTCATGGTATAAATACAGGGGAGGCATCACACAAATCCACAGTGACAAAAGTGCTCAAGTATTCAGCAACAATCCAGCTCCAAGGTAATCGGAATCATTCCCTGTATGGTCTTCATCTTCGACCTACGCTGCTTCTGATCTCGGATTGGCGTCTTTGAGTCTTGAAGGAATTGAACGTGACCTAGAGTGGTGCGTATGAGTGTCTTTCACGTCTCGTTCTGCCCTGGCCTTCTCCACTTCCGTTACAAGAGCTATCCCTGCTGGAAGTTCGGCGTCTGGAGAAAAAGACTCGAAGTCCTCAATCACGCTCTTCGCAAGCTGCATCTTCGCGCTGATCCGGAGCAACATGTCGATGACCCATTGTCGCTCGACTTGGAGGGGCAAAATCCTCAACGTCAATCGTAGGCTTAGTAGAAGAAACAGGGGGGCGAGGAATGGCTGATTTGACATCCATTCGCTTGATTTGCAAACGTCTCTTGCCAGATCAATGCTTTCAGCCCTGTAAGGATGCTCGTCAACTTGAGCGGCTGCATCCCACAAGGGTCGAGGCGCTCGAGGTGGCCGAATTACAGTCCCGTCTTGTAGAACGTAGTGCTCCACTATGTCAGCCACACCTACTGGCGCGTGATGTGCTTCGGTATAAAGCCGTTTTATTTTAGCCTCTAGACCCATAAGAGAGACATTGAGTAAGCACATCATCGCACAGTATCCGGTAAAGATGCTAGCGACATGGACATCAGGGTATTGCCAAATTTCCGGAAATAGCTCGTCTTTATGAGCAGAGGGTACGAGGTTCGGCGCAAGACCAAGCTTTGGGAACTGCGCATCCATACGTGATTTGATCGCCTTGAATCGTTCACGATGCCCTTGACCTTTGCGCAGGGCAGCTTGGAGATCATCCGTAGACGGATCTTTTGCTGAAACGACCCGAAGAGCTCTGACCACATAGTTTGGAGTGGCAACAAACTCTTGAAAGTACTCTTCGTTGGCCCGGTAGAAGGGCCCTTTTGGCGAAGTCTCGTAGATGTCCCAACACAGTTTCCGCCATTCTGGCGTATTCAGAAAACAGGCTTTCCGATAATGAAAAGCCTCCATGACCAGGAAGTAGCGGAAGGCGAGAAATACGGACTTTCCGTGGCCAGAACGGTGTCTATCAGGACCACGTAGGCCTTGAAATGACTGACGTTACTACTTGCAATCTATGTATAGGCTTGTTGACTTACGAATCAGGTTTCCTGCGCCTCCAGCGTGGCTCAACCAAGAGTTGGAATCTTAAAAGTTAGCTCGTTGTGAAAGAAGGCACAAAGGGGCACGGGAAGGACAGAACTTTCTTACCTGTACAATTGTATACTTCATAGAAGGTCAGGAGCATGCAAGCACTGAGGGTGTCGTCAGAGCTGAGGGCTTGCTCTCTATCCTGTAGATCACGATTCAACCTCTGTAAGGCCTTTCCATAGACAGTCCTCGAGTTTTGAATCAATGCAGCATCGCACGCCTGCCGCCCCAGATGACTGATCACAAGGGCGCGAATCGACCATTGCAAAGATGCTGATCGAATGCCCTGCTCGGCGACCTCGGCCAGCCAGACGCCGTGGCTCTTGAATGTATTCAGCGTCACGGGGGTCGACAGAGAATGTATGAAATTTGCCAAGAGTTGTTCTTGATACTCATTGGGACATAACATGGCCAGTATGGCAGACGTTTCTACGTCCCCCTGGATCCAGTCACGCTCATTCAAAGGAGTCGAGGTTGCGTCTCTCGTACGTAATTGCGTATTCCTTGTGCTTCCTGATCCGAAGTCCAATTGATTTTCGGCTGTTGATTCGGGATTGTGTTTGTCGTCGGAGATGACATTGTACAAATTCTGAATTGAAGGAACCTCTTGGGGCCGCATTAGCAACCAAATCTGTCTGATCTTTGGCGAGTGTGCACCTGCCATCAACGAACTTGACCTGCTCATAACCTGGACAATGTCGGTGGGCCTTCTGACATCGCAAACAGCCTGGCCGGGTTTGGTCGCATTTGATACGTCGCTCCACACAGACGCGGCAGCCGCTCGAACGGGGCGCCTTCACCATTATCCTGGCTTCCAACACAAATCGTTCCGAGGGAGTGCACTAGACTGTAGCGGTCAATGTCGCTCGCCAATTGATGAATAGACGGGTCTGAAATCCGGCAGGCGGACGATGTAGGATGTGAGGAGTTTCTTCAACGTGCCATGGGATATTGCTGCTGCATCTGTCACAGATGCATTCCAAGGGAGCCATCCCAGCTTGATATAGCATCCCTCTGATGGTGCTTGCACGTCGTTCACCGTTACCGTGCGGCTGGCTCCGCGAGCATTGCGAATGGCATGACCGAAAAGATTTCACTCGTTACTTGAGGCTGAAGGCGTGGCTCAGCCAAGCTTAGGGCTGAGGGGATCGGCGGTCAAAGTAAGACGCTAGTACTCAGCCTTGACGATCCCCTTCATTAGTCCCTTGAACAAGATAATCTTCAGGAACAGCAATAATGGCTTTGGGACTGGCAATGAGTGGATTGTTGATCTGTCTGGCTTGAGTTCGGGTAATTCAATGTCATTTGTGCTTTGCAACGAATGAAAGCTACAAACAATGTAATTCTACCGTAGAACTACAGATGTGAACTATTCAAATCAAGATGGTGTTAATTGAAGGGGTAATCACTTAGTCTCTTGTCATCATTCACCATTAAGGACTTATATCGCTGCATGAATTCGAGCGCCCTCCAGTATCACTTGGCAATCCTGAAGGATCCCTGTGAGAGAAAATAAGAAGGTGTGGCGGAAGCCGCCCGCTAGCGCTAGGGCGAGCCCTAATCTTAGTAGTGGAGGGGCCGACCCTGAAGACCCTTCAGGCATGCCCGGTCGTCCTACAGTCACGCGTAATGTGACAAAGACTACCATGTGAGAAATTGACGATCACTTCATCATCACTATCAAACGCCTCCTCACATTCAAGACAAAGCTTCCTGTTCACTGCTGTCGAGCTCCATGATTCACTGTCTCGAGATGTCGGACAGTGCTCGAATACATCCACCTGAACAACCGTAGACTACAATTAAACCAGGCTCACCTCAAATCCTGTACCCCTCGAGGCATTCCTGTAATTACATCCTACTACATACAGTCAGCCACCATGACAGGGCCGCTCCGACCTACCATTGAACAACATACGGCGGCGTCCTCCCCAGCTCGACCTCCGTTCGATGATCTCCTCGCTGACGATGCATACGGAAGTAGCGACAGAAGTGAGGAAGATGATTGGCTTGAACAGCATCCCCTACCATTCCCGAGCACCGAGGCCGATCGAGCCTTCCTGAACTGCATCGGGCCAGAATGGAATTCGGGTTGGAACGCTGAATATGTTCGAAGGGGACAAAGAGAGAGCAATGCGCAATCTCCTCCAATGACTCAAGAAATACCCTCGCAAGCTAATAGCTCGCCTCTGGAGAGCTTCGCCATACCTGTAAGTGGCCTCGGAAATGAGTATAGACAAGTCGCACCAGACCCCACCATGAGGCCACCCTACCGAGATGTATATGCAGATGCACATACTTCTTTCATGTCTGGAGCTCGTTCACATCCCGCAAGTCAAGAGAGTCCACTTGTTTCTCCTTTTCTGGCGCATTATACGAATACTCTGCAAGCATTATCGACTCCATGGACCCCTTCCGAGAGCGGTGCATACAACACTCAAAGACCGGCAGAGGACATTCAAGAGGTAATGCCACGCATCGCGCTTGAAGCGAATCGTCATATGCTTGTCACGAGGAACTTTTCATTGTATGCTGATCGAGCACTGAGAAACCCTATCTCACCGCGACACCGGCACATGAGATCTGGATCCAGCCAGTCTTCTGAATCGCCTGGGCAGGACCAAACACTCTCAAATTCATTCGAGGGTGCTGCTGGTGAGGCTGGCATAGTGCAATACCGCAAAAGACGACGGGCGACCAGCCCGAATGCGGCAGCTGCTCTTATCAACACGTATAGGGCAAGACAACAGGCAGACGAAACTGAGCTCAACAACCGTAAGTGTCAAACCCTGCTCTTACTACACATGACTAACCGCTTAGTTCTTCGCGATTCTTCTGTCACACAAGGTGGAGGCAGTGGCGTAGACTCTACATTTGTAAGGCAAGCCACGGCGAGTAACCGTCTAATGGAAGAAAGCTTGTATGGGGGCCTTCTGGCATTCTCTAGCGGACAATCGCCAGCATTTTGTTTGCCCCGGATGAATATAGGTCAAAGATCTCACATTTTTACCTCCGAACTCTTTCCACGCAGCTTCAGTCTCACAAAGCGCGACATACTTAGCCAGATCTTCAGGAACCAAAGCTTCGTGCCTGCAGCTAAGCAGGAGATACAGGGCCTTCCTAAGCCCATCATCTACTATGTCACAAAACGAAGCTCGGCATCACGAATTGGACCGATTGGACCGAGAAACTTGCCGCTAGGCCCAGGCCGTAGAGGCTGGCCAACAGATAGTCTGCCAGTAGAAGTCTTCAATACAATTACGAGCTATCTGCCTCGCGAGAGCCTGCAAGCTATGCGCTTAGTCAATGCAGAGTTCGAAAGGAAGACTTCCAACAAGCTCTTTCATACAGTCGTTGTGCCTTTTAGATCCGAGATCTATGGCATGATGACTCATCAGGACGAATCTCAGGCCCCTTCGAGGAGTGTTCGCAAGGGCAAAGGCAAACAAAAGGCAAAATTGACATTGGCCTCGGCAGATACTGCTGACAGAACTATCCATGACGGCATGAAGGTGTTCGAAGCCTGGGGTCCGCACATTAGGAGATTCGCGATGGCGTTCGAAGTAGATGAAACAGCGTTAGAAAAAGCGCCCAAGAAAGGAAAGTTTGAGCAACACACAACGTGGTGGGGTGGCTATCAATGGCCTCATCCCTATTACAATCGCTATGAAGCTTGCGAATGTCTCGAAAAGAAAGCTGATGAGTTCAAGTGCATGTCAAAAGCTTTATCTTACCTACAAGAGACCATGGAATTAGGCTTGTCCCTGGACAGTGGACTTGGATGGTTGTCTGGACCTGACAAATCAGATCGTGCTAGATTAATCGAAGGGAAGCCCGAATTGTTTGGTCTGGGAGATGTTTTGCAAGCTTCCAAACGACAAGAAGCAAAACACATTTGGGACGACATAGTAGAATCTGTCCCGCGAAGGTATACCAATGAGGGCTGGCTTTCGGAAGGCGAAGCTATCGAGGTACAGGTAACGCTGCGTAGCGATACAAAGCAGATCAGCTTCTTTGATACAGCTAGTCGCTCACACCACAAACCTCTCATATTTGAGGGCGTAGACTTGTCAGCCGCATCTTCTTCAAGCCTTAACCCCGAGGTTCAGAGTCGCTACGCCGTTGAAGGCCTATCAGCTCTTTCCAAACCAGACGGCGGACCTTACAATAAAGCTGTCTTGAAACCTGCACACCTGTCTATAGCCCAGCAGGAATGGCTGCTGGAGACAGAGTGGGCGCAACGAGCGTTCCTATCCAGTTTCTGTATGGCTTTATGTGACAATGCTTATACCTTCCGATACGTGCATACTCTCAATATCTCCAACCTTTCCAGCAGATACCTATCAGCACTACAACGTGATGACATCTGGAATGCTCTGACCCAGCTCAGCAAGCTGGTCCTCAATGTTTCTCCCGATTGGCGCAATATTATGAAGACGGACACTGGTCTTGTAGAGGCCAGCGATATTCGGCCCTCAACAGCGTCGACACATTTCTTCAATCTTCTAGTCAATTCCGTTGCCAAAGTAGAGAATATCAAGTCTCTTACCCTTGGCTACACCAGTGGAGGAGAGCACCAGCCTGGGATATTTGGTCGTAACAAAAATATTCTACCAGCACCAATCATAGACTTCCTGGATCCTAATGCTATCCTTCAGCGAACCAACAGAGTACTGGAGCTTCCTCACGTTGAATCTCTGACCCTGGTGAACTGCTGGATCACGCCTGACTTGCTAAAAACCTTTGTCGCTCAGTTAAAGACTGCCTGCCTTCACCACCTGCAACTTCGATCTGTATCCTTGACAGCTCATACTGCTGCTTTGCCACAGCAGGACCAGGGACATGCCTCTCCTCGAGACAGTTATGACACGCCCCAAGGTCCCCCACGGCGTGGCGATGCTAGCGTAGGCAACTTCTTCGACATGCGAGTCGGCCACGGGTTAGTTCCAGACCCTGCCCAGGATGGATGGGTTACCAAAGGTCAGCGGGTAGGCTCATGGGGAAATGTAATTGACTCCATCACCCCTGGACCTACTACGGACTTCATCCGCTACGCATTCCAATACCGAGAGGAGCGGCCAGAAACCTTCTCAACAAACCTCGAACGTATCACGTTTGAGTCTTGCGGCTATGTCTGTCTCCCCCATTACAATAACTTCAATCAGCAAGGAATAGGGAAGGTTGTTGACCAGTTGCCCATCTATTTGGTTCAACGGGCTGTGGATCTGCACCCCATCATGATGGCCCGCCCTAACGATCACTTACTCGGACAGATTGCTCCTACTCTCAAACCCGAGGATATCGAGGTTATGTGCTCTGCATTTCCAATGCGATTGGGATGGGGTGCCGCTAGTTACGACAAAGCAATGGAAAATCGCGAGGACGGCCAGCCCAAGGGAGGAGATGGGAGGTTCAGTGGAATGGTCGACAAATTAGTACTACCACCCATCGACTGACTTTACACGAATAGAGCTCTTCGCTACTCCCCACATATGGAGTCCGATGAGCGCTTTACTCCACATAATGATCATACGTATGAACCAATAAGCACTAATGGCACGGCATGCATATAGAACAACCAAGAGATGTATGAATTTGCCAGGAATGGCACTGGCAACTGCTTGCTAGCTTATATAGCTTACAAATCTGCACATTGAAAGCAAGTTTGGCTCATTCACTATCTTCCTATCTTATTGCAAGTGCTGCTCGTCTTCAGCCTTCTGTGATAGCTGCCCTCACCCTAGCCCCACGTTGTCGCGCATTCAAGCGCTTCTTCTCCAGCTCAACTGCTTGCGGGCCTTTCTGCACAACCTCCTCACCTTCCGTCAAGATCAATTCAATATGGCATGGATTTGACATATACGGGTTGATCTGTAGACCTCATCAGCCCTCCCTATCAGCAATAGTAGAATTCTAGTAAGACATACCCTTCCGTGAGCTCTGTACGTCCTTCTCCTCTGTTTCGGGGCTTGGTTGACTTGAATGTGCTTGACAATCAAATTCCCCGTATCCAAGCCCTTTGTATCCGCATTGGCTTCCGCATTCTTCAGCAGTCCGAGAAGGAACTCTGCGGACTTTTTCGGCCACCGTGCTTTGCTCACACCGAATTGCTTGCCTGTAACCCACCTCGTCAGCCATCTGTTCATTTGTGTCCTCGTGTGATTTCTCTCAATTCTATCGTTCTAAGGAGTGTTGATGGCGCACCTTGAGCTGCTCGACCTGTACTCCCTGCATACCGTCGCATTGGCACCGCTTCCTTCTTCTCAATCACATTTTCTAGGTATTTTAGGGCACGGTCGACTTTCCAGCCATTGATAGCTTGAGCGGTTTCACGTGTGTTCTTAAAGGAGACGCGAAGGTAGGCACCGCGAGCGCGGGCGGACTTCGACGGGGCCGCTGGGGTGGCTGCGTAGCGGACCTGAAGGAGAACGGTAGTGTTAGTTGTGGGCTTATTTCCTATGCGGTTGATGTAGTTGGGGGACGGGAATATAATGAAGACTGCATGGTGCACTCAAGCGCTGTGGGCGACTCACCATCTTTTCGTTATGGAGGGTTTGGTGTTTGGTGTTGTCTGGATCCCTCTATCACTTTAATACTCGCTAGACAGATTGTGGGCCGAACTAGGCCGCTCTGGCACTAGCGCGGAATTTTATGCACCTACAGAGCTTCCGCAAAATTGTTCAAGAGTTTCTCGCATCACACAAAATCTACGACTCCAGGATCGTCGCTTCGTAGCTCAAAGATGTTCGCACGATATTTGTTTAGTATGGCAACCTTTTCGTATAGCTTTCCGAGTTTTCTCGTGCTAATTCACATATATAGACTCAAACTTGACCTAATCTACGTTGCGTTGAAAGTGCGAAACTTGAGGGTGTGCACTTCCTGCAAGTGCTGTCATTCACTCTCGATCATATCTGCAACACTTGCGCTTGTCATTGATGGCATTCACACCAAGAGGACGAGGCGGCGGAGATAGAGGTGGATTTCGTGGGGGCGGTGGTAGAGGAGCTCCAAGAGGAGGTGGAAGAGGCGGTGGAAGAGGTTCGTAGTGGCAATCTCGTCCAGTGATCTGGCTGAGATATCTCTAATCCATCTGATTAGGTGGTTTCGGAGATCGAGGAGATCGAGGAGATCGAGGAGGTCGAGGTGGCGCTCCGCGAGGCCGAGGTGCTTCACGAGGAGCTGATCGGGGTGGTCGGGGTGGTCGTGGTGGAGGTAGAGGTGGAAAGCCAGGGCTCAAAGGAGGTCAGAAAGTCGTCGTCGTAAGTCAGACTGTTGAAAGGGGGTTTCAAACACCAGGTGACTAAGCCTCGAAGGAACCACATCGTCATCCTGGCGTCTTCGTTGCCAGAGGCAAAGAGGACATGCTTGTTACGAAAAATCTTTGTCCGGGTGAATCGGTTTACGGAGAAAAACGCATGTCTGTTGAAGACGCTGCAGATCACTCTGGAAAGGTGAATGGAGAAATTGCTCCTGCTACGAAGACGGAATATCGGACGTGGAATCCATTCAGATCAAAATTGGCAGCCGCTATCCTAGGTGGTATCGACGACATATACATGCGGCCTGGATCCAAGGTTTTGTACTTGGGGGCAGCTTCAGGAACCTCAGTCTCTCACGTCGCAGATCTGGTAGGACCCACGGGCACAGTCTTTGCTGTGGAGTTCTCCCACCGCTCAGGGAGAGATCTCATCAATATGGCCACACATCGTACGAATGTCATACCGATCATCGAAGATGCTCGACATCCTTTACGATATCGAATGTTAGTCGGCATGGTCGACGTTATCTTTGCTGATGTTGCGCAACCTGATCAAGCACGTATCGTTGGGTTGAATGCACATCTTTACCTAAAAGTTGGAGGGGGAGTCATCATAAGCATAAAGGCGAACTGTATAGACAGCACAGCACCACCTGAGGCAGTGTTCGCTTCGGAAGTAAATAAGATCAAAGCAGAGAGGATTAAGCCCGCTGTTCAGCTTACACTAGAACCCTTTGAGAGAGGTAAGATTAACACAGAGGAGGTTGTGTACTTCAAGCTGACGTTTTCGAAACAGATCATTGCGTGGTAACGGGGAGTTACGTACGAGCTACGTGAACACATGAAGAGAGTTAAAAAAATCCAACTGTATAAATACTTTCCCCTTTCCTATGTATTTGAATATGTGCAATCATGGCATTCCTGCAACTTCTCTGTCTTAATACGTCCAGCAAATGTAGCATTTTCATATATCAAATTTAGCAGCCCCGTCAATTTTGTGACGCCAGTCGCGCAGTGCTGCTTGTGGCCGAGGGATCACAAGTACCAAGCGATGTGCCTGCCGAACTGGTTGCGACGAGGCCTAGAAGTCGGTTCAAAGAGTAATAACGCCTTCAGAACTCGGAGCACATAAGAAAGGTCATCTCCCCCAGCACTTTCCCAGGGTTTTCGCCCTGTTCTAAACTCACGTTTTACGGTTTGATCCACCACCTCTTTACCACGCCCCTCCTCATTCGTCAGCCTTGTCTCTTCGGCAGCCACTCAGCCAACGCATCAGCATGGACAACGCATTTGTCTGGCCCACAGCGTCCTTCGACTCGATGGCACCCATGCCCCTGCGCCCCGAAGGACACTATGACTACGATTTTGAGGACGCTCCTGCAATGTCAGCGCCCTTCCCGTCCGAATCGCCCCCCGACGCAACCAGTTACGTGAACGCGGGGGACATGGGCTTTGACCAGCTACCGATGCTACCATCGACTTCTTCAATTGAACCAGCCTATTCACTGATGGGAGAAGACGATTTTGCACTAAACGGGCCTGCCCTCTCTTCGAAAGACTACGATCTGGATGCTTTCACTGGATTCGAAACTGCAGGACAAGCGTTTCTTCCAGCACTATTCTCGGAGCCTACTCACTCGGGCTCTGGTGTTCAAGGCTACACTTACGAACCCTGCGCCGATACCGTGCTTGGTGGCTTACGCTCTCCCTGCAGCGAGCCTGGAGAGGGCTACCCGAAGTGAGCTTTTTTTTTTATGGCTGACGGAAGGGCGTGTTTTGTAGCTGTGGCGATATGCCTCAGGGCGACCCACCACAGACATCAGGGGTAGGTCAGCTGGGTTGCAATTGTGTAGTATGCCACAAAATGGGTCCAAAGCCCCCGGGCGACCATTTTAAGCCACTTCCATGCCGAGTAAGCACCTATTCGAAAGGGTTTGGTGCATACTCAATAGACTGCCAAAAAACATATTCCTACTGGAGCAATGCACATCACGAAAGATCACACTTCGCCGTCGATGGCGGTTCCGCTGCCTGGAGCCTTATTGCACCTCCAAAGTGAAGAAATGGCCCGATCTCATACGACATACGAAAAATTGTCATTGTATCCTGACGGAGAAGTTCCCTTGTCATGTCCTCGGCTGCAAGTACGGTGGTGATAATGGCTTCAAGCGCAAGGATAAGCTGAACAGCCACATTCGCAATGTTCATGATGGAAAGATTATACCTGGAAAGGCTGGCCGAGTCATCAAGCCCAAGGTGCTGAAGTGACTCAGGGAATTAAGGGACCGTATCAAACAAGGTTGTGATCGTTTATGAGTATCAACGCTGGAGAGAAGGTAGAGGCAAGCGAACTGATGTTGGAGTGTTTGATTTGATTAGGAGACAGTCATTACCTGAGAATGTACTTGCAGGAGAAGAGCAATTAGAGCTACGTTGGATGATAAGAATATTGAACTTTCATTTGGGGGTATCTCTATGTAGTATGCAATTGATAAGCATCCCGTCAACGGGCTGTATGTGTCCTCATCTCCCTCCAAAGCCTCAGACCTCGATGCCCCCGGGTAATATATATACGAAGAATTGAACGTCGCGTCCCCGCCCTTGATATGTGCACAGCACATATATCTCTTTTCCCTAAGACAAATCCCTTAGAGCGCCTCAAATACAGCAACAGTACTGCAAAAATTACTCATATGGTTCTTCCCCTGCACAACCGCCTGCCCATCCAATGTCACCATATTTGTTGAAGCCTTCGTGCTCAAGCCCCACAGGTAAACGTCAGTCGAGCATTCAATGCTGACCATGTTCTCCTGGCAATTCTCCCCCTTGAGACACGCCTGCCCGTAATTATCGAAGAAACTGTACAGACCCGCTCCATAAACCAGCACATCTGATGACTTAGAGACACGAAGCCCCCAAGCTTTCTTACATGCGTCGGTCTTGCAGTCTGAGAAGTCGGGGTCGTCGTATTTGTCGTTCGGCTTGAAGCCACCAGTCAAAGCGTTGGGGTTAGCCTGCATGTAGGGAGTCTCTGTCTGGATCATGCCCATGTAGACATTCTTGGCATTGGAGATCTGGTAATTGTACAACTGGGAATGCTCGCTTGAGGTACCGTATAGCCACACCGGTCCCTCGCTATTCTCGAGAAGGACACCACGGCCGTTGAAGATGTTTATCTGGTTGTGATCGGAGCGGTCGAGCTCGTGGTCAGCGACCCAATACCATGAATTTTCGATGTAGACGCTTCCCTTGGATGTTACATGGAGAAGGAGGAAAGCGCCGGAGCAGGAGGAGACAGTGGTAGAGGTGGTGGTCGTATTGGGGTTCTTGGCGCATTTGTCGGACTGAAGACCAGAGCCTGCGGTGCCCCCGATTCGGAAGTGGACGTCCCACATGCCGTTGCTACCTTGGGAGGAGGAGGCCAAGTTCCATTCTACGAGGATGGCACCGGGCGCGGGACCTTTGGTTGAGAAGACTAGGTCTGACATCTCCACAGCACCACTGTCGCCGGGCTGACCGACTTGGAAGACAGGAACAGGCTTCTCAGCGTTGGAGAAGGTTTGCCCAGAAGCCATGATTATCGGCCAGATCTCGCCAGTGATTTTTATATTCTTGGGCACTTTGACCGTTTTGGTAACGACGTAATTTCCATGATCGAAATAGACAACCTGATCTGCCTTTGCAGCATCGAACGCTTTTTGTAGAGCATCTGAGTCGTCCGTTTGGCCGTCACCCTTTGCTCCTTGAGATTTGACACTGATGAAAGAGGTGGCCGGCACAGTCTCATACTGTGGCTTCGAGCGCTCATACACATTGCCATTGCTCAAAAGTGACGCAGGCTTAGTTGGCGCGCCTAGTGGGCCTTGCATCTTTGTTGCTGAAGCTGAAGGAGCCGCTGAAGCGCACTGAGAGGCCGATGCATCATCTTTGGCGCCGTTGGAGTATCCGCTGCCTTGAATCCAGGAAGCAACCTTCGATCCTCCCTTGAGAATGGTCTGTCCATTCTGGTCGGCCACAGCGATCGAAGTGTCGGTGAAATCAACGTTATCGAGAATGACGGTGTTGGCTGCCGGTGGTGTGTTCGATTGTTTATTGTAGGCAGTCATGATGCCTTGCGAAGTCTTCCTAATGACACTGTCTTGAATGATTATAGAACCAACGGTCAGATTGCTCGGTGAATTCGAGATATTTACCCCAACCCCACATTCATTGATATTCAACGACTTGAGGTTCCAGAGCCAGTTCCAGTTCATGAAAATGCCGCAATTGCACCCGTTGAAAGTCATATTGCGAGACGTGAACTGTTGAGATCCGAAGAATGCACCGTAATTACCGCCATTGAAGGTAAGATCCGTCAAGAATCCACCACTTCCATTATCCATGAATATCCCTTGCTGTTTGTTGTCTTGGCCTCCTTTGACCATCTCAAACCTGATGTTTTGCAGACTCGTGGCCTGTGCGACTTGCCAATGAATACCAGCACCCTGAGACGGTGGCAAACCAGTGATGTCAATGACGAAATTACGAATTTGGCGATAGAAATTGTTCTGGTTCGTAAACCAGTTCTTGCCCTCATCATCATAAGGATCGGTATCAATGACGGCCATACCCTTGAATTTAGGGGTAGCTTTGATAGTCGGCAAGTTCAAGGCATCCCCAATGAATTGGGTGTAGTAGTACTGAATCAGGGGAGCGCTGACCATGTAAGTACCTGGAGGAAATGCAATGATAGCAGGTGTAGTCGTGCTCGAATCACACCCTTTCCCACAACGATCACCATCTGTGATCGCCTTATTGATGGCTGTTGTGTCGTCACTTTTCCCGTCTCCTAAAATTGAGTCAGCCATCATTCGACGTCAATATATACCAGTGTAGGTCTTACCCTTCGCTCCATAATCCTTCACGTTCCTATATATCTTGAAATCAGACTTCCCAAACGGTACTTTGCCTTGCCGTTGGATACTTGACATCCAAAATGATGATGAGCCATGGTTATCTGAGGGCGCTGAAGATTCGACAGGGACTGCTTCAACCAGTGAAGTAGGCGCTAGGATAAGAGCAAGGAGTCGAAGTGTGAAAAAGGTTGCAATAGACGTAAAGACGGCGACCATGATGAGGACAGTATTGTAGGATTTCCAGGGCAAAGATGACAGGCAAGGCTTGAGTGACCAATGTGATCAGCGGCCAGCGCTATATAATGAATAAAGAAAGAGAATGGAAGCGAAGCCCAGCTTTGTCGCAAAGTAAGTTTGTTGAAAGATTGTCTTTGTTATGCGAAGAGAAGTTCAGGAAGAATGAGAAAGAAGAGAAACAATGCAATAGAGTTGTACCACCATGTGGTGATGGTGGTGAAGGCAAGATTGCTCTCGGGCCTCAGCCCAATATTAAGTGCTCCTTACAAGCTGCACTACACGAAAAGTAAATGACTTACCCTTCTAGACCGATTCTGTACAGTCTTGCCAGGAATATGCTTAGACGCAGCCGACTGGACATGAGGGCACAATGGCGACGGACTGGGCTGCAATCTCTCCCCTGAGCGCTTCCAGGCAGGGAGAATATAGGTCTCCTCCCCGCCATCGCGTTCTTCGACCTGATCATTGGTAAACGCATGCGTGACATCCCTTGCATCAGGAGAGTCGCCTTGGTGTAGAATCGGGGTTGGGTGGTTAGTGGGTGGTTGGGACTGGAATGAACGAGTCATCCGGTATGACAGAGAGCGACTGTAAAGCCAAGCAAAAAGCTATTGAGGTCTGCTGTGAACCAGAGAGCACTGAGCACTTGACGTATCATCAAATCATTGCATCGGCAGGGTGAGCATCTGAGATTGGGTTCTGCCCCTGAGGGCGCGTGTCAGTCATCGCAAACGCCGTACCATCTTGTGCCAGCTACGATGAGGAGAGCAGGAATTGAGATGTCCTTGGAAGAACGATGAAATCTGCAGGAATTCGATTGCTGGCTGGCTGGCTGGCTGCTGGCTGCTTGTCCGCGCAAACGTGAAACAGGAATGTTCTGCATGGGCAAGTTACAGACTTTGAGACGCCGACAGCGAGGTCTCATCTGATTGGTCAAACCATAGGCACGCTTTTGTCCAGCCTTATGTACAGACTTGTCCAACCCTGCCTAGCCTTCATCGTCCCTCTGTACGTATAGTATATACTGCTGCGTCTTCCGTTCATCGTATTCTGCATAGATGAGACTTGAGTCAAGCGAGAACCAATTTCATAAGCTTTGTCTTTGGACGCGTCGGATGGGTTATTACTGAAGGCTGGCTTGACCGCGTTCTACCCCATGCCCCGGGCCTGAGGTTATATGGAAAGCTTTCTCGCCGAACATTTGTCTGGACTCTCAAGAGGTCAAATCACCGTCATGCAGCAGACCCACGGACGGAAGTGCATGCCGCAAAAGCCTCGTAAGCATTGCAGTAACAGTCCAGCCTGAGGGAAGCCGTAGATCTTCGCTCCCACCTTAACGCAGTGCGCCACGCTTTAGGCCAGGCTTGTTGTATACTCATCCTACTCATGCGCGGTAGAACAAGCAACATGCTGAAACGTAGTGGCAGATATATATAGATTCAAGCACGTTGGAAATCCCAGCAAGGCAGGATGAGGCGCAGGTCCGGTTGGGGCAGAGGCTGGCCCGCATTAAATCAAAGATCCGTCAAGCAATAATAATTTATGAGGTCACTGCACCAGTTTTTCCATGCATATTGCAGTAACTTCCGCGAATGTATATGAGGGACTTGGCAGCTCCTCTTTGAACGTCCTTCCCTGTCGATGCTTGAGCGCTCTTACTGGGCCCTCAATCGATTCAGGCGTCAGCGTCAGTCCCCGATTTACACCGAAGGCTGTGAAAACATCCCGCCTGACAGCGAAGTAGCTGAAGGATTAGCCGTTTCATTTGAATCCTTCATGGCTCATTTCGCCCTTTGAATGCTTGATCGTCAGAACAAGAACTGCACACGAAAAGAGTCTTGATGTGTTGACCTCCTACAACAGCCTTCTGCTGTCGTACTGATAATGTGCCCCGGAGGAGCGTTTGTGGCAACCACTGACCTACATATGCACCGTCGAATGTGAAATCCTCGTCTTACAGCCATGCAGAAACGAGCGCCCTCCTTGCCAGCCTTGAGCAGCGGCTTTGCAGAACTCGACCTCAATGAATCGCCACCGCAATACAGTGAAACATCCGCACACTCCACCGATCAAACACCTCCGGCGCTCCCGCAACGGTCTATGCCTGACCTAAGGACGAACTTCTCCTTGCCCTATGCCGCTCCGAACGGTCCTCCTCCTACGCAGTCACCTTACCTAAACACTACTCAATTGCCTCCCACCATCGAAAGCGAGGATGCAATCATGCGGGAGGGATTGCTTCAACCTCCGCCAACCTTTATGTCATCTCCCCGTATCTTGGAGCCCAACGAAGGTAGCAGACCGTCAAGTCGGTCAGGCAGACCGGAGAGCAGAGGCTCGGGTAGCTCAGGGCCCAGCCGCCCTTCCAGCAGACCCCAAAGCAGAGCTCGATCGCCCTCGCTCATTCACAACCTCGCCACTAACGCGGAGGCGAAATTGAAAAAAAGGCGAAGCTGGCTGCCCAAGTCCTCGCACGATCCACACTCCGGCCTTGACCCGAATCTTGCCCAAGCATGGATTGTGACTCCTACGGAAAAGATCCCTTATGACATGTCGTCCCTGGTGAACCTAAAGCGGGTCGAAGAGCTGTGGGACGATGGTGGAAACACATTGGTCTACCTTCACAACGGATCCGCTGGCCCAAGTGCATCATTCCGCTTGGATTCCTCCTGTTTTGCGTCGTCCAAGGCCTTAGTCAAAGCTGCATACGGTGACACCCACCCTCTAGGCTCACAGAGAAAGGGTCCTCCTGCGGAGCATCCACGAGTACCCTCTGAAGGGCAGCAGCGGTCTTTTTCAGACAGGACCCAAAACCTAATGCCAACACCTCCAAAGTCTCCTCCACAATCCCGTTATGGCTCTAGTAAAAGTAGCTCTACCGTTGATCGTCGTCCATCACGCGAGTATTTTGATGACCGCAGCGCTAAAAAGGAAGTTCATTTATGCCTTCCACAACCTCTACAAGCAGATCCTACCGTCGTGCCGCTAAATCTAACCCCTAACGACACGGAAGTCCTCCTTAACGTTCGCAATCTGTTTGCTTTTCTTACAGACAAACCGCTTGTAGCTACTACGAAACACCCATCAATGTTTGCTGTCTTCATGCAAATAGCCGATCTTCTGCAGCGTTACGAATTTACGAACTTTGATGGCTCGACGATTGGCGAGGAGGCAGAAAGCGCCTTTGCTCGTTGCATTGCCAATTATCGACTCGCGGACATTAGGGCAAGCCGGGAAAAAACATTGGAAGCTATATTGCTGGGTGAACGTATGAAATGCTGGGACTTGTATAACGAGGGTTTCGTACATGCTGTGGGCAAGTACGATGAGATCTCCGCGTTCAATTCGCCAAAAACGCAACAGATCAATACCCTCACCCGAAAACGGATGGAGAGGTCGCACCTTTTCCTGTCTACCCGATTACGGAACGTCCGAGAGCGACTTGAAGATTTTGATTTTCCATCTCTGTTCGCTGGTTTTGCAAACTCGACTTCCAGCACGGAAAGTAAAATAATTCATTTCAAAACTTGGAAGAATGGCTTCTTGTCAATGCGTAGACATGTAATGGGCTTTTACAAACAGCGTTATGGCGCTTGGCCACCAAAGGCAAGATCCAAAAAGAACAACTTCGAAGAAAGCGGCCTCAACCGAGTGCTTTTGAAGGAGGTTTACCAAGATCTTTGTGACCTATATGACGTTCTTGCGGATCGCTCTAACTTCACAACACGCGCTGTTGAGCTTGCGTCAGAGGGCGAGTTGGCTGAGGCTACCGAATCTTCAGCTCGCGCTCTGAGAAGGCTCTTGGGCGAGTACGATCGCAGTACCCCGCCTGTTCAGCCTCCAATCCCGTTTGATACTCCCCTGTTGCCTTCTTTATCTAGTACGCGCCGTGGATTTGAAGCTCTCGACCCGAAAAAACAAAAGAAAGAATCACTCAAGAAACTTGACAGCAGCGAGATAAACACGGCTCTCATGCAGTCTTACAATCGCGAGCTTATGAAGTCTACCCCCTTTCTAGAGGCATTCTTTGCTTACGAGAGACGCTCAGCACAAAGTAAATCCATGGAGGAGATCGCGGATCTTCGAAACGGCCAATGGCTGCTCGTATATGCAGTCATTCAGGCATTGCCTTTGTTGGTAGTTGATGCGCCAGGATTGAGATATACTGATGGGGTGGAATATTTTCTCAGCGAGTTCTCGAAGGAGTCGCCCCCATGGATGGCGCAGGATCACCGGCGGAAGACGACATGGCGTATTGCAGGTAGCGATGCCATGGTTGATATGCCAGCAGCATCAGTGGAGTATAGTCTTGACGCCATCTATCAACGGAGTCATTGCTGGAAGATGGCAGAGCAATGGGCTGGTCCAGCAGCGCAATTCTCGCAGTTCCAAATACCCGATGATGAGCTCCTACCGCCGACCCTACCATCAGCTTCGCACTCTAGGAACAACTCACAATCTTCCGATCTACGGCGGTTATCGATGGGGCTGGGCCTAGAGCAACTGCCACTTCCATCTGGAGTGAGCGTCTCTCCAAGCGGCAGCCGACCTGTGTCGTTGTATGACCCGTCCAAGAGTTTCAACTCCATCCTTGGCCTCTCGGACGCAAAGAACACCAAGAAAGCATGATCACGAGAGGATGATCTGATATGATATTGTATGTTAGAAAAGTTGATAAAACATATAGCAAGTTATGTCACTGTAGACATACTCTAATGATAAATAGCACTCAGATACAGACCTGTCCAAGAAACAGCCCTCGGACGAGGTCCTTCTGATTCCATATTAATCGTTCGTATGACAATACCTAGTCGTTTCATGAATATGGCTCGAGCGCCAATCAAAGCATGGATCCGAAAATATCTTGGCGGTTGGACGGAGGCTTGTCCTCCACTCAATTAAGTCCTCCTCCACTTCAACCCATCTTTCTACAATTTAAACAGCTCTTGTAGGCTACCACATGCTGTTCTTCGCGCCCGCAAGAGGTGGAACAAGCTCTCGGAGATGACGCGGCCGCATCGTCTGATCTGTAACGAAAGATGCTGCACCACAAGCCCATTCGTCCTCAACGCTTGGTCGAGCGTTCCGAGACCGATTTACCCAGGAGGAGCAATGGAGAATACATGAGGCTCTGAATGGATAGACCATCCTAGCGCTGTTCTCGTGATCTACAATCTTCAACCATAACCACTCTTACTCTCCCCTCACTTCTTCCTGCGACCCTTACCTTTGTTTCGTGCACTCCCACCATTTCCTACGTTTTGCATTCAAGGTGTTTGGTTCTGCATCGTCGAATTTGATTCTCATACACCTCCATTCTGTTCAGGTTGCTCTGTGCACTTACAGCCCTGGGACCATCGACACGTTACCCTGGCGGTGGCGAATCTATTTACCTGCAGCTTTCCCTCATACTGAAAAGCACAATAGCCTATGACAACTTGTACGACGTCTGGGCGTCCGGAAAAGCAACATGCGAAAGAGGCGACCAGTTGACAAGAGCCTCTCCTGTTGAGACAGTGCCATTGTTCATTCTCAAGGTCGAAACAATACGAACAACGGGAAGGCCACAAGCGAGCTGTATAACACTCGCCAAGTCCTTTGTTTTTATTGTTCAACATTCTTTCCCTAAATCACTCCTTTTCTTTTGGGGCTGGTCTCACCAACATTCTCTACCTAAACAATTGAGACCACGGCTGTTCGTTTTTCAACACTCATTAGAAATTTGGTGTGCCCAGCTGGTTCGTTCAGTCGCGTCGCCACACATAAACTTACGGCAGGTCCGCAAATTCAATATATCGCATTTAATATCAGGTCATTTCATTGGTACAACCTTCCGGAATGTCCAATCACTCAAACCATTCATCCCCAGCCACAGACGACCATAAAAGTACGGTCCAATATACACATGGTCTAGCTGGCGTTGACTTGTCGCTAGACATCACCCTTACCAACGCGCTATGGGGGTCCATCATAGCAACATGCCTGGTGATCCTCATCGGTCGGATATGGCAGCTTGCAAACGCTCATTTGCGACTGTTGTTCAGTGTGAATGCTGGGCCGTCAAGATACGCATACTGGGAGACAGATCGAACAACAATCTGGCCATGGCTGAAAAAGAACATCCTGTACGCGCCGCTCCATAAAAAGAGGCACAACAGGGAGATCATGCTGTCGAAGGCAGTCAATGTCGGGACTCTTCCGTCAAGACTTCATACTATCATCTTGTTTGCGTACTTCCTGAGCAACGTAATCTATTGCGTATGTCTCGACTATCGTGGCAAGCCTCAAGCTGCCGTAATGGCGGAACTGCGAGGCCGCTCTGGACATCTGTCGATGGTGAACATGGTGCCTCTCGTGGTCCTCGCCGGTCGTAACAATCCTCTGATTTGGCTTCTCCGTGTCAGCTTCGACACCTACAACCTCTTTCATCGCTGGATAGGTCGACTAGTAGCGTTGGAAGCCGTCGTCCATACAATTGCTTGGGCCGTCAATGCTCACGCTGCAAAAGGCGCCGGAGCTACCGGTGAAGCTCTCCGCAAAAGCGATTTTCTCAGGTACGGTCTAGTCGGCACCGTCGCCATGTGCATCATCATGGTCCAATCACTCTCTCCTATCCGTCACGCATTCTACGAAACATTTCTTCATTGTCATCAAGTCCTCGCCCTGGCAGCCATAGTCGGGGTCTGGATCCATTGTGACATAGGCAAGCTTCCTGGCTCTTCATACATTCACTGGGTCCTTGCCTTGTGGATCCTTGACCGGGCTGCCCGCTTTACACGTATCTCCTACCGGAGTATTAGCAGGCAAGGCTTCAGCAAAGTAACCATCGAAGCAATTCCAGGAGATGGAGTAACTCAGGCCTCCCGAGTGTCCGTTCAGCTCAAAGGTCCTTGGAAGTATACTCCCGGAACGCACGCTTATCTGTATCTACCGAAGATCTCGTTCTGGATGAACCATCCTTTCAGCGTAGCGTGGGCTGATAGTCGACCTGCACCTTACTCCTCTCTTGAGAAAGACACCCTCCCCTCTTCCGCATCCGAGCTAGGGCTACCTCAGGTTGACCGTACTTCCGACACTGTTCATTTCGTGATTGCAAAGCGGACAGGTATGACAAGCAAGATCTATGACTTGGCTGCGACTTCGCCATCGGGTATCATCACCAGCTGGGGTCTCCTTGAGGGACCTTACGGAGGCAACGATAATTTGACCTCCTACGGCACTGCAATCCTTTTTGCTGGAGGGATTGGCATCACGCATCAGATTGGACAGGTCCGACACTTGCTGAACGGCCACAACTCGTTCACCACTGCGACCGAGAAGATCATACTGGTGTGGAGCGTCAAGACCACCGAGTCGCTAGAATGGGTCCGGCCTTGGATGGATGAAATACTTTCCATGCCAAATCGCAAGCAAGTGCTCAAAGTGATGCTCTTCGTGACACAGCCTAGGAGCAAAAAGGAAGTGGCAAGCAGAAGCGAACGAGTCCAAATGTTTCCAGGCAGGTGCAATGCACTTACGGTGCTGGAAAAAGAGATGGATGAACGCGTTGGGGCAGCTGTAGTCACGACATGTGGGCCTGGTGCTTTTTCAGACGAGGTGAGGGCAGCTGTCAACGGCGTTGTTGATCAAGGAGGGACTGTAGATTTCGTTGAGGAAGCATTTTCATGGTGATGTTCGTACATACGCTTGATATGAGTAAGGACGAATGACACGTACATACTCGGACTATATAACGCTTTGGATGAATGTTTATGTTTTGGATTTTTTTAAGAGTAAATAAATTGTTCGATTTAGTTTAGGGTGCAACTCTTCTTTACGAGAACTCCAACGCTATGCATACCACACTACTCTCGATACCTTTTCACAGGTCTCTCATCAGTAAGCTTCACCCGGATATGAGCTGAATGTAGGGCATGAGCGACTCCAGCATTCGATAGTGCTTTACCAGTGACTCCAAGCAGCGACCACGAGGCCTCGTCCCCTTTTACATCGAAAGAGCGACGTCTTCCTCCTTTGAAATTGTACAGGCAGAGTTAGCATCAGCGCGACATGTTGCGCGAGCCGCTTTCTGGCCTTTGTAATTGGCATCTTCCCACCGCGTAGCTCAAAGTGCTGGTCGCACCCACTGTGTTCTTGCTTCTCTCCATGGCTAGATTCAATTGTTCTCGCCTTCCTAATCCTCCTGCTGCACGAAAGGATTTGCAATCTCTTCACTGCCATCCAATGGACTGATCAAGACCAATAGAGTACCCCGCGCGACGATCAAGCCTAGGCTCCGATGCGATGTATTTCCCTCATCATCTATCGACACTCGATCAGCCTCTCTTCAGTCTCCACTCTACCAGAACAAAGGGAGTGCAATGGTCAACGTACCCCTCAAAACCTCTTTGACTTCGTCTAGCACCAAATTCATCAATTGATCATATCCTTTCAACACGCCCTCAACTTCCCGCCCCCCATTGAACTTCACTCGAATGCCTTTGTCCATGTACTTGCTCAGGTCCAGTATGTTCTCCTTTTTCGGCTTCTCTGACTGGCCCGCGGGGCCAGCAGAGGATTTGGCGCCTCCGCGTGCATGGGGGTTACGGCCGCCACGAATGGGGGCGCGTTCGGACATGGGAGGGGAGGGAGGAAGGAATGTATTGGGGGCAGCGAGGATGTCACAAGTGATGGGCTGAGACGCGTGTTGATTACGTAGGGTTGGTGGCTAGCCCAAGCTCGACTGCTATCCTGCAGAAGTCTAGAAGCGGGATAATTCAAAGGGAAGGTTTTTCGGTTTGGTGGGTGTGCGCGTATGAGTGTGTGTGTGTGTGGGTGTGGGTGGTGGGAGTGGGGGGAGGGGCGGGCTGGGGACAGTGGGAATTATTAGCGGCTGTTTGTGGGAAGTCCCTGGTACGAGACGGAGAGTTTATAGCTGGTCTGTAACTTGGAGGACGGTGGGAAGAGCGAATTTGGAATTGTGTGATGGTGATTGGATGTATAGACAGTTGGCCGCAGTCTCACCTTCGCCTACCGGGATACCTCGCAACGTCGCTGACTCGCCCTCTGTCCCTGGGTTGTTAATGCCCTTGGTTGCCCGTTCTCCCCCCTCCTTGCTTTCTCCTCGGCCGTCCCCCTTCTTTAATCTTCCATTCATTACGCCCGGACGCTAGCTCGCCCCCAACCAGGCGAGCCAGGCTCAGATCTCTGTTCCGCCGCTCCTTCCGCGAGCCCGCACGCATCTTGGTGTATTTTGGTGCATTTTCGAATGCTTCGGCCCTGCTTTTGAGACACAAGATGGTCACTGGTAGGACAGTCTGGTAGGTATCGGACGCGCTTGTCTGCCCAGCCCTTTGGACAGCTGCCCTTCCTTCAGTTCCTATGTCTCCTTGGCCTCCCTGGTCCCCCCCCTCCCCCTCCTTAACGCCCCCCTACTGGTGCCCTCCCCACTTCAACGCCCGTTTGCCTTCCCGAGGGGAGGGGGGGAAATCGGTGCCAACACTCCGGAATTGCTGTGCAGACCTCTCCCTGCGCCATTTCATCCCTTCTGCCCCTTCCTCCTTCCTCCTTCCTCCTTCTCCCCTTCTTCCTGCACGTCCTTGATGCAGTATGCACCTTCTCACAACCAGTCATCTCTGCCCACGCTTGCGTAACTCCGCCTCTTCGCTCGGCCTTCAAAAGAAAGCATCATACAATTTGCAGGCGTTCCACATTACAGTCACCAACTTTGCCTGATTGCGACGCTTCACCGACGTGGATGCCGCACATATGCCGAACCCTCCTCTATTCCCCAATTTGACAACATCCTCCTCCATCACGACCACGACCACGACCACTACCATGGACGTCCCAACCGATACGTCTTCTCCTCCACCGATCGACTCCACTATGATGCCCCAAAAGCGCAAGCGGAGTCCTTCTCTTGAGCCCATTTCTCAACCTGCGCCGCCGATGAAGACTCAAAAGATTTCTTCATCATCCCACTTGCACATCAACTACCTCGCTCGCCAATACACTGACACCCTTCCTCTCATCTCGACGCACGATCATCTGCCCGACATGCTCTCTCTCATCGCAGACTACGATGGCGTCCTCCACCGACACGAATCTATGGCTGGCAATCTAGGTGCCCGCCCACTTGGTCCAATCCTCGTGCAGCGGTTTGAGCGCCTCTTCGACGGACCGCCTCAGGTCCTCAAAACAAACGCCAAAGACAGCTCGACTGTGAATATTGGTTGGTTGGATGTCGTCGAATTCGCGAGAAATAAACCTGAGCAGTTCAACCTGGAGAAAATGCGGGATGGCGTTCGAGTTTGCCAATTCTATACCAAACAGTGCCGGGTGGAGATCAGCGAAGAAGATTACCAGCTGATCAGCTCCGGGATCCCCCAAAAGATGATTCCACCACAGCCAATTGGGGACGACGAAGAGAAAGAGTTGGGCACTTTGGAGATTCTAGAGAAGAACCTGGCATCGGTAATACAGGCTGCTGATCAAGGTATGTTGAATTACAGATGACTGATGTTCTACGGAACGCGCTGAAGGAAAGTAGTGGCTTCAAAGGCACGGCAGCTCAACCATAAGCTCAAGAACCGCAAAGCTGCGATCATTAGTCGAAGGCAAGCTGAGAAGCCAGAGAAGCCAGAACCCAACAACCGTCCGGAGGTTGGCCTTACCAATGGCGACGCAAGACCCTCTGTGTCACCACCTGCAGGTTTTGTTGCCGTTAACTCGAAGTCACAAACATCTGCTGAACCATCTACGCGACTCGACGTTGACAACCTTCGCTCCAATTCTGCTACGTTGAGCAACGGGCATACAACCCTTGGCGCCTCGGCAGCTACACATGCCGAACTGCTAAGCAAGTTCCATACGAGCAATGAGCGACAAACCCTACCTGCCGATGTCGACCGCCGATCGTCAATTTCAAACAATCGATCAAACGTTCCGTCTAAAGGAAAATCCAGATATGCTTCTGAACAATTAGAGTACGCTGGATTCCTCAATGCAACTGCATCTCCTGTCGCTATCCCCAACACCCCTTCTGCCCTGATACCCCAAGCGAAAATGACGCTCTCCGAAAAACTCGACGATAGTGGGCCTTTCAAGTCGGACATGATGCTGCGTATGGAACAGCTCAATCGCGGGGATCGTGTGAAGCCGCCCTGCGACCGCTGCCGCCGACTGCATATGGACTGCCTGAAGAATTTGACTGCATGTATGGGCTGTACCAAGAAGCATGCAAAATGCTCGTGGAAGGATGTGGAGGAGCAGGAGTTAAGAGAGCATCCCCTAGTAACGAGAGTAACTCTAGACGGGAAGGATGCAGACGATGGAGACGAAAGCAGGAAAGATTCGGGATCCGAAGAAGCAAAGAAGGAGTGGGGGAAAGAGGGTCTGCAAGGCGTCCGAGACGAGGAGTTGCTGGGTGAGGAATCTGACGATGATGAAGGAGAATTGAAGATTCTGGGTCCCAGCGAAACAGATCGGAGAGTGGAGGCGAAATCGCACTCTCCCACAACTGGGTATGCTATTAATAAAGTTGGCGACTCTCGTGACGGGGCGAAATCAGCACCAGCGACTACAATGCACCCTTCGCCAATCTCACAGCTTCGCACCGAGAATGCCGGCCCGGCGACCGCGCCTTTGCCTCCAAACATGTCCCATTCCATCATTAAGAAACCCGACATCCCCCTCTACAAGTCGCCCAGCGAAAACAGTCATTCCGGCGCTCGTGTATTTACTGCTCATGAGTGGGACACGTACACTCGCCGATCTCCCACCAATAAATCTCGCGCAACACCTTCGTCTGACATTCACGATGAATTGAAGTCAGCAGCATTGGAGGCTGAACGAAACTACGCCCGCAGAGCTGACGATCGACAAGAACAGAATCGTGAGCGTAAAGACTCGCCCATGCGGGTCTATGTCAAAGGCAGTGATCCAGGGTCTTCTTCGGCGAGCACAGCGGTTGCGGCCTCTACAGAAGTTCGCGCAACTGAGGCAGGCAAAGCCAATGGGCAGCCGACACCACCTCCAGAGAGGGCAGAGGCCAAGGCGGGCAAAGAGACTGTTATCGCAGTTCCAGAAAGACAGATTCCAAGCGTTCAATCACCAGGTGGGATGATCAACCAGGTGGCAAAGGTCAAGCATGAAAGTGTGCCTACAGCAGTTGCGGGGTTTGAAGTCCGCGCTTAAAGACCTGGAAAATGAGGATACGTTGAAGAAGTATTATGCTTGTTTGATGCTTGCTTGTATTTGATAGTGTGTTTGTGTGAAACTGTTGTGATAGGAATTAGAAAGTATCTGTATGCAGATCCCTTTGACCCCATTGCACGTCACGTGTTCCCATGCCTCTGATTTCGCCCTCTCAGCTACATGACAGACAGTCACTCACTAAGTCACTGGTATAGACATATCTTAGCCAGTATACCTGAACTGCCGCACCAGGAGGGGGTTTTGGAGTAAGCATCTTTCAACAAGAGATCGAGGAGGGTGAAGTGCAGGAGTGACTTCTCAATGTGCCCCGATCAAGAGGGTATCAATAATATAGGTACCACATATCAAAGCATCAGATATGATATGTGCCAGCTGCCACCATAAGGTCGAGATCCGATGCCTCTCTAGTTCCTTTTAGAATGACCAAGAAGGCATCCTCTGCACCTCATGAGACAATAATAGGGCTGCCTCGTATAGAAAGTCGATGTGTTGCTTGTTGTCCCATGACATATGTACGAACAACTCCAGTAAAATGCTAGGGATCCTAGAAAGAGAGATCAGGAAAAGTTGCCTCTCATTGTTACGATGAGCCAGGAAGAAAGCGTGAGCTGGAGGCGGACAACAGGCGCATAGGGCGATTGAATTCTGTTAAGACATCTCTAGCACATGGGGGAAGGGGCAGAAGGCGGTGTTCAATAGTGCATTCTTAATATGCGACTTGTTTAAAAAGAAATATACGAGAGCTGACTGCTTTGAATTTGCAGAATGGGTGGGCTGACACTTTTGAAGTACAAAAACGATATCCCGGCCTGCTTAAGGTTATAAAGACTTTGTTTTAACCCCTAGGACTTCGAAACATTTGGTGTTAACTATTCGAGATGAAAGGAAGATGAAGCGAGTCGAAAGATATTAACAGGGAAGGAGAAAAGACTTGCGCAAATTCTTTGTCAATTATTGCCATCTAGCGGAAGATATAAATGGAAGCCGAATGACTCGTTGAGCACAGAGAACATGTGCAACTGACAATTGGAAATGTCAAGAAATAAAAGGCCGTCTTTCGAACTTTTTAATACGTAGACCGTGTGGTAGGAAAAGAGTAGAAAATTCAATGATCCCATATACGAGTGGGCAGTGAAGGTTTGGATATGTACAATGTTCTAAAAATGATAGACTGATAGGTCTCCATTTCTTGGATGGCTTTCCTCCTTGTACCATCCGAATCGTCGGTGCAACAGTAGTGAAGGGCTAGGTTGCCAGCACGCGCATTGGCAAGATAATGGAGGAGTCGGTGGGTAGGAGACTGAGAGCTCATGGTCGCAACCATCTAGCCAGTGGCAGTGGGTGACGATGAACATGGTAGAGATACTTTTGTTCAGATGGCGCTCGCTCTCTGAGCTATGGAATTGCTCTAGCCATCAGTGGCAGCTCCTATTTGGCCCCATACCTAAACTTGGACCCGTCCCTTTCTTCCAAACTTGGAATCGCACATTACACCTTCTCCTTCCACCCGCTGCCCCCGAATCTGAGATAACTCCCTCGATAGCCGCATGGAACACTCTGCTCACAGTGAATTTCGAAGAAAACCAGAATTTGAGTTTGGTTTGATAGGTCAAGGTCCGGATTGGATAGGACGAGCTTCTTTTCATCGAGATAAAAGCGTCTCGTGTCAAAGTGTCCGATCTGCCTCTTGTCCTCATCGAGGGACCAGGCGTCGATACAGAGATACGATGCAGGGTGCCACCACCCTGTCAAATTTACATCAATCTCGGAACTTATGATGGCGGGATCTGGAACGATTATTCCACAATCTCTAGGCCAGTCATTGGCTTCTTTGCTGGCGATGTTCGCGTTGTTGGTAGCAGAAGTCACCCGAGCATCATCTCTTTGCAAGAGCTGCCGACTCCACCGTTGGGTAGACGAGGTTACTCTGGTGGTTTTATTTCCAGAGCTCGAGCTCGCTCCTATCAGTCTTGGTACTGTCTGTCTTGCAATCTCCCACGTCTCATCATACTTTCGTTCCTCTCCTCGCTGCACTATCCTTTCAACAAGAGATACAAAGAAAAGCCATTCCACATCTTCGGGCTTTGCGAAGCCAAAGGCTAGGGCGACGTTCCCCACTAATGTGGTATAACATCGGCGGCTCTTCGAACTTGAAGTGCTTTGTCAAATAATGTCTGATCTTCTGTTCCTCATGGTCCCTGGCGTCGATACACAAAGTCGTGAATCTCCGATCCCAGTACCCTGTCATCCTAAGACCGACGTCAGATTCAACACGTGTGGTGTCTGGAGGAGCCTCTCCGCAATCTTCAAATCCAGTGGTACTAGTCATATTCCTGGTACTAGTCGTTTCATTGTCGTTTTGAAGCCATGGGACCTCTTGCCCCGCAACCTGGACAATCGGCTATGAAGTACTGGACCCTATCGTATCCGTTACATTGGGACGTCCTAGTGGCTTTCTCCAAATGACCCAGGTCTTCTTGTAAGCGATTCCCTTGATATTACCTTGTATGCCAACGTGAAACTCTTTGTTGACGTCAGTCGGCGACGGAAACCAGAACCATACAAATACATCGTAGCCTTCCTGCTCAATTGAGAAACTGTATGCGCGGCCTTCATTGTAATCAAAAGGATGGAAGCTGTGATGGACGAGTTGGGTACGTCCGCCGTCAAACGCGTCGATGCAAAGAGTGTTGGTCAAAGGACTCCAGAAGCCTTCCATTACAAAAGCGTACTTTGAGTCTACGAGGGTGGCACTTGGAGGGCCAATGCCGCACTCTCCAAGCTCATGGGCAGTCACCCTGGTTTCCCTCACAACAGTTTCTGTGTCTCTCGACTTCAATTCCCGCGGCGACGTTGCCACGTCTGCATCAGCCGTACTCAAAGGACGTGGCGGCACTCGCTCAATCATCCATTTCTCCGAAACGTTATGTTCTTGAATGGTCCCAATTATACCAACATGAAATGTCGAAAGTCCGTAACATGGCTTTGCGAAAGAGAACTCAATTTTGATATTGTAGCGATCTTGTACGATGGGAACCGCAAATGAAGGATCCGGATTATACATGAAATCATCACTCGAAAATGTGCGAGCTTAAATCCATCATCTTCGCCCCACACGTCAATGCAGATAGCCGCGGCTGGAGGATACCAATATCCGGTCGCCTGGACACAACGAATGTCGTCAGTCGATGAGAAAAGTAGTCTTTGAGGAGCTTTGAAAAGACCTTCACACTCCGATCTTCCCTGATATTAGTTGACCCGTGGGGGCCATCGCCACACTCTGTAATTTGCTTCGAAATCGTACCGGTGTTGCTAATTAAGTCGTCTCTATCAAAGAGCTGGACACTCTGCCGCGATGTCTGCATGACAGAGCTGTTTACAGAAGTTGCAACAGCAAGAATGAACAGAGCTTTTTGGATTAGCGCGGCGAGATCTGTAGAGTAATGCATGATTACTGTGCGAGCCTTGCGTGTCAAAGATGGAAAATACCACGGGGAGTACTTTAATACGTGATAGTAGGCCAAAAGCTGAGGAAGTCAAGATTAGTCTCACATTTTGTTCAAGGCAGACAAAGACTTTTCGCCGTCACATTAAGATATTGATCTTGAGCGGATATGTGGAAAGTTGGGGACCGTTGGTTTCCATAGTGTGCTTCGCTCGGTGATTGGTAGGCTACCTGGCGCGAGATGCAACCATGACTCTACATTGAGATGGATTGCTTTTATGGTGACAGTTTCCCAGTCAGCTTGTTGTTTGTATCCAAATCTACCAAATGATGACTCTTTGCTGGAGATGTGAAGTTCAATGCGAGACATGACAGTCTGAATATTCTCGAATTCGAGGTTCGTTTGCTGCCTCTCTAGGAGAGCACTCTTCTGCGGTAGAGGAAATTTCAGCTGAAACATTTGCATCTGTGTTCAGTTTAAGTTGTTGGAACTTGTAAAATGCAAGAGTTGCTGTTTCTCCTCAAAACACTTACAAGACAAATAACATGAGATGATAAGTGGTTTCCTCAAGCAGCTCTGAGACTAGTGCTTCCGCTCTGTGCCGCCGTGTGAAGCAGCGGGCTTTCATACCATCGCTGTGCTTCAGCGAGAGTTGGGTTGATGATATTTGTCAGCTTCTTTTCCAATTGAGAAAAGAACTTTGAGTTATTACTACCACTTTGTATTTGGCCGTTTTACTCGTCATCTTTTGCAGTAGCATTCTTGACAGGCCAGTCGGGGGCCGGAGCAGAAAGTAATGCACATATCTCTTTACGCCTCTTCCTAAAGTCGTCGTAGAGACCCATCCAGACTTCCCTATCTTTACAATTATCCACAATTCCAGTCTCCTTGTATTTACATTTCGGCATTATTTCCCCTATCAGGAGATGCGGCCACATTATCCACGGCTTCGGAAGCGGAAAATCAGAGAAATGGACAAGCTTTGCTCCTTCTTGCGTTATCTGCTGAGCATCCCACGAGCCCTCATCATTACCTAAGAATGTTCGGTGCTCACTTTTCCGGAATTCCCCGCTAAGCACTCCATATCCACGATGCGGTAGCACAAGCGCCGAATCCCCATAGAATCTGTTCAGTATTTCCATGTCGTAGTGCCCAGGTGGTCTCTTCGCAGGCTGCGCTGCGTCTATCAGCCGTAGATATTCTTTCTCACTGGGCTGCAGGAGGACGAGAAGACTTGTGAGCTTCTGCTGCTCCGGCATCATCCAGTACGCGCGCATCATAGCAACCGGTGCTTTTGGAAGAAGGAATAGCTCGTCTAGATGTTGCAGCAGCGTCATGTCGCCGTCTAGGTGCAATATACGCTCATACTGCGTCTGGCCCCAGGCAAGAAATTTCATCAACCCGCCTTCCCACCTGTTTGCGTGCGCGTCCGGTCGCAACTTGACTCGCTCGTCTTGGCTTTGGTTAGGGGCATAGGTAAGGTTGCCCACTTCAGTCGGAAGAAGGTGCACGTTATACCATTCTCGCGCCTTGACTAGGAGCTGGGAGTCGCGGTCGTTGGGGTCGGCGATATCCGTATCCCATCCATTTTCCTCCGGATAGAACAGTAGCCGGTCTGCTTTACTGCCGTAGCGTGAGAGTGCCTCAAAAACCATGACCGCGTTGCAAAGATGTGCTGTGTCCGTCGCGTAGAGGCTGTAAGCATACCGATGCCAATTGATGTGCTTGTAGTTCAAGGAGGGCGCGTGTGCAGGTGGGCTGTGAGGGAGGAAATGTATTGGTGAACTATAATAGAGGAAGAGGAAAAAGAGGGCAATCGTAGCGTATACGAATCGGATTCGTGAAGGACGCGGAAGTCCATGGATGGTTCGGGGTCTGAAGTCATGTTTGGGTTTGGAGGGACTTGATGGCGGAGAGAAGCGGCCATGCATGAAGCCGGAGCGACAAGCGAAACAGAATTGTTCAAGGCGACGAGAAATGAAAGACCTGCCATGAACGCAGTAGGAGCTGGGTGTATTCGCATTGCAATCGAGGGCGCTGGTTAGTGTAGTGTATATCTAACAATATAGGTGTCGAAATATTATTAGAATCAGGGGTGATCGCTCTCTCTCTCTCCTACGTACTCTGATTCCCTGGCTTCAATTGAATAATTGAACGCCTTGAAGTAATTCAAATCATGCCATATTACTAGATTATAGCTGGGTACGTGATCCGTAACATTTACAAGCCACCCGGTGTCTAATCCCTTTCAAAACCTCACAGTGGATCATTGAAAAGGTCAATTGAAGCGTTAATCTTTGAATTGTAAGGCGATGGATCTCGTCCACAAATAACCAAGAACTCTTTCGCCTCAGAGCACAGGATCGTTGCTATGAACTGTAGTTTTAGAATCACGTCCGCGGAGAAGGGAACGCATATTGGTGCGCCTCACGATGTCCGCCAGTCGATATCTGGCAAGGAATTGCTAGTAGCTGTGCAGCGATAAGTCATAATATATATGATGTCAACGACTGAGCATTGATTCCTTGAGCAAATGCTGTGAAATTCACGGTGTTGCAAAGAGCACCTGGGCGGTATGAGACAATCGTGCTTTTGGATGCTTATGTCGGGAAATTGCTAGCTTCTTCAGGAAGAATAGCAACCATGGGAAGGCGAGAGAGAGATAGATACGGTACGCCTCAGCTCGAAGAAGCTGTGCTAGCTCTCCATTATATACTATCTTTCGTTGTGGCCTCATATCTGTTGAACAATCAGCACATCGAAATCTGACGTGCATCAAGACGTACCGTTTGCCTCTGAACGCCCAGACCCCCCAATTGCCGCAACTCACGTCAGTCGGGTCAAGGTCGTTCAAATCCCACCTGAGACTCCGGAACTTGTTTTCGCCTGGTGTCATAAGAATATCCATCTCCCCCTTAACCCTATCCTCGACCCATTTCCTATCCCGCTCCATATCCCACTCCGTATATCCTGTACAGAGTATTGGACATTTTGTCTCTAGTAGCTGAGGAATCGTACCACCCCACTCATTTGCGCTAGCAGGATGGCCCTATTCCAGGATGGAATAAGACGAAGCAGTCAAAATACGGATCGAATGGTTGGAATGTCTGAGCTTGATGAAGAGTTTGATAGTACTCGCAATAGGTACTGATCTTCAAATGAGGTCCAAGCCCGCCCTCAACTATTGCTCCAAATGGATTAGAAGGGGAGCGCTCTGGCAGCGGAAACTCCGCGTCTCGATTGGCCATGCTCTCCGGACCAATGAGTATGACGTGGAAAGATGCCCGCTGATTAAAGAGCAGAGGAAGTTGTTCCCACACGTCCCTTGGCAACGAAGACTCTGCACGAGCACCAATGACAAAAATACGCATAGGGGGCGGTGCTACCTTGAGACCCGAGACAGTATTGTCCTCGCCCCTTTTAGGCTGATGAAGGTGATAACGGAGAGCTACGAGCAGCGTTTAGCATCTTCGACACACAAATAAGGAAAATGACCCACCGCTCAAGCTTCGAAGTCCTTCATACGTGATCCTTTTATCCTTGCTCAAAGTGTAGGGGCTTAATTCAGATAAGATGCTGCCTATGGTAAGGGGATATGTGAGCATTCGTGTAACCTGTCGTAGAGACCGCTCGTCGTCGATTGCTCTGTATTCTCTTGAGTAGAGATATGTGTCCCAATTACTCATGTTTACCAAGAATTCTTCCATCTGTGGGCCAGGATACTCGAACTCAGGAAAGAATCGTCCAGATCGCAGATCGTGTTCATCCTCGTTGATCTGCCTTAGGGTATCACATATCTCCATGTGCGACTCATAGTCATCTGCCCAGTGTTCCTCCGAGCAATATGATGGTATGCCGCAGTCGGGACATTCGAATTGTACCAGCGCCGCGGGTCGACCAGCTGCCTTTGATGGTTCCTTCCTCGTCTCTGGGTCTGAGGGGGAGGTTGGCATGCGTGTTCGACGATGATCTGGGTGGGGACAGTAAGCATGAGACCTTATGAAAGCGGCACGCCGCCGCATCTCGGGTACAGGTGATTCCGAGAAGGAGTGGAAGAGGTTGTTTGATTGCAGTCTAGTGTCGCTGGAAATTCTTGTCTGGGGCACAGATTCTGATGTCGTCTTCTGTATCGGTGGCTCATACTTCCGCGGCCCATGTTTTTGCGATCGGAAGCTGCTGACAGTGGACTTGTGACGGACTTTTGGAAATGAAGTATAGGCTTCCTTCGGACTTGAAGTGCTTGCATAGGTCGAGTTGAATTGCTTTGCTGCGGAAAGCGTGTAGCCTTGCTTCTTGAGCTTGCCAATCTGCAAGCTTCTAAGCCTACGTAGACATCTTCCGCATGTATTGCTCGGGTTCATCGTTATACATCAACTGCGGTTCGCTTCGGCGAGAGTATTCTCATCGTTTCATGACGATGTTGATCAAAATTGGCCTAGCGTGGTTCGAAGTGGTTCCTGGACCGCACTCTACTCCGCAGCAAAATTTCTCGGGCCCAAGATTGACAGTCTTCGAAGAGCTCTGTCCTGTCACAGTGCAGGGCCACAGAGCTCTGCCGTTGAGTCGATTTCCATCATGGCGACCACCAGTTCCATGTTTATGTACTCTCTTACCATCCAGCCTTCCACCTCCGTCACTCAGGCAATTCTTGGACAATTTGCTGGCACGAAAGAGCAGCAAATAGTTACAGCTTCCGGCTCTCGGCTCACTATCTTCAGACCAGACCCCACACAAGCCAAAGTCACGCCTATCTTGTCGCACGATGTCTTCGGCATCATACGAACGCTGGCGCCCTTTCGCCTTGCGGGAGCTACTAAAGGTGAGTTTCCATCTACAGTACATTCAAGCTGCATTTAGTGATTCGTAAAGCACCGAGAGGCAGCTCCACCGAACATCGCGTCAGCGAAACCCGGATCTTAAGCTGCCTCGAAGGAATAAGTGCTAAGAAAGCTGCTAAATATGTCCAGACTATATAATAATAGGCTCGGATTCTGGGCGCATCGCCATTGTCGAATACGTTCCCTCTCAAAACCGTTTCAATAGGATACATCTAGAGACTTTTGGAAAATCAGGCGTGCGCAGAGTTGTGCCTGGACAATACCTCGCAGTTGATCCAAAAGGTAGAGCGTGCCTCATAGCTTCAGTCGAAAAGAACAAGCTAGTGTATGTTCTGAATCGCAATGCACAGGCAGATCTCACGATATCGTCCCCTCTCGAAGCCCACAAGCCGCAGACTCTTGTCTTTGCTTTGGTCGGTCTCGACGTAGGCTATGAGAATCCTATCTTCGCCGCTCTGGAGATCGATTATACAGAATGCGATCAAGATCCAACAGGCCAGGCATTTGAGGAATTAGAGAAGCATTTAGTATACTATGAGCTTGACCTAGGCTTGAACCATGTGGTTCGAAAATGGAGCGAACCAGTCGATCGGACAGCAACCAGCCTGTATCAAGTTCCCGGAGGCGCTGATGGGCCTAGCGGAGTTCTAGTATGTGGACTTGACAACATAACGTACCGCCATTCCAATCAAGAGGCTTTCAGAGTACCGATACCCCGAAGGAGAGGAGCTACGGAAAATCCGGAGCGGAAGAGATACATTACAGCTGGCGTAATGCACAAAATGAGGGGAGCTTTCTTCTTTTTACTTCAAAATGAAGACGGAGATATGTTCAAAGTCACTATAGACATGGTTGAAGACGAGGCTGGTCAAGCAACAGGGGAAGTCAAGTCACTGAAGATCAAATATTTTGATACAGTCCCGCTAGCTACCAACCTTCTTATCCTAAAAAGTGGGTTCTTGTTCGTTGCCAGTGAGACGGCAAACCATCTCTTCTATCAATTTGAAAAACTTGGAGACGACGACAACGAGATCGAGTTTATCAGCGACTCCTATTCGGCAGATGCGACTGCCGACTATGAGCCTGCATACTTCACGCCTAGACCTGCAGAGAATGTGAACCTCGTTGAAAGTATTGACTCGTTGAACCCACTTCTCGACTGTAAAGTCACGAATTTGACTGAAGAGGATGCTCCGCAAATTTACAGCATCTGTGGCACAGGAGCGAGGAGCTCATTTCGAACCTTGAAGCACGGTCTTGAAGTCAATGATATCGTCGATTCTCAACTACCAGCTCCTCCCACCCGTGTTTGGTGCACAAAGACTACACGCTATGACCAATTTGATGCATACATTGTACTCTCATTCACGAATGGCACTCTAGTTCTCAGCATCGGCGAGACTGTGGAAGAAGTCACTGACACTGGTTTTCTAACTTCCGCTTCTACTTTGGCAATTCAACAGCTTGGAGAAGATGCTTTGATACAAGTTCACCCTCGAGGAATCAGACACATCAGAGCCGACAAACGCGTCAATGAATGGCCAGCCCCTCAGCATCGCTCCATTGTGGCTGCCACTACAAACGAGCGGCAGGTAGCTGTAGCTCTGAGCTCCGGCGAAATTGTGTACTTCGAAATGGATCCTGACGATGGCTCACTTGCCGAGTACGATGAGAAATTCCAGATGAGCGGCACAGTTACATGCTTAAGTCTCGGCGAGGTGCCAGAAGGCCTTGTTAGAAGCTCTTTCCTGGCGGTCGGGTGTGACGATTCAACTGTCCGGATTCTGAGCCTGAGTCCAGACTCGACCCTTGAGAACAAGTCAGTACAAGCTCTAACTTCAGCGCCGAGCGCTCTTAAGATCATGTCTATGGCAGACTCTACTTCTGGAGGCTCTACGCTCTTTTTGCACATCGGTCTCTGGTCTGGAGTCTACTTACGTACTGTTTTGGATGAGGTGACGGGAGAGCTTTCGGATACCCGAACACGATTCCTTGGTCCCAAGAAAGCTGAATTATTTGCGGTCTCTGTCAAAGGCCAGCAAGCTGTCCTAGCATTAAGTTCTCGCGCATGGCTGGGTTACTCTGATCCTCAGACTAAAGGCTTCATGCTTACGCCACTCAACTTCCCAGCCCTGGAATATGCTTCTAACTTTAGTAGCGAGCAATGTATTGAAGGGATGGTAGGTATTGAGAGACAAAGCCTAAGGTAAGTCCATTCCTCTTTCACCCTATTTTTCAAGCGTTCTCGCACCATACATGATGAAATTGATAGCGGATTCCACCGAAAGATCATGAGTGAAAAAAATCTCACTTACTTCCAATTGTTCCTTCTGACCATTGCGACTATTCTGATGATTGTCTTTTGAGCCAAGAGATTATAAGAAATGGTGTACTGATGAATCATCAGGATATTTTCAATTGAAAAGCTCGGCAACAGCCTTCTGCAAGAGTCGATTCCTTTGACTTACACACCTCGCAAATTCATTCGTCACCCAGAACAACCGCTGTTCTATACGATCGAATCTGAAAATAACACTCTTGCGCCATCCACCCGTCAACGTCTCATGAATGATACAAATCTTGTTAATGGTGAAGCTGCTGTTCTTCCTCCTGAAGATTTCGGATACCCTCGCGCCAAAGGACATTGGGCTTCATGTATTCATATCGTAGACCCTATCAACGCTAAGGCTTGCATCCAACAGATTGAGTTGGAGGATAACGAGGCGGCGGTCAGCATTGCGGCAGTCGCATTTGCAAGTCAAGATGACGAGACATTCTTGGTAGTTGGCACGGGTAAGGATATCACCGTTGCTCCACGGAGCTCAAGCGCTGCCTTCCTCTACGTTTATCGCTTCCTAGAAGATGGCAAGGAACTGGAATTCATCCACAAGACCAAAGTTGAACAGCCACCCCAAGCTCTGCTTGGCTTTCAGGGCAGGCTTTTGACGGGTATTGGCAACGAAGTCCGAATCTATGATCTGGGCCTTAAGCAACTCCTCCGCAAATGCCAGGTCCAAGCTACACCTCATCTCGTAGTTGGCCTGCAAACACAAGGCAGTCGTATCATCGCTAGCGATGTTCAGGAGAGCGTTTCATATCTTGTCTACAAATATCAAGAGAACCGACTAATACCTTTCATTGACGACTCTGTTGCTCGTTGGACGACTGGCACTACCATGGTTGACTATGAAACAGTTGCTGGAGGTGACAAATTTGGCAACATCTGGCTTCTGCGGTGCCCGCAGAAAGCTTCGGAGGAAGCGGACGAGGAAGGTTCTGGAGCACATCTCGTCCACGAGCGACAATACCTGCAAGGAGCGCCCAATCGATTGAGCCTGATGTGTCATAACTACGTGCAGGATATACCCACTAGCATTCAAAAGACCCAGCTAGTAGCAGGTGGACGGGACGTATTATTCTGGACAGGGTTGCAAGGTACAATCGGCCTCTTAGCGCCCTTCATAAGCCGAGAGGATGTCGATTTCTTCCAGTCTCTGGAACAACATCTACGAAGTGAGGATGCTCCGTTAGCTGGCCGTGATCATTTGATCTACAGAAGCTATTATGTACCCGTCAAGGGTGTCATAGATGGCGATTTATGCGAACGTTACGCGCTGCTCCCCAACGATAAGAAACAGATGATTGCCGCAGAGTTAGAACGAAGCGTACGAGAAATAGAAAGGAAGATCTCCGATATGAGAACAAGAGTTGCCTATTAAGTCATTTGAGCATTAAAGAGATAACTGAAAGGGTCCGGAGCATCTGACAGGTTCGCTGCATGAACGTCCACCTGTAGCGTGACTGTGAGTTATTTACCTCAGTGATCGTGAATGGGTCCTAACATTCCATCTGATGTCAGACGAACATCGAATTAGACTCAGATCTTACACTCCACGTTTGTAGCGCACGACGTAGCCTCGAGCGATGTTCAAATACAGACGTCCACCAGTCGCAACCAAATACCACCTGCCTCTACCAGTCTCTTGCCCGGCTCGATCGTCCGCTCTCATCGGCTGGTCTTGAGCGGGATATACGTGACACTGTTAGTGGTCATACATATGAGACAAGATCAATCATCAGCGATATTTGAGTACGGTGGCATCGCACTCGGAGTCGAATCCAGGTGCATGTGACGCACTCCGTAATTTCTTTGCTGAAACACCCTGTCTGTCAAACCCACTTCGGTTTTCGTTGCGTATTCCATCCCAGCCTCTGCCACAATTGGGTAGAGGGAAGCTCGCTCTTCTTGAATCAGCAGAAAAGAATTGAGTCTCAATGCTTCCCATATGTCGAAGTCATTCGCATCCAACCTGGAAATCATCTCTCAGAATTGCGTTAGTTTCCGTTGACCTGGTTACCATGCAATGGATTCATCTACGAAGATCGAACCGTCCACGATCACAAGTCTTTACCAAGCACGAGTAGCGCAGACCTAATGTAGTGGACCTCGGCATATCGTCATCTTGATTGCATTCCATTTCTTACTCTTCCAAAAGGCATATCACCACAGCATTGAATTGATGTTGTATCCAGTTGCGTGCCTCATATTCCAAAGCCAACACGGTCATGCCTCAAAGCCTCACCTTAGGCGTTTCTCAATCCCACACTCTCTCCTCTACAGCTGCAACTCTCAACGCGCTCTCTGATACAGCTCACCGCGCTTCCAGGGCTGGTGTCCATATCCTTCTGTTCCCTGAAGCTTACATTGGTGGCTATCCTCGTACCTGCACCTTTGGTTCCTCAATTGGTGCACGGACAGACGAAGGCCGTGAACAATTTTTGCAATACTTCCACGCTGCCGTTGACTTGGGAGATACGCCCGGGGGTGCTGGGAGCGACTGGGTCGACAGGAAGCTGGAAGTGAAAAAAGGGTTGGAATATAGAGGTGATGGAACGAGAGAAAAGTTCGAAACAGAGGCAAGAGCATCGGGCATATTCCTTGTTATTGGAGTAGTGGAGCGTGCAGGTGGTAGCTTGTACTGTTCCGTCGTATATGTGTGCCCTCGATTGGGATGTGTCGGAAAGAGGAGGAAGGTAATGCCTACTGGCACTGAACGATCCATCTGGGCCCAAGGCTCTACGTCCACATTGCGGGCTGTGACTACGACAATCAATGGTGTGAAGCTGACGCTCGCTGCTGCTGTTTGCTGGGAGAACTACATGCCCTTACTACGATTCTCGTTATATAGTCAGAATGTCAATCTCTATTTAGCACCTACCGCGGATGCTAGGGATACGTGGGTCCCTCTATTACGAACGATTGCTCAAGAAGGAAGGTGCTTTGTCCTCAGTTCCAATCAATGCGTGAGGAGAAGGGATCTGCCTAGCTGGATCAAAGGGTCAGGGAAGCAGCAGAGCGCCGGCAATGCGGAAGGAGGTTCTAAGGAGAGTAGAAGGACTTCGATTGTGACTAAGACCGAAGATAATCATGAGATAACATGGCCGGCCCCAAAAGGCGACAGGGACAGCAAAGCCGCTCTCAGCTTGACCAACGGAGCCTCTTCGTCGCCTTTACGTGTCAGCAAGATCGCTTCGGCTGACAATGTCATTCAGGAAGACGATACATTGCCGGAACAGACCCCGGATAATCATTTGTTGGCATTAACGTCTAGTGTTTCTGAGACCTCTCCTCTTGATACGGCAAGCTCAAATGTGTCCAACCCCCGAGCAGCGATGAGTTTGTCTGCAGAGGCGGGTCCTGTATTGTCTCACCAGCAGGGAGAGTCATTGCTGGCCCTGTCTGGGAGGCTGAGGGCGACCTGCTTACAGCGACCGTTGACTTCGAAGACTGCGAGCGAGGAAGACTTGACCTCGACCTTGCCGGAAGCTACAGTCGGATAGACAGTTTCGATCTAAAAGTAAAGGGTCTCGACCTGAGTCCGCCCCCTTGATGTACAACGAATGGCCAGAAGCGCAATGGAGCCGACTATCCAGTGAGCAATGACTGCCGCTGTCCCGTCACCACGGTGGTCCTAAAAGACTTAGCTCGTCTTGTAGCCGGCTCTAGCGACCTGAGGTCAACTCCAATCTAATCCCGAGAGGGCTGGATCCAGCAAATGAATGTATCCTTTCGCCGCTAGTAATGGTTCACTGCTTGAATCAAATCCATACACCCACAAGTCGCTTTCTAGGTAACCCGCTGGTGGTAACTTCATACGCAATTGCGCGATGGTTTCCCACCACAGACCATAGGTGAAAGGCATACTTGTCACGGCGGCTTTCGTAAGTGTGAATACCACTCTTGATTTGACAACAGTCCATGCGCGTAACGTTGAAGAGGCGTCTCTCCCGTGCTGGTCACATAGAGTCTCTGCCCTCCTCAAGGCCTCCGTCCATATACTTTCGAAGGCTGATGGTTCTATGGGTCGAGCTCTAGTGTACGGCTTGGCATAAAGCTCTGTTGTGAGATACGGTCTTCCTTGAAGCTCTGTCTTTGGCTGTGACTGTGTCTCACAAAGGAAGTCGGACAATGGCTGAAAGGTAACATTCCCAAGATCCAGATTGAAGGTTTTGCAAGCCAGCTCCGCCGGCAACGAAAGATTCTGACCTCGAGTGATGGGAACGCTACGAACACCCCAAAAATCAAAGGTAAGCAGGGGAATTGCAATAAAAAGTCTTTGAGAACGCATTGTATACAGAGGATCGTTAGTGGAGACTGGTGAAGATCTCGGATTAAGATCCAGTACAAAGGGAGGTCTACTATTGAACGCCTTCAGAGATGTGATTTGAAGCAGCGAAGACCTAACGATCGTAGAGTATCGTCTATCTAGTGCCATGCACGAGACAACTCTGTCTTAGGCGCGCCGCCAGCTGCACAATTGGGTGGATGATACGAAGTGAGTTCTATCTGTGAATCATCACCTCAAGCGCTTATCAGATTCGCCCGGTAGGTCTGAAGTCAGCGAATCCTCTGACTTGATGAAAGCACCCTGCTTGCTAGGAGAGGAAGGACGGCAATCATATCCCACTGAATGACTTCAGAAGGTGCATGAATCTTTTTGGCGGCAATTCAAGTGGCTAATTTGCGAGACACTGTGCGGATCCCTGCCTTACACTCCGGGGAGAGTCATTAAGTTGGCAGCAAACGGCATAACTCATGGCACAATCAACGAAGGAAAATGTCGAGTGAGTCTTCATGGATTCCTTGTGCTGGGAAGGATATGCTTAATGGTAGACTAAGCCCCAAGTTACTATGTCTTCATGCTGTGGCCTGTCATTGAGAGGAGGCAAGCTAGGTTGTAATGGTCCCGAAGGATGACAGAGAAAAGGTTACAGAGGAGTAGACTTTAGATTTCAATATTCATAGCATGGAAGTGCAGCCTTTCGTTCATGCCGACTTTTACTTCGTACTTTCACATGGCGCTCATCCAACGTGACGAGCTATTCTACCCCAAATCATTTGACATATATTTTCACATATACTCCCACAGAGACCTGTATCGTTTGATCCAACGCGCCTTTCTAGAGACTTGTTCACAGGACATCTATTCTACTGACCAAACATCATCAACTTCCGCTCCTTCTCACCAAGTCTCCCCAAGATCCTTCCACTGCCGCTTTAAGTTCCCTATAACTGACCACCAGGGCAGTCTGTTCATTTCTCGTCACCAACGTGATTTTTTCGTCGACACCGACATCCAACTTGTTCAGGCATGCCAACATATGCCCCATGTCGAGTACAGGGTTGCCGTTAGTGTCGACCTGATGAAATACATAATCTCGAAACAGTTTCAGTGCCGCCTTTTGACCCTGATCCCTCCAAGCGGTGTCGCTTTCATATTCTGGCCTCTCGTTGATCGTATTCAGCTTGCAAATAAGACGGAACAGTCTTCCATTCTCAAGCTGTCCATTAAGAGTGTACTCTTGCAGGTCGCTTAGGCGAAGTGATGCGTCGAAAGCCTCGATTGACTCTGTAGCAATGATACTACAGACATCGTCAATGGTGCCAGCGCTGTCCGCTGATGCGCCCAGTTGCTGAAGGTAATCGATAGTGCTCCTCAGCCGCGAAGAATACGTCCTCGCGAAATGGTCAAGGGGGCGAGTCTTGGCGGGTGCACTGGTAGTGCCTAGTGTGAGAACAAGTTTACCGAGATTTTGCAGGTCAAGTCTCTGAAGCTCCTCCAGAGGCATCGAGGTAGGGTCTAGAATATCTGATAAACCGCAGGCGTTGAAGCGAATTCGAGCTTCGTCCGTCACAAGCCACTTTCTTGCGTCCATGGATCGCGCGGCTAGTCCTGCCGAGTGTATGGCTTTTAGTGCGTTCGCGATTTGTACGAAATAGTTCCAGAGAAGCTGTTCTGAAATTTGCGAACCAAAGTTCCGGCTTGGATTCCTTAGGTTGGAAGGCGAATGTTTGTCCCGGAGCGTTACAGAATCTGGGTAGAAGTCCGAAACAACGATGATTGAGGTGTCACCAAAGACTTGAGTATTGAAGGCAAGATGAGTCGTCACGACATTACCATTGTGAACACGAGACCACTTCGACCTCAGTGACGGAACAGCAAGTGCAGCCTCGGAATCTCTAGACAGAGGGCAGTCTAACAAGCGACAAAATCAGTTGCAGTATCACAAGATCATCCTGTTTCGACATACCATGTAAGCGTCTCAAGGAATACGTCTTTCCGTCTTGATCAGAGACGGCTTTGAACACTGTACTAGGATTCGTAGCTGGGATGTTATTGCGGCTGTAGAAAGGTTCTATTGGTGTCAGAGTATGGAAATACTCAACGTTAGGAAGCTGTGAATCTGCTTGAGCAGTCAGCATTTGTGAAGTTGCACAAGCTAAATGGGACTTATACTAGGAAAGCTCCTTAGGCTTGCCTCATTCTTCTTTTGAAGCTTAAGTCGTACATCCTCGGGAATGAAGATGTCCTTTGCGGTTCTTTGAAAGGGTTTGATATTTGCAGCATAGGGCTCAAGAGGAGCGTACAAATGATGTTGGAGCTGATCTATCGATTAGCACCTTGAGCGTGGTCAATCTTTGCAAATATACCAATTGCGATGAGGTTGAAGCGCTGGGCATATATGACGCTTGTTGCGTTCCGTTAATGCCAGAACCAAAATGGTAGCTATTCTGCTGAGATTCGACACTAGTAAGGGCCCCTGTGCTCGCAGAGTCGTGAACGCTCCCAAAAACGTCATTCTGTGAGAATTCGGACCCATTGTCAAGCTAAAAAAGAACAAGTCAACATGTGTCTAAGCATTCAACTAAACCACGTTGTAACAGTGCTTTGAGGCCACTATCAAGAAGCGATGGAAATGCTCGTAATTTCTTTCTCCGCTCGAAACATTAGGTTATAATAGAAACGTGCGGAAAGATGAAGAAAGGTAGGTAGCTTTGCCAGTCCACATCATGAGCCGAAGCACGAGGGAGCCACCTTTGGAGTCGTCAGACCTTTGCTGCACCATGGAGCTCAACAATGCGCATTACGGCTTCTTGCCTAGTGCGGATATTGGGGAAACGATGATTCTGTAAGCCTTGCAGATATATCTGTCGTTATCGGATCTGACTCGCTTCACCTTAACATGTCATGTACAGGCTGCTTTGGAAGGGGCAGATGAATTTACAAGCTTTACTGGTTGCTTATTCTTCCGAGTCAATCCCACATTGCCATCAGGCACAATCAAGAGCACCGTAGGACTGGGGAGGATTGGTCTGCACAGGCCATTTCCGGTGCACCTGGGGTTGAAATGCCTCGAGTCCTTTATCAGGCCCTGTATTTATTGCATCACTTTTTCAATAGGAGTACAGAAATTAGGACCACCCGGCCACTCGAGCGATTTTCTAGTGTTCTCTGGCTGGGACCAATGTCCCGATTCCAATTTCCGGAGTCATATGACTGTAATCTTTGCTATTCGTGGCAGCGTCCGAAAGCTCACCAATCTCCTTGTGAAGCCTTCGAAGGAGTATAGATCAAAGACTGCAACGACGCTCAAGAATGCCCTGCAGGAGATGAAAATTGAAATTGCGTAGTAATCGCACATAGAAAGTGGAAAGATAATCCTGACGCAAAAAAACGAGATGAAAGAAAAGAGTAGGTAAAATCATACTTACAGAAAGATTATTGAAGCCTTGAGGAAGGAATTCTTGAGGCTCTCCGCTCACCCAATCTGGAGCGCTGGGATTATACGGCTTCGAAGCTGGTGAGCTGGAAAAAGAAGCCACACTGGAGACTGCGTTTCTATTAGCTTGTATTCTAAAGAGTCTAGTTTGCTAGTAGATACCGGGCGTTATGCTCTTAGGCTTGAATGGAGCAGCACTGGCCGTCCGCGGCGACAATGTTAGAGCTTTAGATACTGGGGCATTGCCGTTTGCAGCAAGAGAAGAAGGAGTGAAGCTCGGCGAGTCCACATTCAAGCGCTTCCTCAAACTATGTATAGTGTTTTAGACTCCATCTCAGGTGAACGATCCTAAATCGGCGCCCACCTGTCTGTTTGTGGCTGAGGGACCGACTTGGGAGAAGCATGGTAGAAGGTACAATCTGTGTGGTGATGAGCATACGCAGGTGAGGCGTTCGACGCATTCCTTTATCGGAGTATACCTGGCCTTTTGCATGTGCCATAAAGAGCAATGTTCCGGCATGGGACGTCCTTGGTACTGTCTATACAGATTGTAGACACGATCAGATGGTCATCATTCTCAGGCAAGCCATATTCCTTGAGTTCATACTGCGAAATTTAGGCCCTGGAGAAGTGCCTTGCCGCGCTCCGAACCCTCCATTGGAAGGAGTCGTCATGGCCTTCGCTCCAGGAAGCTATCGGTCATCCATGATTGCTGGATACAACCGTGGGTGCTAGCGATTTCAGCGAGTGTTTGCTCCCAGGGTCAGCCTTGGACGTACCTCATGAGAGAGCAGGAAGAATGATGGGGACGGGTGTGGATCGATATAAAAAGGCGAAGAGATCTTGCAATCGACGCTGATAGATACGCAAATTAGGAATACGAAATCATCAAGCATAGAATCGAAATACTGGCCGCCTGGGCTATTAGATTATTTACGATCAGCGACAATAATACCGAGTCCAAGCCTTTGACCACGGCGCGTTTGGATTCGTCCCACTTCGGCTCACTCGTTTTTCCGTCCGCTGCGTTATTCTAGCAGGAAGCAAATAACCACACATCTCCTCTTCATGGCCAGTGATATCCTTCTCAAAGTCTGGTATGGCTACACCTAGTTTTGATCCTAGTCAACTCACGGAATCCCAGCAAGCAGCCTTGGATACGTATACTGCTGTGACGAATCAGGAACCGTCTGGAGCAGTAGCGCTTTTGCAGAGATCCGAGTGGAACGTTCAAGTCAGTGACATGTCCCCCCCCACTCTCAACGAACAGGCTCTGAATGGTAACAGATAGCAATAGCAAAATTCTTTGATGGAGAAGCTCCTGATCCGGTAGAAGAAGCTCGTGCGGCACAATCAGCAACTCCTGCATCCACTCGAAGGGAAACGCTTTTCAATGACTCCCCTCCGTCGGTATCGCCGCATAGACATATTGCTCCAAGGGTGGTACCTCAACCGGACTCACAAAGAGCCTACACTCCCCCTTTATTACTCCAGCTTGCACTCTCGCCTTTCAATCTCTTGGTGAAGTTGGTAGGGAGCTCTTTTTCTCTGCTTGGATATCTACTATCATTCATACCGCGTCTGCTCCCTGGAATTTCTGTCAAAAGGCCTGCATCCCGCATACGCACGGGAAGAAGACCTCTTAGCCCTCGAGACAATGCAGCAAGGTTCGCTCGGGAGTTTGAGGAGGACTACGGAAATCACGATTTGCCGTTCTTTGAAGGCGGATACGCTCAAGCATATGATTCAGCTAAAAAGGACCTCAAATTCTTGCTTGTAATATTATTGTCGCTGGAACACGATGAGACAGACCCGTTCGTGCAGGATACACTATTGTCGCGGGAGGTTACTGGCTACATCAATGAGCATCGAGGCGACGTCATACTTTGGGCTGGGAATGTCCAAGACTCTGAAGCATATCAAGTCTCCACTGCTCTCAATTGTAGCAAGTTCCCATTTGCAGCTCTTGTGGTGCATACTCCACAAGACTCGTCGACTGCTATGTCTACTATTGCTCGCATAACTGGCGCCGTCTCCCCGCCAATCTTTGTTGCGCAACTGAAGCGTGCAATAGAACAACAAACACCGTCACTGCTGGCGGCAAGATCTCAGAGGAGCGAGCAGCAATCGACACGGGATATCAGAACAGAGCAAAACAGCGCGTACGAAAGATCCCTGGCACAAGATCGTGAACGCGCAAGACAAAGGAGGGAAGTGGAGGCTGCGCGAGTTCGCGAAGCAGAAGACGCGTGTCAGAAAGCTGACGAGGAGGGGAAAAGGGAGCAGAAAGCGCAGCAATGGATCTGTTGGAGGGCTTCAAACATGGCTCCAGAACCAAGTGCCGGAGTCGAGCGAACAGTCAGGGTAAGCGTGAGGACGGTGTCTGGACAACGAATCCTTCGAAAGTTCGGACCAGATGCAATGATAGAAGACATCTATGCTTTTGTTGAATGCTACGACATCTGGAAATCTGGTGGGTTGCCTGAAGTAGCTAAACCCGACAACTACGAACACTCATACAACTTTCGCCTTGTTTCGCCAATGCCACGGACTGAATATGATATTCAAGAACAATCTACCATTAGCAGCACTTTTGACCGAAGCGCCAACCTCATTGTTGAGTCTCTCAATGAAGACGAAGAAGTATGAGTCGACTAACGCTAAGGCTTTCATTTACTATCTTGTCAGCTCTCAGGCGTAGACCCCTCGAATGCTCTATTCACTCAAAGTCAATGATTCGAAGCTGTATAGTCCCCGAATCCTCCATCAAGAGTGTACTTCTTATGGTCAAGATTCTAGTGACGAGATTTGGACTACCAACCTTGCAACGTGAGGATTACAAAGATGACGCGTGCAACCAAAAATTGCCAACAGAAAGTTTCCTGAAGAAAGGGGCAAGCGTCTTAGATCTTGGCAAATAGTCCTATAGCGTCAGTGTCGCCAGAGCACTGAAAGTCGAACCGCATGTGGGAAGCCGTACATGCCAGCCTCTCAATTGGCCTACTGCTCTTTGCACAGTCGAGGAAGGAGTCTTATGCGGCGAATACAGATATACTTGAGCTGACATGAAGGAACGCCCTGCTCGAGGCCTTCTACTTGGGTTCGTATTAGGAAATGAGGAAATGAAATACCGGAAGGGGAAGAGCAAGGTCAAGCATGGCGATGGCAAGGGGATAGTGAGCAAGAGCTAGTCTTCTGCGTCTCAAAAAGGATTTCAAGGAGCAGAACCATATTATCATCTCTGAATTCATTGCGGCGACTTGAGTATTCAGACCAAGATTCGCGGGCATATGAGGCTGAGCGGTAACGTGACAATTCGACGCGTCAGCTAGCTTTGCAGCATCGGGCACCGTTGATAGTTCTGACGCCATGTGAATGTATACACATAAGTCCCTTGCTGCTCATCTTTCATCTTCATTCTTCCCAGCTTGTTTTGTGAGTGCATTGTCCGTTGTTAATGAATGAGCACAAAGGCACACAGCCCAGGAGACAGGCGTCTGCATCAGCCAATCAGCGGCCGCGTGTGTTTCAAAGGCGTTTGGTCGCAACCAACGGATGACCTGTAACTTATATCATAGTGCCATTCTTTCCAAACGGCTCATCTACGTCTGCGACAGAAATGCATAAAAGATTGTTGGGCTCAATAAGTAGACGTGGCAGTGAGCTTCCTGGCCTTCATCCCTCGTCCCAGTCCAAAGACTGACCGGCTCCACAGGTGCGAACTCGTCGGAGAAGAGCATCCCAAACGGCGATTCGCCGGAAGCAACAGCTGCCCGCGGAGTGGTCAGTCATGATGGGCTATTTCGACGATAGACAACATACTGATGGTGCGAGTAGCGGCTTTTCTGTGAATCAGGAGGACCTAACAATTCCGTGCGCCCTGAAAGATGACGGCAGGATCGCAAAGAACCTCAATCTGACCACAAGAACAGGGAGAAGAAGTGCTCCACCTACCTACGATTGTCGAAGCAGCCGAGTCCAGTCCCGCCGCCGCATCCAGAGCTGCATCTGAAATACGCAAATTCCTCTCATCGAAGAACTTTCAACGCGCTTATGTACAATACAATGCCATCATGCTTGTGCGAATATTAGCCGACAACCCTGGGAAATCCTTTACAAAGAATATAGACAAACAGTTCGTTGCAACAGTGAAAGAGCTTCTCCGAGATGGAAGAGATATGAGCGTCCAACAGATTTTGAGGGAGACTTTAGACTCATTCGAGTCGCAAAAGCCAGAAGATGAAACACTTCTAGGTCTCAAAGAGATGTGGAAGAAAGAGAAGACGAAAGTAGATAAACGGCTGCTTCCAGGTGTCAGTACCGCTTGTACAATGGAAGGAAGCTTCACACTGATGGAGACTAGAATCATTCAATGTCTCGAGCCTACCCTCCACCGGCGACGAACCCTCAACAGCAACAAAATTACTTCGCGAGAAGTCACAGACCGAAAGGTCTCCCGACTCCTGCTGAACTTGCGCAACGCGTCGAAGAAGCAAAAACATCGGCCAAATTACTTTCCCAGCTCGTCCAGTCTACACCCCCAGCAGAGGTCCTCGCCAATGACCTGATCAAGGAATTTGCCGACCGATGCCAGTCAGCTTCGCGCTCGATGCAGTCTTACATCAATTCCGACTCACCTGCACCTGATGAGGATACACTTCTTACCTTAATAGAGACCAACGATCAGCTCGCGACCGCCATGTCACGACACCAACGGGCTGTGTTACAGGCAAGACGGCTAACTTCGCTGTCCCCGCAACAAACGCCCCAACAAACACAAGGCCCATACGAAGCTCCCGGGAACCCACCTAATGGTACCTATCCCGCGCCAGCAGGTCCGCCGCCCACCAAGCAGCAGCACCAGGATCCGTTTGCGGACCCGAGCGAGCATCAACAACAGAAGGATGTTGGTGGACTGCAAGAGCCGCTGGTGCCATCAAATTATGGATTGCCACCAGACGAAGTCGCAGTCCCTGGAGCTACAGGAAGCCAACCTGGCAGACAAGCGCAGCCCCCTCTGCATCAGCCGCAACCACAGAAGGCTCGTTATAGATTCTAGAGCATGTATAGCTTGAATGGAAATGAGGGCGACTTGTACGATACAAGCTTCTTGATAATTATCTACCGTGGGATTTGGGGGAGAAAGACGGTATAGAAAGCAGTGATCTGAAGAATGGAAAGATTCAAGGCGAGAGGTAGATACTAATGTGACATGATAAGATGAGATTGTTTAAATTGATAAGCGAGTAATCGTTCGAGTTCCCTTCCATACTAGAATGCGGATCCAATACGGTACAGCAAGGGGGAATCGAGCCAAGGGAGCCTGCCTTCTGTCGATTCAACAAATTGTTTACGTATATATATTTAATATTGATTCATTGTCAATGATCACGTGAAATCCAACATTAATTTGCTCGGAATTCAAATATAGCCTCTATGGCTCAGGGGTAGAGCGTCGCACTTGTATTCCTGAAGCTACATGCGAAGGTCCGTCGTTCAAATCGGCGTGGAGGCAGAGGCACCGTTTCTTTTTGTAGATATTCTAACGATCCCCTGTACGTGAGATCCTGCGGCTTCTAACCCACATATATACATCGACCATGCAGCCGGGCAACCTATGAAAGGCCCAGCTGCATAGCCGGGGAAATCATCAACTTTTTAAATCATTAATCTGTATTCTGCTGGAGTGTCATTGCTTCGCTGTTCTAAGTTGAACCGTGTACGATTACGATGCAGTCGTGTGCTATCTGCATTGCCCTTAAATACGTCATGATATACTGTTCGTCATGACATATGTTGAGGTAGCCGTATTCGTGCTCTGCAAATTACGTGCTCTGCACCTTCCTTAGGGACATGGTGCTTGCCACATGTATAAAACGTCAATTGCTTCCTCAAGATTTGTAATTTCCTAGGCAGAAAGAATATTTCGTTTAGAACATACTTTCCCACTTCAAACGTGCCAGCGTCCGATTTCTCGCTCATCGATCGCTTCCACTCCTCGGAGACACATCACTGCAGTCGAAATGGAGTCAAAAATTGCAGCAGCTGAAGTGCCTGCTTCAGCGCCAGGCGAGAACTTCGAAGTCCGCCAATCCAAGACGGATGATGACTATGTCCCCGATCCATCTAAGTCGCTACCGCTCTCGCCTGCTCGCCAACGTCTCGTTGACGACATCATCGACTTGTATAGCATGAAACCCACCGTTGAGCGCGTCAAGCGATACACGTCTGACTGCGTCTACGACGATCAATTTGTATACGCCAACGACCGATATAAGATGGCAGGACAGTGGTTTGCTCTGCCCAAACTTTTCAAGGCTTCTGTGAATGAAGGCTATCAAATCGTTAAGGACGAGCCGGGATTAATCCAGTTTAGGAACAAGCAGGTTCGTGGACTCATATTTCCCCTTCAACTTTTTGGCTTAATGATATCTAGTCCTGGACATTCCTAGGCATCCCCAAGACGGCCGTCATGGATGCTTTAGTTACGCTTTCACTGGACCCTGCCACCATCGACAGTGATTTCATCCAGGTGAAGTATCACAAGGATCAGGCGAATGACAAGGATTACAGCCACACCGGGTTGGGCTTCAGCTTCAAGAAGTGGCAAGCTGACAATGTGATCAAATTCATGAATAGCGATGAAGTGAAAGCGTTTGAGGCCGACAAAGGTGCCGGAAAGGAGCATGTCAGAGAACATGGCAGTGGGACTGCTGAAGGAAAAGCTCCGGTAAAGGACTTGTAAGGGTGTAGAAAGTATTTGTCAGCTTTTGAGTTGTATAGTATAATGAGAATGAGTCTATGACATGTCTAAATCACAATACCTTTGCGGTGAGATTATAGGCCTGCGGTAGCAAGGCTGCAGATAAAATGCCGCTAAATGCCATCACTCAACATTTTTTACCACTGACGAGTAGAATTACCGCCCCGAGCTGTCGTCGTAGATCCTCTTTATCGACATCGTGGCTGTCCTCCACCTCTCCCCACCTGCCAGTCTGCCAGTCGACCTCTACACTACAAGCCTTAGCGGCATCTTCAACCCCAAAAGTCAATCTCTCCTCTGAATTGGATAGTCTGAGTTCCTCGCTCCATTCTGCGACCAATCTGGCCGCAACACTGAGACTCTTGCCGGCAAGGGCCGCTCTTTCCAACCCTACTAGCTCCCAGGCGGGTAACCCTGCCATCCAGCCCTTGACCACCGCCCTCGTAGCCGCTGGTTGCGACTTGGGCAATATACTTCCATCTGACAACGCCGGCACAAGCTCAACACCTGGCCAGACGACTTGTGTGAGGAAACTCAGGATCGGTTTGGCAGTCTCTACCTGCTTCTCCCGTAGCCCTGATCCCTCTTCTGTAGCGGCCGAGCTCTGCTCTGGTGCCCAACAAAGCAGCGTGTCGGTGTCCAAATATCGCAAGAGGGTATTCATGATCTCATAGCGAATCCCCTGCCCTTCCCCAGCGCCCCTGGCATATCCGGCCTGCGCGCTCTGCGCATCCTCATGCTCGAGTACCTGCGCCCGCGCTGCGAGTGACGTGAGTGGTATTAGATGGGCGCGGAGTGCTTGCGCCGCGGAAGTCAAATGATCCCATTCCAGGGCGATGGCAGTAGCGAGATGCGGCTTCGATGCGGGAATTTGCAGAGGCTGTGCAGGATTGGTGAGGGGATTGCGGACGGGCCGGGCATCGAGATGGATTATATGGGCGCTCTGGCCTTCGGGTTCTTGTGTTACTGAGACGGATTTCCAGAAGCGCTTCTTCATTGCGGTGCCGCTTGCACTGCCAGTAATTGGCGGGGTTTTGCTATTGCGGATGTCGTGTGCTGATCTCATGAGATCGGCTTGCCGTCGTCGACGATCCAATTTTTCGCTGTGTTGAGAAGAGGGAGATTCTGGTGGAGCTGGAGGCGGACCTGTTGCGGTCAAGGGAAGAGGCGTGGCGGAGCGCAGGGAGGACTTGTGAAGACATCTTGAGAAGGGGGTTGTGTGAGCGGATTGGTAGACGGAGAATAATTGGGAATTTGACTTAGAGGGCAGACGACATGGCATACGCTTCATCACGTAACACAAAGGCAGTTACGGCTGGGGACTTGGTGATTGAAGATGCTTTTGACAGTCTCTCAAAGTCTGCGGATGAATATCGAAATGACGTTGTTGCCCGCGGGAAGATCTAGCCAATCAAAGCTGCCGGAAGCTGAGTACCTTCCTCGCATTGTTTTCAGCCATTGTGAAAATCCGACCACGCCGGCGTTTGAAAAGCATTGCTTTGAGGCAATAGCTACTTTGCATATAATTCAGTGCTGCGGCGAGCACGAGCTATGTCTGACAACGGCGCGGAGAGGTGAGCAAAGGCATTGTCAATGTTCAATCCACACCAAGTGGACTGACCTTTCCTTAGCCACAAGCGCTCGAAATCTGCCCTTGCGAAGTCCTTGCTCCATCGTGACAAGGCTAAACAAGAGAATACAGATGGCGATGTATCTAGCGTTGCGGGTTCCGAGTCTGGTTCTGGTCCACCATCTCCAAACCTCGAGCCTACCCCTCACCGTACCTTTGGCGCTTTACGCTCGTCCAAACACAGGAACAAAAGCAGCACTGCCTTGAGCGAGGCAGGGAATCCGAGTGCAGCCGCATTAGCAAGAGATGCAGCAACTCAACCCCAAACAAAAGACGTGAAACCATCAATCCAGCAGTCAGTCCGAATGTTCAAGCTGTTCGAGGTTCTAAGAAGTGGAGACAGCGCAGCTATCGCTAAAGCCGTGACCGACACGTCGACAATGCCGCCTATAACGGAAGATGGGGAGCAGATTGCGTCTGTAGACATTCACCCAGGAACGCTTGAAGGCACCACACTCCTTCATCTTGCTATCCAATGCGCCGACCCTCCGGTCGTAGAGGAGGTTCTTGCGGTGGCGAAGATGACGCCAGGAGCGGCTGTCGATGTGAATGCGCGGGACAAAGATGGTAATACTCCTTTGCATTTAGCTTCCATGCTTGGGAGGCCGACGACTGTGAGGTTGTTGCTGGACCAGCCAGGAATCAACGACTCGCTCCCGAATTACCTTGGCAAAACTGCGCTTGATCTAGCGAGGTCTCCAGAGATTTTTCAGCAATTGCAGCTTTCGAGATCATTGTATGTTGAGAGGAAAATAAAAGAGATCCAGACTCTAGTCGCTAAACAAAAGTACGATCAGCTCGAAAAGGTTCTGGAGGACTCACATGTAGAAGCTTCCCTAGACGTCAACGGTGGAGAACTTGCGACGAATCCAGCCACTCTGCAGACGGGAGGAACACTACTTCACGATGCTGCGCGTGAAAAAGACTTCAAGCTCATCCAGCTACTCCTACTCCATGGTGCCGACCCATTTCGGAGGGATCGGAAAGGAAAGCTTCCGCAAGATGTGACCAAAGATGAGAGAACCAAAGCAATTTTAAAAAAGTCGCCTGCCGCAGCAGCAGCCCAGAGAGGCATTCAGGAAAAAGCGGTTCTGGGCAGCGGTAATCTCCAAGCCGGTGACGATACTCCAGGCGGGAAGGAGGCAAGAGAAATGAAGGGATACTTGAAAAAGTGGACCAACTACACAAGTGGATGGAAGCTCAGGTGGTTTGTGCTTGAAGACGGTGTCTTGAGTTACTATAAATATCAGGGTATGTTTTACATTTCATAAAATCGCTTTGAGTACTCAAGTGCTGAAGATACTCATGTAGATGACGCTGGCTCAGCCTGTCGAGGGGCGATCAACATGAAAATTGCCAAGTTGCACATGGACCCTCAGGATAAAACCAAATTCGACATTGAGGGCAAATCATCCGTGAAATACAATCTGAAAGCCAACCATGTAGTGGAGGCGAAGCGGTGGTTTTGGAGCCTCAACAATGCCATCCAATCGTCCAAAGATGAAGTCAAGAAGCAAGAGCGACACAAGAAGCGAAAAGAGGAGATGTTGCATGAAGCTCGCTCTCGAAAACCCGTTGCTCACGCGAGGACATCCAGCAACTCCGAGGGTACAAGGCTGACCAGCAACAACCTAGCTCCTGCCACAGCCGTTGGTGTGCCTTTGACGGCGACATCATCTAGAGTGTCTTTGCAGGAATCTACTTTCGGCCCGCCAAGCGTTGCCGGCGATGACAATGGCTCTATGTACGACTCGCAGGACCAAAGTGTGGCGGGGGATACGGCAGAACCGGTTGTAAAGGCACGCACTACCGCTATAGCCGGCGACGTTGATGATGAGGAGGAATACGGTGAAGATGCGAGCAGCCATGAGATGAGGCCGGCTAGTAAAGATGCCTTCAATATTACCGCTCATTCTGCCAGTCTTCAACTCAGCCTCCTCTCTCAGGTTTCAGCTGCTTTGCAAACCGAAAGTCATAAAGAAAATTCAACCTCAATCTCCGATCCAACTATCCTACAAGCATTGTCGACGTACGAGTCTGCTGTGGCTAGCTTACAAGGGCTTGTGAATGATTTGCTCAAAATTTCGCGTGATCGAGATGCTTACTGGCAATATCGATTGGATCGCGAAGCTGATGTCAGGCGGCTATGGGAGGATAGCATGGCAAGAGTTGCGAAAGAGCAAGAGGAGCTCGAAGGCCGGATCGAGGAGTCGGAAGAAAAGCGGAAGCGTACCAAGAGAGCGCTCAAGGACGCTTTAGAAGGTCAAGAAAGCAGTCGTCCGCAGAGCCGTGATATGCCCCAAGACGTGTCTGAAGCAACCGGTGCCCTAAACACAATCCAAATCAGTAGACGGTTAAGTGTTCCTGGGAGACGCAAGTCAATCAGCAACAAAGATGCGAGCAGGCGCAAGTCTACCATAGCGGACTTCACTAACTTGTCAGATTCGGACTCTGATGAGGATGAGGAGTTCTTTGATGCTGTCGATGCTGGAGAGGTTGAAGTGGTCGACATTCAACCGGAATCGCTACGTAGTCCGCCTTTGTACAGCGTAATGGATGGAGAGGTTGCGAAGGCAGAGCAAGATGGTCGAGATCACAAACGAGAAGAGATCAAACCCTCTTTTCATGGATACGAGGACCCCATTCGCCAGAAGTTGAAGTTAGACAATGATGATCGACCGAAGATATCTCTCTGGGTGAGTATGGCAGACAAGTCACATTGGAATGAACGTTGACAATCCACAGGGCATTTTGAAATCTATGATTGGCAAAGACATGACCAAGATGACGTTGCCTGTGTCTTTCAATGAGCCAACTTCCCTTCTGCAGCGAGTCACGGAGGACCTTGAGTATACTGATCTCATAGATACCGCTGCTGACCGCAGCGACTCATCTGAGCGTATGGTTTATGTTGCTGCGTACGCTGCAAGCGAATACGCTTCGACAATCGGGCGTATTGCAAAGCCGTTCAACCCTCTACTTGGTGAGACGTACGAATATGTTCGCCCCGACAAAGGCTATCGATTTCTTGTAGAGCAAGTTAGTCATCATCCACCAGTGGGTGCTGCGTGGGCTGATTCACCTAAATGGGACTACTACGTAGGTCTTCTCAATTCTTATCAGACGTTACATTTGACACCTCGCTCACTCTATTACAGGGCGAATCGGCACTGAAATCGAAGTTCTATGGTAAATCGTTCGAAATCAACCTACTTGGAACTTGGTTTCTCAAAGTCCGGCCTACGCCAACGCAAGAAAATCCCAACCCCAAGGAGGAGCTCTACACTTGGAAGAAGGTCACCTCTTCCGTGGTCGGCATCATCACAGGTAACCCAACAGTAGACAATTACGGTCCGATGGAGATTCGCAACCACACTACCGGAGACGTCTGCTATTTGGACTTCAAACAACGTGGTTGGAAGGCCTCTTCTGCGTATCAGGTTTCCGGCAAGGTCGTTTGCGGCAAAGATGGCAAAACTCGCTGGTCTATCGGAGGACGTTGGAATGACAAAATCTACGCTCGTCTTACGCCTGGCTTCGAAGATTCTGCTCTCAGCCCTCCCGCTACCTCTAGTGGCATGAAAAGTCCCGACCCGAGCCAAGCATTCCTTGTGTGGGAAGCCCATGAGCGTCCTCCAAAAATTCCATTCAACCTCACGCCTTTCGTGGTGACCTTCATGTCACTTCCTGACCGCCTCAGACCGTATCTGCCGCCAACCGACACACGACTGCGCCCCGATCAGCGAGCCATGGAGGATGGTGAATATGACGTGGCTGCTAACGAGAAAACCCGCGTTGAGGAGAAACAGAGAGCAAAAAGAAGAGAACGAGAGACTAACGGTGAAGAACATAGACCTAGGTGGTTTAAGAAAGCAAAGTGCGATATCACTGGGGAGGAATTTTGGCGAAATGACGGAGAGTACTGGAAGGTCAGGGAGGATGTCGGTCAAGGAAAAGGCGAGTGGAGTGGTGTTGAAGATATCTTCTAGGAGCAATTCAAGAAGTGGACGATGTTTTGGGAGCAGTAATAGTGTGGAGATGCCCGCGCTGCTGGCATACTTTCTTATGCCTATGTGAGGAGCCTCAAAAGCATCGCCTAATACGTAAGATAGGAAGCAGCCTTACGAAAGGTGAATTGGAAAGAGAGCAACCCTAAGTTCTCGGCATTATTTAACTTGTTTTTGCTTGCACATCTAACATGCTGGTGAGAGCAGTCGCCCTCCTTTCTCTACCTATTCCAACTGGCTTAGGCAAAAGGGTGTCTTCCGAACTGGCTTCTCTCTCCCATCGTCACACCTCGCCTCTGCATATCAATCGCATAAGCCATGGTCTTCTGCTTCCATGCCTGTAACGCCATTTGTCCCTCCATCAAATCACTCAGTAAAATAGCGTCGTAGGCAGCTTGATTCGTGGAGGCAGCAGTATGCGGTCGAAACCCTGCTAGAGCGTCTCCAAGAACCAGAACTTTCCCATCATAGAAAATGTTCTCCGAAGCTAGGACATCCGTGATCGCTTGTACGAAGGGAGTTACGGTCTTGCGTACCAGCTCCGCAAATTGCGGTGGAAGAAGCTGGGACGCAAACGCTCGCTGCTGTTCAAGTACCTCAGGCTTGGAATTCTTATCAGGGGGCAGGGTATAGCGATGTGTCGCTCCCTCCGAATCCGTCATGAGATCGTGTAGTTCTGGTGAATCTTCGGCATAATTGCAGTACCATACCCAATTTATGAGGCGCTCCCCTGGCTCAAGCGTTCCATTTGGGCCTGGAATGACGTATGCAAGAATTTGCGTGCCTGGTGCATGGAAGAATGTGAATTTTTCAACGAATGTTTCTCTGGCTGAAGGAGAGACGAGATGTTCGGCTACAGTACCACGCCAGGCTACGTAACCAGCATAGGTCCGCTGGATCTCTGGTGTGAGTAGACGACGAACAGTAGAGCTGGGACCATCGGCGGCAATAACGAGGTCGGCTGTTGCTGTAGAGCAGTTGCCTTGTGTAGTGTCGTATTCGACTTGAATCCTTTCCCCGACTGTCTTTAGGCCTAGCACCTGACGTCCGTAGTTATAGCTGCTCGTCCCTTCGCCATCCTCCGTGGCAGGGGTCTGGCAGTAATCGCTCCCAACACAATCATAATTTGCACGAAGAATATGATACAGCAGATCCCAACTAGTCATTCTCTGCTCGGTATGCTCCTGATGAATCACAAGTCCGGATTGGTTCAAGTATTGACGGAGCTTGCTTGTGACAGCAATTGGACGATCTGTACGATCGAATCGGGTGAGGTAGGCTTGCACATGGCTCCCTGCTACGATGCCAGCGCCTTGATCATGCAACAGCGGCGTAGGATTACGCTCAAAAATGTGTACGATGCAGCCCAGGCGTTTCAGAACTATCCCAGCAAACAGACCACCGAGAGAGCCTCCAACCTGACGAGGTCAACGTCACCCGAATAAAGTCATGCAAGGCATCAACCACAAGCGATCTAGTCGACAGAATACAAGTCTTGATCCCTAATTCCTGGGAAGAGTAACTGGGGTTGTTCATCCAACGAGTTGAGTGAGTAGATGAGAGGAAAAGAAAAGAAAAGAGGCTACCTCAGGAGACTTACAATGATGACCTCTTGAGTCTTTCCAGCCATTCTGTGGCTACTGGAAGTGACTATAAACTTACGACTGAGTGGAACGAGCAGTTGAAAGGCGGGAAAATGCTTGTGTACGAAGATGGAAATGATCTTGTTTTTATTACCTTGTAGAGAAATGCCTAATAGTTGATCAATACCTATGACTTTACATCCTCCAGATAACCAATCTATCAGGAAAAGTAGATAGACCGTGTGTTGATGTAGAACCAATTCTAGATTACGGCGCCCCTTGCCAAGAGAGGTGCTCGGGGGACTGCTTAGCTCTAGGGCTCAGGAGTAAGTAGCCCTCAATTGGTTGCTCTGCCGCTGCCCAAAGTAAACAAAGGCACGTGTTTAATCGCAATTGCACATCGGAACCTTACAGCGTTTTACAGATTTGCTTGCAACGCAAAACCATTGCGATTTAACGATCAATGGACTCAGATCGCGAGCATCTCTTACCTCGAGGCTCACCATTATATCCTGTCCCCCCAAATCGCATGAATGAGCGCAACCAAACACAAGCAATGCGCTCACCGATAGACGATGGCACAACACCCCAGCTTTCGCCATCCCCTTCTCTTCCCGCATTCTCCCACCTATTGCAAGGGCGTAGCAGCCATATGCGCGGCTCCTCGGACGTGCAGGGAAAGGTAGCGCAATTCAATGGCCTAGCAAAAGAGGCAGCTCAGCGGCGAAAAGACAACGAAGCGGCCTTGCGGCGAGCGCTGATGGGAAGGGAGGAGGCCGAGGGCGAGAGTCAGAGATACAAAGATGAGAATAAGCTGCTCAAAGTCGACGTAGAAGAAGGCAGGGGTCGTGAAATGAAAGTTGCTCTAAGATTGGAGAACATACAGGTATGTAAGCATATTCATGATACAGTTGTATTTGTCTTGGTCTTATGATTTGATGCATAATCTAACGTGTGATGTCTGCCGAAGGGAGAGCTTCAGAAAGTCAAAGAGGCGCAGACTCATGAACGTAAAATATATGAGAAAGAAATCAGGAGGGCAAGGAAAGAGGCATTCAAAGCATCCAGCACGTTGGTCAATTGCCAAGATGAATTGAAAGGAGCAAGAAATAAGTTTACGCTCATGAGAGAGGAAGCCGAAGAGCATAGACGAAAGAAAGACGTTATTGAGCAAGAAGCTCTTCAAGCAAAAGGCGAACTAGCAGGCCTACAGGAGGAAGTGGACGCCTTGCGGAAGAGGTTGGATATTGCTGAACAAGAACGAGATACGCTGAAGATGACCGTAAATCAAGAGGACGTGGCCAGAATGGCGTCGGCAGGATCAATCGCCTTGCCACTCTCGGCCGCAGATGACGAATTCTCAAGCCCGAGAAAGCGAAGACGGCACGAAGAGGGAAGCTTGAAAGAGAACTTTGACCCGGAAGCGCCTGTCGAGGATGATGCGGAGCTGATGGCGCTCAGGGAGGACCTCCGGTCACAAAAACGTTTGCGATTGAAGGCGGAGGACGAGGCTCATTTCTTGAAAATGGAATGCCAATTTGGAGTCTGTTCATGTCGTGTCGCCGAGATGCAAGGCGTAGAATACGTTCATGACAACTCATTCGCACGGCAAATTCAAGAAGACTCGGGGAAATACAACACTGGCAACCCAATTTCTGTCGAATCCACAAAGGAAGGACCCACAATATCATCCACTGTCCCAACGATGACAGCAATGGATGACGATGCAGAACAGCCGTCCGAGGAAGGGCTCCTCACTTTTTCACCTACCAGTGGTACATTCTCAAAGGCCCCTTCGCCTATCCGACCCGAATTCCTTGTCAACGCATGCAATGTCATAGCAGACAATCGACCATCCACACCCCCACAAAAGTGCCAAAGTACCCAATCTCCACCAGCCACACATCACGGTCACCTACCACAGACCCCCCGACCGCTCCCCGAAGCAACGACGCTGCAACAACCGCCTCGTACTGTTAGTCACTTCACCACGAGCACGTCGACGGTGCCACTGAAGGCGGACGACCCTGTTTTCAGTCCGGCACCAAACACACCAGGCGGAATCAGTCGAGAGGAGGCACTCGAACGGATCCGACAGCGGAGAGGGCGAGCGAGGAGTTTTGCCGTTGGTATAGGTGGTACGCCCGGTAGAGGAAGCGTGAGAGAGGGTGAGAGAAGGGAAATTAGTGCACCTGTGTCTACTGGAAAGCGGAAGGGTTGAAGACAAAGGTATGTGAGATTTGGAGGCATAGGCCTGCGTTGGACGATGGAGCAGGTGGGTATTTAGCACCTTTGGATTTTGCCTCAAGCATGCTCTAAGTCTGTATATGTAAATTTGAAAAAAAGCTCATTTTCAGGAAGTGCGCTTTTGCTTTGTGCCTCTTCAAGTGTGTAAGTTCGTAGTGCATTGGACAGAATATCTTGTTAGCTTTTGAGGGCAGGAGAAAATGGCAGCAGAGAATACTAGGAGAAGGTATTAGCTGGATGCTGACCCTGAAATTTCCCCTGCAGAAGACTTTACAATAAGCCAGCTAATTTCATGGGAAATACTTTGGGCATAGACAATCAAGCAACTTCCTACCAACGATGAACCATTACATTCGACATTTCGTACAAATAGAATAATTGATATGATTACCATCGAATAGCTGGGCTACCGAGACAGGTAGGTTTCTATTCATGGATTGCGGACCATTATTGTTGCCAAAGGGGTCGCGGTTCAAAGCTAGTCGTGCTAAGACTTGGATGGTAATGGTATTTCATGTGTTCAACTTACAGAAGACCTGTAGCCATCAGCAATCTAAACCAATGTCGACTCTCAGAAGAAGCAATACGACAATAGACTATTCAGAAGGTCTCCAAGTTGGCAAGTGTCCACAAAATACATCGGAAATTCTATTGAATTTGCATTGATCTCATCATTTAGATTTGTCTCTTCGGCTATAACAGAACTTTGAGAGAACATGAACGTTAGGAACGCACTTACTCAAAGGGAAATTCCGTTTGCTATGCCCATAAAGCATTTTGATCCAGCATCTCTTTCGCTGAACTTTGGAGCGTGTTTCCATCCGGCCTACGACACTGTCGACTTAGGTTTGCCTTGGACTTCGAGATACTATAGTCCCCTCATTCGAGTTGTTCAAGCACAACTCGGAAGTGCTAGACGGGAGAGTCAACTTCAGAGCCTCTGGCCGATCTTGAACAGGCTGATTAAAGTCCGTAGGTGATGCTGAGCGCTGTGGCATTCATTCTATGAGTGCCTCACTAGATTGCCAATGCACTTGGAACCGTCATGACTTTATCCTGTCCATACTCATGGTACACATCACTCATAATAAAGCCATTTATGTAATTATACCGAGTCGTGCGAGGATAACTTTGACACTTTGTTGGCCGGCGAGCGGTACTCAAGATTCTAAACCCAGATGGTTGATATCCATTCGTTACCCACTCCCCAAGTACTACTAAGCCTAATTGGGTGATATCCTGCTCTCATACCAGCTCACGGTGCTCACGCAGGAGGCCTTGCTAGAATGTCTTTTAGTGAACATCGTACATTCAATCCGGGACTTTGAGTTGACACTCCGTTAAGTCATAGTTCTAAGTCATGTACAAGATGCTTTTATCCTCCCTAATTTACAACCTTATACATTTAATGCAGGAATCGCCGTGCGTTGTTTCTGCCGCAAAATACGTCCCATCTATATAATACAAATCATTGGGGAGAAAAGCTGGCGAGCCTTCAAGCATCTCGACTCATGCCAATTGCCTCCAGAGCTTCTACCAAGCCCAGAACTTTGCACGCTTTCACTTTATGAGCATCCCATTTTCTGAATGACCATATGAGCATCTGTGGCACTTGATCTTCAAGCGAAGCGTCGTCTTGGGCGAAGAAAACGACAGAGCCTTGGGGAACAAAAGGTCGGTCTTCAGCTGATGCAACTAGAATTGCATACTCTTGCGCGAAGAGCAGCGCAGCACGAAAGGACGAAAGATTCGATGTCCGACGATGGGGAGGTGGAGCAAGAGTTGCGAGCGAGTGTATGCTAGACGCTTGTGTCAGCTCGTAGAGGTCTTCTTGCACGCCATTCTATACTTACATGAATATTTCGAAATACGCGTCGAGAATAACGACGCCATCACCTAACACATCTGCTTGCGAGTACGGCGCTATTTCTCGAACACGAGCGATCAAAGGTACGTTCGTGTCGTTTGAAGGCGTACTCGGGCGCCGTCCCCATTGCATGAAACTTGAAGCGCTCTTCGGCCGCGACCAGTCAATTTCTGACCCGAAAAGCCGTGTGGAATAAGTTTCACGGACAGATTTCTCTCGCCAGTGCTGAAAAGAAGGGTCTGGAGTCGTGGCGGTTTGCGGTGTGCTGGCGAACGCAGACCAGAAGTCTGCAGATTCCGAACCTTCGCTCACTTCCATTATATCACCACTAATTCCAAGATCCATGCCAATCAGTCTTGCACAACCGATTTCATCAGCGCTCGAACCCTCCCCCTTCCATAGGAAAATCTTTCCGGAGCCCGTAGAGACGATGAAAGGAAACCCGCTGCAGAGGGACTGAGGCGTAAGTAAAATTTCATCAAAAGCCATTTGACCCGCATGCTGCCGACCGCACAAGATATATGCAGAATCAGATGACTGGTCGATGTGCCTACTTGGACCTCTGCGTACGATCACTATGCCACCGAGGGCTTGGAAGAAATTGGATGTCTCTTTGCCTTGAGCGATAATGACAAGTTTGCCGTTGCTATCCCTGGCGAACTTTTTGGCAAATATTTGTGCATCTTCGACTAATGACGACGACATGCCATCGCCACACCACAAGTAAACCTCGGTCATCCTTTGACCAGTCGCCGTTCCGAAGACGTGATTACAAAGATACAACGCATCTTCGAAAAGCACATGCTCTTGAAGTTGTGGAACAGGTATCGTCTTGCCGTTGTCAAGGATTTGAAAGATCTGCTTACGGAGAGTTTTGATTTTCTGGAAGCTTTCCTTCGACTGGCGTGCATCGATTACCTCTTGCGTATTGACCCTGATATTCACTTTACCTGGAGTCGTGTCATCGAATATGTTTGCGAAGAGCTCCGAGGTCTTGCTATCATTTTCAGGTCTAGTCGGTATTACTGGGCTGCGAGACTGTATTTGATCACTTGGCATAGCTATGACCTTGGTGGCAGCAGGCTTTTGAGCAACAGCGGGCGGAGATTTAAGAACATTGCTTGATTTTCTCAAGACTTCTGTTTCAGGGGATCTTGCGTTATCTTCGCTCGCAGTACGCTTTTTCATTGACTTAGGTAGGGCTGAAGGATGGCTATTTGCGGAGGTCTCGAGAGCTTGATTTGGCGATTTGAGAGCTGAAGGACTTTGTGCAGTCGGCGAGCTTTGAGCTGACAGCGCAACAGATGTGGAAGGCTTTCTGGGAGAAGAAGGTAGGGATGGTTTCCGGTTATTGTTGTTGCTCTTTGTTATGTTGGAGAGTGGCCGTGGCTCAGGTTTGGGTCGCTGAAGAAAATCATGCTTAACTGTCGGAGTCTCTTTGGCATCAGCGGGGTTACCTGAACCAAACAGTACACTCTCAGCTGAGTCTTTCGCACAATTTCCAAGGCTGGATGAATCTTGCTTGCTTGACGAAGGAGGTTTTCTTTTAGGACCGCGAGCTCTTGCTTTTGTTGCATGAGTTAATTGAGACCTGGATTGAGGGCCCCGTTCTAGCTTGATTGACGCCTCATTGGATGTAGAGACAGGAATTTCTGCTCCAGCTCCTACTGTCACTTCCTTCGAGAAAGGTTGCGGGGCTCCTCGCTGGAGAATCCCGGCTAAAGACGAGGCAAAATTAGCGGCGTTGGGAACATTAGTTTGACTCTTTCCAACCGGAGAGTTGACTGTGGGCTTCTTCGTCGAAGCTGGCTTCGGCATATTGGGCCATTGCGGCCCTGTCGCTATAATTTCAGACTGTTGATTTACCGCATTGCTTGAAGACTGAGTTGTTGTGCGGATATCGACATTCTCGGACCTCATGAGCCCTTGTCTCTTCTGTATTGCTTCGGGCTCTTGGATGGCGTTGTCCCTGGTCGCCGCGCTGCTAATTATGGTTGAAGCTGATGGGGTTATCATGCCCTGCTTTTTGCGGAGAATACTTTCTTTGAAATTGTCTTTGTGCTCAGTCTTCTTAGGACCCCCTGTAAATGCGAGGTTCGCTTTGCCACGCGTAATATTGTCCTTCAACTCGTCAGGTGCTTTGTATTTCCCGACTTGTGCAGGCTTCAATTTACCAAAGATATTTTTGAATTCGGGGACTTCTTGGTCCTTTGACTCTTGAGGCGTAGATCTAGATTTGAGTGCTGGCTGGAAGTCTTTCTTTGGAGGCGTTCTCGCCTTCGGCTTGAGATTAGTTGGCTTGACTGTAAAGCTCGGTGGTGTAGCATCACCAGCTACTATTGCTTGTGTACGAAGGCTGGGCTCGTCAAGAAAAGACTCCTTTGTTAGCTTAGGTGCAGCATCTTGACTTGTGCTTGTTTGGGAGGCGGCTGAGGTTATACTTGGAGTTGAAGCTGCCTCGTCATCTGCGGTCAGCGCACCGGAGACCTGTATCTTGCTTGGATCTTCAGAATTCTCAATTTTGGGTCTTGTTGTGAAACTGGCGGTAAATCCTGGTGGTAGCCCTCCGATGTTCGGGGCCTTGTATCCTGCACCAGGGGGAGGTGAGCGCATCAAGCCTCCTGGATTGACTTGCTTGTGAGGCGTGTTTCTAGAAAGATCTATGCTCCCTTGTTGTTTTGCCCGAGCAAGGTCTGCCATCCATGGAGGCTGCTGTTTCGTTGGGGATTGTGAAAGTACCTTCGGAGACTCAGGCTTGTTGATAGCATTCTCAAGCCAGCTTGATTTCTGAGGCGACCAACGCTTACTAGGACTTGCTGGTGGGCTTATTGCAGTTTCGTCTTTGGCATCTGTCAGAATAAGGCCGGCTTGCGATTCAGCAAGAGATGGCAAATAGGTCGTGCTATCTGCTGGGGTGGTTTGCTCAACCGTGGCCGCAGATTTCGACGAAACATCCTGAATACCTTCAGACTTACGGGATATCGGTGTAGAATTGATGTGACTTGAATTAGACCCTGAAGTAGACGAAACTGGTAAGCTTTCACGATTAAATCTGGCAGGTTTTGGCTCGCCTAAAGACGCAAGACCTCCGGACTGAAATCTCGGTCGCTCAAATTCACTACGATTGCTGGCTATGGAGTTGCCTCTACTAAGCCCAGGTGTAGCCTGTGCGCTCCATCTCTTACTCACACTGTCTGATCTCTTCATCAGGGCGCTTTGAACAAAGCCCCCTAGTCCTTTCGTAGGTGACACAGACCGCTCCCTTACCTCTGGGAGAAGTTGGCCTTGAGACGGAGACATGGTATTTATACGACCGGACAGGGTCTCGCCCTCACTTGCAATGAGACTGTTTTTTGACGAAGAATCAGCTGGCTGAATAGGTGCAGGTATGCCCTTCGATCCACGAGCAGAAATTATAGACCTCGCAGAAATAGGACCAGAATCTGGACTATTCTCGCTCTTAGACCCATTGACGGTGGGTGAATGTAATTGGATGCTCTCCATTGGAGCATTCGTTCTGTGCTCGTATCTCTTATTCGACATGCCAGGTAAGCCTACGGCCGTATTCTGGCTCGCCTTGGGCGAAACTTCGCCTTGGTTCCTTCTGAAAGCGGCATTCCCTTGTCCTCTTTCCTGTGTTTGTTTGAACCATGTAGGATCTTTTGAAGCCAGTGAACTTGTGATTTGACTTCGTTCATCTTTTACATCAGATGAATCGACAAAGCCCGCGCCCAAGGCTCGACCTTGACCTGACCGCTGGGGAGGAGGGAGAGAGTGGACGGGCCGAATGCCAGTGGTCACGGATCCTCGCGACGAAGGTCTTTGTTGCGCTGAAAGGGTGTCGTTTCGGGAGAGGGCCGGCAAAGAGCTCGAGAGGTCTTGTACTTGGGGTTGGGTTTCCTGAACCGGCTCTTGGGCTTCCCTTGATTCAAGTGAAACATCTGAAGCTGCAACATCGAACGCTGATCGGCGCCAAGGGTCGGAAGAGTCGTCTTGCCTGGGCGGCTTTGGCTGCAGCGAAGGCGTGCGGGATATGCCTTGCATTACAGCGGACTTCTCTTTTAATTCACCAGAGCCTGGGGTGCCCGAGTAAGCCGTCGAATCCTTGGAGGGTGATAAAGATCGCGCGCGCTCTTCAACACATTATTGTCGTTAGCGGAACCCTTTCCTTCATCATAACTCGATGAAGCACACCAATGTTATTAGTACCCAAAAGGATTGCGTACCTTCTCTACGAGCCTGTCTTTCTTTTCGACCCTGTATGATTTCTTCCTCGAGTCTTCTATTTCGTTCTTCATCCTCCCTGTCCCGCTGGTCCCCGAGCTCTTTGACGCGCTTTAGAAAATCATTAACATCCTCGGAGCCATCATCATCCAAAGTGGCGGACATGGCCACAATCGTGTCCAGCACGAAGAAGGAAAGCTTTGACTAGTTTGTGTTTACTATCTGCGCTTCGACGTTGACTGCGGCAGGACTAAAACGAAAACTTTGGGTAGGTGGATGGTCGCAACGACAGGACATAATTGGCAAGAGCGCCCGGTCACTTGATCCATCAGTAAATATCATGCAATCTACGCGCAAGAAGGCAACCTCAAGGTTACAAACACAATCGAAGATATTGACCATGCAGACTAGTCGCGATGGATGATCGAGCGGCATGCGATGCCGAAGCCCTAAAGCATACCTCCGTACAGTGATAATTAATCGAGCCTATCGGCTACTGGCACCCTCCCAAGCCGTCTTCTGGATGCCCCAGGATTAAGGAGAGATTATTATCCTCAGCTTAGGTTGTTGATTCTCTGATTTCAACAGTCAATACAAGAAGAGCCTGTCTTTTGCATCCTTTACAATCCATTGAAGACCCTCGGCTAGGTTCTCGCCTGTCACGGCGCTGCATTCCATGATCATCCAATTGTGGGTCGAGATTTCTTTGAGCCGGAGTTCCTGAATTCGTTAGCCGTGGTGGGACGGGCAATACTGGATCCGCCAAAAAGACCTTGACGATTTCTTCCTTCGACATGTGTCCTTTCAGGTCGATTTTGTTTGCAAAAACTAGTAGACTCGCTCCCATTAAACGCTGTGAAACAGTCAGTAGGATCTACTAGAACAAAGCCTCGATCGTCTTTGCCTCCTCTTTTAAAAGCCCAGCCAACTCTGCTTGACAAATCTCGATACGGAAGCGGTCCATTGCGTCGACAACCCAGATCAGCGCGTCTGTCTTCTCAAAGTAGTTCCTCCAATAAGACCGCAGTGTCTTCTGCCCTCCAACATCCCCTCGTGTTTGTCAGCATCGAGAAGTGAGACTGAGGTGCAAAGAAGAGCTGATCGTACAGATGTTGAGGCGGTAGCTAGATGATGCTAAGCCCGATGGTAATTGAGGCGGACAGCTTCATGTACTGACCCTTGGTGCTCGAGTGTTTTTATGCTGAACCCCAGTGTTGGGCTAATCTCATCGATGGGTTCGTTCAGTATCCGCTGGACGATCGTGGATTTTCCAGCATTATCCATCCCTCTAACCTTCATAATTATCAACTGACATATAGATCAATAAAGTTACGAACAACATAAGAACCCTCATCTCCTTATCCTTCAACCTTGCCTTCCGTAAGACCTTTAACATTTTTTTTAAAAAGATATGTTGTCGAGCATGGGAGGTGCAGACTCGAAACATCAAAACGGCATAGTCCGGTATCGAGCGGCCCAATGGAGTACCAGCCCTTGGTTTGCATGTCACTTCACACAAACCAAGTGTATTTTTATATTGTGTTGGGACTCAATTTCTTAAGACACGCTCGTCCTTCGTTGTGCCTTCTGATGATAGCTGTATTGTCACTGATTCGCGTTCAAGTATCCCCTCACTCAAGATACTTAGACTGCAGAGAGCCATCTTTGAGAACAACTTCAAATCATCAGCATAGACACTCAAGGCATCTTTTCAAGGGATGGAGCCGAAACTTGCACTACAAACCCATGACACTTCGAAGTCTCAACTAATGGATCCAATAGTGTCTTGACTCATGAGACTGTCCTCGTATCCTGGAATTGGAAAAAATCCCGAGGGACCTCTGAATGAGTTCATAAATGGAAGCCCCACCGGTTTCCACCTGATCGAGACATACTGGAAGCAAAGTGAGAACAGCGACGCGCCTATCTCTCCAGCCATGGATGGTCAGCGCTCCAACACTACTTTGCCAAAGCCTTGTTGCAGAAGAGGAGTCCTCAAAGAAACGCCAGCCATGGAAGAGCAATCTTCAAAGCCATTGCCTGGAGACTCGAGCGGCTTGGCATTTTCCCAAACCAACAGGAATGGAAGACAGGGCAGCCCATTAGGCCGAAAAGTTGAATCTGAAGTGCAAACAATAGCAAATAGCAACATTACCAATGATGAAGGCCATTTGTTCAATGGAACAATTCGGCCAACTGATCAACACAAAGCGCTCTTTTGCCACGGGACTGATCGCACTAGAGCTATACTTCAAGCAATTGAGGACACCATAGCGAGCATCAAAGAGCTCAACACGCGAGGACGATTACCTTCCGCTGCAGATCGGTATTTAGATGAGACGGAGATTAAGCCCAAGGAGAAGAAGAGAGGCGTCAGGTCAAGCAGACTTGCATTATACCGGGGCCCTTCAGCACCGCATGATGATGATATTAGTGTTAGCACCGAAGATAGTGAAGTGGGCTTAAGGTGGTGGCCGGATAGCGCTAAAAAGGCAAAAGTGAAGTGTCAAGTCTCATTCGAAACCTCTTTCTTTATTTACTACCAACCGTCTCAGCACCGACTTGTCAACATTCAACCAGATCTTCAAGATCTCAAGTCTGCAGCATCATCTTTGACACGGAGGTGCAACTATCTGTCAACAGACAACACGATGGTGGGGCGTGCGCGATATATAGGTAATTTATTGCCACCTAGGAGACCAGTATTGGTAAAGCTGACAATCCTAACTGCAGCGACACATCATTCTAGCAGAAGCTTGCACAGCCAAGGTGAGACAAACGGAGCTGATGAACAATCTCGATACACGGTCAAAGGTAGTCTTAGCCTAATATGATATTTTCCGCTCTTGCTCACGAGAGAGTAGTAGCTGGCTCAGGCCACATCACGACTAAAGGTCGTGGTTTCCAGCCATCTGAAGTCGGCAAATTGGCATCGAAGTCTGTTCCTTCAGCCATTCTCAGCTATCGATCAGCAATCGAAGACACACGTTCATGGGACGCTCAAGAAGTCAAGAAGGCTCGAAGCCTGTTCACCTCTCCGTCGAGTCCATCCACTATTGTAGATCCTCGTAACTATGCGCAGACGCAGAAATGGGTCACTTCAAATGCATACGTATTTGATGGACCCAATGAATCCTCCGCACCATCAGTCGACCGCGCGAAGCCCGGTGTCGTCAACACCAAGACGTCGTCTTGTTGGTCCAGAGCTGCAGATCACGCTCATAATGTCACCCCTGATCAAATTGGCAACGCTGCAGATGCTGCATCTTGGCTTATGCAGAACGAGCGGGATCTTGACGTTATCTCCCAGGCACCTGTGCCTCGTGCATTTCTCAAGACGATGAAGTATGAACATCCCAACAACCGTAAGCCAGCCACCGGTGCTGTCAAGGGATCCTTCCAACGCCAACAAAAAGAATTGAAAAATGGGGATACTTCAAATGAAGTGAAACGTGTCAGCGGCAGTAGCAACAACCCTGATCTCATCACAAGTGGAAAGACAGAGCTCGAAGAAGGCGAAATTGAAAATTGCAGGCCAGGCACGACTGCCGGCGGCAATGGCTCAAGCCACCACCAACCTTCTGTGACCACAAACAATGTTAATGGTCAAGATAATATCAAGTCATCATCTTACCTGCAGCCAGAGAGACAAGCAAAAATATTTTCAGGACCAATCTCTGCTGACAAGCATGTCAGCAATCTTGAGGACGCAGCTGGTCATGATGGTGATATGAAAGCGAGCTCTAAGACGGACCTGAAACGGCCAGAACCAACGGCGGTCACATCTAATGAAATGAGAGCTCCGACTGTCCATGCACAACCTACATCAGCAGATCGTGAATGTCAAGCTTCTATTGAGCCGGATGTCTCTGGAAGTAAGGCGTCTCTCACACAATTACCGCCTCATCTCAGAGCGAAAACTCCGCGGGTGCTAAGCCAAGGCACGGCAGGAAAAGTCGCTTTATCCAACGACACACAGAGAGTAAGCGATAGCACCAATGCAAATTCTGCCATCAGGAATATTAAAGATTTCAGCGTAAAGAACACCGCGTTATCCAGCAAACAAGGCGGGCTTCGTCGCTCGATAGGGGAGTCAGATAAGACATCGATCCATTCAAAACAGAGCTCCCGCAAGAAAAAGGAAGTACCAAAGTCTCCCTGGCCTATGTCGAACTACGAGTCTCGGCTTACTGACTGGGATGGAAAACCGTTTCCTGCCGCTATCGGGCACGAGTGGACGATTCGAGAACAGTACAACAAACCGGAAGAACGGCGTGCAACCATTGAGCAATTTCAAAAGGAGCAATCTCTGGATCAAATCGAGGCTATTGCTGTCGTCGATACAGACGATCCTGCATTTCGTGAGGGGAGACAACTCCTCGATGAGGAAGGTGTCGAAGACGTACCCCTGAAAGATATCTGTGAACCCCGATTGCCAGAGATACTCTCGGATGGACGTCCAAGCAAAGCTTCTAAGACGACTGATGATAAAATCAAGGAGTTTATCGAGCATCGAGAAAAATATGGCGAGCCAGAAAAGGAAGATGAGATAGATGCAACAGGGGGTGCCAGTATGACCAGGCAAGAGCGCCGTGCACTACGAAAGGATATGCTAGCAGAACAAAATGGCCCTCTATTTCCATCGAAAGAGCTGGCTCCAGATGCCAATATCTACCTTCGTCCAGTAGAGACAAACGATGCAGGACAACTCACTCAAATTGTGAATCACTACGTACAGACCTCCGTTGTAACTCCACTACTTGAGCGAGACACTGCTGCCACATGGTCCGCTGAAATCATGCAAGATGGTAGGATGAAATTACCTTTTCTTGTCGCCGTTGCCCTAAAAGATAGCGACTCCAGAGATTTCAAAAAGACCAGGCGCTTGGTTCGGGAAGTGATTGTGGGGTTCGGCCGGGCAATTGAGTACGGAGAGCAGAGCAACGCCTTTCGCGAGACCGTTGAGCTCGAAATTTATGTTAAGGATGGCTTCCTTCACCGAGGCATCGGCAAAACGCTCTTCAATCAATTGATGGGAGCTTTGGCAGAAGAATACAGGATGAAGCCATTGATGGCACCTTTGATTGGAGTTCAGTCAGTCATTCCTTGGTCGACTGGGAATTTGCAGCAAATCACCACGATCGTGTTAAGCCTTCTTCATCACCACGATGATAAAGATCTGGATTGGAAGAAAGCATTCCTGGAATCCAATGGTTTCAAGCAATGTGGCTTTATTCCTAAGATCGGGAAGAAGTTTGATAAAAAGTGGGTATTCCTATGCTCTTTCATGTCACACACTAACAAGCTTCCAGTATCCAGCAAACCCAATTCTATTTCAATGCAAAAATGTGTTGAAAGTAAAATACACGACACGAGGCAGATGATGCGAAACTGGAGAGTAAGGAGAAGAATGAATAGCATTATTACCTGAGCATCTGAATTTGTACCAAGATCCAATACAAGGAATAGTAGCTCGGGCAGTCCAGGAGGCGAAAGGCAGACTTCCTAGAGCAGCAGTAGTAGCGAGAAAAGTAGACCACAAGGCTTTGCATCAGATAGTCAAAAATCACAATATATACATTGAAGATATTAGAGCCCATACGAATCTTCGGAAAACTTTCCGCAAACCTGTTCCGAGAACTAAATTATTCGCATTTTTTGTGACGTGTAAAGTGGTAATCTCATACATGGCTCCTATCGCTTTCGACGACGTTGTAAATGATGGGTTTACACGGACAATCTCTGATGAGTATTCTACTACGTCGGATGTAGAGAAAGGGAAAAAGCAGTTTTCGAGCACAGAGTCGAACACGAAGTTTAACGGTACGAAGCGAAAATATAGCGAGTTCGCAGGAATCACGGCTACTCTGGGAAATACATCAGAAACTGAAAAGAGTGAAAATTTACACAAGGGAAATGAGACAACGTTTCTTACAGATACTTTGAACACGAGAGAAGCTGCTTCCCATGATGCTGCAAATGATCTGTCTAGCGCTGAGGGCGAGGATGGTGGAGCAATGGATTCGGATTTCGAATTCCAATTACACGATTTGGATCGAAACGTGATTGAAGAGCTTGATACATGGGGTCTTCCTACGCAGAAGAAACAGGTCTTTGGCGGGAATCAGGGGACTGCTGCTGGGTTGGGCCTTGAGGAACTCATTGCCAGAAAACGAAAGAGAAACCAAGGTTCAACGGATGCCAAAATAACGAATTCCGATGTTGTAGAGAGATCTGAAAGTTCAGGCGACGACAGCTTCACAGCTGGGGGAGCAAGGGGAGCTAAGAAGACAAGTTATGAAGCGGTGGAGGATGGGGAGAATGAGGAGACAATGCCACAGGATGCATTTGGCATGGGTGCTAATTTGGAGGAAGATGAAAAGAGCTCTCAAGACCGTCAAGACGACCTTGAAGCTTCGTCAGAATCCGACCAAGGGATCGCAGATGACATGCCAGAACCCGACGATGGCTCTGGATCCGCCGCAGAAGATTCTGTTGATGCTTTAGAGCAAGCTAAACGTGATTCTTTCTTTGACCAAGGAGATGCATACTCTACCAAGAGACCCGCAAAGCCAGCTGACTCAAAGTCATTCCAGCCTTTTTCGCTATCACGCCCAATCCTCCGTGGTTTGACATCCGCGGGCTTCTCTACTCCAACACCCATCCAGAAACGAGCTATTCCTGTTGCACTTCTCGGTAAGGATGTCGTAGGCGGTGCTGTCACTGGCTCAGGAAAGACTGCTGCCTTTGTAATCCCAATACTTGAGCGCTTGCTGTATCGCCCTAAGAAGGTACCGACCAGCCGCGTAGCAATTTTGACGCCCACACGCGAACTGGCACTTCAATGCTTCAATGTTGCTCGCAAACTTGCCAGCTTTACAGACATCGCTTTCTGCCAGCTAGTGGGAGGCTTCAGTCTTCGAGAACAGGAGAATGTGCTGAGAACCAGACCCGACGTGATCATTGCTACACCTGGCAGGTTCATCGATCATATGCGTAACTCGCCTTCGTTTATAGTTGAAACACTAGAAATACTTGTTCTTGATGAAGCTGATCGTATGCTCGAGGACGGATTCGCCGACGAGTTGAATCAGATTTTGACCACTATTCCAGAAAAGAGGCAGACTATGCTTTTCTCAGCTACGATGACAGACAGTGTAGACAAACTCATCAGAGCGGGTTTGAAGAAGCCAGTGCGGCTGTTAGTAGACGCACAGCGACAGACTGTCGGCACTCTACTCCAGGAATTTGTACGCCTACGACCAGGCCGAGAAGGTCTACGCCTAGGCCATCTGACCTATCTCTGCAAGGAGGTCTTCACAGACCGCGTGATTGTCTTCTTCCGCCAAAAGAAAGAAGCACATCGCGTCCGAGTGATCTTCGGTCTGCTAGGCATCAAAGCCGCCGAACTTCACGGCAGCATGTCTCAAGAACAACGTATCTCCGCCATCACCTCATTCACCTCCCACACGGCAACCCATCTACTCGCCACGGATTTAGCCTCTCGTGGTCTAGATATTCCTAATGTCTCCACCGTTATCAACTACTCTGCCCCCCAGACCTATGAAATCTATCTCCACCGCGTCGGTCGCACTGCACGTGCTGGCCGCGCAGGAAGATCTTGCACCCTTGCCGCCGAAGAAGATAGGAAAATTGTCAAAGCGGCTGTCAAGGCTGGACGGGCACAGGGCGCCAAGATAGTCAGCCGAGTCATTGAACCGGAACTCGTTGACGCAAGCCAGCAACAAGTAGATTCCCTGGAGCATGAGGTCGATGATATCCTACGAGAGGAGAAAGAAGAGCGGCTGCTTGCTCAAGGAGAAATGCATGTTCGAAAGGGCGAAAATCTTATTGAGCACGAGGCTGAGATCAAAGCGCGAGCTAGGCGGACATGGTTTGAATCCGAAAAGGAGAAGCTGCAGGCGAAGAAGGCAGGATTTGTGGAGTTGAATGGGGTGCAGGGCGGTGGAAAGGCGAAGGCGAAGGGGGGAAAGTTGAGTGGAAAAGAAAAAAAGGCGTTGGATGATAGAAGGGAAAGAGTCGAAGGGCGGATGTGGAAGAAGGGAAAAGACGGGGGCAGGAAGGGAGGTAGTGTCAAAGTCAAGGGAAAGCGAAAAGAAAAGAAGGATAGGAAAAGAATGTGATGAAAAGTGAAATCATGATTGATACATTAGCGCTTTTTTATACCCAAACCCTGGTGTCAGGGGTCGTCAAACTACGCCCTGTATCGACTTGAATGCCATATCTACATATCACTTTCTGATGTGATCAAACGGCCCCCCTCTATCCACTCTGGTCTTTCTTTTCGAAAGCACAAGGCGCTCGCGAGATGCTGATACCTTCACCATTGGAATGTATATCAAAACGCCAACGCTGATGACCGTCGCCGCTCAACCATCCAAGCTATTTCCCAACGTCGATAATGAAAACAAGTATTTTACAAGGCATGGTTATATCCCCGCCCATCATAAGTGTTTGTGTATTTGCCACTGTTGGCCTCATACTTTTGGCCTCCGGTAGTTCCGAGGCCCATATGTCTCATAGCTTCTTGAGGCCAATCTTCTTGGTCTGAAGACCCTGACCTTGATATGTGGCCCCCACCTCCGCTCACGGTCGACTTGTGATCATTATTACCGAGAGACTGTCGGGCAGAAGGAAGGGTCCAGAGGTCACCTGAACCGGATGAATTGTGGAGCGTATGGTTGAAGGAAGGGTCGTTTTGATGCGAGAGGGAGAGGACGGGCTTGGACGAATACGGAGCTCGAGGTGGTGAGGATCCGTCGGTATCGAAATTAAAGGAGGCATGTGCAGGGTCCTGAGCTTCTGGGTCTTGGCGAGGATGGTTGCGAAAGGAAGAGTCCTGTGGGTAGGGCTCAGGTGTTGTGGAAGCAGTGGATTCTGATGTGTGAGATTCCGGTGGTAGATGGTGAGTCATATATGAGTCCTGCTGCGCAAATGCGGCTCCGGAGCTCAAACCAAAATCGTTAGCGGTAGGGGTTGGATGGTCGAAGCGGTGGTTCCTTGCCTCAGTAGGAGTATCCTCTCTGTCTTCTTCAGTTGAGCCGATGGGCGGACTTTCTACGATTGAGGTCTCGTAATTCGTTGCAGACATTTCTGATATTCCAGCAGGTAGAGACATATAATCATGGGCATGCAGATCCTTTGCTGGTGGAGATATTGTCTCCATGTTCCGGAGGCTGCTTCCTGCGCCGAGGGTACTGGCCATAGTGGTGCTTCTTGGCTCTGCTACTTCCGTGATTTGACTTTCAGCGCCATCGTTCTCGCGGATGCTGAACTGGGCGATAGTCCGTAATTTACGGGTGACCCAGCTTGCTAAGATCTTACCGCGCTGCTTTTCGCCCAGACGAGAGCGAGGGAAGTCACCCTTTGAGACAAAAGCAACGATGTCGACAATCACTTGATGCTCGCCAAGCACAGCGTTCACGATGACCGGTACCATGCTGGCCAGATACGCTTTGCGGGCTACCTCGACGAGAACGACTACTAGACCACCGGCTTGGAAAACGGCACTAATTCTGTTAGCTGAAAATTTCAGTAATGGCTAAACCAGATGCCTACCAGCCGTTCAGCACAACATGACGGTGGCACTTCTCGATCGAGTGCTCAATGTCCATAGGAAAGTGGCTCAGTCCATTGACTTCAAACGTCTCACCAATGGCGCCCAGAACAAATAGTACTTGCATCTCCACGGGTTGTCCACCAGGGCCAATGGGTCGAACAACATTGTGCAAAAATCCCAAATCGCCTGTCCTTACGTATGCCACATTCGGATCGCCGTCCTCCGTCCTTCCACTGAACCGCTCGTAGTCAAATGCGTCCTTGGAGCCATAAAACGACTTGACGCAAGCTTCCGACTGGACCCATATTTCTCCATACTCACCTATGTGGCAGAGTCGGCATGTCTCAGGGTTGACGATCGATATCTGCGTACTGACCGGTACCATACCCGAGTCTTGCAGGAGGAGCGCGTGCGGATCAGAGTCAGGGTCGACCGGATAGATCAGACCCCTGCGGAGGGCTCGAGTATCCAGCCAGAGCTCCACGGGCTCGATGCACATGTAGGATCGGGAGGCAATCATAGGGTTTAACACATGCGAATAGATTGTGTTGATTGCTGTGCGATCAAGCCCAGTGCCGGCAAAGTGAAGGCGCACCTTTTGGAAGATGTCGACCCTGGGTCTGCTTTCTGCAGATATCATCATATTCTTCATCTCGTGTAGTGTGAAGCCTTTACCTTGCATGGCGGTCATGGCATGGTCTAACATCTGGCCTGTAGCGTAGGTGTCTTTGATTTTATACCGAGACAATGTTGTGAAAAGCGTCAGAGGATTGGATGCAAAGTCCACAGGCGAAACCAGATATGTTGGGGCACCAACAAAGACTCCCATAAGGCTTGTGTGTACCATACCGAGGCCCATAGTGCTCCTAACACAGCCAAGAACGGGCCTTGAACTCGTCATTTGACAAGTCTCTTTTTGTACCTTACAAATGCCCATTATGGTATCATGGCCGAGTTGAACGGCCGTCCGTCGCTGGTCAGCGCTCCAGTAGGTCCATATCAAGACAGGGTAGTTTGGCTGTACCCAAGCAGCCTTTACAGTCAGACCGAGGTCGCGACATCCAGTCGATTGCCTTGGTGGTTTGGTCGTATTATAATACGAGGGGATGCCAACTTTTAGAACTTGAGCAGATTGCTTTATATGCTGCGAAACAATCTTTTGCTTTAGTAAATGATCCACATCTGCATTCACAAGCACTGCCTTAGCTCTAAAGTCGGCAATCATATGAAGGAAGGCCGGCGCATCCTCGTTTAGGCGATTCTGATCAAGAGGTGGAACCGGTATTGCAACCACCCCTAGGCAGAAGCAAGCATGTATCGCATATACAAATTCTTCAGAATGGGTGTACATCAGTATAAGATGGTCTCCAGGTGCCACCTTCACCTTGTTGCGCAGAAATTGCGCGACTGAAGCAACCTTGATGTCGAACTTCTTCCAAGTCACGCCCTTGCCTTCCCTGCCACGTCCATCGATCGTGCAATAAGCGAGCTCCTCCGCTTGTCTCGCGACTCGCCATTGCAACAAGTCTACAATGCTTGAAAAGTTAGTAAGAGGTGTAGATGTCCTGTCGTCGATGACCACTTCACGGTAGTCTACGCCAGAGTATTGCTTGTCCTGATGTTGCAATATTTCTTGCCGGGCTATTGTGGATTCATGGGACCATATCCCTCCGACCGGATCGATTCCCACAGGCAAATTAAGCACGGCCCTCTCGACGCCAAATTTAACATGCACACAGGGCAACGAACCCGTGTCAAATTCCTTCCTGCAAAGCATGTTCCCAATCTCTTTACGGCCGTTCTTCACGACTCTCGGAAGAGTGTTGTGAGCTGTGATCATGACGCAGAAGACTCGGAGTTGATGCACCTGCATGAGAAATTCCATCGTCCTCTCTGCTAGCGACTCAAGCAAAGCTATATCCAGTTGGCGGGGAGGGCCACCTGGATTAGCTGGTGCAGTTGATGCAACCCATGACTCGAGAACAACCACGGGTAGGTGTTCATCATTGACAAAGATATCGAAAGCCGTGGCGTCGTGAACTTTCGGAATGTTCCTCATGATCGTTAAGATGAGATGCTGGACGAAAAAGTAGCGGTACTCGACAATTTCCGTACCATGTTCGACCCATTCAACCTTCTGTCTTATCCGGTCCTCATAGAGCCCCAAGACGAAGATCTTGCCTTCAATGATGCAACCTAGGAGACCAGTCCGCAGAAACTCTGGCTCTACAGCCATCGGCGTCGGGTTACCTTCTTGAAATTTATAAGGCCTCGCGTGAAAGATCGTTTCTGTGTGCTTCGGTAGCGCCCAGAAGCCCCCGGATAGTGAAGGGGAATCGACCCAGATTTCTCCAATCACGAACGGCGTGCACAAAAGACTTGTCTCGGGATCCACCACAGCAAGTGTTGCATCAGGTATGGGGTAACCGAATGCACCAACGCGTACACAATTTTGCTCAGTCTCTGCTCTTCTGCTAGCGTCGTCGCCCATGGCCACAACAACAACCTCATTAGTTTTCAAAGCTTCTTTGTCCAGCAATACCTCACTCAGCTCAGTTCGAGCTTTTGGAGTCTTGGGTTTCTTAGGTCCACCGCCGATTAAGCTTCCATAAGTATTGGAAGGGGCAGGATTCGGGTTTTCAGGTTTTCCATCAACGCTCTCAGTATCATCGGCCCCGAACATCCCAAGAGGACAACCCATCCTTTCCTCCCCTCCAAGCCAATCTCGCACACTTATCACCATTCCTCCATGCTCTGGTAAGCATAGCATTGGAGCAACGACTTCTGATGCCCTTGGATTGCGCAGTGGACGGAACCACCGGTCAGCCAATACTTCGTGAAACTCACTGTCGACGGTCAGTGTATCAATCAGACATAGCTTCACACTAGCAAAATTTGGTTCAAACTTCTTCATGAAATTGCGCGTAGCCATGGGATCTGTCTGATAATTGTAAGCAGCAACTTTCAAACCAGGATAATTTGCTACTAGTAGCGTTGCCTTGTGTTTCGTAATTAGATTCGCGTAAAGCCCTGGAGTCTCAATCGCCAAGGGTTCAATCCAGACAGCGGTATGGCCTCCGTAGACTGTAAGCAAAGCACCCAGTATAAGGCCGATGCCTTGTCTAGGGTCAAGGTAGCTAAGAAGGGTCTCTCCAGTGCTCGGTCCCGACACCAGACGTCCATATTTGTCCCGCAAGCCAGCATCAAAAGTATCATGGCCGCCTGTGGGAATGGTGTGGATGACCGCACTGAGACATGCCATTTGATGCATTATCGTCTTGTGGCTCATTACAACACCGCGCAAATCCCCTGTCGGTGCTCTGGAGAATTCAATATATGCCAGATCTGGTACGACTAATGCGGGTAAGTCTTCCTTTTTCTTAGGGTGAAAGCTTCCAAATTCGTTAGTCTTCCACCATTCCACTCCACGAGGCCAATTCAACTTGTTAGCCGTAATGTCCCTCTGAAAGGTTTTTAAATTCACATCAGTAGTCAACGCCAAATGCGCTTGGGTGGTTGTGAGGATTAAGTTCAATCTTTGGTAATCCGCCAGATTGGTGGTTGAAACGTCAAATTCTGTGATTGGGACCGCGACTACACCAGCGATGAAGCATCCTAGGAGAGCCACAGTAAAGTCTATGATCTCCACGTCCCGGTATATGAGGGCCACCCGATCTCCTCTATATAGATTACTCTTGTCTCGAATGACCTGGGCAACCTTCTCCGCTCTGCTAGCTAGCTTTTCCCACGTGATAGAGGAGAGTTCTTTGCCTTTTTGATCTAACACCCAATAGGCTGATGACTTTGGGTCGGTCTTTGCCCGATGGCGTAAGACTGCTGCTATGTTTTCGAACTTCGCCATAGGTATGTTGTTGTTATGTGGGTCGTAGACGGCGAAAGGCACTTCACGAGGGTCTAAAGGCAAGAGGTGTCTGAGTGTACCAGCTGGTGGCAAGTCGCTGTTTCTCAACATCGGCGGCGCTGTGTTCGCAGTAGGCGAAAAGGCCTCGGTAGTAGAATATCGCTGAGGACCGCCGTAGCTATCGCGATTGCCATCACCTTGCTGCCCTGCAAAGTCTTCAAAGTACGCTTGGTTGAGGATCGTTGACCGTCTCGTTTGATCGTCACTTTCAAAGCTACCCAGGTTTGGTTGACCATTGTCTGGCGCGGGATTGAAAGCGTACTGACTCGGATCACGACTAGTATTGTACGAGTCACGACCAATGGACGAGGGTCGTGGACTGGGGTTGCGTACTCCTAGAGTGGCCCCTTGTCCCACGGCTGGCTCATTTTGTGTTGCGACACCGGTACCCTCTTTCTTCATTTCCGGTTGTGGTGAGTTCGACTTCCGTGTGAGAGCAGCAAACGATGCTGAGCGCGAGCCGTCATTCGACGGATGAGAGGTATCTTCAGCATTGTGAATTCGCAAGCTGCTGCTGGGCTCGTCCGGTGGTGCTAAGTATTGAGAAAGTATCTGGGTTCTTCGTTTCTGGTAGCCTTTCTGGGTGATTTCCCCTTCTTCTAACTCGAGATCAAGTTCTCTTAACCTATCCTGAAGCTCAGGGTTCCTCCCGGCCATGCTGTCACCTGCACGTAATTCCTCCTCATGAGAAACTCGTAATTGAAGATTTCTTGGCGCGCGGAGGCGCACCTGCCGGTGCGAGATGCCGGGTTGCCGCTTCAGCGACCCGCACGCTCTGAAATCGGCGAGACTTACAGGCTTTGTTACAGGGAGTGCGGGGCTGGTGGGAGGGAACGAGGGAAAGGCGCCATTGCAAATATCAAGTTGATGAAGTAGCGTGAAAAGGAACGCATTGCATGCTTCAGCCCAGGTGAATCATCACGACAGACGTCATACCCAATATAGCTCTGCAATGAAGCTTGAGAGCAGACAGCAAGCAGACCTCAAGCTTCGTCTTGGGCCCGCGACTCGTCCTTTCACTCACTATTTCTATGTACACATAACCCTGACTCTTCTGGCATTATCACAGCAATTGCTGTATCTAGAGCAAGCCCCCAGGTATTCAATCATTCAACTGACCTCTGGCTTCTGAATATGAGGACCAAGCTGGGTACATTTCTCGACGAAGTCATGAGCAATCTGCAAATTCTGTGCGCCGCTTAACGCTTTGGTGATCATAGCTTCATTCTTCTCTTGAACGAGCCGGCGAAATGCTTTGATCAAAAACTCCGAAGCTAAGGCAACAGACCACGTACCAGGGATCGCATCGACAACTTGCTGAATATCGAACCATGCGCTGAATCTTGCTATGAGCTCGCTTGTCCTCTCGAGTCGGTCACTTACATCCTCAATGTGTAGAAATTCTTTTAAAAGAAAGTTGAACAGGACTGACTGTTCGTCTTGTGAGGGAGGAGTGCTGACATAACCATGCGTTGGGTGGAACATGCTGGCACCACCAAGAAGGCAGTAATTGACCGCGGTATGATAGTCACCAAGACCATGAGTCAGAAGTCTAAGCGCTTGTTCGTGCCGACCTTGTTGACCATCGAGTATGATCGATTCGGGGACGAGGTCTTGTTCATAGGGCTCAATACGCGCGAGGACTTGCTGAATATCGTAGGAGAATTCAGATCCGTGGCTGCCTCCGATAAGCTCTAGAAGTCGGAGACGGTCATGCCACCATGACTCTGCTAAAGCATTCTCCGTAATGTACTCTCGATATGTTGGCTTCGGTGGACGGAGTGCACGGTACAATCCGTACGTTTGGGCGAGGCTTTCACGCGCATGATATGAAGTTTTCAACATGTCAAGTACGCTGTCGAGATAATAGCCAATAAGGTCATTGGCGTATTGAAAATTCTTCTTCCCAAAGACTAAGTGTTCAAGATAGTCTTTTACAGCGTCAGGGGCACGCCGACGCAGGAGCATGACAACCTGATGAGGCTCCCATCTCACTTTACTCGCTTCATTGGTAAAGATCTGGACACCGACTGTAGGGTTTCGCCTAGCCAACCACGTTCCAAACTCATCGACAATCGCGTGGTCTCGTACATTGGTCAAATATTTTCGGACTTCATCCTCACCGTCGACAAGGCCTTGATCACGATCTTCTTCCCCTTCAATGATTCTTCGCCAAGTCTCCAGGACCTTTCGAGCTAGGCGACGACTTTGGTAGAGTCTGCTCAGAGTAAAAAGTCGAGAATCATTTTCAAGGATCTCGGCAGCTCGATCGAAGCAATCAAGTCCCGAGTCAACGAAAGAATACAGATCTTGTCTCTCAGCAGACGAACGCGAAGGGCGAGGTCTGACCTTGCTATCCAACATGAGCAAGATTCGAAGCAGCGCCGCATCAACAGTCTTGAAGACCTCGGTCTCACTGGGAATGCTTCCGAATCCTTTCCGCTGTCTCCAAGTATAAAGGTAACGTTTGAGCAATTGCAGTAATTCAGCATCAGCTATTGAGCTGACAGTATTGCTTATGAGTTGTTTGTATAACTCGATGATATGTACAAGGCCAGCATAAACCCATACACCTTCGAGACCCTCCACTGCCTCCTCTGCGAGAGGTGATAACATGAAAAGTATCACTCGCGGATCGATACCGCCTTCCATAAGAAGCCCTTCCATGATGCGCAAGTCAGCAGATGGAAGGTCAGCGATTCTATTTGGTAATTTCAAAGAGTCTGCGAATAGTATGATACCTGCTTTCTGCCGTAAGTATCCTAATGAAAGAAACTCCGTTTCCGTGGATGGTTCTCGGCCGCGAATGAGATTAAGGACGTGGACGATTGCTCCTCGATTAGCGCTACCATCTCCGCTTTCCCTTGATAGTATGGGTGAAGCTTGTTCAAGGGCTAGATCAAGTTTCATCACAAAGGGTGTCCTTGATAGAGACCAGATAGTGGACCCTGACCACAAAGCAAGCCGTGTAGAGTTTTTCTCCAAGTCGTCGACCAAAAGCTACTTCTTCTTTGTTCCGTGCAGCATCGGAGTCGCCGTCTCCTACCTCGTAGGATCCATGAATCGGTGATAGTTTTAGCCTCTTCATCATTAAGATAGCACCTATTTCTCCATGCGAAATCTTTATGGGAGTATCTACTGATCGCATACCGAAGCCAAGGGGAGCTGGAACTCTTCTTGAACCATTGGTGTCACCTTCAGATGGCCCCTGAGGTAATTTCATCCATTCTTTAGCCCCACTGTCATCAGTATCCCAGCTTTGAATTTCAACTCCTTTTTGCGATTCCCCTTCAAGACTTCTAATCATGGTAGCAAGGACAAAAGGAGCATTGTCTTCTAGATGTTCATTTGAGGCCTCAAACTCAGAGACCTGACCGTCGACTACCACCGCTGTAGGGTAGCAGCTGAACTCCATCGTACCACGCACAACATCGCCGTCGGTGTTCACAAAAAGTCCAACGCCGGAGTCCGTTGAAAGCGTACCTGTTGTCAACAAAAACTCGTTTGAAGTCGGGCTGCAAATATGAGGCTTCAGCAATTGTTCACGTGGCTTCGGTGGACGTAGGGAATCAGTCCGTGGTGGTACGGGAAGTTGTTTGCCAGATGTTGATAATGAAGGCGCAGTGAGTCCAGCATTTGACTCCCTTTGTATTTGAGATGAATCTTGATTAGGAGCTTCCTCAAGAAACGGGTCAGGGCTGCTACGGCCAGATCTGTCATGACCGGCTGGTGATGGGCTGAGTTGCCTCCGTCCAATGCCTCCGACTAGTGCTCCAATACTTGTGTTCCTTCCGTGACCTTTCTTCTCTTCACCTTCGCCAGACATAGGGCGAGCCGAACTCGACGCGCGGACGGGGGTCGAATTGTTACCTCCAGACACATCCTCAACTTTTCCGGTAGCAGAGTTTTCATCTAGGGAAGATATGGGAAAAAGCGAAATTTTCTGCTGATTCTCGACGTCGAGGAGAGCATAACCCTGACTGTCCGCGACACAGGCGTAGTCACCTCTGCGGCTGGATATCAGGCAGCTAGGATATTGAATGTCTTTGAGTCGTTGCACCTCATCTGCGATCCTGACCAGCCTCACTTTGTTCTTTACGCATATCATAACAACGACGCCGTAATGTGCTGATACATTGCCATTGTTCAGGTCTACTCCTCCTACCCAAGTGCAATTTTGGACTGTGACATTGTTGAAAGCAGGACTCAACTCAGGTAAGACGTAGAAACTGAGGGTGCCGTTGCAAAGTATACATGCTTTTTGTACCATTGGCAGCACAAGAATTTGTTGAATGCCAGGCTTGAGTGCGGCAGAACTTGCCTGTGCACTGTGAACCGGCTGTAATCTTGAAGCAAATATGTAAGAGGGCGATTGAGACTCGTCCGAAGGTTCGGCGGGAATTGAGACATAATGAAGTATTTCAGCTTTAGAGGTCCCAATGTACAGATTGTCAGCGCAGAGCTCGACGCACGTAACATGAGCCTCTCCGAGTTGAGCCTCGCCCGAGAGCGGAACGTCTTGTACCAGAGGCCGTAGCAAATACGATGAGGCTGAAGTCGTGGCTGCAAAGCGACCTTTGTCCTCTTCGTCGGTCATCATTCAGCATAGGTCATTTTCGGGGCTTGGTGAGCCCCATGTAGAAGGCTATCACTTCATCGTGATTGGTGTAGGAAAGCGCAAGAGCGGTGGCTTCGAGCCAATTTGGGGCGACTCACAATCTCTTGGCATGCCTCTGCCGTCGTGTTCTCAAGCCGGTCGTATCGCAGATACAGCTTCATGCACACCACAAAATCGCTGGCCTGGCTGAGGTTGTGAAACAGAGGAGTGACAATTGATTCTCATCCTGCATCTGGGCGCAAATGCACTATGGACGGCCTTCCCACCGCCGACACAGCTACCTCCCCTGACAGCGAATCAACGCCGACTGCAAAGCATTCAGGCACTTCAGCCGATGCACCCATAAGCAACGGATCCCTGGCGCAGGGAGACAACAAATTCCAGAACGCCATATCTGCATGGAGAAGTCGGTAGCCCCAAGCCATGGCTTTCACTCAATGACAGCTGACATATTATGATCAGACATTGATCTTACAAACCTTGTCCCAGAGCTTGATGCAATTGCCACCGATGTGGTTGCTCACCAAAAAGATGCCCTTCTGTCACGAAAAGAATTAGCTCAAAAGACGAAAGATTTCAGGAAGCTCGACGACACTGCCAAGCTTGTCGAAATCAAAAGCCTTCTCAAAGGTAAAGCACAGCGATCCTCTCTACCTAACTGTGCACTCATTATCCAATAGCTTACCAATCGTTTATCGACAACTTGACGAACCATGGCAAAACTGCACAGTCCGCTTTCTTACGTGTTTACTCGTCAGTGTCGGAAGCTCCAGACCCATATCCGCTCCTGGAGGCATCCGTCGATTCCTTACTTCTGTCGGAAGATACTCTTCCAAAGCTGACTACTGAGAACGAACACCTACAGAAGAACACCAGCAAGCTTACTGAGCAATTAGATATCTCTGAAAGACAGCTGGAAAAGGAGCGCGGTTCACGGAGACAATTGGAGGACGGCAGAGATGCAAAGATCAGAGAAATTGAGGCATCTTGGAAAGCGGTGATGGATGAGAAAAAGGACAATTGGGAGTCCAAGGAGCAAAGTCTCGAAGACAAGGTGGAGAGTCAAGACCGACTTCTCAACGAACTGAAGGCTAGCTACGAAGTCGCACAACGACTGGAGCAGGGTGGTGAGGGTTCTGAAGAGAAACGACAGAACTTTGCAAGTGCTGCAGAACTTGAGATCGTTAGCTCCGATCTCGACAGAACTGCTCAAAGACTAGCAGAGATAGAGGCTAGAAATGAGCAGCTGAGAACTCAACTTGCAGAGGCTTCCTCCATCGTTCAGAAGCCACACGAGCCTCAAGAAAATGCGGATGTTGCTCGTTTAAGATCTGAAAATTCTTCGCTCCTGCGAAAGCTAGACGCCTTACGGCTGGAAAAGGATTCTGATTCGAGGAAAAGAGAGGGTAGAGTCAAGTCTCTGGAGAAAGACGTACAGTCAGCAGAATCCGATAGAGATGCTCTCCGCGCAAAAGTCAACTCGTGGCGAGACTATACCGAGATCAAGCAGGAACTCGAAATATTCAAGGTATAGTAAAATGCACCAGACATATTTCATTGATAATGATGATCTACAGTCAATCGAGTTTTCGACTCTCGACGATGATCCTGATGGCGAGCATCTCGACGGGAATGATCAACCGAACGGCGTGCCAAAAGGCGGTGAAAAGGACTCACTTGAAAAGTTATTACTTGCTCGTAACAAGAAGCTGAGCAATGAGATGGCTATCCTCAGAGTGTCCCATCAGGATCTGCAGCTGCAGCTAGATTCACTAGAGGAGACGCTGTCGAGAACGAATGCAGAGCTAGAAAGGGCACAAAATTTAAATGCCACTCTAGAGTCAGACTTAGTGAAAGTGCAGCAAGAAGCCTCGAACGCCTTCCCATCGAACATATCTTCGGCTGGCACTTACACCTCGCGGTACCCTACACCTTCCTACAATGCAAACTCGTTTCCAAACCGCAAGGGCAGGAGCTCGCCAACGTCCTCTATAATCTCTGGCTTCGACCCTTCGAGTACATCAAGAGCCAACATGGACGCTATTAGAGCAGGTGAGCCCGTCGGTGGCGGCTCAGGAATCCTTCCCATGATTCAAGCACAGAGGGATCGTTTCAAACAGAAGAATGGCCAACTTGAAGAAGACCTCTCAAAACAGTATGCGACCGTCGCAACCTTGCGTCAGGAGGTAGCTTCACTGCAAAAGGACAATCTTAACCTATATGAAAAGTCACGATACATTTCGACGTACAATCGTAGTCAATCAACCTCAGCTAGTGCTTACGCCCAAGCTCCTCCAGCATCATCCATATCCATGTCCGACACCACCTCTTCAGGCCTTTCGCTCGATCGGTATCGCTCCACATACGAGGCCAACCTGTCGCCCTTTGCAGCCTTCCGTGGCCGGGAGAATACTCGCGCCTACAAGCGCCTGAGCCTCCCAGAGAGAGTCATTTTCTCAGTCACCCGAATGGTATTGGCCAATCGAACCAGTAGAAATGTCTTCGCATTCTATTGCTTGGCCTTGCATTTGATGATCTTCGTTATGCTGTATTGGATGCATTCTGTCGATGTGACCAACTCTGCTAGCAATCTCAGCGCTACGGTGGCCAAAGTTGCCGGGCCTCTTGGTGCCGGTGATGCTGGCGCGAAGGCTGGGATGGGGGCTGAGGCTGCGCACGGCGGCTGGGAACAGGAAGGATTCATTGCAAATCCTGATGATTGATACTGAGATCAGTAGCACCATAGCTACGAAAATAGAACTAAGGAGAGGCATCAAGCGAGCTGACAGCCTCGGCAAGGAGGTGCTCAGCCTTGGATTCATTAGGACTCCAGAAGTGAGGTCCAACAACGATCGTGGACTTTCTGTCATCCAAGCTTCCGATATTTGAAGATGTTTGGCTACGGAATCTACGTCTATATGGACGCAGGCATCCGAGAAGTCAAGGATCTTTACGTTCGTGAGAGGTGACTCAAGAAAAGAGTTACGCATTGCATTTCTCACAGTTTCTGGATGGAGGTCATTACTAGAGGAACGGCATACTAGAACAGCCGGTTTAGAGGGATCCGTATTGCTAGGATACTTTGAATACTAGCTGATCAGCCAGCGAGGCTCAGGACATTAGACTAATAGGGGTGAAAATAAGGAGGCAGCAATTCAGGAAGATATTGGCTGCTAGAATTACATCAGCGATGCGAGAGACCACGAGATTTAAATTGCGGTCATAGATAACAGGACAACCGCACGGCAGATAGCAAAATCGCTCGAAGAATAAGTTATTAAGCAATTTTTCAATTTTTATTTACGTATGGTCGCACGAATATCATGCGACGATCACTTCATTGGCGTCGTCGCTGTATGCTCATGCAGTATTAATTGACTCTCACATCCATTTCGCAACTCGATCAATACCCGGATCGTTTACGCCTCGAACCCCAAATCCTGTCCCTAATAAGTCCCTGACACTCCCAGCTAAGGAAGCGAGTGTCACCAAAGCATGGGTATCATAAGGTAAGAAGTAGAAAAAGCGATGATGATGATAGCGATGATGTTGGTAGCGAGGATGTTGATAGCGAGGATGTTGATAGCGATGATGTTGATAGCGATGATGTTGATAGCGATGATAATGATAGCGATAGTAGTGATACCGGGGATTTAGTTTAGTGGTGCCATGTGTCTACGAAACACAGTCCTCCTCCCAAGGTCCCCTCTCGTCGTCGTTTCCAGCGTCGGTGTTCAAGCATGCAGTCGTCACTCAATGCCAGAACCAGTACTCAGCCGCATATTCCTTCTCAAAGCTTTGGCCTAACAACCCCTGGCACGTCTTTGGTGCACTGCCGCCCGCAGTGTTGAGCCGATAAATCTCCTTGATCCCGCTTGCTGCATCGGCCGGCAAGACCGTATACGGACTTGGTGGCGGACTGGACACAGCGAGCTTCAGCCACGGCACCGCAGCGCTCCCATCCTCGCCCGTCTGAGCATCTGCAGGAGCGGTCACGTTGGCCTTCTTAGCAGAGAACATGACGCCGTAATCGCGGTCAGGGTTGCCCATGTTCAGGTTGAAGACAGGAGTGGAGCCTTGGTCAGGAAAGAAATGGTTCCCGGATTGCAGGAGGGAGAGCGCCATGTGCGTGTCCCGGTTTTGTTTCGCAACCAGGTTTGTGAAGCTATTGGTTTTGTCTACGCCGTAGTAACCTGTGGAGCAGGTGACATTGTAGAGCTTGGCGACGGCACCGAGGGCCGTTGGGGCGGCCGTTTCGCCTTTATCAGTGGGACAGCTGTAATTTTGTGTGCCTCGTCCCAGACCGATGTGATAGAGTTTGAGTCCAGGGGATGGAGGTGGGAGGCCATGTGCGTCCATTGTGATGTTGTCTAGATTGTTGCAGAAAGGTTCTATCCTCCGCAAGACGGCATCTTGTATGGCGACATTCGAAATGTAATTCTTCAACGAGAAGTCGAGGCTTCCAGAATCAAGTGGTGAGTAGATGGGTATTGCGGAGGTAAGATATGCTATTGATGATATGAGAAATATGGAGGACTTCATGTTGGAGGTCTTGGGAAAAAGAGACAGAGGACAGAAGATGGCTTCAACTTTCGAGAAAAAGAAGGATACAGCAGAGTTAAGGCTCTAGGGAGGAGATTGAAGGATCCAGGCAGCACAAGGATGCCCAGCCACGTCGGCACAGTAGCTTCAGAAGGAAGAGCACTTCTTCGCTGCGAAGAGGTGTGGCAGCAAGAAGACGAGGGTGGATGAACATTCAGCACGAGAGAGGCAGCGTAGGATCTTAAAGGAAGCAACATGATGCTATTCCGGGGGCAGCGTCTATGCAACACCAAGATAGAATGGCATTTACCAAAAGAGGGCAAGATGATGGTCGTCCGGTTGGGGGGCAGGAAGATGAGATTTTGGCTGGTTCTCTATTTTCGGAGTCAGCGGTAAGACGGGCACTAGACCTGCCGCGAAGTCCTTAATCAGACGGTTCAGGCTTCATTATTTCTGTTGCGTCCTTCTAGATTGGCCCCCTCCCAGAGCGGGGAGCATGAAACCCGGCGGCTCTTCTGCCATGCAGCTCTAAGGTCAACCAGTCTAGTCGGTCTTCTCCTTCCTGCTCCCCATTGGCAGGCATCACAGACCATCCCGTCGGTCCTGGCAGACACGGATGACGACAGACGGGACCTCGTAGGCTGACGCAGGGTCGAAACAAGACACATCTAAGCACCGTTATCTGACAGATCGACCCTGACGACTGTTGAGGACAATGGATCTCAGTTCTCTCGATGTTTGTTCTTCTCATGCTCTTTGTGGCAATCTCCCTGCCAGATCTATTTCTGGAGCCTCCCCAGATCCACTCGGTTGCATCCTCTAGTGTGTCCGCTGAAGTCAAAGCAGGAGAGCAAGCGATTGGCCACTAAATCGGGCTCTCAATCCGGCCCCACTCGGGCGCCTAGCGACTCAGGGAGATCTTCCAACGGTCAGGTGCTGTAGATTATCTGCAGCCTATCACAAGCTCGGCTTTTTGCTTTAAACGCTATACGGCTGCCTCATCATGCAATTTGGTAGGTTCAGCAACGTCCTTATCCGTAGCTCTTGTCTTGGGTCCGGTAGATTGGCCACATGGTCACGGCTACTTACACGGACCGCCGCGCTTGTGTAGAACATTCGGTGGGGTAGAGTAATCAATTGCGTGCTGGCCGGACCTCTTCCCAGCTGCTTGACGTGTGCTAATCTTGAATGTGCCTCACGGTCTGTAGGATAGTATATGAGGTGTCCAGAGCCATAGGTAACAATAAACAGTGCGAACTCAATCCACATCTGGTACTGGTAGGCCGTCAACCATTTTCACCATCCTCCCCAGGTCGGCTAGGGCCTTTTGACTTTTCTCCTCTCGAAGGGAATTTGCTTCCTCTTCGCTGACCAATACAAAGTCGTGTTTCAAGACCAGACTACCAGTCTTGACATCGCACCGCTTTGCAATCGAGTCATCTGCTGGCTGGAAGTCTACTAGCAAAGAGCTTTTGACGCCGAACACTGCATCAGATGTTTCGTAGGGATCACCGCGAAGATATAACGCAGTGATGAGGTGGTCATACCCCGGCTTCTCAAACATAAAGTGCATGTGCGCCGGTCTGTAGGGGTGTCGATGTAGTTTGCTGAGAAGCTTGCCCACGGGCCCGTCATTAGGGATTGGATACGAGACGGGTTTGATAGCTTTGAACCAGAAGTTGCCGCTGGCATCACTTCTCATCACGCAACGACCATCCGGCCCCTGTCTGTCTTCGTATTGGACATCATAATGGCCAGAAGAATCGGTCTCCCACATGTCTATTTTGACGTCGCCGATCGGCTGGCCCTCACTGTCACGTATGGAGCCAAGAATTAGGCATGGCTCCCCATTCACATCGTGAGACACCATGTCACCGTGGGGCGTCTCCTGAGCTTCGTGGGAGTGAAATGGGCCCAAGACCGAGCCTTCAGTGGACTGGGGTGGTTTGGGGTGATCAATACTGTCGACGAGGAGAGAGAGCCCAAGAATGTCTGATAGCAAGATGAACTCCTGTCTCGTGCATTAGTGAGGACCCTGGCGTCGTGGACGGTGGTTTCAACTAACTTGGCGAACATCACTACATATTTGACCAACGGCGGTCAAGAAATCGATTGCCGCTTTCCATTCTTTTGTGCTGAGCCTTGTCTCCCTTGCAAAGTCGTGTAAATGGCTGACAAGCCGTTCAAGAACGTACGTCAGGCGAGGGTCATCATTCTGGCTATTGATGCGAATGACGTTCTCCGTGATGTTATCAACGGTCAAATCTTTCATTGGTAAGACCTTGATGTCGTTCTGATCCATGTCGCGAGCATCAGATCAAATTTCAGTCTAATTGAGTAAGATGTTGCGTTGTAGAGGTAGCGGCTGCGGAGGCCAGATACGGCCGTACAGTCTTCTAATGATCGGAGTCGATGAGTTATCGTCCATCGTGCCTTTGTCAAGCTGCATTCTGACGCACACGGTGCAGCTTTTAGCGGGGTCAAAAGTTGAGGCGTGGTGCAGGTGAGCAGTAAAGGCAGCGGAAGTGGAGAGCGGCAGATGCCCGCAGTTTCAATCTAGTCCCCGCCTACGCCTCCCTCCAAATGCCTCAACTACAGCAAAATATTGTCGACTCTTTGTCGAAATCTAACATAGCACATCTGCTCTGTGAGTATGGCCACGGTGACAGTTCTTGAGCCTGCTGCGCATCGACATCTTGAGCAGGCGGAGAGTTCAACCTCAAGAGCACCATCAGCCCAGCGAGCAGCCAGTACTTCTTATCATCACCCGATATCTTTTGAAGCGACTTCTCGACATGTCTCCACTGCTGTCTCTTCGAATATTGAAACGCCTCTACCTGATTACTCAACGGACAATGATCCGTTCGGCCTCTCAACCAAGCTAAAGCCAGAAAGTGAGATAGAGCTCCTACGTGCCAGCACCTCCCGGAAACGAGATGGTTTGGGGCCGATAACTTTCAACAAAGGCGCGTACAAGGCGAAGAAGCTTCAAGATTTCTACGAAAGCCAGAACGATAACATCGCACGGTGGCTGAAGCCGGTGGACGAGCATGTCCGGTCTGCAAAAGAATTTGATGGCGCCAACAACCTCAGGTTCCAGATTGCTGTCAAGGGTTCCTTCGCCGCCAACATAATACTTGCCATCTTGCAGGTTTACGGCGCTGTCTCTTCTGGCGGGTCACTTTCCTTATTCACCACCATGGCGGATGCCATCTTCGATCCCTTGTCAAATATCATGTTGATCATTTCACATCACGCAATCAAGCACGTCGATCCACGTCGTTTTCCATCTGGCAAAGGCCGTGTAGAGACTGTTGGCAACATAGTGTTTTGTATGATGATGACATGCGTCTCCTTTATCATTATTGTTCTGTCAATCATGGAATTGAGAGAGGGCCAAGACAAAATCACAAAGACCTTTAACATCCCGTCAATCATCGCGGTAGGAATCGCCGCCGTAGCAAAATTCGGTCTTTTTGCATATTGCTGGGCCTTGCGGAACATGTACAGTCAGATCAGAATATTGTGGGAAGACCACCGTAATGACCTTTTCATCAATGGTTTTGGCTTGCTTACTTCTGTTGGCGGCTCGAAGTTAGCATGGTATATTGATCCTATAGGAGCTACCGCTCTTTCTATTTTGATCTCAGTGCTGTGGATTCATACCGCTTATAGAGAGTTCCTGCTCTTGATTGGGGTGACAGCAGACACGCAGATGCAGCAATGGATTACTTACATTTCTATGACGCACTCGCCGCTGATACATCAGATCGATACGGTCAGAGCTTACCACTCTGGTCCAAGGCTTCTAGTGGAAGTCGACATCGTTATGGACAGGAGAGAGACGTTGGAAGTCTGCCACGACACCGCAGAAGAGCTTCAGATGAAGCTCGAGTCGCTGCCTGATGTGGAACGGGCCTATGTTCACATCGATTTTGAGACTAGCCACAAGCCGGAACACTTTTTGAAGAAAGAATTGTGATATAAGCGACATGTGCCTAATTAGGGTCTGCAGCATCTTTCTGAAGCTGACATGCTTCCGGGCGTGTGGCGTGTGATATGAGCATGCAATAGAGTGCATTCGTTTAGTGATACCCAATGATAGATGCAACGAAATAAGCTTATCTTCCTGATGCTGACATCGTAGTCTGAGCATTGCTTTCCTTACCCTCTCGGCTGGTGTCAGACAGGTCACTTCATGCATAGTACATCCACCACGTTCGACCCCATCTCCAGGCCCAACAATACTCTCCCATCCGGGCGCCTTCTTCTATCAATTCTCTTCAAGTCTCCAAACACCATCGGTTCAAACCAAGCTCTGTGTGCCATTTACTTCGTCAGATCCAGACATTTCATCACTAGCCGACGGACGTCTCTGTCGCACCCATTCGGAAAATCGACCTCGCCTCCCTTCTACTAGCGCTGGATGCCGGAGTCTTATATAATGCGCCAAAACTTGCAGCATTCTGTCAGCCTGGCGGCAAAGCAAGGTGTGGCTGCTCAATGTCAAAGAGTTTGACTTATGAGAAGCTGTCAATGAGACTTGATCACGTTCGTCTTGGTCATATGATTGTGGATTTGTACGAGGCTGAATAGGGGTTGGAAAGGCGCTTGTGACTTCGTTCAGCGGGCAAGGTATCGGAGGTGAAGGTTTTGACATTCTGAATTCATTCCTGGAAAGGGGAAATCGCTTCTCTCACGAAGCGTCAGAAGTACGTAGACAGAGAGCATCATTTGTGACAAATCGATAAGGATCGTAGAGCTCTACAGGTATCGTGGCGCGCTTGCACCGCCGAAGAGAAAGGAACGTTTACCTTACAGCTCAGAATCTGACGAGCGTTACTCTCACCGAGGGGTATCTTCTCCACCGTGCCAAATCCATCTGGCGATGATGACGGTCCAGCCGTTAAGTCCAGCATCAGCACAGCTTCCTCACATTTCAATAGCTACTCATAGCGACCTGCTGAATGTTAGTAGGTACCGTCACGGCTTCAGCATATTATCGTCATACATATACACCACGCACCAGCGTCTCGCCAACCTACGCCTCCACGCCTCGCGATGAGGATCCCACTGCTCCATTGACCAGCTTCCCCTCCCTCTTCTTGCGTTCATCGTCCTTATCTTGACACTTGCCACATTTCTTCGGGAGGTATTTTGTCTCGCCAGTTTGTGAACAGTTTTCACATTCACGGTTGTCCACACTGTCCGTACAATATTCCCATTCATGGTCATAAGTTTTTATCTCTCTACATTCACGGCAGCGGACCCTGTCAAGCATTAATTACTGCGCAACTGAGAGGCGATTGCACTCGTACTCGAACACAGTCTGGTGGCCTATGGAGATTAGCAAACGCGTCATCATGAGTCATGAGTGTAGACATACACATCCTAAGGATGACTGAGGGTAAAGGGCTGATGCAGCGGTGGCTTCTGATGCTATGGAGGAGTTGTAGTCTTCGCTCCTGTGGCCTGTATTGCTTGGTTGAAGGGATCTTGCTCCTTCAGAGTACGTCGCTAAGAGAGCGTAGGCACGTGGCGAGGCGACTCAGTGCCTTTTTAAGATTATGCAATTTATCTGAAGTGTGTGTCATGTGTTCATTGACACCGTACCTTAGGTTGGCTGTCTTTAGCTTCCGATCCCGGTTCAACACGAAAGCGACGCTATGTCGACACTTCTTGGAATCCCGTATCTTGCATGGTATCAACAGATGACAAATGAATGACTCCGAGTCTCTATCAGTGCAGGAACAACAAAGAAGAATTTCTTCGACATTAAGCCCGAAATTTGTCGCTCCATGAGGAGTAATGACCAAGGCTCTGGGGCTCGGCGAGCCATGGGACCTTGCTACACTCAGATTCGGAGATCGTCGTAGAGTGATCTGTTGCTCAAAGGCATACCTACTGCTCATGCCAACCTCTTTTGAGGCTAGAAATTAGCATCAGTCAACTGAATACCAAATCCATGTGGCTTTCACATACGTACAAGCGACGATACCAACCCATTGTGACATTTGGTGAATGCGTGCTAGAGGTGCAATGCCAACATATCTGAGCTCCACGACGCATGTACAAAACGATTAAGTATCTACTAGAAGCTTAAAAGACGACAACAAAGAGTACTCGACACGGCTCTGCAGGTATATGTTTCTGTCCAGAGAAAGCTTAGAGAGATTTTGAGCGTTGCACGGGGGAGTAATAAGTATGAAGCCGACTCCCCGACCTAGAGAAAAAGCACGAGAACCAACCCATTCTAGCAGTCTGATATTATCAATTCAGCACCGTGGTTCGTACTTTGCACATTTGGCCTTACAGAAATAACATAGAAGACCAAAGATTTATTTGGTAGAACAGACATGAGCCGCCCGAGGGTTGGTGTGTTTGAAGGTTGCCGCGCCAAATCCAATTTTAGGGGGCGTTTTGGGGGGGTTGCCCGGGAAAGCTGCCTACAGGCGGGCTGTATAAGGCCGCCTTACCCCCAATTAGCGCCTATAATTTGGCGCGGCAACCTTCAAACACACCAACCCTCGGCCCCTGGGGCTAAGGAATATCTTATCTCTTAGCGGGTGTCTTGCGGGTATGGCGCCGCATCGGGAGTAGTGACGTCGGGCTCCCTCGGCTGCGCGCGGGGGATCGCCTCAAACGGAAAGCGGAAAGCTCGACCGGGGTCGTCCTCCTTCCCAGCATAGATCGAGAATCACAATTGAGGAGCTTGCAGATGCTAACAAGGTCACGTCACTGATGATCATTCGTGATAACTCATCTTCCGTTGTCAAATCTCCTTTTCAGTCCAAGACCACTCCATAAGCAATGGCACCCTACTCAACGCCAGAGCAATTGAGCAAGGCTCATTCGACCCTAGCGGAAACCTTTAGGAACGGCAAGACTAAGAACCTCGCGTGGCGTAAGTGGCAGCTTAAGCAAGTATGGCCCTTGGAGTCCTGTCGCATGAGTGAAATGCTTACTGGCATATTCAATTGTAGATATGGTGGATGATCGAGGACAACAAGGAGGCTATCGCTGCTGCTCTGCACAAAGATCTCCACCGCAGTCAGTTTGAGAGCTATTGGGCTGATATAGCCGGCCTTCTGCGTGATATCACAAGGCAGCTTGACAATCTGGAGAAGTGGACAGCCGACGAACGGCCAGATGCTGGCTTCCTCTTTGGCACCTTGGGGAAAGCGAAAATTGTTCAGGAGCCTCTTGGCGTGGCCCTGGTCATAGGCGCATGGAATTTTCCCTTCTACCTGACATTCATGCCATTGCTCGCCGCTGTCACTGCGGGCTGTTGCGTTCTCTTGAAGCCTTCAGAGGTTGCAGTCGCTTGCCAGGATGTGATGGCTGAGATAGTCCCCAAGTACCTTGACCAGGAAGCTATTCGGATAGTCACTGGCGGGGTCAGTGAAATGACTGCAGTCTTGAAGATGAAATTCGATCAGATCTTCTACACCGGATCGCCTGCTGTTGGTCGTATAATCAGTGAAGCTGCCGCGAAAAACCTGACACCTGCAGTGCTGGAGCTCGGCGGACAAGCCCCTGCGATTGTGACCGCCTCAGCAGACATCGACGTCGCCGCCAAACGAGTGGCGCTGAGCAAATTCACAAATGCTGGCCAAATATGTCTATGTAGCAACCACGTTTTTGTTGACCCGTCAGTTCACGATGCCTTCGTCAAGCGTGCGAGTCACTGGATGAAGCAATTCATGTCGGACAAAGATCAATTCGTTAAAATCATCAACGAGAGGCAATTCGACCGCTTGTCAGGTTTGCTCGATAAGACCGCTGGCGCCATTGTACATGGAGGCACCATGTCCAAAGCTGACCGCTATATCGAGCCCACAATTGTCATCGACCTAAATGTTTCCGATTCACTCATGTCTCAGGAGCTTTTCGGACCAATTCTGCCAGTGATACCTGCAGGCTATCAGAAAGCATGCGACATCATCCAATCTATGCCACATCCTCTAGGTCTCTACATCTTCAGCAGCAAGGAATCAGAAATCGACTACATCCTCACCCATAGCCAATCAGGAGGCGTAACCATCAACGACACTATCATGCACGCAGCTGTACCTAACGCACCTTTCGGCGGAGTCGGAAATTCGGGCACAGGCGCATATCATGGCAAAGCGGGATTCGATGCCTTCACTCATAGACGGACTGTCGTCACGATTCCCTCCTGGTTTGACCGTATATTGAGGATACGGTACCCGCCTTTCGATCAAAAGAATATCGCGAAGGTTGTGCCCAAGAATCCTGGATTTAAGAGGGGTGAGGGGATTGAGGACCAAGTGATTGGACGCAGTACGAAGGCGACGTTGACAAAGTGGCTCAATACCTCCGCAAAAGCAGCGTTCGTCCTCTTTTTGCTCGCTTTTACCGACGCGAAGATGGGTGGTCAGCCGAAAATGTTGGAGGTGTTCGCAGCTGCTTATGGCTGGATCCGGAACAAAGTCCTGGGTCAATAATTGGTACCTGTTACCGCACACTTCAGTACCTCCTTGCATCAAACACAAGCGATGAAATGGGAATCGTCAGCATTACCGAAGACGAAGCGATTCTGCACTCTGACTCTTTAGTCAGGTCTCTTCACAATATATAGCATTTTCAGCTTTATTGGCCTTGTCTGTAGATAGTCATCTTGCTTTGCATCTGGTACATTACTACTATCTTCACTCAAAAATTCCTTGATGGTTATGCTGCGCAATACTCACTTGACATCTCGAAATTTTGACAAAGAGCGCAGTTGTCCAGGATGATGTTGTTATGAAAACAAATCTCAAATCGATGGCGTTGATTCAATCCAAGGACGATGTAAGCTGTGATATAGTACACACATACGCCCTGTACGCCCCGCTGACCTGGTTCAGAAAATGCATGAATACCTATGGCCTTCTATTCTGAGTCAGTATCGGTATCGGTATCGGACATATCACTCTGCTCCTCATCAGTCCCGCTACTGTCATCGCTATCCTCTTCAATCTCAATCTTCTTCTTCCGCTTCGGAGGAGCACTAGAAAGATTTCCGGACTGCACCGCCCTTAATTGCCCAGCGATCGAATCCTCCTCCGGTTCACTAATCTCGTCATCTTCGTTCGCCATTTCTGCAGCCTTCTCCGCCGCTTCGACGTTCAGCGTGAGGTTTTGAACGTGATCGCTTCCTATGTAGCTGTCGCATACAACATGCATGACGAATTGATATGATCCGGCTTGCTGAGGGCTTTGGAACTGGAATTTGAAGGTTTGAAGCTCGAAAGTGGGTAGGCCAGTCTTTTCGTCGAAGATCGGGCGGTTGAAGGTCGTGACTGTAAAAGGGGGAACAGCGATCTTGCCCATCTTTGAATCAGCAAGAAAGACATGCCATCGCGGAGAATGGTCACGAGGAAAGTAAGGGGCGTATGCGACGGGTGGGATGACTGATTCGGATGTTGAAGGGGCGGCAGCACTCTGCATCTTAGCACCACGTGTTGCGGACCTGCGGCCCAACAATGCATCTAAATCTCCTTCCTCGGGATCAATGTCCTCAAGATCGGTAGGGCTGACTTCGGGAACATTAGAGGTGCCTGGTGGTATAATGCGCGCTTTTACCACAAATTGCACCAACGACCCTGGCGTAATGAACTTCTCGCCCATGACCTTGAAGAAGGCTTTCTCAACACTGAGAAATGGTAATTGACGGGCTACTGAAAGAGTGGAGTTGTATTCCGTCATTGAAAGTCGCGGTGACTGCTCGGTACACAATCTCCTGCGCTTATGTTCTGGGAGACTCATGAACTGTTGTACGGTGAAATGCGTGCGTCCGAGAGGCGCTTCAATGGTGTGAGCGAGCTCAGGGGTAATATGGGGTAGCTGCTGGAGCGGAGAACCTGACGGCGGAACTGCCTGTATCAAGTGCTGAGACGAGCGGTATGCAGATAGCAATGGCGCAGTATTCCCGTAGGCCAAAGTGATAGCAACGAAACAGTCGAGTAATTTGTGAGCGAGTGGTCCGATCTCGTATTTCTCTAAGCACGCGTCAAAAAGTACACAGTGATCTAAAGCTTCAAACGAACCGTCATCAAGGCTTGGGCCTAGCTGGAGCCTTCCGATATAACTCCAGAGTAAAGCTGCAGCTTTTCGCCGAGGCCCGTCGTACGTACTGACTTTCTCTTGGTCTTTTGCAGACAGCCCGTTCGTTGCAGATCCTTTCACCGCGCCTTTGATAGTCTGTTCCACCTTACCAAGACCAGCATCAGCTCTGTTGCCTCTTAATACATCTTCAAACTCTTGCGCGCTGCTAAGAACATTGATCACGTCGCCATCAGTCATATCATCCTTGTATTCTTTGAATAGCTTCGACGCGCTGGCAAGGAGGACCTTTTCTTTTGTCATTTTTTGGGTGCCATACCACCAACGGCCTAAAAATCGTCAGTAATTGGATCGAGCCATGCAGTATCAAAGTAGCTGGAGACCTGAGGAGAAGCATACCGACAGTGTATGGAAGGAGAACGCCGAGAAGCAACCCATACACTAAAAGTACGTATTTTCCACTGCCCTCGTTAACTATGAATTTTGGCAACGCTATGCCGATTGAGAAGCCCTGTTTTCCATCAGGATGCCCGTATTGTATATAATTGTTTCTGATTTCTTCATCGGTCAGGGCCTTGAAGGCCTTGGAGACTTCAACCCAATGATCGTTAATGGAATCCAGAGTCTCATTCTTGGATACGTCTGGGACCGCTTTATCAGGATGAAGCGTCTTCGAAAGATCTCGATATCGTTTCTTGATTTGATTTTCACCTGATGACTGTATCATTGTTAGCAGACAGAAATTTGCGCGGCAAGCGTATGCTTTCGTACCATAGAGATTCCCAATATACTATATGGGTCCCAGATCTCTGGTGTCTCTGCGGTCGTCACCTTTATCAAGTACAGCATGGCCGCCATGGTGATATAGCCTGCCGCAGCAGTGATAATTCTCTTCAGTCTTCTCTCGCGCCGCCATTGCTTTCGCTTTTGTCCATCTATGAGATCTGCGTCTGACGGCCTAAAGTCGGACTTAATTCGAGGTGCGGTATTTTCGATTTCTGACCAGTTTATCAGCACCAACCTTCAATCTCCATGAAACAGTGAAATACCATCCGTAGGCTTGAGGAGAGAATATGAGAGAGGAAGAGTTATGAGTGCGGTGATAGTGAAGATGAAGTAGGGAAAGAATTGGCCCTGCTCATCATAATTGTAGTCTCTGCTAGACATCGTGACAGGTCAAGCGCATGGCCTTTCGCTGGCTTTTACTGAGGTGGTTGAATTATGCAGACATCGTCGTGTAAGCGTACAAGATTGTTCTGACAGGATGCAGCGGGAGACACCCTCAAGCGACTGATATGTCGGCGTAAAGAGAAACTATACCGCGCAACAAAGGGCAGGTATACAAGGGCTATGATATACGACACGACAGCCAAAAGTCTGAAAAGGTGTTCAGAGGAATCATGTCCTTACTTTCAGCTAGCGGCTTAGTGTAGGGCTATCTTATCTGATCTACAAAGGGGAAGACGTGGCCTCTAATAATAATTAGGCCTCCAGCTGCCATCTTGATCCTCTGCCCAAACACCGCCACAACCATGGTTGCACGACAAATAGCTTCATCGACAGGCGAGCTCAAGCGACTTGGCTAGATTGACGCGAGCACCTGAGCCTGGCAATATTCCATGCTATTATGACCTGACCCCAATCAAGGAGAGCTCGAGCGGTGGCTACAGCGCTGACCCGCGAGCACCATCCTCTGGCAGTTCTTTGTATCCTCCGCCTTCGTGCAATTTTTAAGCTCGGAAGAAATGGACCTTCTCGATGCTCCAATGCTACCGAGCCCAGTAGTATTAAGTCGCGCCGAGTTGCTGCAAGTCGTATCTTCTTATGCTCAAGCTGCTGCTATGGTTGTTCAGTGGCTGTTTTCCTTCGTTCCGAGATGCTTTGTTGAAAGTATGTTCTTTTTTGGAACATGAGAGCAAATATTTTCGGCAATTATTGAACGGTCGACCGTGATTCGCCGGCGCACCTCAGGGTTCGAGGTAGTCTAAACCGTCAAAATAGTCGCTCATCTTCGAACACAGGTCATCTTCCTCCTCGCCGTCCTGACTGTCCCCACCGAAGATTCGACGTTGCTCCAACTTCAAACGTTCCTTTTCCTGCACTTGCCGCCGTTCTCGCGCTTTCCATGCCCCAAGGCGGTTCTGCCAATGTCTTGTTGTTAGATTGTCGCGCTTCGATCGTTTTGGATATGTCGGTATCAAAGAAGCGTCTGTGCTGGTGATGGAGGGTAGATTGAAGCTCTGAGAGAATGAATGAGGGTCAATACAGCCCGCCCGGGCCCTTCGCCTATTATGCTTGCTCATACTTGTGTGTTGTAGAGGAGAACAAGAAGAAGGAGAGCTCTACAGGGGTATATATATTCCTGTTGAGAGTCATCCACGGCCAATCTTTGAGTCATGACTTTCCTGTCATAGAAAAAATGAATGCCAAGCAATGTGGCGAAGTTGTCACGTGTGACTCAACATAACTCAGTCTAGACAGGGATCTAGGCCACACAAGTCGAAGCCATTATGCAAAGTCACATGTCTGACTGCAATAATTGATTCATATGAGAGCTCCCATTGTCAGTCCAGACACCATTGCCTGTAGTTCGAAAGCTTCGGATCGCGAGATGTACGGGGATCAAATGCAGGGCCCGTTTCGCAGAAATTCAAGCTTTGGATTGATCATGGGATTGCTTTGGGGCTATGCAACCACATCGAATTGATCAATAAAGCGCGACCTGATGTGACGGCGTGATACGGTAGGGTGTCATCTATGCTTTAATCTCTGCATCAACGAGATCGAAGCTTTCGTCACTGCCTTGTGGGCTTGGCTTTCCGTTATCCATCGTTCCGTACCAGTGAGTTCCCCCTGCCCAAGCGGACTTGCTCTGGTAAAGACGTTCCTCCAACGGAAGTTGCCGACCTAACAAAAACAGCCGTCGGTGCCAGTCACCTATAAACATGCCGTCTGGATCTAGTTTGTTTCGAATGCGAACCCAATCTTCCGCTTCTGGATACATAGTGGTGATGTCTTCACTGGTAATGGTTGCAAAATTCTTTGCCCAATGAGGCCGACCACCCATCTCTCTCATCAACCACTCGAATGCTTCGTAATATCGAGCGCGACAAGGCGGGTCAGCCAGGTACGGTCTGTAGAGGGTAGCATTCAAATACAAAGTTGGACCATCCGACACGGTATTGTCGAGGTATGGTCTGGGTTTCGTCGACGTGGAGTCTGTGATCCTCACTTCAATTGGTGCATGGACGAAGAGGCCTTTGGAGCTGAATGGAATTCCGGATTCCTCCTCACCATTGAGCCAGCGTGACAAACGACTCAATGCTTCAGGGCCTTTATTAAGAGGAATTGCCCATTCATTAACGAATTGAGAGAAGAAACAATTCATCAAGAGACCACTATGTCCGTTTGCGACTGCTGTGGTCGTCTTTCCCTCTTGAGATTTATACAGTAGTCTTTCCAACAATGGTACCAGTGGGGATACCCAATTTGAGATGTAGAGAAGCGCTTGATATATATGATACCCTAGTTTCCCGGCCATGAACTCGTTTGGCGGTGGACGCAGAGGTTTTGTGGTCTTGTTTGCACTCCAAATGACACACTGCTTGGCATAGGGCATCCACCAAATCCTGGTGAACTCTCCAGCGTTCCATAAATCGCCGTCCCATTTCCCTAAGACTTCACTTAGTGGAAGCACACGCCGCGCCCACTCTATATTGAACGCGGGTACAGCCTGGAACGTAATTTCAGTAATGATCCCGATCGCCCCAAGACTGACCAAAGAAGCGCGGAAGAGATCCAAATTGTCCTCTTTAGAACAGGATGCTATAGTACCATCCGCTAGCATTATCTTCAGGGCAAGCACCGAGCGAGAGAGCAAACCATGCTGCAGCGAGCTTCCGTGTGTTGCAGTGCTGATCGCGCCCGCAATAGACTGATGGTCAATGCTGCCCAGGTTTGGCATTGCCAGACCTACTTCTCCAAGTTTCGAGCCGAAGTCATGAAGACGTATGCCGCTTTGCACCTGTACAACACCCGTCTCTTCATCCATATCTAGTACTTGATCTAAATTGTCGATGTTCACAAGCCAAGAGCTCGTACATGTTAGATCTGAAGGAGAATGGCTGCAACCCGTAACAGTGATATGTCGCCGACATTTTCGAGCAAGAATGATAGTCTTTCTCAGCTCCTCAATACTGCGAGGCTGGATATAGTACTCTGGATACGAATGGAACGTTTTCGCCCACGTGTGATGTTTATATCCCGAGCAAGCCCGAAATGGGACATCAGGATCATAATGCTCAATTTCGTGGTTGATGTCCATCTGGACGTTGCAGAGCGAACTGTACTATTTGGCACCAGAACCACGAAGGATTTGTGAAGATCGACTGATGACGCACATCAAGCTAGCGTCATGATTATCGCGCTGCCAAGGCGGCTGATGTGGCGCAAGCTTAGTTCTAACCCTAGAACTAAGCTCTTCATGGACGTGGAGCCTTTTGACCTTATCTTAGCTAAAGTCAATGATCTGCAGGGCAAAATACCTGTAATTCCACTGGAATTCTCCTTCTCACTGAGTAGAAGGCTTTCTTAATAAACATACCATAAACCCTATGGCGCCATCCTAAGACGACGGCGATTATGCCTTCCCGAGACGATATCCTTTCCGCGAAGAGTTTCCAGCCATTGACGTCGACCTGTACGCTTGCCCCAACGCAGAAAGTTGGCATGCGCTGACGTTTCATTCACAGCTGTATTGGTCGAGGAGCCTGAATGCGTACCTTCAAGCACAAGCTCATTGCAAGGCTATCAAAATGCCTCTTTCGATTCTTCATCATCACTAACAAGGCAACACCACACTTCCATCTCAAGGCGTCTCTCTGGACGCCGACCTCCAGCAACTAGCTCAGCTGCCTCAATAAATTCAGTATCGAGCATAAGCAGTATCGCCTCTTCTTCAGAAGATGCATCCAGTCGCAGGAAGCACACACAGACATTGCCTAGCAAGGAAGTACGGCGTCCTGACCACACTCATCACATCATCTCACAGGTCACAGAATGGCTCCACCAAGAGAGGGTGAGGAGATCAGCTCGCAGATTGAGGCCACACAGACATCATGCAAAGAAACTTCAGGCCGGCGAGGCAAAAGAGTATCTGCCTTCCTTGCCGGGCGATGTAAGGGCGCATGATCACGACCAGGCGTCGTCAGATTCAGACTCCTCCCGAGCACTGCATAATTTAGAAAGAATACTTACTTCGAAGTCGCATGCTGAGCACGATGAAGCAGTGACACCCACTGAGATTCGCAAGGGCTCGGCAATCTCTCAGCGAAAGCCGATTCGCAAGGTTTCGAAGCTGGCACGCAAGAAATCGTCCATTTGTGGAATGTCGGAGAGTGATGCAAAGGATGAGGCTTTGGTGCCGTCAGCCGAAGCGGTCTTGGACAACACGAATACGCTCGCATATAATTGCAGTCATAATACTCCAGCATGGTTATATTTTAAGCAGGAGATCGTCCGCTTGACACATACCCTCAAGATCAGAAGATGGAAGCGCTTGCCTATTGAGCAGAGTCAGGGTATAGAAGTGTCAAGATTAAGTGGTGCTCTTACGAATGCTGTCTACGTTGTCTCACCACCGGTAGACTTCAAGAACCCGAATTCAGACGGGAGGCCGCCACGGTCAGTCCCACCAGCTCGAAAATAGGACTTTGCTGACGCAGAACAGTAAACTTTTATTGCGTATCTACGGTCCACAAGCAGAGCATTTGATCGATCGTGAGAACGAGCTGCAAATACTTCGGCGATTAGCACAAAAGCAGATTGGCCCTACCCTGCTAGGCACATTTAATAACGGCAGATTCGAAGAATTCTTTCACGCGCGTACACTGGAAGCTGAGGATTTACGAGTGCCGGAAACTTCAAAGCAGATCGCCAAACGGATGCGTGAGCTACACGACGGTATAGCGTTGTTGAAGGAGGAGCGTAATGCGGGAGCGTCTGTGTGGAAGTATTGGGACAAGTGGAAGGAAAGGTGTGAAGAAGTAATAACATGGCTCGACCATCAGATCCTCGAGAGCACCAACCAATCTTCGAAATTAAACCGACCAGCTTGGATGGAGAAGGGACTCATATGCGGCGTTGAATGGGCGGTCTTTCGGGGGGCGGTCCGCAAATACCGTGACTGGTTGTATGAGCAGTACGGTGGAGAAGACAAGATCAGGGACGAATTGATCTTCGCCCATAACGATACGCAGTATGGCAACTTGATGCGTTTGGAACCAGAAGGAGAGTCTCCTTTACTCAAGCCAGAGAATTCGCACAAGCAACTTCAGGTCATCGACTTTGAATACGCAGCGCCGAACGTTCCTGGCCTGGAATTTGCCAACCATTTTACGGAATGGTGCTACAACTACCACAGTGAAACGAAACCTTACGCCCTGCACGAGAAATTGTATCCGAGTGTAGAGGAACAACACAGGTTTCTGAGGGCTTATGTTCAGCATACTCCGCCCATCCAGACGCGTCAATTTAGCACACCACCACGTATACCGGCACGAGCGCCGTCCAGCTCGATATCCACGTTCGTGCTTGATAGCCGCGCACCACCCATGCCTTACGCAGAAGAGGAGCGCAAGCGAGATCAGCAGCTCGAGACAGAGGTCAAGCGCTTGCAACACGAGAGCCAGATTTGGCGAGTGGCCAATTCGGCGCAGTGGGTGGCCTGGGGTATCGTGCAAGCCAAGGTACCTGGTATGGACGAAGCACTTGAGGCGCAAAGAAATGTGACGCCTACGCCCGAGGCTTCCCAGACTGTTGTTGGGGCAGAGGGGCAAGTTGACGAGAGGTGTGACGAGCTTAGCAACCCAATGGCTGGACTCACGCTCGAAATTAACGAGCAGAAAGCGGATCCGAGCGAAGCACGCAACGGAGAGCAGGCTTCAGAGGTAGAAGCGCCGGAGCAAGAAGAAGAGTTTGACTACCTGGGCTACGCGCAAGAAAGAGCCTTGTTCTTTTGGGGCGATGTGTTGCGACTGGGAATCATGACGCCAGGCGAGTTGCCCGAAGATCTGCTTCGGAAAGCCAAGACTGTCGAGCACTGACGCTGAGTTGTGCCGAGATGTGGAGACGGGTGGTTGCAGGTCGGCTTGGTAGGTTGCTCTAGGCAGGTAGGTAGACAAATATATGGCAGTCGCTGACGAGAGGGTGTGGCCAGCTGAGCAATTCGACGCGAAGATGCAGAGGGTGAGTTACCATTCATAGAAAAGCAGGGAGTCTTTAACCGAAGCATCAGCCAATCCGTCCTGAAAGAGGTTGGGGTGGCTTGAAGTTGCCAACCTCTCATCACTTCCATTATTTGACGGGCTATAGAACTACAAGTAATTCCATTGTTGCAGCCAATCGAGACTCGACAGCAGGCGGCCGCAACCCACGGGCCGCTAAAAGTTGCGTTTTCCCAATGGGGAAAGCCCGATTCACAGCTGGAGACAACCTCATGCCCACGCATCGCAAGCCACCTCATCAGCAAATCCTCCTATTCTTGCAGTTCGTATGAAGCAACAAGGTTCACCGTTCCTTTGTCACATTCACGGGACATTTCACACCGTATGAAACGGACGGGCGTCTGCTCGGCGCTGAGGCAAACGCCTTTTGATGAGGTGGCGTACGACGTGGAAGCTGCCATTGTCCAACAGCAGGCACCGCACTAACTTGCAGGTTCGACGAGAGACATTTCCATATCTTGTTGCGGTCATTGCTCTGCACATCCTTTGCTTCTTGTCACAGGCAGAGGGAGATGTGGCGTCCTTACCCCACTCTTTCCCCTTCAACAGGTCGCTTGCCAGCGCGCCTCCTGGTCATTGATACGCGCTGCATCTCATTGAGAAGAATAACGCTACCCCAAAGAGGGCATTGCAACGCCCCCTCTCTCAATGGTAATCAGAGGATATTTATGTTTCCGGCCATTGCAAGAGCCTTTCCACAGACATCTTTTCACACCCCAGCGCCACCGATGCCAACGTCAGGCTTGCCATCCGCTGGGGCAAAGGATGGGCTTTACTACTATCGCTAGATCAAACCCTTTCTAGTCACCGCAACGCACCATGCATACAACGCAACACCAAAACAATTACACTTCGGGGCAACTCCGACTGATCAGTATTCCGTTCACACTGCGCGCAGGCCCTATCAGATCTTGATTCAGACCTAGCCGCTCCACTGTGTTGACAGGTAGGCGAATGTTACTACCCATCAAGCATGGTCCGACGGACACAGGCCTCATGGCATCCCGTACCGCATGGCAGAAGGGTCTACATTGTTGCCCAGGGCAGCATTCGTGGCTTATCATAAGCCCTTTTAAAGCTATTGCATCACATCACGCATGTGAAGCAACGACAGACTGTTGAATCTTTGGGTCAACGCCCAAGTTGGCCTTGCATCTCCATAGCATTGCATTGAATTGACAGGTACCCCGTAGGTTTACTCAATTAACCTTTGAGCATACACCATCGGACGCAAGCCCTATGGCCACCCGCATTCGACGACAGAGGTAGGTAATCCGCTTTGGGCAATTGCAATGATCTAGCAGGGTTGATATGGATGACATACCTTTTGTATAGTAAGCCTTAAGGTGTGATGAAAGCTGTGTGCAAAGACGCCACAGTTGCATGAAAGTGGTTATTGCCGTGGGGTGTGCACTCGACGAAAGATACTGAAATTAATTCAATGGGTAGTTGCAACGCATGGGACATCCAAAGTTGGTGTTCGAAATGGTGATTTAGGTAGTTGCAGGAGATACATGACCTGCGTTAGGCGAAATTATCGTAAGGTATCATCTACTCGATACCGGTAGCTGTGAAAGAATCAATTATCCAGCGAGGAACAAGCAGCTGAGATGGGTGATGGGAGTGTGCATTGGCAGGGTTTCAAAGCATTTGCCAGAGCGGGACTAGTACCAAAGACAGCTCATCACAACAAACGCCCTTTTCCAGGCATGCACGAGCAGAATGATGGAGGATCAGTCTTCGGCGGTGCCATGAATTGATCTCTGCGTTGCGGCGCGTCATCTGTGGCCAATTTCCGGGAAAAGATCAGAGGTGAAGATCACTCCTCAACGGCAAACGACCATGCGGTGTCAAATCATGCCCATAATGAGAAACGTCGGCTGCGACTGCACTGCGATTGCTATTGAAGCCATGAATTGCTTTTGATCTTTTATCGTATACGTTGATGGATCAAGGACTGAAGACTTATACTTCAGCGTGCTTAGCATATTCTTACACCACAGCAGTCAATTCCAGCTCCTCTTACATCAGCCTTGCGGCCCCAATAGAATAAAATCAGCCCTTCCACGAAGGCTCGGTCGCTTTCACTCCAGAGGTCGAGTCCCATTCGGGACATGTCATCTGCTTCGACGACAATCTGCGTTAGATCTTCACCGTCCTGTGTAGTCATGAGAGGTTCAGTGTCATTTGGGGTCTCTAATCGATCAGTATCAGAACCTCGGCGTATACTTCGCTCATTATCACTAGAAGACTCATCTGCGTCTGCATCATCGATGAGTTCAGATAATATTTGGATAATCATGGTCGTTAGGCGATGGAAGAAGGCCACTAAAGTCATCTCCAGCGCTGACGGCCCCTCGAACGCCATGTCCATGACTGGAGATTTCCCACTGGATCTCGGACGAGACGGACTACTATCGGTGGTGATTCGACGTAAGAGTGAGGAGTCTTGGTGTTCTTCTTCGTCTAGGTCAGTCCGCTTTTCTCCTGCTGATGCCCACCACATGAAGCTGTTGTACGCAAGCGCTGACCAGGATTGCGGTTCCGCTAGGTCAGCATCAAGGGTTGACGAGGTGTCTGTTTCCGCCGTCTCCTGATTCATGAACGTGAGCGAGTGGGCCAAGTCAGCTGGTGTGCTTTTGGGGGATGTTGATCTGTCTAGCCGACGAGTTTCTTGCCGCAAGACACGATATCTCCTCAAATCTCGTTGTGTTGCCTTGATCTCTATGCCTTTCGCATCGAAAATCTCAGGCCAGACCTTGCGTTGGACCGGTCCGGGGGGAAGAGTCGGAAGACGAATGAGATAGTCGTATAGCTGAGGCTTGTCGCACAAAATGTCATCTGTCGTACATGCAACCCAACCCAACCCAGGATCATCCGAGGATTCAGAGTCGCGTCCTCCATGGGCGAGATCGTCCATATCGTGTACGCCAACCGAGAACAGTGGTTGAAGGCGGAATGGTAACGGTTCTAGTGGAAGACCGTCCGCTATAGAGGCGGGCAGCCCGGATATTACAGAGATGTTGTAGACTACTAGAGTTAGCACGGAAGATATTGGAGACCGACAAGATTGGAGCATAATTACCAAAAATGCAAGCAGTTTCGACTGGGGCACGCGTAGATATTAGGATTCGCTTCCGCAGAAGAGCAGCCTTATAGAGTGGGAAAACAAGTGGGCCAAAAGTCTCAATCAAGAGGGGCAAAGCAGTGGCTGGATGGGTCTTGGACAGATATTGACCAGGTGGAGCAAGGGCAGAGGCTGTAGAAACTGCACGGTTTCTTTGCCGGGCTGCTCCATTAGCAGAGGATTCTAGCTGCGGCTGTTTCGCCTTGATGGAAGGAGATGGGGCGACGGCTTCTTCATCTTCACCGGTCTCGTGATCTTGATGAGCACTCCAGTACTCCTCCAAGGGCTCGGTGTTGGACTCATTTTCGGCAATCGCTCTGTTCGGGGGTAAGCAAATGATTGGTATTTGTCACTTTGAGAACGCACACTGCCAATTTCTTAAGTCCATCCGCATGTCTCCAACTCTTGCCCAGTTGCCCATGACTTGGTACGAGCACACCGACCGCAAGCATGTTGGCATTGCGATCCGATCCCGGTGTGGGTTTATTGACGTACGCGCTAACCCCCGCGTATTCATTCGATTGAATAAAGTATCTGGACAAAAATCAGTCTAGCCTTGGCCCTAAAAGAGCTGGAACTGATACATGAGATCCTCGCTCACGTTGTGTAGGCCGGAAGGTAGCGACTTGTATTCGACGCTCGAGTCAAGTTCTACTAGGGCGGCTGTTAGTCAAATCACCATGCCTAGGAAGGGGTCAACACACATCCCGGGATCGATCGCTGCCATGCTATCGTGTATCTGCTCACAAGCTCAATTAGCATTGGCAAGAGGGCTGAAGTGAGAGTATTCAGTTACCCAGCTCGGAGGTCGAATGTGACGAAGAAAGCTGCCACAATTGGAGGCAATTCCTCGGCCTGAGCCCCGCTAAGGTTGAGATGAAGAGAATTGCCTCTTCTACGCTTAGCTGCGGACATGTTTGTAGGCGCATGTTGGGGAAATGAAGTACTCCAAGAGTATGGAGTGGAAAAGGTTATTGTCGATTCAGACACGGGTCTTGGCATTAGAAGAGATGACCGGTCAGACATACCTATAAGTCCTCGCTATAGGGTCCAGAGGGTGCGCAGACTACATACTCATTTCGCATATATCTAATACTGATTGGTTACTAGGTCATCTTTTCAACACCATAGTACTAGCAAGGGGTAGCCACCCATTCTCCCTCGCACAAGCTCGTGCGCCAAAGCCTACAAGATACTGGCAGGGCTTAATTTGGCAAGGCGGAATTGAAATTTTTGCAGAAGTCGCTGAGAAATAGAAATGGCGACGAAGTTTGTTAATGACTCAACTATTACATAGCCTATACCATACTGCCATACCAGCGCCAAATATCAACAAACAAATGAGATAGATAGATAGAGAAAGACTAGAGCCGACGCCAGATGTAAGGCTTCGTGCTCGACAGTTGCAAATAGAAAGACTCTCCCAAAGCACTTCTGTCCTCGGTATCAGGGCTATTCACAGCCGAAACCAACTCCTCCATATGAAGCCAGAAAGCCGTCGAGAATCAAGGTAGATAATTTGCCGGTGATGATATATGATATTAGACATTACTTACATCAGGCGTCGTTGTCAACCTTTTTTAAGCAAAGAGGACAGCAATAAGACCAGCAGCGCCGGCAGCGAAGATGCTGGCGGCACCCTTGGTGGCGGCACCGGTGAAAGCAAGAGGAGTCTCTGAGCCAGCAGCTTCATTAGAGGTCTCAGCAGCGGAGGCCTCCTCAGCTTGAGAGGTCTCAATAGCCGAGGCCTCCTGGGCTTGAGTGGTCTCAGCCGCAGGGGAACCCTCAGATTGAGAAGCCTCTTGGGTTTGAGAAGCCTCTTGGGATTGAGCGGCCTCTTGGGATTGAGCGGCCTCTTGGGATTGAGCGGCCTCCTGGGATTGAGCGGCCTCCTGGGATTGCTGTTGCCCTTGTGACTGCTGTTGCCCTTGGGATTGCTGCTCCCCTTGAGATTGCTGCTGCCCTTGAGTTTGTTGCTGCACTGAAGACTGTTGCTGCACTGAAGATTGTTGCTGTTCCTGGGACTGCTCTTGCTCTTGAGATTGCTGTTGCTGCTGCGATTGCTGTTCCTGCTCAGACTGAGTAGCTTCCTGAGAGACGGAGGTGGATGTTTGCTGCGATTGTGCAACAATCACGCTGGCAGCTGACTGTATGAACTCTGCAGATTGAGCAACTTGCTCGGAAACCACAGTAGCAGCCTGTTGGACGAGCGCTGAGGATTGAGCAGGTGATACCGCCGTGGCGGCTTGCTGGATTAGTTGTGAAGACTGAGCAACCTGACTGATCTGCTGGATCACCTGAGACCTGACTGCCTGCTCAGACGCAATGGCCACGGCAGTGGCAACACCTTGGATTGAGACGAAGGTTGCCACGCTTGAGCTCTGGCCAGGTGCTGCAGGACAAGTTGAAACGAAGGTTTGTGCTGACACCACTGGTGTCTGCACAACTGGGGTCTGCACGGCTGGTGTCTGAACCACGGGGTTTAGGACAACCGGTGTTTGTACAATTGGTGATTGGAGAACGGGAGTTGCCTTAGTTGACAACACGGGCACAACCGCGTTGGTGCTGTATGTGGTAGTCTCAGGATTAAGAGTGATTTGGAAGGTCTGTGCTTTTCCGCCGACAGTCTCGACTCGAGAGGTAGTGGGGCCTAAGGCATATTAGAGGCCACATTCAATAAAGAATACTGAAGCACTTACAGTAGGTGGTGGTGATGATAGTGGGTATGGTAGTATATTTGTAAATCCTGGGATCGTACTGGGTGATGTTGGGGTACAAAACTGTGGTGACGATGGGTTTGCCAGCAGTACCAGTAACCTTGGGATCGTACTGGGTGATGTTGGGGTACAAAACTGTGGTGACGATGGGGTCGCCAGCAGTACCAGTAAATTTGGGCTTGACAACCTTGGCTGATGTTCCCTTAGGAGCCTTGCTGGACAAAGCTTTTCCGGTTGAATTAAGAGTCTTGCTGGACGAAACTTTTCCAGTTGGCCTGAGAGTCTTGTTTGTTGGGTAAGGCAAGACTTGGCCAGTGGACTTAGGCTTGATGGATTTGCCAGATGTTCCATAGGGGGGACCCTGCCCGATGAATTGGAGAGGACCTTGCCGCTTGGCCTAGTAGACTTTGTAGTGCCCACGCTGATACGAGTACCAGAGGAGGCCGTCACGGGCTGTTGGTACACATAAGCAGGTATTCAAATGAAAGAGGATTAACAGGAGACCGACGCATGTTGTGGCGGTGGTGAGGATGCTGTCACGTTGTTAATATTTCCTATTTCGAGGAGCATGTGGTACTCACGTGGTGTTATCAACCCCATAAGCCCTTTTTCCAAGATTAAGAGCCTCAGATGATGCCACGAGGGCAAGGATCAGAGCACTGTTGAACTGCATTTTCCTGTGTATTATAGTAAGAAAAGAATAAGTTAGACAATAAAAATATTATGAACAAAATGCAGGAAGCGTAGCGAGTGACTTCTGCAACGAGCGGATTGTTGGAAAGAAAAGTCAAGGAGCTGAAAGTCATGTTTATGTACTCTTGACGTGTTACTTTTGATCAAGTCCGACCAAACCTTGAGTGTGGGGTCTGAGGATAAGTGGCTGATTCCTATCGGAGACACTCAGAGCTCAAGGAATCATTCTGGTGGCCAGATGTCTAAATATCCACTCAACAAACTCTATCACTGAGCTCTTCGATTGGACAAGATGGAATAAGCTCAACTATGGTCACAATCGCCCTACTCCCATCGGGCTGAAAGGATCACGAAGTACTGTTGAAAGAATGTGCAGTAACGAGAGGCTTTCGTAGCAATAATGAGTAAGAGGCAGCCGTTCAAGGAAAATGTAATGTCAAGTACATATCGCAGGAAATAGCGGTTTGACGATGTTGCTTTGAACTTCTCTCAAACTCAATTGATGAGCTCTGCGAATCTGCCAATTTCCTTGCACCGGAAGCTGTGCACAGCTTGAGCAAGTTGAGTTGGAAGGTGGCGCTCACAAGACTCCACTGTGGTTCCTGGCGTGAATTTAAAGCTTTGGATGGACTCGGCTTTGATGGCACCCCCTCAAGGGTATGATGTTCGGAAAATGTTACCTGGGTATGGATAAGCTCTTGCCTCCAGTGCTGCTGCATGTACACCCTTGTCATCCATCTCAATTACAGAATGAAACGACTACCAGAAAGCTATGACAATTAGTCGTAAGACGAGAACTTTGACTGGTCAGCAAGCTCCGACGTATACCGGGACGGAGGCCTCTTGTAGAGCTCTGTTCAATCATAAAGGCGATTTTTTTGCCATACTAATGCTGCAAAATTCAATCATCACTGTCGACGTCGGGTCCACTATCCCACCCCTCTTTGTAAGCTTCCGCCATCTCGCCAAGACTATTGAAGAGAGTTTCTCGTTCTTCCAAATCAGCCACCATCCGAGAGGTTTCCTGCAGTGAGTCAATAGCTCGAGAACTTTGGCTCGACGTCGTGAGCGACGCGGTGACATTCACATTGCCCTCGGATGCGTTCGTGAAAATGTGAGGGAAGCTGTCTGGAAGCGGATATGGCAATTGTGTGTAATATCTGGCCTTGTCAGCAGGGCATCACACGTTGCAGAGGAAACCTGAAGAATTCGAAAAGTCGAACTTCAGGGCCTTTTACCTTTCAATCACAGGCTTGCCTTCAAATCGTCTTCTCTTCCGTGCAAGGGCCAGTTCATCCTCGTCTAGAGGCCGAAAATGGGACTCAATTGCTCCTCGCGAGCATATAATTAAGCCGAATGTGCGACTACTAACACTTTTGGTAGCATGCATGCGGCCACGAGCATCGTCTGAAAAGTTGATGTCGAAATCTGCCAAGTCGTCCTCTTGCTCGTCCTCATTGATCAGCGCGTCGTCACGGTCAGAACGGATCCTATCATCTAACGTCGCACCAGATTTGGGTTTCTCATTCCGTATATCACCTCCAACGATACTGCACTGGAGCTGAGCAATACGCTGATTACCATTAGTGTTCAGCACCGCACTCAGATCGTCCAAATAGCCGCGTCTTTGGCCGCCATCTCGCAGCCGGGAGGGCAGCGAGACAGACTCAAGAGCTGCGGACACAAGGGCTGAGGTGTGCCATTGTGACCTTGTATCAAGATGTACATATGACGGTGGCTTCTTCTGTGGTGGTAAGAGTGGCACGTACATTGAAACAGTAGAGGATGTTTCAGCAATCATTCGAGCAGAGTTGATGGCTCTGAGCGCTTGTTTGGCTTTTGAGATCGGTCCATTTTCCTGCCCAATGCCCCATATCCATATACCAGTCTTTCCGAACTCATCTCGTAGGCTTTCTATGTATCTTGAAGCAAACCCTGCCCACGCGTCGTCATTGCCTGTAATGATTTGGATACCTTGCATTTGATCGCATTCTTCAGCCCAGGTTCGGAAGTCTCTGTCCAAGATATCTTCATCTCGATCGACGTTCCTGAAGAGTTCTTCGCCTGTCTCATATTTCTCGAAGGGTACGATCGAGGAGTTGAGATCGAATGCGTTAAGCTGGACGATAGATCGTGGATGGTAGAAAACGCGGTTGTAGTCAGACCAGTATCGGACCGTGTCTGTGGTCAGATTACGGGGACTGGGATCGTCTTGCTCAAGACTCTGTTGGTAGTCGGCCACCGCGATTTCAGGCTCTTGTTGCAAGGAAGCATTGCCCTTCCTTCTGCCATGTTCTCATCAGAACAAAGATCACCATCAGAGGGACAAGCTATTACGACAGTGACATACCAGACGCTATCTTGAGCCTTTTGCTCTATGCCATCCTTCAAGCTCAATCCTTGATCATAGAGCCCCCCCATTTTCGAAGGCCTCCAAATCCCCCTTTCAGATCGTAGATGAGTGTGCGCGGCGTATAGGTTTCTTCGCCTTTCGCGTTGATACCTGGGCGGAAATTTATGTCGTGGTCAACGACTGACAAGGTTGCAGAAGGGTCGTATGAAAAGTACGATTCCTGCAGAGGAACAATTTTGGGTCAGCATGCTTGTCACAGCTAAATTTGTATACCACAGTCCGTCTACCTGAGCATTCCAAAAGTGGGTGGCCAGGTAATTAGCGCTATGCCCCAGCTGAACCGTCAATATTTCATGCATCCCTCTGCTAGCATCCTTGGGCTCTCACAGCTGCAAATATGGTTCACAATTTACACAAATCTGGCAACAATGACAACACGTGCATGTGGCATAAAGAGGCGAAAACAAGACCTTGAAGTCAAATCGCTTATCAACTTAGCCTATATGTGCAATCATGATATTCGTACAAGTTTTGCGTTCTAGATCTATATTTGCCATCTTCCCAATGCAAAGGCCGCAGCGATATATTACAACTCACCATGTCCTTCGGACTTCTCCCTTATCTTCTCCTTTGCTTTCTCCTTAGCCTTCTCTTTACCCTTTGACTTTGCGTTCCCTTTGGTTTTGCTCTTGCTCTTCGGCTTGACGGTCGCTTTTGCTTTTTTGTCCTTCTTCGTAGCATTCGCCTTAGCCTTCGCCACGATAGACAAGTTTTCTGCCGCCAACTGTTCATCAATCTCTTGTTGAACGCGCCGCATTTCAAGTTGTTCTTGAACACTTGGCATTCCTTCTTCTGTTTTTGGTATCTCGGGGTTTTCAGCCCATCCCCCCACATTCGAGCCAGTTTCTTCTTCTGCCGCTTGTGCAGGGCTTGGTTCAGCCTCCGTGGCCGATACAGGGCTAGGCTTTTCTTCCATGGAAGTAGATGGGATAGCCTCGTCTTCCTGCGAAGAGGACGGCTTAATTTCTATAGATGAGCTTGGCTTTGAATCCTCCTCTTTTGACGAAGATGATGTTTTTCTGGCGGCTTTACTCGCTGTCTTTGTTTTCTTTGACTTCGGGACTTTGACTTGTTTCATGAGAAGATCAGTGGCTAGGTCGCTTATTTCTTTCGCACGCTCATCTAGGTCAGAAGAAAGGAGAAGAGGATCATCCGTGGCCGACAAGCTTTCCTGTGCAGGTATCTTCTCATCAAGCCATTTTATAATTGATGCTCGCTTCTCTTCTATGAGAGCAAGGTCTGCCCTGCTAAACATCGGTTCAGGTATCTCGGGTATGGACTTCGTGGTTGTGGGAGTAGCCGACGTGCTGGACTCATCATCTAAGTCTGAAAATTCGTCACTAGCAATTGTTGGGATCGCGCTAGGCTCGGACATTGTGGTCGCTGTGGATGGTGACGATGCGGCGCTTAATTGAATTTCCAGTTGCTGCTTCACTACAGAAATCATAGTGTCCGCCTGCGTTATCGCCTGCTGCAAAGCTTGAAATGATGCTGGGCGTTTCACTGACTCCTCTTTGCGTCGCTGAATTGGCTTCACAAGACCGCGTATTTCGTCCAATTTAGATTTCAATATCTCCCGCGGTGCATCAGCGCCGTCTCCATAAAGCCACGACGAGATTTCGCTGGCTTTCTGCTCAATATCGTTGCGCTGCGATGGGGTGGAAACAAGTAGAAACTTTTCGTCAGTCACAACATCCCTCACTTTGTATGTGTAGCCCTCAAGAATATTGAGGGTTTCTTCCCGTAGCACGCGCGAGCGGTCTGACGCGTCGAAAGCCGTTAATCGCTTGTTGGTAGACGCTAAGGCATCGGACCCGTGAGAAGTATAACTTGAGGTTACCGTGCTTAGACCGACCGGGATTGTCACAACTTTCTTCTTGGTTTCCTTGATCTTTTCCTCATTTTGTTTGCTAGAATCGGCCTCTTCGGAAGGCTTGCTTTCACTAATGCTGGTTGCTGAAATATCGCTCGAGGTTGACTCAGAATTGTCATTTCCTTCTTCCAAGACCTTCTGGTCGTCTTTTCTTGATCCAAATCCAAGAAAGTCTTTCATTCCGTCCACGACTCCTTTCTTCTCTGACTCCGTCACCTCACAGCTAACAGATCCACTCAAGACTTCAGGCAGTCCATTGACAGAGCTCAGTCGGATTGCAAACGTTGTGCTGATATCACTTGTAGAGCATCCAGCCTTCGACGTAAGCGCGTTGACCGAGTCTGAAAGGTTTTGCGTCTTAACAGTGGATATAGGAAAGTCTGCTGCTAATACAGGCTGCTGTTGCAGCTCGAACTCGAAGTCTGTAGTTGCTCTGATACCAACTTGTTTCTGAACACCAGTAGCCGACGTGGGTATGAACAATTTTTGCTGCCTCGCTTTTCCCTCTAGTTTCCACGTTGCGAAGATTGGGTATATCGCACTATCAGTCGTGCGGATTTCCTTCACTCGAAAACTTGGACTGATGGTTGCAGCTTTGAAGCCTGCACCAAAGACTGCGGCTTCGTCTGAATTGACGTTTGTCCGAACCTTATCTGAGCTCTTCGTGAGGCTTTCAAGTTGCTTCTGTACAAAGGGCGTCCGGACAGCACCTCCGTGTAGAATTACGGAGTCAATGTCCGAAACGGTCAATTTGGCGATTTCCAACGCTTCAGAAACAGGTTTTCGCACCCTATCGAAATACGAAGCCGCCATCTTCTCAAAATTTGCACGGCTTAGCTTATACTTGAAGTTTTGTTCGTCGAAATAAAGACCTTCAAAATTTGCAAAAGTCTCGGTATTTGCGCTGAGAACTTGCCGTACTCTCTCTGACTCTTTCCTCAACTTTGCCATTGTCCGACCATGAGACTTCATCTGCTGAGAATCTAGGCCGAGTTTCTTGATTGCAGTCTGCTCGGTGAATTTGTGGACCATGTCATCCAATATCAGACCATTGAGGGCGTCACCACCCAGAGTCCTGTCCCAACTCGTACCTAGAACTTGGACTTCTTGCACTGTCTTGTTGAACCTGCCTACGTCCTTGACTGTACGTGCCTGAAATCTGAGCACTGTCGCCGTAGTAGACCCCGCGCCCATGTCGTATACAAGATGAGTCTCAGGCTTTCCTCCCTCGTTGACAATCGGGAAGCTTCTCGAAGTAGCGTAGTTTAAGCCTACAGCTAAACCATCGCTGATCAAAGACAGTACCCTCAGACCAGCTAGTTCTGCGGCGGTAGTGATAGCTCTCCTCTCCACAGCTGTGTAGAATGGTGGAATGGTCATGACTACATCATCAACGCTGTAACCCTTTCCGGCCATGGACTCTGCATTTGCTTTAATATTTTTGAGCTCCATAGCCAGAAGCTCTTCAATCACGAAAGGTTCCTCACTTGGCACAAAACTGTTGCTTTTAAATCCCAGAGAGCCAGTTGATGAGGTTTCTACCATGTCCAATTCCGGAAACCTTGCGCCGAATTCTACCGCAACATCCGAGTCTTTTGATACGCCCAATAAGGGCTTGAGGTTGAAATATACATCCTTAGGAAACCTTGCAGCAAGGGCTGCTGCATCTCCACCATATATCCTTTCGGGGAATGTTTCCCCATGCGATGTATCAACTTGTGCCTTTGGGCCTTTGAAAGCGACGGCCGCGGTCTCTTTTCGCTTCGAATCTTTCGTAAGGACGATGTCGAGAGGCACACCAGGCTTGACCAATGCAGCCTTTATGTATTCAGTACCAAAATCTATGCCGATGACGGCCGAAGACGCCGCTGAAGCTGTAGATGCGAAGATGAAGAGCAACCCCAATGCAAAGGACAGATTTGACAACCGTCGCCGACCATGAGGAGGCATCATTGGTAGTCCAATCCCCCAATCCTGTTGACTCCGTCGAGAAACTGTTACAGACTTATCTGATGTTTTCGATGGGCGGAGTATGGTGGCTAGGAAGGACAAATCCCGCGCAGTTTCTATCCATACTGGACACGTTGAAGACCAGCGAGTCCCGCCAAAGGTAAGTTTTCCCGAGAAAGCCGTATTCGGCTAGCGTTCTTAAGCCTTGGCAGGGGCATTTGTCCACCTGCAAGACGTCGACGTATCCAGTCAAGCCAGTCTCCCAGTATTACATCAAGCAACTCGAGCAGGCAGACCTGAAGAAATGGAGTAGGTCAGGATTTTTACAGCGGTATCATCACGTAAGTCTCGAGCCGCTTCAGTCGCGAGCGGCCAGCAGGAGACAAGTAATGACGATGGGAATGGTGAACCGCCAAGGATATGGGCACAATTGTTTCGATGATGCTGGAAGATTAAGAGACGCCTTTGCCATGGCTTCGAGTCTATATTGCGAAGTACGAGAACATCACCGAAATACCCTTTCATCCCCCATCAATTCATGTCATACCGAACTCCGCTCTTGTTTCTTCAGGAGTTCGCTTTTCTCTCTGTCATCGAGGAACCATTCTGCTATGAAGACCACCACGTCGAATGCACTGACCGCAACGGTAAACGTCACTGCGCCACAAATTACAACGATGTCGCTCACGCCCGCCCATTTGCTCGCCTCCTCGTGATAAGTCCTATTGAAATATTTTACCAGTTCTATGAGCTGCGAGCTGCTTGACACGACCCACTGTTGTACCGTCCGGCCCGCATCAACGAAAAGGATTACAACATGATCGATGCCCCTGAGGGCACGAGCTGCGATAGCGTCGAGGAGTAGAAGTAGGCGTCGAAGGGTAGAGTCCTTTCCTTGCTCATTCTTATTGGATTTGAAGGCTTTGAAGCCCAACGGAGCAATAGGCAATGAGCGAGGTAGTCTTGCAGTGGTTTTAGCAATCGAGCGGGAAGTCTGGGTGATGAGCGGTGCGAGCGGTAGCGAGTCTAGGACGAGGTGGGAGAGTCGTTCAACGGAAGGATACGACGCGAGATGCTGAGAGAGAGGACACGTCAGCTCATGCTCCACGTCTCCCATTACTGACTTTCTAGAGAGGCAGAAGCCCGAAGGACGAACAGGGAGACTTGCCCCCAGAAATAGAGAACCACCCAATTTCGGGTGCGGCGAAGCTTCGATCGTTGTGTCCTCTGGGGAGCTTGGGTTCTCCTACAGAGACAGAAATCAGCTCTTGATTTCGATAGAGCGAAGCATTGATACAGACGTCGTCGAGGTGAATATCGATTCTGGCATTTCGGGGCCCAGGCACAATATTGACACTCAGCCCTGGTACATCCGGTATCGACACCGGTGTCTCTTGAATTGTCAGCTTATCTGCCAGGAAGGCACGGTACTAATATTGGCGCACCATTATCGTCGGTACTGGTATCATCGTTGGCCCCGAGAAAGGTCCAGGCGCCACGGTGGGCGCCATAGATGGCCAAAAGTGTCCAGATGCTGGTAAGAACCTTTCTCGTATGTCCCGGCTGCTTCCCTCATTCAAGGTTTCGCTGCTGTTATTATGTTGGAAGAATGCCTCATAGTTGTCTCTGCGGCCTTCAGAGCCGTTGTTGGCCGCCATGTTTCTCGAGCAATGCAAACAATGCTCTCTGTATGATATGGATCAGCGCGATCGACAGAAGGTGGTATGCAATCGTCGATACGCCAACGGACATGTTGGTAAAAATGAAGCGTTGTGGAGGTAGAAAAGAGCCAAACGGTATTCAGAGGGGAAGACGGTTGACTGACTGTAAAGTGCACAACTCGCCTTGTTGGGCACGTTGTTTGACAGCGTTCTTGTAACGGCTGAACATCTCTAATTTCACTTAGGTAGGAGGTAGAGCGCCATCCAAGAGCGGTAGTGGGGTCAAGGACGACCAAGGGGGCATGGTCAGAGAAGACCGAGAAGAGCGATAGTGTTCTACGCCAGCTGATACCACCCCAAATATGACAATAGTATTTCAGGTAGCTTGGGACGCAACCATATCAGCGAAAGGGTGGAGCGCTAGCTGAGCGCTATGCAGTTAGTGCTCTTGGAGGTCGTGCAAGCCGCATGAGATATCATTGCTTGATTTTTCCCTCCCTTCATTGGGTCGGGTTGCTTTAATCAAATCAATGACTTCATGCAAGCGAGTGCTTGCATGTGGAAGGTAAGGGTCTAGGCATTCTATGCAGAGCATTTTACGGTGAAATTTAGCTTTACCATTGACCCCGGAGGGTGTTCTGCGACCTTGCAATCTATACGGATGTATGATTCCCTCCGATAATTGTCTCCGATATCATGGGACTGTTTCTTTTTCAGAAAAAGGGTTTGGATGTAGATCGTTGCTCAGGCTTAGCTACTTTGACCTTTTGTAGATTTTGTTGAGAAAACCTTCAAAGATACTCTTTTTCAGTCCTTCGCTTTCATCAATTGCATAAATTGCCTCCTTAATCTGAAGCACTTTCTCATCTTCATACTTACGATAAACACTTTCCAAATCCATTTCGTTATATATGTCCTTTACTTTGGCCTCTGCGGAGGCATCCTTTCTGCCGTAGTTGTCTTCTAAGACTTTTCGCTGCGGTTGGCTCGCACGTTTAAGAGCTTCATTGATGAGCCACGAGCATTTATTGTCCTGAATATCAGTGCCAATCTTACCAATGATCTCGGGAACACCATAGCCATCCAAATAGTCATCCTGTACTTGAAAATATTCTCCTGTAAGTAGAAGAATTTTCTCCGCCTGCTGGAGATTCTTGGGTGTAGCAAGATTAAGTTGGTACAAGGAAAGAGTAGCTGGTAGGAAGAAGCTGTAGTATGAAGTCTTGAAATTGACAATGAAACGGTACTTCTCGAAGCTAAACTGGTCGAAATTGAGCTTTTCTTCAGGCGCGGTAAGTAAGTCTGCCAACTGGCCAATCTAAGAGGTCCGTCAGCTGATGACAAGCGACGAAGTGTAGAATTCTCCAGACCTCGGTCTTGAACATGACTTCATGAAAAAGCTCTAGGATGTGAATGTAGTTCTTGTCGCCATGGAAATACTTCTGGAGAATAACGAATATCGAAGATACAAGCATGAAAGCATCGTTCAGGGCATTCATGCCAACATTAGGCATACGATACCAGCACGTGTTACCTCGTCGCGTCTGCGAAGAGTCCATGATGTCGTCCGCAACGAGGAGCGCAGCTTGAAGGAGCTCCGTGCACCATCCAAGAATCGCCGACCGAAAATATTCGTCATCCGTCAAGGGCCGGCCTAAGAGATCCGCAGAAGCGTCGATGACAGATTTCCCACGATTCGCCTTACCGCCAAGCACGTTGTGCTGTAGCGACTGCAGCAATTTGGATCAGTTGAAGCTTACGGCAGATACAATGCGCGACTGACATTTTTGTACCAGTCTAAGGTTTCCCTAGGGACACCATAAGCTTTGGCGTGTTCGACAAGATCATCCACCAGGACGGGGAATATCTCGTCGAAATCTCTGGTAGTTATTTCATCCGCCCTTTTAATGCTGACATTCTGTTGCTTCGGTTCTTCCGCTAGGTAGGGCAGACACGAGGCAGTCACTCGCTTCATGATGAGAGACGCATTGCCGAAGATTGGAAGGCGATCCACGAAGCTCGTAGAGCGTTCCACGGTCTTCAGGAACCCGAATGTAGCAATGATGGTGATGGTGTCTGTCATACCACGAAAGGATGTATATTTTTCTGCGTCGGCAATTATCTCCAGTGGCTTTGGTAAGACGGATTCTGGGCTTCTGAGTGAAGGGTAGCGTCGAAGCGTCCATGGCCGGGTTTTGGGGTCATCAAACGAAAAGTTCGTGAACTTGGAGACGATGGTTGATACATGAGGGCCAAAGGACCCCACGCTCAAGGGGTTAAACATGCAGCCACCCCAGCCAATTGTCCTCGAAGCTGAGGATGTGATTTGGAGCCTGAGGTTGCTGAGGTTGGGCAAGAAAGAATTGGCTCAATTGAAGAATAGAAAACGTCATATTTAATAAGGCACATGATAAAGACCCTGATCTGGGTCGGTGGTGTTCGCACGTAGATGTCTAGATCGTACGCCATCTTGCACTTCGGACTCATGGCAACCTCTTTTCTTAGCATCCATTTGGCGAGGGATGTCAGCGTGGGGTATGGTGTAGATCGCTCGCAATCTCTCTACAAATGAGCCGAAAAGGTTGCGTTTTACTCAAGCGACCGAAGCAGCTATCCAGCTTGAGACACCTTGTACCATAGCACGAGCTGTAAGGACATGTAACGCCACGCTGAGAAAAGTACGCTTATGATAGAAGCTGACGGGAATCTCGGAAGTGTGGACACTTTGCAGCTGATTTGGCGGACCTAGTTGCACTTCAACGATGGCGTCCTGCATGGCTCTTGCTCTAGTCAACGAGCAGCGGATGACCTGCTCCATCGACACTCCGATAAAGATATCGCGGACGCAAACGGCAGATCATCCCGCTCGTAGCATAGTAAGCAAGCCTCAAAAGAGACATTAGACAAATACAGAAGCTGAGGAGGATATTTGTAGGGAAGTTCGAAGCAGGAGCACAGAGCAGAGACCCATGGCTTGTTTCCCATGAACCTCACTTCAAAGGTTCATTCAGCGATGGTCAATGTCCAAAACGAGGATTTCAGGAGATTACTGAAAGCGTTATCAGGACCTGCGTCTGCTATGGTGTAGGTAAACAAAGATAGGGCACAGGTGTCCGGGATCGACGGGCGCACATACACTGTTTTAGACCCGGTTGTTTCTGCAGCGGACATTCTCGGTCGTCTGTTCTTCATGAACAATAATCCCAGGATCGCCGGTCTAGACTCCATCAGTGCTGGTGGCGACTCGTGAAGTGGCTTGAGTAGCCGCTGAACAAGAAAGAAGGATGGATACAAGATAGGCTTGACACGAACGAGAAGAAATCCCCGAAACAGTCGCTATAACACCAAAGCGCCCCTAGCCTCGACTCGTCTGCGACTCAATTGCGATTCAGGGCCAATGGTGCCATGTTCGGGCCAATCGGTCATAACGATGTGAGGAGAAGGTCCTTCTGGGGGCCTGTCATTTGCCTGTCACTTTCGGCTAAATCCACAAGCGCCGGATGTGGCGTTTTTGACAGCTTCCACCACTTCTCTGGTCTTCTGCCGCTTAGCCACTTTCGGCCGACCTAGCGCCTTCCATCCTTTCTGCCAGGCTAGCACTTCTTTGCATCTATCAATCTCATTTGTGATCGCCAGACACCAGCCCTCTCTTTCGTCCCCACCCTGATTGCCAATGAGCAGACCAATACTACAAGTTCGCAAGGACGCTTGCTCCCTAGCCAAGCCCAATTCTTAACGAAACCAAGACTAGACCGAGCCGTTTCCACTGGCTTAGCAATCTTTCAGTCAAATATGTGGGTCATAGTGCTGCAGTAGCTGGAGCATATCTGTGATTCACCGCAGTTCCGTCCAGGCGAAATTCGGGATCTAATTTGCAGCCACGTCTGGGTGTCTGTGCCTTTATCTACTAACATTGTTGTACTTTATGACTCTAGTGCAGCGATCCGTGGATCTTCTTTCTCCTGAAGCATTGTCTGTCTGCATTATTATCTTGCGTTAACTTTGGCGACCCTCTTGCAAGTCGCAACTTTGACAATAGAATTCGAGCGTATACCTTCTGAAGGAGTCCTAAGCGACAATTGGGCATCGGGAAGCGTACCAGTCAACACTAGAGTAATATGCAGTCAGTCTCGTCAAAAAGCGGCCACTCTGAAAAGTAAAAGACTGTAAGCTTTGCAGCTCTACTCAACGCAGCGCTACACTCCAGTCAATCAGACTCTAGGTAGAGGAACGCATCCCGATCGCCAAGCTAGAACTTTTCGTTATCAACCATCTCGCACTTTGCAGCATGCTCGAGAGGGAACGAGGTCCAATTCGTTTCCAGGATTGTGGGCCTCCCCTCTCTCCATCCTCCTGATCTTCTTCTCCTCGATCACTAAGTTCCACCGGGAATTGTTTGCAATCAATCCAGGCCAAACATGATCGAGCATGTAGCTCAGGCATCTGGGAGTATAAACCCGCCAGGATTTCAGCAATATTTTCTCCATTCGCAGAACAACGGAGCAATAGAACTACCAGGCTTTGCCCGACGCTTCATGCGCTCTTCTGTAGCAGTCTCACAACACATAGGCTGAATTTGTGTTTCATGCCCTTCGCATGTTCACTTGACTATTCTGCGACTGGCTACGTCATCCTTCGAGACAATGTCCGGTGCTTAGAATCAGGGTCAAGGCTCTTCAGATACCTATCATTTCATCCTCCTGATATGTAAAGCTGGCCCTTTTGCAGTGTTGGTCGGAACTGTCAGTCTTCTCTCCAGAAATGAGGTTACCCTCGCCTCGACATTCAAGACTTTGTACAATGCGGGTAAAATTTCCGGGTTTGTCGGCAAATATTTCCTTTCACGTGTTGCTGTCTCGACAGTTAAGCTACGTCCTACATCATCATAAGCCGTAATTCGAACATCCTCGTAGAATAACTATGTTGTGGTGGAGCCGTCCATCGGCACTGATGATCTTATGTACAGTCTTTAATCGACCCGAAAATAGAAGGTGACCAGGGTGAAGAAGCAAAATGGTAGTGACCACAATTTACGTCGTTCGCCATGCGATCAGGGCCACTTACACTGTGGACCCTGAGACTGGCAAGTATCACAGTCAAGTTCCCATTCCTACAGGTCTAGATGGAGATGTGCCCCTGGCTGCAAAGGGAGTCGCCCAAGCCAAGGAATTGGCAATTGCCTTGACATCACTACCGATCTCTCGTTATTACAGCTCTCCGTTCTACAGGTAAGTCATCCTGCCAGTAAGCCTACTTCTTCTCTCACCGAGAGAGTCTGTACAAGTATGCTACACTTAGCCCTTCTCTCCTCACTAAGGCGAAACCCTCCCGGCCTCTTCTAACATTTCCTTCCGCAGATGTCTCCAAACCATCGCTCCCTTCGCTACTTCCACATCCCACAATGTCCGTGTTGACCCCGGCATCGGCGAATGGTACGGTCGGGCCCGCTTCTCCCACCCCATCCCCGCCTCGATCTCTACTTTGAAACCCTTTTTCCCCTTCATTGATGACGATTACCCACCTACCATAATCCCTTGTCACAATGGCGAGACTGTGGATGAAATGCACGATCGAGTTGCCTTTGCGTTAACGACAATTTTAGCAAGGGAGGATTTAGCGGCTGAAGCGGAAGACAGTGGCCAGGGGGGAAGGGCAATCCTCATTGCCACGCATGCAGCAAGCATGATTGCAATTGGACGAACTCTGACAGGGCGGATGCCTGCTGATGTAGCGGAGGATGACTTCCAGACTTTCACGGCGGGAATGAGCCGCTTTGTGAGGAAGGAGGTGCCTAAGGAGTCGAAGGTAGAGTTAGAGACGTGGGACCCAGCGCCGGGAACTCCGAAGGTAGATTGGAGGGATGGGAAAGGGATTGCCGGGGGATGGGAGTGTGTGGTCAATAGCGATTGCTCGTATTTGACAGGTGGTGCTGAGAGGGGATGGTGAGTTGGTTCTTTCTCTCCTGCAGAATTGCCCCCTTATCAAGAGTCTGATGATGGCATAGGTCTTTAGCTGAAGCACAGACGTTTGTCTAGGCATTTCTCGGGCGATGAGAGCTTCGGAACAGATGCAGTGAATGCCGCAGGAATAGACTCGGTGGCTGAGAGACTTAGAATCATAAAGGCTGCAAAGCTATAGACAAATGGCTTCAATCCCGTGTCCCGAATTGATCCACTTGCCATCTATCTGAGTTTCATCCAGCATGTAACGCTGCGTGGAGAAGAGGCATGAGCCGGATGAACTGCTTAAGCAGTGGTCAATAAGTCTACAGGGCGTTATTATCGGCAATATGTCACAAGAAACAGGGGCCCTATGTGCTTGCCTGATTGAGAGCCCAGAGCAGCAAAATAATCATCGCTACTCGCAATTTCAAACTCTGCCCGACATTGCTCTTTGCGGCCGCTACTGAACTCACAGCTCCATTGCCTACAGTCTTTGCTAGCTTCATAGTGAAGGGTAGATCCTCGCTCTTCTTTCCCGGAGTTACTGCATCATGACTTTCATCTCCCTCTATGACCTCCATGTCTCGTACTTTCGAAGGGTCGATAATCCAATCTGTGATAGTACTTGTTGCTTCATTCACCTTTTTGGACAGCCACACAAATATAATGCTATGGAGAACGAAGTCTCCGTACTTTCCAAACAGGCCTGTTCGAAGCAATCCTCTCGTGTCTGCTGCGAGCCATATGTGGAACCTTAGATTCCATGTGTAAGTGACCTTCTCGAGCTATTTGTGAAACGATTGTTACTTACTGTAATGTGAATGTCTCCAACGAGATACGTCCGACCCAGGCAAAGCCCGCTGAGTAATAGTTGCGAAGCGTCCAAGTGCTATTTCGCAGAACAATGAAGGCTGCGACAGGAATGAAACTAATGTAGGGCAGCACGGAATTGTACGATGCCTTAGTGTTGACGTGATAGGCAAGAATTCCAAAAGAAGGAAGAGCAAGACCAGCAACAAGAATACAAGTTGCTTGAATTGTTAGGTAGTGTTGTTTCAGGAACCGGCTTCTATGGTCATTGCTTCTTCTACTCACGCTATCCGTAGCCTTGATATAGAATAAGCCGCTCAGCATCCCAAAAGGAACAATATAGCTATCAAGCAAAAGTCTGAAACGTGATTCCTTGAGATCCCAGTTAACCGCACAGCAGCTGTGCAAAAGCCTGAATACTTCCTCAAAGAATCCCGATTTTTGGATTATGAAGTTCACAATCAACGTCGAAACCACGATCTTTGATGCGACGAAGGTGGCAGAGGCATTCCGATCCTTTTGAACATACATGGTCATGTACAGCACGAGGTACCAGAAACTAGTCAGAGGTGCAAAGTAGTAAAACACGTAGTCCGTGTCCATGACGTAGGGGAGTGTTATACTGATGCTATTGAGTCGTATTATGACTGATAGCAGCCTTTTGAGAGAGAAATCACTCCTTTTCAGGAAAAATATGGTGTGGCCATAGCCTGTCATGAAGAGGTAGGAGGCAACCAAAATCCGGACCATTTGGTATATCGGGAGTAGGCTACTTGCTCCCGTGTAATGATAAATAAGTATAAGGATCTGCATCCAACCTTTCCATTCATCTGTCTGGTCTCGGAATAGAATACCTACGTCTTGAAGATCACTCAGTGGCTTCGATTGGCGAATCGTAAAGGCTCCGAATAAGGTGGTAGCGAAAATCAGAGCCAAAAATTCCCGAATGGAAAACTGCTTTTGCGCTTTGTCCCACAAATATGATCGATCCGAGAAGTAGCACAAGCATAAAGCCATTGCCAGGACGACAAATGATTTAGAAGCAGTATGTGGTGGAAGAAAACGTGTCATCGCAAGAGTTCTTCTTGATCTCACAATTCTACCGCTCACTACGATCGTAAAGCTCGCACACAAGCCCACACTCATGACCTGTATCCAATTAGGAGGGGGATATCTGTTGCAGCAAGTCTTGCTGAAGGGATATCTTTGTGGTAAAATTGCGTTACATTTCAGGTTCAGGATTACGTCAACCATTTTGTCCCCAATCTTGTCGACAAGGTGGAGTCCGGAGACATCATAAGCCGTGGGAAATTTGTGATACATGGCGGAGAAGGCTCTTGGAACCGATATAGCGTGCTGAAATGACAGCTGATCCAGGCGCTGGCTCAAGGCTTCCACTCTTGATGGGGTGATCGTTTGGTACCGATCTTCGGAGAGCGATTCGTACCATGGTATTTGCAAGGGTACCAGCAATTTGAGAGAATATGAGTCGACTGGAAAACCTATTTGGGTTGTTTGATGCATGAAGGGAAGCAGAGCACCAACGCTTTCGCTATAGTGCTCTAAAAAGGCAGCTCCCAAGTATCGAGCATGCCACATTCCACCCCCCACCACGATGACTACTGTCGACTGATCCGTTGAATTGGCTTGACTCGCATCCGCTTCGAGCTGCAGCTGTTGCCTCAGTGTGGTTGAATTGAGATATGGGTCCCAGATAAAATTTAGGCCTATCTCCTTCCGCTTTATGAATATGTCGCCATGCTTTTGAGCCCTATGTTGGTCTTCATAGGTTTTTGCGGCGTCGAGCTTTCGAGAAGTAGCCCAAAAGAGCTGCCTGACCGAAGAATCGCCAATGAAGGAGATTTGACGACCTTGAAGGCACTGTTCCATGTCTTTCGCTTGATAACGATGCAGCATGCAACCTGCCGGCTGCCAGTTCAGGAACGACGGGAAGTCTGAAGATGAGTCTGGGTAGTCGAGCCATTCGCCATCGTTGAGCAGTGCTCGACATTTGTGTGGATCATCCCTATCTGCAAATACTTGAATTAGAGGGTACGGCCATGTACCTGCATGTACCTAGGCTTACCGAGGACATAGTGTCGAGTAAGTACGCTGAATACCAGAAGGATAAGCAAGCAAGAGCAAATGTGGTCGAGCGCTTGAAAAAGCGCTGACCCGTGCTTGGAGTATCGCATTGCGTGTGGAAAGTCGAGATCTAAGGTATCGAGGTTGAAGGCCAGAGACTTGATCGACGCGCGTTGACAACACAGTGTGTTGGTGGAGAAGCCAGAGACCCACGAACTCTGCTTGACATCCGTTTCTCCACCTACCACAAGAATACAGGAAGACCAAAAGCATTTTGGACGAAGGAAATAGGACCTCTACGCCAGCCAACTACTGAGATTGCACGAGATTGGCTTACCAATGTTGAAGATCACTTGCAGGTCAACGGTCCCACGACCACGGCCATCGGATAGACCTACGTATTTCATGAGATTCATGCAATTGTCCATCGAAGATGAAGCATCTGCGGATCATAATAACTAAAATCAGCCGGACATGGCCATGGTTGATGCTCAACAATGCTAATTTATACTGCTCATCATGCAGCTAGTCGGTCTTGCTCACACTTCAATGAGTGCAGGATGTGCCACATCTCGCGACTCACCTTGTGGCACGCTTGGAGTCGGATCTGAAACAGATGAAGCTCCTTCTCCTGTGCTTGATTGAGCTGCTTCTCGAGCCTCCTCTGCTGCCCGTTTCTCTCTTTCTTCGCGTTCTCTAATATCTTGCTGTCTTGCCGCTTCAGCTGCTTCCCGGGCTCTGATGTGTCGTTCCGCCACTCCTGGAGCCAGACTGGCCAGAAAAAGTGCCGTCGCCCTCTCGGCTCGACGTAATGTCTGCTGAAACACATTGCCGTTTTGCTGCGCTCTCTCATCAAACATTCTTTGTGCAGCTTCTTGTGGCGCTGGCTCTCCCTGCCGCCCCTGCGCAGCTTCAGGGATGGGCTCAACTCTCCTAGGCTGACGGGTTGGCTGCTCATTTCCTCCCAAAGCAAATAAATTATCCGCATGTCGCCTTATAGGTTCCCACAAGCCACGAAAGGTCCCCAGTTGAGCCAGAAAGACAAGTGTAGCTAAAGAGCAGAGAATCATAGTTCGCGTTAGACTTGCCCCGTGTGTGAAAAAGTACACAAAACCGAAAAGTCGGATAAGAAGCCACAGATGTCCTGCCATTGGCAACACAATACGAGCAAATTCTCTACGTTGCTGTTGGTTTATGAAGGGTGCGTTGCCATTGTCGGCTTGAGCTGGCAATGGTACTATCTGCACAGCATTGTTTTGTCCTTGCTGCACGTTGGCATTTGGCAAAGGCGCTGGGACGGAGTTTACTTGATTTGATTGATGGCCAATTGGGTTCGCCATGATTGAAGCACCTATGACGCCCGACATATTGGGTACGGCGCTTGTGACTGTGGGATGGCTGGCAAAGCCTGGAAAGATTGGACTTGGCCAAGGGGCGGAGAAGGTGCCATTCGGCGAGACAAGGAGCGCGTGGGGCCTCCCATTGGGTGCTGAAAGCAAATAAACTGAAGAAGAACCCGGGTTTTCTGGCGGTCGAAGAGGGATGGGTGCTCCTTGGATTCTGGATGGAGTTTGCACGGAATTCATGGACGGTACTGTGGCAGGGTTGTTCGACGCAGTCTCTGTCGTGTGACCATTTCCGATGCTCGGTGTCCCCCCAGCTGGGGTTTGCGCGTGAGGGTGAGCATTCTGATGAATGTGAAATTGCGTGGTGACATTTGCCGTTTCAGTCCTCGTGAACCACCGCTGTCCATTTGGACCAATATGCTCTCGATATGTTGTATTGACATTCTGGTGAGATGGGAGGTAAGGACCAGATGGAATTTGTTGGCCGCTTAGTGCCGGGTTGACATGGTGCTGTGGTATCAGATTCTGCGCCAATAATCCACTCTGTTGGCCGGACTGCTGAGGCTGTAATGAGGAGGGATTAGTATTAGGCTGTGGGGCCTGGGCTTGCACGATAGGATGATTAGTGAGATTCGCCATTTGAGCTGCTAGCTGCGCTTGAAGGGCATGAAATTGTTGGAACTGTTGCTGCAATTGCGGTGATAGTTGCATCTGAGGTGACGGTTGCTGAACTCCAATATCTGATGGGGTGGTAGAGGGCGTTGATTGAGGCCTCGCATTGACTCCATGTTGAACCTGAGGAACGGACTGTGGTGACTGGCTTGGCTGAGGTGGCGGTGTACGAATGGGGTTCGGAACAGTACGAGGATGAGGATGCTGTGCGGATATGACCAGGTGTAATGTCAAAACTTCATTGTCGTTTATCTTGGAAAGTTTAGCAGACTGCCATGCAATTCCCCAAAGATGCATACCACTGCCTGGCTGAAGACTTCCTTTAAGGTCCTCTCGATTTGCACAATAGGATGACCCCGGTAAATTATTCGCTGCAGAGCAATCGGTGGGTGCGCTGGCGATGCCTCGTGTATAATCCTTTTCAAAGCTGCCAAAGTAGTAGAGGTAGGGAAGTCATTGAAGGTTACAGAAGGAGAGTTCGGGGACAGGATGTGGAGTCGAATTCTGTCTCTCTCTGATGGCACGGAGGCTGAGTTCGGAGTCTGATCCATCTTCTTCAAGTAGATTTGGTCATGAGTACTGAATGGCGTGTAGAGGGCAAATGCATACCTGGCATTAGGATACCGTAAACCCGATGACAATCCTGGAGTCTTGGCGATAGAAGAAGGTACCCCCGCTCACCCAGAAGTCGCCCGGGCCCTGCGACACCTTGCTAAGGCGATATAGTATTAACCTTTGACAGTAAACACCTTTAGGCTACCCTATTTATATCCAATCTTCAAGTATTGATCTGAATATAGCTAATAAATTTATAAAATATGAGAGTATTATATTTTTAGTTAAATTATTATTTACTTAATAAAATAATTCTTAAATTTTTCTAGACTTAGATACTAATTATATAGATATAATTTTTTATTAATTATATTCATACAAATGTTATTTTCTTTGATTTTGAGGGGGGCGAGTTACCTCAGATCACCCACTTGAGCCTAGTTCAGCCCTACCCGGCTTGGCATCCGGTCTTGCACTTACGAGGGTTGTGATCAAAACTCCTGTCCGATTCCCGCAGCGGCTTGGCGCAAAACATCGGACAGGAGTTTTGATCACAACCCTCGTTAGCTAGAGAACAATCAAGAATAATGGCAGATAGAGACATTCCCAGCAGTGACGATGCGCTCCCCTTCGATAAAAAGAAAGGCTTTTGGAACTGACTGGAAGGCAATTCGCGTACTGCTATGAGCGGTAATGCAGTATCAGTCGCTAATTCGCCTGCGTCGACGCGTAACACCGAGATCGTTGACATTGCCAAGCAGGTACAGAAAATAAAGGTCCCAGGTAGCCCCACCGAGGACTCATGCATCTGCATCTGCGAGTAATATGGTTTAACGCTTTCCAAACTTCTACTGGCGACGCTGGTATGTTCTGCCCGCAGCATCAACAACAGTCCGAGTTCAGTCTCTGTTCTTGGTGATAGCACCTGCATGCCCTATCGAGGCCCTTGCGACCACATATCAGCCTGGTACTGTGAGCGCCTCATATCCTCGTGGCACAACGACAATAGAGAATGTCAAATCCTCGAATGGAGCAAGTTTGCGCCGGCGGAACGGCACTTTCCTTACAACCTCGAAAACAGGGGATGCGTCATATCCATCAACCTCAGAAAATGCCTTCGCAAATGACAGATTTGCAGTTGTGGACATTGTAATGCCATTGTTCGACATCTTTCTATTTTGCCTACTATAAAGAAGGACGCGAGATCCCACCAGGCCACCCAAGCGGTAGAGACTCGTATACTTGGATGTTACAGTGCAATGAAATTATCGCGGCGCGGAAATGCATACACACAACCCATCTTCAGCCTCTCGTATTGAAGGTTACGGACAATCTCCCGGACTTGAATAAATGGGAGCGTTTTCGTGCGCGTGGCACGCCTGACAAGGCACATTACTAGTGGTGCTAGTACCCTGCCAATCAAGCCCGTCTATATTCGTCAGGCCCCCTTTCCGCATCGACTTTCATTTCGCTTTGAATCTTTTTGGCGTCGTGACTTCTCGTCAAGAGGAAGTGATGCGTCATCTAAAGCCTGCAGAAGACATGAGTGCAGCCCAAGCCGCGAAAAAACATTGAGGAGTTTTGTTTCCCACCCTTTGGTCACTTGGCTGGGATGCCGTTCCGCTCAAATATGGTTGCTTTGCTGCTCTTGCGTTGATCCACCTCTCTACCTTCGTTGTCCTCTCCATGCTCTTTACTTGCGAACAATTGAGGTCGTCTTATCACTCATTAAGTTGTATCATCAGCACTCGTTAGCTCAATTTGGATGTTCCATATTCTTCTTTGCATAGTCGTAGTCTTCCGGCTACACCTCGCCGCTGCTGCTGCTCTCGGTAAGACTCGATGTCTCCGGAACTGTCTGTGCAAGCACTCATACATTCAAAGCCCAATCGCCTTCTTTCGCAAATACTTCAGCTTCTGTGCCAGCAGCAACAAACCTTAGAGAATGTGGAAAATGCGGGATCGAAGCTCCAGGGGGCGTCCAGCTTGTATACTGGGCTCCTGACAATGTCTCAAATGGCTCGATCCGGACAAACCAGTCTACTTCTGTCCTTGACGGCTTCACTTTGTAAGTACCGTGGTGGAACTCTTGAGATTAAGTCTGACCTGGACGCAGCACGTCACCATCTGTCTACGTAGTATACTCTTCGTTGAGAGCAACCGTGACCTGTGGCGCAGCTTCAACATTACAAACAATCGGCCCCGTATTTGACGCAAAGACGATAGGGTACTCGTCTCGCTTCCTAGCCTATGGCACTCTCTCAAGTCCTGACCAGCGTTGTGACGAGAACGTCGTCGTTGATGGATTCCATACGATCGATTTCTCGTCTCTTTATTATAATCCAATAATCACTTCCACGACAACCAAAGCTGGTTGTCCACCTTACATCAACCCGCGGCTATCACTGCCAGCAGAGCTGACGGATGTCGATCCGTCGTGGAAAAGCTGCGAACCACTCTTTTATGGTGCATTTGATCCGCCAAGGGTGATTGGTCATGCTGATACTCTTGCTCCACCCAAAGATCAGGCTGGTCCGGTGACGAAGGCAGAGCCAGCTACGATTCCCACCCCGGAGCCCAAACCGGTGGCAGTCCCGGCTCCGGCTAACCCGGCTCCTACCCCCTCATCAAAAAAGCCAGATGCACATGCGAATGATCCAGATGACGGGGATGGCGAATCGGCAACCATGACTCCGAATTTCAAGGGGAATGTCTCTCCTGACCAACCAGGTTTGAGTCATGACGCACCTTCTAAGAATTCACCACCGGATGATCACCATCAGCCGCAACCAGCTGGCAATACACCGACTTCTGATGGGGCGCCACCACCCCAGCAAAAGCAAGCGCAACCGGGTAGCAGCGAAGGCGTTCCTGATGAATCAAAGAGCCAGAAGAATGGAAACGGCAACCAAGTGGCACCTGCACCAGCTCCAGCTGCGGCACAAGGGGCGCCTCAAAGTGACCGTAATGAACCCAAGCCACCGACTCACGCTGTGGTTGATGACACAAATCACATCGTCTTCGCTCCAGCCAACCAGCCAGCACCAGCGTCTCCACCAAAAAATCCTTCATCTTTGCCAATATTTGATCCACAATACACAGCGCAGACACCCTCCAATAGAAACGAAAATGGAAATACTAATTCTCACGGCGGTTCTCCAAGTTCGGCGAATCTGATTTCGGGAACGCTTACAGGGAACTCACCTCCCGCTGATAACCCACTGCCCCCTCCAACCAGCATGGTGCCGGACAACGTCTACGATCATCAAGGCATCACTCCAGTAGTCAAAGACGGCTCCTCCTCAGACGCTCAACGTCAACAAGATAGTCCAGGATCACCACAGCAAAACAACCAGCCAGCTCCCGCCAGTGGTTCGTCTGCGGGAACTCCGCACCCAAATTCTGGCCCTGGGTCATCACAACAAAACAATGATCAGCCCCTCACCCCCGATTCTGTCTCCGACACAACCCAGCAAAATCCCAACCACCCTGACTCCAATCCCCTTGCCGCCACCCCCCCACCTTCATCCCCATCAGCTCACCTCGCCCATTTCGCCCTCGGCGGTGCCCCAGTTCACGCGCTCCCCGCATCCCAAGGCGGCGGGCTGAAAATCGGTTCCGCGACCCTATCCCCAGGCACGCAGACGACCATCTCGGGCCTCCCCATCTCCCTCGGATCATCCGGTGTGATCGCACTAGATGGCCAGAGCTACGCTTTCATCACCGCTCCTCGGCCCACCAATCCACCTACACAAGGAGGAGGGGTGGCAGGGGGGCGGGAGCGGGAAACCAAGGCGGAGCAAACGCAGCTTCGGGATCAGTAGTAGCTGGTGGAGGGGACACACGAGCTCAGGCCCAAGTGGACGCGTTCGCTGACTCACTCGCCCTCCCCCCTCCTACCGACGGTACCGACGGGACTTCAGCAGCAGCAAGTTTCACCATCCCCATCCCGCCAGGCAGTAAGCCAGATGTATCAGTCCTCTCCGCCGCACTGCCGGGCGCTAGTATTGCTATCTCGCCGGACGGCAAAAGCGTTAATGTGGCGAACTATCGTCCTCCTCCGACTTCCTCGGGTGCCTCAAATAGTGGCGGCGGCGGCAACCGTGGTGGCGGCGGAGGAGGAGGCGCTGGGGGAGAGAACGGAGGGCAAGGCGTAGCGCTCCCCACAGCCACCAACCTGGGCGCCATAGTAGACGGTGCATTCGGCGCCGTCGAGCCTAGCCCCGCCAATCCCAGCTCTACTGATGCAGCCGGGTCCGGGCAAGACACAGCTAACGTGAAGAAAGCGATCGCGGCGGCGTTTTATCCCGGTACCTCCTCGTCCTCTACCTCCAACTTTATTAGTACACACGGGTCAGCCGGTGACGATGAAGGGGACGACGTACTCATCTGGATCCCCGACCCCGACCCAAACCCCAACTTTGGCCCTGGAGGAGGCTCCAATGACTCGAATCCAGGAGGCGGAAGTGGAGCAGGAGGAGTGAGGAACGGGAAAGCGGTGGCGCAGTCCACCTTGTTATCCACGGCAGGCAGCGTCACTCCGTCCGGGGGGACGATTTGGAATTCCTCGAGCGCGAGCGCGAGCGATATATTGACGAGTAGTGGAGGAGGAGGAGGAGGGGCGCCGCCCCCTCCGGTATCGACTGGGCGGAAAGAGAGCCGCGGAGGGAAGTTGAGGAGGGGTTGGACAGTAACAGAGTGGTTCGGAGGTCTAGTAATTTGGGTGGGGGTGGGGGTTATGATATGAAGGCATTAAGGTCTATGGAAAGGGAAGAGGGGGAGATATGGTAGGGAGGGGTGGGTCAAAGTTATGATCGGCAGCTCAACAATCCAAGACTGGATACTGGAGAGAATATACATATATAAATATATAATGTAATAAGAGCGATGCAAGGTATCACGTTAAGTCCCCATCATTCCAATCGCCTCAGAAGAGGGTTTATGAATGATTAGCGACGTATTCAAAGGAATGCTTTTGGTTTACAGATTGCTCTAGGTAATTTTCTTCATGTCTTTTGTCCGCAAGACCTCCATAATCGGTTCAGCCGAGGCAGAATTTACAATAGGGTCTGCAAGTGATTGGTCTTTCATTCACCCTATAGCCCATCATCCTCTAGTCTCAAGCCTTGCTGTTGGTGTTTCTTAATCCGAATCGAAATCAACATCGAGCGGCTCCGTGCTCTTGAATTGGGCTTGTGGGCTCGCCTTTGACGCTTTTGCTAGATTAGGGGGGATCCCGGGCTTTGAATGGGTTTCGCAGTCAGATCGAGTCTTGTACCAATGGCTTCAGCGAATCTCTCTCGATCCATTTTCTTCAGACGCTGCATATAGCCGGCGAATCTTGATCCTAAAGGAGGGCGGTCAGTATGCTATAGCAAGCGGCAAGCGGCAGGAAAGTGAGCATACCGATATCCAAGACGGTTTGAAAGTGTGAGGCTTGGACTTCAACACCGTCTTGGCGTGCAAGTGTGAGTGCTGTCTTGACGGCGTTACGAATTTGGCGACTATTAAAGTCTTTGTGAGCCCAATTATCTCGAGCTTCTCTCGCCAAAGCTCGCCTGTGATCCTGGGATAGGTGCTTCAAGTCTTTGATGAATAGATACCAGAGTTGCCGCCTATCCTCGACCGAGAGCGGATCTATGCCCAACGTAATGTGTAGACGGGATTGGAAAGCCTGGTCAAGATGAACAAAAGACTATGATCAGTTGAATTAGCTGGCTTACCTCGTCTATAGTGCCAACCCCTAAATCAGATTAGCATTGAACCTGGTGCTTTCAGATGTAAATCTTACGATTTGTGGTCAGAAACAAGACCCCGTTGAAATATTCTGTGAAGGTTAGCGATGCTAGTAACGCTGCTGTAGCTACTTCGTACCTATATTGCGAAGAAAAACTGACAGAGACGTCAACTTCGTTCAGGATGACCTTCAATCTTTTTAAGAGACTCACCAGATACAAGCGCATTTCTTAACAGATTTTCGAGGTTACGCTCGGCGAGGAAGACGTCTGCTTCATCAAGTAGTAGGAGGGCATTCCAACGAACAGCGTAGTCGAAGATGGCGAGGAGTTTCTTCTCAACGGTCTCAGGGTCCGTCCCGATATCGCCTGAAGTCACGGAGTATAGGGGTCTCTCGTACATGTCCGCTACACATTCTGCCGTCAGTGTCTTGCCAACGCCAGGAGGGCCTGGAAACTTCAGTATTGGTCAGCACTGGTCCTGGGCCGACAAACCGTGTAGAAGGATATTCAACCCTTGTCCTTTACCTGCCACAAGATCATTGAAGCGGTCTTGACCTTGAGTAAAATGTTGTGCTACCATGGCTTTCAGCGTCATCTTATACTCCTCTCGTAACACCAGCCGATCGAACGATCTCTTATTGAATTCGACTTTAGCGAGACTATTCACATGGTAAGTCTGCCATTTCTTTGTCCGAAATTCTCCATCACACCAACAACCCATAGAACAGGTACTGTAGGACTCGACGGAACTGCCGCGCAAAATGAAATTGGCTCTTCTGTCTTTGACCAACAAAGTTCGCACCTCGAGATCTGCAGCTTAATTGAATGTCGGTATGTTAGCAAGTATTGTGCGACTTGCGACACCTGTCTGGACCAGGCAATTTCTTTGAACAGCTTTCTCTGAGCTACTTTTGTTATTGCTAGTAGTACTGAACAGGATGCGTATCGGTGTAGACAGCAGAGACACGGCTTACATTTGCTTTTGCTAGCATAGTTTCCGGAGTTACCTTTTGTGCCCTAAGGCTGGCTATAGACGACGTCAATAAACATGTCCCATCAGACCGCCAGGATCTCCTTATTGACAAACGGACAAACTTCAAGAGCCTCTTGCAGACTGCTCAAGAGGAGTTAGATAAGCGTTTTGCGATAGAGGTATCGTCCAGCAAAAAAACCAGGATTTGGCAAAAGATCAAGGCTGGGCTTGAAAAAATTTTGTCGGGTAGTAAATCATTACTCATCGGTCATGGACGTCCTAGTTTCATCTCATCCAGAGTTTGCGGCACTAGCTTGTAAGAATTGACATTCAAATGGGGAGTGATGGTTGACCAAAGCATACAGGGGGAGCGATGAAGTTTTTACTTGCTGTGAGTGTCAATCATCAGGAGCTGAAGGAGAAAATCGTGGATCACCTCGCAGATATTGGAGATCAATTCAAAATCATGGACGGATACATTCGGTTGTTTCCAGAGGCGGACATGGTCGAGCAGGTTGCTGGCGTCTATGATAATTTTATAAAATTCCTTCAGCTCTCCATTGACTGGTGTAGGGAGAATGTATTTGGTGAGGTACCTTTACAAGATCGTTTAATAGTGCTGATCTATTCGACGCCAGTCAAATTCTTCAAAAATGTTGCCCTGCCTTATCAAGCGCGCATCAAGCCAACCATTGATGAGCTGAATAAGTACTCAAAGAGGGTCAAAGACCGCGTGGACGTAAATAATACCTACCGGCTAGCTGTGATGCAGAACGACATATCGGCACTCATTACCAGCCTCGACGATACAAAGAGACTGCAGATCAGCTCACACACCACCATCGCACAACTGCTTCGAGCAATTGCACAAGAGCAGACTAAGAAAGAAGACGTAGGAAAGGTGCAAAGCTCTGGAGACAGCCAACCCAAGAGCCAAAAAAGACTCACATATTCCGCTCCTTTATCTTTAGATGAACCCATGCAGGCCCTTCCAGACCATCAACCTCCTCTCGAGCACCTCAAACAATGCGCAGTGCAAAGCTTACAACTTGAGGTTGATAATTCTTACAACGCACTTGCTCTTCAGGACAAGCCGGAAGTCAAGTCATGGTTGAAGAGTCGAGAATCAACATTGCTTTGGATTGACGGATTCGCCCATGCCCGCGCAAGTAAATGGACAACCGAGTTCTCAGTCGATGTTATGCTCAAAGCAAAAGAGCAAGGAAGTATTGTGCTCTTCTACTTTGCCGATATAGCAGCAGAAACATATGGAGATCCGAGTGCCACTTACTTCGCACTGACAAAGACCATCATCAATTCCTTCGTCGCGCAGCTCTTACTGCAGTATCCGTCCCTTGTTCAAGCGCAAAGAGACTGGTTGACAGCTCAGCGCTGGGCTCACGCACGAGACAGCACGAAGGGTGCATGGGCGGTCTTGCAACATCTGCTGCACTCGCTCGCAAACAAACGAGGCATTCTATATATTATGCTTGACAGTATCGATGCCCTAGATGCGGACAATAGTAGGTCGAACAACCTCGCCGCCCTTTTACGACGAATGTCCGCTCTGGTGACCCTTTCTCCTGCACGAGGAAGTGGTTTATCAGGTTCACGACTTGCCTTGAAAATCCTAATTACCACTACCAGTGGCACAAAGCATACAGTGCTCTTTCCATCAACAGCATCTTGCGGACCTCACTCTCACACTTTGATCCGTGTTCCGCAGACTTTCGGCCAACACAATATCCCTCGAGTTCCTGCTCACCAGCACAAACCCCGCTTGAAGCGCCTTGTGCGTTTGCCAGATTCTGACGAAGAATTTGGATTTAAAGCGGCGGATAGCTTTGAATTTTCCGATGAAGAAGGCTCAGAAGACATGGCCTTCAGTAGCGATGAGGAGGTGAACAATGAATCGCCCAAACATGACAGTCATCTTGTACTGCGAACTCACCTCTCCTTGAGGACGAGCCGGGTAATTTTAAGAACTGATGACCGCTTAGACGAGAGAAGTGCGACGCTGTCTAGTGAAGAGTTGGATTTCAGTGACGAAGAAGCTTCTGGCAGAGCAGAGGATCAGGCGAATGCTGAAGACATCCAATTTTCGTCATCGGACGATGAAAGATAAGCCCGTCCTTTCGATAGCCTCATCATGATGATCGATACTATTTTGCGTCAGAACCGATTTTCTTCGTCATTTTATGCCTCGTCGCTGTTTGTTTCACAGCCATACATGCTTTGCTAAGCATTTGTTATCCAACAAATAATTGAAATCCATGCACAAGATTCAACGTGATCGTCAAGTTGTGTAATCGGGTACAAAGAAAGCAGTAGCTGAGGCTGTAGTCGGATGCATCCTCGATAGCTTCTCAGGAAAGAGTCTCTCTGATTGAGTGGGGCTTCGAATTTCGCTTCTCCACTTGCCCAAATACATTCTCTCACCATCAAACCAGGAAGGCTATTGCGCAGTGCAGTGTAGGCCTTTCCAAGAATTTTTCTACAAATCGCAGAAGACAAAGGGTACACGGGTATGGTTCGTGTTGTGTTGGTCAAAGGAGGAACATGGAATGTGAACAAGGACTAATTTATTTTTTTCTTGGCATAAAACTGAGCCTACCTTAAGACAGCGTTAGTCTTTCTTAAGAGTAGTATTACTCCCCTTATTTAACGTACCTGAATATTATGTAATAACTTTTAAAGAACTTCATTCCAAATTTCAAAAGGTTGAAAAAAATACAGAAAAAAACATTATATATATAGGAAACTTTTAGATATTCATCTATAGTAGTAAACATAGGCCATTTAGGGTCCCATCTAATAAAAACTAAGGTATATTTAGGGCATCATTCAGTCGTCTTGGCACGGTACGTCACACTAAGTTGCCCATTTTGCTTCTCTCCTACACCAACAATGCAAAAATGCAAGCTTCCTTTCCACCGGCAGTGGTTACTTGTGACAAGTCGAAAATATGTCTGTCCTTCTTGTCGGGCTCGTTTCTCAACTTCGACTCGAAAACATGATTCGCGCCCTTTTGGTACCCGTCTTCGAGCAGCTCTCAGGGACACCAAGATAGAATGGAAGCCAATTCCAGTAGGGCTTGGAATTGCGTCCGTCGGTGCATTGCAGCTGTATCGTATACAAGCCAGGGAAAGGAGACGGCAAGAAGAGGAGGATCAGGCCAAAGACGAGGCAAAGACCGCCGAAGATCATTCAAAGCACCCGCCTAGGAAGCGAGAGCGTATACGTCCAAGCGGGCCATGGTATGGCTAATCCAGCGCTCTCGACATCTGAATTTTAACTAATCACGAGAAGGCAAGTCCAAATAATGTCTACGTTGCCCCTCAAAGGACTCTCACGGCTATGGGGCCGATTCAACGAATTAGAGATCCCATACTACTTGCGTGTACCAGGTTTTCGGCTCTATAGCTTCCTATTCGGTGTCAAGTATGTATGAAAGAGACTCTCAAAAGCTTATACTAAAGCTTCATAAGTCTATCGGAAGCTTCTGAGACAGATCTACACAACTACAATAACTTAGCATCCTTCTTCTACCGGAGTCTGAAGGCTGGAGTTCGTTCAGTCGATCCAGATAGCTCTGCTCTGCTTTCGCCTGCAGACGGAAAGATATTACAGTTTGGTACGGTTGAAAGAGGTGAAGTTGAGCAAGTCAAGGGTGTGACCTACTCGTTGGACGCACTCTTAGGTCGGGAAACCTCAAGATCAACAGTGGTCAAGGAACATATAGCAGACGATGAGAAGGACAAGTTCAATGACAAGGAGGCAGAAAGGGCAGACGAAGAATTCGCAAAGTTAAATGGTATCTCCTACACGCTGCCAAATTTATTCTCGGGGCCAGAGTCTCACGAGAATTCCACATCCATCGATGCATCGACGAACCCTAAGTCCTCGTCAGAAGCAGAAGTACGTGCCGATCTTGCCCTGGGCGATGGCAGTAGCAAGTCCTGGTTCTCGCCCAAACAGAGGACACCAACAACGCTCCATTACGTTGTAATTTATCTCGCGCCAGGAGATTACCATCGATTCCATAGCCCAGCGTCCTGGGTCGTGTCTATCCGTCGGCATTTTGCAGGGGAGCTATACTCCGTGTCTCCATGGCTTCAAAAGAAGCTGCCCGGCCTCTTCACACTCAACGAACGAGTTGTGCTTCTAGGTCGGTGGCGTTGGGGTTTTTTTAGCTTTATTCCAGTCGGTGCGACAAATGTGGGCTCAATAAAGATAAACTTCGACAGAGAGCTTCGCACCAACAGTTTGGTAACAGATACCGAGGCGGATAAAGCTGCTGAAGAGGCATCAAGCCGAGGTGAACCGTATTCGGGCTATGCTTCTGCAACCTATATGGAAGCTAGCAAAGTTTTAGGGGGTCACGCTCTGAAACGCGGCGAGGAGATTGGAGGCTTTCAGCTTGGCTCTTCAATCGTCTTGGTCTTCGAGGCACCGACGGGAAGTAGAAAGAGCCTTGACGAAGGCTGGGACGGCGGTGCGAGGGGAGGGGGATGGAAATGGGCGGTGAAGAAAGGCCAACATGTCAATTACGGGCAAGCCATTGGCCATGTACTTGAGTGAGCCCCCAACATGGAGGACGTAACACTCAGCTCAATTGAATGCAATCATTTCAGGAGTATCCTAGCATGCTTAAACATGTAGCAGCCCACTTCAATCTCAACCAGAGGATCTGATGCTCCTGGCACATCATGAGTGAGCTTCTACTACAAAGTAGGCGTGACTTAGTACAACGAGGAACGGACTCTCCTGAGGCAACGGAAGTGGACCAAGCTTGTTCAATGTCACATGCAACTGAGTCAGAACATGGGTTCTTTGATATGGTCAACGGGTGAAGTCCGCAAAACATCAAAGGATTGCTACGAGCCTTGACTATCGATCGTTGCTAGATACGAATTGGTCTATGGAGTATTTAGGCTCGTTTAACCTAATAGAAGAATCTAATCAAGTTAGCATTATCTCTTGGTTGGGTCATGGATGCTCTACCCTATGATTTTGCCAGCCACATGTTTTCGTCTTGCCTCCTCATGATCCATAATTCCGGAAGACGTGGTCAGGACTATGTAGCCAAATTGTCTAGACGGTAACAGCTTCACAACCCATTTCTCGAAGTCTACCATGCGAACATTGTAGCGTGGGTTGATGACACCGGTCTTGTTGATGCTAGCAATCTTTAGTTTGACAGTTCGAAGTGCTTGATCGGAGCCAAATACCGTCCGTTTAATTGTATGACTATTTTTCCCGACCGATGGTCATCAACTTCTTCGAATTCGCCAATATAGCCTGTGGAATAAGGTTAGCGATGTCGCGGTCGAATAAACGTTGAAACATCACAAGGGTATTCAGCGAACGTGTAAGATCAACCGCAAGAGTTCAATCTATCGGACCGGTAAAGGGCAGGGATCGTATTATACAGATACTGTATGAGATCATTGCCCAGTTTTGAATCCGAATGAAGTATATCTAGTCGAAATATAAGAGAGCTTTCTTCACCTACCGTGCTTCTGCATGCAATGTAAGAATTTGACGATGACTTTTGAGCTTGGCCGTATGAGGACTTGACGCTTGCCAGCTTTCTCAGCGTTGTTGATGGCATTGAGCGCATCATTGAGAACACTAGTCTTGACCATGGTTGCGACGACTCTTGAGATTCTCAGCTCGTTGCACGGAACTGAGGTATCTGTTGACCAGCACCGAGATTTTGTTAGTCCATGAGCTTAGAACGTCCCCATATCATCAGAGGGTTCAATGGTCTTCGCGCAATAGCACTTGGTCCGCATCACAAGACAGCAATATGATCACCGCAGGTTGTAATCCGAATCATTCACGTACCTCGAGCTTGAATTGTTCCTTGTTAGCGAGAGTGTCGCCTTTCAAAAAACCTGTGGTACTACTACGGCTCGCTTCGATGAAGCTAGAGCTGGAATAGCCTAGTGTCGATTGGATTAGATTAGAGTGCATTTGAACGTCATATGAATGTCTACGTTTTGAAGCATTATTACCATGATTTTGCACTACTTCATCCGATACGCGTCTTCCCTTTTCTCAATCTCTATCTCGATAGATAATGAACGAGGTCGTCTGTTGCACCTGCGCAACCATCATTTCCTCCAACCCACCAGATTACAACGAGAAGACAGCGTTTTCCCAACCAGCGAACAGGCTACTGGACTGCTGTGGTCGTTTGATTTGCGGAAGATGTATACAGGTAAAGTGCTAGGTCCAGACCAAGAGAGTGCGTGCTCAAAATGGCCCAGGAAAACCCGCGGTTCCAGACATATTGTTCGATTTTGCATCTACATTTCGCCCTTGCCACAACTCACAAGTTCTCCAGGTCCCTACTGCCAAATATCGTCAAAGGCTTCAGCGCTACCCTCACATGGCCTTCGAGAGCCTCCAGCATATGCGCCACCCAAAACGCCTAAAGGATCTTTCGAGAATGAGCAGCCCCCAGCTTACTCTATATCGGAACAACGAACGCCACCAACAGAGAAAGGTCGAGAGCAATGCGAGGATACTTTGCACTTCCTCGATCTGTCCCAAGACACCATACCTTCCCTCGCGCTCCGCTACAAAGTCCCTCAAATTGCTTTGCGCCGGAAGAATAACCTCTTTGCGGATCACTTGCTTGCAGCAAGAAAGACGATCCTAGTACCGGGCGAATTCTACAAGGGCGGGGTGAGTCTGAGTCCGAAACCGCTAGAGGATGAAGAAGAAGAGCTTCGAAAGTCAAAGATTAGGAGGTGGATGGTGACGACTAAGAACCCTGAGTATGTGATTTACAACTCGCCTTTGTCGCGCAACGTGTGGTTTTCTGATTATTGTTTAGCTATGATATGGCGTTATTGTATCTTCAACAAGCAGAATACAAGCTTGATGCTGCCGTCGAATCTTATGTTGCGGATGAGAGATGGGAGCGCGAGCACCCGCTTGAGAGCTCTTCCAGAGGAAAATCTGCACGGCGGCGACAGTTTGGTATCGGAATCAGCTTGACAGGTCAGCTTTCGTGACGTCTGATCAGAAGTGGTAGCCTTGTTTAAGCTAAATCAACACCACATTCGAGATCATTGTTCCAATTTCTCCCGTTGTGAATTTTTTATGTTTACCTTGGGCATGCCTCTATCATAACTCGGCATTGGACCTCGGCACTTCGACTCCGCAACTCCGCAAAAAAGCCATGACGAAGAAGTGAAAAGCTGCGTTTTCGCACCATGCGACCTCCTCATTGTAAACAAAATGGCTTCAGAAGCTAAAGTACAGATTGAGCTTAAAGACTTCAACGGCTTGTTCCGCCTTGATGGCAAGGTGGCAGTGGTGACAGGTGGGTCCAGAGGTTTGGGTCTCCACGCAGCTTCAGCGTAAGCGATATATACACTTGCGGTTCCTAACATCTCGACTAACCACTTATCAATATCAAATCAGTCTTCTCCAAGCTGGCTGTGCAAAAGTCTATATAACTTCCCGGAAAGCTGAAGCCTGCGATACCGCCTGCGAAGCCCTCAATGCCCTTTCAAACAAACGATCAGGCGCCCAAGCCATCTCCGCCCCAGCCGATAGCAGCAAGATCTCGGGCGTTGAGGCCTTACTGAGAAAAGTTGCAGAAACAACAACTCATGTTGATATCTTGTTAGCGAACGCGGGAGCAACATGGGGCGAGAAATTTGATACGCATCCTGACTCGGCGTTTGCGAAGGTAATGGATCTGAATGTCAAGAGTGTTTTCAATACGATACGATTGTAAGCTGAATAGCGAATGTCAAATGATAAGTCTGATGACTAACATGAATTGACTAGGTTCGCACCGCTGCTGCAGAAGATTGCTACGGCCGAGAGCCCGTCACGAGTCATTGTCACTGCATCCACCGCCGGCATCCAGGTTGGGTCCTTGGGCGATAGTGCCACCTTTGGCTACTCTGCATCCAAGGGTATACCATCCCAACATCTCTTCAGGTTCACCTCCGCTGCTCTACCTTACCTACTGACAACGCTATAGCTGCCGTGATACATCTTGCGCGGAATTTGGCAGTTGAGCTAGGTCCGAGACATATACTAGTCAACAGTATTGCGCCCGGATTCTTCCCTTCGAAGATGGCGAACGGCATGATCGCGGGTTATGGAGGTGAGGAGGCTTTAGCAAAGCAAAACCCGAACCAGAGACTAGGTCGACCAGAAGATATTGCAGGAGCGGTGATTTATTTATGCAGTCCCGCGTCAAGTCATGTGGATGGTGCAACCCTACCGCTGGATGGCGGAGGGATATGGTCTAAAACCTCTAAAATGTAACCCTAAACAGTTTTCGTCTTTCCTGTTTGAAAACACTTTGGAAAATTGCATCATTCGCAATTGTGGGTCGAAAGTCATCACGAGGGTTTCTCTGATAGGTTCATATCATTCTTTTTCATTGGCTAAGTGAGCTTAGATCGCTAGTTTTAATCGTTCCGTGACTCTTGCCAATTGGAAGGGATACATGACTTTGGGTATACATGATTCTATGCTGCCACCTTCAAAGATCCGTCCACTCCGTATTACTTTGACTCCGATATCTAGTGAGGTGTAATTGGTGCTGCGGGTGCATGGTCGTGTTGCAAGCTGTTATATACAGATGCTGTAGGGTAGAAGGGTACCTTCTGAAATTGAAGATGTAGGTAGGCGATGTGGAATGGCACGGCCGGAAAATAGGGTGTAATTGATGGTGCTCTGCTGGTGTATTGCTGTGCTGAGTGTGCAATAGAGTGGGGAGCCATCCTGGTCTGGCGCTGGGATAATCTATGGAGCTTGAGCGACTCCACGTGGCTGTTCTCGCCAGTGATGAGCGACCATATCAGAGACGGCAACAGAGTGCTCAAAATAGGCACCTTTCTCTGACTTCTGGCTAGAGGATGGGGGAAGGGATAGGGGACGAGATTGAAGAAACAAGGCCGCAGTCACGACATTGTTTGACCACCCTGTACGGTTACGATTTGTCGTTTTACTTGCTCCCGGGCCCAACGTGCAGTCTCGATCGAACGAGGTTGAAAGTCACGGTTAGTCTTGACATCTTTGATGAGGGCAGTGACCCAGTCCTGCTGGAATAGATTGGCGTAGTCGCCATTGGGAAATGTGTCGGCAAGATCACTACACTTTTGTCAACACGTTCTATGCTCTCACTACCTACGATTCACGTACCCGATGACGCCCATGGCGGATCGTAGAAGAGCTTCGCTTCGGTTCAAATCGCGAGCGATCACGTTTAAGACAGTGAAAATTGGCTCAACGTATTGGGTCAACAGGTGCGCTATGCCATTAGCTAACCTATAGACAAGGGTCCCTTGAATTGGCTTACGTTTAGTCTGCTTCATTGCTAGGATAGTTCCTGACCAAGCATCCATAATGCCCTCTCTCAATGATATTACGTAGTCTAGCATTTCAAATCCTTGGCTCTCATTCGTTGTTACGTTTGCGGCGGCTTGCAATACTTGGCCCACGACAGATAGATAAGTCTCAAAGTGAGGCCCGATTGCCTGAGCAATATCGCCAAATGTCTGAAGAATAGCAGGTCGGAATTGGTTGCTGACAGATTTGTCCTGTACGACACATCAGCTCAGGTGCACACGCAGATCGTTCATTACGTACATTCAGATTGCTCAGCAGATAATTCATGAAGGTATCGCAATATGGCTGTGACATCTCTCCGAGTGAGCGCACAACGTCGCTGACCAACCCGATTGCCATGGCGCAGAGACCAGGCTCTTCCCGATTCCCGAGAGCATTGTACAGGAAAGGCGTGAAAGACTCCATATACTTGCCAAAATCCTCCTCAAGTGCGTTTGCCAAGGCACCCACCGCTGCAAATACGGTATCCGGGACGCTAGATTTTGCACCTACTGAATTCAATATCTGTAGTAGTACGTTCATGATACGGTCTGCGGCTGGCTTGACTTCTCCCTCAAGTCTCTGGATTACGGCTAGAAGCACAGACGCTAGGCTCGTCTGGATCTCTTCAAGGGTGATGCGATCCTCAACACTGACAATCTGTTGCTGCATTGGGATAGTGTCTTCAAGTCGCTTCAGAATGACGTCTGCTGTCTTAGCAACAGTAGGCAGACTGTCATTAGCAGAATTAGTGATGAAGGCGTTCAGAACCTCGTACGCAGCCATGCGGAGCTGGTTATCGGTATCAGACCCTTCCGTAACTGAAAGCAGCGTCGAAATACTGTCTGAGAAATGAGGTGAGAGTGGATTCTCCTGCGCACCAGGCTCACCAGCGAATCGCTCCGCCAGGTTCATCAATGCCCAGCAACAGGAGCCAGCCATCTTCGGACTGCTCGATAAGCCAGCAAAAAGGGCGCTGATGAGCGGTCGAAGATGCTCTGTTGCATCAATGGACTCCGAAACGTTCTCGCAGATGCGACCGAGGGCAAATGCTGCGGAGTCTTTGACTTGTATTACAGGATCTTCCATCATGCCAATAAGTACGGGCAACCCTTGCTTGATTAGTGGCTGCAGCATTTTTTCATCGGGGCCCTCCATTATGGCCCCGAACGCCGATACTGCAGCATCTCGCATATGCCAGTCAGAGTGCCTGAGATTAAGTTCCACGAAACCCAACACTGTTTGCACAAGCTCACCTCCTACAGTCTGAGCGAAAAGCTGCAAGCACTGATAAGCTGCTCTTGAGACATTATAGTCCTCATCGGCAGCGTCCTCATCCTGTTGTGTGAGTAGCTGAAGAAGAACTGGTACCACTTCACGTGCCGCTATCCGTGCAAAGTTGAAGAATGGTCTTAGTTCAGTACCATCCGCTGACGCCTGAGTTCTTGATGTTAGATGAGCTCCAGAAGATATGGAACTTGACTCACCATAGCATTATCGTCTTCAATAGACAACTCTTCCTCGCAGACGGTGCACCAAAATTCGATGGCCAGCTTGGCCACGTCTTCTTCTGGATTCTTCATTCCCATAATAGTCAGGCCAAATAAGGCCTTCTCCATGTAGAACTTCATTTTGTCGTAGTAGAGCCCCATAATTCTATTCAAGCATCCGTATGCACCAGCCTCGACGCGGACATCACCTGTCTGTGTTGCCTCACAGATAACTTGCATTATATAGTTCCTCTCTCCTTCATTTTCAAAATTTGTACGGACAAATTCCAGACAATCTGATAGGGAGTTCACCGCAGCTAGGCGGACGTCATTGTTAGTCTCCTCTTTCCGAGCGCCCTGAACGACGGCTGTGAGAATGGCATTTGAGTGCTGAACGAGGCTATCGCGGAGATCCTGATCTTCACTCTCGCAAATAAATCCAATAGTGTGTAAAGATGCCTGCTTCAAATAGTCTTCGCCTTCTCCAACATTCTCCACGAGCGCTGGCATCAATTCCTGCCACTGATTTCGTGGGATATCGATCGCAGCAATTGCCGAAATAAATTGAGCAGAGGCCTGGCCAGCTCTTCCGTCTTTTGATTTCAGTGTTTGCAGTGCAAGTTGACGCACCGAACTCTTTGTCGCCGCATCGACCGACTGAAGCCATCGTGACTGTGTGTCCTTCAGTCGGGTGTAGTCTCGTGCTGAGAAGGCATTTTTCAGGGCGATACCCGCAGCCTGGCGAATGGCCGACTGAGCATCCTCATTTGCTAGCTCTTTCGCAAGTGTCGTCAAGTAGGTGGACTACGGTCAATGGTCAGCTCATGTCTCAAGACTGAAGCATCTAGCGAAGCGAGAGTATCAGCCGTCGACGTACGAAATTGCCCTCCGCCGCCTGATTCAGTTGCTGTTCAGCATTCTGGCGGGCAGTCGCGTCTAGAATGATCAGTACGGGTAAGGCACATGAAGGTGACGCGAAAAGAGCCTATTCTCACCTGGAGAGAATGTGTTCTGAAGCACTTGGTTGACATCCATCCTGGGGGAGTATGCCAGACCGCTCCAGGGAATCAGGCTTGATCGTAGGCAGGAAAATCAATCAGGTTGAAGAGAATGTGGAGAAAGAGAGGTAAATGAGACACTGAAGTACTTGCGTATTCCTCTACCTTAAGTGTTGTAGCTTTATTTGTTTTTCGTGAATGACGACAAATGTTTGGCCCAGGCTACGAATGTCGCTAGGGCACACCTCCCAAACAACTACACAACCCACACTTATACAATCAGAGACTCATTTCGATCCATACAATCACTAATTTTGACGTTGCTGAAGTTTCATATTGGTGCAAGGCTGTGCATTGCTATGCCCTCTGCGTTTTACGTCTCTTCCAGCGATAGATGCTTAGCAATTATCCAACGCTGAGAGCTATTTGGATGTGATTTTCTTCGGATAGAGCATCTCAACCTTGAAAGCTTGAGAGCTTCGAGTCTATGAAGCGGCTACGAATCGACTCCATGTGCTGCCCTTCCCCACAATATTGCCCAGTGTTGATGGCTTCTCCCTGCATGTAGTCTTTAATCATCCCTTGACATCTGGCGTCATATTGACAGGCGACCCCTTTTCATTGGAGCTATCGAAGTCGTACACACGATAATGAAAGTTATCTTGTGCTACTACACAGGCTGCTCGTCGCCCTTTCCTGCCACTGACTTCAACCTTCTGTGGTGTCCAGGAAACGCCTCCAGGAAGCTCAATCCATGTATGCTCTTCAAGCCTTTCCATAACAGAAAAATCAAGCGCGATGACCGTGTTTACCGATGCTGTCACTTCGTTCAGCCGACTTTTACGGAATTGGACGTCTTCGGTATATCTGAATGTCAAAAGCCGGGAGTTATCTATCATGCAATTAGATCTCATTGCGGTTTGTCCAATCTCCATGTTACTTTACCAAGACGTGAGATAGCGACTATCATTTCTCTGTCATCTAAAAATCGGCTGTCGCGCAAATGCCAATCTCCAAGGTCGATTAGGGCTGATTCGACGCCCTCGATAGTGCTCATTCCGTGCTCAATACTAATCATAACTCGATACAATTCGATTTCTAAAGGTTTAGTTTTACTACCTTCCCCAGTAGGATCGCTTTCACTCACTATGCATTGAATTAGCAATGAGTACATATTGAACACAGCTGTCAGTCCTTTGCGCGCTCTAAATAAGTTAGTCAATGAGCGACAGCACTTGTACCCTGGTGCTCACTTCGCACAGCATCCTCATGTCTACAATGTTTGCGGGACCTTTTGTAAGAAGACAAGGGCGGCCAAGTCGGGTGTTCCTTCGTTGTGTCTCTGCAATACTGCTGTATAATTTGCCGCATTGCTGATCTAGGTGACTCACTAGGGCATCAAGGCGTGGCAGTTGCTTTGTCTGTTTGGATCTGTCATCCTTTTTTTTCGTTTTGTCTTGGTATAGTTTGAATAGTGATCCACCCTCAGCTTCCAGATCCCAATACTCTATTCCATCTGACACATCGTAAATCCGCAAGTATGCAAGGAGACGGCTATGCTTCATAGGTCCTTGAATATATTTCAGTGTATTTGTATAATCAATATTGAGATTCGTCTCATGGTCATCAGAAATGTTGGTTTCAGAAGCTTGGGCATCAATTTCCTGCCGAAGCCAGGTAGAAAAGGCATGAAACTGTCGCAACTCAATTCCACAGTCAATCAGCAATTGATGCGCAATGAGTTGTAAGCAGCTTAAAGTGTCGATGACATTGTCCAAATCCTGAGTAGACAAATCTAGATGGCGATTCGAGACCTGAAATCTTGACAATCCTCGAAGGTGACTCGCAAGTACAACAAATCGTTCTAGCGCTGGCAACAGGTGCTCGTGTGATAGACGCCTAATACTTTCATAGCCCGTCACGAGAGCTTTCTCCCACCTTTTATGTCCCTAACGCCTCGCCTGTCAGTTGGTTCTGCAGAAGGAAATTCACAAAATCACTCACGCGGTCACCTAATTGATCGACTAGCCATTCCTTAACGTCATCTGGGCAGTGACCAGTCACAACCAGATGATATGCAGCCTGAGTCCAGTTCCAGTCCCCTTTTTCGCGTAGAGTCTCTTCTATATTTGTGATAAACTTGCTAGGTAGCTCTAGCGCCGCTCTGAAGTCATCGTACAGCTGTTCCTGGACCTGGCGGATGTAACGTAGTAGGTTTTGCATTTGCGTAGATTTAGAAGCGAGATTCAAGAGATAACTCCCTGCATTGGAAAGGAGTCGTAGGTCCATGCAAACAAGACTGATCGCATCATCATGTCCATCAGACGTAGACACCAGTACTGACTGGGTTGTGGAGAACGGATGATAGGAATGCATGAGAGGTCGACATGTGATAGGATTCAAGAAAACATTTTGGAGCTGAAACATTCCGATAGGAAAGAAGTCGTAAATACTCAGATGCACAGTTCCGTCCTCAAAGCCTAACCACAGAATATCTGCTGAATTTCTAGAGTCCTTGGTCAACGGTCGGAAAATCGTGTCCAGGGATGCTCGTGAACTGAAGATATCATCCCTAGAATCTTCAGCTTTTGTGGCCCTTCGTCTACATGGCATGCTCACTCGATACCTCCTGAAGACAGTGGACTTAGTTTTAGCAGAACCCTTTCTACTTCTAAAAAGGCAAGTTCCTGAGGCAAATTAGGTGGGGCACTGGTGGAATTTGCTGATTTGGATTCATCCAGATGGCTATCCGATGCCTTCGATGAGCTTTTGTTCACAGAGTTGACGCTCCAGCCAAGGTAGCATATTTTTGAACTGGAATACTTTGAGCAGTCGATACGATGCACAGCCTTGCCAGTGCGCGAATTCGTCAGATATAGTGCTCGATTATCAAAGGCAACGGCAAGGGATTGCCCTGCGGAATGGAAGCTCGTCAGTAGGGCACACTAGGCTATCCAAAAATGGCATGCAATCAGAGATACCATTTGGCTTCCAAGCAATTCTTGCAACTTTACTGTCACGCTGGCGGTCTTGCACACTGAAGACTTCTTGCCCGTTGAGTCTGAAGACATGCACGCGCTCGTCGATAGTGGCTACCGCTATTAAATCCATGGTTGGACAGTAGGCAAGATGTTCGGCATTGAGGGCTGGTTGTAATACTTTCTCGGCTACAGGCCTGGCCATTCTGACGTTGTAGGCAGAAGCAATGCTTAGAGCTCATCATACGCGCTGTGATGGAGCAAATTGTGGACTGTGTTGGGTGTCGTTTGGACGATGAGTTTGGTGAAGGTTCAAAGCGCACGGCACTATCAAATAACGAAACATTTCAAGATGCTACATCATTTGGCAACTCGGCAATTGGAAGGCATTAGAAGAAGCTGGCAGTATCATTGATATGGTCTAGCGAGCTTTTGGGCCTGGAGGTTCAAATCCATTACTTTTTCTCACAGTCCAGGGTCTATCATATACTTATCAGCTACAGACTTTACATCCTTGGCGAAAGATAACTGCTGATCCATTTCCACCAACGAAACCGAAGTGACCTGACGGTTGAATATTAGCCTGTTTTAAGTGAAATCATAGAAGAATAGAAATGGGGAAGTTGGGGCAGTCCTACATCAACGTCCACAAAGGGTTTGCTCTTGGAGAATTGCACGTTGATAGGAAAGAACTCCCCTTCATCTTCTGCTTGGGCTTCAAATTCGAATGATCCGTTAGAATTTGCTTCGTCGACATTTCCTACCGTCCACTCGAGAGAATCCCCGGAAACTTCATATATTGCATCGAAGCTTGAGACCGCGGGTTCACTTGTGCGGTAAGGTATCGTCATCACGACATCGCGTAGTGCATCAGATCCGTTGAGCTCATAATCTATCGTAATGCTGTAGTTGTCATCTGAACCCTTCTGAATCCATACATTGAATGTGATCGGTGCGAAGCTCGAAGCATCGGCTCCCACAGGAGCAGAAGCACTCCAGCGCAAGACACCGACGGGAGTATCTGAGGGAAAACCAGTTGATTGGTCCTTAAGTTGAATATTTTTGGAGGAAGCAAACTGACTTCTGTCTACCTTTGGGTGAGTCTTAAATTGAGCATTGTGCGTCGGATTTGCGACAAGCGCTAATTTGACTTTCGCGAGTGAAGAATCAGAAATACGAAGCGTTAAATCACCCTTGACGTTGAAAGAACTCATTGCGCCTTCCTTGTCGAATTTCGCCGATATAGCTTCTCCTATAATGACTTGAATCGCGTCGCGGTCAGTAGATGCTGACGTACGCCCGACTGCTGCCTTTTCGCTCGTGGTAGACTGCTGAGCTGGAACGAGAGGTGCATTATCCTCCGCGGAAGCACCGAGATCACCCTTGACGCGCTCAAACATATCTGTGGTTTTGGACTTCTTACCCAGCTGCATACCTTTGCCTTTTGATACAGCTGTTCTGCTAGTCCGTCAATAAACAGGCTGCTGAATAACGACAACGGACTCACTTAAAAGACTTGCTCTTCTCGGCCTCATAGCTGTCGTATGTGCTGTGGGTTGGGGTACGGGTTGGTGGAGTATAAGTAGGATATGAGGGTGCTCGCGGTACGGCTCCTTTCCCACTACGGGACATCTCTTTGCGTTGAAGCTCTAGTTGTTTAGCCTTTCTTTTCCTCTCCTCGGTCGCTTCAAGCTCTTTATTCTACGACGCATCAGCACTGTAATAGACTCTGCCGATTTGCCTGGCTATCTGTACCCTGGAAATGATTTCCTGTATCCTCTCCTCATTACTTTCCATGTCTAAGAAGTTTTTGATTTGAGTAAGGGAAAGGTTTTCCCGGTATCCAAGGCTTATAACCTCGTCAAATGCACTCAGTAGCTCGTACGCGTTGCGAAGGATTTCCCTTTCATCTAAGCTCTTGCAGATGCTGCTAACTACCTGAGCAAAAAGGTGTAAAGAGTCAATATCCTGGAGAATATTTGACTGTCGATTGGTGATGAGGACCATGTATAATTCATCGAGAGGTTGATACACATAGCGAACATTATCTTGTTCGACAGTTGTGTGCTGCGTTCCGGAATCCGCTAATTTGGGAAACGATGCCAGTAGACCCTCAATTCTGGAGCGTGCGACTTCTCTGAAATGTCTCGACAGCACCGCTTTCCCTCCACGAGTACATATGGAAGCGGCAAGCACCACCTACGACGCTTCAGCAAAGGCTTAGTGACATTAAATTTGATAGGCTTACCATTCTCAGGGTCTACGGAGGAGTTGTCGGGTATGAGACTCTTAGTACATGGAAAAGCGCGACCCAGCGGTAGAGGAGAGATTACATCACCTAAGATACCTATCCCGACGTTGGCTATTCATCGCGTGTCGTGGTCACTTGTTTTTTGATACATAAAATTAGCTGTAATCATATTACCGCTAAAGCTAGACCTAGTGCGGCTATGACAGGCATCACGCTACTCTGCGGAGGGAGTTTAAAGAACCCCCGTCTGAATCCACCTTCTTTCCTTTATGACCCTTCAACTCCTCACATTCCGTTATCGATGTGTTGTGTTAATTACTTGTATGTGATCAGTACATCACCAAAAATTCGACCTCGTATGACACCTCCCGCCCTTCCGGAACTGACTAGTCATCTCTTACTTTCTTCTTATGTTGCTCCACTTTCTTAATCTCAAGTCCTCTCTCCTACAAGAACAGAAGTAAAATGCAAACCAGAACTCATAACTTGAGAATCCTCAGATCAAGATGATGGCATTCCAAAACCTTGCGGAACTTCCCTCTGGTACTGAAGACGCGATGGAGACCAGCGAGTTCGATCGCGATTTCGATCGAGAAGAGGACATAGACATAGACCTTGAATTTGCGAATGACAGGCTTCAGCCACAGCCCGAACCTGATCAAGAAATGCAAGAGGAGCTCGACAGACCGCCTGAACTACCAAGGTCTATCATATTTGGAAGTGGTGGTACAGATACCCTGATGGAAGACGACGCGTACGCGGAGCGGACTTCTGAAGCCGATTCTGTACATGACGAAGTCATTCAGGATGCAGAAACTGAAATTGTTGTCCCAAACGAAGACGTTATTGAAGATGATCTTGAAGGAAACGAAGAAAACCATGATGACCAGGATTTGACCTTGCAAATGCAAGGTGACATAGTGGAACAGTATGAAAGAAACGATACGGATGAAGTACTAGAGCATGTGGATGAAGACACACGACCGGGCAATGCCAGTTCCCATGTCGATCAAGAAACCTCGAGCAATGCTGAACAAGAGTCGCATCATAATGTTAATGAAGGTGATCCGGAGAATTCTGCGATAGACCCTGACAGAGAGGCTACCCCCTCAGACACACTGGATGAGGAAGCGGCCAGTGTTCCTACTGTGAAGCAAGAGGATGTTCCGGAGCCGAACTATGACGATGGTGCAGGTCAAGAGAATCATGAATTTGTTGGCCGTGATCACAGGGAAGAAGCAATCGCTCAGAATTCAACACTTGACCTCATTCAGGATGAACTCTTTGAAGACAAAGAGCTTGAATTTCTTCACCCGATCTATATCTATTATCAAGATGAAGAGGACGAGATTTATCTTTTCGAGCCAAGGCACCAAGACCGGGAGAATACACGTACCTTCCTTCTTGGCGACCAAACTCTTTTCTACGAAGCAATTGAGGTGATGCTTCACGCATGCAGAAAGGTCCTCAAAGATAACATTGGCGAGGACGATGAATTGGAGATGTCTGTAGACGGCCTTGACTTAAAGTTCAGTGAGGTAAGCAAGCACTTCCTCACATCCCACGCCTGATACGCAATTGCTGATTGTTTCAAGTCAACCGTAATAAATCCGAGTCTGACATTTGCATCGCTGCTCGCTACATTCACTCAATTACATAGAAATGATGGCATTGATCCACCGCCTTTGTGCGTCCACCTGTATACAAGGCCGAACTTCTCACGTCGGTGGCAACAGTTGTGTAACGAAGCAAATGAAGGCAAAGGTTATTCTGCTGTTCAGGTGGTTGATAAGATAACTTTAGCAGAGACCGAGGCATACCATGACGGTAAAGACGAAGTTGCATTGGAAAATGCCAATAACGCCATTCAAGATGAGGTTTCAAACCCTCAGACCATAAACTTACAAGATACAAAGGCTCAAAATGTCCTTAAGGAAGGCCAAGGGTCGACTGACAAAGATGTCGAAGGCACTGTTGACTCCACACTCGACCGCGAAAACCAACGAGATGTATCCTCGAGGCTGCAGGAACGCCAAGACGAAGACTACGCGGAGACATCTGTGCAGCCATCAAAATTTGAAAGTGGAGACGCACAAGCATTCAATTCCCTCGACAAAGATGACTTGTATGAGGAAGACGACTACGACTTGGCGGATGAAGTTATCGATCATGCTGATGATAATGATAACGGGAATGAGAGTCCGGATTCGTCTGCTGATTCCTCCACCCTGAAAGGTGAGGATAGCATGAGTGCCAAGGAATTTTTGCTAGAAGTATCTTCTGAGCCTTCAACAAAATTCGACACAATGTATCCAAATGGGACCAAATTGTCATCAGATGGCCTACATGCGGATGGCGATCAAAGCACTGGAGCCGTCGTTAACGAAGACGAAAATAAGCATCCAGAGGATTTTAGGCAAATTGAATTCCTCAAAGTTGAAGAAACTCAAGATGATTTATTCGCTGACAATGGTGTTTCCACTAACGATACTGACGCAGTACACGGGATTAAGTCGTTAAACTCGATCCTGAAAGAGGTAAACAATGAAATAGATGCGAACGCGGAGGCCGACATTTTGGCTTCTGAAAGCTCTGACAAAATCCAACAAGCACCAACATCGGTTCATGATCCGACAGATTTTTCGAGGAGGCCAGACAGCGAAGCGGATGTGGCATCTTCAACTGTTGCCGAAGACGGAGCTTTTCCTCTTGATGAAATTGAAGACCCTGATGAAATATATTCGACCGAACAAGCGAGGGAAATAAAGAATGAAACTAGTCTTGCAGGATTGAAGGGGGACAGCACTGCTTTCTCCTCAGCGGAGGACCATCAAAACAGAACAGAAGACACAGTGGATTATCATACCCCGAGTAAATCCATTCACACCTCAAACATAGCCGAACCCCTACCAGAGACAGCCCAAGAAGCTTCGCAAGAGGATGGCAGTCATACGCAAGAGGATGGCAGTCATACGCAAGAGGATTTGAATAGACACGACGACCTTGAGCCTCAGCATATTGCCGAGCGTGAGCCAAGTCCTAGTCCTGGCTCGCTAAAACGACGTCGAAGCAAGGATGCAGTGGATTTCGCAGTAAATGATTTAGTTCAAGGTGAGAATCGTTCTTTACAAAAAACCGGTCATATCATGTGATCAATCACTGATCATTGTTCAGATGCGAAACGGGTCCGCTCTTCTTGAGGATTGATCAGACATCAGTCGCCACATTGCTTGCTCTGGCGGTTTTGTCTTTAATTTTGTGGCATACCCCGCCAGCAGGACTCGCTTGATAATCAAATAGACCGGATGTCGCTACAAGTAGACTACTGACTCCGGTCAAGTGAACGGCAACTCCGAAACCTCGAACACGTCCCCAATCATCGTGTGTCGAAATTCATCGACTTTCTGGGGTTCAATGCAATCTCAAAAAATCATGGTAGGTTCTGAGCATTCGCTAATATTCAACAGCAGGTCCCCCCCTTTCTTCCCCTAGCCTTTTATCTATTTTCTTACTACGCATGATACCCCCCAAGTCGAGGTCTATGAATACTGCAAATTCCGCAGAACGAACGACTTGTTGCCAATCGAAGTCCTGGTCGATTGATGTGCCAGTCTTTCAGCAATCAATTTGAGAACTGCTATGGCGTCAATACTATACATTGTTTAGAAAGCATCATCTGCGCTGAATAGCATATGCAGAGTACACCATACAAGACCTAAGTTTAATCCTGCTTTGTAATCTCGCGCCAAGTGTATTGTAAATCTGAATGTATTGAATTTAAAGTTCTCTGCCAGGGACCGGCAAGAGCCCGTCCCAACCTAATCCGAAAATAGTTGCTGGGCGCGTCTGTGTCGCTTCTTCTCCATGGAATTCCCATTCTTTGCAATTCAAGCTGTCAATCCTAGCAGGCAAACATAGATAATCAATCTTCAGCCAAGCGTCCCTCCAGTAAGTCTCAACAGCTGTAGCGCTCCTTGAGCACTAGCGAACCAACGACCTCCATCTGAGCAAGAGATCGCTCCCCCTGGCTGCGACATTTCGACACTCACCTGCAACTCAACAGATCTCTTCGTCGTATATGCGCCTAGAATGCTTGATCTTCCGGTTGTTTGCAGAAAAGCATAGGAGCTACGTTGTACTGGCGCCGCAGCACAAGAGGACGCCCTCTGGGTCCTCTTCGAGTGCCTTTGACCTACTCCACCTGGCCACCTCCTGAGCCGCAAAATGGTGGAGGATAAATATGTGGGCCTGGCGCTTGCTATAGTGTCAACTATGGCTATTGGCACAAGTTTTGTTATTACTAAGAAGGGTCTGTTAGATGCTGGTCAACGGCACGGCTTTGAAGGGGAAGGATTTGCATACTTGAGGAGCCCCGTTTGGTGGGGGGCATAATAACGATGGTCGTGGGAGAGATTGCCAACTTTGCTGCATACGCTTTTGCGCCGGCTATACTGGTCACACCGTTAGGGGCCCTCAGCGTTTTGATCGGTGCAGTGCTGGGAGCATATTTCCTGGACGAAATATTGGGCACATTAGGCAAATTGGGCTGCGCTGCCAGCCTGGTAGGTTCCGTCATAATCGTGTTGCATGCTCCACCAGACAAGGAAATCAAAACTGTCGATGAGATTCTACAATATGCTATACATCCAGGTGCGTACATTAACACTCGATATCCAAACAGTGAACTCACTATTTTCGCCAGGCTTCCTGCTATATTGTATAGCGGTCGCTATCTTTGCGATTGTAATGATCTACAGAGTTGCTCCACGCTACGGAAAGAAAAATCCTTTAATATACATTTCGATATGTTCCACCGTTGGCTCTGTATCTGTCATGTCCGTGAAGGCTTTCGGGATCGCCTTGAAACTTACGTTGAATGGTAACAACCAATTTGATCATCCTTCAACATACGCCTTCGCCATCGTCACGATAGCGTGCATTTTGACACAAATGAACTATTTCAATAAAGCATTGAGTCAATTTTCCACATCCATGTACAGACGCTCACAAAATTTGGTCAAAGTCATGCTAACTAAAATCAGAGTCAATCCTCTATATTATGTCACCTTCACCACCGCCACTCTCTGCGCCTCATTCATCCTATTCCGTGGATTCAACACCACAGATCCCGTGAACACGATATCTTTACTCTGTGGCTTTCTGGTAATCTTCAACGGTGTATATCTACTCAACCTCTCTAGAGGAGACCCGGATGGCGCCAAGCTCCTCAATGGTCACGTATCGAACGGTGTCCCAACGGATGGTATCACTGGACTTCAGACCCGCCATAGCATGCAGGTAAGGAGAAGTCATGAAGACGGGAGATGGAGTCTAGGCAGTGCTGGCTACGGCAGACTCGACGAACGCGGTCGTCTCATGCGTAGAAGCGAAGAACAGGACGTGGGTATGAATCTTGAAGAATTAGCAGGGGAAAGCGATGAGGATCACCGTCATTCGAAGACCGAAGAAGATTACGACGATGGGCGGCCGCTGAAGGTTGAAAGTCGATGATAAACTTGGCATTTTCTTCTTGGAAAAGATGGCGTTCAAGATGGCGTTCAAGATGTATAGTGAGGTCACAGGGTGGCATCACCTCCCAGCGTTCTCGGGATTACAATTGTGAGGTGAATGAGTATCAAAGTTGGGACATTCAACGCGTTGTTCAGGGGATAACGAACCATCATGCGCCTATGTATATATAAACTCGGAGTACAGGTCTAGATGTGAACAAATGTCTTGCCCACTACGAAAGGAAACCATCTTGCCTAGCGGCCTTTGACTGTAAACATTGCGTCATGCACCTGCATATCCCTTCGAAAAAATTTGCGCAACAAAAGTTGACGTTGGTCCGTGAGCACCCTACTACTTCAAACCCTTGACGTTTTGATGAGATTTGAAATCATCCTAACGATGATAGGTTGATACGTCTCTTCAGTGATGCCTTATCTCGTTCGGAAGGCCATTGTTTTTGCAGCGCCCGAAGGACTAGTAATCTCCGGAGTCCATTCGAAGGAGAAGCATTCTCTGCTTCTTGATTACAAATCACACAGAGCAAAACCAATTGCTACAATTGTGCCTGAAGATGACGTGTCTTTCGAATGCTACGGCATTGTTGGTACCGTATCTACCCACTCGAGACGCTTCAACGAAGCCTGACTTCAGTGTGACCAAGGTATCCTTGTAGTAGCGCCATTTTCCCACCTGATTGCAATATCGGGCCGACAACATGTTGCCCAGATCAGAGGGTCTCCTGTATATGTCACCACAAAAGTCGCTATCATCCCTCTCTCTTCGCAAATTGAGGCTACAAATGCGATCAAGCAAACACAAGAAACCTTGAGAGAAGAGTCTACAAGCGATTCGGAGAGCGATGATTCTGACGGCGAAAATGTACATGAGAAGGGAATTCCAGCTACCAATAGTAGCGTGGAAGAACGACATGGGACTTGGGCGATTCCTGGTTTCCCACGAGGCCAGGGACTAGGGTTCGCATCGTGGGGAGGCAAATATGTTGCGGAAGATGTTTTGAGTAGAAAAGGGGCCTATGGACGATTTACTGAGAGGTGGTTTTCTAAGAACGGCTGGGCACTAGAAAGGAGAAGGGTACAGGGTATGAGTCAAGAGGGAAAAGATGCCCCTGACAACAACACTGAGGCAGACGAGCATGGATACACTTCAGGGAACTCTGATGACGCCGCCCAGGTCTCTAGTGCCTCAAAATACCTAAGCAGTAAAAGTAGCGTGTCGGCTCCATCAAACACAGACCACACGTCAAGCCTTCTTCCTAAATTATTGCGAACCACAAACCTGCTGCTGTCCTCTGGCAACCTTTTTTTCTCCTACGATATTGACATCACCCGCCGAGTAGGTACTCAGACATACTCAAAAGAGTCTGAGACTCCGCTTTATAAATCTGTCGATCCTACCGTAAGCCTTTCGTCATTTTGTACTTTACAGAGTTTTCATTGACAGGAAAGTCTAGTTCTTCTGGAATCGACATTTGATCGAGCCTTTCGTGAGTGGACAGCACCATTCGTTCGTATTGCCGCTTATGCAAGGTTTCGTTGGACAACGTGGGTTTCGCTTGACTAAAACGCAGGATGACTCAGTAGAGACAGTCCCAAAAATTCAAGCCTCGTCTAGTGACTCGTCGATCTTGGAGGATACCGATTTCCTTCTTACACTTATTTCTCGTAGATCAATACATCGTCCCGGCCTTCGCTACCTTCGGAGGGGCGTGGATAATGAAGGTCATACGGCAAACAGCGTCGAGACAGAGCAAATTTTATCAAAGGCTTCTTGGGCTCGGAATGAGAAAATGTATTCGTTAACTCAAATCCGCGGGTCTATTCCACTTTTCTTTTCTCAATCGCCTTACTCATTCAAACCTGTGCCAATACTACAGCAATCGGAGGATATGAATCGAACAGCGTTCAAGCGGCACTTTGCTAGTTTGAATAGAAGGTATGGCACTATTCAAATAGTATCGCTCGTAGATCGAACGGGTGGAGAAAGAGCCATTGGTGAAAGATACGAAACTTTTACATCAGAGCTCAACAGTAAGACGGGCTCAGAACAGAGTAACATCGGCTTTGAGTGGTTCGATTTTCATAGGGAGTGTCGCGGGATGCAATTCCAAAACGTTAGCATCTTAATGGACACCCTCTCGAAAACACTGAAAGCTTTTGGCCAAACAGTCGAAATGAAAGGAATCTTGCCTTCACGGCAGCAGGGAATCATCAGGACCAACTGCATGGACTGTTTGGACAGATCCAATGTCGTCCAATCCGCTTTTGGTCAGCGAGCTCTTGAAGATGCCCTGAAGGAAGAAGGTGTAGATGTCAATCTGAGGACTGATACCTCTACGCAGTGGTTCAACTCTTTGTGGGCCGACAACGGAGATGCGATCTCGAAGCAATACTCATCCACGGCGGCTTTGAAAGGCGACTTTACTCGAACAAGGCGGCGCAATTACCGAGGAGCAATCAATGATTTGGTTCTTACGCTCTCTCGATACTACAATAACATTTTCAACGACTACTTCTCACAAGCTGCAATTGATTACCTCCTGGGCAACGTGAACGAGCGGGTGTTCCAAGATTTTGAAGAGAAGTTGATGACCTCAGATCCGGGTATGTCAATGCAGACAGTGCGAGACAACGCAGTCAACGCATCATCGAAAGTGGTGATAGCAGATCCTAACGAGGATTTAATTGGCGGCTGGACGCTATTGAGCCCAGGAGAACCAGACAGAATCAAATCCGTTCCTCTAGAGGAAACTGTGCTATTATTGACTAATGCAGCGATGTACAAGGTATGCTTTGACTGGACAAATGAAAAAGTTTTCTCTTTTGAAAGAGTCAAGCTGCGAAGCATCAATGGAATTTACAAAGGGACCTACATTACGTCGACATTGACGCCGAGTCAATGCGAAGAGGCAAGAAATGGTAAGGCCCAAGGCAGAAATCTCGTCCAGGACTAATTAGAAACTTTCAGTTGGCTTTGTTGTCAGATATCAACCTGGCAAAGACGATATAGCAAGAATCAACACGAGATCACTTAGCACGTCTGTCGGAATCGAAGCAAGTCCCCTTGGTCCTGAAGTAGACAGGGAAGCCGCAAAGTCTGAAAAGGCTAGGGCTGAGAAGGTGCCAAACGAGAAAATACTCGCTTTCAAGGCGCTTCCCTCCCAATCAAGCTTGGGCAGCAGTATAGAAGAGTCGCATGGTCCCACGGAAAAGCAGACGGTGGACAACGTATGCGAAGAGGTTCGAAGAGCTGCCGTAGAAGACGGCAACAGTATAGTGGACTTAGCTGCGCAAGACAAAGACATAGTTTCCCTCGAGGAGGCGAGGAAGGGCACAGGCTACGTGGAACAATGGACGCACTCAATCAAACGGCTGGTTTGGGGTTAAAGCGATCGACCTTGGTATGCATATTCTAACTCAGCCTTCGATGTGCTGGTATTCGCTGGGTTTTTTTGGCTAGTGAATTACGTAATACCTGGTATGCTTACTTGCATGACACTTTATTTACAACCCTACACCGCAGATCTATTGTTTAGTGACCCTTCCTTGCCTTCCACCGGACCAATGCAGATCTGCAGCTCTTTCTGGGGACAGCATGTGATTCATTCATCTCCGTAGCACTCTCTTCTGTGAATACCTCAGTGTTTCCAATCTCCGCCTCGAGGCGCTACTTGGAAGCAGCCCCACGATCCCACCTCGGAAACCTGCATCCCGAGGGCGCCATCCTCTCTACGATCAGCTCGGAAAGGTGAATCCGATCGTTAACATATCGGTGTTCTGCGAAGTCAGAAGTCATTGGCAAGGAGCGCGGACGATTCTCTTTACGGGTAGCCGCCTTAACCCTGCCGAGACAGGAACGTGGGCCTGAGGCAATCGAGCAGCTCGGAAGGGAGCTCGATTCGAGGACCACAGAACAAGTTGATGAGGGGAAGTAGGAGTCGATGCGACCTGATGGTGCAGAGGCAGTGAATGCTGGTGGTGACAAGCCACCGAAGCCACCAGCATTTCAGATCATCGTGCTGGTCAGTACTCATTAGCAGCTACAAAGCGGCTCGCTGCGTTCATGATTGAGAGTATCAAGTCATCTGAAGGAATTGCGAAAGGAAGCCTGAAGTTATCGCTGTCAATGTCTGATGTGCTTCTTGCCTCTCGTTTCAACTTTGTTGGGATCATGCAGCGTTCCGGCATTGCTTTGTTTCTGTCTCGGCTACGTGCGCTGACATGGGTTGATCTAGGGCGGCGGGGGCGGACCTATTGAGGACAATGTGACCGGTCTACTTGTCAGATCTACCGCCACAAACTGGGCAAAAGGATCGGTCCTCGCTGTCGACGCTGGGGCCCACCTCGCCGCAGTCACGAAAATCATCCACCACGACCTGCCCAATGCGATCCGCAGACCCTCACACCCCAACAATGTCTTGTCTCCTTCTGTTTTCTCGCCACCGCCCCCAGATGAACGTGCTATGTCAATTGCAGATGCCAATGGCAGTGCGGTGAACAGCACCACTTCGGGGGATGGCTCTGAGTCTCAACTGGTCCTTTCATCAGGGCCATTTACTGATTTTGAGTTGCCACACGCGACCGCCAAAGCCAACGCGGCATATTTCGTCCGCAACCTTATAACAACTTACCTCATAACTCATCCTCATCTGGATCATATCTCTGGGTTTGTCATTAATACAGCAGGGTTCCAACATACCTCGAGGCCAAAGCGCTTGGCTGGATTACCATCTACCATCGATGCTTTCAAGACTCACATATTCAACGACACCATATGGCCGAACCTATCAGACGAAGATGGCGGCGTTGGTCTTGTCTCATATATGCGGCTCGCCGAGGGCGGAAATCTAGCGATAGGAGAAGGAGAAGGTAGGGGCTACATTGAAGTTTGCGATGGTCTGGCGGTGAAGAGTTGGAGCGTCAGTCATGGGAAATGTATGCACAATCATGGGAAACGAGCGAGTGGAAGCGGGCACACATTAGAGCAATTTAACGATTCCTTTTCGCGGCGAGCTTCAGCTAGCGCCACAACCCCCAACAGCCTTCAATATGGCAGAGATCATACATTTGCTATGGAGCCTTGCGTCATCGATAGCTCTGCATTCTTCCTCAGGGATGATCACACTGGACACGAAGTCTTGATATTTGGGGACGTAGAGCCTGACTCGCTGTCGCTGTCGCCGCGGACAGCACAAGTTTGGACTGACGCAGCCCCGAAAGCAGCCAACGGTCTCCTCAAAGGTATTCTGATCGAATGCTCATACGACGAATCACAATCAGACGACACGCTTTTTGGACATCTCTCCCCGCGACACGTCATTGCCGAGCTTCAAGTCTTAGCGGGCAAGGTTCACGCTCACAAAAACGGATTCAGAGAATCCACGCCGCTTAAGCGAAAGCGAGCAAGCAATGGCATCTATACGGGAGACGAAACGTCGGTCTCTGTCCGCAAACCTAAACCACAACAAATGCGCAGGAAGAGCAGGCGCTCTAATTCAGCGAACATTGCCACACCAAACTTACTGAGCGAAAGCTCGGGCGAAAGTCACGCTCTCCCAGACTATTCCAATTCAAAGGTCGATGTACCAGACTCCATCCAAGAAACCCCTCTCCCACAGCCCGAAGATCCGCAGCTTGTTCCTGTCTCCGGAAAGCCATTAGAAGGCCTTCAAGTCATCATCATTCACGTCAAGGATAACTTAAGAGACGAGCCTGAAGTTGGGGATACGATACTGGCGGAGCTTCAGGAGAAGGAGAGGGAAGCGCGGCTGGGCTGTACGTTTGCAATCAGTAAGTCTGGGACGAGCATTTGGTTGTGATTTGAGACCTCCTGACAGTAGGTTTGATTTTATACGCTCATGATTACGGGAGGCTCTTTTTCCGGCGACCGACGTAGACTTTCGCTGGGCTGGTTTGGCGCCTGGCATGGCGGAGCGAGATTGCATGCTTTGTAGGATATTGCAAATGAGACTACATTGTCAATGTAAAGTTTTGAAATCTATTTGGATAGTATCGTTTTTTCCAAGGAAGGCGCAAAGAATTGCCTGTGAGGGAGTATGGGTTTAGACCCAGTCTCCCTTCCACAGAGCGCTTGACTCGAAGGATTTGTATTCATGATCAGAACCACCTTCGATCGGTCGATCTTGATATACTACATAAATTCGTACACAATCATCTCATGCAAACCTGCGTTGTGACATCGACACAGACAACCCAACCTGAGCGAAGTCCGTCACTGACGCCCCAACCCAAGGCCTCCCATGCTTCGCTTGCTGATCCACATTTTCCTTTTCCAGATCGTTCATCCCATCAATTCGTAGACGCCGCCATCACCGACCATAGCTCTCCAAAAAGTCGAATTGCGCAGATTCCCTCGAAACGCCTTTCAAGAGTGGTATCTCTTCATCACCTCCCATTCCTGACAGCAGCATCATAACTTGGGATGGGCGTGCTATCCCTATCCCTGGTTCTTCTTCTCCTCAGCAATTCACTGTCCTCGCCTGATCCGTCCTCATCATCTGCATCGTTTGCATGCTCCCTATCTTCTTCCGCGTCTTCTTCTTCTTCTTCTCTATCTTCATCGAACTCATCATCCTCCCCCTCATACTCATTCCCATCCCTTCTATTCCCGTCCCATCTCCTCGTACCCCTCAAACTCCCTGCTGGACTCGTGTACTCTGGTGGCGGCTGCTCAAACTCTTCAGTGGAATAGCGTTCCACGAGTCCAGGCCCGCCAGCACCACCTTCCTCCGAGGAATGGAAATAGTGTTCAGCGCTCCTACTGGTTCCCTCGCCTACATCTTCAATTGACGGTATATGTGCTAATTGCGCAAGCGAGATCTCAGTTGGGGATCGTTCGGGTCCTGGGCTCACAGGGGGCGCGATCCTGATCTGCCCACTCCTCGAGCGGCCGTGACCTTGTCCAATATTTCCATAGAGGTTGTGAGGAGCCGGCTGCTCGTAATGGCTCTGGCCCCATTGCGCATTCGCTTCCCTACCCGCCTCCAGCAAAATACTGCCTTGCTCGCTCCCATACGGCGGCGGAGGCGCTAAACTACCAGTCATCGGAGCCAGGCCCCATTTTTTCACATTCGCCTCAATGAAAACAAAGCCGCTTTGGCCAAAATTGACGTGGACGGTGCATGGGCCATTAGCACCAACGGTTGGAAAGAAATTTTGAGATTTGAGCCCGTGCGCAACGTCGTCGAGTTTTTTGCCGTTGCGTGTGAAAAAAATACTCCCTGTGCGAGGCCGGTAGCCCACGCCGACCACGTCACCTTGGACGTATGAGGGACCGAAGGGGGTAGGTCTGAAGGGCTGATTGTAGCGGCGGGCGCCAGGGGAAGTATAGGCTATGGAAGATTTGTGGTAGCCTGAGTATCATTAGCTTTTAATTTGCTTTAACAGTATAATCTCGAGGATAAATACCTGGTAGTCTGAAGAGAGGGTATGGCTTCGTAGATACTCCAACGTTCACGGTTGAAGACTCAGGCTTATCGTACATTTTTGCCTCCCAGTAATATACTTCATTTTGCTTTGGTATTGGCAGGTTGCTCTGTACACTGCATTCTGAGTCGAAGAATTCGATTTCGGTCCTCGCTTCAACAAAGCAATTGGCGATCTCTAGTTCGGGCTCGAATTCCCAGGCCGAAACGCCCTTCTCTTGAATGGCAAGGAATTGAGAAAGTGAGATGTCTGTTGGGAGAGTCTCGGGTGGATTCGCTTGGACAAATGCTAGAGCGACCACCGTCAATTAAGTTTCTTGGGTTCCGCCCTGGAGGAATACTTGGATTGTACCTTTAGCTCTTAAATATTCCGCTCGTTGTATGTCATCCATCTCGTCCAAAGCGTCCGCCTCTTCTTTTGCAAACATTTGTTCATCATCATATTCACCCGGCCTCCCTATTCGATCTAAGAAGATCCTTCCCCGACTGGTATACCTGAAGAAGTAGAATATAGCAAAGATAAGGACGACGAAGGCGGCCGAGCCAAAAGCTGAGAGCATTCCAATGAGGATTCCCTTTCCGGTCGAGCCCCCATTGCTACTGATATTGATGACAATATTAGTACCGTCTGGAGGATGTTCTAACCAGGAAGAGTGGTGGTCTGTTGGGGAAGGGTCGATCTGGAGGTATGATGTGGTGAAGGTTGGAGAGGGTTCCAAGGCTGCTTGGGCCATGATTAATCACGCTATCGTGTCATGGGTGGTGGTTCGTTGCAACTCTGTTTCATTGAAGAAGCGGGAGATGCTGATGGTATGTGAGGAAAGGTTTGGTAGTGAAGTCAAGTGAGAGCGGCTTGGTCGCTGAATCGCGGATCTAGCGGTAGAACTATTAAATTGAGGTGGCGTTGGTAGGGCTTGGCGCTCCTCTCACAGCCATCGAGGCATCCTAATAAGTTATCTCTGTATAATCCAGACTCACACATCACGCAAATCCGTCATCATGCGCATTCGATCGTTTAAAGGCTTTAATAACACATAACAGCAATTGTAAGCCAGTCCAGTCGGGACCTTATCCATCAGAAATATGGTCTTTTGAAGGCTCTATATACCCGGCGAGCTTTGCTTGAAAATCCCATTCATCTATCCAACCGTCTCTTCGCCTCTACCTCTCTTCCTCTTCTCCTCTACCCTAATTTTCGTCCTGTCTTTTGCATCCTCAATCCATTTTTCGTATGCGCCATCCCCATCCTTGAGCTTCGCCGTGGTTACACCTTTCATTGTCTCCCCAATAAATCCAATAAAATTATGCCGTCTCAGGGCATTTTCCCAATGCCACGCATTCCGCTTCTGGCGCTCCTGGTATAGCGCATCCTGGTCGCCGATCTCTTGTGCGCGAATGCGCAGATCTCTCACCATTGCTAACAGGTTGAAGTGGATCTCGCCGGGCGGATAACGCTCGATTCTTCTCTGAAGGACTGGTATGACCTTGCTTGGAAATTCGTCGAACGAAGAGGCGCCGTGTGATATCGGCGCGGGTTGCAGCCCATCAAGTTCGTAGAGAGTGCCATTGATGGGGGTGTACGCAATAAAGTGATAGACATCCTCCTCCTCAGTTGCCAGTCTTTGATCCTCTGACACGAAAGGTGAGGCTCGGGCGAAAGAATTGTGAACATCGCGAATGAGCTCGGAGTTGGATAAAGCCTCGCCTCGCAGCTACGAAATAGATTCCCGTTAGTATGTCGTTCAAGGATCTCCATATCGGAAGGAAGATACTTTACTCACGTCCGAGGGAAATGCGTTCGTGAAGTCCTTGAACTCTTTCAACTGCGTCCCAATCTCCACTTGACCCTCTTTGTTGAGGAGGACGGAAAGTAGTGCCTGTGTGCCGCAAGCATTCTGTATGGTCTGCGCAGCAAAAAAGAGATTTTCAGCAGCTTCAAAGTCGAAAATGCCGTCCTTAGGCGAGTCGGTAGGTTTTTCACCCTTAGGGTATTTGAAGAGGAATATTACACCGTACACAGGGCTGACAACGATCATCAAGTGTCATGAGCTCAAGAAGCAGGATCTCGAAAGTACCTCTGCTGTTTCAGGAAGTCGGCATCCAGCGCAACAAGCTCCTCAAATTGTACATCTTTCACCCCAAGATTATGCAGCAAAAATGTGAAAACACCCTGCGATGCTTTGTTTAGCCTTGCTGACTTGAGCTTCGCTGCAATATCACACGCACAGCATCAGACTCGATAGTGTTCCATCCTGCTGACATTCTCCTGGGAACCGCGTGAGAAGGATGTAAATTCAAAATGATTCTGGACTCTGGAGTGCCCAGTCAGGCGCAATCGTCGGAGTTAAGTCCGTCGGCAATTAGTTCTAGAGTCAGTAAATTGAAATGAGGACAACCATGCCGTCTCCATCATCTGACCAGAGCAACCGGGGGTGCCTCTATTGCTGGCGAGAAGTTTCGAAGCTGAGTGGCAACTACTTTGGGCAGACTCACTTGTGAATTAACAGATTACATTAAAATTAGCATTATCAATCTAAGGCAACGTTTACCGGGTTGCAGCAATGCTCTCGCAAACGCTAAATCAATCGCCTTCCTTCTGCCTTCGAAACTCCATTTCCCATTGTCCAAATGACCTTTTTCTTCAATGGTCACCGAGTTGATGAACGATGCCCTGCTACAGGGTCTTAAAAAAGAATCGTAATAGTCGTCAATGTCATTCATCTTCATCACATGTCGTTCTCAGTACTTTTAGCATTCCAAGCAGATGTAACGGTAGAAATACAAAAATATGCGTAGGGCCAATTGACCTGTAGATGTAGCTGATATAGGAAAATTTCTTTCTCAGCTCAGCCAGGCATGTTGATTTGACGAGGAAACCTGCGGGTACGTTGCTTCGGGGTAGGTTACTTCGGGATAGCTCGTCTCACTACACAATGTGTTAGAATTTCTCTGGGTCATGCGCAAGGGATGAGACAAACCCTCCCGTAAGTCCTGGCGAGTCTCCGAATGACCATGCATCGTCATCCGGCATATTGTTCGGTAAGAAGACTGGTGAATAAGCGGCAGGACTGTATGCTGGAGAGTCTCCTTGATGACTGAAACCGGAAAGTGATCTGTTGTCGAATGAGTGATCGCTTGGCGCGGGCGAGCCTTCGAGCAGCTGCGAATTCCGCGGAGATCCCATGTTTGAATAGTGGAGGAACGGGGACGGAGGCCAACTGAGGTCTTCGAAACTTGGGTTCATCAAAACTGGTACTGTGGTAGATAATGCTGGGCTGATCGGTGGTGGATAGCTTGGAGTGCCGGGCTGAGAGCCAATACTTAGGCGATGAAAGCTGTAGGGACTTTGTTGACGCTGGCCTCCTTGATGAGATGGATCTTGGCTAACAGCGTCTTGTAGATGGTTCCTGGCGGACATGAGTCGCGCAAAATTCATCAGGTTGTCGATCTCCGATGGGTTCATTTCGCCAGGCGTGACGACGGCCACTTTTGAGCGAAGTTTCACATCGATTTGTCCAGTGGCCTGGCCAGTCAAACTTCCTAAGGCAGCACCGCTAAGTTCCGGAAGTGCGGCATCAATTGCCATCGCCAAAGTATGCAGCTGAGCAAGCAAGACCATGGCCGGGCTACTTATATCGTTATTCTTTACAAGAGTGACAGGCAACCAGAAAAGCCAGCTGCGAAGCGGACGTAATTTTTCAAACAGCTGTTCAATCTGCATAGAGGAGCTCCAAGACCGGAAGTCAAAGGCAAAGTCCAAAATGTTTTGGACGTGATGTGCAACGGGATGAACATTTTGCAGACGTGCAGATAATTCTTGCAGCGCATTTGTCGCGAGAAAGACCGACTCGTTATCATAAGTGATTGAGGTAGCGCCGGCAAAAAAGAACGACGGGCGGTCCTCGATAAAGGACGAAAATCTGGAGAGCTCCTTCCAATTATTCATAGACCCAAGAACCTAGTAAGCATGAGCATGGAAAGATGCTGCTTCATGGGGGCAACACACAGTGGATATACCAGACATGAGAGACTTCCAGCTTGCCCTAATGTACAGTCAGTCTCGGATTTCGGAGAACGTTTAATACCACGAACCAATCAGAGGCTTGCCACGAGAGCAAGATCGAAGCTGCAAGGGCAGCGTCCGAATTGTCCTCGGAGAAGTTTCCAATGGCTTCTTGCAGGCCTTTTAGCGCAATACCTCGATGATGGTAAGCAAGATTGTTCGTCTCGGGCGATCTAGTGATCCAAGCCATGTGCGTAGCAGAGAATGCTAAGATAGAGTGCGTCGCAAAGCTATAGCCACACGCAGCGTCCAGAAAACTTGTCAAATTTCAGTGACTAAGTCGGTCACTATACGGATGAGGACTTACCTTGGGATATCCTGAACCCACAAAGTACAGCCTACAAAATCGGCGAGCCTCATTTCGCGGTAGATCGTACAAAGATGGTGGATCAGCCGCAATTCCACTCTGGAGAGATTTTGGAACTGGTGGGGAAATTGCAAATGCATTTCAGGAAAGGGGAAGACACCGGTAGTTCGCCAGGTCTCCAATTCGCGTTCTATGGCTGCACTCGAGAGTAGATTAGGACCTCGCGGCGGCGGGGACGACTCCTCAGGGGTTGCACTATCCACAAAATCGCAACTATGGCGGGTCAGTTCCAAAATCCCAATTGCAGGAGCAGCATGTGTACCGGACATGGTGCTTAATGCAGTTCTTGCTACGCTCCTATCAGCTACGGCCTTCACAGGGAATAGGGGGATTCAATACCATTGAGGCTTGCTCTCATCACAACGAATATGCCGCCGTTTGCACGTCGCGCAGCCTTTTCTAGACTTAGTGTGGCTCTTACGAGTCGCTCCAGTGATGACTGGAGGCATAGCGGATGAGAGGAAGTCAAGTGGTGTCTGGTGTCTACTGAGAGGTGATGTGTGATCGAAAACAGATTGTGGCTTGGTATCACTTCACGTGAGTAGAGATGGACGTAGATGCGGGTGCCTTGCAGGATTGTCGCGCTTTATTCACTGACTGAGATCCTTTCAGTATGATATCGATATGAATTTCTTCCGATGAGGACAGCATTAAACGAGAGACTAAGGCGATATAGATTAACGAGCGTGTAAGAAAGAAGGACGAAGCTGAAACGAGTGTTCAAGGTGGAGGCAGGATCGATGCTCTGATTACGTGGTGTTGGAGCGTCGCGGGATGGAGCAGAGGTTGGACAGTAGGTAGTTTATACCAAACATGACAGAGGATCGCCGCTTCGTCATCCAAGACATAGAGTTTGCAGTAGGAGAAAAAGTAATCATGGACGATGGCTGGTGCGGCCGCGCGCGGCCATACCCGTAACAGGGCTGCAACTGCAAGGTCGAAGGGGGAGAAGATACGGTAGCAGCAACGACATCATGGGAATGTGAGGTAGCATGTGGTGACAAGTGCTGAATGAAGAGGGCGGAATCACCTTATGTCGGGGCAGCCGGGCTATGCCACTTTGGATTGGGGAAGACCAAACCGATAATTGGTGGGGTTGAAGGTGTGGTCGACGGCGGTGACGGTAGACGCAGTGCAGATGCCGTCTACGGCCAGATATTGGATCAGACGACTTTAGGCTTGGAGGGGCCAGGCGCGGGTATGCACCGCTCACCAAAATAGCTTTTCCAAGGTCTGGTAGACTGGTACAGTGGTATATCGCAAAGCGAGCTTATCGGCGTGAAGCAGGATTGGCCAGAGGGAGCTCGCGTGAGGGCCAAGAGGCATAGAACTAGTCGGGTAGGCCGGCGTCGAGGAACAGAGACCGGGGCAAGCGCATGGCACGCATGGCACTCGTGGTGATGTCTATGCCTGATGTCAGAGCATGATTATTTTGGACGGACTGTGGCTTCTGCTATGGCAAAGCTGGGTCCATGGGTCCAGACTAGGCGCCAGCTGGAGGTAAGGAGACGGGTCAATCTCGTGTTGCTGCTGAAGCCAGTGGTGCCAGTTTACTGAGTCGTTGATAGCATCCACTGAATCCAGATCGGTCCAGGGAGGCTGTGCACGCCCCCAAACCCAATCAGATACGGCAAACAGTCGCTTAGCTGAGGTCGGATGGAGGAGAAGTGGGAAGGACTGCTACCGTAAGTATGCTGTTCTATTTTTACACCTAGGCTTGTAGCGTAATTCCTAGAACTACTTCCCGACGCTAGTATTTGCATAAGTAATAAAATCATCTGCCATATTCCGTATCTGCCATCAATTCAGCCAAGACGCTTCCACTCTCTCTTCTTCCACGGGACTACATATCATCGCCGCTTCGGCTGACGATGCATCTTCTAGCTTTTCCATAAATGGTCTTTTCTCGCGATCTTGAGGAATAATACGACTTTGCGCCGGCTGCCGTGTCAACTTTCCCAGGTGACACTGAACGTTATGACAATGGCAGAAAGCCTTTTGCAGCGACTGAACATTTCCAGCCAATCCGATCGAACACCTTCACCTCTCAAGTCAGCCCGCACTTTGGTGCTCTTGTAGCAGCGAAGTCGTGCCATCATCATGCACCTCCTTTTCAGCCGGACTGTGGCCGTGTACCGTGTGACCAACACGTACAGGAGAGGTCACTCCCAATGTAGCCGTGCAAGACGCTTTAGACTTTTCCGTACCACGCTTGCTGGACACTGCTTCTATATCTGTTAGGGCTGAAAGCCATGCTGTTTGCCAATTCGAAAATCCGGTCCAACAACTCTATCGGACTTGTACGGTGCACCACGTCGCCTACCTTGCATGGATCTTGAAACGATTTCAACGTCTTCTTGAAGCTCTTCATCCTGTAGCCAATCAATGGCCTACTCCAAAAACAAGTAGATCAAGGTTGCCATGCCTCGCAACGACGCAAACTCATGTCATTTTTCGCCTTTCATCTTTCATCTTTCATCTTGATTTGCATCTCACTGAGGCTAGTTTACAGTGAGGCAATCGACACAGCAGGTTTCCCTCGGTTCTGTGAAAACCATCCAAATAATAGACAGCCACATGCCTTAATTGCTGCGCAGCCTCAAGCTTATTCTCTTGCAACCTTCATCCGCCCATGCGCTGAAGAGCACATCGCCTGGTAATACTGAATCGTTCCACTTCGCCCAGCTGTCTGAAATTAACCCATCAACTGCCCTATTTTTCATCACTCCAAAAGCCCTGTACGTGGCTCCATTAAAGTCAAGGTACGACGGAACTGAGCATAAGATGAATGTAAGCGCACGGGAACGACTAATCGCCAGTTGTATGCAGACACGAGCGATGATCGAGCGCCTGGCGGACGAAGAGATGGATTCATGGGTGCCTGTAGTTCGCCGGGTTCAGGAGTCAGGAGATTGCGTAAGATGACTGGAATCTTTGCTGCTGCTCTGGTGGCATGTGAGTCATCAGTTGCTTGAAATACTCCGGATTCAATGATCTATACCCCTCAAGCACCTATAACCCAGAAATCAGCACCAGGGCCTTTAAGATGAATATGAAAATGAAAAGAGGTTTGGGAATGAAGGGACGCAAGCATTTTTGGGGCATTTTCTAAATTGCTCACCTGTTGGAACGAGCCACCGATCGCTTCTCCTTGGTCTCCGGGGCCAACTGTTTCCTTGCTGTATGCTAGGCTGGCTTGTATATAAGGCAAAAGATAAGGTCCCATAGCGTATGGATTTTGTCGAATGATCCTATTGAGGCCCAGGAAGGCATGTGCCTTCTCGTCAGTCTGTTGCACCGGCTCTATAAGTGTCAAGAATCGTTCAACAAATTCACCAAGGTGGGGAGCCAGGACTGTAGGCGAATGTACCCCAAGACGGCCAATTGCAACAGAGGCGTTCTCACCGACCGAAACAGGAACGCCTGGCTGATCGATTATTGCTTTGAGACTTCGGTAGAGATTTTCTGTGTAAGGAGCCATTTCCTGTCTGTACCTCATCGCTATCTCACCGCATGCCCAGCACGCATTATTGATCACACTGAATGCTCGATCGCGATTGCCCGAATTTGCAAAATTGATGTCAAGTTGCCGGACTGTAATAGGCAAGAGCGTCGGAAGATTCGGGTGCAACTGTGGGAAGATGTTGACGGCGCAGTCCCCGAGCAAGGCGTATGATGATTGACGCACATCGTTGTGGCGGTCTTCCATACAATACAAAAGCAAATCAAAGAACCTTGGCTCAGACTTCTGTACAAGCTCGCCGCTCTGGGCCGGTTCCAGCGTTTGAATAATAGCGCTAATGAGGTCTAAAGTAGTGACCAAGAAATCTTTATCGGGTTTTTCCATGTTGGCATTACCGTTCGCCAAATGATGCTGTTCCAGATTTTGGCGAATAATACTAATGCACCGTGCAAATATTGGGACCGCAAAGGGTGCAAACGCAGGTCCAAGTGCTGCCACGACGTATGATAGACACTCGTTAAGTGGGAACAGTTCTGGAGCTTCGTCTGGGACTTGTTTCCATCGATTGATGATAGCAGGCATCAAAGTATTGGTCAGCTCGGGGTTCCGAAGAGACGATCCTACCTGATCCGCCAAAGTCTGCACACAGTCGTAAAGAACGTACATATTTCGAGTTTTGTAGACATCAAAACATGCCACAAAAGTGTTGATGATTGGCCCAAGATAGGGTATAAGCTCCTTATTCGCCTTTTCACCCATGATGGCGAATGCAGAAGCTGCTGCAGTCTGTACCTTTTTAACATTGTCGAGCATGCGTTCCAGGATCCCATGCAGCATCGATTCCAGGAAACGTTTCCTCTCGTTCTGATCATTGAGGTTGAGTGCCCACTCAGAGTATCTTCCCAACGCCCAGCATGTTATCTGTCGCACGGATGGTTCTCTATCTTTCAACAAAGAGATAAAATATGGAACGATGTTGGGAAGGGCTGGTGCTACAGCTCCCATGCAGCCCTCAGCGATAGCACCCATTGCGAGGACCGCAGCCTCACGATAGGGCCATTCTGGGTTAGCCAGGTTCTTACTCAAATGCTCTAAGGCGATGTCGAAGACTAGCTGGTGGAATTTTGATGCTAAAACGTCTAGAGCTGCCGCAGAGCACTTCCGAAGATTCCACTGCCCATCGATCTCCTGGTCGTCTTCATCATCTTCATCCTCTATCTCTCCATCCTCAAGGCCGCCTCCATTGGAATTCGAAGCGTTGACAAAGGTCTTTGACAATTTGGAGGTAGCATGGCGTGGCTTGATGTCCTCAGTGCGGTCTTCAACGGCAGCATCCTCAGGCCGCGCTGATTCGCGGATAATCGTCTCTTCATCATACACCATACTTTCAAGTAAGAGGGGAACAATTTTCCTTAAGTAGGGCTCAAGGTAGGGGCATATCTGCTCGTTTTCGCTAACAGCAAGCCAGAATTCAGCAGCTTCCAAAGCAACGTCCCGTTCATCTGGATCTTTCTGCTGAAGGTTCATGTAGTCAACGAGCCCTTCCATGTGAGGTATGATCCGGTCTGGTTTGATATCAATCACTAAATTAAAGGCACGACAAAGATTGCGACGGACATCCGGGTCCGAGTCTTGAGCTAGATGAAACAACTGATCCAAGACCGCATCCAGTGAGGCGAGGAGTACATCTGATTTTTGGGGTATGAAAGCGTTGAGACACGTGACAGCTCTTGAGCGTACTGATGGCACAGGGCTTTTGCAAATTTGCAGAAGACGTGGAAGTATGACCTGGATCGGGCGTTGACCCTGATATTCGCGGTCGAGGTCATCCGTTCTATCATCACAGATCTTCACAAGAGCACCCATTGATCCTTCTTGAGCTGCTTCGGTGATATCACCCCTGTCATTAGCTGCCAGCGATAGTAGTTGAGAGAAGAGTTCTGGCCAGCCGAGAACCCCACCCCGTTGCACAATCTCTGTAATCACGGTGCCAGTAAGGCTTCGAATTGGTCCAATTGCGTCTTCAAGGCAAGGGAGAACAGTAGCTCGTACGTAGGCTCTGGTATCCTCGTCTAAATTTCTGTATGAAGCCTTGATAATGTTCTTGAGATTGATTGCTGCAGAGCTTCGAAGTACTATCAACTCTGATGGAGGAAGGTTGAGAGACTGTGTTTGGGGGCCGTTCCGAAACATGTAGGCGAGGTATCGGGTGGTTTCAGGCTTCGACTTTGCTTGTCCCAGCATCTAGCGTAGTTCAGTAGATGTCATGATCAGACGCTAGGTTACGTTTCTGGCAACTTACAAGCGTTGCTTGCTTCTGAGCGGCAGGATTATGAGCACTCAAAGCATCTCTCAAGTATCCAGCTAGTTCTTTGAGGACTGCATGATCTGGCTCCCAGGGATCTGATGAAATAGCAGCACTCATTTTGAATGGACGGTGGTGTGTGATAAGGTCTAGAATAAGTGAGTGGCGCTATTGTAAGGAATCACGTATTGAGCGTATCCTGCCCACGGCATGAATTGAGAGTACCCACAAAAGTAAATGTGTGCAATTGAAACTTTAGATCTGAGTCTTAGTATCTATATAGGATCTTCAAAGCTCAGGTTTGTTAGCCAAGATTTTTGCGACGCTGCTATTATTCCAGCTCTTTCACTCACAAAGGACTCAGCTAAGATCATAACATTGAGCACTGTAGGAATCAAGGAATGTTTTCTCAGCATCATATATGACGACTGGTTTGGTTTGGGGGAATATGATATCTAGATGTTTAATAGTAAGTCGGCGAGCTGTCTTTGCGAATTCCTTTGGCACCAATGCAAGATGATGAGATGTTTCAGTGATACATACATCTTGCATGAGGTGGGATCACTACGGCGGGCCGTTGGCCTTACCACGCGAGTTCTTGGCTTGTGGTCCGAGGGGTCCTTCGAGGTCAAGAATCATACAGTAGAGATGGATGGAGGGATTGAGTTCAAATGTAAAAATGAAGTATACCGCCGCGCATTTTGAGGGGAAGCACTCCATCACACTAATGGCTACCTCCACTGAGCTCGAATTGCCCAGAGAAAGGTCTAGCACTGAGTAGTCCTAGATTGCTCGTCTGAGTAAAAACAACGGGGTGCATCTGCTAAAATTGAGAAACGCCGAAGTTCAATGGCAGGCTTTAAGAACCCAGATATTGACTCTATTAGTCCAGGCAGCATATAGACGTAGGTCGGGTCTGCGTCCTCGCTTGCCCTGGTAGGTCGTTTTCTCTTAATCGACGACATCCAGCCCTGTTGTTCGTAGGCCAAAGAGCATCGAGGCTCCACCACCGCCAAGTTCAGTTCTCTCGAACACGAAAGTTGGAGCAAATCTTTGATCGGAGGTAAGATTCAGGGCTGTCCAACAGCTGAGAAGCCCCGGGTGAGTCTTCCCAACCGATCTGGTTGTTGCTGAAACATTTTTCGGCCGTGGCAGCCACCTAAATCAGCTCATTTGAAGCGAGTCTTTAGTTGAGTGATGTAATATCCGCTACGAGTACGTCGGGCCATGGTGACAAAACCTTGCGCAGGACGATCGCAGGTTCTTTTGGAAGGCGAGCCAGCGCCTCAATCACGCAGGGTTTGGAACGGTATCTAGCGGAGCAGCGTGTAGTGCTGGTTTGGCCTTTTTCGTCATGGAATTGTTGCGCTTTCGTTCTAACGCCTGGAGAACCCATTTCGAGACCTCCTCATCGACAACCCCAGGGGCGCTAGCTATTCCGGTGTCGCCCGGCTCATCGCCCTCCTCATCTTCCTCTGCAATCGTAGGTGGCTTGAGCATGACAGATAGCCAAGGATGTTGCAAGAGCATTGCATACGTTGGTCTCAATTTCGGGATCTTGTTCAAAGCGCCTCTTACAAAATCTCGGGCTTCTTCGGAGAAACGATCTGTCGGTAAGTCGGGTGGCTCCCCATCAACGATGGCCTTTTCAACGTCAGCAGACGCTCAGTAAGACTTTGGTACAATACTCACACTAAGCTGGCTGAATATGTTATCATAGGTTTCCGGTGGGTAAGGGTATTGACCCATGGCACACTCGATGATCGTCAAGCCCAAGCTCCAAATATCACTCTGAACGCTGTAAGTGCCTCCCCCAGGATTTGCGCCCGCTTGCGCAACACCTCCGCCAGAGATTCTTTCGGGTGCCATGTAGCTTTGACAGCCAATATTTGTCTTTGCAATACTAGCTACTAGGTTGCCACTTACACCAAAGTCGCATATTTTCACCTGGCCTTTTGTGTTGACAAGAATGTTCGTTGGTTTGACGTCACGATGTATGATGTTGTGCTCCTCCTTTAGACTCTTCAAGCCTATCACTGTAGCCAATGCAATTTTCCGTAAGACAGGTTCAGGTACGCCATCGCCGTATAATTTGTCTATTGATCCACCATCCATAAACTCCATACATATGTAAACAGCACCCTCTTGAAAAAAGGCCCCATAGAAATCAACGATATAGGGGGAGACACAACGATGAAGAATGTCGAGCTCCATGATGATTGCTGCAAATTTCGCCTCGTCTAACTCTAATCGGATTTCCTTCATCGCCATGACTACCCCGGTCGTCTTACTTGCGACAGGGGAGATGGGGGAGTCCTGTTCACCATCTTTGTCCAAAGATTCCAAGGGCAAGGTTGGTGCACGATTACCGCTAAGGCCTTGCCCTGGCTTCCGAATGCGAGGTCTGCTGTGACGAACTTTGTATACCGTACCATAGTTGCCCTTTCCAAGTTCGTCCAAAGTATCGACTTCATCCAGAGAGATGTTGAAGCTGCTCCCACTTGAAAACTCGATTCCTTGCCCATGTAGGGTAGCCTTCCCCTTGAATCTGAGAGTGCCGGTTTTTGTATCAACATACTCCGCGTACTTGTTGAACAGAGAATCAGGCTTGTCGCCGGCTGGCGGGGCTGGCTTTTCCGAGGATACGTCTGATCCTGACTGCTTCTCTTGTGGCGCCGGAGATGGTCCACTAGCATCTGATAACTTCATGCCCATGTTCATGCCTCGTTTAGCCGCCAATCCTTTCTTTGGGTTCTGGCCCATTTTTGGCACGACTGGAGCTGAGTTGAAATTGGGCGGTAGAGGCCTTGCACCTGAAGCAGGACTGAAATCACCCGGGCCGCCGGCCAGAGGGCTGTTTGGGTTGAGTGATGTAGGAGAAGAGAGGCCAGCGGAGAGCAATCCATTCGGAGGTGGACTAGCGATTGATGGTATCTTGGACCCTGCCGTAGTCCCAGTGCCAGTCGTTGAAACACTACGAGCAGGCTGTCCCGGAGGTGGGCCCTGTCTTGAAAGCTGGAAAGCTTTCATCCGAGCCTGGACATCTTGAGGTAGCTGACTGCTGCGAACCGGAGCGGCCGGTAGACCTGGCCTTCGAGCCGCATTGATGTTGCCTAGGGGTGTAGAGGACGCAGTCATTCCTGCAGCATTTTGTTCATTCCCAATTTTGAGAGAGGGAAGTTTTGGGCTCTTATTTGCCTTTGCCGGCGATTCTGAACCTTCGGCTTCGGGCAGACAGGACATGGATGGATTGGGCGGCGGTGACGAATCCATGGTCAGCGACGGGGAGACAAGGGAGGAGGGGAGTGAATTAGGATTAAGTTGGTTTGGTATCCCACCACAGCTGTCACAAAGCCTTGACCATAACGTTCGGGTGCTGATTGATGGACCTTGTTGATATTTGCAAGAGTTGGATGGCTCATGGGATGTCACAATACTGGAGAGTGTGCTAGGAATGTCTGAAGGATATATAGCTGGAAAGTAGAACACGCCTGGGAATGTTGATGTTGATGTTCATAGGCAGCGGGATAGGACCGGAAAATCGATGAGGTATTGCAGGTTCGTTGCACGCTACGGAAGAGGGCACGTTGAAGCTGCTTGTTCAAGGACGCCACGCCTCTTAATTCTAGTCCTAAGTCTAGCCCAAGTATTCAAAGGCCACCTCAGTTCAATAGTAGCCTGCGAAATCCGGTTTCTTGCCCGGTCTGTGGGCTTTCCAAGGCATGCTAGAGAGCTTGGAAGGCCTAGGCAGGTGGTGCCGTCGGAAAAGCAGGAGCGGAGAGCAAAATATTTATTAGTCATGCTTGTTCAATAATGAAATGTTCCGTCATCCAAGATTTTCCAGGGCGCCACGGCCTCTAAAAACCCCCCAATTCCCTCAACCGCTGTCGTTTGGGTATTCCACACGTTCTTCTCATGGAGCATCAGATTCATCCTTTCAACCTGGGTATGCGATTCCAGCGCATTGGTTGTCGAGGGCGGCCGTTGACTGCCTGTTCACTATGAGCGCGTCATAATTCCAGAAGCGTTCTTTCCAACCCACGGCCACTCAACGAAGAGGGAAAGACCGCGATCTGATCTGCGTATCGACCATGGCCTGGTACACACATCCTACGTCTTTCAAAGATGTCAGCATTGTGTCAAACGGTTGGGGGAGCCAGTCGTCTTACAACGCGCCATTGCAAGCTACTCTTGCCCGAGCACAATTGGCATCTACAACAGGGCAATCTCCACCACCGCTCCACTCATCACATCCCTCTATACCACACCTGACTCTACTTGTCTTTGAGGCGGTCCTCGAAGTCGTCTGTGTTAGTTTTCCCGGCTACATCGTCGCACGCCAGGGCATGTTCACCGCCGAGATGCAAAAGTTCACCGCCAACTTGAACGTCGCTCTTTTTACTCCCTGTCTGAGTACGCTATTGCGTCTACTACCTATATCTGGTGCCCGCTGACCATTCATGTGTAGTCTTTACAAAGCTGGCGTCTCAATTGACAGCAGACAAACTAGTGGAGCTTGCAATCATCCCGATCATCTTTGTCGTACAGATAGCTGTATCATACGCGTGTGCTTTTGGGCTCTCGAAGCTGTTTGGATTCGCAAAGAGACCGCGCAATTTTGTGATCGCTATGGGGGTACAAACTGACTGCGCTGTAATGCCGAAATGCAATGCTAACGAGCACGAATAGGTCTTTGGTAATTCCAACTCACTACCGATATCCCTGGTCTTATCGCTTTCGCGGACTATCAAAGGACTGCACTGGAGCAGGGTTCCGGGGGACAACGACGATGAAGTTGCTGCCCGTGGTATACTCTACCTGTTGGTTTTCCAACAACTCGGCCAATTAGTCAGGTGGACCTGGGGCTATAACGTACTGCTTGCGCCTCCGGACAAAGTGCAAGGGACAATCGAGAATACCAACGCTCATCTAGAAAATGGCGAAGCAAGCTCAGAAGAAGAAAGGGAACATCTTATTCGCAATTCACCCGACACAGATCGGGACGAGATATTTGGCAGCTCATCCGGTGATACGAGGGTTGGGACACGAACTGCTAGCCTTGATAGCTTGAAAGATCACAAGACACATGCAAGCTTTTCTGGGCAAGAGACGCCAGTAACATATCAGCGCCGTTCATCGCCCACCCATTCAACAAGTTCAATGCGTAGCGCTTTCAACCCTAAAACACAACCTCAACTTCTACCTACACCTGCAAACGGTAATACCATGCCACAGGTTGCAGGATCAGAAATCTCCACCGTGAACCAGTTGCAATCCGTCACGGAATTCAGGAAAGGGATCCGAGGTTTACCCAATCGCTGTCGGGCAGCTCTTTCGCGGTCTCTAATGCAATGCAGCGGCTGTGCGAGACGGGTATCCACTTCAACATTTGAGGCCCTACCGCAAGCCTTTCAGACAGCCCTGAGAATTTTTTACCGAGCTGCGAAGAAGACCGCATTGGGGGTGTGGGAATTCATGAACCCACCACTATGGGCAATGTTAGCGGCCATCGTCGTTGCCTCAATTCCTGAGTTGCAATATTTTTTCTTCGCAAAGGGGACCTTCTTCAAGAATTCCGTAACAAGTGCCATCAATCAGAGCGGTGGCGTCGCCGTTCCCTTGATACTCGTGGTCTTGGGCGGGAACCTGGCGCGAAACACCCTACCCAACAAGCACCATACGAGGGAAGATGACAAGGAAGAAACGAAACTTCTCATTGCATCCATATTGAGTCGCATGGTCCTTCCGACCTTGATCATGGCGCCCTTGCTCGCAGTAACAGCAAAGTTTGTGCCCGTGAGCATTCTTGACGATCCAATCTTCATCATTGTGTGCTTCTTGATCATTGGAGCACCAAGTGCCCTGCAGCTTGCACAAATTTGCCAGATCAACAATGTTTACATGGGCGCGATGTCTCGACTCTTATTCCAAAGCTACGTGATCTGGATCCTACCTTCAACCCTGATACTTGTCATGTGTGCGCTTGAGGTAGTTGAGTGGGCACAACGATAGACGTGGAGCATAAAAGGGGGCAAACGCGGTTGAACGACTTAGCGACGGCGTTCTTTAGGGGAGCAGGTACGAAAATGAGCCATGCGTCCAGCTGTCTCTGTACATAACCATTGAAATGTGGTGAATTCACTGCAGTACATACAATAGAGTATTCTTTTGAGGACACTGTGAAGCTTTACATCTAATCGAGCAATTTTGATCTGGACTTAGCCGGATGGGGCGATGATAAAGGCCCCCCATGCAGACCCCCACCATCCAAAAACGCGCTCGACTTCACGCGTCAGCAACGTGCACCGTCGTCATTCATCAGACAGCCCCCAAACAGCATTCCCCCAACTTACAGCAACATGGCACACGTTTCCAAGCGGCCCTTTCGGTCCAGTATAAGCTCCTACTTCGACCAAAATCCCGATCATGAAAGACCTCCCCATCGATCAGCCTCTGATTCAGAGAGCACCAAAATTCCCCAACTGCCTGCTACAATCCAATCATCTCTTCTCAATGTCGGCATGCGCATTCGCAAATCTGTAGCAGAAGGTTACAGATCTTCGAAAGATCCTCATGACCAATGTCCACGTACTCTCCAGGATCGACATCTTGCGTCGCAACCCTTTCGTCAACAACCATATTTCAATTCCAGATGTCTAAGTCATAGCGCTTATGACAGGAGGGCTTTACAACCTTATAGTAGCATCCTAAAAACTGGAAACTATACGCCTGTTCCGCAAGCAGTGCCAGCGGCCGAAGATGTGTCACCCTTGGAATTTGATGCAGAGTGTGATGTTTCGGTGCCAAGTAGCCAGGAGTCGCAAAATACCTTTACCACTGTAAGCGATGCCATAAAGATCTGGGCTGAGCCTGATTTTGGACGGAAAAGGCCATGGGAGGAGGAAGACACCGAGGCAGGAAATGTGGCTTTTGATGAGCAACATCAAAGCTATGCAACGGCCGATTGCGCATTGAGAAATTCTGTTGAACCAGGAGTAGGAATGTCATCGAGAGCCCCACGTCCTAAAGCGAAGCCGAAGTCGAGGAGGAAAGCTTTAGCGGAGGTGGAGGCGAATGGCGGTGGCGGTTGGACGAGAGAGGCTGTAATGGTGGATGCCGATGATTTTGAGGATGCGCCCTTTCTGGAGCCTTTTCAATCGGCAAAGCTTCATGGATAGAGTGATTATATGAGATAGTTGCAGCGACCGACGAGAGTAGGATTGCCCAACAAGCAGGATAGAGAATTTGACCGTGCGGAATAACATGCTTCAGTAGTAAGGGTATCTTCGCTAAAACGCTGTCACTGCAACATTGGAGCTAAGCTTTCTCCAATCGTCTCTTCAATTTTCTGGATCCATCTCAGCGTCTCCTTCTCGACTACCTCATCGTCATCCTCCTGCAGTTCGCTTACTAAAGGTAACATCTCCGGCAGTAAAGCCAGCCATTCCTCGCCCAGCCTACTGGTGAGCGCGAGTTCACATTGCACGGCGGCCAAACGGACTCTCGTCCTATCAGAATGCATGTGCTGCAAAATGGCGGCGTTCATCTGTTTATGATGGATTGACGAGTCTGCAGCGACGGCTAATTCGACTATTGCGGGTATCAAATCATCCTGTACGTCGATCTTGTCTGCATGGGAAATTTGTGAGAGAAGGGTGTTCGAGACCGGGGTAAAATGGGAAGGAGAATGGTAGAATTCTGTCAAGCTTGGTCAGCAATGATTCAGATGCTTGAGGATTTCGATTTACCATCTTGATCATGCTCGAAAGTTGCGTGTAGCACATGAATCACTTGCTGCCAAAGATGCTTTCCCTCGCCATCTCGGAGGTTAGGGTTACGAAGGATTCCCGCGGCGTCTTCAAGGATGAAGTTTGCGTAATTCGTGACGATGGACTGAATGAAATTAATCAATACTGATTGCGTCAATTTGGCATTCGACTCACTTTTAAAGTACTGAATAGATGCACAAGAAATGTATACCATGTCGACTTGCGGTATATCCTGCCATTGCCAGTCTCAGGTAAGCCCTCATATGCCCACTCGCAAGCTTTGGTGAAAAGCGGTCTGAAGGTGGCATCATTGAGCTTGTACACCATTGCAATAGCCGATTCATTGAAGGCGTTCTCCACATCTGTGATTTCAGCATCTGTATAGCTTTCTTCTGTCCGTGGTGAGCACTGGATGCGCCGAAGGTCAAAAGCCTTTAGAAAGATGTCGCCTAGCTTTTGCGATTGACTAAGAATGGCAGATTTCGGATGTCGATCCATTGATAGCCGCAGAAGCTCCATATACTCCTTGACTGCCGTTGGTCCTTGTTCCATCGCGCTGGTCCAAGTTCTCTCTAGGGCTTCAAATACGACATTTGCGTCGATTCGTTTGGCGATCAAGCGTATCGTCTGACTTCTAATCTCGTCACAATCTTTGCCCATTTCACTATTCGCCGATTCATAAGAAGCCCGGAGTAAGCGATCGAGGCTTTGTCCAGAAACCATGAAGGGGATGTAAATAAAAAGGGCTGTGAAAAAAGAATAAGCTGCATTGTGTAAAGTCTTGTCTTCAGCATTAATAGCCATGCTTTCTTCTAGCGCTTCCAGTGCAGCGGGCATCGCGCGGGGTATGAGTGGAATGAATGCTTCGCCGGCTGCTTCCACGCAAGTAGAAAGGCATAGTAAGGTAGCACAGCGCATTCCGGGTTCTCTGGATTTCAAAGAGCGGTCGTCTGTGATGGTATCTACACACCGTTTGACCACATCAATGTCTCTTTTGCCCACAACATCTATGATGTTGTCCATGGCATTCAATGACATACGGTGCAATGTAGCGTCAGAAGTCTGCTCGATTGTAGTGATCAGACGAGGTAGCAACTGAAGGCAGGATTCTGAAGAGGATTGAAGATCCCTCTTATCTCCCATGCGAAGATCAAAAGATCGGACTATCTGCTTCCGTATTGTTTCGCTAGACCGTGCCAAAAGGGTTTCAAAGGCTTCTACGAGCCTAGACATGGGCAATAAGCCGAGCAAAGAATCGAAAGTGCGCATGCAAAGCCGTTGTGCATGATCGACCTCAGGCAATGATTCAGAGAGTAAGAAGGTCTCTCCAAGCGCATCTTCGTAAAGTCGTTGTACCTCAGCTGATGCATCGGACTTGTTCAAGAGCTCACTTCTGGTTTGATCGACAAGAACTTTGGTACTGAGCAAATCCGGTAAGAAGGGAAGAAGAGCAAGGATGTTCTCGACATGGTTGTGAGTGGGATTGAGTGGCAGAATCTGAGCAAAAATGGCCGGCTTGGCTTTTAGAGAGTCGAGTAGAAGGTGAGTGTATTGCCCAACGGTCTTAAGTCGAGTTTGAACACTATACTTATTAGTGATTTCGACCGCAAACGAAAGGGCTCGACGATTCCGAGGGTAGCTATTTAAAAGTATAGCCACGAATGCGAACAAGTATGAATCTGGTCCGACTTGGTCGAGGAGTGACATGTACGTGTCAAGCCGCCGCTGCGACGGCACATGGTCGAAGGCGGCTGCAAAGCTCAAAAGTAGTTCGGAGATACCGCTAAGTTCACCCTTGCGTTTATGTAGTGATTGTACCAGCCGCGGCACAATTGAGTCCATGGTCTGGCGAACGACGTGGGCGGAATAATCGTCGCCTTGACGAAGAACGTCAGAACCCATGAAGGTGAAAATAGGCATGACATTGTGAAGTATTTGTTCGGGTATGATATGAGCCAGTGCTGAGAGAAGCAAGAGCCCTGTATTGCGTACCTGAGGGCTCGAGGATGACTTGATACAATCAAGCAGTAGATCTGTCTCAATGCCATCAAGACTTAGCTTTGGCTCACGTAGCCCCTCGGCTTTCTCAACAATCGCAAGCATTCGCTCTAAGGCTATCGCCTGAAGGTAGCTGAGACCTTCCCCGGAGTCTTCATTGGCAGCCTTCAGGTCAGTGAAGACGGTGAAAATAGCTGGGAGGAGCTGAGAATCAACGTGAGTTTGAGATTGGTCTACCAGTTCAAGCACTACTGTCACTTGCTTGATGACATTCACACGTTGATCGTGCGAGGGCTCAGTCGCTTCTCGTTCTACGTGATTCTCTAAACGGCGTCTTTTAGCTGCTCGCGAGCCAACTTCATTCCCATTTGAGATCGGTGGCAGATCATACAACAACGCGGTGAGCGTGTGATTACCAAGGGGTAGTGACGAAAGCGTTTCCAAGGCTTCGGCTGCGGGAGTCCTGAAGTTACTATCACCGCTCTCTTTCGTACGGAGGCTCACTCGAAGAAGAGAAGTGGCCAAAGCTGTTTGTAACTCGTTATTAAAAGAACGCCATGTTCTGGCGGTGTATTCGAGAACCGCATGCAGAACGCGTGGTCTGATATCACTAACCGAACCCTCAATTATGTTTTGCAATGTTTGCATACTCTCATGCTCATTTGGTGCTAGGATACCAACTGCGTTTTTTACATATTCTTCATAGTCGATCTGTTGCTTTGCACAAGCTTCAGCCAAATTTTGATTTTTGGGGCCAAGAAGAGAGCGAAGTACAGTCATCAATAGTTTTGGGCGCGAAGAATTGCCAATTTTTTCGATCTTGTTGAGCATCGGCAAGAGACGAAGCTTGACAGATACCAAGGGCGTCTGAGAAACATGGCTACAAAGGCACGCGAATATGGCAGCTCTGACCGAAGTTTTCAGCTCCGTGTGAACTTTGCGAAGGCTGCCACCATTCTTGGTACCTTTGAGAATATTTGTGATACGGCTGAATATTTGATTTTGGTCAAGCAGGCATTCCTCAAGACCAGGAGTAATGATGTCAATTAGGAGACGTCGAGCAACACTTGGTGGTAGCCAGTGGAAGTCTCTGGCCCTTTCAAGCTGCCCGTACACTTGTTCACGACCTAGTATCGGAAACTTTCGTTCTTCCGCCTGTCCCTCCACAGTTGTGTAGAAGTCTTGCAGGTGGAGTATGAGATCCCCCATAGCTTCACGAACGTGAGGAGATGAATCGGACAGCCCGTATAGCATGTATGGCATTAGAAATTGGGGGTCAGCTACCGGCTTCTCTTCCGCAAAATACTCAGTAACGGCACGGATAGCTGCAGCCCGAACCTGTCCAGGATTGGACCCGCACCATACTCTTACATAAAAGGAGAGGAAAAGGGGCTCACTCATGCCCATAGATTTCCTAATGACTGGCAGAGCAGAAAACTTCGACACGTTTGTTGCCGAGGTCGACAATTTACTGAAAGCAGCCTCCAGACTACCAAAAACATATGACTCAGAGTGAGAGAGGAAAGACACTTCGTACGCTGCTTTGGTAGGAATGCCTGAAGCTAAGAGCTCGAATTCTTCCGACATACTTCTGGTGTGATCTCGAGAATTCAAATTATCTTCATCAAAGTCACTCGCGCTCGAGCGTCCTGTGCGTGTAATTCGAAGACTTTTGACAGGAGGGCCCAAAAGTGCAGCTGCTTTCTGCATTTGCTCCTGTAGATCGGGACCCAGTCTCGAGTGACCTGCAAAGTCGAGGATAAGGCTCGAAAGGGAGCTATCAATGTCCAATTCAGTATTTTCGTTTGACGTATATTGATTAGCTGATTTCAGGAGTCGTCTGCAAGCATCTGGATATGTCTCGATACTCAGCAAGTTCGCATCGAAGAGTCTGCGAAGGAGATGAAGCTCTCTCTTGTCACCTGTCTTGCTCAGCCTTCTCGTAAGGCCAGAATACAAGCTAAGCACGAGTGGATCTATCCTATATCGAGTCTTCAAGATCGACAAGTCGCTGCTCAGCTCATCGATAGCCATCAAGGCCTTTGTCACTCTCGAGGGCAATTTGGCAGATTGCATCTTATCAACAAGAACTACTATGCAAATCAGGCCAGCTTGCGAGCTGTCCTCCCAATCTGAGACCACCGCTAGCATCAGTCGTTTCAGGACTTCGTCATCCAGATCAGCTTTAGACGCCAAGACTGTTATGATCATGTACATTGCGGCACGCAAGTCTGGCACACCTTTGATGGTCAGTGAATCACTCGCGACGGCTAAGATTAGTCTTGTGACTTCCTCTTGCTGTTGTCTTTGGGCTTCAAGGCTTGCAGAACGCGACTCATTGCACTTCGTAGCAAGGGCTTCTGACACGAGACCTGCCCAAAAGGATATGAGGGTTGAACTTTGGTACCCGCACTGACAGCATTTGAGTATGAATGCATTCAGAGCTGCAAAGAAAGTCTTATTATGCGAAGCGGCATAAGCGAGAGAATGACGAGGTGGGGAGGTAAGCGACTGTATATATGGACGTAGGAACTTCAGGGAGGGAATAGTTTCCCCAGGAAGGATTGACAGCATAGTTGGAAAGATTGGAGCATCATGATATGGCAAGAAGGTGAGGACAAAAGCCTCAAGATTGTGTTCATGGACACTGCACAATAATTAGCCACTAATGGTAGAAATGTACGTCACAAAGGGCCGGACTGACCGAAATCTTCTGACAAGCCACTCAATGGCTATCAGTGCTGGTTGTAGAAGTACCCTGGAGGATATCAACGCAAGAAAGTCATGCAAAGCCACATCAAGCTGGACGTTCTGGGCGTGCGTGAGCAGTGTTCTGTCTTCGTCTTTGCTCTGTTCGCTGAACAGGTTGTCTTTGAATTTGCTGTATCTTTGATCCAAATGACAGAGTTCATCGAAGCCTTGGAGGCAAATCTGGAAGATAGAATCGAAATCTTGAGTGGCAGCCGTCTTGCTGTCAAATAGAAGAGATTTTGAATGAGCTTTCTTTTGGGCTTTTAAATCTAGTGGGTGATTCGAGACTTTGCGAATCTGCGCCAATTGCGCAGCGAGGGCAGTGGTCATGGTCAGCTTGTCAGAAGCCCCTAAGCAATCTGTACATCACCCGCATCGTTGCTGATGGTATTTTGATTCCCACCCAACGCACCTGAAGTTTAAGAAAACATTTTCGATGCCAAGAATTTATGACACTAAGATAAGGCACCGCCGATAACATCTCGGGGCCGCTTCAGAGCTAAGCTACTCTAGTAGGATTTGGTCGCCGCCGACTATCATCATCCATGACTTTCGTCGCCATTGTCACCTGGCTATGGCGGCCTCTGAGTGCATGATAATGACATACTGTGTGGTGTCTTAGTGTCTCTTGTTGCACCTGTAGGAACGAACATGCTTCCTTCATTCGTTCACCCGCTTAAATGAGGCAGACTGAGAGCAGCACAGTCCCCAAATTTGCGAGTTTCAGACCAAAAGCTACAAACAACCTACCTCATGATGGCAAGCCGTCGTCTTCTCTAGATCATGTTGAGGAGCCCGTTCTATCGTCAGCGAGCAGCAAGAGGTACTGGGAACTAGAGAAGATTAGGCTAGGCGATGTATCAAGAAAGATAGACCTGAGGCAATCTAGTGAAAATCACCGGGCACTGACGAATAATGACTACATTGTTGACAAAGTTGGTGACCCAAACAACGTCACCTTCGGATCAATAGACGGCCGCAAAGTTCCCATCTATACACGGTCTGGTAGGGGGGCGTTGCTGGGGCTTTCCCCACTTTTCAGAATTGATCGTTCACGGTCAAATGAGAAGAAGGTCGTGCTTTCATCTGCTGAAGAACGTCGAATCGAAAGTGGTCAAGTGCTTGTCTCTAGAACTCTTTCCAGCTTCAAGGTAAAGGAGCAGGAAATCATTCCTCAAGCTAGCAACACATTTGGTGATTCGCCTCAAGCTGATTTTGTGTTTCTGGATGATGCAAAGTCATCAAAGAGAATACGTGGCCCTGCCAGCCCAGATGAAGCAAGCTCTTGCTCGGAAGAAGAAAATGGGTCTCTCGACGCGGAGACGAAAAGCGGACATGGGCAGTCCAACTACAGACTTGATCTTCGCGAACAAGACCCCACGGTGGTCCAAAGTGATCGACTACACTTTTCTCGGCGAATAGATGCGAATTCTCACGATCTTGACGCATGGTTTGCTTTGATCTCGTGCCAAGAGAATGTGCTCGGGAAGCAGGATTCAAGAGGAAGCCGTACAGCAGCTGAGAAGCAAAGCACTTCTGACATCAGAATTTCGATTTACGAGAAGGCTTTACAACACATAAAGGAGTCTTCAGGTCGAGAGGCGCTGCTAATCGGCATGATGAAAGAAGGAGAATACGCCTGGACTGTCGCTGAGCTATCAGCTAAGTGGGGTAGTGTTCTCCGAGATCATCCAGCCTACCTGAATCTTTGGTTATACTATCTGGATTTCAAGCAGTCAGCTTTCGTCGATTTCAATTATGAGGCTCTAAGCAACATCTACCTACAAAGTTTGCAGTGCTTACGCGAAGCACGATCCAAGGTTCAAGTAGACTCTGATGAGCACTCCCGTTTGTGTCTAATTCAGATCCACCTAATCTTGCGATTTTCATTGTTTCTGCGAGACATGGGTCTCTCAGAGCTCGCTTTAGCAGTCTGGCAAGCCATTCTTGAATTTAATTTGCTAAGAAATAGATGGGCGAGAGAGCAAGACCCATCGCTAGGTATCGACGTTGAAAGTACTATAAAGCAAGAATTTGCAACATTCTGGGATTCTGAAGTGGCAAGGATAGGGGAGCTGGGATCCAGTAGAGCCGGTCTTGAGTCAGGAATGCACGCTGAGGGGAGTCGCGATCGTTGCAAGACGGACGATGTACCATCTGACGCAAACACATTTACCTTTTGGGCTGCTGTTGAGCGTCAGCGCGCTAGCGTCAGTCGTCAGATTGCACGAACAACTGATGTAACAGAAGAGAACGATCCCTACCGGGTGGTGTTGTTCTCTGATATTGAACCATTTCTATTCAGCTTGCCTGATCTTTCACTTTGGCATGAACTGGTGGATGCTTTCCTGGCATTCTGTCATCTACAGACACCCAGGTCGACATCTACAAAAATCGGGAAAGCCTGGTCAACGAATGGCTTCCTCCGGAACGAGACTTTGTACAAGCCTCAGCACAAGGTGAAACAAGTTTTCAATACCTCAGTTGCGTTTTACTCTCTCGAGCAACACACGATGTACTGCAGCCCAGATAAATGGTTCTCACCCTTTTCCATGTACCACAGCAAAGACTTAAGTGTCCCTGTAGACTCGGCTGTCATATCTCGCACTCTCGATTCTTTAGTTCAGGCCAGTGTTGGAGGTGACGACCTAAGTAGCTACTACCTAGCATTCGAGCTTAGCTCAAGTCCTGGCGCAGCACGCAAAAAGGCTAAATACCTCCTGAAGAAGCGGCCTTCGAGTCTCCAGCTGTACAATGCTTTTGCACTATTAGAGTATGGACAAAACAATTCGGCTGCGGCTGAAAAGGTCATCGTGACCGCGCTCAAGATGACTTCGCAGGTTGAAGGAAAGGATCAACATGCTTTCGTTCTCTTATGGCGGACTTGGATCTGGGCGTTCATCCAGGCGCAGGAGTATAGAGAAGCCTCATGTCGGCTTATGTACTTTACGAACGAGTCCCGGTTAGAGCAGACCCTTCAAGCTGGTGCTTCCAGCCAGCACCTATCCAAGCAAGCAGTTTCAAATATCCGCGAGAAGCTGTGCCTTACTCGCGATCATCTCATCTCTCAGAGTCTATTCATCTTTGCTGCTGCAACCGCAGAGCTCCTCATACTTCTCGAATTCCTCGAGGATCCATCAACCTTAGATTCAGCAAGCTTAGCCTTCAGTACCAACCTCAAACACTTCGATAATTCTGCCCCCAATAATAACATACAAGAAGTAATCCACCAAGGCTTCGCTCGCCTCCTATATCACCACGTCACGCACACGACGCTTTTCAAACCAGCCGAGATCCGCTCCAGACTTGCAGATAGTATCCGCGCTTTCCCCCAGAATACCATCTTTCTCTCTTTATATGCCTGGAACGAAGCCCGGTTCAGCATCGATGATCGCGTACGCTCAATAGTCCGGCAAACACTCCACGACTCTGATACAGATGATACCAGTAAAGATAGCGTGGTCCCACATTTCTTCGCCATCGACGCCGAGCTCTCCCGCGGGATCACACTAGGAAGTAATGCTAACGCCACCAGAGGCACATTTGAGAGGGCGTTGGAGACACGGGCGTGTGCTCATTGCGCGGGCATGTGGAAGATGTATTTCACTTTTGAGCAATCGAGGGGGGAGATAAGGAGGGCTAAGAGTGTGTTTTACAGGGCGATTAGGGCATGTCCTTGGGTGAAGGAGCTGTATATGCTTGCATTCGAGTGGTTGAATGAGGTGAAGGATGGTATGAATGAGGAAGAATTGAGAGGGGTTTACGATCTGATGGAGGAGAAAGGGATAAGAGTGCATGTGGATCTTGAAGAGCTAATTGAGCGAAGAGAGAGGGATTCCAAAAAAACGTGACTGAAATTGATGAGTGCGCCTTCCAAATGCAAATATTTGCTTTCCTTGATAATTGTGCCTCCAAAATGGCGATGCCGTTCTTATCTATATAAAGTTACTTATGAATGAAGCTATGACAGTGATGCTTGACAAGTATCGAATCTAAGGTATCAATTCTAGGTGTTCAGAGCGCCACGCTGTGCAAAGCGAAACTGCGTAACCCATTAAGCCATATTCATGCCATATTTCCCTTTCCCTAGGCGTCCTTTTTAGTGCTTGAGGTCTTCGCGAAGACGAATGGGATGGTATTGTCTTCGTCCTTGAGTACTCTAAGCAAGACTTCGTCACTAATTAATGCCTCCATGTCCTGATTGTCTTCACTTGAGAATCTGGATGTATCGATATGTGAGTAGGACATCAGCGAATCTACCATGGCTCCCGCTCTGCCGAATTTCTTGGTGGCTTTTCTTCTCTCGTCGATTTCCCGCTCTTGTTCCTCTATGTTCAATTTGTTGGCCGGCACTAATGTAGGCAGATTATGCCAATCAGGCAAGTCTTCGTCAACATCGTCTTCTTCGATGTTGTCTGTGCCTCTGTTATCGTCCATGAGGTCTGTCTCTTCTGCAGTCGGAAGCTCAGGTACGCCGCGTCCATCACATTTACAACATAGCAGATCATGTGTCTGGCAAGACAGCCCCGTGTCCAGTCTGAAGAGGTCTTTCAGCTCCTCTTTGGAAAAGCTAGCGGACTCGTTCTTTTGATCCATAATGTTACTGGCAAGACCGAGCTTCGTAACCTGCCTCTGCCATATCTTTTCATCAATCCCCCCGCCATTAAAAAGCGATAGATGACGCAAGATCGCTTCTGTCCGTCTCTATGGATACGTGCCATCGCCTGAAGATCAGTCGCAGGGTTCCAGTCGACGTCGAAGAGTATCAGTCTTGACGCACCGATCAAATTTAGACCGAGCCCGCCGGCTTTTGCGGAGAGAAGAAATGCAAAGCACAATGACGGATCAGATCGATTGAAGTCATCTACAAGTCCCTGGCGTTTGTTTGAAGGCGTGGACCCATCTAGACGGCTGTATGGGTAGCCAAGTGTAGTAAGGAGGGATTCAAGAATTTGGAGTGTGGCCGTGTAATTTGATACCAGAACAACTTTCTCGTTCGTGTTAGTCTTCAATGTGAAAAGTAACCTATCGAGAGCTCGAAGTTTGGTGCTACCCTGATTGGTTTGAATAAGCCTCGAGGGGACACTGTCCAGAAGCGCTGACGTCGTAGTGCTTTTACGCGAGGTCGTGTCCTCAGAACGCTGACCATTAAGAAGCCATGGACTATTACAAACCTTTTTCAATATGGTGATCAGCTGAAGTGCTGCCTCCGAACTCCCTAGAGCTGATTGGAAAGCCGGACAAGCAAGGACGTGCTGATATACTGAAGCCTGTGCTGCCGTTGGGCGGCACATAAGGACATACTCAGTCTTCACGGGCAGATATTTTGACAAAATATCAGCTGTTCGGCGAAGAATGAAGGGGCTAGTCTCATTTACTAGTGCCTCGCTTCGTGCCTCACCTTTTTCAATATCCTCAGATGAAGCTCCAGGCTGTCGGCTTTTGACGATTGGCACTTCGTACTGCCGTGTGAAGTTCTTGAAGGTGCCTAACAGTCCGGGGTTTATGAGGTCAAACATCATGAAGAATTCACTTAAGTCATTCTGTATCGGTGTCCCTGAGAGTATGATCTTTCTTGGAGTCTCCAGTGACTTGATAGCTTGGGCACTCTTGTTTTTGGCGGTCTTCAGTCTGTGCCCTTCATCTGCAATTACGATGTCTATTTCGCAACCGTTTTTGAGGTCGTCAATGACTGCTCTGAGCTTCTCATATCCAACGATCATGATCTGATAGGCGCGTCCTCTTGTAAAATCCGTGATTCGCTTCTTGCTATCATCGAAGAAATAGACACCAATGCGGTCCAAGCCCAGCCATTTACGAAATTCTTTGCGCCAATTGTTGACTAGCGTGACTGGGCATACTATCAATGCCTTCTTGATCACTGGAGAGGCACTGTTTACCGGATTCTGCTTCATCAACGTCCATAGAAGCGTAATGGTTTGCAGCGTCTTTCCAAGCCCCATTTCATCGCCTAAGATTGCCCCGTGGAAGCTCGGATCACGCAAACCCATGACACATTCATAAAGAAATTTGACCCCCTCACGTTGATGTTCACGAAGCTTTTGACTCAGTAGAGGGTCGACAACGACGTCTACTAACTCTCGTCCGATGAGGGCCGCTTCTGCAGCCTTCATGACCAGAGCCCCCTCAGCCGTGATATCATGACGAGGTGTGGGCTTTTGACTCTTTTGCTTTGGCAATACTGTATTCTTGAGCAGCGGAGCACGGAATGAATCCTGCACTCTTATGCTGACATGCGAGGCTTCTTTAGAAGATGACGTAGCAGTCTCCTCGTGGCTACTCTGCCCTTTCCTGTTTTCTAGCAAAGATTTTTGTTTTGGCGGTCCGGTCTTCTTTGGCGGAGGCACAGCATTGACCTTGCTACGACATGATCGTCCTGCAAGATATTCTTTCTTTGGGAGAATTGAGTCAATTTCAACATCTTTGCCTGCAATGGACAGCGACGATCCTGGCAACAATGGTCGATCGCACACTGTTTTCCCCATCTCTCGTCCTGTGTCATCTGTAAAATATGCCCACCCGTCTTTAACTTGAAGAATGCCGTCTCCATTCCATGTCCTGTGCTTCTTCGCTGTGGGCTTACGCCTGTCGATTGATCAGGCTATCTACAAGCTGTGTGGACGAGGCTGCTTACCACAAGACATTATAATAGCTCTCGCTTTCACTGTTTGGGTGGCCCGCGACTTTGATGGTGTTACTTCGATTTTGGTCTTCGACGAGCGGCTCTCGGGGTAGGGCGGTCGTAGGCAAAGTCTTGAAGTCTTGCCGGGGGTTTTTAAGGCTAACGCTTTGGGGTTCATGGTCGTTATTGATTTTTCGTCGTTTCGGCGTTGGGCCAGTAGGTTTGTCGCACGGCTCTTCTTCTGGCAAATGTCCATTGATATTTTTTAATAGAGGTGGTCGAAATTTGGCGAACATGGTTCCGACAAAGTTCAAGTGGTACATCCAAGCAGGACCCCTCTGGAGCACTGGTGCACAATTAAGAGCATATCGCGCCGGGCATCTGCGGGGGAACGAAAACACGCCGTCACGGGTTTTGGCTCACTATCTTATCACTACTACTAAAGACAGCAGCAATTACTGATAGGCAACTGCTCCGCTTTCAGAGACCTGGGGGATAATTTTATGTAAAATGTCCGTTCACCAGACTTACACAACTTTCCGTTCACAATCCATATTCTCAGTCTATCGATAAGCGCACAATGCACCTCTACCTCCTCATCGTCGATCTTTCATTGCTTGGTCATTTCAGCCGGACACTCATGAGTCTCGATAAGACCACAATGTGCTGGTTTAGGAGTATCGCTGACGAATACAGCATTCACACAGAGCTTGGCTTCAGAGCAAATCGCTTCAAGTACTCATAATCCTTGATATTTGCATTGACCGTATCGCGAATGACCTTTGCACCATCTGGGCCAAATCTTTCCGCCCACTCAGCATCTTCTTCAGCTTCGGACTTTTCTTTGCGCCCCTAGATCTCATTAGGCATGGGTTGAATGCTTTAGAGTGCATGTAGGCTAATATGCTTACGTGAGTTCTTGGTTTCAGACCACAACTTTCAATTGCATCTTCGTGAAACCCCTTCCACTTTTCAAACTTGGCCCGAGCTAATTCCTGCTTTTCTGCTGTGTCCCAGTTGAGCATGTTCGGATCGAATTTGAGACCGACGCTCTTGCAGTACGTTTTCACAATGCCGGCCGGGTCATCGAGGAGATCATCAGCATCGACGACGCAAATCTCCACGCTAGTTGACCGAGCGCTACCTGCAATATATCCGTTTTCACGGTGATCACTTTCGGTCTTGTTGATCTTGTCATTCACAGTTGCCGGTCCAATCTGGCCCACTGAACGCAAATAGTCGAATGCCCGACGCAGCTCCTCAATCCCTGCTTCTGATGGCATGAAATTTCGGAAGCCAGTAACTTCATCCAACGGAGGAATAGTGCAGCGATAGTAAGACGGTATGCTGCTCCTAGGATGGCGAATGAGGAAAGTGAAATGGAATTTGTCCAGCAATTCTGTAGGTAGAACGGTTGGATTTCCTTTTTCAGTGGCGGTGAAGACTTTGTCCTTATTGGACAAAGCTCCGTTAAGATGAGGCTCTGAGGTACCCACCCCGCGTCTTTTGGTGGCCAGCGTGGGCGCTATATCTGCAGTGGCACCATCAGGTGGAAACAGATAGTGGATGATATCCTTGATGAAAAGTCGTACTCCCTGATGACGTATGAGTATATACTCGACTGATTCACAATTCGCAATTTGACGCGTCTGAGTGACTGTACTAGGGATCGGCCGACTAGAAGGCCGCCTGAAGAGCGGTAAAGACCAAGACAGAGAGATTATTTCTTCTCGAGTACCTTATGCAGGAAGGAATCGCCCTTTCACTGCCACAAAGGACCGTATGAAAAGGACTCAGACCATTGCAATATCATGGAGTCTACCCCGAGGCTGGGATTGACGCAGAGAGAAGTTCCAGAGACAACAAGTCAGGCAAAAGGGAGGGAAAGGGAACTAACCTCAGACTCTTCGCTGTGGATCCTATCGATCACAGTTTGGTAAGTCGATTCGCTGAAACCACTGTCGATCCTAGCTCTCTCGTCGTTCTCGAAGCGAGAGCTGAGGCGCTCTGGACCATAGTAGAAGGCGTCGCCAAAAGGTTCATGAATGCACGTAAGATCCGGGCGGGTCATGAAGACCTAGTATCAAATTTAACAAGGCTGCTCTGAGGCTGACCGAGCCGCATTACCCTTTCGAAAGCCGTCGAGCAAGCTCGTGGGTGAGTGGCCACAAAGATTGGTTTGGAAGACATTTTGAGACGGACCAGAACTCGACGCTCTCCTGCTCAACACAGGTTAGTTGGAGAAAACGGAGGATGCAGGCGCGCCCAGATCAAAATTGAAATTTGTCGGACAGCAAATACGAGAATGTACGGTGTTCTCGACAGTCCTGCTTCTGTCCGTCTTGTTCGATATAAAAATAATTATATCGAAGAAGCTCACTTGGTCTTAGATGACGTGCGTGAGTGTTCCTGGCAGATTTTCCCATTAAATCCGCACCTAATAAAGTTGACGATTGCGGAGCTAAATAAGCCTGTTCAGTTGCTCGGTGACGAAAGACAATTCAAGCCGAGGGGGGCATGACGGATTGACGGGCCGTTTGGCCCATAAACTGCACCGTTCACGCGAGGCCCTGCATAATGGTCGCGCACCGTCTCCCATGCCATCACCTTCCGAGGTGGTTCAACAGCATATCACAGATCTCGGTCCTTGTCACACCGATGTTTTGGGTTCGTCCGTGGAAATCTGATGTCGGCGTTGATCCTAATTCCCTTCGCATCGCGATCGCTGTTGGAGGTCGTCTGAGATAGTTCACTGCTGTGGCTCTTCCTGCTTCATGTTTATCAGCGCTATATCACAGTAAACCACACCAAGGGCCGCCTCATCTGCACAAGATCCTTGGCATATGCGCCAGCTTCCTCCGGACAAGACCATCGCCACAACGGAGCGCGACTGAGTACTGTCTCATAAGTCGAGAAATGGGTATGTCTTGCTTGCAAGCAACGACAATGCCACTCCGTCGGTGACATTCTTGTTGAGAAAACGTAATGAAAGGAGGCAAAACGAGGGATCGAGAGCGCAATGATAGAGTCACATAAGAGTTCAAAGCGAATGTATTGTGGTCGTCAATTCAAAGCTGTTCTGTCAGTCTCTGCCCTCTTTACGCGCTTTTTATCAAAAGTCCATTGTACACTTGACCTGGGAACGTCCGATGCCCTGCAGAAGACACTGGGGCTACTTTAGTTGCGTACTCGTCGATGAGACAGAGCAAGTTTAGCTGCGAGCAGGCGAAGCCCCTGACTCCGGCAAATCACGCCATTCTCCGGAAATGAAATTTTAGATCCGGGTTTTCACCTACAAACTCGGAGTGTCCAAGCAATATTACAACACATTCAAGGGAGCTGAAGGAATACATCCAGTAGGTCTGCTTGTATTGTAGACAAGAACTTAGGATGGCTGGAATTGTGCAACCTTCCCACCCTTTCTACCCAATCGAGGCAAACATCGTCGGATATCTGGCAAATGAATGGTCAACAATTGGGTTACTGATGGCCTTCGCTTCGGGGTGTGTGCTTGCCCTGGGAGGTACACTTGTTTTGCTGCGGCGGTATAATCGAAGCATAAGTGGGGTGGATGAGTACATAGTGCTCTGGTTTGTTCTCAGTAGGCATCTGATGTTGCACCGTACAGACAAATGCATTCTAATCATCACATAATCATAGCTGGGACCATCCACTTCTTTTTCGAAGGTAGGGCTAATTCTAAGCCATCATGCTTGCTTCTAATCGACGGTGATCTCAGGTTATTTTGCTTTTAATCATGCAACGATGCCTACCAAGCAAGATGTTTTTGGCCAGCTTTGGAAGGAATACTCATTGTCTGATTCAAGATACATGACTTCTGATCCTTTTGTATTGTGTATGGAGACTATTACTGCCGTATGATTACCTACATCAGGTCCTCGTGGATTTGATGGCTTACTGAAGCGCCCAACGCTATAGATCTGCTGGGGCCCGTTATCATACATGATGGTTTATTGCATTACCACGGACCACCCGTTACGGCATCCACTGCAAGCGGTGGTATCCCTGGGGCAAATCTACGGCGACGTGCTCTACTACGCCACCAGCATGTTTGACAAATATCATAAAGGTCTAATCTACTGCAGACCAGAGGCATATTACTTCTGGCTCTATTACTTTTTTATGAATATCATCTGGATTATCATTCCTGGCTGTAAGCTGACTTGCCCTATTCATACAACAAGTGAAAATTAAAACTAATGGGAGTACTCCAGTGCTTCTGTACAGCAGCCTGTCCCAAAGTAGGACAGCCTTCATAGCGCTGGCAAGAGAATCTAAGCGCACTAATAGCAACGGTCACCTTAAGCAAAGATGATGAATAGAAGAATGAACATCTTTCTCCGTACAAATTTGAAGCTGAGCACTGTAAGTGATGCGTAAGCAATCGCTCATGAAATGCTGTGCTTTGAAAATGATTTTTGATTCACTGGCGGGAACGCTAGTAGCGGGTGTGGCGTCAGGGCTCTGCTCGCTCTGTTGCTCGACAACACGAGCCTCACTCAGACCGCACTCCCAATCATCCCTTACCCTAGTGCACGCCCCGGCTCTGGAAAGACTACGTGCATTGCGACAACACATATCCATCGTCCATTGTTCGGAAATTAATGGAGAATAGGATACGTTGTAGCTACCGCAGCGTCTTCGCCGTGCTGTAAACAAAGCGACGAAGGGATCACTGAACCGCTTCGCACACCAGGACATCTTCTACTCCTCCCTCACAGTCGTCAATGATGTCACTCACAATCCAAGGGTTCCCAGCTCTCGATCTGATATGACCTTTAGCCTCATTTCAGCGTCCGCAGGAGCAGCTCATCGCATCTCTTCAAGTGCTCTGCGATGGTAGGGTCCTTTCGTTCTGCCGAGTCAGCTTCCGTACAAAACAGAATACAGCAATGGCAGGCACAGGGTGGCGGAGTTGTCGAAGTGGAGGAGATTAGTTCAAACGACAGCGGAAAGGAGAAGAAGCCTGCAGAGACCCTTATTGCTGACAAGCAACCCAACCCGACCACACCGATTCCCCAAAAGGATTCTCAACTTGCATATGAGACACCAAGAGCGAATTCAAGACATAAAACGAGAGATCGGGGCACACATGAAAGGGAAATCAAGATCCGTAGTGCGCCAACCAAACGGGTCGTGAGCGACGGTCATTGGCGCAAGACGAGGAGTCCGCCAAAAGGTGAACTTTCGTCCAAGCTCGTAGGGGATGAAGCATCAACGTGGAGTAAGTGGAGTAAAAGCGAAAGGAAATCGTTGGCTCCTGTAACAGATGGCAATCCCTCGAATGAGGGCGACGTCTTGGAACTTCACATACACTCGACTTCCCCAAGACTTAACGATGAGGATGCAAATAGATCCTACGTGACACCTCCTGGCTCAAGACGCCACTCCGAGATTGAATGCAAGCAACATAGTGCATCTCTCTGCGGAACAAGCGTGCCTGACAGCCCGGCAAATGATACTGCGAGAACGCCAGATCGAAAAAGCTTGCGAAGGACGTCGGCAAATACAGACAAGCATTCACATGCTGGCTCATCAGCTACAAAGCAAATGTGTGAACATCGGCGATTTAGCCCACACTCAGTGAAAGAAGTAGACCATGTGACTTTGCCAGCTAGAAGTGTTCGGCGGGGAAGTCTACGCTCAGAGAAAGGAAATCTCCTGAGCCAAGTTTTCAGCGATTCTAGGAAGATGTTTGCTAAACATACACCGGAACCCATTGTCTCACCACGAGTTCCTAGTATCGAGGCTTGGTTAGACAGCACCTCAGACCCGTTCATCGACGCTGAGGCACCTGTTGAAGCCGTTGCGCCCTTGAGACCATCACGGAAGAATAAAATACCAAATTCGCTGGGGTCGACCGCTGATGATCCCAACAACATCTGGGAGACATTAAGCACCAATTTGACTACGCAGGGGACTGGTCTACGCGGGCCGGTCAGGAAGAGGGAATTCGATTTGATCCCGGAGAGCGGGCCTGATCGACCCGTTGACCTACCGCCAGATGTTCCTAGCTCCGACCCCATTCGTATATCGAATCTTGACCACGCTCGGCTGGGTTCACCAGAGGCATCCATCGAGCCACTAAGGAGAAGAGTAGCCCGCAAGAGTGTATCATCACCCATCCATAATCGTAGAAGATCTCAGAAATCGAGCCCGCTTGCTGGAATGGAAGACAGGACTTCGAAATCAAATTCTGACGCGCCCTCAGCAGATGACCTGGACAAAAAACCATCGTTTAAACCACCTCCCCTCAATATCAAGAGGCAGTTTCCATCGACAGGTCAACATCGACTCTCAACCATTGCTTCGGTAGATACCCTCCAAACAACGTCAGAGATTATCACTCATCCGCTACCAATTTCTACCAAAGAAGCAATCAACGGCGCTCGAGAGTGTAACGATGCCCTCTGGAAGGAAGTGGCGAATGCAAATCTGCCAAATCGTTCAAATAGCCGACTTACCAAGCACTCCGACCTGATTTCGGTCCTCTCGATGCCAGTTGCAGGCAACGGAGGTATCAAGTCTGCTCGAAGCCTCAGGACGAACAGGACTGATCTAGAAGCAACAAATGTTGATGAGCTGATGCAAGAGTTGATGATGGACGAGAGCAAATATGTGCGCGAGTTGCAGACGCTTGTCGACGGAGTCATTCCCGTGCTAATCAACTGCGTTCTTTCTAAGTCTGATTCAGCGGTCGCTGCAGGCCTCTTTCAAGTGTCAGCAAACGCCCAGGGAAATCCTGATTTTATACGACCGATTATTGACATGGGCATCGCCTTAGAGCGTCTGAGAACTATCCACAGGAAGATACCTCAGAAAGACCCTAGATCTTTGCTTGCTTGGGCACGTGGTGCACAAAGAGTCTACAATGAGTATCTTCGAGCCTGGCGCCTCGGCTTTCAGGATGTTGTCGTCAATCTTGCAACGGCCTCGGCATCATCACCAGAAAGCAGTAACCAAGAAGGGCTAAATGAGGGTCTTCCTAGAGATGAAAATGGCAACGTGATCGATGGTGATGGTGAAAAAGTAGACGTTGCTTTTCTGTTGAAGAGACCGCTCGTTCGTCTGAAGTATCTTGCAAAAACCTTGAAGGGAATCAATATTACCTGCCCTTCTTCGGAAGCCGCTGGCCTGGCTGCCAAATATCAAGAGCTTGTTGATGCTGCTCGACAACGTGTGGATGAGGAGAGAGCGAGACTTGAAGACGAAGCTGCAGCTAATATCGATGCTACTCGGTCAAGAGACCTTCGCACACTTGCACCTGTATCTAAAGTGATCAACAAGAGAGGCCTTCGCGTTCGAGCTCGCGATAATTTCGACCTTACTCTGCAGCACTCCAGTGGCCAGCGCATCGACTGTCGCGTAGAGCTACTGCTTCGTGATGAAATCTCGGAAGCAGACGAGGCCGGTGATGTGTTAATCTGTGAAGTCGACGAGTCCGGAAGGTGGCTTTTGTTTCCTCCTGTGCCGCTTGAGCAGATCTCAGCGTGTAGCGGAGAGCAGAATGGTGAACTGACGGTCATAATCCGGGGTCAGAGCAGCGATGGTTCTCAATGGCAGGAAGTGTTCAGACTTTGTAGTGAGAACGAGGCGACTAACTTCGAATGGATTCAAATGTTGGGCTCAGAACCATTGCCAGCGCCGATTGCAAGAGCCTCAAGCTTCACAGAAGGAGAGGAGAAGTACAAGTCTTCTGCTGGCCACCTTGTGCCCAAACCAGCCCGCAACCTAGAGAAAAGCAGGACTCCAAGCCCGGCAGAAGTCGAGATACCGATCGGTGAAAGACCTACCGAATCGTCTAAGCGATGGTCAAGCCATTTTAATTCTCAAGTGCCTGTAGCGGAATATCGGCACGCAGGAAGCAATGTTGCTTATGGTAGAGTAACAACACCATCCGCGACAGGTTTGTCATCTCTACCAAGTCAAAGCCACCAGTCTCCGCCGGCACCATCGACGCCAGCATCACGTAGTCCAAGGACATTTAAAGAAGCACTCGGCCTGAGTGGTACCAGTGCTATGTCAGGCTTGAGGAGAACGAAAGCTAAAAGGACCTCGAAGCACCTTGATGGTTCCCCCAGAAGTCCAAGATCCAGAACCTCCCGCCATGAAGATGATTCATATTGCTCTTCCCCTACATCTACCGATCTTGACATCGGCAATGAAAATGAGCTTGTACCTCTCTCAGCTCAGACAAGTATCCAAAATGAAAATGACGAAGTGGTGGAGCCGGAAGTAATGAATGCGAAGACACCGGATGCATCTTTGAAGCGTGCTCCCATATCGTCTTCCGCGGATTCACTCCTCAATCCGAAGATTCGGAGGGAACGTCCAGCCGATGGATTGACACAAGAAGTTCACTTGACTGAAACTCTGCGTCACAGTAATGATTCTTTGCCCACACAAGTGCTGAGAAAGGGACCACTTAGGCTTAAGCAAAAATCTCAAATTATCACACCGTCACCGTCTGTTTCTGGACCTGAATCGCAAGGCAACGCTCGGCCGGATCCAGCCAATCTATCGCAGGCAGAGCGAAGCGAGCCACGAGCTAGACGTTCTTCTTCTCCACTCAAGCATGAATACGAGCCTTCAACAGCTTCAGATACACCCTCAGATTCGGACGCTTCAATAATTGAACATCATGAGTCGGCTTCAATGACGGAATCATCGGATGAGGAAGATATCGAAAAGCATGATGTTCCGACCCCTCTTATGCCCTTGGGCCCATTCCGGAATACTATGATGAAACCCTCTCTTGTTGCCAAGGTCCCCACACCAGAGGGTACTCTCAAGCCGTCTGACTCGGCATCCCAAGCTCCATATAAAACCGTGCCCACGCAAAGGCAAACGGCTGAGAAGACCATCGCATCAATCTTCTCTTGGTCTGATCAAGGTTCGTGGGAAAGCTTACATCCAGATGAATGCAGCATCGTCATTACGCCGGGCTTAATCGAGGCCTTCGAAATGTCTGCATCTCATTCTGACAGTAGACCGCAGTCAGCTTCAGCTCAAAAGGCCGATGTTGAAAGACTCACTGATAATGCCTCAACTGTCACCAGTCAAAATGATGATGTTCAGGGTGAGCGACCTCTTGTCGCACTCGAGCTGACACCCTTGGTGCCGCTTCGGCGTGGTACTGCAATCGACATTTCCATTCGATCTCCCCCAGTCTCTAATTGTAAACTTACATCTGGCAACAACATAATGTTTCGGTCTCGAAGTCCAGAAGAGTGCGAAGCTCTGTACGCTCTCATCAATCATTCACGTATTCACAACCCAACATACATCGCACTTCAGAACGCTCGCGGTCCTTTCGGGCCTGGCTCGTCTTTCCCTGGACCATTAGGCAGGGGACCCACCAGTCAAGCCGGTAAGTCCCGTAGTAGTTGGTTTGGCGGATTCGGACGATCTTCCAGCTACCGAGCAAGCACCAAGCGGACTTCGAGCGTTGCCCCGAGTGAAAGCAGTGTTGGGACGATGGGCACTGCGTTCTCGGCTCTTCGACGGTTCGGCAGGGGCAATGGGGGCGGTATGTTCAATATAGCTCTCAGCACCATAACATCTCGAAACGGGGCAGGTAGTGGAGCGGGCAGTGTCTTTTCTAATTCCGATAATTCAAGTGGCAGTGGTGCTGCGACACCAATCACCCCAGGAATGGTCGCAAATCGCGATGGATCTTTGGGTTTGAAGGACGCCAAAATTCGTTTGTACATTCGAGAAACTGCTTCAAAGTGGAGAGATATGGGATCTGCACGGCTTACTATTCTCCAACCAGAGAAGCCAGGCGTTGGGCCAGATGGCCGGCCACTGAATGGAGTCCACCAAAAGAGAATCCTTGTTACAGGCAAGACGAAAGGCGAAACACTGTTGGATGCACAACTCGGAGAGAGTTGCTTCGAACGTGTGGCACGAACAGGAATCGCAGTCAGCGTATGGGAGGACGTCATCGGTCCAAATGGAGAAATCGGAGTTGCTGGCGCTGTGGGTGGTGTCGCTGGCGGCAGAGCGAAGGTGTACATGGTACAGGTATGAAGCCTAGGGCACGAACTTTTGAGACATCTGCTAACAAAGCATATAGATGAGAAGCGAGGCCGAAACCGCATATACGTTCTCACTTGTAGGAAAGCTACGGTATTAAGTCGCGATTGCTTACACTAGATTCGGTGGACATTCTTGCTATATATGCAGCAAAGGTGCGATTCTTCCATGTATATCTTCGGATTTGGTTTCTGCGATTGTGTAATGAGGGGTTCATTGGTCATACTTTGGAGGCTTGCTCTGTATTCAAAGGTGCTTATTTGCTCCAGCCACGGTCTTATTGGCACGATCATGTACGTTGGGAATCAGCCAGGTTAGTTCGGATTCGCATATAGAGGACAGAAGCTACAAGAGCATTTTCAGGCAGCACCAAGCCGACCTCAATATTGCCTTTGTGACAAGTTTCTGATCTTTTGTACTGACATACACCTTCACTAAATGACGCCAATCAAGATATACCGTTCCGTTGCTGGATGGCGCAGGGTTCATTCTGAGGTGACGATACTTGATTGAAATGCCTTGTTTGAGGATGTCAAGGCGAACACTAAGGAAAGGCAAGGCTGACGCGAGGACATTCCTCAAATGTCGCCTAGCGTAAGCTCCTAACGTCAACTCGTAGCCCAGGCAAAGACTTGCACAATAAGTTCAGTCCCAAAGTCCCGCGATTCTGCCCTTCACCCGATAGAAACTTGTGCTACATCTGACATGCACTCGGCTTTAGCGGCACGGTCTTTGCCTACGTCAGCTTTGAAGATGGCCCTTCGTCATACCGCTCGGTGGCTCGACCGTCCAGGACATCAGTCTAGAAGCAAAGGCTAGGAGGTCAGTTCACTTGCTCAAAGACCTCAATGAACACCACAACAATGGTGCCTCCCCAGCTCCCAGACACCATGCTCGCAGTGCGCGTAGAAGAAGTACGTCCCATTGGGGACCTTTCATTCTGCGGTAACGAATTCCAAGAATCCCTATTGACACTTCCACCCCATAGTTTCACCAACCCTACTCTCTCCGTCAAATCCCCACCCCTAGCCCCAGCAATCTGGGCCCTAATGACCTCCTCTTAAAAGTCGGCGTGGCATCCTACTGCCACACCGACAGCATGGTCATCGAGGGCGAAATTGCCAAACACCCTCAAATCACCGCCTCCCATGAAGCTGCGGGTACAGTTCTCGCCACTGGTTCCTCCGCCACCGATTTCCCTGTCGGTTCCCGCGTCATGGTAGGCGTGCCGTTCCACCGTTGTGGAAGTTGTGCCGAGTGCCAAGGCTCGGAGGAATACAAGCAGTATTGTACCAATGGTGATTATTTTGGCGTTACTACAGATGGCGGGTTTGCAGAATATGCGATTGCGGATGCGAGGGAGGCTTGTGTTCTTCCTGACGCGGTGGGCTTTGATACGGCGGCCCCGTTGGCGTGTGCGGGGTGTACTGTGTGGAGAGGTGTGTTGCGGGCGGACCTGAAGGAAGGACAGTGGCTTGGCATAGTTGGTGCTGGAGGGGGGCTGGGGCATTTGGGGGTGCAGTTTGCGAAGGCGTTGGGGTTAAAGGTTGTGGGGATTGATGCGAAAGATCTGGCGCTGGAGTTGGCGAGAGAGTGTGGCGCTGATGTCGTTGTTGATGCAAGGAAGGGGACGAAAGAGGTTGTGGAGGCTGTGAAAGGGGTTACGGGTGGGGAGGGAGTAGAGGTGGCGATTAATGTTAGTGGTGCTGACGAGGCTGCTGCGCTGTCTTGTGCTATGACGAGGGTGCATGGAACTGTGATACAATTGGCCCAGGTATGTGAATGTCTTCTTTGAACTGATGGTGACAAGATGTATTAACAAGTAGTGTAGCCGACGGAGGTGAAAATACCGTATCCAGAACTGATATTTAGGGACATTAGAATCAAAGGCAGTTTAATATCTACAAAGCAAGAAGCAGAACGGATGCTTCAGACCGTTGCGGATCACAATGTCAAGGTTCAGACGAATTTTTTCTTTGGATTGGAGGAAGTGCCCAAGCTGGTTGACTTTGTTCACGCCGGGAAGATGGCAGGCAAAGGTATAGTCGTTGTGGACGAGGAAGAGCAGAGGCGAATTAAACAGGCAAAGCATTAAAGACACCAGCAAAGGAAGGCTGCATTTTTAGGAAAGAAGAGGACGATTTGATCAGTTTGTCAAATATATCTTCAGACCAGGCCGGCTCTTATTCCTATCATGCAAGTCAAGGTGAGCATAGTTTCTTTCACGTTCAATCATTCTCTCCATCCCCGTGACACCCCAATAGAGCATCATCACTCTGCCCATGTAGACAGCTCAGAGATCAAGCTCAGGGTACTCCCTCTTAAGCGTCTCAAGCTGCGTCGTAAGTTCCACCTTGCTTTCGAGGGAGACTTCAGGCCTGAGTAAAGCACTATGAGCGCCATTAGCGAGTCATCAAGAGATCAATTTGGTGGGTAAGTACATACGCCCTGATACCTGCAGCAACACGCGTAGGATCCTTTTCCTTTTTGTTGTCGTGCTCTTTGGCGCACTCAGCAGCCACACCATATTCATGCTTCAATTTCTGCTCAAGTTCTTGCTTTTCCTCTTTGGATATGTCAGGTTCGTTGAGGGCACTAGATCAGGCTGTCAATTTGCATGGAAACGGCACGTTTCAGGGAAAATTGCCTCTTCAAGCCTGCGATGGCAAGTTGAGTTTCTTTCGGGACAAAAGGTCCTAGTTCACCGCCGCCAAATTTCTCGTCCAGAATTTTTTTAGTCGCCTGCCTGGCCGATTCGGATCTAGTCTCGTCTGTTAATGCCCTAGGTCACCATATTAGCAGTGTTACTGGATCAAAAAAAGGAATGAAATACGCTTCCAAGGCGCTATGGACACGGCGAGGATTCTTCCTTGCCTCCAGCTCGGCTTGGCCATCTCCGACAGCGCCCATGCTGTCAAGTACAGCTTGAGCTTTCTCTTTAGCTTCAGCTGACGCTCCTGATAACGGTCAGCGAGATTCAAACGCAAGCCAAATGCCGAGATACTTGGGCTGTTGATGGTGGCTTTGTGGCCAGCGCGAACTTTGGATGGATTCTTCATTGGATTCTTCATTGGATCCTTAAAGCGATATTCGATTGGATCCTCCGAGGGGTACTCGATTGATTCCTCGATTGGATCCTTGATTGGATGTTGGATCAGATCCTTCATAAAATCATCCATTAATTGCTCGACTCGTTCCTCGCTTGGTTCCTCGCTTGGTTCCTCGCTTGGTTGCGCAGTTGGATCCATTGCTGGTGTTGCTCGAGAGCTTGAGTCTCGTATTGTTTTTGATTATGGTAATGGTATGATATGATGTCTAATGAAGATAAATACCGAACCTGTTGGGAGTATTGCGGTCCAAAATGCTGTGGACAACTCCCTCTACTTTGAACAATGAGATGGCAGATCGCTCCTGCCTTTCGAATCTCATATTCTGAGTTGCAGTTGCAGTTTTCTAGTTGTCAAGCCTTACAGGGGTCATCAGTCCCGTTCCAACATCCACGACATAGAATCCCTGAATTCATGAGATGGACAGCGAACACAATTTCATCTGAACCGTTTGCGTGTTTTCCCTACATGTTTTACACTTTTTGTTCAGTGTCCTCCCATGACTGTCTTTTCCGAGTTCTTTTTACTGTTTTAAGATGTCTTGAGAGTAATCACACAATGCTGACTTCTAAGACATGTTCCCGAAACATAGATATGCTCTATCTAACTACCTAAACAAGGTAATAGGACTCCGAAGAGCTAGTCCCACACTGGGTCATGATTTAGAAAAACCTGGGATTTCGATCATGATAATTTAAGGACCCGACAGAATGGTCACCTCAGCAGAAACTAGAGAATTGAATGGCTTTTAGAGCACACTATTCACTGGTGTGGAAAAGAGCCACAGGAGCAGTCCAGCAAGTACCTTGATCTTGCAAGGCGATCAGAGCAGCTCAGGGGCAGTCAAGACCACGCCAAGACATCGCGTCAGCTTATGAAATGGTTTGGGGAAGCCCACCTCATGCGGGGCTTATTAATGAGAAATCACAAATGAATGGATTCTCACCTGCTTTCTCAGGGCTTCGCATCTAATTTCACTGTCGAAATTCTTTCCATTCACGATACGTACTTTCGTTTGTGCTAGCCTCGACTTAACCTTCCCTTTCTCTGGTCTCTGTGGTGCAATATGTCATCCCAACCACGCGTCCTCCTCCTCGGAGGTCACGGCAAAGTTTCTCAACTTCTCACCCCTTTGATCCTTTCTCGAAATTGGCATCTCACAAGTGTAATCCGCGATCGAGCGCAAGAACCTACCATCACTGCTCTGGCTCCCTCTTCACACGTACAAAACCTCGACGTCCTTGTCTTCAGCGTTGAAGATTCCCACGCAGAAGCCAAGTCCATCATTGCTTCCACCAAACCAGATTATGTCGTATGGAGTGCGGGTGCAGGAGGTAAAGGTGGGCCCGAACGGACGAAAGCTGTGGACCAGGTCGCGGCCATAGCGTTTATTAAGGCCGCTGCAGAGGAGGGGAGTGGAGTGAGTAAATTCTTGCTGGTCAGCTATGTGGGCTCGAGAGCGAAGAAGGCGCCTTGGTGGAGCGAGGAGGAGTGGAAGGCATCCCAGGATGGGAATAATGGGGCACTGAGAAACTATTATCCTGCAAAGTTAGCAGCAGATAGGGTCTTGACCGCTGCAGGGCGGAAGAGAGGGAACGGATTTGCGGCGATTTGTTTGAGGCCGGGGAGTCTTGGGGATGAAGAGGAGGAGGGGCTAGTAAGCCTAGGGAAGACGAATGCGAGAGGGAAGATTAGCAGGAGTGACGTCGCTAGGGTCGCTGCTGAGCTGTTGGACAGAGTGGGAAGGAGTTGTTGGTTGGATCTATTAGAGGGTGAGGAGAAAATCAAGGATGCTGTTGAGAGGTGCGTTCGGGAGGGTGTTGATACCGTCGAGGGAGAAGACGTGGAAGGGTAGCGAAGTAATGATCTGAACGAAGTGAACGATCTTGGAGACGCAGAGCATCCCAGAACCCTTTCCCGGATATGTGTCCCTAACTACCGTGATGTAGATATTAAAACCCCTTTAAACAGCGCTGTAACCATGTCGTGTGTGCGTCCCTTGGAATGTGTCCATAATTCTTCGGATCAAGTCTTTGAAGAGATATGGAATATCGCGAATCGTGTCTGAGTGTGGTAGAAGGTCCCATCCTCGAGCTGAGTACCGGTTGTAATTAAGCCATGAACCAAAGATGAGGTACGCCGCAATCCCTAAGAACACACTGTCGCGAAGTATTTAGTGAAGATCTGGTATCTTAGATGTAGCGAGACTCACACAATGATGAACCATGTAAAGAAGCCCCAGTGGCTAGAAGTAGAGTTACTGCTTCCAGTCTTCGCGTCCTCACATGCGTACTTCGTGTTCCACTCTAGTCTGAGCACCTTATACTTGCCCTCATCTTCCCAGCTAACGTATTTCAGTTTGCCACCATTTTCATCGTCTGCTATCTCTCCGCTTTTATCTCCGCCCTTGTCGTCGTCTTTTTCATCTCCATCCTTATCATCTTCATCATCGTCTTCATCCTTAGTGGTGGAAATCGTGGAATGCCGTCGTCGGTCATCATTACCCGAGTCAGCTCTACAGATGAACTCAACGATTGCTTTCTGCTTCTTCCCATCGTCGTCCTTTCCACCGTGCATTTCTAACCGCAGACCATCCTTTTCTCTATCAGCCGTGGATGACGAGGTTTTGAGGCGCGTCCATTTCGGATCCAGAGATCCTCCCGTCGAAGTGCTGAACTCTCCTGCAATTGAGACAGTATCCTCTATCTTGTCTTCTATCTCTTCGATCTTGTTTGTGAGTCGCGTGATAGCGCATACTATCACATCAAATTAGATTCTAATGTCCTTGTAGAATACATGTGCAAGCCATTCACCGTGTGAACCATTCTGGCAGTCTTCTTCTTTAGGGACACCTTTAGTTTTTTGTAATCGGCGACAAGGATTGATGGTGAATGTGGTGTTCCTTATCCTCGGGCCATTCTCCTTCACTGTAGAGACCGAATGGGGACCGTCTAGCGGCGAGAAATCATATTTGAATTTGTCCACAAGAATATTCTTGCAGTCTATAGAGATCGCGGTCGTAAGGCATGGCAAGAGGAGTAGCAGAGTTGGGATGGTGGACGAGGGATGGTGGAACGATCGCATACTGGAGGCCGGAGATGGCGGAGGGTTCAGGGCATTGGGTGCTACTCTAGCAAGAAAGTCTAGAAGCTTTGGGCAACAACTTTGTAGTCCAGAGTATTCCAATCACGAAAATCACTGCAGAAGGAAGAATACAAATTTCAATCAGCTCCTGAAAGATGGTCATCAAATTTGGCTCCAATGTCGTTCTTGGCAGCCTGGAAATGGCATAGGGCTGAGTAGCTCGCTAAGGTTAGGCGCTAGTGGTCCACACGTCCATCTACTGGGTGTGAGGAAGAACATCTTCATCTATCGACGTTCTCACGGTAGCGCATCGCCCATCATGTGTATGTACCCTAAGAACAGTCTCGCACATATTAGGTTGTGTCGAACATTATAGCTAATCAACCGCACAGCACTCGTCTCGGGAGAGAAGTCGAACTTTCAGTTCATCCTTCGTCTCCTCAATACCAACGTCGACGGCAAGCAGAAGATCATGTACGCCCTCACCAAAATCAAGGGTGTGGGTCGTCGCTACTCCAACCTGGTGTGCAAGAAGGCCGACGTTGACTTGAGCAAACGGTTTGCCTCTTCGGATACATTAAGCGCCGTACGAAGCTAAATAGATCCAAAGGGCTGGTGATATTACCTCCGAAGAGCTCGAGCGTATTGTCACCATCATACAAAATCCAACACAGTACAAGATACCAACATGGTTCCTCAACCGACAGCGCGATATTGTGGATGGCAAGGACAGTCAGGTCTTGGCTAATGGAATGGAGAGCAAGCTTCGTGAGGATTTGGAACGGTTGAAGAAGATTCGTGCACATAGAGGTCTGAGACATTATTGGGGTTTAAGAGTCCGTGGACAACATTCAAAGACGACTGGCAGGAGAGGACGGACTGTTGGTGTGTCGAAGAAGAAGGGTTAGAGCTAAGTATGACATGGTCAAGGACACAAGGTGGCATCTGCTAAGTTGAAGCATCACATTCAATTCATCAAGTTTAACAAGAGAAAGCTGGCTCGTATGGTCTCGCGCACCAAATGAGACGTTATCAATCCCTGGAATTAAGGAGGTCATGGATCGCTAAAGTGCTTGACGGAATCACACTACAACCCTTCACTAATCCTCATGCGTCACGGCCATGTCCAACACCTCCACCCTTCCTCTCCCCTTGGTCTCATTACTGACAAATTCGACCAATTGCTTGTAAGCACCTGGCTCCACGAAACCCGACACTTCCCACTCCTGCCCAGCCGTATCCTGCATCTCAACTTGTTCCACATAACTCAATATCCGATCCTTCACGGTGGCTGGTTTTGGTACCTCCTCCTCTCCAACCTCCTTATCTTCTTTTTTCTGTACCTTGACACCCTGCTTTAATAAACTCGTCGGACATACCACTCTCAACCTCATTCTTGCCCTCATGATTGGTATCGGCTGCCATGCAACCAAAGCCTTTATAGCTTCCAGCGCTTGACTCTTCGCACTTTTTGTTGTGACTACTCCCGTCCAAATAGGCATATCCTTCTTCCTCGGCTTCGCCTCCTCTCCCTCCGCGCCAGCACCACTCGGCGTAGCAGTACCACTCCCCCCACCACCCTTTCCATGTGCCTCCTCCTCCCTCTGGTGTGCACCCTGAGTACTTAATTGCTCTAATGCCTTTTCAATCATCCCGGCAGTATAAACCCTCTTACTCCTTGGGTCCACTACCTTGCCTGATAAAATATCTATAACTTCCCTCTCAAGTCTATCTTTTTGCGCGCCCCGTTCTTTCTCGCCGACCTGCATCTCTCCCTTCTTCAATATTTCCTGAATGATGTCATCTCGGCTCTTTCCTTTACCGAACGCTTTGTCTAGGTCAGAGGTCGGTGCAGTCTCGCCCTTCGAGACAGAGAGGAAAACATTTGGGATTTGGAGGACATTGTCTAGATCAGTCTCGGCGCCAGATCGGTATTCGAGGACTTTATTCTTGTAACAAGCGATTTCGAAGCGCTTTTTTTCCTTTCTTTAGGCGGACGAGGGAAACATTTGTTAGGCGGATTTGGTTGGACGGCTATAGCGATTTGGTTGGCTATTTTCCGGGCATTCTGTTAAATCTGACTTACTTGGTTGATAGGCATGATGAAGATGGCGGACTTAGAGAATAATCCTCGACTACACAACTTTTCGCGATCCCATGTATGAATTCAATTTTATTAGCGTCTATGAATTCTTTATCGATAAGCGGAGCCTCGGCTATATTGAAGTTTGGAATTGGACCAGACCCGATGGAAATGGAAACTTCATGACGACGAGGGACATATGTGGGATCTTGGACACTGAATTGCACTTTCCAACCTTTTCCTTCATCTTAGCAACGTCCTCCTCGAAGTTCGATTGTGAAAGTGTGTTGAGGGGCGACTTACATATATAAGCATGTCGACGCAAAAGGCGCCCAGGGCTGTTTTGTTTGATATTGGAGGGGTGATCGTAGGTCACAGCCTAATGTCAATCCGTCCGACAGACGAGATGTTGACTGGCTGAAAGTTGTCTTCTCCGTTCCAAGCCATACTTGATTTTGAAAGAAAGAATAAAATTCAAGCCGGCTTCATTAATTCTGCTATCAGGTATCACTCACCAAATGGGGCATGGCAGCGTCTGGAAAGGGGGAGTTGACAGTTGGCAACGATTTCTTCCAAGATTTTACGAAGGATCTCTGCAGCGAAAATGCTTGGCAGCAGTTCCATCAAAGCGACGCGAAGAGTCTGAAGGAAAAAGCTAACCCTTCGCAGCTAGGAGACCATGTGAGTCTCAAGGCTGAGGCAGCGGACTCAGAGCCGACTCATGATGATCGAGGAGCTCAAGGCACTTTAGCTTCCGACGAAGATCTTGAAAGGAAGCGACCGTCTCTGTCCAAGCTTGCTGAGGACACAACCATCGGAGATCCTGTAAGTCTAGAGTCGGAGGAAGTAGTCCAAGGCCAGAATGAGAAAGGGGCCGGTGCGACCGGCGGACGTGATTCTCCCCAATCATCAAATAGTCAAAGCACAGCTTCAAAGACACCACGGATAGATGGCGAGACACTCTTCTGGAGTGTGATGTCTGCATCTCGACAACGGGATCCCTATGTCTTTCCTGCCCTCGAGCGCCTTGCAAAGCAGAAGTCGCGACCAATCCTTGGCGCTTTGTCAAATACCGTCAAATACCCACCGGAGCATGCTTGGAGTAAACCTGACCAAGCTTATCCTTTTAACCCTGAATCGGTTTTCGATATTTACATATCATCATCAGAGATAGGAATGCGGAAGCCGTCCAAAGACATTTACGAGTTTGCATTGCAGAAGCTGAATGAGAAAGATAAGGAGAGAGGCGGCCAAGGTATTGGAGCTGGAGACGTAGTCTTTCTTGATGACATTGGAGAAAATTTGAAAGTCGCCAAAGAGGTTGGTATGAGAACAATCAATGTGCAATTAGGAAAGACATGGAGAGCAGTCAAGGAATTGGAAAGAATGCTGGATGCGGACCTCATGGATGAGAAGACTCGGAGAGCAAAGCTCTAGACACCATGAACTCCATCGCAAGGCCTCTTTGCTTGTGGTCAGAACCGCGTAGAACTTTTCTGGCCCAAGGAAAGTACTTGGATTAATTAATCTTCATCTGCGAGCGTGCAATTAGGAAGTGGACGAGGGGGCGAGGCGCCTCGGGCACTAGAACTACCTTAGCAAGCCTAGAATTAGACCAACCTACCACACAACCTCACAACCTATTGCAGTAATTTTGCAACAAGCTCAAGTTGAGGTATCAGACTACTCTGATCTATATGGCCGCTCTTCAACGTCGAATGGTACGAACAAATGGACAGCTCCTTCTTGGATTTGTGAACCTGATTGTTTTTTTAGCTTTCAAAGGATGAGGAAATATCCGTCGGCGACAGTGACCTCGAGGTCCGCCGGGAGGATCAAGATAAGATCAACAAGTTTAGTCGATTGCATCAAAAAGAGCAGGCTTTAGAGGAGGACTTAAAAACAAGAAGTGTATGGGCCGGCTTCTTTTCGGCCAGCAGCTCTCGCTAATCCTGCAACGATATGTAGAAAGACAAGGAGGATCTTGAAGAACTATCGAGCGAGCTTGAGCTAGCGGATGAAGACGAGAAAGTGCCGTATGCGATCCAGATGGATTCCGCCTTACCCAACACATATTGATGCAGAACAGCTACAAGATAGGCGATACCTTCATACGCTTGCCGGTGTCAGAAGTCCAGGAACTCTTGGCCGGCTCGACAGAGAGAATTGACAAAGCCGTATCGGGCATCGAAGATCGTATGAGCACAATACGCGAAGATATGGATCAACTGAAGGTGCAGCTTTACGCAAGGTTCGGGAAGAGTATCAATCTAGAGACGTGAAGGCGGATAGATGCCGCCAAATCAGTCGACACACCCTTCATGGAGATCGAATTATCCCTGTGGAAAATAGGGATTCGCAGGAGCACCACTGCGCCGGCATATGAGATATGTGCCCCGTACAAGCTCATGTATGCAACGTGGAGACTGCTTGAAATTGACAACACAACGATCAACACCTGACACTTTGACAATATCTCAACCATCGAAAGTCCAATATCTTGGCGCCATCATGGGATACTGGTCTGCCACTGCTCGGCACGACCCTGCAAATTCACTTTCCGCTGTCGGAGCCCAACATGCGTCATGACCGTCTCCTTCATATGACAATTTTCTTGTCTGATCGTGCTCAGCTCTCTTTCACCGTCTTTGCAAGGCCACTTATGGAGTGAGCATGGCCGAGTCCAGCCCCACTTCTACATCGCTCACCGATCAGACGCCACAATCTACAAGTAGCTCATCATCAACTGCTGATGTACTGCCCAAGGAGATTGATGGTATGTCAAGTGCTTTGCTTCTAGCACCAATTAGTAATCGAGGAAGCAGGAATTTTGTCTCTGCGGAAGACGAAGTCTAAAGCGTCCGTGATATCTAGAAGGGTGAGACAGGCAGTATTTGACACTGGCGCTCCGACAGTGGTAGATAGCCAGGGACAAAAGATTTTGTCCTTTACATTCAATGATCCGGACGACCCACGCAATTGGCCCAAAGTAAGAATATCTTAAATCTTATATTGGCACTCATGAAGTGACAATTGGGCAGCGGAAGAAATCTTACGTAGTAGCTGTGGGAATCCTAGTGGTTACCAACAGCACGTTGGGCACCTCATTACCGAGTAATGCTGTCGATTTTATTGCTCAAGACTTGGGTGTTAGTAATAGCCACCGGATGGTTCTTCTCATCTCCCTCTTCCTTGTTGGTTTGGTTCTTGGGCCTATCATCTTTGGGCCACTGAGCGAGACCTACGGCAGGAGGATCATTTTGCTTTCAAGCTTTTTCGCATTCACTATATTTACGATGGCATGCGCACTGGCGCCCTCATGGGCTGCTTTACTGGTGTTTCGATTAATGTCCGGAGTCTTTGCTTCTTGTCCCGTAAGTAAATCTCTGGACAGCATCTCTCTCCTACTCTGGCCTCCTGACTTGCGGATTCTTGACCCCCTCAAGCCTATGCTGACTTCAAAGTGTATTAGGTATCAGTGATCGCAGGTCTTTTTGCTGATATGTTTGACGATCCTATTGCCCGAGGTCGAGCTCTGGCACTCTATCTTGCTGTAGGAGCCCTTACACTATGTATGGCCTTCTTAGCTGATCTATTGAAAGGCTGCCACACTTGGACCTCAACTTGGACCCCTGATATCCGGCTTCCTTGCCCCTTTTTCTTGGCGGTGGGTTTTCTGGACAGGTTTGATAGTAGCTGGTCTTTCATTCCTGTTATTGGCCTTTCTTCCAGAGACTTATGGTCCAGTGATACTGAAATGGCGCGCCAAACGTCTGCGCGAGGACACTTCCGACCACAGTATCTATGCCGCTCTTGAAGTGGAGTATAAAGGTGTCAGACAACTGCTCACCGTAACTCTCTGGCGGCCACTCAATATGCTCTTGTTTGAGGCCATCGTGCTTTTCAGCTCCCTCTACACCGCTCTTGCCTATGCCCTCTTCTACACCACATTCGAGGCCTTTCCATTGATATTCACTGGCATATACGGCATGACCCCAGGGGTAGCTGGGCTGGCTTACGTCCCCATGTTTATTGGCGGCATCTTCGCTTTCGTAGCCTTCACTCAATACGACACTATCTTCTTGCGGGCCCAGCGGGCCTCAAAGCCATGGTCGCAAGTAGAAGAATACCGCCGTCTGCCTCTTGCGTGCCTCGGTGGTCCCGCATACGTGGTCTCACTCTTTTGGATTGGCTGGACAGCTCACCGCCAAATTCATTGGAGCGTGCCTATGGTAGCCGGTATTTTCTTCGGATTCGGCTACATGCTCATCCTGATGGCGCTGCTCAATTATATCACTGACGCGTATGAGATCTATGCTGCAAGTGGAATGGCAGCTGCTAGCTTCTCACGCTCCATATTGGGTGCATTATTGCCAATCGCCGCTAAGCCGATGTATGAACATCTGGGAATCGCCTGGGGTAATTCCCTGCTTGCATTCTTCAGCCTTGGCATGTGTGTCATCCCGTTCGCATTCATAAGGTACGGCGACAGCATTAGAGCAAATTCCAAAATTTGCAGCGAGCTTAAAGAGAGGGAGCGTCCCATAAGCATGGGAGTTCCGCACGCCTCCGAACTTACTGCAGACTTTCATGCTGTAGGGGAGTGCGCGAACATACCTGACAACGATCTGGAAGTCAGGACTGTGGGGCTAATCACTGCTTGAATTACAGATTGACTGATTGGGAATCGTGAGGAAGGTCAAAGGAACTCGTACCAATGCGAGCCTTAAAAAATTTACTCAACGATCGCAGCCACGGATCATGAACGACACGGCCATATGAAATAACAGCAAAAAAACCATGATACAAGTTCCATGAATGCTACTTGACCAATGGACAATAGAACATTGACGACTGATGAAATGATATTCAGAACGAAAAAAGTTGGTGAGAAATTTTTGAAAAGCAATAAGCGATTTTGAATGGAATTATTAGCTGGCCCGCAGATTCATAAAGAATAGAATTAGAGAGTTTCTCATGGTCTTATAGGGGAGATTGATCATATCTCATCGTTCATCATCGGTCGCTTCTAGGGGTATCTTTTTACGTTACAGAAAGAGGTAATGATCGTAGGGAACCACCCTCCGACAGCCCATTTCCATCCATCATCCTACCTAACAAACCAATTACCAGATCAAAAACCCCAAAGCCGCCATCGTCCCCACTGTACATATCAAAAAAGTCATTTCGTCAAGGAAACCCCTCTTCGCCGCCCCATTCGTCCTCACCACAGAAACTCCTTCCAAGTCTGACAAGCTAGAGCTACTAACGTGCCCCGTCTCCGTGAGCTGAAGCAACTGTTTCTTGTACACAGAGATGATGTTCGACGAGCGTCCTTGGGGGCAGAACGTTACCTGAAAGCCGCCACCAGAGGGGATGATGAAGGTTGAAGTCTGATCATCGAAAGCAAAGCTATAAGCGTCCGGGCACACTTTCTTTGCATTCTTGCTATAAATTGACGCTTTACACACATTCGGGTTATCGTAATGGCCTGTGCAGCAATCTGAGGGCTTGTTGTATTTCGCGCAGGCGGAAAAGCAGGGGTCGAAGATCGGTCGCTGTATCTTGTCGTCAGGGTAGGGGTAGATGCCGTCGCCTGGTTTGGTGGGTGCGCTGAGTTGTAAGTCCCAGGGACACCAGCTTGCGACGTCGGAAGTGCTGACGCTTTCCTCGAGGGGAATGGGGAAGGAGTCGTTAGTTCCGGAGTGGGAGCCTTCGGTTGAGCCTTTGGCTCCGAGGAGGGAGGATGTGCCAATGCAAATGGGATTCGTGAGATTCGGAGGAATTTGTTGAAGAGAGCTATTGCCAGATTGAGGGTAGAGCGAGACAATAGCGATTGGGATGTTGTAGCCGTCAACAAGGGAGATGTCGTAGAAGGTCTGGCCACTTGGGGAGGCGAGCGTAAACTCTGCTAGAGAAACAGGTGTCTCACCGGTTGCCCTACAGTTGACGATGCCGCCGCAGTCTCCGGTACCACAAGCTCTTCCGCCTCCATTGTTTCCGCCGTTATTACCTGGTCCCGTCCCCTGAGCATTGAAACTGCAATTGGTTCGACCCCAGACTCGACCTTGCCAGTCTGCGCCAACAGTCAGGCTTCTAGAGTCGCCAGAATCCAATTTGAAGCCTCCTATTTCAGGCTCCTGGCCTGATTGGGTTACTATGCCGGGGTAAATTGTCTCTGCACATTGATTCTCGATCGTGAGTGGTTTCTCCGATTCGTCTGCCCGTGCTACGTAGGCCATTGGAGCGCGTTTCATGTGGTGAACAGCTGAAGTATGTGAAGTCAAGGCGAGGAGGCAGATTGTGCAGCGATATAAAGATATTTGGTGAAGCCAGGATCGGAACTGATTGCACTGTTGGGGGTACTTGGAGGACATGGCTCAGAATAGAGTCAATGCACTGCTTGCAAAGGATTCCAAATCGTTATGTCCCGATCGCCGTATTTGAGAGACGGTCGTCAGTCATCGCTAGTAAGCCAGGCCTGCCAGCGGCCAGCACGTCCAAGGTGTCCAGCAACCCCGAATAAACCGATAGCTAGAACCACGCGGTGGGCTAGAGTAATCAGTAGTTATGCAAAAGAAAGAGCGTGAATACAGCGAAAGGATCGATGTTCTGCAGAAATATCAATAATGGTTGAAGCCATACACGAACGCCATGCCGCCAACAATGCAGGAGCGTTGTGGCTGGCCCTGAAACCGCTGGAGCTAAGGGCAGCTGCACGTCAAAACGCTCGGGAGGGCAACGGCGACAACGGAAGGCTTGGCAAGAAATCAAGCCCTATCAAATCAGCCCACGGCGGACCTCAACTTCACCCCGTGATGAATGCACCTCGAACATTCCAACTCATATGAGTGAGAGTTACCTTCGTGTGTGCATAGGCCAAGACTGCCTAGGTAATCATTTCTCAAAGATGCACTGTAAGGCAACTCTCACTAAAGCTTTAGATTCCTGCAGGCAGGATAAGCTTGCGAGCTCACAAGGATTGTATGATGATCGACGAAACTCCGCAGTCTTTTCGTTACTCAATCATGCTCTGGACCTGTGGAAATGAGGGACACAAAGCGCAGCTGCAGGAGAGCTGATGGAAATTAGAAGATGCTGCATTATTAGATGCGCCCACGCGCATAAGATGACCGACCATGCTTGCAGAGGGTATGGGTATATACATGGTTGTTGAGACAGCGCATTGACCCCAGGATATCATCTCCCACCTCTCAAACATGCAACGCAGAAAGCCAACCCTCACTCCGTCGGAAATGCTCCTTCAGTGGGGCCTTGTCGCCCCTTTCTATCTTACAAAGCCAACATAACAGCGACTGCAGCAACAGCGACCCCAATCGATCCCCCAACGCGGTCAGCCCCACCAGTAAATGCCGCCGGAGAGCCTGGGGTTGGCGTCGAGACTGTATTGTTCGAGCCGGTGCCGATGCTGCTGACGATGACTGAAGGACAGGGAGCCGTCTCCGATGGCATCATCTTAGTTCTGGTGATTGATTTGTCAGGCACCGCTGTAGGACATGAAGTTCCACAGGGAGCGACGACGGTGGTGGTCTTTGGAGTTCGTCAGTGAGAAGGCTGCGAAGGGACCAGAGATTGACTTACAGTGGCGCCGGCGCCTGCCACCGCTATGGCAAGGGCCGCAACGAAGAATCTCATGATAGCAGTAAACCTCGTCGAAAGAGCGTTGTATGATTGAAGGTCAGTCAGAAAGAATGTGGTGTGCGTGAGACTGAAGAAGTTGAAGCGTTGGATAGATTTTTAGAAGGGAAAGTGAAGGAAATGGGCAGCAGCAAGTATCACCATCATACGGCACAACAATGCAGGAACAGAAACTATCCGGTAGGCACAATGCTGGACTAGAGCCAGCTGGGGGCCGTAATTTAGTGCATTCCAAGCGCGCGAAGGCATATCGCAAAACCTTCCACGTCTGAAGGACGAGCTCCCAAAAGTCAAATGCCCATTTGTCACCGATTATTCTGACCCTTTCCGATAGCACAGCCAACCAGAGCTATCTCGGGCAACAAGATGAGGTAAGAGTGAGCTGGGCCCCGTCAATCTCATCTTGCAGCTCTGCCGTGGCGAACGTGATGCTGCGGTGAGCTTTGCTGAAATCGTCGTAAGCGTCACTGCAAGCGCTGATCGCTACCAATTTCAGCCCCAAGTGCCCTCCGAAAGAGGCAATAGAGCTACAGTCTAGCGGCGAACGGTCGACTCGCTGGCCGCTCAGCGCACCAATGATAGAGCTCCAATATCCCCGATGGGCTTAGCGGATCACTGGTACACGGCAGGCTCATTTCCCCACACATAAATGGCGCCGCATCGGGTTTAGCATGCCCTGTCGTCGATGGAATGCATCATCTCCACCAAGCACTGAACCGGAACCTCCAATTTCCGGCCAGCATCGAGGCCTTGGGAAAAGTGAGAAACGTTAGAATCCTAGCTGCAGAGGCAAATCAGATGCGACCTCCGCTTTTTGGACTCAAGCTAGGCTTCCGGGATATGTGCGTTTGGCTTTCTGAGAGCTCCATAGCTAAGGAACGTGCTTGCCGTCATCACGCAAATTTCGCCCTTTTGTGCAGCGTCTCCCTTCGTTCTTTCCTCTGGCATCCCTTCACACTTTCATCTTCCACCTGCTCATATTTCATTCACCTTGTGTTCACCAGGACTTTTTGAAAGTATTTCTTCCAAGCCAAAATGAAGGTCACTCTCTCTGTCGCAGCTTTGGCCGCCGTTGCCTCAGCAGCACCAAAACCGGGAATGAGCAAGTATGTGCCGTTCGAGTATTCTCGGTGAAGAATGACTACTAACCAGGAGACCAGCTTGAAGAAGATTCGACAGGCAGCTCCACAAATCACCGACGCTGACATTCTCAACTACGCTCTTACGCTGGAGCATCTTGAGGACAAATTCTATCGTGAAGGTCTCGGAAACTATACCGAGGGCGAATTTGCCAGTTTTGGTTTTGACGCGACCTTCTATGGAAACTTGAAGGAAATCTCATCGGATGAGACTACGCATGTCAAATTCTTAACCGCAGCTCTCACGGCAGCTGGTGCCACGCCCGTTAAGGAATGCACATACGCCTTTGGTGTTACTGACCCGAAGATGTTTGTCGCCACCTCCTCAATCTTGGAGGGTGTCGGCGTCAGTGCATACCTTGGTGCCGCCGCCGAGATTGTCAGCGCAGAGTACCTTACAGCAGCTGGCTCAATCTTGACCGTCGAGTCGCGTCACTCTTCATACATTCGATCATCGCTTGGAGAAAGCCCTTTCCCGTCGCCATTTGACGTTCCTTTGAGCCTCAATGAAGTTTACACACTCGCTGCACCTTTCATTGTCTCCTGCCCATCTGACAATCCAACTTTGCCAGTCAAGGTATGTTTTGTTTACAAGCTCAGCGTCGTGGCTAGCCAACTCACGTGTCGCAGGCTTTCCCCAAGGTCGTTTCTCCCCCAACAAACGATCCCATTACTCCTGGCAAGACCATTACGCTTCTCACCCCAGACTCGATCGTGAAACCTGCCGACGGCTCATCCCAGATTTACGCTGCTTTCATCACCGTCACTGGTCCGGTCTTCGCACCAGCAACCGCGACAGACGGCGGTTTCACTGTGACCGTACCCACCGCTCCTGAGGGTGGTGCGCCGATCGCCGGTCAGACCTACGCTGTCCTTACTGGCTGCAACACCACTGTCACGGATGAGACAGTCGCGGCTGGACCTGCAGTCTTCGAGGTCGGCCCTGCCAAATAGAGCACTTTCCTTGCTTAGCCGTGACAAGTGCGAGTATGAGATTAATCTGGAGCATGTGGAGAGGCGTTTGTTTCGTATGAAGAATGATACCCCAGAGCATAAGCTGGGGAGGAGTAACGCAGTATCCTGAGGTGCGGCTGTATATAAAAATCCGATAATTCTAATCATTCATCGCCATGCAAATAACTCATACTTTGACATATGTGCATTTCGTTCACTAGCAGTCCTCGCCTTGGAAAAATTGGACAGGTACTTGAGAACCCGGGTGTGCCGCACTGGTAAGGCAGTTGGCGCCTGAGCAGCCCCCACTCATCCGCTGGACACTAACCCCATCGTGCCCGGGCCGAGCCCTAGCAAGTGTCGTTGACACTGCGCATATCTCATCACGTTGGCAAAATTGATGCTCCAAGTGGGTTCTAATCTCGTATTCCGCTTCATTTCCCCAAGCTTCGTAGCATTTGTTGGACCTCAAACGCTGAGAGTTAGTGTTGGAGCGTACCGTGTTCTACATTTTGAGTCACAACATGCCCATCATACGTGGTGGTTCTGGACAAGAAAGTGCTTTACAGAGAGACGCACCAAGCAGTCGCCTACCAAGCCTTCTCGGACCGGATGCTCGAACAATGCACCACCGACAACCTGGCTGTTGCTCAAATCCTCGAGCAAGCCTGCGTGGTGAAAGAAAGACAAGACGAAGATGGCAAGCCAAAGCCGCCTGCTGTAGCTTCTGTTTCACGTCAATGCCTGCGCCGCACGAGGGTCTTATGAATCATACGCTTGCTGTTACTCGCACCACCGCCCCAGGATGTTCCTTTCATTATGAGATACGATGCTGAATGAGCATGGAGTACGATGGCGACAGCTGATTCAGGCTCAGGTTCATGTTCATCCAGCCACTCCCCAACATCCAACGCGACAACTATGCGCCACTTGTTCCTCCTGGATGCAGGAACGGGAAAGGCGTGTGTGAAGTTCTTCCCGATGCTCAGGCAAGTAACTCCTGCATAAGCGATGCGCATCGGACATGCGTGTTCGTGTGTTTCAGTCTTTCCAATGTCTTGCACGTCTATGATCTCGCCCGTCTTTCCTATACTCCTTCTGCGCTCGTCAATTCGATGGGTTTGCCTTGATGTCGTTGACGTCCTTTACATCATCTCTGACCAGCCTCGTATTGGCACTCTCTCTTCTATGAACATTGAGTACATCAACTGGCTCCCGGGATGGGTGCTCCTGGCACCTTCAGTGCGAGCGCGATGCCTCCTTCCCCAAAGTTGCCGAATTGGCGGCCTCGGAGGACGTTGATCGACCTCTACAATGAGAAAGATCGTACCCCGTGGTACATGCGGTTGCTTGCAATCATTTCTACAATCATGCTTATCTTTGGGTACGGCAAACTCTGTATAGCTCCATAGTGCCGCTGGCTTTATTGATGAAATCATGTTCATAGCTTCATTCTTTTCCAAACTGCATTTCCAGGCGACGGGAGACCCGCTCAAGACGCAGTTCAGAGATTACCACCCAAAAGCGCTATGATTGCTACAATGATCCTCCTTTTCACATCCTACACCCTTTCTTTCGGCCTCGCTTTCTTCACCAGATCCTGGATTTTCCACCTCGAAATCATCTATCTTCCACACTTGACTGGCTCCATTGTTGGCCTCCTGGGGACAATCAGCGAAGTCGGAATCTACCCTGATGACATTGTCGGCGGCAACACCATCGCCGCCTACGTGCTCTCCACCCTCTCGATCCTTTTCTACGCCTTAGCTTCCCTCCTCACATACCGCAAGATCTATTTTGTCCGCCGCCGTGATGCCATGCACAAAGACACCTCATCCTCGCGCATCTTTACAATGCCCGAGACCGAAATGCAACGGCAGCAGCTCCTACGCCTTCTTCTCTCCCAATCCTCCCCTCAGAACACTCCCTCGCCAGCAAAAGGCCCTGAAGCAACCTACAAAATTCACTGGCCTGGCATAAGCAGCAGCACAGCCCGCGGCTCTCGCCGCAACACCATGTCCTCGCTTCGCAACTTACACTTCTCGCGGAACCCCCGCTCTCGTACATCCGTCCATCAACTTCCCGCCTCTCCAGGCTTCGCCATGTCCCAGCAATATCAGCACCAACACCATCCCTCCGCTGACCGCGCCCTCCCCGAAGTCATCGTCGAAGAACCGACGCTCTCTTCAAGTCAATCTCAATTCCTGCGGCAAAGCCCTCTCCATCCTCCTACCACCGCCCCCATTAACAACAACAACAACGCGGTATATAATCCTCTCCTCCCGGCTTTCTTTGACCACCACCCCGGCGAGCGTATCCCTTCCTACCATCCTCGCGCCTCAACCTATTCCGCCGGAGGAAGGGGAACTGAGACCTTGTCTGCAGCCCAAGGAGGGGCCCCTGCGCCGAATGTGCCCAGATTGCCACCCGTATTAGGACCAAACGGGTATCCGATAGACAAACCGCCGCTGCATCCTACTGAAAGAGAGACCAAGGCACTAAGGCATATTCCATTAGATAATTATATCGTTGTTGATGATGAGGGGGCATTCCGAGAACGATTAGCGACGGGAGTAGTCAGGAGGCAGAGCAGTGGTAATGGTGCTGGAAATGGAGGTGGGGGGTTGGTACAGCCGCCGGATACGACGAGGGGGATTGAGTTAGCTGATCGAGGGCGCTATGGGACAAGGAACAGGCCAGAGTTGGAGGGGGATGTTTGGGCGAGAATATAGGGGTTTCTGTGAGTTGAATCTAATGCGCGAGAAATGGTAGATAGGATGATGTGGAGATCGGGACGTTGGAATTGGTACACATCATAGGTCCCATATGATCGCTTGACGTTACAATCAACTTACTTGGCCGCTGTATATCTCCACACCCCCCAAACCAACATTTCCCTCCGCCCCTTGCCCATTTCTCTCCTCTCTGCTTATCCACGACCCCCGTCTCTAGCATCCACCTCTCCACACGTAGCTCCTCCATCCCGGCCCCACCATCCTCCCCACTAGCCAACTTGTAACCCTCCCTCCCCGCAGCATCCATCACATCCTCAATCGTGTGCGCCCAGTCTTCCTCCGGTCTAACCTTCTCTCCCGTCTCGGGATCCTTAAATCCAGCTTGCGTGACCAATCGTGCAGTCTTCGTCTTACCCACACCATCACTGCCAGAAGCCGCGGCAGAGGCGACACCTCGCGCCATATCCGGATGCATATTCGTTAGCAGTAGAAACCCACCGTGTTTCAAGAGCTTGGTGGTAGTGATCTGTCTGAAGAGAATGGAGGGGGAGGGGATGTGCTCGAGGACTAAAGCGCAGATTATCGCGTCGGCGGGAGGATACGGGATTGCTGGATTCTGGGTTGGGGAGAGGATGTCGTGGGTGTGGAAGCTTGTGTGGATTTCGATGGTGGAGGGGAGCGGGATGGATGATGTGGCAGGGATACGCGAACGGGCGATGGAGAGCATGTTCCCGCTGGCGTCGAGGCCTGTGATGTGGATTTCGTTCTTGAGGGGTAAAGACTGTTCATTGAGATTGGTAGGGAAGAGGTGGGCGAGGGTCGTGGAGTTTGAAGGAGTTTGGAGGGCGGAGAGGAGGGCGAGAGTTGCCCGGCCTGTGCCTGTTCCTAGGTCTGTTATCTGGAGGCAAGATGAGGGGTTGGGTTTGTTTGCCAGGAGGGAAAAGAGGCGCGGTAGGAGGGTCTGGGAGAGGCCGTGTGAGTCGAGCGATTGGAGGATGTTGCCATCGTTATCGTAGATGGGAGCCCAGAGGTCGTAGGTCTCCTTTACCGGAAAGTAATTGATTTTCCTACCTGCTTGTGCGGGTTGTTGACTGAGGGACTGCTCCATAGCAATTGCATTGGCAAAGTTTCGGAAGGAAGCATGTCAGTATCAGGCAATAGATCGAGAGTGGATTGCAGACGGATAGCATTCAGGGGACATGAGCTGGAATTGGGGCAGTATGCAAGTGCACGGTCGGTGAGCATTGTACATATGCTTATAGGGATAAGTGTAGCAGAGATCCCCACTGCACTATAGCGTCCTAGCTCATGTTTCCTTGTAAAGTACATTATGCAGAACGCTATCTTTGCCTAGTGGGTGGCTTTTTCCACTCCGAGTACCCGGCGATCGCGAAACTTTGGCCCACCCTCCAGGTGCTCGTTGTGATGTAGGCGATCTGACACTGTACTATTGTCGCGATGGTCAAACGAAAATTAGCTGCTTTAGAGAAAGTTGACGCGGATCTGTTAGTCTCTGGTTGCGTAAGAAATGGAAGATCATTGTTAACAGTGGCAGCACGAACCTTCAATTCAAGATTAGACGAGACCCAAAGTATGTCACAACAATTGAAGGCAAGAACCTTCGAGCTGAAAACTTACAGATCATATGAAGGAGAATTTGCGGACCAATATGGATTATACCAAAGCCAAAAAGAGATCTTCCAACAGGCTCCTGCTGCTGCGAATGATACGAGTGTCACCTCGCTGAAAGACTTGATTGATTTTGTTACCCATGTTGCCGATTGCTATCCCAAACAAACTAGAGATTTCCCACAAGATCTTCTCGATATCCTGAGGCAACATCACAACGACCTAGATGGCGAGCTCCGTGAAAAGATTGCAGGAAGCCTAGTCCTACTCAGGAGAAAGGATATCATAGATTCTTCTAGGTATGCTTCTGGCTCCTCACTCGAAGCTTCAAGCTGACGATTGGACTCAGGCTGCTGGATACGCTATTTCCAATCCTTGTCTCGACGCGCAGCAAGTCACTACGTGCTTTTCTTTTCCAAAAAATCATCTCAGACCTTCGAACATCTAACGCTAACTCTACGAATCATCGGCTCAATCGATCTGTTCAAAAAACTCTGCACGAGCTGCTGGCGAGTGATCGAGCCTCGCGAAAGGGTCTATGGGCTGTCAGAATCACGAGGGAATTATGGAGGCGCCAATTATGGACAGATGCAAAGGCCGTTGAAATTATGAAAGAAGCTGCTTTGGCTGACAATGGAAAATTAATCGTAGGAGGCGTTAGCTTTTTCCTTGGTGGAGACCAAGAAAGGGAAGAGCTTCAGGATGAAAGCAGTGATGAGGAAGCTGTAGATATGGGAAAGATCAAACATCAAATGGCCACAAACAAAAAGAACAAGAAAAACAAGAAAATGATGGATCAAGCAGTCGCTACAGTCAAGAGAAAGGAACGCAAGAAGAGGCAGCCCCATCCATTGAATTTCTCCGCCTTACACCTGTTGCATGATGCCCAGAGCTTCGCCGAAGACCTTTTTCAAAAGCATGTTCAGAGCAACAAATCAAGACTAAGCTTCGAGCAGAAGCTTCTTGTGCTGCAACTTATCTCTCGCTTGGTCGGGTTACATCAACTCACCCTCATGAACCTCTATTCCTGGTTTCTTAAGTATCTCACGCCACGGCAGCAGTCTGTGACATCTCTTTTGGCTTCTCTTGCCCAAGCTACGCATAGTCTAGTCCCGCCAGATGTCCTTGAGCCTTTGATCCAGAAGATAGCCAATGAATTTGTTTCAGAAGCAGCAGCAGGTGAGATTGCTTCCGCTGGGTTGAACGCTATTCGCGAGATATGTGTGAGGCAACCACAGGCGATGAACGAAACATTGCTTCAAGATCTTGTAATGTATCGGAAAAGCAAAGACAAAGGTGTCATGATGGCTGCTAAGGGACTCTTAAGTCTCTACCGAGAAGTCGGTGCTGACATGCTAAAGAAGAGAGATCGTGGTAAAGGAGCTACAATGGATCTGAAATCCGGCGAGCGAAGAGAACAGCGGTTTGGCGAGCAACCAGTAGGCGAGATCGAGGGTCTTGAGCTGCTTCAAAAGTGGAAAACGGAAGAGCAGGAACGCTGGCGAGCAGAGAAAGGGTTACCATTGCTAGATCGCTCACAGGATGTAAATGACGAAGAGCAAGAATACGACACTGACGAATGGGAGGTTGAGGGAGACAATAGCGATGACTCGGGGGGCTGGATCAACGTCGAAAGTGACAAAGATATCGAGCTGACCGATTCTGATGACGAGACACCAGCGGTAAAGAAAGCCAAACTTGATCGAAGTGGCGAAGCAGAAGACGAGGACAAAGAAAACAGAGATGTCAAAAGTCAAGATGCAATTGAACAAATCTCGAATCTAGCTACAAGTCGGATACTCACGCCTGCGGATCTTGCTAAACTCAAGGAACTTCGACTATCGGCCAGCATCAATCAGCATTTACCAAAAGCGCAACGAAAGCGTGCAGCCCAAGTTGCTGCCGCTCTCCAGGCACGACACGCGGACGATGCTCTTACCGCCGCCGAGATTGAAGGTCTTGCCTCGCTGTCTGCTAAGACTTCTAAGGCTGAGAAGATTTCGAAGGCCAAAGAAGGCCAGGATGACCGAAAGGAGCATAAAAGTACCCAAGCGCTCAGAAAGCAGAAAAAGGAAGCCGAAGGTAAAAGTACCACGAATAAAGAAAAGGCCAGGAAGAAGAACTTCCTCATGACACTGGGAAAGGGAAAGGCTAAGAACAAACGGAGTTTAATGGACCAGAGAAAAGTGCTGCGAGCGCATGTCGAGCGTGGCAAAAAGGGCGGGCGACGAGGCAATCGTGGGATATGATATGCGTGTTGACTTCGCCGTCGCCAATCAGCGACACAGTGGCGACAACATTCTTATCCCGTAACACGTATGATTTTTATTAAACGTCTCGGATGTCCTTTGCTCCTTCCGTTTCTTCACTTTTGAACTGCTCATTATCTCCATTTTCACCTTGACGCACCTCTCAAAATTTTTATTTGGACAGAAAGCTTGAACATTTTTCCTCGTCAACAAACTGTGTGATCGATAACGTCTTTCCATCCCATCATTGCTCCTACGACTACACGCCAGCAGACCTCATTCCGCCCTGTAACGTTCAATATCGCATTCACTTTCCATGGCTGAAGCCATCCGTGGCACCTTATTATGTTCAAAACCAACACAGACACTTGGCAAGAGACGTTGGGAAGATTTAGATCCCTCTGACCAGGATCTCTTGAATTCCCAAAAGTCTACCAAGCGTCTGAGAACCTCGAGACTGGACCCACATCGCCCAGCGAAACATCAAACAGCTTTGGCCCATGATTCACAACAAACTAAAGATCAAACATCCCCAGCGGAAACCATTTCGACACAATCAACACCACCTGACGCTCCGAAAAGAGACATTCAAGAAGATCCCTCCAAAATATTAAAGATGGGGCAAGAAAACTGTAGTATCAATGAGTGTCACATGGAGAGTGATGGATACGTGAAGGGAAAGATCCACTCTTACAAGGCGCTCAAGTCTACGCTCATGCAACGACGAAAACCACTGGTAGCTGACGCTACATACTCCATCTCGAGAAAGACAGGACATCACGTCTCCTTTGGCGCCTCCAAAGCCGAAGGGAAACGCATAGGGCTATGCGAAAAGAACTCTGGACGCAAAGGAAGCCCTCCTCAAACGTTTCAAGGCACGAAGAAGCCAGAGGATTCGAAGACGCTCAACAATACACCACCCCAAAAAGGGCTAGCTGTCAAGAAACCCAGCTGTCCGATACTCCATCACAAGAAAGAGCCAACTGGAGAGCATCTAGAGGTACTTCGAGGTCAAGCAGGGCACAAAGGAAACCCCCACGAGCTGAATCTCTCTGATGAGAAGAAAATATCCACAACAAGTAAGGCACAATATGTGCGATTTATCGATTATCTCCTTCATGAGAACGAAATAGACAACATTACAGCCGCAAGCATGCTCAAAGCTATCGAGATAGCTACAGGCGTCGATTTGACGAAGTATCGGAGATCTCTCAAGATACTCATTGTGGAACGAATCAACAAATGCCTGGAAGAGCTTCAGGATTTCACTCAAGTTGACGGCCATACCACATCAGAAGAAAACGATCCCCCCCACTCATCCCCAACAAATCGGAAGCACAAACGTGAAAATGCTGAAGACGATGAGCTACTGTATTCGCCTCGAAAGAAAAAGCCAAAAGCTTCCATGGCAGACGAAACCCTCCCTTCTGTTCGAACAATCTTCGAAGGAGCCACTTGCGAACCATATCCAACTCAAATCCGAGGCGAAGACATCCTTGGAAATGCCTACGAGCCCACCGACTGTCTTGACGATTTTCCCCAACAGCCACAGTTGTTCCTCAGAGATGGCCGCGAGCTCAAGATCACGAAAATGACGGCAGGCGAACCAGCAAAAGACGTCGTTCGCACCGTCTTTCCGAAGAAAGGCGCAGACCCGACAGCAGTCCAGCTCCTTGCCGACCCGAAGCGCAAAGCGTTTGAGGCTTCGCGGTATGCGTATATCACACGCAAAGCGAAGACATTCCTGCTCCCCGCTAACAAGTTCCTTCGCGACCGTCGAAAGCGGAGAGCTGTTGGGCCAATCGAGCTGAGGCAGTGCGCATTACTCAAGGCTAGAGTAGCCAATGGGACTGAATCAGCTGCCCCAAATAGAGGTATCATGAACATATTCAGGTTCAAGAGCTACAGGGTCGACAAGAGAATAGGTTCAGAACGAAAACACGAAAATAAAAGTAGAAGTGATGTGGATAATGCATAGTTGGCAGGGGGTATACTGTTGTGTCACTGAGTAGGGAAGGCAGGCATCATAGCGACTGAATAGCAGAGATAGGGTGTCTTTTGCTTGAAAAAAAAGTTAAAGTCTTCTCGGCATTCTGCGAACATATACCAGAATTATATTCAACTCTTAAAACTTTTTTGAAAGGCAGCACCTTGGATTCGGAAACCTGCAAAAGTTATGTATAACGTTCTAAAGTTATAGGCCTTCCTTCCCAACAATACGAAATAACGATTAAAAACGAATTAGCGAGGAATCGATATTTAAGATTAATACCTAGAGAGATATGCATTGCTTTAAGTGCCTTCCCTAGCTTATTTATCTAGGTGTTTAGGTAGTAGAAGTGAATAAACATGCGAGAGATTTCTGCGATACTTATATAAAATAAAATTTTTATTAAGGATCGTTCTTTGGAAATCTATTTGGAGGTAGATTATATATTAAGAACATATGCAAAAGTCCTTTGCAGTTATTATACAACTTTGCCAAAAGCGATTGGGAGATAAGATATATAACAAACGGTTACTAAGAATGTTCTACATGTATATGTGCTAGGAGTAAAAGTGAATAATGGCGTGGGAGGTGATGTTATATCAATAGGATGGAAGCCTTAGATGTTAGAACGCAAGCAGCCATTAAAGCACATGAAGTTTGAATCATATGAAAATTATCAATGGAAATGTGTCTGTCTCCCAGGGTATCTGTATTCTGCATCCAAATACGCCTTGCTCGATCCCGAGCTACTCACTAAAAGGAGATTTTGCAAGGTATCAACAAATTGTTGCCGTGGGGGGATTCTCTGTCTTCGTCCATTCTTGGATAGACATCTCCTTCCATCCCATTCGAGCGGCATATACGAAGCTTAGAAGAAGCAATTAACAGATCTGTACATCTCCAGTCACTGAGCCGCATATTTTTTTCGGTTACTGCTTTCAAGCGATCAGTCGTCCTCGGAATCAGCTTTCTCCACCTCTTCCACTTCTTCCTTCTTTGCCGGACCGGCGGCAGGTTCTTCGTTGTTGGCGTTTGCTCCCTCCCTGATATCTCCATTCACTGCTCCTTTCTCCTCTATTGGCTCACCTTTCACGGGTGTACTATTAACCTCCCCAGGCTCTTCATTCGCCTCGTCTGCCTTCTGTTTTGCCTCGCCTTTTACAGCTTGCGCATATTCGGAGACCTTGTTCTTTGCGTTTTCACCCGCGTTCTTCGCTGCATTGATAGCATCCTGCCCGCGTTCTTTGGCTTTATCTGGAACATTTGGAGCCTTGTCTCTGACGTTCTCAACAGCATCTTTGGCTTTAGCTGACACTTTGTTTGCGCCTTCTTTAGCTTGATCACCGGCTTTCTTAGCTTTCTGCTGTGTCTTATCTTTGGCATTTTCAAGCTGTTTCTTGATGTCTTCAGGAGGCTCGGTAGCACCGCCTTGAGGATCACTCATTGCCTCGGCAATTTGCTTCTTCACGTCTGTGGTGGCTTTACTTGCTGAAAATTTGGTATCCTCAAGAGTCAGGCCCGTTTTGTCTTTGGCGGATGCGCTTTGCTGAAAGTACTGTGCGAAGAAGGATATGAACAAACCAGCAAGCGGTGCCAGGTAGCAGATGTTAAACAGAATAGCGAAAGATTCGCCAGACGTGTCGAGGCAATGTGCCCGCGTAATGTGCTGCTTGTAGACGATCTCTTCCAGTGCTTTCTGTGATTCTGCTGCGTGTATTGCATCTATGCCGAAGGTCTCTCCTTTGTAATTTCGTACATTGGCTGCAAGTCCTTCTTCTCCAGCAGCCCGCAAGGCTGCTTTCTTCAGCAAGCTCCCAAAATCTGCTGCCGCTGTTGCACTAGATAGAAAATTGGATGCCGTGGAGGCCACATTTGGAATAGCTGTAGATAGATTATTTAGAACACTATACGAAGCCCATGATGGCACGTCATATGCCACAAACAAGTGTGCGAATGCATATGAGGCGCCAAAAACAATCTGGAAAATCTGTGCGGCTGTAAGGCCTCTCTTCAACACAAATGGTACGCGAATACCAAGGGCTGCTAAGGTGTAGTAGGTGTACTGCGTCATCAGTCAAATGCACCGGGACGGGAGGTGGAGAGCTTACCATGAAAAAGTGGATTAGGGAGTTAAGGCATGTGAACATCCAAATCGGGGGAGACATATACCGAATGCCAGACCACATGGCGAACATGGCTCCAGTATGGTGGAAGGTTTGTAAGAAAGACGTATTCTTGCCCTTCGCCAAGATGATAAAGGAGTCCACCACTTCGTAGAACTTTGACAAGTAGAATATCCATCCGTAGTACGCCAGTCCCTCATTCCATAGTCTTCCTACATCGGTCGTATCGGGGTTGCCTCCTTCCAAATTCATGGTAACATCGGAAATGCCCCAAGTCTGGGTTGCCATGTCGTAGATTGCTGCACTTCCAGGACCTCTAGGCCCGTGCATTTTGCATAGAGCATCGGCTGCCCCTGCTAGTCCATATGCTCCGTTCACCCCGGGCCAGGAGTTTCGAATAGCCCTTATCATGCCCGAGAACGTCCAAAGGGAGTACAGGGCAAGGAAGACATTATGGGCGATCACTGCAAAATAGAAAGCTGCTGACTTGCTGAAAGCCCACGGCTTGTGACTTCTCTCCGCATTTTTCCTGTTCATCAAGGTGACCGCAACTGCATAGGCAGTTGCAATGACGACTGGCCATGCAACGTTTAGCGCACCAGCATAGGCCTCAGGACTGATGTTGAAGGGCTGCGCTATGCTTCGTTCTCGAACTGGAGGGCTGATGACTTCTGGATTGTTGAAAGGATTGAACTTGAGGATCGAGAGCGGAGGAAGAGTGAGGTAAACCGACCGAGACGGAACGCTTGCGGTAGGGTCGACTGCCATTGTGGGATGGGAGCTCTTATGAAGACGTGCGCCAAGTGTTGTTCCTGCAATGAACGGAATTGTATCTCACAATAACCTCCAAGATATCGCTCCGGTGCTCAGATGATGACAGACATTAGCATGTCGGATTGTTGATTGTAATTAGACATGACGCAGCTCCCAAAAACCAAGACTTCAGCCGGGCTCCCGTCTAGACTTGCCCTGATTGGCTTAGTGTCATGTGACCGTTGGAGCAAATTCCCTTGGGACACATATCTAGCAGTGATTTCTCTTCCGTTGAGAGACAGGCATTCTGTTCAAAAAAACAAAAGTGAATTCAAAAAAAGACGGCTCTGGACGAGACGTGGCGTGCATTCTAATCTCTTGTTTCCACGTGCGCTTGATTCAGCTTTCCTTACGCTTACATGATTGAAGCATTCCTACAATCAAGCCTGTCAAAAAGTGAAGCCTATACCCTGAGCATGCTTTTGCATTCAGTCTGCCTGTTGTGAAACTAAAAGACCCTAGTGCTTCACGACTAATTTGCCCCCAGCGGTTTGGGACTCTAATACTCTGTGAGCATTGTGGATGTCCCCATATTCAAATACCTGGGTGGGACGAGCATCCCACTCGCCATTCTCAATCTTTTGTGCAATCGCCTGCAGCGGGATCCTAGATAAAGGGAATCCAGGGGTGCCAAGAACCTTACTGTGAAAGAGGCTGAAATGCACTCCAGACTCCATTTGTATCATGGGATTGAAGTCAGCAACAGGCTCCAAACCTCCTAGCCATCCAGCTTGCAGCATCCGGCCACCAGGCCGAGTCAGGCCGATAGATTCGAGTAAAACTCGATTGCCGATCAGATTCAAGGTCTTGTCGAATCTTAGGGGGGACTTCCAATCGTTTCGAATTGCCTGCCTAAGTCTTGCTGTTCAAATTTGACGTCCTCGGCTCCCATCTCTCGAAGCAGATCAAATCGAGCTTCCTGACGCGTTGTTGCGGTGACTTTTGCTCCTACGTTGACTGCAAGATTGAGTGCCGCTTGTCCAATGGTAGAAGTGGCTCCACGGATCAGTAAAGTCTCGTCCTGTTGGAGGTTCAGAACGGTGAAAAGGCATGACCAAGCTGTACAGTAGACCTCGGGCAGTGCAGCGAGCTGTTCCCACGGTAATCGAGTCTCCAGTGAAACAATATTGCTGACTGGCACGTTTACGAACTCGCCGTATCCGCCAGGGCGGTCTCTGCCGATACCGCCCATCACTCCTGCCACTTTCGATCCCACAGAAAATTCGCCGCTCGGGCAGGCTTCGATAATGCCTACACATTCTAAGCCGGATATAGGGTTCCACTCATCCCACTCCTATGACAAACACCGCGGTCAGCGCCACCATTCTCGGAGAAAAGGGGGATGGTCGACTTACTCCGCGACGCATGTGAAGCTCTGCATGGTTAAGTCCAAAGGCCTTCACCCTGATGAGAGCTTGATGCTGCTCTGGGAGGGGCTTGGCAACCGTTCTATATTTAAGGACTTCAGGACCGCCAAATTCTGATATAACGATTGCTTGCATTGTCGACATGGCTAGAATTACGTGATGTACGTAAACTTTGCGGAATGGCTTAGTAGTGGTAATGGTAATAATGAAAGAGAAGGAGGGAGGGTCTGGTAGTCGGGCAGACAATTGGGATTTGACACATTATATATGAGCGAGGAGACCTCACGAGGACTATTTGAGACATCCTGATTTAATCAATCTGAAGCTCGAAAAGATTAATTAGTCAGAGCAGCTGAGCAGCTGACAAAGCTTGCAGGACTTTGGCATGAGTCAAGCATGGGTTTCTGTCAATCGAATCAGGATTAGAGCTGCAGTCTAGCTCGAGTCTGCCAACCGGAAACATGCGGCCTTGTCGTCGTCCTTGCATTTTCGATATCATCACTCAGCTGATTACAGCTCCACGCTTAAACGAAAGTAGAGAATGTTTTGGAATCAAAGCTCATAATATGACAACTGGGAAACTAGATCGTAGCTGGATATAAGATCTCCTGTACCAAAAGACATTTCCGATCAAGGTTACCTGATGGATATACTCATTTTATCTCAAACCGTTTGCGATGTAGTACAGAAGGAGAACTTAAAACATACCTGCTTGAGCCTAAATCAAGGCCTGTTCAGTAATCTGCCCCAACATGGGGATCTTATCAATATTTCGCGTAGAGTGGTCAACCAAATACAACGAATGCCAGCAGAAGCAATGCTCTAGTCTCCCATCTTGAACCCTGCAATGCCGGAGCGTTAGCTTACATACCGAAGACTACCCTCGTCCTAGCGAATTGTCCACTTTACTTTCGGTAATACTGCCCAAAGCGCGTTTGGTCAGATCGTGGTAATGGCAGAGACGTCTTTGACAGCATTTTCTGCCTCAGCGGACATCGAGCTATCCTGCGCAAAGGTTGTCGCTGATCCACGATGTGTGCAATGACTCGGAAGCATGAAAAGATCTGCTGAGCAGGCTCATTCAATCTTCAAAATTTATGAAGGTCTCAGGTGCTGTAAGCCAAGCTTTAAGAGATGCCAGCAAATGATAGCAGCCTTCACGATTGAATGCTGGAGGGTCAAGGCATCTTTCGAGGGGACACCATTCTCATTGGACAAAAATACCCTTGCTGGGAGCTTGCCATCCATGACGTCCCTCATGATGCTGTCACGCATGATTTCATTGACACAGCATGGATCGATAATCATCCACGACTCTTCAAATAAGCCAGGCCCAGGTTGCAAAGGATACCGAAGGACAGTGACAAGCTCTTTGAGGACCCTCTCTCTAGCTTCTAGGTCTTGCAGTTGCGGCTTTTCTAGAATCTCAAAAGAGGGGTGCGACCCTGGTAAAGGATGGATTGATGCTATCCACACCCGGGAACCACCCTAAAGATCGCACTGGTGAGCAACAGATTCGGCACATCTAATGCACCTGACTCGATCGATCAGTATGATCCTTGTGGATGATGCGTGGAGCATCTATCTAGAGTATTCTGGGGGGGCTCAGAAACGGCTCTGATCTGATTCAGGACTTTCATTAGATTCATAGGGATGCGAAAGGGATCCATCCAGCGGAATAGTCTCTTGCAATTCCAGAGCAAGTGCGCAAACATAAGACAATGCTTCGTATTCCAGGACTGAAAGGCGATTGCGGGATACATGCTCGATCTGGCATTCAGGGTTCAAGCAATCATCAAACAATTGGATTGTGACGAGCTGTAAGGCACCTACAACTATTGCAAGGGGTCTGTGGGAGAATTCTCCCCTTTGATCGCACTTCGTTGCGATGGAAGGTGTTCCCATCAGTCGGCGGGACAAGATGCAACTGCCGCTTCAGGGTTTCGATGGCACAAATCAAGTAGCCTCTGATCTAGGTCTAATGTACAGATAGTAGTAATTCAAGTAAAGAGTGACTTTCAAGAAGGATTTGGTTCACGAATTCTATCGCTTGTCTGAGGTCTCGTGGGCTGAATCGACCGCGGAAATCAAGTTGAGAAGCTGGAGACGATGAGACGAAGGACGTCCTCGTAGTAGCTGGGGCTTTGCAATACATGGATGACCCAGCAGACGTCCGGCGAATGTGTCAAACGGGCATGCTCCGGTCATTTGGAACGTGCCCTTGTTAGCCGTCGAACGGGTGCCTTCGCTTCCTTTGAATCCTTGAATCATAATCTTGGGTGCCCTACCTGCTGCCGAAGCTGAACGGCACATGAATGAAATGATGATGAAAGTACCAAGCCGGTTCAGGGTTAGCGTCTTTAATTCGTTGGCGCTAGGGCAGGTACGGACTTAGTGCCTTTAGTGCTTACCTTAGCAGCCTCAGCCTCCGACTTTCTGCACAACTCCAGCGTCTCATTCGCCCCAGCGGACAGTATCCCTTCCTAATCATTAGACTCTGCGTCATGGCGAAAGGAACGATGTGATGGCACGTACAACGACAAGAGCAGGAACAGAAAGATATGCTACCGGCTGTTGATTCAAGAACACTGCAATCGGTCACTCGTCTGCGGTAAAGGCGTGAAGACGAGGTTCGCTGCCATCAGATTAACAAGGGATGTGGTTATGGCACGGTAGCACGGTGGCAGACCTACTGACAGGCGGCCTTAAACTGGGTCTAAAACAAAAAGAGTGATAGTATCTCCGTGAAACAGGCGTCTACCGTTGCATCCCCGTCGACATCAGCTTGACTACGCCACAGTCATCCTCCACTCATTTGTTTCTACGACCGACTTTCGCCAACCACACTGCCAATCATTGGACAGCTCTGCAAGCTTGTCCAAATCTACCAGGAACATGTCGTATGCTGCCTCCAGTTTATGCATAGATCCTTTCCTCAGGCTACCGTGGGCTCGGGTCAGGCACGCAAAGCCTAGATTAAGCCAATGCTCCCATACTCGAATACCTTCCCGCCTGCCTCTGCTTCTGCTGACTGACTGTCATTCACAATCGTACATTTCATTCTTTCCTGCGTGTGTTTTCTTTGTAATGAAGATGCTGAGCGAGCAGAATTGTCCTTTCTTTTGACATTCCTTCTCAACGTTCGTTCAGAATGCACGGCCCAGGCGCCTTAATCTTCATCCTTTGTATTGTTATTAGCTCTGACCGGTCGTGTAAGTTGGTCCTGCGATCCTTCGACACTGCCCCATTTCCCTCCTGGCCAAGCTCCGCGCGACAAGAACATAGCAAGAGCATATTCAACGGCAAATGGCACAGTGAAACCAACAAGTGAACGATACTGACGACCTACGGTCAATTTTAGTACCATATGCGTATCCGAACAATGCCCGCAGTGCCCCATCACTCAGTCCCTCGTTATCATATTCCTCGAATTCCTCGAGTACTCGATCTATCTCACGTACGACGACTACATCTATCAGTCATTCGTTGCTTAGCTCTTCATTGACGAGCACTCATGAAAACGGAGGCGCCACCTACCAGTCAAGCAGTACGGAAAACTCCCTTTCCACGGCTTCAACTCTTTCCGCGAGCTCGTTCCCACCGTCCGCAGCACCAACATTGAAAGTGGCGTCGAACTCTACAAGTGACCGTGCGTCTACATCAAACCGCCCTAGTAAAACTCACAGCGTCTCTGGTACTGGCCAAAAACGCCCTGGCACCGACTTCCCTTGGACAAGTCCAGGACCTTCCGGCGGCATCCACTTCAGTGGCAGACAGGGTAATGGAGGCTCAAGTGGTAATACGGCCCCACCGATGACCAAAGCCCCTCCTCCAATATCAATTGCACCAGACGGGAAGCCGATTTATGCTGCCAACGCTACGCTTCCTGATAGCCTCGATGAGGGCTATGTGGATCTCCGATGGGGTGCTGGCAATTGCTCTATGAGTCCTGGTTACGACGGGTACAACGCAAAGTCGTGCTCTTGTGTCAATCGTATTGGCGACTGGTATCATGGTCATGCGACTAGTACAATAACGACACAGCAGTGTCAATGGTCGTATATTCCGGGTTATGCAACCGAAGTTCAGTCCCTTGGTTGCTCGATGGTGACCTCAACGCTGCTGAATCAGAACTATCATGCTCCGAAAGACTGCTGCGACAAGTGCGCGGTGCGTGGACATGCTGTCCGCCTTGTGTATTTCCCTCCAGATGAAGGAGGTGCAGATGGTAAACCGGCTGGCAATTTGACTTCAAAGGTGAAACGAAAAGATGATCACGAGATCTATGGTGTCGTCTCGGATGGGTTTACTTTCATCTCGCCGTCTGCTTACGTCATCTATTCAGATATCAGCGCTTCTGCTTCATGCGTCGCATATGTGGACAGCAGTACCGAGATTGGAACGGTTCACCATCTCGTTACGAGAGCTTATCAACCAGAGGCGCTGTCTACGGCAGCCTGTCTTGGTGGTGGCAGCCAAGGGTGGGAGGCGATCAATTACGAATCTTTATATCATCCGCCGGCTTCGTCGATCATGCGAGAGGCCTAGCAGAAATGCTTCACCAACTCGATCGACGAGGGCTTCGCAGCTCAACTCTACATGTCCCCTCAGCTCTCATTCCCCCCGACGTTACCGACATTGATCCTGCTTGGGCTACATGGGGCGGGGGCACTTGTACCCCAATCTATTTGGGTGTGGCCGATCCTCCCAGGGTCTTGGGACAGGCCACTGCTCTTGGACGAGCCCCCGACCCCGAACAAACGGACCCTGCTTCTCATGGACCACAACCAGTGGCAGCTCAGCCCGCCGGACAAGCCAGTTCTCAACCTAGTCCAACCCCAAGAAATATTGGCGATCTCCCTAAGAAAGCACCTTGGGGCCACAAACCAGCCTCGAGTTTGAGCGGACCCTCAGACCAAGGGTCTGCTAAACAGCCCCACGCCCAGCCGGCGAACGATCCCAATCCACCCGCAAGCGATCCTGCCGGGAATGATCCTGCCAATGCCGGTCAGTCCGCTCAAAATCAGGGCAACAACAATCCAGCAGCTGTGCATCCGGCGCCCGCAAGTTCAAGCGGTGATCGACCTTCGAACGGCGGCGGAGATGGACAGATTGGCGACCCCAACCAAGTGTCTCCTCAGGGTATGGACAGCCTACACCATGCTCTGTCACCCAATCCGGCAGAGCAAGACCCACAAGCTCAGCAAGCGCCGTCACAACAAAACTCCCAAGCTCAATCACCGAACGGGATGAATGTGCCTAACGTACAGCATCCCTCTGATCAAGGCGCAGCAGCGGCCAACAATGGCCCTAATCAGGCACCCGCTGCTGGTAACGAAGGCAACAACCCGCCATCCAATTCTGATTCCCAGTCAGTGCCAATTCCTCTGATCCCGGTGTCCAAGCCAAGCGTCGATAAAGGACCAGTCGGAGGCCAAGGCGCTGACACGGGCCTGGTGCCTCCAAGTGGACAGTCAGTAGGTGTGCAAACACCTCAGGATGGTAAAGCTTCTCCACAAAATAGCCAACCACAAGCAGACAATCAGGTTGAGCCCATTCAATCAGACGGCCAGCCCCAGAGTCAAGTTCAGGAGCAACCGCCGATATCGAATAAAGACACGGCTATTTCTGACCCTGCTTTGAATGAGAACCTCCCTTTTGTCAATCCACCACCTCAAGTTGGCTCACACCCAGTTCAAAAGCAAGCCAATGGTAATGTGGTGATTGGCGGCACCACAATACCGGAGGGACAACAAGCCACCGTAGACGGTCATTCCATCGTCAACGCACCAGACCACATTGTTGTTGATGGAGAAACCCACAATGTTGCAGCCACCCCAACTACAGGAATCACTTCAGCCGCCCCCATCTTACAGAACAACCAAGTCGTACAAATTTCTAGCGGCGGGCTACAGATCGCTGGCCAGACTCTCGTCCCAGGCAGTCAAGTCAATCTCCAAGGGCACGATGTCAATTACGTGAAACTTGGCCAAGTGGTAGTCGACGGCACAACGAACTCGCTCTCTCCTATATCAACATCCAACCCTCTCTTGATTGACAGTCAAACCCTAAATCGCGCCCCTAACGGCGATGGTATCGTCATTGCAGGCTCTACGCTTGCTCCTTCAGCCTCTGCTGCAGCCGTTATCTCAGGACATACATACAGCATGTCTGGACTCTCTCACATAATAGCTGACGGAAAAACATACTCCCTCCCTCCGACAGAAAATGCATACCTTGTGCAAGCCCAGTCCACATCAGGTTCTTCACAGCCTTCACCCGTCACTCTCGCCAACGGTCTCGTCATTACCCCTGCTCCTTCTTCGCCCTCCTCTGTGCCACAAGCTTACGTCCTTCCTAACGGCGCCACCATCTCGCCTGGGGGCTCCACAGCTGTTGTCAGCGGAACAACATACTCCGCCCTCCCCTCTAGCGGCGGTCTTCTCGTCAACGGCATCTCCACGCTCTCAATCCCTACCTCGCCACCAATCGCTTCCCCTTCGGTCTTCACAGTTGGTGGCCAGATAATTACGGCATCACCATTCGGCTTTGTTCTCCCGAACGGCGCCTCACTCTCCCCTGGCGGTACCGCGGTAACGGTTGCAGGTACAACGATGAGTCTCGGACCCTCAGGCTCGCTGGTCATTGGTTCTTCGACTTACGCCCTCTCCACACCTACCTCAGCTACTATTGCACCAGGTGGCAATGTCTTCACAGTCGGAAGTGTGATATTCACCGCCTATCCATCTGGGTTTACAATAGCGCCTGGCACCATTATCTCACCCGGTGGCGCCGCGACCACGATCTCTGGCACGGTCGTGAGTCTAGATAGCAGCGGGAATTTGATCGAGGGGAGTAGCACGATACATTTGGGTCCGCAGGCTACGGGATCGGGAACAGGGGTTGGTGTTGGTACGTCTAGTGTTGGGATTGGGGGAGCGATTATGGGAGGGATGGGGCCAACGCAGGCACCGGTGGCCTCGCAGAGGCCAGTGCAGGGAGCTGCTAAAAGAACTAGGGGTTTGATGGGGGGATTTTGTGGAAGGGCCTGGTGGGGCTGTCTTGGAGTATTCATAGGATTGGTGCTATTCTAGAGATTGAGTATGGACCAGGCATTTGATGGGAGTATAATGGTTGACAAAATGGATATACCACTGGCATGGAAGCCTGGAACCTAGGATTTGGATGAGGGTCTTAAAAGAAGGAAATTGTATATATTTTATTTCTCGTGATGTGATACTAATGAAGGAAGCCAAGTACTTGATATAGTGCTACGGTATGTTTTTCAAGTGAGGCGTCTCGACTCCTCAAGTATATGACCCATGGTCTCGAAATCTCACAAGTTTAACATTTCCCCAAGCTGCTGCAACTCGACAAAATTCGAAAGAGACAAGATCCAGGCATAGCCATCAAACACATTGGGCTGAGCTCTCATTAGTATTGGATACTTCCCCCTTAGAAGTCAGCAAAGTTCGGAAGAGGTGATATACTAACGTATGCACTCGATGGAATACGTTAAAATTGTAGCCAAGATGATGCTAAAAAAACCGGACGACTGAGTAAAGCTCTCTCTCCCAACCCGTGCAATCCCACTGATTGCCCTTCTCTCCTTTCTCATCAGCATCCTCACCTCATCATCCCTTCTCATACCTCAGTCTCATCAATTTCTCACCTCGGTTTACTCCCCAGCGGCACAGGCGGTGCGCTCTTTCCCCCATCACCAGCGCCCCCACTGGTAGGTTTCCTCCCCACGGGCGGCGGAGGCGGCGGTTTCTTCCCCAGCTTCCCTATCATACCTGTCGCCTGGTTCGCAAGACCACCTATCCCTCCGCCCCCCGCACCATCAGTAACCACCCCTTGCCCACCAGCCTTTCCACCGCTTGTCTCCTCTGCCCACGGATTTGCCTCCCCAGCTGCTCCCCCTGGGCCAGACGCACTCCCGGTCGCTCCACTGCCAGTCCTCTGCCCCACGAGCCCGCTCTGCCCGACCTTGCCAGCCACGTCATATTTGCTGTTCAGTTCCTGCCCTTTGTTCCAACCCTGCGCGACCTGCGCACCGTGACGTTCACGAAAATTATTCGCCGTCCCTGCTGCCGCTTTTGCTTCTGTGAGACTGATACTGCTTGGATCTTTCTGGAACTTGGAGGCCGTGCTGAGGGCGCTCTGTTTTTGTTGCCAGGTCGTGCCGCCTCCTCCGCTCGCATTTTCGGCTGTGGTGGACCATGGGTTTTGCGTAGCGGCTTGTGTCATTGGGTCAGGTGCAGGAGTTGGTGTGGCGGGGGCGGGTGAGGGCCAGCGATTGTTCAGGGCGGAAACGGGTGAGAAAGACGGTTTGGGTTGGGCGGTCGGTTGTTGAGACGGCGCCGGCGAGGTGGATGAGCGGTTTATGCCGAAGCCGGGGACTGAGATGCCGGATTTTCCGAGGCGGGAGGCAAGGTTGTGGTTTATGTAGTCGGGCTGAGTTGAGGTGGGGGTTTCGGTGTATGGTGGTGGAGGAGGTGAAGGTGCGGCGGGTCGTGTATTTTGGCGAGGTGGAAGGCGAGGTGGTAGATGAGGCTTGGATCTTGCAGTTGGAGTCTCGAGAGGTGAGCTGGGATCTGTCTGTGCTCGTGTCGGCGGAGCTGGTAGACCTTGTGTTCGCAAGCCGGTCCTGTCAGCTCTGTAAGGCACGGGTGGAGGAGGAGGCTTTTGTGTTTGCTGCTCTTCATCGTGACTTGCTGAAAGCTCCTCCTCTGTCAGCGGGGCACCGAGACCCCTTCTATCTGGTGTGATACTGTTAGGGACTGCAGCTCCGCCGTGATAGTTGACATTCTTGGGTGGTGGACCGAAAGCCGCTGGGTCTTTGAGCGAAGTAAGGGGACGGGAGACATGTTCTTGAGGAGTATTGGAGGAAGACGATTTGCCGTAGCCGAATTTGCTTGTCTGTCATTATGTTAACACTGGATGAGGCGGAGTATCGGAAGCGGAGGCAGCGTACAACTTGGTTGATACCTTTGAAGTCACCCCGCCATGATTCTTTCCCGCCATCTTTGCCCTTAGCTTGCCATCCGCTCTTGACTACAGATTTTGTCTTCTCCATACTAGATATTGGAGACAGAGAAAGATACTGATCGGCTAAGTTAAGCTATGGGCAGTATGGGGCGCCTTTGCATATTAAGCTCCGCGCTATGTCCGACGTTATCGCGTCGTTTTGGAAAGAATCACACAGGCACGATGCAGCATGTCGAGAACTTGAATTGACAACCATTCACTCTTACAGTCTTAATACATCGGATCTTTAGGTACCAAATATATACATCGCTACAATGGATATCTCGAAATTGATGACAACGCCGGCCCATACATGCCCCACTTCAATGCAATCAAAGTATTCTAAATGGCTGAGTGCCACCATTATCCTGTATTGGGGATATAAGATGAGATTGACGAGAACTGCGCTTGTCAATATGATTGTCGTCGTCTGACATTGAGGAGACTTCCGAGTGCCTTTGACTCCTGTTGAGATAATCTGAAATTGTAAACGGACTTCCCAACTCCAGTCTCCCTGAGGGTATGGAAGGGTTTATGGCTAGCGGATATGATCGGGTGCGAGCGGGACTGTGTTGTTCCGGCGGGCGGAGTCGATCTTTCGAAGGTCTCCGATGAGGTGTGACGGTTCTGCTTGACGGAATCCGAGCAAGAGTTGGGCGAGAGATCTCAGGACTTTGTGCCGTGCCAATTCCATTCGAAGGCGAGGATTGTATGTCCGGGGGAATGTGAGGCGTACTGTAGATTGAGGGGCTGTCAAATGCCCAACTTGGAAACGATTGACGACCTTCCGCTTGGAATAAAGACGGTCTTCGCTCATCTACCACTGATGGCTGTGACTTCCGTATTGGGACGGCCTGTGCGATTGAGAGAAATGGCGATGTGGACGGTGGTGTTGAGGATGGTGAGTGAGGAGGTGAAATGTTGAAATTGAACAGACCGAGGGATCTGCTGGCTTGGTGGCGAGTTGCTGATTCGTCGGCGGAGCCTGGGGGTGGGTCGACGCCAAATGCACGCAATGGAGTGATCTGAGGTGCCTGGGATGTCTCTGCGGCGTTCGCTGGCTTTTGGATCATTCCCTCATAGGATTCCCTTTGAGCTCGCCTTGCATTTGAAGCTTTCTTCAACTGGTGACTTCGATAGAATAGGAAGATGAACGGAATCAGTAATATGACAGCCGCGATGGGAACGACTATGGCAACAATGGTGCCCGGCGTCAATTTGTGGTGATCGTTGTTCGACGGCGGGGGTGTTGTAGGTGCAGCGGTTTGAGTGACAGTTGCAGTTGTCGTTGGCAAACGCAAGGTTGAATCAGCTACTATCGCAGAACTGGCGAAGGCTGTCTCCGGGCCACCAGTCATGACAGCAGTGAGTGGAATTTCGGAAGAAAAGCCTGCCATTGTGCTTCGTTCTGAGGGAGAGAGCGGTCACGAAGGGCATTGACTCCTGGCGGTGAGCGTATTACATGTATTTCTTGCGAGACATGACGATGCCGCTACCATGTGCAGAAGTGCATAGACTGGCCACAGTACTTCAATGGATAGCCACAGGAAGAATGAAGAAATGAAGGATGTTTGGATTGTCACGAGAATGACGAGGAAACTCAGGAAATGTCACGCAAGATATCTGAAACAGCACTGAGATTTCGTGCCTGGCAACTATCACTATTCTCTAGCATAGCAGAGCAGGGGTCCAAGGATGGGCGTTATAGTGCAACAAGCTGCGTCCGGATGGAAGCAAGGCGCAGTTGTGTTGGACTGGATCCAATGAGATTGCTCTAAGCCTCAGCAGCATGGGGGCGAAACCTCACCAAGGGCCGGAATAGAGGCCTTGCGGAGGCATTTGGTTGGAAGACATCCAGCTGATTTGCCACGATACCCGTAATCGGAACATTTGCTGAGCACAGTCATATCATGTCGATGCGCAAGACAGAGGCATCTCAAGACTCAAGAGTCAAGAGTCAAGACTGAAGTTCACACGCCAGAAAAAGTCTCATTCTGAAACAAGCCCGCCAAGCCCGCAACCCGCGCTAAGGATTAGTCGCTCTGCCCTGCCAATGCTGCACGCCCATTTCCTTCATACCGGTCATCTTGACCTCTGCTACGACGATGATCCTTCGCCATTATTTTGAATCATCTCTTGGTTCAAACGCTCCATTCCTCATCTAGAATTATACCAGATTTGCCATCCTCAGATCGCAACCCCACCTCCTCGACTTGCAAGACCGAGGAGCTCCAACACGCCTTTGCTCTTGCAACTTGCAAGTCCGCGAAGCTTTCTTTTGACAGGCTACAACATCTGACCAAGGCTATCGGGGCTTGTAACAGGATGCCCTGGATGTTCCGACTTGTTACAAGAGACCTGACAAGCGACCCCTACAACCGCGGCGTGACTGACGCTGCTCAAACCCCCTTCGCATCAACAGCTTGATCATTTGAATGCGCCGGCATTCCTAATACGCCATATTAGCACTATTGAGGCCGGACACACTCATCTCAGCTGATCCGCTGACGTTGAGATTCCTCCATACTAGCAGAATCCTTGGTCTAAGATGCGCCTGTTCCTGGAGGATCAGAATGCCGACTAAGTCCGCATAAGCTGCATAATCTTCCTCAGTAGAAAGCTTGCTTATCTTAATGTTCTTGCGCCTACGGATATTGCTGTTTTCGAGAACAAGTGCGCGTCGTAGAGTTTGGTCATGTGTTGCTCTGTTGCCCTTTCATCCTTTCTTACCATTCCGGAAGAAGTCAGCATCATGGCGAAGACTCTTCTCAATTCATGTTTCAAGCAACTATGTAAGGGCCATCCTGTTGTAGCTTGATCCAACATGGGTCACGATCATGACCAAAGTTGTTTTTCAGAAGTTTAATTCCTTCGCTATCAAGTCAAAATTTTAACATCGCAATTTCTTCACAACGGACTTCCGTATCAGTGAGAAGATGTTAGGGCCCAATGCGTTGGGCCTTACGCCGTTATACTCGAGTTCGTCATTTCAAAGAGATTAATTTGTTGCATTTGTGGCTATTTTGGGCGTGGCTTTGCTAATTTGGTTGCTTTGCCTGTTGTTTTTTTCAAGCTCTATCTGAACCACGTCCAAAAATTTGCTATAGAGCTCCTGGCTTCTTCAGGCCACCAGAGTGTTTGGAGCATTGTAGAAGCACAAGACACGTCACAGAAAGGTTTTGGCAGCTCGGGCGGCGCTTAGTTTCTCACTGGAATGTTGGGGTGAGCCAAAAGTGGCGACGGCATTACAAGAATGCCTCTCATGACTTTGAATTCGCTACTTCACAAGAAGTAATATGACCCAGAATCTATAAATTCATGATTGACAATCTACCGCTACCGGTCCGCGACAGCACTTTGACGGGCGCCAAAAAGGGTCGAGGACCTCACTCTGTGACTTGGTTGACATGTCCGTCGAAACCATGAGTCGAGCAGGTGAGATGTGTTCCACCTGCGATCCGATAGATCAAGTCAATCCCAACTTTTGCGCCTTTGGTCCTTCAGTGTCGGATGTAACTTTGGGCACTCGTTGTTGCATAACGAGTCGACAAGGACTCTTTTCTTGAGGCGTGATGCAACGTTCCAGGAAGCAGGTATGATGAAGTGTCTGCTATGTCTTATACTTGAATCTTGAATGGGGCAAGAGAATAGGCAATCAGCTGACAGTCTCTGTACCTAAGAAGGTACTATTGCTTGTTCTCATGCACAGACGCGGTTCTACCACCAGCTGTTCACCTATCGCGAAGCAATACAAAACTCCGCTCCCAAAGTCATTACATTCTATAGATTGCGCATTCGGTCGAGATCTACCATGAGGATACCATAGTATTATCCATTCTATGCTACAAATGATGCCGAAATCGCTAAGTGATAAGCTAGTCATACAAGCATGAGCATTCATTTTGCTCCCGCCTTCCACCTCGCTTGCATTTCCCTCAAATCCTGGCAGCTTCTCCTCCATACCGACTCGTGGTCATACAAAACATCACATTCCCGGTCGCAGTCGTCACAACAGCGTCGAGGAATGCCCATACCTCATCCCCCAAATCCTGGCCCTTGAAACCTTCAAGCTCCTCCCAAATCTCCCGCTCGACCTGCAACTGCAGACTCCACGCGACGGACTTCGCATCAGGGGTCCCTTTCAGTCCAGTGACGTTCTTGATGACGTCGACAAGATTGATAATGTCGGAAATCTCACCGCCAGCAAGAGCGCGAGCTTCTTTGTCATAGGAGTAGAGATCGTTGACGATGCCAAGGTGGTCGGAGATCAGAGTTATGAAGTGTGTGTAGAGTGGTGAGGTGGTGTCAACGGATGACTTGATGGCGAATTTGGCGGCTGCGACGACGAAGCTGTTGAGCAAGATCACGTCAGTTGAGGTCTTGAATGATAGAGATGGGGAGAAGTAAAAGGTGGAACATAATTAGATGACACATTTACGAGTGAGAGAGGGAAAATGCAGAGGAAGCACTCACTCTGCACCAACGTTCTGCCGTCGGAATGTGAGGTACTCGGCCACGCTGCGGAATCCTTGCTCGGGCGGATGAACGCATTTGAACGCGCCTCGGAGGGCGTCGATCATCTCCCTGCCTCCATCTCCGCCGGCAGCGTCTTCGGCTTCGATGCCTTGGACGATGGAGTCGACGTGATTTTGAAAGGCGCTGACTTTAGCATCGGGATCTCGACGGCCCTGCAGGCGGCGAATGAAGTCATTGCGGAAGATGTGGAGTTGACGATCTGGTGTCTCCTCAACTTTGTCTGTATGTTTGCATGAGTAAATTGTTTGATGATTTCAGCAAGGAGCTAGCCACTCACCGTCGAAAACGAAGTACATTATCGTCAGTGCCGCGATCTGTGCTATGCGCTGCTCATCAGCGCCCGGGAACATGTAATGTGCGGCAAGCACCATTTGGTGCTCGAGCCCGGGTCGAATGGCTTTTTTGGCGAGCTTAGCCAGTGTGATCCCATGTTGAGCTTCGACGTCGGAAGCAGAATCATCTTCAGCAAGCATGCGAATCAGATTCAGAGTTTCATCGAAGTTCGCTGTGAAGTGTTTGCTGGCCCGCACATGGTCGATGCTGGACCGGTATTGCAGACCCGCAGCGATCGGGTCCAATCGGATCGAGTTGAGCGATGTATGTTCATCTGCGAGAGCCGCCTGGTCGGGAAACGAGAGAAGAGGACATGGAAGCTGAGCTCGCTGTGCTGGTAGCGGATCATAGGCGTATGCGATCGCTGGTAGAGAAGCAAAATCCGAACTTGCTGCCAGTCTTTTGCTATCGTAAGGGACGGGGAGATCTGTAGGCTCAGACTGATTTGATTTTGGGTATTTTGGGCTTTCAAACATCCCCGAAACGAGTCGAAGCAATGCCCAGGGAAGGATCATTATCGCTGTCATGTTCTTGAATCTTGGAAAAGTGGAGAGAATGATAGATACGGAGACTGAGGCTGTACTCGAGTGATGGCATCAAGCAGAGATCGGTGTCATTCACTGCAACAAGTGTCGTGGACCAAAAAGGGAACGTCACAACTCTTGTGCGGATCACGCCTTCCTTGCAAACCATGATCACAGCGCGACCTGCACGATGCATATATATATGAAAGTTAGTGGACTAAAAGGATATCGCAGACTCCGTAAGAAGCAACCAGGGCTACGAAGCGACAAAATCAACTTTATCCATGGCGTCAACGTGTACATTGTCTATGGGCAAGCCACATTATCACAGTCACGGTCTGCGGACTACTGCCAATGACTAACCGGTGCCACTCAGACACCGCTGTACGCATCATCCGAATTTGGATCATACGATACTACCTGGAGCTGAAGCCGTATACGAACTTTCAGCGGATATGTTGCAAGCCACAGGTCAGTCGCGGTGTTGCTGTGAAGCGCCAGATGGACCATAGCTTGAGATAGGTTGAGATAGCGCATCTGGGCATTCGCTTCCTTCCCTTCTAGATTGTTCTAGCCCGTGAATGTGTGGCAGTGTCATAGAGTTTCGCAAGATGGCGTATTGGCGTGGGTGAGTTTTGGTGGTAGCAACACTATAGTGACTCGAAAGCCGTTAGTGACTGGAGCTTGGAAGAGGAAATGGCGCTACTCACTCAGGCTCTTGCCGAAAGAGATCATGCAGGGCCATCATTGGTGAGCTTTCAATACGTAGGGCTGTGCTAAACCCTTTCGAATATTGGCAAGATGGTTATTTACATACATCGTGATACGAAGAGACCGCTACTGCTGGCACGGGATACGACACTTCGCCTGGACATGGACTTTCTGCCATCCCTTTGCGAGGTGTTTAGGCAGATGGAAGATGACAAAGTCTATTACCTGCCAGTAATGCCCACATGATCATGTCATAGGAACCGAAGTCTGTACCTCAAGTAAGGTGTGCAAAGCCAATTGAGGAAAGCCTGTAACCCCAAAGGAGGAATCTGAATGAGAACACTGCCAAGCAAGGTCTGTGAGGAGCCCACTCGTTCAACTTCAGCGGCATATGTTCATGATGGCCCTGGAAGTTCTGCCCTTGGCGGCTGGAATGGCTACTCATCTGGCCTACTTCAATCGAGGCGAGCACCATATGTACGGCTTACGATACCTCCAACTTTTCATCTGCGTCACTTTCACTGGAATAGCCTTCTTCGTAGGATATCTTGACTTGACTGTCCGCAATGCCATTGACGCAGTTGCGCCTGCCCTTGCTTCCTACCTGCTTGGCCTCTATGGGAGCCTGATCATCTATCGAGTCTTCTTTCACCCTTTAAAGGCCTTCCCAGGCCCACTTTCGGTCAAAGTATCTAGCATTGCCTTTTCTGCCAGGCTGCTATCCCTCGATGCTCACAAGAAGGTGTTGGCCCTTCATCAAAGACATGGCGACTTTGTGCGAGTGGGATCCTCGGACCTGTCAATCATTCATCCAAAAGCACCTGATGCCATCTATGGCAAAGGATCGAAATGTACGAAAGCTGACTGGTACGACCTGACTCTCCCCATGACTTCGATGCAAACAACACGAAAGAGGGCAGAACATGACAAGCGACGCCGCGTATGGGGCAGGGCGTTCAACGACCTGCGAGGCTACGAAGAACGAGTCACCATCTTTCAGGATCAGCTTCTTGCAATAATCTCCGCCGCAGATAGAAAGCCGGTCAACATTACCGAGTTGTATCATCAATTTAGTTTTGACGTGATGGGAGATCTCGCTTTTGGCGCCTCGTTTAACATGCTCCAGAGCAGCGGTAATCATTGGGCTATCAAGCTCCTACGCAAGGAATGAAGCCTCTGGGCCTGAGCTTCCCATCCTACTTATTCAGAGTGCTGCTTGCTGTTCCGGGTGCTACCGGCGACTGGTTCGCATTTAAAGACTATTGCTGCGAATTGCTGGACAAGAGGCTCAAGGTGACTATATCCGAATGAATTTATGAAGTACCACTGATTACATTGGAAAGACCAAAGTAAACACGCCCAATATCACCTCTTTTCTCGTAGAGCCGTGGCTCGACAAGCAGCCTCTCGGGTATGACCTCAATGTGCTTCAAGGGGACAGTCAACTCATCATTGTAGCTGGAAGGTTGGTTCATACTCCTCGTTTACTCCTTGCTATTCCTGTCTTGCCGCCTTGAGATACTGTTCTCTAACACGGGCTCAGTGATACAACAGCTTCAACGTTGACGAACCTTTTCTATGAGTTGGCGAGAAAACCTGACCTTGTTTCAAAAATTCGAGACGAATTGCAGCCGCTTATAAAGCAAGGTGGCGACATCTCAGACCAGAAACTTCAGACATTGAATCTACTGACCGGCGTGATCAATGAAACCTTGCGCCTTCACCCGCCAGTCCTGGCCTTACAGCGAAAAACTCCACGGGAAGGATTGACAATTGGGGAGACCTATATCCCTGGTGATATTACAGTGTGGTGTCCACAATACGTCGTTGGAAGAAGTGAGTTAGCAAATTCCACCAGATACCATTGTCATGCCTGACTCATGTTCCCCTGCAGGTGAGAAGGTCTACGCGGACGCTGCACACTTTCGTCCAGAGCGATGGTACGCCCAGCGTGATATGATCAAAGAGGCTTCTGCCTATGCGCCATTTTCTCTTGGTAAGATTCCCCTCCCCGAGCATGGGTATCCTGGAGATTACTATTTTGGCTCCTATTCTTTGGGGCATTGTTTAAAAAGAGGCCAATCAATTGGTTGGTATCAGCTCACCCGCTCTTGTTCCATGGATTTTCTTTTTTAACTCCCTCAAGTCTTTTGATTCACGAGAAGGAGGATCCATGGGGCTGACCACTAGACAGGCACTTATAATTGCATTGGCAAAAACCTTGCACTCATGATACTTCGCACTACTCTGGTGAGAGTGATTCTTAAGTACGATATTAGCTTTGCCACAGATGAGGAGGAATTGGCTTTTGAAGACAGGGCCAAGACACAATTCAACACCTTGCCTGGCCAGTTGAACCTTACATTCCACAAGCGGAGCCCAGAATGAGGTCTGAGAAAAGCCTGTAAATGAGCAATGCCCAGCTATTCATACAAAGTTTTGACTCTTCGCAAAAGTAATGGTAGCACAGATAACCCTATTTTCGAGGCGTAAGAATGGATATAAACCAAGGCGTTAGGGGCGTCACCGCTTTCCAATGTTCATTGCTAAATTGTTATTCGCTAGATCGCAACATCTTTCAAGGCATTTCGATAGATAGCGCCTAATGCCTCTTTACTTTCCCCTCTTCCCTCTTATTACGCAATAACGATGGGGCACTTTCTCCAGGTATATAAACAATTGAGGCTCGAATCTTGGGGCATTGGACTCCCAATGGCTCGTCTGATAAATTGCAGGACACTTTGTCGCTGCGCATGATTGTGACAGAAACTTTCGTTTGCCGGGTGTATGTTTTGCTGTGGTTTGGCTTGAAGTCCAGAAAGCATCGGCCCCACGGTCGCCTTGCTCAACCGAAGCTTTAAACCATAGAAGTGAGTAGCTGCATCTTCATGGAAGAGATGACCCACTGGCCCGCCTATATAAACTCCCTTCCTACTTGCAGTCCCTTTCTTTTTCTTTCCCACGGAGTTTTTTGGGATCTCCTAGAGATATGCCGTCGGGCATGCCTCGACAGATGCACACACACACACACACACTGTAACATTACAAAGCTCATTGTACATACTATGACCAAGGGCAGGCACTTAGTCTGGCATCCGTTTGAGAGACGGAGCTATCCCACAAGGTCGACTTCATCTCAGCCATCAATCATTTCTTCACAAAAATACCATCACATTCCAGCACAGCCTTGCAGCACTGCCATTCACTCACATCACTATCACGCTTCTTCCACCATATCCGTTCACTATGTATCTTCGCCTCGATACCAACTTTCACCACTAGTGAACGCGACGCCGTCAAATGCCAATGTCCATAGCGACAACCCACGCGACGGAGAAAGTGAGTCGATAGAGACCTCACTCACTTGCATCATACTCAAGGAGTCTTGACTTGACCTGCGGACTTACACCCTAGTTGGTGTAGTCCAATGATTCACTTGAAGACAACTTGAGTAGCACTGAATAATATCCCCCCACCGACCGGTGTCTCAACCACTCATTCTACTAAACCCCCGACCGAGACATCCTTCTATCACCCCGGATCGAGGCTGAGAACGATCAATCAAATTTCTCGCCGGCAGGATCTTGGCTCTCGTCAACTCCACCATAAGAACATCTTCCTATCTCTCAACGCGAGATCCTGTCGATACCTATGACGAGAGCAATGGCCATGGGCAGCGCAGCTCCACTACAATCTGGGTGTGAGCGGGAAGCGCAACCGAGGCATGCTGCCCATGTATGCTGCAACATATTATGCTGAAGGCACATACGTTACGTGCTTGTGAGGAAATGGTTCGCTGCGGGGGAGGATGCGGTGTACAGTTGAGATGAGTAGATAGAATGGAGGAAAGGCCACCACAGGTGTCGACAGGGAATGAACGAAGGACGATGATCATGTCAAGAGTCAATCATGTTCAGCAGTCATATTTCTTCAGAGGTCGGTCGGGGTCAAAGGTAAGCCGTGCTTTCGTTCGAAGGTAAGTCATGCTCAAAGGTTCGTAAATTGAAAGGTTGAGCAAAGGAAAGGACAGCAACACCAGTGGTAGCCACAGAGGGTATGAGCAATGGAGCTCAGGCGTTGAGGGTATGAGGGTATGAGGGGGCATGGATGCAACGGGCCATTTGCAGAGCCGGAGGCGTGGGCACAGGAGAGGAAAAGGCTATTCATGAGAGATTGACGTGGAGGGATCAGAATGAACAACCCAGTCATCACGTTATAGTGTTAAACGATGACCTACCGCCGGCACTCTTTCTTCCAACCCAGCAATTTCCCCCCAATATCAACGTTCGGCGGGTTTGATGGAAGTTTTCACGAGACCGGTCGATCGAAGGAGTCACGTTCGAACAAACTCGAGCATTAGACGACGATGCCGACAAGAACAGGCAGTCACCGCTGTTCTTTCGGAAAGTGACAATCTTGCAAGTGAAAGAAGGATCCCCCAACAGGCTTGAGACGCGTTCCAGGGGCCGACCTAATATGGTCCCATCAAATGGTAGCATAGTCGCCGTCGAAGCCTTGTCTTATTTAGGTAAAGCTGCAAGACAAAGGGCGTGTTTATCTTCATCTTACCCTCTAGGAGGGTCTAGCAGGGAGGATAGCAATAGCCTAGCGACGGAGAGTCTCAAGGGGCTTTCTGAAGCTTGTTGTTTTTTTTGAATCCGCTGGGGAGGATGGTGATAAGTGATGTACAGTGTTCCACTGACCTCTGTGTCAGTCGGACCGGCACGATGATTATGGTGTTGATGTGAAGTTATCACAATGCGCATACTCATCAGAGTATATAGCCTTTCACTTCCTTCAATACAATTGAGAATTTTAACTCAGCTTACTGTGCCACTCTACTTTTTATGTCTGTTCTTCTTGCTCCCTCTGCTCTAAACATACCTTATGCCTGTGCCTTTCATGTCATACCTGCAATTCGTTCCCTTTTTGCATTGCTTTCTTTGCCTACAAGGTTTGTGAAACAATGATTGAACGGAGAATTCCCCACTTGGGAAAGCTCAACAACATCGCTTTCCTGCTATTAGATTCTTGAGAAGCTGAACAGTAACGGTAAGAGTCACCCACGATCAAAAGGCATCTAAAACACCGATAGACTACTTAAGAATCTCCCAACTTAGGACCTCAAGCAGTTTCAGCCCGCTGAACTCAGCCCATTGAACCATTTCATCTCCAACAAAAGTGTTCCATCCAGTCAACTCCATCTTCTGAGCGTGGAAATATTGTGCGATCACAAGCACAGGATGATAGAGAGACGTAGAGGCACTAACCCGACATTCAATCATTTAATCGTCGGATTTATTTATTTTTATCTCCGTCTGCCGACGCCGATCTCGGCCGCGATATCATGACCGTGAAGCACTTGGATAAATCCTAGAGGTTGTACGTAGAAATACACATAAGTCGAGCTTCAAGATGGCGCCATACAAGATTGTGGTATTTGCAGGCGATTACTGTGGACCTGAGGTACCCCCAAACCCATCATAAAAAGCTTGAAAGAGCTGATCAATTGTGCAACTCTCAGGTTACTGCTGAAGCTATCAAGGTAAGTAGCGCACATGCCTCTTAATTGATATCTTGGTTCGGGACATATATTGACCGCTCGAAAAGATTCTGGAAGTAGTTCAAAAAGCTCGCCCACACATCCAATTCGACTTCCAAGACCACCTGCTCGGAGGAGTGAGTGAGCCCCTCCACCATACCCCGCCATCGCCTGTTATTGATCAGATTCTCAGGCTTCAATTGACGCGACTGGATCACCTTTGACGGACGAAGCTCTCAATGCTGCAAAAGAAGCCGATGCTGTATTGTTAGGAGCAATTGGTGGCCCTGTGAGTACTATTGAAACACCTGGCGCAAATCGACAATTGACACATTCAGAAATACGGCACCGGTGCAGTCCGCCCAGAACAAGGTCTTCTTAAGCTCCGCAAAGAACTGAACGCCTTCGGCAACCTCCGCCCCTGCAACTTCGCCTCCCCGTCCTTAGTCAAGAACTCCCCACTCAAAGAAGAAATTTGCAAAGGCACGGATTTCACCATCATAAGAGAGCTCACGGGCGGAATTTACTTCGGCGCTCGGAAGGAAGAGGAGAATGGTGATGGTGAGGCTTGGGATACCGAGCCGTATTCCAGAGCGGAAATCGAGAGAGTCACGAGATTGGCGGGCTTTTTGGCGCTGAAGAAGGACCCTCCTTCGAAAGTCTGGAGTCTGGACAAGGCTAATGTGCTGGCGACAAGTCGACTATGGAGGCGGGTAGTTACCGAGGTTATGGAGGAGGAGTTCCCACAGTTGAAGCTGGAGCATCAGCTCATTGACAGCGCGGCTATGGATATGGTCAAGAATCCTACTAAGTTAAATGGAGTCGTTGTCACGAGTAACCTTTTCGGAGACATTATCAGTGACGAGGCCAGCGTGATTCCAGGGTCACTTGGTCTGTTGCCCAGTGCGAGCTTGAACGGCATTCCAGATGGTAAAGGCAAATGCAATGGCATCTATGAGCCAATTCATGGTATGTGTCAATGAATCCACCTGACTCGCCTTCATGAAAATTGGTCGCTGATTTGAGTTGAAGGCTCTGCTCCAGACATCGCCGGCAAGGGCGTCGTCAATCCAGTCGCAGCAATCTTATCAACTGCTATGATGCTTTTGTACTCATTGAATCTACCACAAGAAGCTCAAGCGATCGAGGATGCAGTCAGAGTGACGATTGACAGCGGCTTAGGTACCAAAGATATTGGAGGTAGCAGCAATACCAAGGAAGTTGGTGACCGTGTGGCGTTGGAGCTAGAGAAGATTCTAGGAAAGTGATTAGCAGAGAATCAGCGACCCATGAAAAAGCGATGATTCTGAGCAAAAGACTATTTAAGAACGCACCAAACTCATAAAGGAGGGTGAGCAGCCTCACCTCGTCAGACATCAACCCTCAGCCAGCAGCCCTTTAGATTTGACGTCAATAATAATGTTTCTCACTTGACTTCATTTTAATTCAACCTCGCCGATCCAGCCCGCATCCAGTATACCAATTTGCTCCATACCCTCTCCATCATCATCCGAGACCTCCTCTGGCTCTACTGTCGCTATCCCGTTGATCTTGTCCCTCGCTCTTTCCTCTACCTTTGTCATCCCCATCTTCTCCTTCCCTCCCACTCTCTCATCAACACTAAAGACCTGCAGACCCCTCAAATGCGTATCCTTCCCATTCTGATGATTCTCCATGACCCTGACCTGCAGCACCATACACCTGATCTCTTCTTTCCCACCCACCCCACACCCCAGTAAATCAATATCCTGCCACCCCCTTGGTTCGGCACCGCTCCACTCCGCGAACTGCACCAAGCCATACCCACTGCTCCAGCCCGCCCAGAAGTCCAGCTTTGTGGGCGTGTAACTCTCGTCAAGGGCAAAGTCCAGGTAGAGGCGCAATTTTACAATTTTGACGAGTTTGAAGAAGTGGAGGGTCAAATGGTGGGGCTGGGGGCCGTCAGACTGCCAGAATGCGTGCGGGGTAGGAGAAAGGAGGGCTGTAGCGCCACAGGTGGGCTTGTGACTCGAGACTGTCCAGGAGGCTAGGGAGGAGATTTCGCGGAGGGAGGAGAGGGTAGGGTCATGGGCTATGGATTGTTAGTGAAGGCGAGATGGAGACAGTGCGGCTAGAATGCGAAACGGAAAGGCGACTGTGGGGGGAGGAGGATTTACACGTGTCGAAGATCAGGGCGTCGTCTTCAGTCTCCTCCGGAATCTCTTGGTCGTCGACCATTTCTTGGAGCTGGGGCGGAACGGTCGCGTCATCTAGTGCTTCCATTGGGGACGACATGGTGGATGTATAGCTCAAATGCAGATTGCAAGCTGTTAGCTAAGCTTTCAGCCCATGGCTGATGCAAAACGGAGTAACAGGCGAATCTCGATATTCAAAGAACATGCGGAATTCACCCGCGCGATCGCTCCCTGATTTGATTTCGTTGTTGGCTTCCAACATTCCTGGCTGATTCTCTCGAAGGACCTCGATCCAGATTCCTCATCAATTCTGCAACGAGCGCATCAGGCTTTCCTTTGCTCATTTATTCGCAAAGCACTTGTATTAGCGCTGACAGAATAGTCATCTTCAAAGTGGTTGTCAATCACAGACGCGCATAATAAGGCCTCAGGAGGCGAAGGTGGTTTGGCCAGGCAGTAATTGAGCTGCAAGAGTCGTTTGATGATTGTAGGGATCGTCTCTGCTATAGTCTACATCGAGATCTTTGGATATGAGGATATCAATAATGTCTTCCATTGCCGGACTTTTCTTAAGGTTCGCCCCACCGATCCACCCCTGCCAAGTTTGCCAAGTTATGTCATGTTGGTGCGTGTACCAGGGCGGGGCTTCCATTCGGCGCGGATGAGACGAAGAGCTCCGAAAGGTGGGTGATCCCACTTTCAGGCCTGCCAACATAGTGCCTCAGGCCATCCGTCATATTAACTTGAATATCAAAGTGGAGCGCCTAAGAACTCTCGCCTCTTAAAAAGACACCATCCTGTCTGCCAGCTCACATTCCACAACCAGCTGCTTTTCTGAATTCCAAGTCTGCAATCATGGTTCATCTAGCTGCTGTGCCTAATGATAGCCATGTCGAAGACGAATGCAAAAAATTGAGCCTGTACAACGACGGCCAGGACCAGAGTGATCTGGTTTCTGTCTATGGCTCTAGGTTCGCTGCCGAATGCCTTCCAAGGCATGAGATGCCCGAAAGGGAGATGCCCAAAGATGTGGCCTATCGCATGATCAAGGATGATCTCTCCCTTGATGGCAATCCCGTACTCAATCTTGCCAGCTTTGTCACGACCTATATGGTAAGCCACCATCTGATGAAATACATCTCTAGTAGGCTGCGTTATTGACCCATTACCTAGGAGGAAGAGGCAGAGAAGCTCATGGCGGAGGCGCTCCCAAAGAATTTCATCGACTACGAAGAATACCCTCAGACTGCAGACATCCAGAACCGTTGCGTCAGCATGATCGCTCGACTATTCAATGCACCTACAGAAAGTGACGAAGAGAACAGTATGGGAACCAGCACCGTGGGGAGCTCTGAGGCTATTGCAAGTAATTGGCTCAAGATGTTGTACACACGCTTACTGGAGAGCAGATGCTCGGTACGCTTGCCATGAAGAGGCGCTGGCAAAACAAGCGCAAGGCTGCTGGCAAGGACTTCTCGAAGCCAAACATCATCATGAATTCGGCCGTCCAAGTCTGTTGGGAGAAAGCAGCTCGCTACTTTGACGTCGAGGAGCGCTATGTGTTCTGCACCGAGGATCGCTACGTAATTGATCCTGAGGAATGTCTCAAGCTTGTAGATGAGAATACCATCGGCATCTGCGCCATCCTCGGAACAACTTTCACTGGGCAATACGAGGATATCAAGGGCATTAATGATCTTTTGGTCAAGAAGAAGATCGATTGCCCCATCCACGTCGATGCCGCAAGTGGCGGCTTTGTTGCGCCTTTCGTGGTACCCGAGCTCGAGTGGGACTTCAGGCTTGAGAAAGTCATTAGTATTAACGTTTCAGGCCATAAATACGGCTTGGTCTACCCAGGTTGGTATACATCTCATCAACAAGCTGTCGCGAGAGGCTAACCATCTTTCAGGTGTCGGCTGGGTTGTGTGGCGCTCGCCAGAGTATCTTCCAAAGGAGCTTGTTTTCAACATTAATTACTTAGGGGCTGATCAAGCATCATTCACCCTCAACTTCAGCAAAGGAGCATCTCAGATCATTGGGCAATATTACCAGATGATTCGACTTGGCAAAAAGGGTTATCGATCAATCATGACGAATCTGACCCGAACAGCTGACTATTTGGCCAAAAGTCTTGAGCAACTTGGCTTTATCATCATGAGTGAGAAGGGCGGTAAAGGTCTCCCACTGGTGGCATTCCGTCTTGACCCCAAGAAGAAGCATCACTATGACGAATTTGCCGTCGCGCATCACCTCCGAGAGCGTGGTTGGGTCGTACCCGCATACACCATGGCTCCGCACAGTGAGAGCTTGAAGATGATGCGCGTTGTGGTGAGGGAAGACTTCTCCAGGGCAAGATGTGACCTTCTTGTGGCAGACTTCAAAAACACCTTAGATACATTGGCCGACATGGATAAGGCCTCAGTCGACGCGCACATGAAGCATGTCAATAAACATGCCACTCACAGCGGGAAGTCGAAGCACAACCCCAAGCACTATAAGGGCGAGAAGCACTCCTTGCAGGGAAAGAGTGGGAAGACGCATGCTGTGTGCTAGCGGCCATGCACGGCACAACGAGAACCTAGCGTCTTGTCATTGTGGATCTGTGGACATGTGTAGCACGAGAACGGACGCATGCACGTATTGCGCACGGTTTGAGATGCACGAAAGCAAACGTCTTTCGGTCTTGCATGTAGCGTAGTGGGTATCGAATGACTTTATAACATACCCAACTCACTTCCAAAAATCTTTGCAGTAGGATGACGAAGATTGCAATGAGTCCTGCATCGCTCTGCGAAAGTAATCAAAATTGATATAGCTGTCGCAATTGCCGAAGCGGCGATGGGTACAGAGTTCCGGCGTGTATTTGGATGGATTTATTACTTGGAGGCCTGATTCGGACAGCGACAGCCCATGAAACTAATTGCAACCAGGGTGTTTAATTGCGTAATTAAACCACTAGTGCACTTTCTGGAGGGTCAACATCCGATTACTTTCATGTACTTCAACATCATGCTGTTGATGTGTAGCAATGTCGAAATGCCTTTCCACACTCTGAGCAATTGCCAATTGCGCATTGGTCCCCGCCGCTAGCTGGTCGTCAAACGCGCCTTCACTATGTTTCAGTGTTTTGGCGACTGAACCCGTGGCGGAAAGTTTACATGCGACGAAAATAATGTGTCGGACCTGTGTATCATTCGCACGGTACGATTACAATAATATGGCTGCACCTGCGACGCCAATAGTCAGCCTGACCCTAGATTCTTGCTCGAGTGCAAGCATGACCGTTTTCTATTTCCCCCCTCCCTCCTACCTTTCCATCCTGATCTCTATTGCTCTCGTCATGTCGTACACCCTCAAGTCCACTCTTGAGTATCTACCCGAAAAGATCCAGTCTTTCCAGTACCCAGACACGACCCTACCCACCCCCACCCCAAACTCGGAAAATCGGACGAAATGGCGAGCGAGGCACCAGTGGAAGTTCGTCGTCGTTGTTGGACTCCTCGTCATATTTGGTGTGAAGACTTTCGCCGACGGCCGGCACTCTTACCCCGTTGCACGACGTGAGCAAGTCCAAAGCATAGTGGAGGAGAACCCAATACTGAATGGTACACTTGGAGTATGATTGCGTATCACCTGGCTCGTGTCAATTGACTGACACCGTCTGCAGTTCCAGAATGTATACGTTCTCTCGTTGCCCGACCGCAGCGATCGAAGAGAGCCGCTGCTTGCCGGGGCGAACGCGACGAACTTAACCATTACGGTAATTGATGCCATAAGAGACAGGCAAATACCCAAGTCAGATTATCCAATAGACTGGTCGACGAATGGCTGGGTGGCCAAGGAGGGAGAGCTTGGTTGCTTAATGTCACACCTGAGATTCTGGCGAAAGTGAGTCGCCTATATGGTATAAACCATCGAGCCTTCTGACACTCACCGACAGAGTGATATACGAGAACATCACTACTGCGCTAGTCATGGAGTCCGACGTCGATTGGGACATGCGCATCAAGCAGACGATGGTTGGAATCGGCAGGGGCGCACGAGCTATTGCAGACTGGCCCTTTGATCCTGAACCCGAGGAGCAACCCTCAGAAATTAGTTCTCGGTCGAAGAACACCAGCATGCCTCAGCCGAGGCCATATGGCGACAAATGGGACTTGTTATGGATAGGCCACTGTGGTTCGCAACCACAGAACGGTGGTCGTCTATTCCATTTTAACGATAGTTCTGCTGCAGATGAGGACCACGCGTGGACCTTCGGAGTGAAACCTGATGCTGGCCTTAGACCCTATGGAACGAGGTTAGTATACCACGCGAAGCAGCAGGTCTGCACAACTTCCTATGCTGTGACCAACAAGGGCGCGCGCAAGCTCGAGCGAATGTTCCGTTATGCCAACGGCCCTATAGACATCAAGTTGTGGGATGCGTGCGAAAACGACCCGCGGTTCACCTGTGTTGGTGTTTGGCCGCAGGTTATTTCCATGACGGAGTCAAGGACGAACATAGCTCATACCGAGGGAGGCCTTTCGTTTGGCCATGTGATAAAGGATGAAAAGATTCATGCTGGACAAGGCATCCAAGTCTCGGCTCGTGTAAATGCATATCTCCAGAAGGCTCACTTGGGCGAAAAAGGATGGAAGTATGCATGGAAGAATCGTAACAGAACAACAGAGAGAATCGAGAGGATGAAGGAAATTGAAGAAGAATTCTATCTGCAGGAAGCGCCTTTCTACGAAGAGAGACCTCTCCACGAGGAAAAGAAATCGTCGGAAGAAGCTGAAGACGATCCAGATGAGGGCGGGGAAGAAAGGATTGAAAGGGAACGAATTGAGGCACAGTTCGAAGAACGCTAGATGAACCATGGAGGGGGAGTTCTGAATCAAATAGGTCTGATTTCAAGCGTGGAGTCCCGGAAATCTGGCTGGATATTGTGAGGAATGTTTGATCTGGATATGCAATAGATCTTGGAGTGTAAATACCCCGGCGGCAAAGCCCTAGAACTATTCGGATCTTTGTCCGTGATAAGTAATGATTCTGCCTCGAGTGTACCATGAAGAGGCTCAAGACTTCTCTCAATATGTTGTCACTGCTTTCCAACGACTGGCAAGTGATACCTTGTTTCGTCGTCGAATCACGTCACTGCCTGAGCCTGTTTTCATGATTAAAACATGGAAGGATCTAGAAGCGGCGAGGACCGTCGACGAACAACAAGCGGATTCACCAACGGACAAGCCCAATTAGACATTACACATGTATTACTAAACTCGATGCATCTAATTGTCAACTCATTGATACTTACTTACTCCATGCTGCCCATTGTCGCAGATAGTGTTTCTGGGCAGAGGAAACCTCCAATTCAATAACAAGGCGGAGGCATACAAACCGGGCGTTCACAATGACATCTGGAATGCAGTTCACAGACCGGGGCTCGAAAGCCTTGTCTGATGCAAACGATCTTGCCAAACAATATTCTCACTCTCAAATCTTACCTCTCCACCTGGGAGTGTCACTCCTCGACCCCCCGATAGACGAATCCAAGGACCAACAGCAGACCACCCATTCCTCACATGCCGCCGCAAGCCAGCCGCTTTTAAGACAAGTGGTAGACCGTGCACATGGCGACAGTCAGTTGCTCGACCGAGCCATGAAGAAAGCGCTCGTACGTCTACCAAGTCAGGACCCTCCACCAGAAACGGTATCAGCGTCCCCACAATTCATGAAGGTGCTTCGCAGCGCGAACGACCTTCAAAAGACGCAAAAAGACAGCTACATTGCTATAGATCACCTTATCCAGGCCCTTGTTCAAGACTCAGCGATACAAAGATGCCTCGCCGATTCAAATGTACCAAATCCCAAGCTCATAGACACTGCCATACAACAAATACGCGGAACGAAACGGGTTGACTCTAAGACTGCGGATTCAGAGGATGAGAACGAGAATCTGAAGAAATTTACCATAGACATGACAGCCATGGCAAGAGAGGGAAAGATCGATCCTGTCATTGGCCGTGAAGAAGAAATCAGGCGAGTGGTACGGATACTAGAACGACGGACAAAGAACAATCCGGTGCTTATCGGAGAGCCGGGTGTAGGGAAGACAACCGTAGTCGAGGGACTGGCCACGAGAATTGTCAACAATGATGTTCCGGCAAATCTGGCAGCATGTAAACTGTTGTCGCTTGATGTCGGATCGCTTGTAGCCGGAAGCAAATACAGAGGCGAATTTGAGGAGCGAATGAAGGGTGTACTGAAAGAAATCGAGGACTCGAAAGAAATGATCGTGCTCTTCGTTGACGAGATGCACCTCCTTATGGGTGCTGGCTCGAGCGGAGAAGGTGGTATGGATGCAGCCAATCTGCTGAAGCCCATGCTTGCAAGAGGACAGCTACACTGCATTGGTGCTACGACTCTTGGTGAATACCGCAAGTACATCGAGAAAGACCAGGCTTTTGAGCGAAGGTTTCAGCAGGTCCTTGTCAAGGAACCCTCGATACCTGAAACGATTTCGATCCTACGAGGTCTCAAAGAGAAATACGAAGTGCATCATGGCGTAAACATCCTGGATGGGGCTATCGTCGCTGCCGCTGGACTCGCCGCACGCTATTTAACAGCAAGGAGGTTACCAGATTCCGCCGTTGATCTGATCGACGAAGCCGCAGCGGCGGTCCGAGTCACTCGTGAATCCCAACCGGAAGCGCTCGACAATATGGAGCGTAAGCTTAGACAACTACAGATCGAGATTCATGCACTAGAACGAGAAAAAGATGAAGCCGCTCGCGCTCGTCTGGACCAAGCCCGTCAAGAGGCAGCCAACGTCGCGGAAGATCTCAAACCCTTACGTGAGAAGTACGAATCAGAGAAGCAGAGAAGTAAAGATATCCAGGAAGCAAAGATCAAGTATGATCAATTGAAGGTCAAGCAGGAAGAAGCAGAACGTATGAAGGATCTTCAGACTGCTTCGGATCTCCTTTACTATGCCATGCCCGACACCAAAGCTCGAATAGAACAGCTTGAGGCTGAGCGAGCTCGTGCAGATGCAGATCTATACGCTGTTCGTGGATCTGATGCCGTTCAAGAAGCTATGCTCACAGATGCGGTTGGTCCGGACCAGATTAATGACATCGTAGCAAGGTGGACTGGTATACCCGTAACGCGGCTGAGGACGACCGAAAAAGATAAGCTGCTAACGATGGAAAAGTCGCTTGGGAAAGTCGTCGTAGGTCAGAAGGAAGCTGTCGGCTCGGTTTGCAATGCCATACGGCTGCAAAGATCCGGTCTCGCAAATCCGAATCAACCTCCATCATTCCTCTTCTGCGGTCCGTCTGGGACTGGTAAGACTCTCCTAACAAAAGCGCTAGCGGAATTCCTTTTCGATGACCCTAAAGCAATGATTCGCTTCGATATGTCTGAGTACCAAGAGCGACACTCATTGTCTCGAATGATTGGTGCGCCACCTGGCTATGTTGGTCACGATGCTGGTGGACAACTCACAGAGGCTCTACGACGGCGACCATTTTCGATCCTCCTATTCGACGAAGTCGAGAAAGCCGCCAAGGAGGTACTTACCGTCCTCCTTCAGCTTATGGATGACGGGCGCATCACAGATGGCCAAGGCCGGATCGTCGACGCGAAGAACTGTATAGTAGTCATGACGTCCAACCTAGGCGCTGAGTTCCTAGCACGGCAGAACGCACCTGACGGCAAGATCGATACAACAACGAGAGAAATGGTCATGAACGCCCTTCGCAACTACTTTCTACCCGAATTCCTCAACCGTATCAACTCGATTGTCATCTTCAACCGCCTGACCAGAAGAGAGATAAGGAAGATTGTCGACGTCCGGCTGGACGAGATTCAGAAGCGACTCTCAGAAAACAACAAAAAAGTCAAGATCGTTTGCACGAACGATGTCAAGGACTATCTTGGCGATGCGGGTTACTCTCCAGCCTATGGCGCTCGTCCGCTCGCGCGACTGATTGAGAAGGAGGTGCTCAACCGTCTGGCTGTGCTCATACTACGGGGTGCGATACAGGACGGAGAGGTGGCACGAGTTGTAATGGACGACGGAAGAGTGACAGTGCTGTCGAATCATAAGGATGACGATGACGACAGCACCGATGAGGATGCGATGTTGGATGATGACGAGGTGGAGGACTTGCTGGATGGGGAGGGGGAGATGGATCTCTACAATGATTAGGCCAGGTGACTTCCTGCCTCTCAGACGAATTAGCGAGGACTAGGTGGTCCATTTGTGCATAGAAAGCCATGAATTGATGAGCCTATGAAGTATATTTTGTATATAGCGCTTTCAAACAAAGATAAGATAATGCGGCCGTAGGACCAGATTCTTTAGACTCCTCTCTCCTCCATTGTGTGAATTGTGTCTCAATATCGTAAGTACGACGACGAAGTAAGGCACATGGGCAATCAAGTGTCAGCTCCACCGCCCTTCAAAGCGAACACGGAGGGCGATACAGACCGAGCTGGTGCGAGCAAGCGAGGAACATCGCTTAGGAGCATGATGTTCAACCCACTAAGTTCCCTCTACTACATAAACATTAATTAAGCAATACTTCCTACTCACCGAAGATCCTCTCCCAAATAAAGTGTTCTCCATTATGCATCATCCTCCCTCGACCGCTGATCACCCCCTCCCCTTCCCTCGCCTAGGGGTACCTACACACAGATCCCAGTCATCCACGTAACCAGGTGCCCCTAAGCCCACAAGGGCAATCTTCCAGAATGCCGCTAGAAGGCGTGATCGACAGCGATAGACATGGACGATCGATAGCGGGGCGCGCTAGTCTCGGAGATGCAGATTGAAGGATTTCTAGCGGCATTCTGGAAGGCTGCCCTTATGGGTTAGCCTCGCAACTCTCTGTTTTTGGGTTTTATTGGCAAGGGGCACCGGCGAGGACTGAAATGGGACTTCCGTGGCGGTGAGGGACGGTTCAGAATCTAGGACGGTAATCATAAGGCCTGCGACGAACTCTGCTCTTTGATACCTTAGTCAGGGCATGTCCTTGGCTTGGGACGGGGGGCGATGTTAGTCATCCCCCTGGAGCCCCAAGTCTCAGATGTGCCGTGTGGTTTCAAATCGATCGAGCGTCTGGGCTGATTTCCCGGTGCTCCTGGCTACGGTACGGTACCGTGGTTCTATCTTACCAGGGGACGAGAGAAAAAGTATGAACGTCTTGTGACATGCTTCTAGCGGGCTTCTAGAAGGATGCCTCTATCGGCTAGTGTGGACCCATAGTCTCACTCACCCACCCCTTTACTCTCACATTCTGACGTGCAGATGGTTTTAGAGTGGCCTGGCCTGGGCGTTTTCTTCCCTTTGCAAAAGATATGCTTTCTTTGGATGAGGCGGTGGTGGTATTTTTGGGCATTGTCATTCTGAAGTCTCAATGCGAATCGTCATATGACTATTCGTTCACAGCCACCGCTGCCCTGTATGAGAGTGCCGTCTTCTATACATATCAGGGGTAAGTTTAATGCTAGGCTCGTGGAACAAAGAAGGCCACGAGGGTCGTTGGATTTTGAGTGAGAGCGGCCTGGTAGTGGAGGGGCGGTGTTGCACACGTAAGGCATCCATCTACAGTAGCTTACCGCGAGCGGGTCCTGATGACCCCAATGAGGTCTTTGTTGGTTGGCTGGGCTGGACCGGTGGTGAAGGGGGAGGCTTGGGCAAACAATGAGCCGTTAAGCTTATGCATTTCATCATTTGAGGATTGATAGTCTCGGTTGCCTCGGTAGTGTGAAACCTGAGTGGTTTTTCAGCAAATCGCTATATTCTACATGTACAATACAATTTTTGCCACCCGAGTCTATTCGATTGTTTTGGACACCGTGACCAATAGTGAAAGAAGGCGCCTGCCGTGACAGCAAGTAGTCTATATGCGTAAACGTTCGTGTCGTCCGTAGTGAGTGTGTAGATTAGTACAGCAGTGGATTATACACTCAGGAATTCGTTGATGCGTGCTTGTCGCTCATCCAAACAAGATCTCTTTCTCCATGCTCTGGGCCACCTCTCTCCACTCCAGGTTCTCTTGACCAGCGTCGCTGCGCCGCCAGATCTCCTCACATACTTCCCAAGCAGTGACGATGTTATTCATGCCCTGCCGCGTCTCTAGATGTCGAAACACGGTACGGGCAACGTTGCGGTCAACATCCTCGGTCGCTTCGCATGATGCAGTGAACAAGGGCCAAACCAGTGTTGTCATAGGGCCAGAGAAAATAACCACCCGTAAGCAGGCTTGTAACGTCTGCTTGGTTGGTGTTTGAACTTTTTGGTCCGAGCGCGGCAGTGAGAGTAGATTACGGTAGAGAAAGACGAATGAGGCTTGTTTATGCGCTTCGGCGTTGTTCATGATGCTTTGCAGCCTCGAATCATCTGCGGGATTTTCTAACGTGACAACCGATGGTGGAATCTTGGGTATCCATTGCTGCAGGGCTAGCTCTATGCTGGTGGTATTCGTTTCAAAGTCTGCACGCATGTTCCTCATTTGCTCGCCGTCTGGCGATTCTGGATCTTCCTTATCAAGTGTCCTTTTCACCTCCACGAGGCTGGCTAAGCGATGGATGATGGGCCAAAGGTCGCCGATTAAACCAAAGAGAGTGTCAACAGAAGCCATTGCCGATCGATCATGTATGGACACGAAATCTTGTTCCGTGGCAATGATAATGGTACCAGACATTGGAGAGCATCCAAAAGACAAGGCAGAAGCAACATCAAAGTAACGGAAAGCACGCTCTAAAAAAGGAGAAGTAGGACCTCGTCGTGTCCTTCGCTCGCGCATAATTGATAGCGCTCCTCGAAGATGGGAATTCAATACGGTTGAAGAACCGCTTCGCACGATCTTAAATCTGTTAGCTGTTTGCGTGATGTATGTCTCTAGGACTTGCCTCGTAGTAAAGTAGTAGGATGATCACGGCCAGCACTTCGTCGCGGTTTCCTTCGTCTTTATGCGCAATAAGCCCCGCAAGGCCCTTCAGTGCCTCCGAATGCAAATCCAGCGCCCTCTCCTCCACTTGTAAACCCCTGTGCTCGAGGTGGGCACTCGAAATCGCGTAGATAGCGTTCAGGAGCGGCGGGCTCTGGCGGGCCATAGGCAAAACCAGCTGTCGGAATGGGTTGCCAGAATCCTCCTTGAAAACAATGAGATGGCTTAACACATTGCAGAAGTGATCAAGCAGACCTCTACGTGATTCTCGCCTTGTATACTCAGCAAACGCTGGCAAGCTTGGAGACTGCGATGGCACAGTCGGGGTATGCATCGTGGAAGTAAAGTCATACGGCGACCCGGTCGACTGTGGAGAGAGGAAAGCGCTGGTCGGATCCGGATATGAGCTACTCCGCGACAAAGCAGGTTGGTGCATATAGATCTCTCTGTGGTGATGATGGGAGTCCTCGTCGAAAGGATCTCGAGCGAAACCATCGAGCGGATCCATCGGCAAGGACTTGATCTCATCCAACGTCGGCTGCGTTCGCGGCATCGAGTCAAACGACGTGAACGGAGGCAACGGAGAGTTCATGTCCGGAAGGTCGCTTCCGCAGCTGGATGCGGAATCGCTGAAGACAGAATCGGCGCTGTGAACTTCCCAGTTCTCTGCAATAGCCGGAAGTGGTGGGGTTGGCGAAGCAGAGAGGATCGATGAGCCAGAGCTAGAGTCTTGCCGCAGAGCCTGAAGTCGGTCATGGAAGCCATAGTGTTGGCCAGGATTGGTGGTGGGCGGACGCATGCCCATATGCTCTGGATTGGAGACGGTCCTTCTCCTCTTGCGGGGTTTGACGGGCTCATACTCGCAGCGCAGACCTCTCTCCAGACAGCGATCACAGGATGGGCGCTCTTCGTTGCACTTCTTCTTCTTCTCTTTGCTGTTGAGGGCATTAGCATCTTGGTGATCAAGACAACTTCGTCGATCATAGCTTACCAATGCACGCAACCTGTTCGGCAGCAAGACGTCTATGGTCAGCCTCTGCAGGATAGCCGTATTGACGGGCGAGGATGGCGAGGTGGGGTGCTTACCAGCTCGTGAGCGTCGCTTTGGGATCTTCGCAGGCACTGGCCTGTGGTACAGCAGCATGGCTGGCGGGGAGCAGTCCAACATGTACACGGTGATGACGGTGGAGGGGATCCTATGACAGGTCCCTCTTTCAAATGGGGGTGTGTTCGGTAGTAAATAAAAGTGAGAGGTATGATGTTCAAGACAATAGCGACAGCAGCAGACAAGGGACGACGGCCTTTTAACTCTAAACCGTTGATCGGTGCAGATGTTGACAACTTATCTTGCCTGATCAGTTTGATACAAAGGCTTGCAGGCTTAGACCGAAAGAGGGATTAGTGGCAGGAGTTATAGGCGCAGAATGTTTATGGGTTCTTAGTTTGGAATTGGCAGAAGCATGTCTTGCGGGGTGCAGGAACTGGCTGGGTACGGAGGTATTGTAACAAAGCGTGGTAGGGTGGTAAAGTAAGAAAGGCAGGATATTAATACCTGAGGGTGAAATAATCAGGTGAATCAAGAGACAAGCTCGAGGCACGTATGTGGGGCTTTGGGGCTTTGGAGCCTTGACGGAAAGAGGGATGTGCCGAGCTATAACGCTTCTAGCCCGTTCAGTTGGCCTGACTCTTGAGAAGGGGTGGAAGAGTGGAAGAGACCAGCAGGGGTCCTTGTTTAACTTGTTGCCGCCCGGTACCTCGTACCCTCTGACTACCACGACTACTACTGCTGTAGTACCATTTCATCATGCCGGATAATCGACCAACTGTCGTCTACACGTTTGAGCCGCAGCTGTTGCTTCCCCAGAGCCAGCACCAAATGAGGGGACACGCGGTGACGTGCAAATCTCCCCCTCGGCCTGAGTCCGTGGACGGTTCGAGTCGTTGCAACGGTGGACAGTGGGTTAATCTCAAGAGCTGGCGTTCGCTGGGGGGGCTAGCAGATTGCCCGGCTGAGAAGTGGATTCCTGTGGGGGAATGGGGAGAATAATTGGAGGGCAGAAAGGAGATGATCTTCATCAGTCCGCAATTCGTAAGAAAGCTTGAGGCTGGGTCGATGGCCCTAGGCTCTCACTAGAGACCAAGGCCAGTTCGTCAGTATCAGCGACGTGTATAGAGTTCTTTAGCTGCAATTAGAGCATCGGCAGGGACGTTAGAATCTGCTAAGATTCGCAGCTTTTGTCGATCGGTACTTCTCGGCTGCGCGGGCTACCGCACCCATGAGGAAAGGCGGGCAGGATCATCTCCCACTATTTCCTGCTAGCCCGCCTACTCCGCTTGATGCCTGCCCTCCGCCGCTCTGATAGGCTGCCAGCCATCTACCGGCACCTGCTCAGACACATGATCGGCGCCTTCTACAGATTTTCTAGAAGGCGTCTAGAAGGAGCGTGGAAAGGTGCTGACTCGAACCACCACGACCGACGGATCGTGGTGCAATGCGTGCCCCCCTGGAAAGTCACCGATAGCCAGTCGCTGGTCTTTGCAGGCTTGGATCCTTCGTGCGTGAGACACAATCCCTTTTCGAGCCTGAATAATGAGATACCTGGAACTGCCAAAGTCTGCAGGCTTCAGTAAAATTCCCCAATCTCCACCAAAATGACGGGCCTGCAGGCCCCCAACCAGACTCGAGGAAGGGTTCTCGTTTCGCATACTGATCAAAAATAGATGAAACACATTCGATTCGTCTCGAAATCTAATGCATGATGCAGCTAGGGCAGGGCAGCTGGATGAGCGTGGTAAGCCTCCTGGACGATGCCAGGAAGGAGCTCCGTTCTTTCATCTCGAATGCCTGAGACACTTCAAACGGGTCAGCCACGACCGCTGCTACGTGACCTATAGTGTTTCTCTATATAGACCTGAAACGCCTAAAGCCGCAGGCTAACTCGGCCTGGAAAGGCGGTCATCAGATGCTGAAGGTTTCACCCAAGCGAGGGGAGATGAGGCTAGAGATGGTCCAGGATCTGATTGGGGCATGCGAGAGCCCCTTCGAATGCCTCGCTGGGCACGTCACTGTTTCGATTGGGGTTTCGGCCAGCCCAAACTGTTTGGAGTATAGACCGGCTGATCTGTCGCTACAGCCGCGCAAACGGATGGCCGTAGAACGAGCGAAGAAGCTGCTAGGAAGACCCATTGGACCCAACTTGATGTTGATCCCAAAAGGACCAAGAGACTCTCCAATTTCCATGGCTTCTCGGCTCCACGCATCTTGCAGCTGTAAGATCCAGGCTTGCTGGTCCTCGTCGCCACTCGCCATTCGACCATAAATTACCTCATCTGTGGTGTTCAGTGCGCTGCGCCAGTAAGTGCCTGCGTCTCGTGCTAATATTGCGCACTCGGATATGGGGGAAAGGGTTCGTGAGTCCTCGTACGACAGCTCCTCCTACATATTGGTCTAGCGGAAAACGAATGTGGATTGGACATATTCTGGGATCAAGTGCTTGCCGGGCTCAATACGAGAATAATGTCTGCTGGCACTCAAAAAGTTGACTGATGTGTGTATCTGACCGTTCTCCTTGTCATAATCCGCCTGCCTTCTTTGGGTGTTGAACTATGCGCTCTTCATCCAAGACAATCATTGGCAATTAATTCCCTCACTGTGATAATACTTCAGATCTCCCTCTTGCATTATCTAGGGACGACCTCTGGTGGCTCTTGCAAGAAACTTCAAGCGCGGCAATGAAAGGCTGTTGTCGAACGACGAGAGCTTTCGCACCATCTCGATGCGACCCAGAAAAGTCTCCTAGAGAGCCACCGGTGTCCGTTATGGTGTGAACCACTCGGCTCCAGCTGAGGCCCAGGCTCGCTTTCTTTGGCACTAGATAAGATATCGCTAACTTCCTGTTGAGTGTTGCCAACTATAACATCGGTTATGAGTCAAGTTTCAGTCGCGACCAGCCAGACAATTTGGCGAACTTTCTGAAAAACTGCCTGATGGCCAGATTAGGTGTCAAAGCTTCGGTAAGCCCTTTTTTGGGTCATGTACCCCAGACATTGTTTCAGAAACGCACGGAACTACGTGAGGGCGTGGAGACGTTTGAGATCTGAGTCAATCAGTCGTGATTACTAGATTCAGACCTATTTTCGCCCCCGCTACTTCTCCGGACGTTACCTCGTGGACGAAAGGACGATCTCAATGCCATCATGATGTATCACTCAGGGGGCAGGCCAAAGAGTCCCTAACATGCCGTGTGCAGCAGAACCGAAAGAAATAGGTCACTTGGCTTGTGTTGTGATGTAAATTCACGGCACACATCCCTCAACATGAATGGCTAAATTGTCTTCATGCAGAGAGCTTTGTGAGTCAGCTTAGCACCCTTACTCCCTTGTCCTCACAATGTGACTATGTTGAGCAATCCGCATTGTCAGCCCACTCTAACGAATTACATAACAGTCCGTGGACTCTGTCTCGAGTACTGTCAGGCTGTAAAATACAATGTGTTTTGTTCTTACCTTGCAACCAGTACATATATGCGATGGCAGCATCGTGCGTCGCTTTCGATAAGAACGGGAGCCATGAACAAATTCTCCATTAGCTTCTCCGCAGTTCGGAGGCTCCCCGAGCAAAGTATGCATAGGAGCGCTTAGGCATGAACGAGGCGTTGGGAGCCAGACAGGGTCATTGACGCTTAGATGACCACTTGCTTCGTGAATGGCTAGAGATCCCTCTTTTTGTCCGGAACCTGTGGCGAACATCGCACCATTTTGACCAACATGTCGCATAGCGGGTCTTCAATGAATACAATCAACAATGATGCCCCAGACCGCTGTAGATTGTTCCATTATAACATCCGAAACATCACTACTCAAGAGGTTGAGGCATTTTTTCGACGTCATGCCTGACAGCCTGGACTATTTGCTCAGATCGAATGCTTGAAGCGAGGACAGACTGAGAATCCGGGGTCAGTAGCATCCCCGCTTCTAGACATGGTGAGGTAGGTATATGCTTTGTCGAAGCAATTCATCTCTTTTTGGTAGAGTGCCAGACTCTACCACTCGCTCCTCCTTCACGCATTTTGGGTCTTGACTTCATGCCACTCCTTCATTTGCTTTTGTTTGGGAAATCGAAAAATGACATGGCAAGCCTTAAAATTTCATTTCACCCTCCTATACAGCATAATTGAATGAGTCTGAAATCAACGCACGCAGCACGTTACCAAGTCTCGTGTACACCGAGATCTTGCGAGATTGACATCGAATTCCAATGCTTCGCTGATATATCAGGCCGATCGAGAGAAAGACCGCGAATTCCCAATATATCGAGTCGATCATGCAGATTGAAACAGCATTTCGAGGCACGGCATTACAAGCGTTTCCAAGGCCGTCTTGATATTACCAGCTGAGAGGTAGCACTAAGCCGCAAGAGTCAATATTGAAAGAGCCAAAAGCACAAATATTGGTCTAGGGAAGTCGAGTCGCTTGGCACAATGCTTCAATTAGCATCATTACCATCTGTTTTCAAACATTCGTTGCAATTGCGTCTCGCTGCGCACTTTCATCCAATGTTGTCCCAACATCTGCAAATGAAGCCAGCCGACGCGCTCTGGTACTCTTGATCATCAGTACAATACTCTTGACAATGTGAATTTCGAAAAACCTTTCCGCTACATACAAAGTGGTATCTCCAAACGATTAACGCTCACACTTACGCTCACAAATTTTCACAAGCTCATGTCCTCGCGTCAAGAAATATACATTGATCTGCTTCTGCACCTTTAATCTACCAGGATTTCTTGTAATTCGCTCTCATCAGTGCTCATTTGCGGATCATCGTCTGCTGTATCAGTCTTTGGCTCTGAGGAAGATACCTCCGGCGGAACGACGGCACTGCCTGCCGACTTTGATAAAGCCGAGTCCGTGACTGCGATACTTGACGATATCGTGCTCGAGGCGGGGTCTGTTCCCACGTGTGCTACAGCGGGCGGAATATTGATTGTCGGCACCGAGCTGACAGAAGCTAGAGGTCTGCGCGAATCTGACGATACTGATCCTGGTCCACGTAAGGCCAGGAGCAAGGCAATCATGCTCAGAAACAGGATCGCTAGATTTTTCCTGTCTTGAGCGGCAACAATTACAAACTTCTTTGAAAGGTCCCACAGCGGAACTTTAGCGTGACCCCCGCTTGCTGGTGTTGATTGCCGCCGATGTGGTGCTGCTCTCCTGTCAGCAGAGTCTGTATCCTCTGTGAAGCCGTCAAAATGCTCCTGTGGATTCTGTCCATATATTTCCCGCAGTCTCTCATCATCTAGACTACCGACACCGTCGTCATCTTCCCTGAGGTTGCGCTCATCCCTCTGCCTGACTTCTTCTTCTCTCCTCAGCTCCAGCTCTCGTTTTGTATTTTCTTCCATCCAAGGGAGGATCTCGACGTCCACTCTCTCCATCTCTCTCCACGCCGCACCCCAAGCCCCAGCTCTCATCAAGCCATTTGCCGCGAAGATCTTAATGTCCCATCTCCTACTACCCGTCCCAGCATCGCCAAATCGGCCATCTCTGATCTGCCGCCCGCAATCATCACACCTATCTACATCCTCAGCGTCCAATTCCTCGGCGTCGACATCGTTGTCCGAGATATCAGCTTCCTCCTCTGGGGAGAGCCGAAAATGCCCACATTTGAGAATGCGCGGCTGTCTCAATTCGAGCGCCTCCAGAAGCCTCTCTTCGAGGAGGTCATAGTCCTCTCTTGGATGGGGAATCAAGACACCTCGCTCCACCACTGTCTCCGTGACCTTTTCTTGTATCTTTTTCCAATTCTCAAGGATCGGCGGAGGTAGTGTAGCTTCCAGCACGCCGGTAGAATACTGGCTTGGTAGTGGAAGTAGAGTAACATGTAACAGAACCAGTGGAAACTCTTTCTTCAACTTTTTTCCTGGGCTCAACTTAGAGGGTGTTCGCCTAGCGCTATGACGCGATCGAACGGAGTGGGGTGTCCCCTGACGAGAAGGTGTGTGGAGCTTTTGGTGTTGTATTGAAGATGGACTCTGTGGCGGCGTGACGTCGTTTTGCATCGCGCGCACTGACGATGGGTTTCGAAAGGGTGACCGCTGCTTTAAAGGTGTTGGCGGTGAGGAGCGGCGCTTCAGCGTAGCAAATGTGTCTTCGAATGCGCAAAAGTCTTCGCCAGACCCACTGGATGTGCGCGGCGAGCTATGCGGGGAGGGTACGTCGAAAACATTCTCCTCTGGGCCACTCGAATGGCGCGCTGAGCCAGAAAGGGAGACGGCGTCCTCAGCATATTCCTCATCGCCATGGAGGCGGGCAGGCTCCGGCGACGGAGATGGTGAGAGTGGATTGGATGTACCTAGATAGTCCCCAGGCCCAAACCTGGTTCTATGGTCCTGGTCCATACCCAGTGAATGCTTTGGAATGCTTAGGCAATGCAATTCACGATTTGCGCTTGAGTAAACAAAGAGTAGTTGCGACGAGCGACCGGAAAGGGCTGACCAATGAGAGTCTCTGGTCATTCTAAACGCCGATGAATTATGTCCGGGGATCGGCAAGAATCGGGCAAGTCGGGAAGCCAATAAAGAAAAGAAATTTGTTCTCACCCTTTCGCACCTACGAACAGAGCGATTACCTCGACCAGCAACCTCTACTCTATCCCTATACCCAGCTCGCATTTTCTACCATGTCTGCATCAGCCACTTCGTCGTCGACGGGGTCACAGAAGCTTGACGCAGTCGTGCAGCAGCAAGCCCCTGCGGCTTTAAAACCTGGCCCAAAAGGTCTCGATTTATACTCACGGTTTGCGCTCGCGGGTGCCGTCTGTTGCTCTGTTACTCATGGCGGACTCACACCTGTGGATGTGTGAGTGAATTGATGCATTCGATAGACATTGGGAGAATCTAATCCGGGGAAACAGCGTGAAGACAAGAATACAGCTTGATCCGGTAACATATAACAGGGGCATGATTGGCGGCTTCAGGCAGGTTATTGCCAATGAAGGCGCAGGTGCCCTCTTGACTGGCTTTGGTCCCACGGCAGCTGGGTATTTCCTTCAAGGCGCCTTCAAATTTGGAGGATATGAGCTCTTCAAGCAGCAGTTCATCAACTATCTTGGATACGAAACGGCATCAAACAACCGCACAGCAGTCTACCTGGGGTCTTCAGCTCTTGCAGAATTCTTCGCAGATATCGCACTTTGCCCGCTGGAAGCAACCAGGATTCGACTCGTGTCACAGCCAGAGTTCGCCAGTGGCCTCATCAGCGGATTTGGAAAGATCGCCTCACAAGAAGGTCTTGGAGCTTTCTATTCTGGCTTCGGACCAATTTTATTTAAACAGTATGCTAGCAATGATGGCGCCGATCAGCTTTGCATACTAATTGTGCTCGCAGAGTCCCATATACAATGGCCAAGTTCGTCGTGTACGAGAAGGTGGCAGAAGCAGTCTACCGACAAGTAGATAAATCACAGGCTTCAGATGGGACGCAGACAGTCATCAATCTAGGATCTGGTCTCATGGCCGGCTTTGCAGCTGCCCTTGTCTCCCAGCCAGCCGATACAATGCTAAGCAAGATCAATAAGACAAAAGGACTCCCAGGCGAGGGAACGACGAGTCGTCTGATCAAGATCGGCAAAGAACTTGGCCTTCGCGGCAGCTATACTGGCATTGGAGCAAGGTTATTCATGGTTGGCTTGTGAGTGAATTCACTTCATACAGAACCTGCTCTCTTCGAGCGTTCTCTGCATATGAATCGTGAGGTCCGGAAAGTCGCTAACTTTGCGATCCACTCAGATTGACAGCTGGACAATTTGGTATATATGGCAGCATCAAGAAACAGCTCGGTGAGTAAATATCACTCTATGAGTAAGGAAGCTTGCTAAGTCTCAAAGGTGCCACGGGTGGCGTTGAAATAAGCAAGTGAGAAGGCAACGTGTCAATTATACCCACAGAACGGATTTGGCGTTAGGTAGAGCATGCGCAGTATCTGTGACGCTGATAGACCCCAACGTCGTTACGTCCACGACATTGCGATATCGTTTGACTTGCGGCGCATACTCTCAAACTGATACGAGTCTAAAGACAGCACTGCTTTTGTCGATGGAGGCAAAGAACAGTGTCTGTCAGCTCTGACCCACCCTAATAATACGGTAACTTCCATTCAAACTTTTTTTTCTAATTCTGATGGGCTTTCCTTTATCGTATATAACATCTCTATCCTCGAGCTGTGTATGTCCTCAATTTCTATTGCGTACAAATATTGCCACAGAACAAGGTCATGTCAGAACATGTCAGTGTCTATCTTAATACAGCCAATTAATTCACATGGTCTGCTTGATTATAGCTCCTGGGTGCATCTTGCCGTCTTCTTTGGCTGCCTGCCTCTTCCAGTGTTCAAGTTCCATACTTCCTTATTGAAATAATGTTGCCTTTCCTTTCGAGCCTAGTCTTTGTGATAGCTGATAATTCTGATTCGTTTGACCGCATCAGGGTTTCAGAAGCGTACGCAGATTGAACGGCGAGACTCATTCTCGCCTGCCTAGAATCTTCTCACACCGGTCGGTCGCTTGTATATCACAAACGCCAAACTACGGTGCCAGAGCCTCTTTTAGCAGGTGTTCATGGTAAGTGTGACGTTGGCGTCAGTAGCGTGAATTGCTTGCTGCCAACATCAGCCTCTCGGAAGAACGTTTCACGCCATTTCGATGCCGCTTATTCGAAGTATCTTGCCATTATGCACGACAAACTCGGTAGTTTCAAATTACCTGCATTGCTGTTGGTGAATAGCAAGTGACCCCAGCCGTCACAGAGAACGCTTATTGAAGCAAGCTTGTGCTTTGCAGGAGCCATTCGATCCCTGCTGCTGTTGAAGCATTCCTTTTTCAGTAATATCCGCGCATGCCGTGTGAGTGATGACAAGACTGCGCCACCGTGACAAGGGATCTTCAAGAAAATTGAAGGTTGAATATGTCGCTATAAAGCGCCTGTTGCTTCTTGGCTATACTTGACTAAAGAGTAAAACTCATGAAGCGACAAGTCATGCTCGGAGGAATTTGGCGGTCAATGCTTTTGTGGATATGTGGCTTTTGTGCCAGCAATGTCGTTAAGGTACATGCACAAGACCGGACGATTTATGGTCAGAAAGCGTACCATAATGGACCCTACTGGATTCTAGGTACATTTTCAGCCGCACAGCCAATAGCCCGGCTGTGGTTGAGTCCTCTCCTGAGACATTTGTCTGATACTCGTGACACGCCTTAGGATGTGACTGGCAATTGGGCCCCAAACTCGCTCAGCTACTTGCGCAAACAGGAAAATATCTTGAGCAACAAGTCATTCCAGACGCAAATGACAATGGCGGTAATTCAATCTATGGATTCAAAGAAATGTTCGGCAACATTCCAGGTACTACTATTGCGGACATCTTTCAAGATGTTGATGAAGGTGTGACCGAAACGTGGGATGCAAGGACTGTGAGAAGGCCAAATATCGTCTGTGTTCGAGAAGACGTCACGGAAATCGCAGCAGCCTGGAATCATTGCAAGGCTGGATTAACAACAGGAATGACAGCCGATGGCGCCCAAGACATTTATCTTTGCCCAAGGTCAAGATGCAAAGGCATTGGTATAATCAAGCTGATCAGCGTCGCAGATTTTGGGACGCCACGTATCCAGATTTTCCGGCCCCATCCAATTGCCCAGCTCTGAACGTCGATGGCACTGATTTTGCGGACCAGGATTGTATCAACAATAATTGCACTGACGGACACCTAAAAATCAATGGCAACAAATGGTCCACGATCATTCACGAGCTCATGGTCAGTGGATATCCGAGACAATGTCTTCGTCAAGATTACAGCTGATCCTTGAATTTGCTCTAGCACAAATATACACCTAGTTGGCAGACCAATGAGAAATACAGATATATCGATGTCGTTACGGGTGGGCCAGACTTCCAACTCAACAATCCTAGAAATTATGAATATTACGCCAACTGTAAGCTTTCACTTCTTCTTAAGGATGAAAAGCCATTAACAACATGCAGTCGTACTTGCGAAATGTACCAAATTCCCCAAAGGACCTCAATACACCCGCCCATCAAGACGCCTGAATCGACGCATAACATTTTCAAACAATAACTGGCCAGACTTAGAGGTTGACGAGGAAGAGATTTTTGTCCCTGATGAGAAGCTGATAGATGCGGAAAATCAGGCTCGTGTTATACTAGCCGCGATCAACGGCGAGGGAAATCAAGTAAACACTTAGCGATCAAGTATCCTGTTATTCGAACCAAACCTTAGGCAGTCCACTAGCGATCATATCTGATAATCTTTCGAGACAGTGCCAAGCCTGGAAGTCGTTGATCTATGTGTTGCTAGTGAGAATCTAGTCCGAATATGCCGGCTGAGTGAGCATGGTACAAGAATAATGAAAGCAATGGAGATGAAACCTCGACGTTTGGCAGCCAGTCCTTGAAAAAGACTTGTTTGTGCACTCTGGAAAGCTATGAGACTGGCAAAGAGATTCATAACAATTAAGAACCGCACTCCCAATATTTGCTAGATCATAATCAGAGTCATCTCAAATGATGTCAATCGTAAGGAAGTCACGCCAAAGGTCAGAATAACTACGCAATGGCCGTCTCTTGCCTGGGTGACTTCCAAGAGGTCTCGCCGCTAGTCTCTGACTTTAATTCATGAGATACTCGTCTCGAAGGGGGGCTACAAGTATTTCGCACCATCACAGCTGCACTTTACTGAGCTGATGTCGTGTGAAAAACAGATGAAGCTGATCATCTAGCCATTCCACATCCTTCTTGCTGTCTCCTGGACCACCTGCCCAATGTCCCCAAACGCTTGGGAAAACACCGAGTTGGCCTATACCAGCGCTCATGCTCGAGACCTCATATTCAGAGTCTTCGGGTCTTGTCAAGTGGTCAGTAATAATGACATAAAATCATGAGGTCTGGCAAACATACGGGAAATAGAGGTCTGTCTTGCATGGGAGCACGAGCGTTTTTGCCTTTATACTTCGCATGGCCTTCTCAAAGTCTCCATCATATGGCTCTTGGCTGGAGCAATCTCCTGCCTGCCAAGTCTGGAGCATCACGAGCATGTTCTCAGGATCTACTTCCTGTCAGCAACTGGTCACAATGGCAAATGCGTAACATGACCTTTTGAGCAAGCCCACTTCTCCCAGAACCCCACCATAAACGACTCCAGATCTGGAAAACCGAAATGCTTCTCGTGCAATTTCTCCCTGTAGAAAGCTTGGCTGAAGCCCCTGCGACGCAGACTTAGTTTTGCTTCTTTCCATGGGTAAGGTCTTTGGCTTGCCATCCTGCATAAACCCGGCCGAGCGCTCTCAACCCTATCTCCTTTTCCTTCTCAGTCCACGATCGACTAGTCTCGCTACCTTTTGCCATGACACCGCCGCCATCTACACCCTTTGCGGCCAACAGAGCGCTTTTTACACCTTCTAAGAAGACTTGATTATGTAGACTCGTCCTTGCACTTCCGCAAAACGGAATCGCTAGATCCATGAAGTCAGGATACTGAGTGATCCATTGGTACGTTTGGCCGGCGCCCATCGACCATCCAATCACGCAATACAAATGCTTGATGGCTAGATGTTCGGTGACTAGTTTGTACTGGGCTCTCACATTGTCATAGAACGATATTTCAGGAAATAATTTAGAAGACGATGTATTGGATGGCGAAGTAGATTGGCCATTTCCAAAGAGGGCGGGAATGATGATGAAATACTGTCTCATTATTTCTCATATCACAATAGCTGACTCAAATACACTTACTTTAGCAGGGTTCAAAGTTCTTTCGTCGCCAATTAGCCAAACGTTGTCAGAGATCGCTTTACAGAATTATCAACACGGGTTCTCACACCCAACTAGGAGCGACGATACTGACAACCTGAATACCATGTGGGATATACAATAGCAGGATTCTTCGGATCACCAAAAGTCTGATAGGCTAGATGGGCATTGGAGAGGGTTCCTCCATGCTGGAGGGTCCAATCTCCCAGCTGGAAGGTCTTGAACTCGGGGGATGAAGAATCGGTCATGTTCACCGGTGGGTACAAATTTGAGAAGCGAACTTACAATTTTGAGCACGATGTCAATACATGTACACTATGTTGGTGATGACGTTAACGCTTTCTACTTCCTGCCGGATTATCTGTCTTATAAGCCGAACGACAAGTTTTTGATTCTGGAACTCTGGTTTATAAGCTGGCTCTTTGACTTTTTGACACCGTCGTATAGGCTGACACTGTTGTATTCAAAGTGCTGGCTTATATGACAGATAACCCGGTATCTAGGCTTGAGGGGTCACTGCTCCACCAAGCTCGGCGTCTCCCGCATCAACCGCCCGGACACATGGACTCGTCAGCCTCACGCCATGGCCACTGCTGCTGTCAACATGACATTGCATGCATCTGAGACGAGTTATGTACAGAATTGTACGAAAAGCAGTCTCAATTACAGAGGCTAGGTAACAGGTGGCTGGTATGCTACGAGCGGCAACATCGCCGGCAATGTCGAGATGACGTATCCACTGCTCCGCGGGGCTCTCCTGCGATAAAAGAAGCTTGATGTCGACGAATTGAAGGATCCTAAGCATACCTTTGCTTCTCCACATCAACATCAAGAGGGCAACCCCTGAAACACTGTTCAATTGGCCATATCAACCCGCTGCGATCCGTACAAATGCCCGTCCAGAACTTCTCAGATTTCGAGCAGCGAGCCCAAGACCCCTCACACAAAGCCACTGGTACAGCCGAAGAACAGAAGCACCCGCAAAAGAGCGACAGTGAGCAACATGTAGGGCGCAACCCGCACCCTGATTTCAGCAAAGTCCAAGCTTCGCGCCCGGACTGGAACGAAGACTCCAAATTCCACTTCACCAAGACCCGAAATCCGACGTGGTCCCTCGGCGACGGCGCCAACGACAATGGGGAGAGCCTACAGCATAAGCATGTCGAGATCGACCCCTATGAGGAAGGTCGTCCCGCCGTCTTCAACTACAAGCTCCTCATCAGCGGCATCATTCCCCGCCCAATTGGCTTCGTGTCCACGTGCAGCGCTGATGGTATGCCCCTCTTCCATTCTCGCGCCCATACCCGTTCCCTAATCCCCTTCTCCTCTATCCACCCCACCCACTGACACAGCCTGCTCTCCAGGCACATCCACAAACCTCGCCCCTTTCTCCTACACCCAAGTAATCAATCACGACCCGCCGCTCTTCATCATCGGTTTCGCCGGCGGCTTCTCCAACGCCAAAGACACCCTCCGCAACCTTTCCTCCCAGAAAGAGTGCACCATCAACATCATCAGCGAGCACTATATCGAAGCTGCGAACGCGTGCTCGATCGACTGTCCCTATGGTGTGAGCGAATGGTCGCTCTCCGGCCTCACACCCGCTCCGTCCGCTATCGTGAAACCGAGTAGGGTGAAGGAGGCCGTTTTCACTGTGGAGGCGACGTTGGTGTCGACGCAGGAATTCGAGAGTAAGGCGACGAAGGGGAAGAAGACGGGGGTATTGGCTATTGTGGAGGGCGTGCGGTTTTGGGTCAGGGAGGATGCGACGAATGAGGAGAGGAATTTGATTGATCCGGGGGTGTTGAGGCCGATGAGTCGATTGGGAGGGATTATGTATGGGAGAACTGTGGAGGGGGTGGAGATTCCGAGGCCTGTCTTTAAGGAGAAGGAGAAAGCGGGCGAGACGGGTGGATTGGTGAAGGGAAAAGCCGAAGGGCAGTGAGTAGACTTGGAAGAGAGGATGGGTGTGGTGGTCCGGAGCTCGTGAGCTCCTGTAAATGGTAATTTATTTTGAGAGCTATGTACATGTGGCACTTTATGCACCTCGTCGACTTGTAGTAGCTAGATTTGTGACACAGTTACTAGAAGGGGATTCCGTAAGTGTAGCCGAGCAGATAGGAAACAAGAGATTGGGACCTTACAGCCTCGTCAGTATTGATTTCTACACCTGCATGCAAACTGATGCCCGGGATAGGCTGCGGTATTGCTCGTACTCGAGAGGGTGAGGATAAGCTAATGCTGAGAATTAGTACAGCTGCATTTAGACTACCATTGTGATTCGCATGGCGATCTGGAATGCGCTTGGGCTGTTCGTATTCTTTCGCGTACGGTAATGCTTGGGCGTGGTTCGTCAGCATGCGTGGTGGCTGTCAGGGTTTTACATTTGGGGCGTGACAATCTTGTACTTGTCTCAATAGCAGCAGTCGCACTGTGACTGGCAGTCCTATGTAGGCATGGCCTCGGTATGTCGCGGTCGTTTACTCCCGTCCTGGCTGGTGAATGATTCCTGCAACGACGGCAAATGGTCAGCATCTCATGTTGTCACTGAGCTTACCTGAGCATCTGCAATCTGCTAGCCGGACGAGCTATGAGTTCTTGAGGCCACTTGATTAGACATACCTCCATACTGCTGGCATCGTGGCCTCGTTTCTTCACCGTGGTTTTCTTCTTTGGTTTTTCGGGTCTTGATTCTCCTGTAGAAAAGACATCCAGCGGGAGGTCATGGCTAGCGACCACATATGAGCAGATATCCGGGATTTTTGAGCATCAGCAACTTACTTCCGAATGTGGGATATATGCAAGGCGTTCAATTTTTCGTCATAATTCGGCCACGAAGTACATATTTCCTTAAATGTCTTAGACTGATGTGAAATGTCAAGTCGCTTCGTACCATCTAGAGCTAGGGTTAGTGTTTACAACGCGATACCACCTAGCTTCATACCTGCAGATAATGCAATGCCAATATAGTAGGTTGTAGTGTACATGTTCAAGTTTTGGGTGTGGTCATTCAGCGTCTGAGAGTCTCCATTGGGGATCGTTATGCTTTCGTTGTCGCCTTGGGCCACTGCGCCATGCTTTGGGTCATTAATAGCGTCTGTCGTTTCAGTCTGTACATCTTTAGCTTGAAATTGTAAACCACCAGCTATCACACAATCAACATCATTCTCATTCTTGCAGTGGTGGACGCGACTAAAGCCTTTGTTGAAAGGCCTAGCAACACCTATGGATGGTTCGTTGTCGAGATTCTGAACAAGGAGTCGTATTTTCGATTCAACCAGGCCAGACCACACCTGCTGTGCTCCCTCCGTTCGGCTCGCAGCATTAATACTTAAGTAGTATTTGTAATCTTGAGTGAAGAAGCTGTGCTTGGCGAATAGATCTTCCCACTGTGCTTGGCCAACATAAATCTTGTCTGTAATATCTCCCGCTCGTTCCCACTCTTTCTCGATGACTTTCTTTGTTGACATTGTGATATTGTGAGTAGCACACATCGAAGGATAGGCGGGGGTGATGATGGGCATCAGATGCCACTTATCTCCCGAATAAATCTTGGGGTTCCACACGCGAACTTGCAGTGGACCATCTTCTATAGCCTTCAGAAGCACCGGTTGAGGCCATTTCCATTGACGCATTATACGAAAGAATTTACCAATGACAACAGATCCAGTCGCTTTGGGGTACAATTGACACACTCTTGCAACCATCATTGCCCATGCGACACCCCCAGGAAATCCTATCACGTTGGCGTAAATGGCACGTCGCTGTGCCCACAGTTTGATGCCACGTAAAGCGGTCCGAAACGTCTTCGGTTGAGGGACGAGGTCAAGAATTTCATCCGTGACTCTAACGCCGTTCAGAGAACGCATGTCCCTTTCTTCTAGTCCGCGAAGTATATTGGTATCCTTGAGAGTAAGTGAGAGCGAAACAGACGAAAGGGCAAGGCGGGCGAAGATGAGATCGATGCTAATGCCAGAGAGCTCGAGCTTGATGATAGGAACGAAGGCGTCGGGGACGGGCGTCATTTCCTTCACTGCGCCTGGTGGGGCCATGCGCTCGAGTGTGGGAGGGAAATGCTCGAAAAAGTCCTCTCGAGTTACATGCTTCGGAACGACGACAAGTGTATCTATATCTGAACCTGGACCGTAGACGCCTAATCTGTAGCTGCCATAAGTGAAGATTTTACCGCCCGCAGCTTCCACCGTAGACTGTGGAAGATTCTTAAGTCGGCTCACACGCCTCACAAACTCTGTAGTAATTCTCTGTATCAATTGCAGGGTGACCTTCCTAATACGATAAATTAGCAAGCTGTAGGAACAAAACGATGACGAGTCTGACCTGCTCTCCGTCTCTTCCGGGGTTTCAAAGTTGTTCTGCTTCTTCAGCTCACTTATAAGAGCATCATTGGCAGCTAGCTCGGCAGGGACAGGCATCGCCGTGGAGATAGGAGGCGTTGTACCATATCGCTTTTCTGGTGCAGCGGCCATGGTGAGCGAAAAAGGGCGCACGACTATGTCCAATGGGGTCGTTCTGAATGTAGCAATGTTCGATTGGGTATCAAGCCCACGAGGTTCAGCCCATCGCGCATTGCTGGGTCTCCATTAGGTGGCAAAGTCAGGTACCTCCATTATGGGTCGCTGGCACGGTCAGGCGCGGTGTTCATGTCAGTGAAACATGAATCAGTGTCGGTGCCCTAGAAAATAGGGCGCCCGCTGTCGACCATGCGGTCCCAGGAACGCGCGGATATGATGAATAATACGCACTGAGCTGGCTCACCGCGCCATCGACTTTACCGCACAGTTTTAGCGTTGGCCTCCCCAAAGGCGCCCTACACGCAAGAAGAAATAAAACTTTCAAAGACGCGGAATAAAGGCGCTTTTACTTCAATACAAATTTGAGTCTCGTTGGCAGTGATCGTTGAAGGGTGACTAACAGTTTACAGCCTAGCTTGCGGTCGTCCAACAGTGACTATCAAGGATTACAAGTCATGATATTCACGGCATCATGCCCTCACACCAAAGGTCTTCCAAGAATTAAGGAGAACACTATGGTAATAAGGAGGATGATAAGTCAGTTGTGTTGCATCTCGTGCCTTTTGCTCTTTTCCAGTACGCGTTCAAATCGTTCACGAGTGCCAGTGTTGCACCTTATTCAATGCCAATAACGGCAGACGAATTAGAACTAGCCCTCGATTGAGTGAATGTGACCTGTCATAACCTTGGCTGTGAGATAACTTTGTGCTGCAGATCAATTCCGAGCTCAGACCAATTGGGTATCCAAGGGTCCGTCTCGGCACAATTGGTTGAGTCTCTTGCTTCAGCTTGACATAGGATACACGCGATATCTTGTCTAATACTTACGGCCTAAGCACATTGGTGCATAGGGAAGGGGATAGCTGGATGATACACATAGGGTGGAATGCAAACCTCACCCCAAACTGGATGTACAAGGTTCGCCAGCCTTCATGCATTCGCGACCCAACAACGGGGCTTCATCGTCATTGGATTCTCGAACGCCTAAAAGCTAGGGCGGTCGTCCCTGCAGAAATATTATCGCTTCTATCTCACCCAATGTCGCCCAGCAGTCTGTTCAAATGGCTGCAAATTATGAAAACTGCCCACCTGACGATCCTCCACAGCTGACGGCAAGACCGTTTTTTCTTTTGCTGGAAGCGGGTAGGAGACGTACTAAAGACCATGTCTACATGGTACATGCGTTCACTAGACTGACAGGCGTTGCGAGTTCTATATCAGCCTAGAAGCAGCTATGAGCACTCTCACCCTTGGAAGGGGATCCGATTGCTTGCCGGAATGTAGGTCCTGCTCAGCCGTCGTCTTAGCTCTCATGGGAACAGATCATCCATGCCTCGCTCCCAATTGATGGTCGACCCGGAATGTCACGCTACTGACGTGGTCGAAAAAGCCTTTCATTTCGCTCACTTTAGCCCCAGCTTTCATGCCCCTAGCTGCGAATGTTATGACTTTATACCCTTATCCGGTGCCACTGAAAGGGACATGATTCTAGTGACCTTCTCTTTCAGTATGCTGACAGATGAATCAGCCATGGATGCACTCGTGTTCGCTCCTAATAGTGTTTAAGCCCAAACCTGTATGAGGCCCATTCGTCCGTCACTACTCTGTGGCGTGTGAACGTTGAGTTTGATCATGCCGGGATCGGGGAATAGCACCTGTATGCAGCAGTCTATGGTGGTGACCCTGGGATTTTGGCAACGAGTCCGTCGCGCTGGGCGCGTCCACACTTGTCAAGGTAGGCGAATCTTGCGCCTGCATCAATCATGTGCCTAATGTACTCCGTCGATTGGCTATCCAGGCACAAATACTATCATTTTTCGTATGGTGGTTTGTCTTTATCCTGTCTGCTCATTTCGGTCCAGAACAAACGCCGTGCTACCCTTGACTCTTATCTGTATCGTAGGATCAGATGTGAGACCCGAAGTTCGTCTCTTGGTGAGTTCTTCGATGGTGGCCGGAGAGGAGACCCGGAGAAGCAAGACAAAATTGCCCTAGAAGCTGATTCGAGAGTGACTATCAACACCTGCTCCTCAAATACTGAATTTTTGGGCATTGTGGTTATTTCTGCTAGTACTCCTAGTTGTCAAAAGTCTGGAGAAAGTCTACCCACGAGGTAAGGTGTCTGAGGTAGGATCATTTCGATTCTCAAGTTGAAAAATTTCGGGGGTGAAAACCAGAACGATACCTGTTTAGTCATTCGTGTCCACCGGCCGCACGATGTCTAAGCCGGGGAAAGGCTTCAGTCTAGACCGGCGGAACAGCAAGTCACTCGCTGGCGCTGGGCCCTGACTAAGAAATTGGGGGGCTTGCGTTCCTCGATCTGGGATTTGTTGATAGCATCCAATGCTCATTCACTCCAAGAGCCGGCTACCGAGGACGCAGTCTCCTAGCTTATCTACATGACAGGAAACTTCGAAAGTCCTTGCTGATTACCGATGCATGGGACAATCACCAGACTGTAGCATGGTGGTAGGGCCTTTCCGGGCCAATCGCAGTTACTCAAATCACCCGCACGCTCAACACGCCCTCACATTAATAGCACAGACGCCACCAAACACAAATTACACCATTGATCTACAGCTATTGACGTCTCCCCTCTGAACTCTGAGAGACTATAATAGAAACCAGATGATATCAAATCTTGCCTCAAGAGTCTATTGGTGCGATCAGCTTTGCAAGTGCTTTCTACACAAATCACTGAGCCCGGCCAAGAGAATGGACGATCTTAGTAGCCTTCGACTCCTGTCTCGCGGGATTGGGCTTGAAGCTTCGGTCCGAAGCGTGGTTGTCTCGGTGACTATTATTATGGAGAAGTGTGTAACTATGGCTTGACCTACTGTTGAGTCTTGCTAGCTTTGCTGCGAGCGGCTACCAAATGCTTCGGTACCCACAGGGTGGCTTTTGGTCCACAAATGGTCATATCAGCGGGTGGTTGATGCATGGCTGCTTGAGAAAAGTCTAGCCCTGATGTGGGGAAGCACGCAACGCACTTAACAGTGTTCTATTGTTATCCATGGAATTAAAGTAACGCTTCTCTCTAGGTGAACGGACCAACGAAGCATTGTACTAAAGCAGATAAGGGGCCAGAATCAAGGATGTCATTACCTTTCTCGAAATCCTTGCGAAGCCTTCGCACACTAGGCCTGCATCCACCTGTACTATGCAAAGTACGGTTTCCCTAGCACAGGCATTTGGCAAGGCTAGACTATCCCACACCCTCCAAGCTATCATCCCCACCTCCTAGGAAATGTGCCCCTTTTCTAGCAGAAGGGTCTGGTCTCATCATTCCGTATTCCTTTAGCCCTTTGAACAATATAAAAACAGGTCGTGAACGCGTTATTTCCTTCGTTCTTCAATTCAACTTCCATCAAAACATTCCGCTAAGCTGGGACCCCCTTTATCACTCACGTTCGATAAAATTTCGTAAGTGACTGTGCATACGAGACTCGACCGTACAGGAGAACTGATACATACAGTTTGACACAAGCACTATGACTGCCCGCCAAGTCGGCAAAGTGAAATGGTTCAATGACGAGATGGGCTACGGCTTCATCACACCTGATAAAGGGGAGGACCTCTTTGTGCATTACCGTGCTATACAGGCTGCGGGATTTAAAAGCTTGACGGAAGGGCAGAGAGTCAGTTTCGTTGTAGTTCAAGGCCAAAGGGGTATGCAGGCGGATGGAGTACAGGCCAGTGGCTAGTTACAACGGACGTCGAAGCTAGAGCTAAACGAAAAACAGCGGGTTGGCAAAGGCAATCATGTCTTTCCGGGGGAGCAAATCGATGATAGTACTCTGTTGCGAATTGTCGTGGATTGCTGAGCGTGGCCTTCTCAATCGATGGGTGGTGGGTGTGAGGTCTAAAAAATATAAAGCTAGATGTCTACCTACATACATAATCAAGCCACTGATGACACCGCCAAAGCTACTCTGCCGGATAGATGCTATACGAGAAACTGCATCTGTGCGTACGCGTGTCGTCTGTCAAGTCTATATGGTAATTGCGACGGAGCTAGCCAGTGCCCAGAGAAGGTAGAGCTAAAGATCTAGACAGTTACCCTCCTCCCTCCCGAAGAACTACCTACAGCGTTGCAGAATAACCGCCCGGATCAGCTTCCGAAGAGATTGTTCATAGTATCCCAGTTCATGACTGCCCTCCAAGTCCGTCATGAGGTCGATGATTGCCAGAGTGAGCCTGGATTCATGCAGACCTATCTAATGCAAGAGTCTCCGGATGAAGATCTTTGCCTGTTCGATGCCTCGCTTCTCCCAAGGGTCTCAGAGCTCCTGACTGGATAATTGCCCACAAAACGTGGCTGTCATCCATCTACGCGGTAGGTAGGTATGCGTTCCCATGATACATGCACAAGCACGCTGAGATTATCTGTAGCGAAATCATTTGCGGTTTTTCGAGTCCTCAACAGCTCCTAGCTCTGCCCCCCGAAATGGCTTGAGTCCCGAAGATAGCCCCCGTTCGACCGATAGTTCCATATTAGACTTGCTCGACTTTGGAAGTCATTGTGTTTCCGGTGAAGACGTCATAAGACATATGCACAGAAAGAGAATGGAAACAGACTCATCAGTTGAGGTCGTAGGCGTGCACTCGCAACAACCAATCCTCGAGGCTTCAGGCTTCAGACTCCAGACAGAGTCTATGCAAAGTATTAACGCCATGCAAAGTGACATTTGCTGGAAGCCGTTGAGGACAGAGCAAGTGCGAGAGCGACAGGGCGATTCCTCAACAAAATAGGAATCAAAGGCTTGGCAAGTAGAACTGGGCGGCATTGATATTTCAAAGCATCTGTCATGAAGTAACTCTGGCGAACGGGGACCCAGACTGGTGCCTTCCCAACAAGCCTCCAGCGAGATTCGAAACCTTTGTCCTCAAGTCAATGCAAGCAGAGCTCAGATTCGATGGGATTGATATATCCAAAATATAGAGCGAAGAGCACACTTTCGCCTGCAAACCACGAACCGACGTTGGAATTGCCTAACCGGTCATAATGCCTCTGTCCCAAACGACAATTTCCGAACCAATGGTACCTTGCGACGGGAACCCCAATCGCCCAATGGCTTGAAACCGAGACCACGCAAAGCCCTTCGCCATGGCGTCGCTCAGCTCTGACGGACTGAAGTCTCCAGGTAAAGGCCACGGCACCGCAAACAAGAGCAATAAGAGAATAATGGGTGGCGGGCAGAACCTTTCTACTCGACCCTCTCAGCCCCTCAGGATCGCTTAGGGAGCCACCGGGAGCGGTTTAAGCATCGAACAGCTCGTGATAGAGTTCAAGCCCGAAGCACCGGTAAATACCGCTGGGTGTGGCGGCATATTGGGGGATGTCATTCCATTCCTCCCCTGCAGGAAGCATCGGGCAAGTCAAATTCGGCCCTTTAATGCTCGGATACCCTCTTGACCGCTAGCCGTTGACATCTACATGCCCACTACTGCAAAAGCAGAGGCCGAGATGTTGCATGTGCTAGCGATGCGAACATGATCAGACGGCTCACCCATCCCCATTGCCAATGTGACCGCAGGCTGCCAAGATATCCCGCTCGGTATCAGCCTGCACGATAATGTCAAAAGGTAGCGGTTACGTTCGCTTTTGCCGCATCGTCTCGAGCGCCTAAGATGTCCTCGTCAACAGGGCCACCTTATGCTTTCAGCCAACATTTACCAGTTGAACTTTCTTTCCTCCAAAATGGCATAGCCAATTATTTCGAGGCCTAGCAGCCTTACAACAACGCTCGTTTTGGGGCCTTGATATTCACGCCTCCAACACTGCCTCCGCGACTCCTGCTTTTGCAGCGAACAGGTAGCTCGGATCCAAATGCATTTTCTGGTGCCTGGGATATACCGTCAGGCTTCCCACAGGCACATGATGACACCTTACTTTTTACCCTCGTTCGAGTGGTGGAGCAACAAACTGGGCTCAATATCCACAGCATAATCTCAATGGCGGGCTCGGAAAAAGGCCCAGATCCAGAAGTGTCTGACGGTCTGCAGTGGATGAAGCTGTTCTTCTCCGTAGAAGTAGAAGAGCTCTCTGGAACGTTCACAAAATCCCATTCCAACACCTTCGGAACCGACAGAGACGGTGCGTTAGAGGCCAGCTATCCAGATTACAACGCAGTCTTAATCTCACTGGATCAAACAAGGCATCAGCAATACTTTTGGGCCACCGAAAAAGATCTTCAGGAATTCCTAGATTCAAGCTTGTACCCGCCATGGGAAAGGACACAGTACGAGATCATGCTACATGCCTTCGAGTTACTAAAACAGACCCGTACTTCAATGACGATGCCTCTTCCCTCTCAAAATGGTTCCCAGCAAGAGAGTCTCCAAGAGGATTCTCAAGAGTCTCTTCCTAGCCTTTTCCGTTCTATCCCGACGTTCGTCGTCAATTCCACGCAGTAGGCCATCATTCTCACTGCCTGCTGATGCCATTAGGAAGCAGAGTCAATCCCGACTTCTGGCTCGTACACCGCGAGGCAAACCCTCGACATCGTCTCTTTTTCACAGATTCAGTATCCATGAGCCTCGATGAGCACCAATGACGATACGCCAGCTAGTAGTTCCAAGAAATTGATTCATTACCTGGCGGTCTACTCCTGAGAATTGCACTTGATGTGTTAGGAAATTGATGACCCACGAAAAATAAAGGAGGCCATTACGCAAGCATATCTCGGTAGCACATTATGATCTCAAATCTCAGTTCCAACTTGAAAAGTCGTCCGACTGGTCGTTTTTTGCCGTTTTGGTGACATCCGGGCGTCAAAGTAAAGCACGAAACAGCCCCTATAGATCCTAGGACTCAGGCGATGAGAATTGGCCATTTCCTGCTACGCATGTAGGCTATTGCTAACGCAAAGTAAAGACCCACATTCAATCCACCTGTCTTGGGGTACTGCTCCCGTAGAGGTGTATGAGATTGGTGGCTGGATACGAAAAACAGGTCTATCTTTCGCCACACAACTTCTGGAGAATGAGGACGCCTCTACAAAGCTCAATTCTGATCAATATACGGGAGATGCATGCGAAAGAGGTGTGCTCGGGACCTCTGACGCTCTCATGCCTGGCATTCATGAACCCGATGTGCGTAGCCATTCCAGAAATCATTGAGACCAAAGGCGGGTACAACCGGTCTTACAGAAGAGCTTTGGTTGTTGAAATGGGGAATGGTTGCCGACCCGCGATTGGGAGACTGGCATAGGAAATAATCTAGAAGCAGCAGACAGAACGAGACCAGCTTGGGTGGGAGAGAGGACTTGATGAGAAGGTTTTCAATAAAGTTCTAAATACTTGAAAGATGAGAAGACCTCAAACATTATTTCTAGAAGGGGATCGGGCTTCTCGAGCCCGTATAATTACTCACCGCGCCTCCTTTCCTTTGACCAGTCCTATTCGATAACCTCGCACACCTATATATCAAGAGTGCAAACTGCTAAATTACCATTCTCGCATCCTTTCACTATCAGTCTTCTATTGCATCCGCTGACTCGTCTGCCTCGTCACATCGGACCTGGCTGAACATGATGTCTTTATTAGAATATTTACGGGTGTTGATCGGGCCCTCGCAAGACTATGACAGCGCGGCCTCGGTTGTGGCGGTCCTTCGTATAATAAACACTGTCAGGAATCTCGAAAAGACCTCTATATGATCGCCTTCCTGCGGAGAAGCTTCCCGTTGACTAGACGCTTGGAAGACCATGATTGGACTGTCTCGGGTCGTGATGATCGTTAGTGCGATGAACTCAGACAGGATTTGAATAGCAGCGATGAGGTTGAAGTCACTGTCAGTAGCAGTCATAAGTGAGTTCGGCCTTGATCAATAAGGTGCGCCCGTCCAATGGGCGTAAGATATTTCTGAACAGCATCGATCAGTCATCCCTCGCCGTCTTCTAACACTGCTTCAGCCCCGTCGAGCTCGCTCAATCTTCTTGAGAGCTCAACATGCTCCAATGGAGTTGATAAGCCTGAGAGACCGCGTTCTGTGGTCCGCCGAATTGTTGTTGTTGGAGTCACTTCTTCGGAGGCTTCGTCTGATATGCCAAGAGTCGTCATGGCGTCGTGGGTGTCAAGATGGCCGTTGGCGCCTAGATCGCCTTGTCTTCGTGGTGGATGTATAGTACCAGAATACTGATGTAGTCCAATTGGCGCCCCATTATTTTCAATGTCCTGTCTGTGAGTCGGCAATGTATCGTCATAAGGTCCAGGAGCCGTGATTGAATGTGGAAGTGGACTCGTGGCTGGTTGTCCTTGTTCAACATGGCCTGCAAAACCAACTCCATCAAGGATGTGATCGATACCAGCGTTGTTTCTGACGTTTGACATGGACTGTTGAGTACCCGATGACGGTGGTCGCGAGGCAAACATGCCTCCGTCTGTGTCTGTGCTAAGAGATTCGGCGTTTTCTGACCCTAAACGAGTCGTCGCTTGGCTTAAGTCTGTCACGACTCTTTCGCTATCACCCGCCAAGCTTATGCGATGTAGCTCTGGAGGCTGCTGGTTGATAGGCAGGTGATGATTCATATGAGAGGTAAGCAGGAAAAGAGGCATGGGTAGTACTTCGTTGCTGTCTTGATGAGTTTCCGTGTCTAAGTCGTGCCTGTGCTCACTGCTCAATGCCTCAGCACCGGTCGGAGCTGCAGAGTGATCGGCCAGCCGCCCAGTTGTCGGGTGCTGGCTATCATTATATTTACACTGACACTGATCATCGCATTTACACACTCTATGCCACAGGAGGTTAGATTCCAACGTTCTCCTTCTTCGACGTTCGTAGATTTGGGTCTTTTCCGACGGCTGACATGCCTGATCCCTCTTAGTAGCCTCGGAGATCTCTGTGCGGTCAGGGCCTGCTGCATGTGCTAGAGATGGATTTCTATCAGAATTAGCTGATTCTACTCTTTGCTTCATCGGGATGGAAGAGGCCCGAGAGACTCCACATGGTTGTGAGGCAAAGCTGAGGCGAGATGAAGGACTCATCGTGACGCTATGCTGATGTTCGTTGCGCTCGGATTGGGGAGCAGGACGATACTCCTCTTTCTCTCGCAGCTGTGATCGCGGACGCCGTCGCGCCAGGAGTTTGAGACGGTTGGAGCCCCTTTCAAAACGCGCTTTAAGCCGGACACCAAGATTTTGAAGGTGTGTAAGGCGTGGAGGGGTCGTCTTCATGCTTGATGAGTTGACTGGCTCTTCATTGACATTGCTTTGTGCTGGTTTAGATCCTGGCACAAGCACGGAATCTTTATCTCGAGCCTTAGAATTCTCTTCATCAGACGGTAGAATAGGAGAATGATCCAGCCGCGATGTGGGACTGCGTTCGCTAAGAGGAGTCAAACTTTTGCCCATCAAAGCAGGTCTAGATTCCAGATCATCTTTGTTGGTGCATATTCGAATCCTTGGCGGCCTAGGTCTGCCATATTCATTCAGTGACAACGAGTCGGCAGATGCCAGCGTGGTTTGGGTCGAGGTCCTTCCAAACCCCACGATAGGATATGTGCATTTTTCACAATAAAAGCGCTCATGTTTGGAGCCGTCCTGCGGTATCTTGAACGGTATGTATCGGTTGAAGTGCTTGCATTTTCCACATGAGCTATGTAGAAAGGTAGATGTAGAGTCTTCGTCAGTCTCGACTGGGTCGACGTTGGAAACTTGGTCGGAATTTTCCATGGGCGTACCGTGCGCAGTGTGCTGCGTTTTGTAGGTCTGTTGCATGTTGTTTCTCATTATAATGAAACTCTCTCCTGTGGCAGTAAGCTCGTTGAGATTTTGCGTTACAAAAACAGAGAACTGCAGAAAAGAGACGTTTTGACCGCATCCGGGGCGCAGCGGCGTGATTGCACACGGTCCAAGATCAATTGGAATCTGACAAAGTCCTGGAAGTGACGTAGCGGTCCAAAAGGCAGCCCAGGAACAAAAGGCTCATCTGCGCGGGGAACGGGGAAGGTGAAATGCAACCCGACGTAAAGGGAGCAGGCTGCGTAGCCTGATCGCTCAACGGAGCATCTTGTGCCCTCTGAACAGTTCATATTGCAGCGCTAACTCCAAATCGTCATCTGCTCGTGCAAGGCGACGGAAGGATCAAGTACACTTTGGAGGATGAACCTAATCGGTCTGGGAGACTGAGCAGCATCGACTGGTACTGACGCACAGCACACTAGGCAAGCTGCTCACCCTTGTCACTGATCTGAGTGCATCCAAGCTCATTGCTGCCTAAGATGGGACTGCATCGATGGGTGGAAGGGATGGAAGCTGAGGAGGGGAGTTGGGATGGGCCAACTGGCGATATCGGTCTAACCCAGATGCGGTTAGCCCTCAATGAATAATGAATGCTTTGGTTGACGCGCTCACGCTCGCGCTCACCGGGTGCACAATCCCTGAGCTTCTATAGTCTAACGAGGTGGCGAAGCCCGGTCACTCCCTCTGCTCTTGCGCCTCAGCTTGGGCAGTGGCTTGGTGGAGCAGCACAGCAAGCAATTGGAAAGATGCGCTCCCGACGTCGGCAAGTCTATTGGACGAGAACGCGAACTGAGGCTGTGCGACGCGATCACGCAATGCGCTCTGGTCATTTGTGTCGGTGCCTTTGTCGCCCATCGCCTTCTTTTTGCCTACTTTCCCACCTCCTCATCAAACCTGTGTACCGTCACACCGAAAGGGCCCTTACGTTACATCGATGTAGTCTGCGACAAGCCTCTGAGCTTTTCCACCCACGTATGCGGCGAAAAAAAGACGGAAGGAAAATCTCCAAAGGCTGGCTGTGAGACCATCGGGCGTCCATGGATGCTGTCATCCAGTCCGGTGATAACCTGAAAGGATCGCTACAGAGTACTTCGCAGCTGCAGCTTTGCATGGGCTGTATACAGTAAACGATGGAATCGGATTAGAGCTCATGGTCAACGGAACCAGGCTTGGGCGTAGAGTCTTGCCCCTACTGTTGACAACACCGAGAGAATATGGCCCCAAATGGAACTTGTGATTCATGCTACCGGAAAGCGGACTCTGAAGGCTCAATGACATTCGGCTCGATCGACTTTACCCCTGCTAATCCGTCTTTTCTCTCTTCAAACGAAAGTCGCTTTGTCTTGGAACAGCGGTAACAACCAAGCAAGACTCCTGCCCTTTACGCGTCTGTAAGACCTGACCATCATTTCAAGCTGAGCATCTGCCTTCAGTGCACTCTTGAAGGTTCCAGTCCCCCCAAGGTATGGCACGTGATCGACATAGCTCATTACTTCTTCCTTCTCATCGATGTAGACGATGTTATAACTCTTCATTCCAAGCTTGACAGCAATTGAGGTTTGTCCGTGCCTCGTGGGGGCAATCTTTGGGACCGAGGTTTCCCTGATCGCTTCTTGCCCACTGACGAACGTCTTCAAGAATGAGAGAAAAGCCTCAACGTCTTGCATGCTGGACATAGCCCCAAGGCTGACCCGCACGATCCCCGTCGGTTTGCCATGAAGCACATCAATGCCATTACCGCATCTCAAACCTTCATCGAAATTCTCCCTCATGTGCACAGGACTGAGCTCGAGAGATGTGGCAATGCCGCCAGGATTGCACACGCCGCCAGCCCTCAGTTGGATGCCTCTTGCAATAGCAAGCTGCTCTACCTCGGACTTACCCATCCACTTGCCAGCCTTATCCATGAGGTTGAATGCAATTGTCGGGCCTTGCTTTGTCTTGTCACCGTATGCCGGGCAACTCCCAGCATATATTTTGCATAACGGATTGCCATTCCGATGGTACAAAACCTTCATTCGGTCGTACAGAGCCTTCGAAAGGGCGCAAGTGTATCCTGAGACGTTACTCATTGACCCGTAAAGCCTCTCATGGATCGTCAAAGCCGACTCTAGGGCGATAATGTTGTGGAAAGGCGGTGTGCCATCTTCGAGTCTTTCCTCCGTTGAGTTCTTATTTGCGTGCCAGGTATTTTTTTCATCCGTTGCGTTGATGATCATGTCTACAGTGCCACCGCCAAAGTAGCGACGCTTTCTCAGAAGGTGACTGGATGCTTTGCGGACGAGGAGTGCGCCTAGATCCGGGAACCCAAATATTTTGTATAGACTGACGGCAGTGAAGTCTGGTGCGGTCTCGTGATGGCTCATATCGAGCTGTGATGTGGAGGCCAAAGCTGCAGCATCCAATAGCGTGAAGGTGTTACGGTGCATTGCGTATGGAGACTGGCGAAGCCTTGCTGACCATGAAAGTGGTAGCCTACGGCCGTTCATGTTGCTCTGACCAGGGTACGCGAACAACCCGACCTTCTCGGCATCAGTCGTAGCGCGGATGTCGACGCCATCGAGCCAGCTTTCCACAGATTCGTCTGAGGCGAAATACGCGGAGCAGGACGCTACTGCTCTCACCCCTACTAGTGATGTGTGGGAGTCTGCATGGTAGCCGTACCAAAAGCCAGGACTTGGTTGAGACCGGCTGTAGTCATCAACACAGTCGACGACTAATTTGATAGCTGCCGTGGCATTGGCTACGAAAACCAGATCGAAATGTTCTGGATCTGCTTTGAAGAATGCGAGCAATCGCTTTCTCGCCGAGTCAATGCGGGTCGTTGAAAGCTTGGATGAAGGTGAGTTTGAATGGGGATTCCCAAAGAGGTTCTGCTTAAGATCCTTGGAAAACACATCAACGCTTGAGCGAGGATATGGAGTTGTACCAGCATGATCGAGATAAACTGTATCTGCCATTGCTGTCAGGCATGAAACCTCTTGGACCGACGCTCACTTACTCTTCAACAGAGGATACTCATCTTGTCGAACACGCTTTAGTGGTGTCGGATAAGGGCACACAATCTCGTCGGGAAGCCTCATTTTTATAGCAGGGCAGTGAGGCTCTTGATACAGCTTCCGGTGTTTGGTACTTAGTGGGATGAAGTCAACTGCTTAAACAAAAGTTAAAACCCTTATGCTCGACTTCCCCAGGTCACAGCTGGATGGAAATGGGAGGATGCCACGGTCTGATCAACTTCAAATCTCGTGTCATTGAGCTCATACTTATAGTGCTGAGAGAAGCTACTGACCCACCGATAAACGCAAAGGCCTTCTACGCCGCTAACTACATCGATCAGCGATCTGACTCGAGCGCGTCAGCTTACAGGTACGCAGCCTATCGCTCGACAAGTAGTCAGTGTCTTGCAATTGCATGATTCCGGCATACAGAAGCGTGGATGCTAGATCGTGGCGCTGCAGCTGATGCCCTTCGCTTAAGCTGGTCGTCAATTGCAGGTTTACCTTTTCGGTCCATGGTACGAGATTTAAGGATGCTAGCAAAGATGTCCAAGGCTAAAAATCGACCTTCACGTCTATCCTGCATGAGTCTGGCTGCTACGGTTGGAGTGTATCCGAATCCCGTGGCTATTGAAACGAATGCCTAGTGACTGGAGCATTGAGACACCAAGCCGCCTTCGGCCCGCTACAGATTCAACGACGGCTTTTCAGGCAAAGTTTCTGCCTGCATATCTGTCGAAACTACTCTCACGGAGAAGGTTGCAGGCCGTTTACCCCAGAGCCTACCTGTTATTGGAGACTTACAGAATGGCTCGCGCTCCCCGTCTTCATTGCTGCCCACCAACCCCCTGTCCCACAAACCTTTCAACGTTGTCCGACCATTTCCACCACACACACACCGCTTCATGAGCTGCGACGTGCTACGGAATCATCGGGTTTCCCCCAATCATTGATCCGACATCCTCGCAGCCTCATGGCAATCACCAGATTTCCACCCTTAAATCACCGCTATCTCCACAGGGGAATGTCGGACAATGGAAGCAAATCCGCCACCGCGTCACCTTCCCCAGCGTCTGGCAGCCTTCCAAACACGATTGAAGCTGTGCTGGATCTAAACCGATAGTGCCACACCTCATCCAGACCCACCCCACCAACCAGGCTAATAACAGCCAATTATACCGCGCTACTGGGGGACGACCTTGATGTGGATAAGTGAGAGAATACCAAGGCTCCTTTACGACGCCACGATCTGGATTACACCGCCATATCGATCTGGAACACATCCATATGATGTTGCCGGTGGTTCGTGCCTTCCCACTTCCCTTCCCGCCGAACCTGGGCTGCTTCAATAACGAATCACGCAGCACCCTCTTCGGCTTGAGCCTGCGTGTCCTCCCCTTCCCCACATCCACGTTCTTCGAACCATGTCCCCCTCTCCGGTCTGCTATCAAAAGCCGCAACGCAACGCCTACAGATCACTCTGCATCAGATCGATTGATTTCCCCCTTCCAATCCTGCTATAAAAAGTCGCAACGCAACGCCTCCAGATAATACTGCATCAGATCGATTGATTCCCCCCTTCCAATCCTGCTATAAAAAGTCGTAACGCAACGCAGCGCCTTGACATCACACTGCGCCGAATCAAGTTCTTGCTATTGTCCATCTATCGTATGTTCATCGAGCGATCCATCGCAGCGCCCACATCCTAACGTAGCACCGCATTCTCACCGAACGAAAATGCTCGCACCGTTGCCCGAGGAAGACACAATTCTCAAGATGGGAGATCGTGATCCGAGACTACCTCATCATATGCCTCTCTCTCGCTTGTGGTTCACCAGCATGATAGCTAGCAGATACGGAATATGAGTTTTCGCTGTAGATTCGGCAGTGCCAATTCGCCATCTGCCGTTCGTTTGTGGAATGGCTCGTCTTGCAAGATTAAGGCCCCCCCAGTGCTACCCTGTCCTTAATAGTGCATAGGTACGAATCTGCCAATGAAATGTAGAGTTCCGCATGTGGTACATTCTATCTTCACGGGGTTCGCCTTTCTTGCAGACTCTTTATCGTTGGAAGGAGCGTGGAGATGAACGATTCAACTATCACTTGGAATAGCAAGACCTTAGTCTAGTCGGTCATAATTGCATGGCTATCATTCATCCTTATTGTTCTCCTAATCATTACGATAGTATTTGCGACTTCGTTCCCAGCCATCAAGCACGCATAAAGGACGATTTAGAATAGCAAGAGAGCAATTGTACTAAATCGGACGCGTAATGAATGTCATTCATCATTATCGTTCTCAGAGCCAGAATATTTACACTCCCATACGCGGCATCGTTCCGACCGATCAAGCTCAAGCATACTAATCCCAAAAGGATGCAAACATCGCACTTATCTACAGACCAATGCTCTCATTACATATCGTGACAGTGCTTACTGAAGACCATGCTCTTTCAGCACCTTAGTAGGAGGCTCCTTGTGCAACTTGTTATGACCCTCAGTCGTATCATAGGCGTCATGCGTGGTCTTAGCAGTCCCCTCATGAGGCTCGCCCGGGCCTCGATAGGATTGATTACCAAGGCTCGAGGAGTCTCCCGTTTCACCCTCACGCCTCGTAAGTCCCTCGGCAGCAGCCTCCCTTTCTCTTTCCTTGGGATTGCTGGGAATGACTCCTTTGCCAGTATCAACGTCATTGAGGGGCGCTTTCTCCTTCTTCGGGGCCTCTTCCTTGTCGTCGTGGTGGCGATGAAGGATGCGATCAATCAGACCGGGTTTCTTCTCACCACTGTCCTGATTTTCGTGCTTCTTGGCGTCCTTTTCGGCTTGTTTGATTTCCTTCTGGTGCTCCTTCTCAGCATGCTTAACTTCCTTCTGGTGCTCCTTCTCGGCGTGCTTAACATCCTGCTGATGTGCCTTTTCGGCAGCTTTTGCTTCTTTTTCATTGTATTCATAGGCTGCTAAACCAGCGGCGCCAGCACCGGCACCAGCTCCAAGAGCAGCATTTCGGCCAGTGTGCTCATCTGCAGACTTTACAGGTTGAGCTTCTGAAGTGGTCGTGTTTGAGGGTAGTGCATCCCGCTTTTGATAATCATGTGTAGCTAGACCAGTCGCACTTGTGGCAGCAACGGTACTACTCTGGTCCTTGGTACTCTTGTCGTGGAGAGTCGGTTGTGTAGTACTAGCGCCTCCCACGGTTGTTACCCCAGTATCCCGAGCGGTATGCCCATAGCTCGTGTCTGCTGTTCGCGGATCTGTTGTTGCCGTATGCGGTGATGCTGTGGGGGTAGAGGAAATCGCTCCGAGATCGGATCCGGGTTGTTGGATAGCTTCCGAGCCCATTGGCTCATGCTTACTGTATTCGTGGGCGGCCAAGCCTGCGGCTCCAGCACCAATGCCTGCTCCAGCTCCTGCGCCGATTGCAGTATCACGGTGCGAGTGATCTTCGGGGAGACCTTGATATGCATTCGATGAGGTATTGGTTGAAGTGGGTTGTTTCATTGAACTTGCAACACCACCTTGGCCTGCCGATGGAGGAGTGGTGGACTTTTGATTGGAGTCCAAAGGGCGGTCAGGGTCCGTCGCTGCATGAGAATCATGACCCCTCTCAGCTCCATAAGCTCCAGCGCCAGCAGCGCCAACGAGCCCGGCATCTCGAGCTGGGTGCTGATAGCCCGCTGATTTCGATCCATAGCCGGACCCTGCTACACCATCGCCTAGGCCCGATCTACCGTCTAGGTCAGAATCCACTCTAGGATCCGCTTTGTTCGCAAGGTCCGCTGAATGTGGCCCCGCTGTCGAGCTGGATCCTGCACTAGTTGTGCTTGCGAGGCCAAAATTCGACGTCGATTTCCCAGTTGACTCAGGCGCTGCGGTAGTTGAAGAAGGTGTTGCTTCGTGCTGTCTGGATCTTTCATGGTCTACGACTCCTCCCCCAATGGCAGTGCCAACAGGACCGGCATGCCGATCCGTCTCATTCCGACCTGCGCCTGTCAGAGGCTGGGACGAAGTCGTAGAGTAAGGCTGACTAATGGGTGTTGTTGACGACGTTTGAGAAGACCCTATTATGGTGTTCGCATCGCCTCTTTCTTTGCTGAGGTCGCTGTCAACACGAGGATCTACTTTGTTCAATGCGTCGGATTTGTGAGGGCCTGCCGTTGTGGGTGCCGGCCCTGTACTTGACGAGCTTGGATCACGGGCTGTTCCATACGTTGCCCCTGCAGTAGCACCTAGACCTCCAGCGAGAAAGGCGTCTTGCCCAGAATGATGACTTGGCGTACCGACAGCGTCGGTCTTGTTAGAAGAAGATCCAAGCGGGCTGCTAGCGGAAGTACCTTTCATTGAACCAGGATACGGAAGGCTAGTGCCTGTGCCAGTGGCACAATTCGCAGAGTCGTGGGGCTCGTCCGAATGAAGGACTGCTTCCGTGCGTGCCCCAAGATAAGTGTTCCGGTGATGATCAGAAGGATCGATGGACTGTGTTTCAGGACCAGAACTGCCATCTATATTAATTTTCGGATTTTCAATGCAATTGACATGTCTTACCTTCCAAGGCTACTGGCTCCTACACCGAGCGCTCCAGTATTCGAGTCTTCCGGCGTGATGCTCGAAGATCCGCCAGTGGTGTGAGCTAGCGGATTGCCCTTTGCACTGCTCGTGGTATGCGAGTCATGTAATGGCGCAATACCCCCAGCGGGGTAAGTTCCAACCTGGCCAGGCGCTGTGTATTGTGAAGACGGCGCTGAATGACCGCCCAAAGGAAACGATCGGCCGCCGGTGCTATCTGTGATATTGCTAGCTGGATGTCCACCTCCACCTACGGGTGCAATGCCTAAGGACGAGGCATCCCGGGTATTACTTGTGATTGGGGGTTCAGAACCCGCCGATGGATGATCAGTTGCACCGCTTAGAGACGTTGGCGCCATCGTCGAAGAAGACTGCGCCTTCGTTTCTCCCGCAGTCGCAGGAACGGGGCTTATACCTAAGTCTACAGACTTGTCTCTTCCCGGATGAACATCTGGCTCATTTGTTTTCAATGGAGCAGATATGTACGAGCCGGGTGTTGCACCGGTAGAAGTGCTTGTCCCTGGGTAGGTTTCAGGCTCTCTGGACTTTGTAGACGTGGGAGCATGAGGACCGGCTGTGGCATCAGCATACTTGTTCCCTCCAGAATGGGCTTCTGGTTCATAGGTCTCCTTAGGTTTTGAGATGTGACCACTCGTAGCACCAGCCCCCACAAACGGATCCGAAGTAGTTGACTCGTTTCCCTTCTGGCTCTCTACGTCTTCAAGCACATGCTTTCTGTTCTCATGTGGTGTGGTACCAGGTATTCCAGACTTCACGGAGGTGGTTGTGGCAGTGTCGTCGTCATCAAAGGCACCAGGCATGCGGGAGGGGGGTGGCTCTCGCAGGCCGGTGGTTTGCTCAACGGTGGACGGCTTCGACGCTCTCCCTAGGAGGTCTTCGCTCGGTGCTTGGTCGGGGAAATGAGAGCCTTCTCCAGCAACCTTGTTCTTGTTGGCGAGGACAGGATCGTCTATTCTTCCACTTCCATAGAGGACTTCGTCGTCTTTAGCGTGACCAGGAGAACTGTTTACTTTCATGTCAGTGTATGTATGTTATCATCTTGGGCTCTGTAGACGGACAGGATGTTCTTGATCTTATCCATATCGGGTCAGTTGAATACTGATCTTCAGCAATGAGCCTGACCACGAGAGAAAAGTGCAAGGCCTTGCAGGGTCTGGCCTGTGAGCAAAGCAGAAGCCAAGGGCAGGTAATGCAGAGCGAGAGGTAAAGAGTCTTAGTGAAGACAGAGAGAAGGAGAAGGAGCTCTCCGAACTTGATGCAATTCAAGGCAATGTCAGTATGTTCAAGTGCAAGTTGCTGGCCTCAAATAGACTTGGTGCATTGTAAGTCGATCCATGGAATTCGAAGCTATCTACCTTGGAAACACTAGACAGATGACGTATGGACGCTTTTCACGTGGTCTCGAATTGGGGGCCAGCTATTGCGCTTGCCCCAGTCTTGTAGAACACCCAAACACTGGCCATGATTGCGACCAAAGTAATAAGAGGCCTGGATTTAAACTTACTTAGAATCAAGAGATGCAAACTTTATCAATGTCGGCGTGACCCAGCCATCGCTGCTGCTCACCGCCTTACGCAGGGCTTTGACTGGACATGATATCCATTCTACGAAATGCTTCATCGATCTCTCTGCCGCCGAGATGTACTTCACAAGATCGATCAACCCAAGCGTTCAATCTCTGTTTATTGCCTTTGCCCAAACCCTACATGCATTTCCAAACCTCAAGCTACCGCCCCAAGTCTATTTCGTACAATACGTCTTGAACAAATGCGATACATATACACGCCAAAAACATTATGCCAGCACTTCTCGGTCCCTCCTAGACGACTTCAGAGTGCTTGATGACATAGCCTTTGCAAGCTCATCCTCGGTGAACAGATGACCATTCGTAATCGTCTTTTGCGTATCAAGCGGTTCAAGCTTGACCTCTCCATTCACGTGGCCCTCGATCGCAGTCCTTTCCGGTTTAAGCCCATCCATTTGATGATCATTTTCTTTTCGCCGCGGAGGCGGTACTCTACTGTCTCTGGTGTGCTGCCTAGATAATCCCACTAGATCAAATTATTAGCCTGAGCTTGCAGAACTGATAGTGAATACGCCCAAGGCTTAGCAGTGGTATCGAAGCATTGACGTACCATTTCCAACATCGTCTGTCTCCTCTGTCCCCTCCTCAACGCGGTCTTCATTGGTACCATCGTATGTGGTATGGCTGCCCCCCCTGCTTAATGCCCAAGGCTTCATTCCCTTCATACTGAGTCCACTGAACGCACTTCCCCTTCTGGAAGGCCCGCGACTTGGCAGCCTGCTACCCATCGGACTGTATTCGCTTCCACTGTTTCTGCCGGACTTTTGTGTCCCACTGCTCTCTCTGCGTCTATTCCACGAATTGCCAAATGAAAAAGAAGCAAGTCTATCTTGGTGCGCTTGGTTCCACGGGCCGCGATACTTTGGCCGCGGCATCGACTCCCCAGGTTTGTAGACATTTTCTGGATAATCTTTCTTAGATCTTTTCGGCGGTTGACTGAGAGGGTTCGAGGGGTCGTACGGAGCGTTGTTTGATGAACCGGTCAAGGCACGTTTCACCCGTGCACGAAATGGCATATTTCCTGACAGCCAATGTGCTATAGAGGGCGCTGAAGTTTGAATGAGGGATAAAAAGACAAGTGGCAATCGGAGGCCGATATGAAGCGTTATGATTCTGTTGTCATCCACTAGAGCTGGGAAGAGGTCTTATAGCATCATCAAGTTCACACAAAATAGCTTGCAACAGAATCTTTACATATATTCTTGAGAAATACGTGGATGGGTCGTCAAGAGATTGTTCGTAATGCTCGATTTGTGAGAGTTGGAGCAGCAGGTTCAATGGAAAGGTGAGGTATAGAATTACGGACGGCGTTACCCATGTCTGACTGTACCCTTCCAAGAGTTGTGGTAGGGCGGCATCGAAACGCTTTTCGAGGTGGAATGTATAAATGGATCCGCTACCTTCGGACTCAGCAGGACGGAGGGGCCGCTGCAGCCGGCTGATCCGAATACTACGCACTTGGTATGGAACATGCGTGAGACTTCAGGACATGATGATGCAGCCCGGCCGCCACGGTCCGGCCGAGACTGCCCCTTTTATGACTCTTGGCACGGACGGCCCCGTCTGCTCCGACCCTTAGCATCGACGATCGACGTGGCGACTCTTTGGCATATCTGCAAGATTGTAAAGTAATACGCTCCTTATTCAGTGAATTCGACATGTTCGAACTTAAAAAAGTTGCGTACGGGCCTTCGAGCGACTTAATAAATTGCATGGGATATCATTTTACTAGTACAAACAATGCAAGCACCCATTTCTTCTGTTCATACAAGACAAAGTAGTTCAAGATATTGGAGGAGGAACAGGCCTCTTGTATCAGAGCAAATCCTTAATGCTAAGACGATCTCTTGAATTAGTGCTCGAGGGGCTTGGAGATGCTACCAAGGGCGGTAGATGAATGGCGTGAGGCTGCGGCATTTCTGGCTTCGTCTGCGACGGCCGTTCTGAACCTTTCTTCTGCTCCGTTGCAAGGCCTTCGATGAGTCTGACAATTTTGTCCCAGCCAGCCCAGTCGTTCTCGTTTGTAGGACTGTTTGCTTCTTCTAGCTCTCCGTGATAAGTGGAGTTCACATGACTATTCGAAGAGCCCTGCAAGGGCCTACCGACGTGGGTATCGCCTTTGCTCTCTTGCCAGATCCATGAGCTTTCGAAATTGCCTTGCAGATCTCCAGAAACATATGCAATCATCTCCTCATCCATATCCAGCTCCACGCGCTGTTTGAGCTTAGCGAGAAATTGGCTAAGGAAGAAATCAACATAACGACCACAAGATATGTTGACGCGACGAGTGTCTCCAAGGATAGCACTTGCCCGAGCACATGTCAAGGCGGAGTCAAAATCGAGGCGGAATAGCAGGAAGAGCGTACATCGCCAAATATGGGTGCAGAAGAACGCGCTAGATGCTGAGACAAGACGACGATCCCACGAGTCTTCGCGAGCTGTGATACTAGAACGGGCGCCCTCTGGTGGTAGCTGCATGCATCGCTGTAGGAATTTGGCGGTATCCTTTGCCACTGATGCGCAACTGTCAAGGGCATAGGACCGTGCAGACGTGTCGCACACTGGTGAGAGGTTATGTCGGTGAAGGACTAGACGAGCGTTTTGAAGGTACATCATCGGAGGCAACTCAATTGGATCAATGTAGTCCAGAGCTCGCATTTGGTGCTGTGCAGGAAAGCTCTTTATCACCGAGTCAAAATGTGTATCATAAGCCCGTAGAGCATGCATTGAAATCTGCGGTGCCTTCAACATAAGCAAAAGGCGAGCTATGCCACCGATCACACGAATGGTCGGAAGGAGGGCCGAAGTGGCCATGTCTGGCGAAGGATCCTTCCAATTAGCCGCCTCCGTCATGTATTGGTCATCCGTGGGGCTAGGCATTTGGACGTTGCAGTCTTCCTCTTTGATCATTGCAGGTCGCCCTAATTCGAGGGAGAGCAGACTAAAGATGTTAATATGATGTTCAGAGCGCCGAGGGCGACGAACATACCAATCGCAAGCATACATTGACCACCACACACGACGCCTCATTTCTTCTTCGATAGAGTTCCATGTGCCGGCCTCACAATTCAAACCAATGTCGAAAGCGAAACGTACCGCGATGCCCATCCATGTCCAGCCGGCAGATTTCCTGTTAGACTCGTTCAGGAACATACAGTTTAGTAATGCTGTTCGAGCATGATCCAAAGTCAAGTCTTCTGCCCAGAGATCAATCATAGATCTGGAAACTTCGAGATACTTTTGGCCTTCAGACCATGAGCGGTGGAGGGTGCCACATGCAAACACCGCGAAAAGAAGAGAGCTCCAGACGGGTGGAACATTGTGAAGAGACCCATCACGATAGACGCTCTCGTATTGCTCTTGAAAAGACGGCCAATGGAGCATGGGCAGTGTGGGGTGAATCGTAAATCGGTACTGTCTCAACAGGACATCTGCAACATCCTTCGGGGGCAAGCCCGGAAGTGTAGACGGAGAGACTGGAGAAGCTGTAGTACGTTGCTGCGGATAGGGAGATTTGAAAATGCCACGACCAAATCTTGTCATGTTGATACCAACCTTCGGCAGACTTTGAATAGTATCCAATTTTCGTCTTTTGGGTGGTGGATCTGCCGACGAAAGCTCACTGGTGATCTGAGACCGGGTTGTAAGGCTGTCCGGTACTGGTAAGTGCGATAATTGATGGTTTGGCAAGCTTTGGGGGTTAGGAAGTGGCAAAGCGTTAGGGAAAACATGAGCTTGGTGAACCGAAGACGCAGGCTTTTCACTCGGGGGCATCATCGATCGTAGCCGGGCATTTTCCGCCTGAGCACTTTGCAACTCCTTGGACAAGTCTTGGTTTTGCCTATAGATCATGTTAGCTTTCAAGAAAGTTGCAGGATGCTATACGCACTTGATTGAGGTCATCCGTCGGTTGGTCTCTTTCGTGAATTGACAAGTGACACTTCTGGATTTACATTCGGTGCAAGAAGAGCTATCAGTCGCGTCACACTGCTCGTCCATCAGCATCGAGATAATTCGGCCCGTTGCACAAGTTTACCTTGACTTTTCGCTCACGACAAGCGTCACAGCTTGGATCCTTCCGTCGCTGTCGGTACGCCCTTTTCTGGCCTTGTGGTCCTGGTAATTGAGGATTGATTGGCATGCCCGTAGGATCCGCTGAATAGGGAGCATGTCCGTGACTGATTTCATGGTAACTTGGCAAATGCGGTCCTTGAGGCTGAGCCAAAGGTGGGTAATAGTTTGGCGAATATCCAGCGGGTCTTGACGATGGCATTGATACTTGATACGGTTGAAATTGACTAGCCCCAAAGCCACTCGCCGGACGACTTGTTGGCCCATGGCGAGTCAGGCTTGACTCAGGAGTTATAGGACTTCTGACCGATGCGCTTGATGGAGCTGACGAAGGGTCCTGGGGTATGCCATGTGAGGAAATCTGCGGCGGTATCCGGGAGTGAATCGGGGATGATTCACTCATTTCGACACCTCGTCGCTATCGAAGTACGGCCGACTTACTTCCCAAGACCGCAATCAGATTGAGTGGAAATCTTTGTCCACAATGAACATTAAGGAAAGAAAGTAGCATCTATCTTGAAATGGTTAAGCCTCAACCACAGACAGAGACATCATAACAGACGAAAATTGGCCTAGTCGCGTGCTCAAGTCGGTATGATGGACTGTGGCAAGAATCCGAATGTGGCTGTACTACGGTACCTTGATACTGAGCGGTCGTGGGCGAGACTGCCTCCACAGTCCCAGGAACCGGGAAGAGGCGTGGGTCCTCAATGCAATAAAGGATAAGAAGTCGAAGTGTCCAGTGATGCCGTATTGATCTCTTGCTTGAATAGGATAAGTGCTCCCACCATTGGTTGCGGTAAGGCGGGTGCTTCAGCTCTGGGCCCGTAATTGGCTGGATTTCATGCAGAGCAAGTCAACTCCCTCCCTCGGGCCGTCGTCTGGTGTCGGCGCACCTGGAAAGTGTCGGTAATCGGAAGATGATGATCTTGGATCCCACTTCCGCTTGAGATTCCACGAGTGCCTGAGCGCTTTGCGGGGACTGGAGGGAGCAATTGGCCGATTAGATGTTTCACCGCTCTCGAGTCATCCAATGCGCGAACAGTCCGCCTGCCCTGAGCCGGGTAATTTGTTACTGCTGTACGTAAAGATTAAAGTTGAAACCTCATCATGTTCCTCATACGACAATGCTGTTGTGCAACTTGACGAGTTGACAACGACGAAGTATGCCGCGAACGATCCGAACAATCGGCAGGGTGGGCGAAAGGGCAAGACTTTCCCTGCCAATATATCACGCTAGGCAGGTCCAACTCACCGGTTGGAAACCGTTTGAGGTGCAGCTCGCAGGGTGCAATCTCCGCAATTCCTGATGCTTGAGGTGAAGAAGAAGGCAAACGGCGTGTGTCGACGAACTCGAAAGGGAGCCAAATGGATGTGTTGCCGAGGGACAGCCGAGATCTGTGTTGGCCAGCCTCCTCTGGCACGACCAGGAACGGCATGGCTCGTGAAGAGATCAGCATGGGCGTTCGATGATAAGTATCCTAGTTCTGCGTTTTCCCCAGAGTCTCCGCCCTAGCTTTTGCGAGGCAATGTAACTGTGGGAAGGGCGAGGGAAGGATCAATCGACAGATCATCGTGGCCTCTGCTCCAGGCAGAACACCAATTGGCTACTGAGGGCACGCTAGGTCGAGTCAAGCGTGCGACGATCATGCAGGATTATTATTATTGCATAGAGGGATACTTTGGCAGAGAGGTAAGGGAAGGAGACGATCAGAGACAAGGTAAAGACCAGACGGCCGTGTCCTAATCACCTAGTGCTGCCTCTCCGCAAAGCTAATCATCTTAGGCCTCTTTCGGCCCCTTCGGTACGCCATTAAGGCTGCGCTAGAGTCTTCGCCATCTTCAGATCCCTCCCCCTGTCTCTCCAACCTCTCACCCGTTGCCCATATACCCTCTGTCATCATCTACCAGTACCGTCCCTCCTTCTTCTTCTCCAGCTTTGTGATCGATGTAAGGGCGGGTACGACGCAGGTACTTAGCTACTCACTTTGGTGAGTATCACGTCCCGCCCATCCTAAGCAGCGTCATGCTTTGTCTCATCGTCCAATCGAAGTTCATGCTCCGATGTTCAATTCTGACTTACATGCCGTCTCTCGCTTGATGACACCGCTTGACAGCAGTTAAGTGGATGGTCTGGCCCAAGCTTTCTCTGCCATTCTTGTGCAGGATCTTCCCATAATATCCCAGTCCGCCTTTGACAAAGTACATCTAGACCTGGGAGCAAGCTTCTTTCTAGCTTGTCGATCGCATTCGCTCAGCGACTATCCCGCCACCGCAGAACTTATAGAGAAGTGCCATTGATTACGCGTAAGGTCGATCAGTCTTTTTTTGGTTGTCGCCAGCCTTCGGCCCATTGAAGACCCAGGATCTTGGTAACCCAGCCCGGCAATGCCTGTGCGGTTGTGTCAAATGTGCATGGCGTCGATGCAACATCACGAGCCCCGCTCTCACCTTAACTTACTCGCTTCTGTGAGAGCTAACCGAACCGAAGGAAGGCGTCCGAGATCAGCTCGCCATTTGACTACCTAGGAGACAAACCTTCATCAAAGTAGATGCGTCTAGTAGACAGGCGTCATCTGATGAGTGACCAGAACAGAGGGAAGGCAGATATCACGCTTGTTATACCTGTAGAGGGCGTGGTTGATATGATGCTAACTGAAATGAGACTGCAGTTCTCGGAATCCATGCTATTTCTGACTCCACCAGCAGATGTCATACGTCTGAACAACGAGGCACGTACGCCTCTTGCAGGGCTTAGATACGCATTTGAATTCTGTATCCTAATGTAACCATTAAATTTTCTTGGGCGGCTTTTGTGCCTCTGTCTGGAAGTTTTCAGCAAAGCAATGTGTAAGTTAGTACTTACATTGGAGGCTCTGGGCAGATGCCATGAATGATATCGGTTACTCCTCGGAAAAGACCAAGCGTAGGTTCCGACATAACCCGCTTTTGGTGTCCGCTCGCTCTGCACAAGCCCATTGCTGGTCTGTGCAATCCCCTGCCTATACGGCGTGAACTTGGGAGGCCGATGTGTGAGTGCGGGCATGCGATTTCTTAGATAATAGGAAAGATCGAGTATCGATATCAAAGAATCTCGGCAACAGGAAAGACCCTGCTGGCTCGACAGTAGATTTACGCCAACATGGTGGAGATCAGCGCATGCGGGGCATGTACCTCTTCTCTTGCGCGCAAAAAGTCTGCACTGCTTTGGTGAATTTTCTCACGAAAAGCGCTCGATTTAGACCAAATACTCACCATGTGTCATTCTCCTCTTCATTCCTTCCTTGTTGCGCTGCCCAAATGCGAGCACCACATGCACCTTGAGGGTGCTCTATCACCCTTGCTTTTGTTTGAAATTGCCTCTAGGAACAAGATTTCATTACCTACACCAAGTGAAGATGCATCGTTCGCATCTACTGCGTCTTTACTCGAACGCTACGCCCGCTTTGCATCGCTTGACGACTTCCTTCATTATTACTTTATTGGTATGACTAGCCTAATCCATGCTCGGGACTTTGAGGACCTGGCTTGGGATTACTTCCTTAGAGCCAAAGAGCATGGTGTTTTGCACGCCGAAGTATTTTTCGATCCACAAGCCCATACATCGCGTGGTATTGAATTCAAGACTGTTGTGTCCGGATTCGAAAAAGCCTGCAAGCGAGCAGAAAACGAACTTGGCATTAGTACACTACTGATACCGTGCTTACTGAGACATCTCCCGGTCCAAGATGGCGAAAGCGCTTATCATGAAGCGTTGGGTGATTTGAGAAATGGAAGACTGGCCGGTCTCGGATTAAGCTCCAGCGAGAAAGGATATCCACCAGGCCTTTTCAAAGATATCTACAAGGAAGCAAAGGAGGCGAACATTCGAAGGACAGCTCATGCCGGCGAAGAAGGTCCCGTTGAATATATCAGAGAGGCTATAAGGGTCTGCGATATACAACGAATTGATCATGGTTTCAGGCTGGCTGAGGACGAAGAGCTCATGAAAGAGGTAGCAGAGAAGCAGATGCTAGTAACATTATGTCCCTTATCAAATCTCAAATTGCAGTGCGTGTCAGATGTTGGACAACTTCCAGTCCGCAAATTTCTGGATGCAGGAGTGCAATTCTCAATCAACTGCGATGATCCAGCTTATTTCACAAGCTACATCCAGGACAACTACTGTGCTGTTCAAGAGGCATTTGATCTCAGCATCAATGAGTGGAGTAGGATTGCGAAAGCGGCGGTGAGGGGAAGTTGGTGCCATGAGCAACGAAAACAGTTCCTCTTGGACAAGGTTCAGACGGTCGTTGCAGCTCACGGAAAGTGATCTTTGAACAATGGATAATGTTCTCACAATGGAAACTCTCGATAGCTGTATTTGCATGACTTCATACCTACAAAGCCCTCAATTGTGTATAGGAACCTTGACATCCAACTGAGCCTTTGAGGTCACTTAATGCTACCTTTCGTGTAGAAGCAGGAAGCAGGAAGCACTGGCGAATGACGGGGGGCACAGAGACGGGAACAGGTAACGAGCTCATCAATCATGTCTTAATCATGGCCAAACCTTCTCGTTAAGTGGCATAAATCGCAAATCGTTGAGGCATGAGTCACTTTTCGTACCCAGCGCAGCGCGCTTATATATTGCCATGGCTTGACGCCGATCTGGAAGAACTCCTGGGAATTCATGATACAATCAAGCACCAAGCTCTTCTGCAGGATCTTCTACCAAGGCAAAAAGCCTTTGAGAGACACCAAGTACCACAAACCACTTGCAACAGATGACTTGGCGGGTCGCGGTCGTCGTCTTCGACGGTGTCGATATCCTCGACTTCTGTGGACCGACTGAAGTACTCACCTCATTCTATCATGATGATGATCGCGAGAGGCGCGACTCTATCTTCAAACCCTCTGTGATTGGCGCAAACCCCACTATCAGGAGCGGTAAAGCTCTTACAGTGTCGACCGACTTGACCATAGACGATGCCACAGAAAGCATTCAAGACTTCGATATTCTGATAGTTCCAGGAGGTCAACCCAGCATTATTACGGGCATGATAGAGCAAAAACATCCAATCCTCAGAGTGATTGAAGCTTTCACTCGCCAGGGGTCAAAACCAGGTTCCGGTCAACGCATAGTTCTCTCCGTCTGCACAGGCGCACTGTTCCTTGCGGCCGCAGGTGCATTCAAGGGCATGAAAGTCACGACCCACCATCTCGCGTTGGAGATTTTGCGCCAAATTGAGCCGAGCGCGGAGGTTGTCAGTCACACAGTTGGGGCAGGTGATGGACGCTACATAGACGGAGGGGTAAACGCGAATGGGGTCCGGGTGATCTCTGCTGGCGGTGTGACCTGTGGTTTGGATGCTAGCCTTTTCATAGGGGAATTGAAGGCTGGAAGAGAAGCCGCTGATTATACGGCTAGGATGCTGGAGCATGAATGGAAGCGGGCATGACCGTACGGCGGGCGCAAAAACCTATGGACCTCCTTTATGAGATAGGTCCTATTGATTCAAATTTGATCAATGATAAAAGCCCCTGGCTTTGGTTGTCCGAGAGGGCCTGCCAAGAACTCGGCAGAGTCGGTAGAGGCGTCATCCCCTCGATCGTTGCCTTGTCAGCTATACCTCCCACTCATCCTTAACAGCACTTGCGCAACTTGATCACCTTCTCAGTGTGACTCCTACCGAATATATAACTTGATAAACAGAAGCTGCAGGACAGTCTCTCTGTGTATCCTCCAGCCATGAAGTTAATCGCTTGCGCGCTGCTCGTTGCAGGCAGTGCTTCTGCCTATTCACCATTCCAACAAGTCCTAACAGCGCCTTCTCGCCATGTAACGGATTCTTGGTCGAAGCCCCTCCAAGACCTTCAAGCTTCGCTGAAGTCTCTGACGACTGACGCACGTGCAATCTGGGATGAGGTTGCGCTTATGTTCCCAGAATCAATGGAAAAGGCGAATTTCTTCTCGTCACCCAAGAAGCACAGGCGCAGACCTCAGACGCACTGGGACTACATCCTGAAAGGAGCCGACATACAGAGTGTCTGGATAGACAATCAAGATGGCGTGAAAGAGAGGGAGATTGATGGCAAATTGGAGCCTTACAATTTGAGATCAAAAGCGGTAGATTCCAGCTCGTTGGGTGTTGATCCAGATGTAAAGCAATTTTCCGGGTATTTGGACGATGAGGAAAATGATAAGCATCTATTCTATTGTATGCTGCCCTACGCAAACAGCCGGGTTTTAATATTGACGGAGACTTAGGGTTCTTCGAGTCTCGAAATAACCCGGAGACTGACCGTACGTACCACCCGCCATACCAATCTTGGTCGTAGCTAACGAATGTACAGCTGTTGTGCTTTGGCTCAATGGAGGACCAGGTTGCAGTTCCTTGACAGGGCTGTTCATGGAGCTTGGCCCAGCAAGTATAAACAGCAAAATCGAGATTGTTCATAATCCGTCCTCGTGGAACTCCAATGCTTCAGTCATCTTTCTCGACCAACCCGTCAACGTGGGTTACTCATACAGCGGAAGCAGCGTTAGCAACACAGTTGCTGCAAGCAAAGACATCTATGCTTTGCTTACTCTCTTCTTTAAACAATTTCCACAGTACGCAAAGCAAGATTTCCACATCGCTGGAGAGTCATACGCTGGCCATTACATCCCTGTCTTCGCTTCAGAGATTCTGAGTCACAAGAAGACCAACATCAACCTCAAATCCGTCCTTATCGGAAATGGGCTTACTGACGCTCTTGAGCAATACCCTGCATATGAACCAATGGCCTGTGGCAAAGGTGGTTGGCCAGCAGTTGTAGACGAGGGCACATGCCAGTCGATGAGAAATGCACTACCCCGCTGCTTGTCACTCATCGAAGCCTGCTACAATACCGAGAGCGTATGGACCTGTGTTCCGGCAACGACTTACTGCAACAACGTGGAGCTCGGTCCATATCAACAGACGGGCAAGAATCCATACGATATGCGAAAGAAATGTGGCGATAATCCGCTTTGCTACGACGGTCTGGACTGGATCAGCACTTGGCTTAACAAGCCGTCCGTCATGGAAGCACTAGGTGCGGAGGTCGACAGCTACGATAGTTGCAATTTCGATATTGTACGTTCATTTCCACCTCAATGCCTCCCTTTGAACGTGCATTGCTAATTAGGGCTCCTTCGTAGAATCGCAGCTTTTTGTTCCAAGGTGATTGGATGATGCCGTATCATCGACTCGTTCCAGGGGTGCTCGAAAAGATTCCTGTTTTGATCTATGCTGTAAGTTGTCTCTCATGTTGCGCCATTCGAACATTGCTGATTGAGACGATCAATAGGGTGATGCAGACTTCATCTGCAATTGGCTTGGGAACCAGAAATGGACGGATGACCTAGAGTGGTATGGCAGTGAGGCTTATGGCAAAGTCGGGGTCACAGATCTTAAGCTTGGTGGCAGTGGCAAAAAGATTGGGGAGGTCAAGAGCAGTGGCAATCTGACCTTCATGCGAATTCATGCAGCTGGACACATGGTCCCCTTGGATCAACCGGAGGCTGGCTTAGACTTTTTCAACCGCTGGATATATGGTGAATGGACTCCGGAAGCGTGATTGAGATTGATCATAAACCGTTAATCTGCCCTACTTCGGGCTGCATCTTGGATGATTTGGTGTGTCACATAGTGTAGATAGTCATCCTGGCGCGGCGTTGCCTTCTCATGGAACAATCTCAGCTTGACTGTGTGGTATCCTATTACTCCAATTATGCATAACCCCGGCTGCGTCAGTCAAGGAAACATCAAGATGTAAAGTGCTGATGCAACCACAAAAGTAGGACGGGAGACCATCATGGTCATACTAAGCCCGTAACGACAGGTAGGAGGAGATGCAGGCGTGGTCTGCTATGTGGCTATTCTTGTAAAAGCAATACGGGTGGGGCCCACGGAGGGGTCTTTGTCAGCGGCATTGGTGGCATCAAAGGGCGATTCTGAAAGGGGCGAAATGCTTTGTGTGCTCGTGGGCTTGTGTCCGTTTTCTCCGTCGCTCGAAGTGTGAAACGAGAGCAATAGACACTGCCAAACCGCTTGGTAACGCCAGTTGCCGGAGATCCTGGTCATGTACGAGTAGGCACAGCTATATGTAGATTCTAATGTCGCCCCCTCGCCAGTCCCTCTCGCGTATAGCCCCAACAGTCAGCCTCTCCAGGTGAATCCTTGCCTTTCGGACTGAATGTTGGCTATGTCAGCTGTGACTTAGTTCAATCGAAAGAGGAAGGCATAGTGATACAGACATATGTTATTTTAGGTTATCACACCTTGTCTTGACGCGGCTATTCTTGATGTCTTAATCCTCCATCCATTGCCAGCATGGGCCCCTCCAAATATTTCCACAAGAATCGTTCAAGCCATTCGTTGCTCAATTCGCACGACGTGGAGGACAAGGGGCGCTTCCAACCGTCTCCGGCTGATTCTCCCTTGCACTCCCCTGCATTTCCACCTTCGCAGTACGGCCAGGAGGAGGAAGACGAGGATACTGAGCTAGATCCCCACTACAGGAACCAATATCACCCAGAAGAGGCACGATATTATCAGTCTGCATACCCTGTTCGGTCGCAAAGCACGCGGAACCCTAGCCATCTGAATACCAACGTCTCACAGCCGACTATCAATCTGGTTGGACCTGCCCACAGCACCCCCAGCTCGACTATTGACGAAGGAGCTCCCGACTCTTTCTACCGGCAAGGCCCAGCTCCCAATCCTCCTGCGCACAAAGAAGAACGTAAAAAGAGGCGATTCTTTGGCCTTGGTAGCTCCAAGGAGCCCACCAGCAGTCCTGCGTCTTCAAAGCTTGGTCGGAGTATTTCAGTGCGCCGGAGAGATCAGCCTCCAGAAAACTATCAAGAGAACGTGCGACACGCACCTCAGCAGGACTGGCCAAGTACACACACATCCCCTGCGGAAGAGTACGACGAAGACCCAGAAGACCGAGCCGGACTCTATCCTCCACCATACCCGACCGGACCTCCTCGTCCAGATAAGGAGCCTCTTCGTAGCCCAGGTCTACCACCGTCCATCTCCCACCAAGATTACTCCCAAGCGAAAACAAATACCAGTCCGACTCAGTCTCGACGAGGTCAATCCGATCGGCAAGGATCCTACGAGTCATCTTGGACAAGGGCCTCATCTAACATTCACCATCATACGCATAGCGAACCTCCTCAACAGCAACCTCAGACAGCGTATCACGTTTCACCCTCTTCCGCCACATCGACCGTTTCTGGACAACACTTCAGTCACCAGCCCCCACGCAACACATTACAGCAGCCTTGGCAAGAGGAAATACCTAGTAGACCTTCTTCTCAGCAAAGCCTAGAGCCCCCACCCTCAGCCCAAAGCACGCGGACATACGACGCGCAACATACAAAAGGCAGATCTAGCGAGACTTCATCGTTGTCGCATTATACACAGAGCTCGATGGGACCGCCAGCTCCTCCACCTCCCCCTCAAGCTCCAAATAGGCGCCCCAGCGAGGTCGCGGCACCGCCCCAATCAGGCGAGCAAGGGAGAGAAGGCGGGTATCAACCATACAATCAAAACATCCAAGATCGCGCTGCAATGAGTTCCAATGCCCCTCAGCAGTATGGCACCCAACTCGCACCGCATCAAAGCTACAGGAACTCGCAAATATCCTCGGTCGGCGCACAGGGTCATGAGCAGGGCCGAAGCACACCTCCCCCAAGCCGGTCGCGGGATGACCTCTCGACTATGGACTATCCTCAATTGCAAACAAAGCATGAAGAATTGCGTAAGTCCTCCTTAGGTAGAGACAAGCTGGAGGCTTTGCAGACGGGTGCTAATGTAATGTACAGAGGACAAGTATCGCAAAGTAAAGAAATATTACTTTGACAAAGACGCTCAGGTGCAGCAGCTCCAGAACACCCTAGCACACCAGAGGCTCGCCCAGTCACGGACATCTTTAGACGACAACGAGTACGTCAACCGCTTCACACGCCTAGATGGCGCGATCAACAACCTAGCTTTCAATATTCGTCGCGACTGGCGTCAAATACCTCCCTGGCTTGGGGCTCACTGCAATCGAGATGCCACCACCAACCCGACAAAAGAAATGACCGCCGTCGGCCGCGCCGCGATATCCCGGTGGCTGATAGACGAGCTTCTAGATCGCCACTTCCACCCCGGCCTTGAGCCAAACCTTTCCTCCCATCTAAAAATCATAGAAAAAAACCTGCGCCGCTTCGCACCTCCCACGCCAACCGATGAGGAAAGAGAAGCTCTGATGGCTAAGATCTCGAATTGGCGTCTCTCTACCCTTGATGGCCTGCAAGAGTTCCTCGCCGCTCCGAAGGCCACCGAATATCGCACCACTCTGACCGAGAGCCTTGTCGAAAAACTTGTGGCGAGCCTGGGTATGATGCTCAAAGAGCCCATGCCCCCCGGGATTGAAGGAGGTGTGGGCATGATCGTTGAGCTCGCGGTCGGCATCTCCGCAAATCTTCCGCTGGAGAGCCGCGACGTTTTTGTCGATTACGTTACCCCTGGTCAACTCATCACAGACACGTACATGAAGGTCGAAACTGGGCTTCCGCCCTTGACGAACCCTGGAGAAGCGCCTGAGGGGGAGACGGCAAGTATGATGTCTGGATCTAAGCAGACGGAGGAGACGGGCAGTATCGATAGTCGCGAGACGGGGAATAGTAACGGTGAAGCTGGTGGTGCTGCTGGCGGAGAGGGCCATAAAGAGAGCCCGCAGCAGCAGGCTCAGGGTGCTAAGAAGAAGAGTATGTTTGGGAATTTCATGGGTAGTGGGGGGAGCAAAAGGGGAATGCTCCTGGGAATTCCTCTTCGACGTCTGGACAGGGACAAGGTCCGCCAGGCGGGCAGGGTGGATCGCAGGAGAGGAAGGAGGATAGGGTCCGATTCTCGACGTTCATGGCAGTGCAAGTTCGGGGGAAGAGCGTGCTGGTTAAGGCGCCGGTCTATGTGAGAGACTGAAAATGTCTTAGGGTAGGAGTGGGTGATGATGGCTGGACTTCCCAGTCATATTTTGGATGACGATTGAGACGAGAGCAGTATGTTTGACAGGCAGCCCTACGTTCGGGGTGAAGTTGATGAAAGATATCCGTCAGATGAATGAGCAATTTAGAAGATACATGGCTACGGTCCATAGACATCTGAGCAGCAGCGGCAGCAGAAAATAGCGTGATGGATGATCGTTCATGACTTTGAGATTAGTCTTTCGTTCAATTTATATCCAATATTCAAACCGAAACAACATCATATTACAAACCAGCAATCTCTCACCTCCTATCAATCGTCAGAATGATACCGATCATGCCGTTCCTCCTCAACCTTCTCCATCTCCCCTCTCCCTCCCCCCAACGGCTGAACCCTCACCTTCGCCATATCCCTCTCGATAACTCCCTGATCCCTCAAACTCGGCCTCCTCACACTCGCCGCCCTAAAGAACCCACGGTCACTCCCCTCACTCTCCCCCTCAGCTCCGCCCGCTCCTTCACGGTCTGCCCATCCATCGGCCGTAGCGGGTAGCGCACCACTTTCCTCGACACGGCCTGCGGGTCTTTGCACCAGGACAGGAAGTTCTTGATTTCGTCGCCTATCCCGCCGTCGGATTGGTTCAGCGGGTGCGAGAAGATCTTGTAGATGTAGTAGAGCGTGTCGGAGCAGTCTTGGTAGAAGGAGGGTTCGGGCTCGTTTTCGGGGGTTGTGCCGCGGACTTGGGCGCGGAGAGGGGGGAGGCTAGGCGGACGACCTTGGGGCGGGGAGGGATGGGGGCGGTGGCAGGGGTGGTGGTGGTGCTGGTGGGGACCTTGAGGCCGAATTCGGGGTCGGGGTTAGGTGACGGGGTGTAAGAATAGGATGGGTTGTAGGCGGTTTCCTCTGCTGCGGTCTTGTCTTCGGGGGGAGAGGGTAATGTTGGCGTCGGTGACGGTGTTGGGGTAGACATTTGGAGAGAAGTGGGTGGAAGCAGGTCTTCTTGATCCATCGGTAGAGTTTGCCAAGTTGGATCATCACTTTGTCGTGGTACTTTCCGATCAATGCTGCACAGATTGCTTGTCCGGCCACGGCCCATGGAGACCATTGTCCGACGGCTTTTGGCATCTCTGCGTCGGGGATCTCGATGTAGCCACCCCATTCGTGGAGGAAAACGAGGATCACGAAGAAGGGTGGACATATGATTACCATCAGAACGGAGATAATGTAGGAGAGAAATGCCACAACCCTTGCCGTCCAATCTTGTATAACTCTGACAGGGGGTCTCTTCCCGTCCAGAAGTCTACATTTGTAGTCGCACTGGCACTCTACTTCATGGTGGCATTCATGCTTCTGTCGGCTTTTTGACTTCCGTCCGACCTCATGTAGACATTCGCATTTGTCACCATGCCGTCCATCTCTCTCCATGTACATTTTGAAATATATCAAGTCCCGAATCTCACGAGGATCGCGGCGACCAAAGAACATGGTGATGAAACCTTGCAGAAGAATGAAAGGCAGGGCGTAAAAATACATCTTCAGAAGCCTGTTCTGCGCGTCTATTGTTTTTTCGGCGGTTTTGTATCCTTCGGACGGATAGCTTCCGTTCCACAGCAGACTTTCGGTCACGCTCATAAGCTGCAGGTCCTGTTGTTGGCGAAAGATAGAGGGGATATCGATTTGGTCGCAAGGATTGCTGCACCCATTTTGCATGATGAAATTGCGGTCAATTGCCCTCCGAACCAGCGTCCCATTGTGCGATCGGATCATACTGGCATTCGTGCCTGGACGGCACATGACTTTGCTCATTTCCGGGTACTCCATATTTGTCTCGCCTTCACCCCAGTAAGATTGGTTCCAGGCGCAAATGAAGCCAACCAGCACGAGCAAAGCCCAGTAAACCACTATTGTCCGGGTGCCGACTTCGCTCTGTGTGTGTCCGCCCTTTTTTCCATCTTTCAGCGCTGCGACCTTTGCTCCCAACCTTCGTAAAGTACCGCTCCAGTTGAGCAGAGGGACCGTTATAAGGCTGGCCGTTGTCAGGATCGTCAGAAGTGACCAGCCGTCATTTTCAATGTACGGATTCGGGCCTCTCCATGTCAGGAGGCATGCGTGGATAGCTGCCGCGCCGGAGTAGGTAAGGGCAGATGCTAGGGCGCCAACGACGAGCCAGAGGTGAGTTCTGGAGAATAGGGAGAAGACCAGGGTGCAGTAGTAGAGTATCCTGCTGAGAAAGGAATAACTCCCCTGTATACAATCAGCTCAGCTCGGTGCACGGGGGGCAGTGGTGAAGACGCACGCTCGTAGGGTAGACACAGACACCGAAGGCTGCTTCATCACTCAGAACCACTGCTGAAAAGTCTGTGGTGCCTGTAGCATTTGTGTCGTTCAGAGCCTGGACATGAGTCAAAAGTATGCAGAAGAGAATGTAAGAGAGAGATTTCCAAGTCAAAAACGATGCCATGGATGTTGTCGATGACAGGAAGCAAACACCCCGCCGAAATCACAGTATGGCAACGACAGTGGACAGCAAAAGTCGCATGAAGTGGAATATCAAAGAGATCCAAAGCAATTAATCAAGCCCATGACCGCGTAAGGCCCCCCGTCTAGGACTCCAGGAGCATATTGACGCGATCAAGACTCAAGCGGAAGGCCGGAGCATCAAAGATCTCACCGCCACCACACTATGGGCGGCATCAGGACTGTGCTTGGAACTCTATCAAGGCAAGTTTGATGAGACATGCGAGTAAAGGGGGACGCCAATGCTGACTGGTGTGTGCTAAGCGTTGGACGCCTGAAGAGCCGGTGTCAGAAGCTTAGGGGATTAGGAAGCGATCGGCGTGAGCCTTACGCTGGGCTTGGCCCTACGTACGGTCATCGCTTACCGTATCTGAGTAATCGACGTTCATTCTTCAGTATCATTAATCTATTCGGTACGTAGGCTTACGTAGGGTTCAATGAGTATGAGCTCGGTATCAAATGACTTGAGGTCTATACAAACAGGCAGTAGGGGTGGTACAGTGTTGATGCAGATGCACAGCAGCTTTTTCTCCAGACCTCAAGACAAGCAACCACTTGCGTGCCATTCATTGATTGACTTTCTCGAGCATGATATCGCCTACATCAAGTCTTCAGCAAGTGTACAGGACAGCCACACGAACCCTCGGCGCTCTCCATCGACGTCCGCTGGGTGTCAGCTAATCAAGTCGGAGCAATGTCATGTAGCTGCCAACCATCCCCATTCCCCCCTTCCACTTGTGATATCCACCTTGCGAAATTGATCCATATATTCTGGCGTCGTCCCTCTTTCACCGTCGTGCACTTACATCAAGACGTCAGGGACATTCAGTGCCCACTACTGAAGTCGCCCTTCCAAATGACTGCCCCTGTCTTCATGAGCTCTCTGAGCGCCATCGTAGCGTATTGGCTGCTACTAAGTTGCATCTTCAACACCACTGCAATTTTCTGGTCTTCTTGAGGGTGCCCATTCCAATCAAGACGGACACCACCGCTCGTGTCAGTATCGGTTGAATGCGTAGCGACCGAATTCTTTATCGGCGACGAATTTTGTGAGGAAACAGGTTGGTCGATCGGTTGTTCTGTGATGGTCGGAGTAGGCGCTACATTGCTATGAAGTGGATCAGTTGTAGCCTCCTGCGGAGGTTGCATCTCTTGAGACTCAATTTTGGTCGAACTGATGTTGTTCAAGTCGCGGCGGGAGTTCGAGCGGTGGTCCTCTTCTGGGTGAGCCTTGTAGTATTTGTCCAGGTCAGTCTCAACAAACTGCTCGTCTTCTTCCGTATAATATTTGATATCAAAAGTTACGGGTTTCTTAGGCTTTGCCAGAAGGTTACGATATGACCCGCTGAGGCTGGCATCTTTCCAACTGCGACGCATATTGTAAGGATCAAGGCCACCACCCCGCTCGCTGGCCATGAACGTACGGTAAAAACCCTCAATAGCATTAGCAGGGTATTGAACATCAAACCCTGGAGTAGGTAGAACAATGTCAAAAATGGTGTGTTTGCCGCTCTCAGCTTCTTCCCTGCTGAGCGCACGAGCTTGTGTGAACTCGTCACTGGTATTCGTAGCGCGATCTTCTTCTGGCGCATGAACAACAACTTCGCCCTCCGCGTCTACCTCCTCTGCGTTGTTTCCGTCTTCCTTCGCCTTCTCAACTATGACGAGATCGCCCTCCACTACCTTGCTACCAAAAAGCCGCCAACGCTCGCTAGCTGCATGATTCCACACAAGAGACTGGTAAGCGTGAACGTACATCAGGCGAAGGTTCCTCTGTATGCCACGTATTGCCCCTAGGAAATCTTTGCTTCGGCCCTTTGAACCAAGATGGCGAATAACAGCGTTTTCAGCGCTGAATTTCCTCGGTAAATTTGAGAGCGCGTCGTTTGAGCGACCTGTGGTCAGAAACTGATGGATGCCTTCCGCACGAGCTCGATCGTCCCACGCGATCTGATCTTTGGCTGGCGTGTCCTCTGCCTCAGCTTCGAGGCACTCTGGTCTGAACGACAGAATGTAATCTACAGCTCTTCGGTAATCCCCTTGGAGGATTGCGAGACCGACATTATCCGTGGTTTTGCCAAATGTACCGAACCGTTGTAGGCCATAATAATTGATGAAGCCATGCTTACTGAACTTCCTTACTGAGTCGCCAATGATTAAGTGAACGCCTTTGAGTATTGTTGCACCGTCTGCTTCCTCGGGATAGTGAAAATTGCAATCTCGCAAAGTAATGGTGAATTCGTTGCCTGCTAGATGGCCGAGCTGCAAACCCTGCGAACGGTATTCAAAGTCTCCTACAAAAGCAGATCTAAGTGTTTTGCCTGCTTTTATCAGGTCTTTCAAGGCGACACGATAGACACTTGCCCGCTGGACTGTGACTCCGCGACGATCCTTAGTACCCGCAAATTGCAGATGTCTCGTACCAATTCCTAACTGTTTGATGAGAAAAGAGAGGGATTCCATGGTGTCCTTGTTTTCTTTGTGGAGTGTGAAATGTAGGTAATCTCCACCAGATTCTCTCGACTTCGGCTTTTGCCATGCCTGTTTATTAGATCGACCAGGTCTCACATTGTCTCTGTTAGTAGCGCTTTCCTTTGCTGGCCTTCTACCAGGAAATGAGGACTGTCTAGGCATAGCTTTGACAACAATATGACCGTCATGTTCTGTCTCACTATCAAGCTTGCCTCTAAATATTCGGCGGATCTCCCCATGAACTTGTCCTCGAGTTGCACGATCAATGGTGCTCTTAGATTGGACATTGCCATAGTATTTAGGAGGGTGATTTGGTGAATGTGTTACGCGATCATACAATGATTTGAGTTCGTCAGTTGCGGCAGTATCGAAATACCATAGAAGCGATTCTTCATCTTCATGCTTCAGCTACATATAATCAGTTGGCAGATTGTGATGAGTACGCCAGATAGACTCACTTTGATCCGTTCAGATTCACCCGCAAAGTTACCCCAGAAAGTGGTGCTGGCTTCCCCTCCATTAGCAGGCTGTTGGACGCCCGCAGATTCAGGGGTTTTGATGGCATTCTGCCCTATCAACCTTGCAGACTCATCTTCAGCAAGTTGCTCCTGAGACCCAGCGTACGAGGTCCAAGCAGCTACGGTGCTAGGCCTGTGCAGATCAGTCTGTTCTTTAGCATCTCCCTGTACTTCGTCTGGAATTCCCAAATCTTTCTCTTCACCAGACTGTTGCTTCGCAACAGCAAGCTCCGCCGCCTCACGCTCTTCCGTGGCTTTGAATTCTGCCTCTTGTTCAGCAGTCAACTCCTGCCAGCCATCTTTCGTCAGGCGCAAAAAGACTTTGTGCTTATGTCGGCCACCTTCCTCATGCGATTCTTTGACGGAATCAGACCTTTCGCGCTTGGGCGCAGTCACGTCTGCTTTTCGTAGATGGGGTGGTGTAGGTGGCCGTGGTGCAAAGTGGTGCGCAAGTGGATCGTCCGGACTGCCAAAAGCAGCCGGGAAAACGTTGTGGTCTTCGCTTGTCGCCCCAACACCCAATGCTGCGCTAATGTCGGGCGCACTTGAAGCAGTGGTATTGGTATCAGGGGCTGCATATTGAGCATTCGCCTTTGGGGGGTTAATGCTCTCAACATTGCCACCTTCCACAGGAAGAGGTGTGTGATTCTGTGCGCTTGGGCTGCGTGAAGCGGCTGCCCCACTGTTAGATGACCCATTTGTCGTCACTTGTGCCCCCGTATTGTGACGATCTTGAGGGTCCTTAGTAGGGGCTTTGAGATTTTGAAGGTGAAGAACTTCGCCTGAAGGTAAAATCTCGTTCACAAGAAAATCGGTGTATCTGCAATTCTCAGGGCCAGAAGGGAATCGTATGAATCAAGAAACATACCTTTTCTTTATAATACCAGAAAAACTGAGCGCGTCCGGACTTACGAATTCGGTTATGCCACATAATTCTTCCTTGCTGTGACGTCCGCCTTGAGGATGTGATGGTGCAGGAGCATTACTTACCTTTCCTTGAACAGATGGTGCTACAGTCGGTTTGATAGTCATACTGAAATCTTGAGTTGAAGAATGATCGGTCTTGACCTTCTTACGAGGAGAAGTGACCATGTCATCTTGATCCATGGTAAGAAAGCGGGGCCGTTTTCACGTGTTGCACATCACAATAATAAAGGTAGCATCTTTGAGTGTGTGAATGTTCGTCGCCGGGTATTCGCGCCATGTCTGCGCTTTACGCGGGCGTCATGCGTTTTAGCGTCTGGCTGCGTGGTGTGGGCGATGGAAAGTCCCTGGGGACATACTTATTTTGCGGCTCGCCAAAAGGTATCGCAGGCCAATTCACCATCCCAAAGAAGCAAAGAAGTATGCCCTTACTACGTTGATGCTCGATATCATTTCCGTTATGTCGTTCAATTGTTTCTATATATTGAACTATCGCAAATTACATAAACCTAACAATCTTCCTGTACTTTTGGCCGTCTCCAATTCAGCTTAGGTTAGATCGCGTTAATCCTAGCGCTCCTGAAAATCATGCATCATTTGTTGCCCCGTTGACGACACCATTCATCTTTCTTCCCCGCTGTCCGTCTATTGACCCATTGAGACGGGCATCAATTGCGAGATTGTGAAGGCTGGAAAATTTAGTCTTCGGAGATGGGGTCTTGTTGACAGGCCGTTCTTGAAAGTATGTTGACGCTACAGCGAGGAAGGCCATTAAGCTAGCTTGTACCGTGTCCGTGTTGATACCTATACCCCAGATGCGCTCACCCGTTTCGGTGGCGAGACATTCAATATATGTGGCGGCTTTGGTATCACTGCCTCCTCCAATCGAGTGTTCCTTGTAGTCAACGACGTCGAGATCGATGCCAATCGACTGAAGAGAATGAGCAAGTGCTGAAATCGGACCATTGCCTGAGCCTTTGACACGATATTCCTCGCCTTTATGTGCCAGGCTGTCAGCAATAGTACCTTCAAAGTGACGCTTGAGCTTGGCGGTATTGAGAGTCCTGCCCTTTTCAGGAGGAGCTGGACTTTCCGCTCTGTCTGTAGCGATGTTGTAGTCGATAAGCGTGAATCGCGGATAATAGTCTTTGAGATAGTATACCTCCTCAAATAATTGCTGAATTTCGTTTGCACGAAGTTCCTGACCAATCGTGTCTGCACGCTTTTGTACGATCTTTGAGAAAGCAACCTGCAAGCCTCGCGGTAATTCGAGCTCCAGGCTGCGCTGGATGATCCAAGCAACCCCACCCTTTCCACTCTGGCTATTAACGCGAATAATGGCTTCGTACGTCCTGCCAATATCTTGGGGATCCAGGGGTAGATAAGGCATATCCCATTCATCATTGTTTCCAAGTCTTCGCTCCTTGCGATCTTTGAAGCCTTTATTGATAGCGTCTTGATGTGAGCCGCTGAAAGCCGTATGGACCAACTCTCCTGCGTAGGGATGTCGCTGGTGGACGGGGATCTTATTGCTTTGCTCAACAAGATCGATCACTGGGTTGATGTCTGAGTAGTCGATCTTCGGGTGGATACCCTGTGTGTAGAGATTCATTGCCAGGGTGAACAAATCCACGTTTCCTGTTCTCTCACCATTGCCAAACAAGACACCTTCCACTCGGTCAGCCCCCGCCATCTGTGCCAGTTCAGCCGCAGCAACAGCGCATCCACGGTCATTGTGTGGATGGAGCGAGACGCAGAATTTCGGGCGCTCTGTCATATTTCGACAGAAGTATTCAATCTGGTCCGCGTAGACATTTGGTGTCGATACTTCGACAGTTGCAGGAAGGTTGAAAATGATAGGGTTCGATTCTGAAGGCCCCCAAGCTGCTTTGACTGCTTCACAAACTCTGATAGCGTAGTCTGGGTCAGTGTCTGAAAATGTTTCGGGAGAAAATTCGTATGCCCATTCGGTTCCAGCTTGGGATGGGTCGTCCTTGGTGAGCTTGCGCGCAAGCTTAGTACACCTCACAGCTAGATCGAGACCTTGCTGCTGTGTGAAGCCGAAGACGATGCGCTGGAAGCAAGGGCTAGTGGCCAAGTAAAGATGGAGGATAGCCTTCTTCGAGCCCCTAAGGGACTCAACTGTGCGTTGTATGAGCTCTTCTCGACATGGTGACAAGACTTGTAGCCACACATCTTCCGGTACAGTTCCAGTCGTCTCGAGCAAGCGCCGGGTGAAATCATAGTCCGTATCAGATGCCGACGGAAATGAGACCTCGATCTCCTTATATCCAAGCTTTACTAACATTTGAAAATAGTGGTATTTCTGATTCGAGTCCATTGGGTCTGCGAGGGACTGATTGCCATCGCGCAGGTCGGTCGCCAGCCAACGGGGTGGCTTGTCGATGGACTTGGACGGCCATTGGCGATTAGGAAGGTCAAGAGGTTTCCTGCGGCGATATTTCAGGGCAGGGTTGTCGAGCCTACCTCCATATGTTAGTGAGCATACAACCTCAGCGGGAAAGGTCTTCCGACATCGTGACTTGCTTATTAATGGGCCGTGATCAGTTGCATAGGATATCGATGATAGAAACACAAGCAAGAGTAAGAGATCCAGAGAGGGCGTTCCCATCATCCTTTTATATCTTAGCTTAGCCAAAGGCTCATAAGTCACTTCTAGTGGAGTTCCAAATGGACATCCCCACAAACGTCAGCCGGCAACCCTAATGCAACCCTAAAGTTGCTAGCACCTCGGATCGTGCCACGGCGTATGGTTCGGCTCAAACTCCCTGGACAGAAGGCGTTGAACATGCAGGCGTCCATTCCAGAACGGGGCAGTTGCGCCTGCACTCGTAACGCCTCACCAAACGATGTTGCTTGACCGGTGAGCACGCAAGTCATGTATACGTAGCGGGCGTAACATGAAGAGTGTGTGGCTGGCCTTAGTATGTTTGTCTAACGCATTGGTCGCTGGTGCCTGCTCGTTGTTTCCTACCAACCAGTGCTGTTCATCCGCCTCGTCGCTTTCCGAAAAGCTTGCAGGTATAATAGTTGTCCGTGATGCCATGGTCTGGGGTCCTTTGAAGTTCTGGAGATCGTACCTCTACATGGCAGACTCCCGATCGAGTCAGGAGGCACTGCCCAAATCACTCCGCATTTTATGCTTGGGAGACTCTCTCACCGATGGCTTCACGGTTTTCGATGGTGGGAGATACCCATATGGAGACACTATGCAGACTGAACTCGCTCACCTCTTGCACTCGACACCCTCAAAAATACAAGTGCTTATTGATGGGCTGCCGGGTGAGACTTGGTATTCCTCCATTGATATACGGTACTCTAATTGGCCACATCTGCAGGCGACCAAGTTAACGTCGCGTACATGAGACGCATGAAAGAAAACCTGGCACTAGCTAAGAAGAAACCTTATGATTGGATTGTGATTATGGGGGGGACAAATGATTTGGGTTGGGGCCAACAAGCCGATGTGATCTTCGACAATCTTAGTACGTCTTTTCATGTGCCTTAGCCGACTGCGTCCTCATGGTTGTGGTGTAGAGTCTATTTGGAGTACAGCACTTGAGAGTGGGGCAAGTATACTTGCTCTCAATATCATTGAGACTGCCCGCGCAAGCGACAGAATGGTTGCGAAGAGACGTGAACTCAACGAACATATTCTCAACCACCAAGCGAACCGATTGTGAGTCCGGCAGAAGCCCCTTTCCCCATCCAATGTCCTCCCGTTCCAGATCAGTATACATAAGGTAGTCGAAATCTGTTTCTAACAATTTATCTAGCTACGCCTTCGATCTCTGGAGTGTGATCAGGTACACAGGTGTGGATAAGGAAACCCGTGCTCGCATCTGGGATGATGGCCTCCACCTCACGGAAGAAGGCTACAACATAATGGGCAAGGCAGTCGCCGCTCGACTTTTTGAAATCATACAAGGTCTCTCGTCCGGCGACCCTAGTCCGGCGCAGGTTGGGCAACAAATGACAAGCGAAAAGTGACTTCGATGGGAAGAAGTCATTCAAGACTTTACAGCGGGCGAAGGATTGCCACTGTGACCGCTGAAAACGCAGAGAGAACCGATTGCCTTTATTCGAAGCGGGAACATTGAGCTTCCAGCTCTTTTTGTAACATTCTTGTAGCCAATGTTTTAGCTCGCGCGCTGAGAAATGTAGCCTGAAGTAAAGAGCATTGGTAATGGTCTTGACCACTCATGTTAGTGCGTGCTGGCATTTTCGGCACGAATGCGATCGAGATTGATCTTTGGACCCATTATATGCACGCAATTGTATGCATAACATAGACTTGGTTTTGTGCAAGCAGTGAATGCCAATGCCGTAATTCACTCGTCACCCCTCGACTATGACACAAGACATTCTTGAAGACTTGTGTCGTCACAGTGGAGCAGTATGAGCTGAATTCCTTGGTCGAAGGCAAAAGCGGAGGTTCTCGTGACCTCTCCTCCGGGCCTTCTAGAACCAGCTGAGCCACTCGTGGGGTTAAAGCTGTGACGTATGGCTGCGGGGCAAGAGATATATATTTTCTACTTTTTTCCTTCCTATTTCCTACAACTATCCATTTCGAATAACTCATAAACAAACAAACATTCAAATTATCAAACCAGTACTCAAACCAATACTTCAAAATGGAAGCCGTGAAGTACGTATGAGTCTTCCACTGTGCTCATCATGACCTAATCCAAGTCAATAGGAACACCGCAAACTCAGTCACCGACACCGTCAAGGGTGCTACCGACACCGCATCCAAGGAGGCGAACAAGAGTATGCCCTCCCATCCAGACCCTGTCTGAAAGAAACGCTGATCATTCTCCAAAGACGTCGCTAAGGACTCCAACGCATCAGCAGGCACTCGTGCCGAGGCTGCCACCGACGCTGTGGGAGATAAGACCAACGAGCTCAAGCACAAGACCTAGATGTCTTCGCAATACTCAACCACCTAGCGACCTATGACCTCGACAATTGGCGGCATGGTGTGACAGACATTCGGAGATCGACCAACGAAAGGGACTGTACGAATAACCTGAGAAGTCCACGATGAAGTCTACCGTAGCACCAGATATTCTTATGTAGCTTGCAATAGAACATTGACTTGCTCCACTCGTCTTCTCATCTGCGTCTCTAATTCGACTCTCAATAAGTTTTTGATTGTTGCCTTGAGTTGTTAACGTCATTGTTGACCTGTGCATTGGAGAGGATATAAACCACTGCCTTCGATGGCGGGTTCAAAATCACGTAGTCCCAGCTATGCATACAATCATCCATGAGACTCAAGTGCCATATTCAAAAGTGAAACAATCGTATGGACGATAGAGATCAGATCACATATGTCTGCGATACGTTCACTTCTTTGTTTCATAGGCCGACATTCGATTTTCAACATCATACATCTCGAACCATATAAGTCCATAACACATTAAAGCTTGCTTATTCTCCCACCAGTCCTCTGCTGTTGCAGCCTGACCAGACCCTAGAAGCTAGTCAGCAATCACCTCACTCCTACAGTTCATTGAACAGCTCACCTCCTGTACACACGAAGCAACGAGCCGGCCATCCCGATTCCACAGCCTCTGCGTAACACACCCTCTCCCTTGTCCCGCCCACGGACTCTCCATCTCCGAAAACAACCACTCATCCGCTCTGATCTCCCGCGGCCGATGAAAATAAATCGTATGATCCAGGCTGACCATCATGCCCACATTCCTTCGTGGCTGTTCCGGCGGCGTATTCACGCTCCCCTTTCTTCCTGTTGCCCTTTCAGTTCCCCCATTCGAATCATGCTCCATCAGCTCCTCCTCCGCCAGCTGCCGGAGGTACGCATGCTCTGATTCGGTAAGTTTCCCGAAGCGCTCGAGACCGTGGACCTTGGAGACGACGCCGATGAAGGTGTTGTCGGTCATGTAGGCGAGGGCGGAGAGGTGGGCGTATATGCCGCCGCGGATGGTGCCGCGGCATTTGAGCCAAGATTGTACGTGTCTTTCGTGCGGAGAGGGGGAGCTGTCTGCGTCTGGAAATGAGTAAGGGTCTTTGGACGTATTGGTGATGTGAAGCTCAGGAACAGGGAAATGTACTGTTTGCAATGCCCAATCGCTTTGAGACGAACGGGCCTCTGCTCTGCTCTCCATCTGCTTCTTTCTCTCTGTCCTCCGCGAGATCAGATACGCCTCTTCCTGCTTTGTCGTCTGCTAGCATCTTTTCGAGCCGCGGGACGGCGTCCGCTGGCATGTCTGCACCGTGTTGGATCACTTCGTTCCCACCACTACCCTCAGCCATAAAGCTGATTGTTGTCGTAAATATGCATTTGCCTCGTTGTCTTGCTTGTACTGTTCTGGTGATGAAGCTCCGACCGTCGCGCACGCGCTCGACGTGAAATAGGATGGGTATCGTCGCATTACCGGCCAGGATGAAGTAACAGTGCATGCTGTGGGGGAGGAAAACTGCATGATCATTTGATGGAGAGGGTTCTGGAACTGTTTGACATGCTGCGAGGAGACATTGGGCAATCACGAAGCCACCGTAGAGTCCTCGCGCGTGAGGTGGGTGCCAGAGCTCCCTATCCTTTTTTTGAATTCGGTAGAACGGAGGTCGCGAAACGTGATTGCATACCTGATATTAGTGAAAAGATCCTGGCTTCATGGTCAGAAGTGTAACTGCCAGACACGTTGATCGGTATCTCACTGGTTGTATATCAGAAAGCGCCTTCAACTCTAAATTATTCTCGATGATTGATCTCGAGGAGTCTGCGGCCGGCGGCTTGACCAAAGTGGCTCGAGACATAGCTGATAGCCTCAGAGATGCTTGACAGGATAAGTGGATTAATCATGAAGAGCTTCACGATCTACACACGACCTAAGTAAAACAGACTCCTGCATCAAGACAACCAACTGAAAACCTATGAGAGACTGATTGACCTCGGCATCTGATAAGATAAGGTGAAGCGCCAAGCATCCTAGCGCCCACCAAAATTGTAAGCGAACTTGGACCGGTGGTGATCTCGAGTGAGGAGCGCGATCTATTGTAGAGCAAGCAACAAGATGTCTGACACCGCCGAAGTCGAGGTCGATAATCCAAGCGGACATCAGATTCTTCCAAAAGAGGTGACGAATGAGATTGGCTCCATAAAGCTTTTCAACAAATGGTCATACGATGATGTGGAAATTAGGGACATCTCTTTACAGTACGTTTCTTGAGCTCTTTCCAAGGACGATTCCAGAATGAGCGGAGCCTCCGGCGACATGGGGATCATGGGAATATATTGGCGAAATACAGCCAGGCGTGGAGAATTACAAGAAGCTGACCTTGGATACGCAACAGAGACTACATCCAAATCCGCTCCCCAGTCTACGTCTCCCACTCCGCTGGCCGCTATGCCGTGAAGAGATTCCGGAAAGCACAATGCCCCATCATTGAGCGCCTCACCAACTCCCTCATGATGAACGGCCGTAACAATGGTAAAAAGCTCATGGCAGTTCGAATTGTTGCCCACTGCTTCGAGATCGTACGTACTCATTCTACATCTGGAAGCTCACAACTCTAATTAAATTTATAGATTCACATCATGACCGATCAGAACCCGATCCAGATTGCCGTCGATGCCATCGTCAACTGTGGGCCCCGCGAAGACTCGACCCGTATCGGTTCGGCAGGGACAGTCCGTCGTCAAGCCGTTGATGTCTCACCCCTACGCCGTGTCAATCAAGCGATCGCATTGCTCACAATAGGAGCCAGAGAGGCAGCTTTCAGAAATGTGAAGAGTGTGGCTGAGTGTCTGTCAGAGGAATTGATCAACGCAGCGAAAGGAAGCAGCAATAGTTATGCTATCAAGAAGAAGGACGAGTTGGAGCGTGTGGCGAAGAGCAATCGGTAAACAAGGCTTGTACCTAAGAAGATACGAGATGAAGGTGACGGTAGAGCTATTTGGCATTCTATATTAGGAGCAGCGACTTTTTCAATCCCAAGATGCGGCCCCGACGCGTCATCCATCTCACACCTCTCACGTCTCTCACGCCCTCGATGCATTATGTTACATTCTCTTCGCTTTTTCTGAACTTCATTGTCACCAATCAAGACACAGACCAGTCATGATACTTGTGTGTGGACCCACATCGTACCGGCTTGACCCTCAAACGTACCATATATCTGGACCACGCGATTTTACCATCCTTGGGCGCTGCCTCATGGTTTGAGCAGACTCAGGGAGACAATGCCCATAGCTTGAACTCATATGCATCGAATGTCTTGCTTCATCAGATCCCCATTTCCAATCCTCATCCCTTTTCTTTCCCTCCCACGTCCAAAGCCCCAAGCAGACCTTCAATCACAACTCTCAATGCCTCCATCTCCTCTTCGGCCAATCCACCTAGCCCCCCGCCCGCTCCTCCCACACTCCCACTCCACCCAACATAGCTCGGCCTCCCCGTTCTCCTTGCCACGGCCTTCGCGACCCTCACCGCAAAATCAACTGTCTGAGGCTGCGCGTACAGGGGCGTGCAAAGCGGTTCATTGGGCTTTCGCGTGTTGGGTAGGGCGTAGACGAAGGAGCCTAGAGGAGAAAGGGAGCTTGAGGTGATGGAAGAAGAGGTGGTGAGGAAGATGAGATTCGTGCAGCCTGTATTTTGGATACGGGCGTGGATTGTGACTGTTGGGGAAGAGGGGAGGGACAGGGAGAGGGTTGTTACGGACGAGGTGGTGAAGGAAGGAGGAGAGGTAGGTTTAGACCTGGCTTGGGTGGGTGGAGGAGAGGAAGGAGACATTTGGAGGGACATCGTAGGGAAGGAAAGACTGCCTGTGAAGTTGTATCAATAGATCAAAGGTGGCTGTGATTGGCTGAGAGATTGAGGCTTGGCGCTGACAACTGAAAGTCAAGCACGTGCAAGCGCCTTCCCCTTTGTTGATCTTTTCCTCGCCGGTAATATGTATGTATAGCACAGAATATGGCTGCACAAAATGATAGCGATGAGTGGATCATACCCTCCACAAGTAGTGAAGAGAGCCGTGTGATGTTCGCTGCATTGGATTCTTTCCGGTAAGTTCCGGCCAGATACTCCAGGCATGCGTACGTGCTGTGACTGCCAATTGCATTTCTTGTTGCGCTGTGGACGAATTGCATACTTTTGTTGACTCCCAAGCTTTCTCTCTGCCTCTGATGCCATTTTGAAGGCAATCACAGATTTCTCCAAGGCAATTCCAGACTGAAAATATACGTTCTTGATTTTAAACTATCTGATTCGAATCTCCTGCAGTCAGTATCGCAGGTCGGCTCATTACAATGTGACACATCGGCGGCGGCAGAATTTCTATGCTCTTCCATCAGCACAATATGAGATGCTTGCCAGAGCTCCTTTCAACCTGCTGCAGACCTTTGAACGTGTTGATGAGGCCATTGATGCGAATGCTGATATTGCATATGAGATTATTAAAACATCACTTCAATCTTTGGGCTTCCCGCCGCATTCAATATTCTGGCATGGTTGTGCTACACCTTCGGATTTAGACAAGGCGAGATCGACTCTTAGACAGCTCTATCGCGATTGGAGTGCCGAAGGTGCACACGAACGAAATGCGTGCTACAAGCCTGTGCTCAAAGATCTAGATGACAACTTCCCTGACAATATCTATCGTGGGGACAAAAGCACTGTCAAGGTACTTGTTCCTGGCGCTGGTCTTGGACGCTTGGTATTTGAGATATGTGGCAGGGGTTATTCCGTGGAAGGAAACGAAATATCCTGGCACCAATTAATGACATGTAATTGGGCTCTGAATTACATCCCTCCTGGCAGCTCATATGTTTTACGCCCCTTCGCGACCGACTTCTCGAACAACATCAGCAGAGAACATCAGCTTAAAGCGGTCATGATACCAGATGTACACGTTGGGTCTGAACTTGGCGATGGGGTTGCGCGTAGTGATCGTATGACCATGACTGCCTCAGATTTTATCGTGCTCTATGGCGATAGGCAGCACCAAGATACTTTTGACGCAGTCGCAAGTGTTTTCTTCGTTGATACGGCGCCGAATGTCATCAAATACATAGAAGTAATACGCAATTGCCTGAAAGAAGAGGGGATTTGGATCAACCTGGGTCCTTTACTTTGGCATTTCGCAGAGCGGGGGCCACCAACGCCCGACGAACATGTTGATCCAAGTCAAATGGAAGAAAGAACGGGTATTGAGGCACCTGGAAGCTTTGAGCTTACCGACGAAGAGCTCCTACTACTAGTGGAGAATATGGGCTTTATCATTGAGAAGCGTGAAATATTGGACGGACAGGGGTATATCCAGAATCGACACAGCATGTTGCAGAACACGTACAATTGTTCGCACTGGATAGCAAGGAAGAAACCAACAGCAGCTCACTTGTGATAAGAGGTGCGAAAAACCCAAATGCGAGTCTCCGTCTCCTTATTTCGCTTCAATAATAAGAATGCTCTTGTCTCAGTCTGCATTAGCTGCATGCGGCTTTAACTTGATCCTCCTGAAAGCTGCCCCCGCCCGCAATCCTTCTCGATGTGCAGTTTGGCAGGTACATAAAGACTTACAGTATTGCGAGCCTTGTATGTGGTCGTACGAACCAAGCAGTCGGTGCGGAGGATGATTAGGCTCATGCACAAGAAGTTGGATTGTGGCGGTGGTCTCAGGCATCCTCCTTCATCTATGCTAGGACTTAGGACTGCTGGTTGTAGATTCAATTCCGCCCACTAAGAGCTCGAGGGGCATCTCTAGTCTTTCCTCTTTTTAGTCTGACGACTCCGCCCTCTAATTGCCCCTGTCTACAGCTAAACAAGTGCCCAAAGGGACCCGCTTGGCCTCGTTATACGTTATACGGCCGCACAAGTCACCTCAGAGTGACACAAGGCTGTCAGCATCCGCGGCACTGCCTGTAATCTTCCTCCCACTACTACCGGCGACTGCCACCTTACGACAACGATCTAAACACTTAGCAGACGCTGCCGTCCTGCACGACTTTCCTCAAGCTGCTTAATCAGCTCTAACTGGCCCCAGCTCGCCTCTAGTCTGTCATTGGCGATTCCTTCTAGACAAGCGAAACAAGCTGAAGTCCTTCCTTTCTCCACCTTACGTATGCGTGTTGGAGTCCTTTATCTCTGACCTCCCCATGCCAACCTCCATTCATGACTAAGGGTCAGCGGCCTTGATGACTTCCAGATTCAAGGGATTTGGTGCTTTTGGTTCCAAACGCACGAGCGGCAGCAGTAACACGACCACTAGCAATCGCAACGGACTTACACCTCCACCCGCACAGACTGGCTTTCCATCACAACCGAACGCCAGCACTACGAGTCTTACTCCTTCTGTCACCCCCAACGGCCCATCGCATACCCCGCAAGGCAGCACTTCCTCCACCACCAGCCTCCCTATGAATCAAAACCAACAAGGCCTAGGACGGCCTCCAAGCTATACATACAATCCCGGCGGCCCCAGAGCCAGCAGTCCTCTACCACCCGGACAACAAATGGGGCATCACCCTCCACCTATCAACACCAGCGGCTACGGCCAACATCCTGCATTGCAGGGTGGCGGCGTGCAACCTCCCCAATATGGCTATCAACAAACGTCGCAACAATCGAATCTCTACGGCGGACGTAGTCAACCCGTAGAGGTGGAAGCGGCAGGCAGGAGTAAAGCGCAACTGATAGTGGGCATTGACTTTGTAAGAGCTCCACCCAAAAAGCGAAGCCTTCCACTTACGTAACCTTAGGGAACGACGTTTTCCGGAGTGGCCTTTGCCTTTGCGACCAACACTGAAGCAAAAGAAGACATTATCACAGAGTGGCCCGGTGCTGGTAATCAGACCAAGCAAAAGGTGCGACCCAACCAGCACGAGTGAATAGCAAAGTTGACAAGGTGCTGTAGATTCCTACGGTTCTCTACTACGACCAATATCAGAAGGTCGTTGGATGGGGACCAGATATCGCAGATGCGCTTGCGCCCACAGGATATCCAAAGCCAGGCGTGCAGAAGGTGGAGTGGTTCAAATTACAGCTCATGCTTTCTGGAAACACCTATATCGATCCTATCAATCTACCGCCTCTACCTCCGGGAAAGTCAGAGATCGATGTCGCTGCTGACTATCTCTTCAAGCTCCGACAAGCAATGCGAAACCAATTGCAGAAGACATTGGGTGAGGTATTCAACAGAGAAGAGCGCAACATAAGATACTTCCTAACAGTACCTGCAATCTGGAACGATGCAGGTAAAGCTGCGACCCGTGCGGCCGCAATACAGGCTGGATTCTTACGGGATGAGAACGACAACCGACTGACATTGATTACTGAGCCTGAAGCTGCTGCTATGTTTTGCTCGAAAACTGGTCTGCTCAACTTGAAGATAAGGGATGCAGTGCTCATTGTGGATTGCGGTGGTGGTACTGTAGATCTCATCGCTTACGAGGTGGAGGAAGAGACACCATTTACTGTTGCAGAATGTACAGCTGGGTCTGGCGACTCGTGTGGATCTACAGCCTTGAACCGTAACTTCAGTAACATCTTACGCGCCAAAATTCGCAAGATGAAGCTACCAGATGGCTCCAAGACAGCGGGCAAAGTCTATGCAAAGTGTATCATGGACTTCGAAAATCGTGTTAAGGCGGATTTCCGTAATAATGGACAAAAATGGGCGGTGGACGTTGGCATCGAAGCTGAATTTCCGGAAGCTGGTATCGAGGAGGGCTATATGACCTTTACGAATGAGGAAATCCTACAATGCTTTGAACCAGTGGTCAATCGTATCCTAGAGCTTGTCCGAAATCAAATCATTGCAATTCAGGCGCAGAATAGATTGCTTCAGGTAAGTCTTCGACCTCTTGTCGGACAGGGCCGAATCTCACTCGCGTAATTTACAGAATGTCCTCGTCGTCGGTGGTTTTGGCGCCTCGGAGTATCTCTTCCAACAGATCAAGCTTCATGTTCCACCGCAGTTCCAGGCCAAGGTCGTCCGACCTATGGACTCAGTCGCAGCCATTGTGAAGGGAGCCGTCACCGCTGGTATTACTGAACGTGTCATCACATCCCGTGTTGCCCGTCGGCATTATCTCATGGCAACCTTACAGCCCTTTAAAGAGGGGCATCACCCTGAACAATATCGCGTGCCTAGCTTAGACGGAAAGGACAGGTGTAAATATACACGACAGATCTTCGTACAGAAAGGACAGCGCGTCAAGATTGGCGAACCTGTGAAAGTATCATTCTTCCGACAGGTAGCACCAGGGGCAACTTTGATGTACGAGGACATTCTGTACGCATGTGATGATGATGTTTGCCCCGAATATACCAAGGATCCAAGTAAGTGATAGCTTTCCATCCGGTTGACAGACAACCGTTGCTAACATTATGTAATCAAGGAATCAAAGAAGTGGTCACTCTTACTTCAGACCTATCACGAAAGAATCTTGAGAAGGACTTCGAACGGATGGACACACCGCAAGGAACTTTTTACCGTGAGTGCGAACGTTCTTAGCTACATGAACATCATTGACATTGCACAGGAGTCTACTTCGATATTCTCCTCGCACTTGATGGTAGCGAATTCAATGCTGAGCTTGTCTGCCAAGGCGAGGTCATGGGTCGCTGCACTGCTCGATTCCGTTGAGGAATTCTTTATTCTCAGATATCAGAACTCATGCAGAACATACGTCTTAATGTGCATTGGAAAGAAACCCCAACGAGGACATAGACAGGGCTGGCACGAACGACACGCGCCCAGATAAATACTACGACGAGCTGAACATGCCGCATTCGAGGAGAATAGTCGGCGCAACCACGAAGGCGCATTTACAGGATCATGAGATATTCGGTGTGCTTGAGATAGGATTTGATTAGATCAGACATCAATATATTTGCCCTGCACCCTTTGCATCATTTGGTCTGTTATTTTGCCTTGAATACATGTAATCAGGCGTCCTGTCTTGCTGCGTTCATCAAGGACACTTTCATGCAAGCTTTCCAATACAGGCCAGATACAACAACCACCGGTTACTATCTCGTACTCGCACATTGAACCCCAGATAGGGAACCACCGTCAAAGAGTGCCGCTGTGGCTGTGCAGCGCAACGCCCCACGTCATCAAGTCTCAAAACGTCCATATTCGCGATGCCATAATCATGGCGCACACACTATATTCCCTTCGATTTCCCAGTCCCGTCTCACTCATGGTCCTTTCTATACCCATCACACCTCTCACCTGAATACTCACCCCCCATAAGCCCACAAACTTAACGATCAAACCCTCACCAAGTGACCAATACGCCCCCTCCCCCTGCCTCCCCCTTCTACCCTGCCAGCACAGGAATGGCCGCCCTAATCCTCGGCGCCGGTTTCCTCGCCCATGACTCCTACAAGAAACACAAAGCCAAGAAGCGCGGCGAGAACAACACCGTCCGCTTCTCGGAGCTTGAGCGCCAGAACGCAGAGCGCATCGTCAATCTGCAGAAGGAGTCGTGTTTTTGCCAGCGAAGTGATTGGCAGGGCGGTGGATGCCCGGAACACGGCGGTGGTAATAATATAGGGCCCGGGGTGGGAGTGGGAGCAGGTGCAGAGAGGGGGACACAGGACGGGCGGCGGCTGAGTGGTGGAGGGGGGGATAGGGCGCCACCGGAGTATTTTGATGGGAGGGAGGGCAGTGAGGGGAGGAGGAGTGAGGAGGAAAGGGCGAGGCAGACGCAGACGCAGACGACCTTGGATCGAACGGAGATTGCGAGGATTAATGAGGAGAGGAGGAAGAAGCAGAAATTGAGCAAGCGGTTGTTTGGGCGGAAGGAGCGATGATAAGGGGTGCTAGGGCATCTTTGCTATTGGCGAGATGGGTGAGGGGGTTGTATATATTCAGTTTGGTCCTCGATTTCCTCGTAGCATGTGCATTGCGGAAAAGTGAGCGTGGAGCGTAGGTTAAAGGAATGTACTGTCTTTTTCTTATTGAAACTATCGATGCTAGTCTGCAAGACCTCGAGGTATCTTTGCGCAAACATTGTTTGCATCATAACCATCCTTATTTTGGCCTATACACTTGCTGATCTTCCTGTTCTTGCTTCATGTAGAATGGTCGCGCAGCATGATCTGGCTCTGCAGGCCATTGTAGATGCTTCTGAGCATGCATCGCGCCAAATGGATCATCCACAGCTGAGGTTTCTCTGTGAATCAAGAAGGGAAGTCCTGGCGACTGTCCAGCGCGACGCAATGGAAGTTGGCATTGCTGAGGGTCTGAAGTCTGCTTTGAGACCCCATTTCGAATCAACCTACCGCCATTGTAGCTCGAAGAGGCTTCTGAGGAGGGGAGGCTTCCTCGGCGAGATTTTGTGTACGATGGTAAGGCGTCCCCATTTCCCATTTCGCCTCTAAGCAGCTTGATCTGCTTCCTGATCTCTCGCCACAGCTCATACTTTTCAAGATCGTCATCGTCTTCGCCCTTGTCTTGGGCTGATGTATCATCTTCTGACCTGTTGCCGGCGATCACGACCAGAGTCGCGACAAATGCTTCCTTCAAATAGGCAAAGGAAAAGCCTTCCGTCAGTTTGGCAATGGCTGGACACAGCCTTTCTGGATACTTGATTGTGGGTTTGCTTGCCAATTTGTTTCTCCAATATTCGCAATACAAGGTCCGCTCATGTAGGTCAGGGAGAGGGAAGAAGTACTTCCTATCAAATCGACTAGGTCGAGAAGACAATCCTGGGTCGAGCTGATCGAGATGATTTGTGCTTGCCACCATGAAGATCCCATCTAAATGGCTTCGGAGTTAGCTCGGCTACTCAGAAGAAGACCCTACGAACCATTGTTCTCAAGACCATCAACCTCATTAAAGAAGTACGAGCGAGTATTCGGGGTCACTATCGTATCTATATCTTCGAGAATCAGAAGACAAGGCGACATACGCCTGGCCAATTGGAAAACATTGCGGATGTCGTAGGTTCGTGAGGCGGACTTCACATAAAGAGATGGAATAGCAAACCCGCTTCGTTCGAAAAGAGAGTGCATCAGGGCTTTGATCGAGATGGTTTTCCCATTTCCCGCTTGTTATCGTGAGCTTAGCGACCAAGTGCTTGGAGAGGTTATACCTACCCGGACCATGGAATATGACACCTCGTTTCCAAGCGACTCCTAAGTCTTTGTAGATGTCTTCGCTATCAAAGAATTTGTGCATTAGATTGGTCAAATCCTTCTTCATTGTTTCGTTGAGTATCACGTCTTCCCACTTCGCTTTGGTAACCTGATTGTACAGGTTCTTGCTGGCCCTCCAGTACGAATCGTACACGTATATGTACTGGTCATCATCTGGGAAGCTCCATCCGCCAACTACTCGAACGAGTTGATCCGTGGCGGTGTTGACAGACATAGTGGTTTCACCATCGCCAGGCTCTTTCAGGATGTATTGGAACGTATAGAATCCGATTTGAACGATATAGACGACGAAGTACTCATCAGCCCATTTGTAGTTGTATTTTGCAAAGCTTCGAGACTCGCCCAGTGCTGCCGATTGGCCTTCTCGAGCGTGACTGGGAATGTAATGTCTGATCCTCTGTATGCCTTCATCTTTGATATCAAGTTCTGCCGTAGCGTACCCGGCAGCCGCAAATTTGAGGAGGGGTACTGTTTAACATCTCAGTCCCTTCCTCAGGCACAATTGAGAGGCATACCAACCATTGTTTGTGAAGGTCACAGTGAGACTTAGCTCGGGGTATTGCTTGCGAAGAGCTCGTTGCAGGTACGTGTCTGGGTCACCGATACGCCCGCTATACACATCTTCATAGTCGTCCAAAACCTGGTGTAGACTGTCGGTGTCTATCAATGTAAAGCCATCGCCATCAGTATGACAAGGCGTCTTCGCTGCCTCCATTGTACGAAGTTTCGACGCAGATATTCAGCTTTCAAGGAATAATTGATGATAAGCATGCATTAGCAGTAGAAGAGGGAATATGAGAAGCACATTGATGGACGGTTTGCCAGGCAGCAATAATGTTGATCCGCCAGGTGAAACAGGAACAGGCTTGACTGCGCCATCGTTGAATAATGGGTGACCCGTTGACTTGGGCTGAACAGGTCTACGAACAGCCTTGAAGCTCTGACGCCTCTTTCCACAATCTCAAGTATCAACACACGGGCGACGACTAACCAGCATCTCCTTTCGAATCCAAAGCCAGCCGGACTCGGTACGTCATCGGCCAGGAACTAGAGCCACAGCGTCAAAAGGGCGGGGAAAGCTTATAGGGCCTCCTCCGGGGGCTAGCCACCTATAGAGAACTGACCAAGCTGACCCTCGTTCTCACCTTTTCATAGCCGAAGCAGAGACATTTCTCTGGATGAATCTCATTCCTTGAAGGTTGGTCTACTGGTCGAACATGCTATACACTATCATGCCTTTGGAATGGACGGGAAGTGGCATAGTAACAGCTGTAGAACGCCTTCCTGGCTGCAATCGTGTCAGTGTCCTTGACTAATTGCAACATGGATACAGGTAGGAGAGCTGGTGAGTCTTTCAACATATGTTGTGTTGTACCTCTATTCGCTGCGCAATGCACGTGTCTGGGAAACCATGATAGCTCTGATTTCTGTATTTAGTTACGCAAACATGTCTCACTCTCTCTGTTGGCAATGTCTCTGGCCAGCGGATATACCGACAAGCTATCGAATTCATGCGAGGCGCTTCAACGCTTTCGCCTGCCATTCCTACCAAGTGAGGGCATCCACAGATGCTGCGCCTCCAGCACAGATCTTCATTCGCTTGTTTCTATACTCGAGAAGTTCACGTCTTTTTGGCTCTTCTATCATTTTCGCACGGTTCTGCATGGCTTGCGTTAGGCTTTCGGCGTTTATTCTCCAGCCTATCATTCCATGCATGTTAGATAGAATGCTTTTCTTCCAGCAATGAAATTCCTATTTTCATCATTAACAATATATGTGTATGGTCTGCATATTACTCTTCAGCTTTCAGGAATCTTGGTTGAGGCACATTTCACCAAGCGTGAAGTTAGACCTTATCCAGCCAATTCTACCTTGCCAAATCGAGCGCCGAGTACATCAGCATCTGTACCAACCCGATCGTGGAATATCTTGACATCAGCATCTGTGCCAACCCAATCATGGAACACGTTGGCACCAGCAACCAGAAGGACGGCCCTGGGTACTGCACCAAATCTGTTTTTTCAAGCAGCACCTATCGTGACTGGAAGTTCGGAATGTGTTTCCCCGGGGAATAGTAGCGGTTCTGTAGCAAACATACCTGGTCTATCTGGACACTTCAAAGAGCGCAGACAGCTGGGAAGCAACACCGCGGGAGCAGCCCAACAAGGAAGCCCTCGATGCTGCGGTGACTGTGCGATCAGATTTCCTGACGTGCACGTATATTACTTTCGAACCGCAAACTCTACCAATACTTGGTGTGAGCAATACCTGTCCTCAACACCACCGGCTTCAGCATATGGAACTATCCTCGGAGGATTAGGCTTTACACCAACAAGCTCTCTCGTACCTGCTCAAGCTCCATTTTTCTGTTTGCCGACCCCTGCTCAGGCAGAAGCTGGATACTCACAGATCACGCAACCGGCAGTTCTCCCACTGCGGAAAAGGGACAATCAACTAGTTTCTCAAACAGGAGGAGGCTCTGACCAGTATCGGAATGGTTCAGCCAGCGGTGTTGATTGCGCTCCCGAGTCGATATATGTCGTCATTGAAAAGGTTTCCGCAAGAGATGATTGCGGGCTAGTAGGCAGCACTTATACAAGCGTCACTTATACATATGCCGAGGAAGAATTTTCGAGCATTCAGCCCATTATTAGTAATACAGTTCCCTACAATTTTGGGGATCTGCCTTGTCCACCTCAAACGATCGGAGACAAACCAATTCGGGACGCCCTAAGGGAGCAGTATGGAGGAATTGACATTTTGCCCCAGTATGTCCGTACCTACAAACCGAAGATACTCCCACCTTTCGAACAGATCAGGGCTCTAGATCCTGCTTGGGGTCAATGTCAGTTCATGAAACTTGGTAACGGTCTTGATCCTCCTATTGCCCTTACCCCAGCGTCAGCAAATGCTCCTCCTGTAGACCCAGGGCTCTTTGCTTCGAAATTTGGCTTCAAGCCTTCACCCACGAATAACCTAGCCAGTGGACCTGGACAGCAGAATACTGAACCCGGCCAAAATCAAGATATTAGCCTCAAAGTTCCGGATCAACCCCAGTCTTCACAAGATCCTGGGGCGGGGGTAAATCCTGTTGTCCAGAGCACGAATCCCCAAGGCCAGACAGACCCTCAGGGCCAGACCAACCCACAGGGCCAGACCAACCCACAGGGCCAGACCAATCCCCAAGGCCAGACAGACCCCCAAGGTCAAAGCAGCCCTCAGGGCCAGACCAACCCTCAAGGTCAGACAGGTTCTCAACAAGCTGGAGATGGAGGGTCAGATCCAGGGACACAAAATTCGCCCGCTCAGGAAGGGCCGGGATCCTCAGCAGGCTCTAATCCTGGGACTTCTCCTGGGGTAGAAGGTGGGACGTCTCAACAGGGCACGAGCCCGCAGAATCAGCCAGATCCTCAACCGAACGGTAATCCAACAGTCCAGTCAAACAATCCTCAAGGCCAGCCAGGATCTCAAGTACGGCAACCTAACATAGGTCAGGGCGGTGGTGTATTAGGCAATGTGGCGAACAATGACCCTCAAGGGTCCGGAGAAGCAGGCACTGGGAACTCTCCTGGCACTCTCGCACAGGAACAAAACTTACGTTCGAACCAGGCGGGTTCGCCATTGGCAGCGGGTGGTTTGGTCCTCAACCCCGTAGAACCTACATCTGAGTCTGGTTCCCAACCGGTCGACGGACAGAGTGCAAGCCCCGTAAATCTTGTGGGCCAGCCGCAGAATGCTGCGCAAGGTCCTGACTCCACATCGGCAAATGGTGGGTCTAATCAACAAGGCCTCGTACAGAATAATGGACCAATTCAAGTAGGTGGCCTCACTTTTACGCCTGTTCTGTCACAATCGTCTGGGAACACAGGGAACGGCGGGGCAAGTCCACAATCTGGTGCTTCCCCGAACTCAGGATCAGCTGCCGGTCAAAATGATGGTAACAACAATAATGATGGAGACGTTGGTCAGCAAGGATCAAGGTTTCAAGCTGGAAATACCAATGGGGGACCTTCCAACAGCCAAGGACTTCCGAACGGACAAGACACGACAGGTGATAGCACAGGACCAGCTGCATTCTCCGTAGATGGACAGCGTGTAGAGCAAGGTGGACCCCCCATCACAGTCTCAAATACTCAGATTAGCTTGGGGCCTTCAGGACTTGTTGTAGGTTCAAAGACCATTCCCTTACTTGGATCGAATCAAGCTCAACCAAATCCCACTGCATTTTCTCTCGACGGACAGACTGTACGAGAAGGCGGACCACCTATTACGATTTCTGGGACTACAGTCGCTCTAGAACCTAGTGCGCTAATTGTGAATGGCCGCAAATTTGCTAGACCTTCTTCGGACTTGATTTCAGCGGAAGGTCAAGTCTTTAGGCCAATTGACAGCTCGGCTGTCTCGATTGATGGGCACACAATTTCTATATTAGGGCCTGGTCTAACATATCAAGGCACGCCCATTTCCTTGGTATCTGGAGGGCTAGTTGTCGGCTCATCAACTATTCCTTACGCTTATAATCTCAAACTTCCTGGTGGAAATGCCGTGGATGCGATGACGACGTCTTCACCCGATCTATACACTGTTGACGGCCTGACTCTGACAGCAGGGCCAACCGGACTTTCAATATCGGGAACTCAAGTTCCTTCGGGAGGCCAAGAAATTACTGTTGGAGGAACGAAGATAGCGCTCAAATCCTCCGCGCTGATTGTTGGGAATAGTACCGTCCCTCTCGATTCGATCACGAGACTCAGGCCCGGTGCTACAGGCGTTAACGTTCCATCTGTGACTACCATACCTACTCCGACTACGGCAAATAATTCTCCCATCGTACCATATGTTCCTAATTGTTCTTTGCCTAAGACGAGACCGATATGGTGGATACTACCTAGCCTTCTTGCTTTTTGGTTTTGGGTCTAGCATTTGAGGTGGCTGAAGCAGTCTAAATAACCTCATTCATACGAGGCTAGGTATCTAGGTATGTTGACCACTTGAATGTATACACAATGCAATCAATGTAGACATGAATAAAGTTTTCGAAAGCTAGTGAGCGTACTGTTCTAGCGGAGGTACTTCTTCACCGATGATCAAGGCGATGAAGACATATGCTTTCTATAGTATCGGGCTTTTAAGCATTTCATATAAGGCGGAAGCTTTACAAGACGCCATGCTACCTCAAATGATCTGCTATTAGGCCTTGGTCTTTATTTCGAGAAGCTGGTTAGTTCCCCAATCGATTACTTTACTGGTGGGCATAAAGTATTGGTCGCTTGATCCGCTTTAGCAACAACTTCATACTAACGAAGAGTAGTTGTCATACTTGAGACATCAAATGCACGCACAGCCACAGTGCAAATCATGTATATTTCTAAAGGATTTTCAATACTGGTGGGTTTTGGAACCTCCTATACATTGCTCAGCCTCCACTTCATACCAATTTGAACGAACGAGTCGCCTCAAAACATTCCAACATGCTTTCTTCCAGGCTCTTAGCAGTCCTAGGCACAAATCTTTTGATCATACCCAATTCAACAGCTATGCTTCTTTATCCAAGGATCAATCAAGATTTCCAGGAATTAGTCTCACGACAGCCGCAAAATGATAGTTTGGGCCAGCTTGGCTGCACTAACCCACAGCCAAAGGACGACCGTATTGTGCCACAAGACTGCCAGCAAGCTATGAATCTACTTCTCGAAACGCTCCCACCTCAGATGACACTGACAGACGACAACAACCTTGTGGACTCACCTACTACACAATTCGTTCCCTTCGCTTTCTGGAATGGCACTTGTGCTCTGGCAGTATTCATGGAAGGATCTCAACAAAACGTCTCGAAAGACATGTTTGCAGAGGCAGAAACTGAGATTGTCAAGAATTGCAATAACGGAGGGACTATAAAACCTGGCTTTCAAGTCCTTCACGAGAACAGCGTGAACTTTTTTCTCTGGGGCAGGAATTCGTTGCTAGATTTAGCCTTTACACAGAAAATACCGTTATTACCAGCGGCAGGCACGAGTGCACTTTGGCCTCTGGACGATGACGAGTTTAAAATCTACCCAGACTTTCGCACGCACTCATGAAGAAGACCAATAGATCAGAGGATGACATACCAACTCCAGTTGTCCTGGATCTCAAGGAAATCGGCAGATTTCAATGAGCTCGGTCATGAAAACAAAATTTTGGGAAAGGCGTATGACTGTCTAGAATTTCTTTCTTGAAGAGCACAATATAATCCGTATGGTTCGGACTTAGCTCACCAAAACATTGTCGGAACGTTATATACAGGTTCTCTCGTGAAATGCATTCCATTCAGCGCAACTCAACCCCTTACGATGGCGCGAATTTTGCGTCTCGCTAAAAGAAATGGTCAGAAATGTTGACGAGGTGTAGAACAAAGAAGACGTGTGAAATAGAAGCTTTTCATGTCTCATGATGGAACTTCGTGTCGCCTGTCACTGGTGTATCGCTTCCTGTCCCGTGTGCAAACAGTTCTTCCGACAGCGCATCTAGCCTTAGATTGATTTCTATGGGGAGATTTCCCCAATTCCAAACCAGCAAGAGGCTGCTCGAGCTACTCCAGCACAGCCTTGTGTCAACCAATCACTTATCATTAAACCATACCCGACGTCCGAGCACTACTATGGGAGCCGTGTATAGTAGACTCTACCAATGTTAGGAATCATATTGGATGGGAACACCGGACTCGGCAAGGCAGATCCTAAGCTCGTTTACAAATCGCGCGAATGGCTTTCTCACGACTGCACATCATATTAGCCATCATCGGGGCTTCGGTTTCATGCCTACTCCAGCCGAATGATAGACAGAATCAAGAGGAGCCTAGGACGTCCTCAGATCTGTATGAGTGATTGAATCGCAACCCCCAGGATGATCCTATCTTATCAGCGGACTGCTCGGAAGCTCAAGCGAATGTCATCGAGTACTTCAACGGCTCGAGCATCATACTGGTCAGCGACCCAACTCAATTGACTAACGACGAGACTTTCCTAGTGCCTTCGATCTTTACAGGTGGCTCTACTTGTGTGTTTGGCCTCTCGATAAATGGTACAAGTGATCCGGTCTTGCCATCGTCTTTTCAGGGTCCGGGAAACGACATCATCAGCGACTGTCTTCAAGAAGAAGACTCTGGGGGTGGATACACAACAACAAATGATGAGCAAGTTCTCATCTGGTTTCAAGGGCTCAATTCTGCGCTGGATACTGCTCAACAATATGGCTGGAACGCTTATCCAATAGGTGGTCTATCGGATCGTCCACACCATCCAGCGAAGGTCCCGTCTTTTGATAATAAGACCCATCCTCTGATGTTAGGCAATCAAAAACTGCCATTTGTTGGTAACTTTTCAGAACACTGGATCTTGCGAGGCAACTCGGTTCACAAAGATTGAAAAATGGGTCGACGCATTGCTGTGCCCTCTCAAGACTCAACGGAGTAAGAACACACGTTTGCTATCGTGTGGTGATAAAAAGACGTCAACACAGGCTCAAAATAGAAGGAAGATATTCTGTACATCTTACGGAGGATGTTTAGGATGACTTCTCTATTAGTTGCTCTCCCTAAAAAGCATAACTTCGAGTCGAGTTGACACAGACGGGATGACAAGTAGTAATCAGCTTATAGCTTGCTACTGAACCATTGGACTGCATGTCCGTTGAGCGGTAATTTTCTGCATTTTCAGCCTGGTAGCTATACTAATTTTGGAATTGCAACTTATTATTCTGATGGGATGTTTTGGAATGTCTCCTTCACTGGTCAAATAATCGTCTTGAGCTTTACGGTAACTTGGCTTTCATTCACTTTCATGCTGAACCTTATTTGATGACTTGCCTTCTACTTCCTCTTGACGTCTTTCTTCAACTCATCCAGACCTGCAACTTGTCAATATCGATCAATTTCATCCTTGATTGAATGCATAGGTGACTCTCGATTACTGGATACTTGGACTGAACGGTTCCTCTCAGCACGAAAGATCTTCCTCTTTCTAACAACGCGGAATAACCTATATTCTTGCCGCAAAGAACCATCCGTCAATTATCGTTATTAAGTCCTGCTCTTGTGTCACAGATAATCTGACAACAAGATCGGGAGCGTCTTGCGTACGACGGTGTAAGTGCGATTCGAGGCGCTTGATTGGATATTGTCACTTTTGTCAAGCCTTCTTATCACTTTCACATCCGCAATATCCTCCTTCTATGATCCACATAGCCCATGTGACGGCCCCTAATCTTCCTACTTGAAAGCGGGCACTAACTTCGTTCAAATAGTATTATCATCACTTGGACGTCTCATTCGATCTTCTGCTAGATATTGCAACTCATTCTTAGGCACCACACACGATCTCTGCTCGAAGCCAATCCTTTCAAGATGTCTAGCACTGTTGAAAAAGCCTTGCCTGATAGTCAAGTAGCAGCGGCGTAAGGACTGGCTCCGTGACCATCTACTGTCATCACATACTGATTTAAATAGCATGTTCTCAAGCCCATTGATCGCCATCGACGTAGGAACGAAAGGAGACGTCCTATACGCCCATGCCGCCAAATTGATGCGCTCCGACGTCATGGATAAAATGATCACGGGCGATTTCAAAGAGGCCCACGAATGCCGAATCGAACTCAAAGAATGGGACATCGATACCGTCGCCCGTCTCCTGGAGTGGTTCTATTCCGAGGATTACAAAGTTGCGTATCCTCGCGAAGCTTCGCCAGTCGCATCTGGAGGCATCCCAACGGGAAACGTCATTATATCTCCGCCAGATGCAGACCCCAGTCCACCGGTTTCAAACTCTCCCAGCGAAAGCAAAAGCCAGATCGTCGCCGACTCTCCAGCGCCCGAGTTCACGCGATTCCCCGAATTCGCAAAATGGGCCCAAGATCACACCGATATCGCCTCCGACATCTCACACAGCGAAGCCCTGCTCGCCCACGGCAAAGTCTGCGCCCTGGCAGAATATCTCAACCTGCCAGGCCTGATGCGCCTCGCATCCCACCATATCAAGAACTATATTGACCTGATTGAGACCCTGAAACTCAACATGCACCTCGTGGACGAGCTTGTCACGCTGATGAGATACTTGTACGCCAACACCTCGGGTTATGGCCTGGGCAAGAAATCGATTCGCGACCGTCTCGCGTTTACTGTGGCAAATCATTCGGATCTGTTCACGGGGCCGATCTCCAAGGAGGCTATTGGTGAAGGGGGCGAGCTTATGCAGGATGTCATGCACTACATCCAGAAGTATCATGCGGAGAATGAGAGACCTGTCACGGTGACTAAGCGAGGTGCCCCTACGACGACTCCTACTGGTCGTGGAAAGAAAGCGAAAACCGGTAATTAGAATATCTCAACTTCCATCGAGCAATCTTTGGTTGAGGATCTTCGCAAACGCTACCTAATCACATCTTCGGTAGATCTAGAGGTATTTATTTTCGCAGCATCATCGCGGAGCCTGACTTATGCCCCCATGACACGCCAGAATGGGCCATATGATACGTGCACCATGGATTTTCTGGCCACAATCTAAGCGGTCCTTTCGGCATTGGTTGATTCAAAAAGAATTCGAGCTCGAAGAACAGACGAGCGATGGTAACATGAAAATTTCAAAGTAGCGTTTTTGAAGCATTTAATAATAAAATCTATTTGAACAAGACAAATAGCCGCCGATCTTCGCGTATGGCGAAGTTTGATTGAAAACACCCAATGCCTTGCATGCCATTCTTGCACGTTCCTCAGACTTTCCGAAAGCAGAATTGTTCGAGAGGCTCGTGGCTCTCTCCCTCCCCAGAAAATCACACTTGAAGGTCATCTGCTTCAGTCACACCCCCTCAGTCAGTGCATACATTGCTCTCGGCCCGTGTTGTGACGGTAGATCTCTCATCAGCTAGTCAATCTTCGCTCATGCATCAGAGCCACTTTCAACGCCTCAACATCTCCAGACTGACCTTCTTGCGATCCAAGCGGCGGTTTACTGCTCCCAACACAACCTTGAGTATACCGTTGCCGTCAAGTCCTTGTCGCCCGCTCTCTCCAATCCAAGGCACCGTATCCACAATATCCCTCACGCCCAACTCCTCCAACCCATCATCCAACTCCTGCAACGCCCTCGTAGCTTCCGCATCCCGGCCCACCTGAAAGAACTGAATGCCAATCTGCCACCCGGGTGCATCCAGTTTATCCAACTTCGTCGCCGCGCGCTTGATCACACTCTCGACATCATCCCCAGCCTCGCCATCCGTAACCACAATCACATTCAAAGGCTTCACCTCCTCCAGCTTCCCCTCCCCCTTCTTCTCCAGTAGCGCCAAATACGGCTTCAGGATCTGGTGCAGGCGCATTCCCGTTGGTGTGCCGCCCCCTGGGCGCACGGTTGAGAAGATCTGGCTCACGCGCTCTGGGGAGGTGATGTTGGAGTATGCGGGGACGGAGGGCGTGTTGAGGAAGTGGATGTCGATGCCGTCTTTGTCGTGCTGGGTGCACACGCCTGCGATGGCGGAGATGGCGGCGCTGGTTTCTCGCCATTTGCTGCCGGACATGCTGCCTGAGTCGTCGATTAGGAAGATGGTGTCGAAGTGCGCGAGGAAGGCGTATTGGCTGTCTGTACCGCTGGCGGTGGAGGGTGCTGGGGGCGTGTAGTTGGGTGGGTTGGCGCTGTAGGACGGTGGTGGGGGGTTGGCGCTCGTGTCGGTGGTTGAGCCTCCCATGGCTGAGCGCGGGCGAGATGCAAAGGGGTTGTGGATCGTTGGCGGGTTTTCTGCAGAAATGTTAGCAAATTGTGAAGGGGAGAAGGAGGGGTTGGTCGTACGTGGGCGGCGAGTGGCTGGTGCTGGTTGTTTTAGATTTGACTCTTCTGGAGTAGCTGAGAGTGAAGAGTTGGATGCAGTCTTGTTTGATTTGCGCCGGAAGAAACCTTTGATCGAAGGTGTTCTCGATGGCATTTTGCTGCTTGAGGAGTTGGAGGTGAAGGTGGAAAGCGGGGAGCAATCGGATGGTTGGTATAAAAACGGCATGTTGGACAAAGAAGATTAAGCTTTCTGCAACACTTGAGATGGCAAGTGCGAGTGGAACAAAGAGAAGTGATTGTGTTTGGTCAAAGCAGTGGAGACTCTGATTCGTGGCTGTTGCTGTGTGAATTATATTCGGTGGGACAGAAGGCAGCCTATATACTCTATGTGGATGGCAATCCTACCGTGGTCACGCCCACAATCAAGGCAAGGTGACAATGCCTGTACGCCCGTGAAAAAGCCCACAGTACCGCCGAGAGTGTCAAAGACAGGAGACCTGCAATGGCCCATGCTTGGTATGTATTCATATGCGCCTGAAACAGGCAGCGTGAGACTTAGGGCCATCCTCAAGATGGCAGGGTCAGAATGATAGCGCTGGGAATTAATCGCATAGCCGCTCTCGCCTGATCTGCGTCAGCCTTCTTTTCTCCCTTTTTCTCCCCTTTGGCTGCGGAGTCATTGGACCACTAGGGGCTCTAGGGGCTGTGCAGCGCTAGGGCTGAGGCTCAGCCTTATTGCTCGTGGCTGGGGAGATGCCGCTAGCCAGATGCGGAATGCTGCGCAGTGCTTCATCAAAGCCATCGACCATTGATCATGACTGCCTTGAGGGTTACCGCAATATTAAATAGGGCCGCTGCCCCGGCTGTATCCACCATCGCTGTTACTGCTATTCGGATATTATCCAGCAGGGTGGAGGCCACGGCAGATGAGGCCAGGCAGTGCAATTGAACCATTGCCACGCCTTTTTTGCATTGCGCTCCCAATCTCCACTGTATAGAGCAAGCCAAATGCGTAAAAGAAGTCAGAGGCTGCGAAGGAGGACTAGACTTGGAAGAAACTTAGCATTGCAGCACCACTTGAGGACCGAGCTTACCCCTGGAAGTCGTGGTAAAGAAGCTCACGATTCTTTCCGCTCTTTCTCTCAGCTGATCTCGAGTTGCGATACTGTCTTGCAGCTTGTACAAACATACTGACCGAGACGATACACGGCGCTCTCTTCTGTTGTTAGTGCTGCTTCATTGAAAGCGTCATTTTCTGGCTGGCGGAATGAACAATGTGATGGAATAAGTGGGATGCTCAATTTCAGGTTCATAGATGGAATCAGAATGTAGATAGAGTGTTGTGACTTCGGTCTAGGCCGACCGTCAGGATCATCCAAGATTGATGACACACCCACAAAGGCGATGTCGATCTTAAAAAACCTCCGCTTGTATCCCCGCCTCCATCCGACACTGTTGAATGTCCATTTGGCGTCCGGTTTAGCTCTGTGCCGTGCGATGCGGTACAGGCAATCTCGGAGCTTCTTTTGATCTGGCGTTATCTTCTCCCACGGCCATTTATTGTAGAGTTCGGCAAGATATCTGGCGGTCGCATTTGACTCCTCTTGAGTAAAGGTCTCATCGATTGGGTGTTCGATATCGTAGGTGCCGCCTTACTTGTTAGGTAATTTGTGGCGTGTAGCGGTGTTGTCTCTAAGGCAAATGACCCATGCTTCACGTCCAAGAGAGGTTCGCCAGCGGAAGAAGTCACCACCCAAGGAGGCACTGTAAGGAGTCCAGTCAAGATGGGACTGGATGGGGAGATCAAAATAATTGAGGTTCGTGACATGGCTCCATTTCGATGATGCAATAAGAGGCATCTCATCGTCGATGGAGGACGTACAGCGTTCATAATTGGTCTGTGCATGCAGAGGCACGGGGAACTTGAGTGAATCAAACTCTCATCTGCAGCAATGTGGTCCGGATCGAACAAGCGGAGGCAACCATTCATGACATTCTCGATGCGCAGGTTAGGCGACTGATCGGTCAGGCGAGTGGAAAGCATCCTCTTCTTATCCACTGTTCTTGAATCGGTGCTAATTTGCCGTGCTGTGCGTGGAATTGAAGGCTTCAGGGAGTAGTACATATGACAGGGAAGGCGCGAAGCGCCTAGGTGACTAGCAGTCCGGTCCTCGCATCTTTCCGATGGAGATGAGCGATGTAGAAACAACAATAATGCATACAACATTCACTGACTGGAAGATATCCATCTAATGCGCCGAGGGACGTGTAGAAATTTAGTGTCCGCATTGATAGCACGACTCTGCAGGACGCTAAAACGGGACAACCTCTTGATGCATTGGCAGAAGAGTCTTGCATGAGAAAGTGTCTGCACACGTGAGATTCCCTTTGGAATGGTCTGGGCTGAACATGAGATGTCCGCCGTCTTTTGGAAGAAAGCAAATTCAAGGCCGCCAGCAAAGTTTGGCATTGCTTGCTGCGGCAACCTACCTTCAATCGCTCGCCAGAACCATTTACCTTTAGAGCATGGCGCTATCAGTGTGTCTGGCGTGATGGGGGACTGCCTTCTGGCTGTATGCAGGTGTGAGGGTATAAACGTACGGGCTGGCGGAACATGGCTTTGGCGTTCATCTGCATAACTTTTGCGGATAATTATGGGTATTGCAGTTATGCACGGGTGATATATCGCTTGCGCCACTGCTTTTCTACGAGCGGATCTAGAACTATTCCGAGAATGTAGCGCTAGGCCACATTATTGCCTCTCGGAGGGATCTTCGTCCGATTGGCCTATAAACTACTCCAGCTCTATCCACTTCTTAGCCGTCAAATCTCGCTTGGAGGTAAAGACCTCAAATCCGAATCCCGGGCACGATTTGTGGAAGCTCCTTCAATTCTATAAAACAAGTCTGTTTTCCTTTGAATTAATAATAGATACTTTTGTTAAGAGTCTACTTAGGGGTAAAAACTAGCTCCTAAGGCCTAGGAAAGACAAAAAGAACTAAGATAGAGAACTAGCTCTATCTTAGGCAAAAACCCTATTTATATACTTAATAAATATTATTATATATTAACTTTCTAATTTATATATATTTATTTTTATATAAAAGTAATTTATAATACTTACTAAGCTTTTAATATTACTATTTCTATATAATTAGAAAGGATATAATCTAAATTATAATAATACCCCCTCTTCTATTAAAATATATTTTTATATTAGTTATAAATAGTCTAAGATATAAATAAAACCTTATATTAATTAAAAAGTTAAACTTTTTAATAGTAGTTAAGAATTTAATAATTATATACTTTATTCCTATATTTTAGTTTTTTAATAAAATAGCTAAGTAGCCTTATTATTAATTATAGAGACTATATTTCTAAAAAATTTAAACTAAAATAAGAGTTATATTTAAATATTTTAATAAATAATTTTTTTTAATTTCGCTATACTTTTCTATTTAGTTTAAATACCTTTTTAATAGTTTTTAATTTTATTAAATAATCCTATAGTATAATTAGTTATATTATAATCTTATAGGCAGAATATTTATTAATTAATATTTTATATAATTAAAATTAAAAAATTAAATTTAAATCCTAATAAGGTTAATAAGTTTTATAATATAGTTAATAATATTTTTAACTACTTTTATAAAAGATTTAAGCTATTTATACTTAAATTATAATAGAATTAAAATATACTTTTTTTTATATTCTATAGTATTATAATACTTATTTCTTTTATTTTTAATTTATATTACTTTATAATTTTTTATAAATAAAATTTTATAATATTAGTTATTTTATTAGCAATAAAGAATAAATAAAATAGCTTAAAACTAGTATTAGAAATAGCTATAGTTTAATCTTTTTTTAATTTTTTATTAAAGAAAATTAGTTTAAAACTAAGTTAATTATAGTTTTTTTTTATTTTAATATCCTTTTTATATTCTTACCTTAGTAAAAAAAGTAATATTTAAGTTAGTTAAAAATAATTAAAAATTGTATTAGAAAGTCGTTAGGTAATAAATTTATAATTATAATAAATAAAGAATATTAAAACTTTATTATTATTATTATATTATTATTAAGTTTTTTAGTTTATATACTTTTATAATTAAAATTTTACTTTTTTATAGTTTAGAAAAGTAAAACTATAGTATAAACTTTATTATAACTATTATTAAATTAAACTTTTATTAGTATATATATTAAGTATTTTTATACTTTAAATTTAGAAATTATTTTATATATTCCTTTTTTATAGTTTTTTCTAATAATAGGCCTTATAATATAATTAATAATATATATATAGTTCTAAGATTTAAATTTAATAAAAAGCTAATTTATATTAATAGTAAGTAGTTGCTATCCTAGTTTATAAAACTTATAAATTCTAGATTTAAATTCTAATAAAACTATTTTTTTACTATTTATAAGTTCTTTTTTATTAGTTTTTTTTATTAAGTCCTATAATATAATAGTAATATATTTCTTAAAAAAAAAGTAGTTTAAGCTAGGTTAGAAACTAATTTATATTAATAATAGGTAGCTATTGCCCTAGTTACCTACTTTTTAAGAAAAGACTTTAAGTTTAAATTTTAATTAGATTATTTTCTTTTTTATTTTATTTTATTATATTATAATATTATTAATAAAAAGTATTAATAAAGTAAATAATATATATATATAATTAAAATAGTATAAATTAGAATATTATAATTTTTAGGGATATCCTATATAATAGTAAAGTAGTTTATTAAGATTACTTATAGCTATATATTACGACCTTGCGCAATAGGCGTAACTAGGTAAACGCTATAAAATAGAGACTATAACTATACTAGGCTATAAAGAAGAATAACTAAAAAGAAGAAAAGATAGCTACAGTACTTAAGTACACTTAAGCGCTAAAAGCACTAAGCAACCTTTAGATTAAGTATACTTAAAGTAATTAAAGATTAAGTACTATTAAGCTAGTTAAATAAAATTATATATATAAAATCTTTTATTCCTTTCCTTAAATAAATTTCTTTATATTTAATATAAGTCTTATTTTTTACTATAAAATCTAAAATAGTTATAATTTAATTTTGTTTCACTATTTTGTTTTTATTTGTTTTCCAACTACTACTTATATTCTAAAAGAAC